CGCATCTGCAGCATATTTTCCAGGGCAGAAGTGTTTTCGCTCAGATAATGATTGATTTGTTTCAAATACTTATAAAACGAAGAGATTGGTAAGGTTATGAAGAGGACGAAGATCATAATGTATTTGTGTGCACACAACCTATTATCCATTATCCATTGTCATTTTTACATACAGTAGGTCTTTTTATCTCCCTCTCTCCTCTTTCCTCTCTCCTCGGTAGATAAATTAGACGTGCTTTGTTTGGAATTTTGGATAATGACACTCCAATGACACTCGAATGACACTCGAATTACACTCGAATTACACAACGTCAATTTCCATTATGTAGTTGCCGTTATATTCTAGCTAATCACATCATAAATCATGCTATTCATCGTGTTTTTGGCTAATAATAAGCACCTTCTTCGCCTAGTGTTGGCTTTCTTTCGCAAATTGCCGCTAGCAAATCCTAAAGAAACGAAAACCTTGAGGGTTGTTGTGCTTCATGCTGTCATAAGGATATGAAAGGGGTAATGGGAGGGTTACTTTGAAGCTTATTATGACCGCATCCAGAAGTTTGATGATGAATTCTCCTTCTCTCTCTCATGGTAAGGTAAGACCTGAGTATGAGCAGCCCAAATTTGAGTGGGTGGGTGATGTGATGTGATATTCCTCACTAATCAATCCTGGCAGGAAGCTATCTCTCATCCCAGTCGTCCATGTCCATGTTGCCATTGCCCCAATGAAGAAGATGATTAGATTAAAGTTAACTTAGTCGAAACTCGCAAATTATCAGATCATCTCTTTCGTTAACTTTTTACTATCCCTCGCCTCTGCGCCTGTCTTCGTATGCAGCGAATTCCTAAAAGGTCATAAAGCCATCATTTTTATCGCATTCTCTTGGATTTCATTCGTTGATAATGATGCCCACCATTAAGTCGTTGAGCGTTTCCTCGCAACCCGTCACTCTGTGTGTGAGAAATACCTAGCTACATTTACCAGCATTAAGTAGACGATGCATGTTCCGCTAATGCATGATTCCCAAAAAAGTATTGGCTTCTCGTACCAAACATAGAAATGAATAAAATGTCCGATGCATATCACACGTCTTTGGGAACAACCGTTGATATTTGTGTTGCTTGTGTCAAGATCCATGTTCTTGTGTCAATCCAGGCTGTATCCACAGTTCAATTCGTGCGCATGTACAGAAGTTACCTTGCATATCAAAATCTCATCATCAAAAGCAAAGACAGAGGCAAAAGCAAAAGCAAAAAGTTGGATGTAGTGAATGTAGTGGATGTGGTGGATGTGGTGGATGTAGTAGATGTAGTTAATGATGAAGGACCCTGGAAAAGACGATGAACATATTCACATCCATATTATAATGTCTCAATTTACAATTAAAGGGACATTAGTCATGAAGTGATGAAAGATCTAATTGCAATTAGTCAGTCGCTAGGTCGGTGCACCTGGTGTACACTTGTACAAATTGCTCCAGAGAGAGTATAGGTAGGGACTAGGTAAGTGAGTTAAGTTATTCTCTATTACTACTCTGTACAGGCTGTGCTCGAGCTCTTACATCCGCGTTCCGAAGATCCTAACGAGATATTTGGTACCTTACTTGTTCACCGATCTTCCGCTCAGCAAGCACACCGCAGCAGACCGCAGCACACCAAGCACATCACGCCAAGCACATCACACCAACTACACACCACAACACAACACACACAGCAAACAAATCATTATGATAGATAGAATAAACCGTCATCACCTCAAATTTCTTCACCGCTCTGCTTGATCACTTTTCTGTCAATCAACGGCACTTCACATCATAAAATTCAGGGTCATTGTCTCACATTTCCTTAAATCCCCGAAAGGATAGCGACCACATGGCTCTAAATTCACGGCCCGTTGGGCGTTACTTAGTTGCTACTTTATTTGTTACTTTCGGGCTACAGTATAATGAGTCAACTTGTTGAGCCATTCGAATATCACCACTTTAATTTCCAGATATGTCCTTCCTCCGTCACCATTAGATCCTTGAACCAAGTTGCCCGGAGATACTCTATGGATATTTTACGAGCTATAGAGTAAAATGTCAACGATGTACCATTCTTTTTCGTTTTAGGTTTCTCCAACCTGTCCATTATCATCATCTAGGTCGGGTGTTACACACGGCAACGGACCATTCATTGGCTTGCTGCTGTGATGCTGCAATTACGATCATCTACCTTCATCTCGTTCTTGTCCGACTCATCGAATTCCCCGCAACTTCTCGTTTCACCAGTCCATCGAACATTAGTTGTGTCACCCTCCCCAATATCTATCAATCTATCAATCAAACAATCTTCAACGGCCGACTAATCCCCTTTTGTAACCTTCCATTACACACGGCGCCACGCTGAAAATTGTTTCCAGAAACAACATGTCGTACGAAGACACCTCTAGCACTGTTGTCTAACCGACTTGCATGATCTCAACGATTTGACACCTGGCTCTAGACTCTAGATCTCTTTCTGATCCTTAGATACAAACGTGGGGGCTCAAGCTACTTGAAATTGAGCCTCGTTCATCATCTATCTACTTTGTACTTAGCCACAAGTCACTAAAAATCTTGACAGTTTTATCCTGGAATGGTCATCTAATTAGCTAATTTTTGTTAAAATCTATCAACTGTGCTAACTGCCGACAGATTCATCTAAAAATTCAATGCATGAAATGCACCCATTGACCAATAGGTTAAAGACGTCGAAAAGCACATCAAGGACGCCACCAACGGATGCCATGCAATACATCTGTACAATACAAATCAAATGGCGAGAAAATCAGACGTCCCGTCCCGAGATCTTGGTTTTCGGCACATCTCTATATCCATCAAGAATATCTTACTTAATATATATGTCCCTCTATCAAAAAATGGAGAGAATATTCCGAAATGGTATCTGACGGCATCTAGAATATTGTAGAGAGGATTCAGCCAACAACACACGAGATTCTAAATTGGAGGACTAATACATTTTATATAATTTCCTCTTGCCAATGGCGCTTAGAAGAAAAAGCAAAGTATCAAAAAAGAAACCATCTACATAATTTGATTAGATCTTAATACGAGAAAATACCTCGGCATGTATTTTTGCTGCAAATAAATATATTTCACAATGTCACATACCTCATCCCTTCATCCGTCGAATAACCGATCTACCCTTTAAAATACAAAATACCATACCCGGTCGGCATCTCTTGATTATAGCACCCGTCCCATCCATCCCCCGTCCATCCCCATCCAACGGCCGAACCAAAAAGTATATCTCAACGGCACGCATGCGTCATGTATTGTAAGTATTGTATGCAGTCAAAGAGTAGGTAGTATTGGCAAGCAAGCAGTCAGCATGAAACACACCAAAGCAACCATCGCAACACCAAACAAAAACCCGAAAAGTCCGCGATCCCGATTCGACATGAGAATCACGGAAGGATAATCATGCCATGTCTAGAGTAAATCAGTTAGTCAGTCAGTCGGGCTTTTTGTAACCATAGTCCATTCCCGTCGTCAATTTAACTTTTTTACCTTTTTGACTTTTGACTTTCCCCCTCCCGTTCGTTCGCGTGGCATGCTGGATACTTACTAAGTAACTTGCTGACTTATCACGCCACTCTGACTCTGACGCGCCGGGTTCCAGAGCTCTTTCTTTTCCTCCGCGATCTGAGGGTAATGTTGTAATGTAGTTATTTATACCCCGTCGCTATTCCCCATGCAGAACATTCCGCAACCCAATGCATGACACCTTGGTCGATAATGAAGCGACTATACTTTTCATATAGAGATCTAGAACCAAAAATTGTAAAGCGATCGTCTTGTCGTCCTACTAACACCAATACCAACACCAACTTCATGACTAATTAACCTAACTCATCCGCTTGATATTCACCCGTCTAGATCTCTTGATCTACTCTACTCTATGATTTCCGTGTATGATATGAGTATATTGCACCTCCAACACATAAAAACATATAAAACACATAAAACGAAACCAAAAAACAAAAACAGCCGACCAAATCACCCAATATGGAAATCCCACATCTTCTCTTCCCCTTCCCTCCTCTTCCGTGACTTGACTTGCGGAGTATAACTGCTCAGCCTGGTGGCCCAGCAATAACGGAAAAAAAGTAACGAACGACATGATATCTACTGCGTTAGTTACTGCGTACGTGGACATGATTGATATTCACAAGTATCTAAGCCACGGGATCTACGGTTTTCCATCTATCTCTCTCCCTAAACATCCACCTACATACCTATTAACTGCCCATCCCCAATCCCCAATCTCCAATCCCCAATCTAGAATCTAGAATCCCAACATACATCCACTCCAAACCAAAATGTAACCCCATGAAACTCAATACTAACTCCCAAGTAAGTACGACTGTTTGTTGATCATATCATATTATATCATATCATATCATGTAAAATCATTCCTCTTGAGTCCATCCATAACCGTGACTGTAATCTAATCAATATCCATCTATCTGCTCTGTAATCTTAATTCTACAACCGGTGAACCACAACCAACAAGCACAAGCACAAGCACTCACTCCGATCTTCATTTCAAATCCATCACAGCTCCCTCTCTACCCTACCTAACCTATATATCCCATCTAAACATCTAAAATCTCAAAATCTACTGCATAAAAAGTACACCCCTGAGTATAACACCACAATGCCACATAGTAAAATACCACACAATAACACAATACCCCAACCCCATCCTTAGATACCCTAAACACCACACCGCAATGCCACAAAAAAACCATCATACTCTATATATATTAAAAAGACCCTACTTAAACTACACACAAATGACCTGTATAAATGACTCATCACATTACATCACCGCTCCGCAGCCTCCGCTATGCTTCTAAGCATGCATTGGAGGTGACACCGACGCCGTCATGTCACGTCAGTTCGTGCCGTCACGTATGGATGGATGGATGGATGGATAGATGCGAAATTGGTCGATCTATCATCTAATTCTATGTACTCGCTGTTTACCACTGTCTATTGAACATTCATTACACACGTTGTAATACTGATACTGCGCTGCTCCAAAAAAAAATACTAATGCAGGCGCCATGAATTTCCATCACTTATCTCTCATTTCATTCGCTTTCGTCTTGCATTAACCGATTAGATGGATTCATCGTGGCTTTTCTCTACAGTAGCAGTGACGTCTAGATCGTCCCCAGATTGAGTCGAGACCGGGTCGGCAATTGCTTGATTGGTCGCTGCCGCAACGTCTTCTACATCATATTTTCCTTTCCCGTTTTCATCTTCATTCCCATTTCCACTTTTACTATTCAACACCTCCGCTATCGTAGAATCTCCTTCTGCGTGTTCTACCTCTTCTTTTTTATGAAAAGTATGTGATTCTGAAAGATTGACGGCGAGGAAACTCTTGGGAAGTTTGACTCTGTTCATTCGTATCGATTAGCATTTTCCCCAATTCCAAATCCCTTCAAAATAGATGATAAGGTAAAGTGAAGTAGAATAGAACATACTGATGAAACTTCGCCCTCAACGTATCAATAACAGATTTCCAGTCCGCATGAGCGGTCAAACTTCTTCTAGGGGCACAACTAATACTATGTTTACTATCCAGCTGTACATCCAACGGATCAAACGTGTGAGCACCTGGACTAATGGTGATACGAATGCTATATGCATATTTAGCTACATCCTGAGCGTCCACGGGAGTCTTATTTTCGGATTCGTAAAGCTCGAAGCATATTTGTGAGAGATAATCCAGTTCGGGAATGGCACTTCGTTTAATCTTGGTCTCAATGCCTCCCTCAAGAATACAGTTAAGGAGAGTGTAAATGTGGGATTCTTTGGTGAAGTACACGAATGCTTTGGCATCGTCGGAGGCTTGCATTTCTTCGAGATCTTGGACAATTTCCTGTTTCGTGTGAGATGAATAACCTTTGAAGATTTATTATACTCTTACCTTTAACAATGGAAGTGATGTCAAAAGACCAATCTCAAGTTTCTCGGAATCCGCGATACCATATTCTTGTGGACAGATGAAATCGAACAAGACTTTGGACAATTTGTATAATTCTCGCAATTTCTCCAAGCGAGCGTCAGTTTTGGCTTTCGTCTGGCTACTACCAGTAAAAAGTCGGAAATACTAGAGTCGTCAGCTGAGTTTAACTTTCTTTCCACACAACCACTTACCGATTCTTCCTCACTGTGCTTTCCATTCAATACGGACTTTCTCCTGAACATGCGTCGATGGAGTGTCCTATTAGCTTCAACCCTCTCCGGTGGTATGGTCTCATCTTTGGTGCTTTCTGAGTTTTTGGATCGGTCTTTCTCCCAAGCGAGCTCGACTTCTTCCTCCTCAAGAATGCTTTTGCTTGGAGTGAAAACCCACTCAAGAAATTGACGATTGTGAAGGGCGTCAAACTTCATAGTATCGTACAACTCGGATATTTTGCTTGGATCGACCTTTTCAGGGTCGGAAAATTCATTAAAAAGCTTCTCCCAGCGCTCCCTAAAGAGCTCAGCATCTTCGCCACAGCACCAACGAGCCTGAATGCTGCTCGTAGCGTTTGCTTGTGACATTGCCGGTCCCACAGCCGAGCCTGCTCCTTTACTTTCCTTATCGCCTGGGTTTACAATTGCATTGAGTGACGTAGTGGCGCTACCATAAAGTTTACTAAAATTATTACGCATGACTCTTCTGTGAAATTTCATCAAATGAACCACGTATTTCTGCACGATTGATGGTTCTGGCATCTCGGCTGGCCAAGCAAATTCGGGAGGCGCCTCATTTCCTTGCCTCAAGAGCGTCTTGAGCTTCTTCTTGACTTTATCCATCTCATCTTTAGCTGCATTGGAATCATCAAGCAAATCTTTGCGAATGGTAATGAAGTCAGATGCCAAATCCTTTTGGTCTGTGAAAGCGGATGCCCAAATTTGAGCGCTGGTTGTGACACGTCTCTCGGAGCTGCTGAATACATGAACTTCATCAAGGATGTCCTTGTTCATCAACTGAAGGTCATTTCGCATGCTTTCACCCAATTCTTGTGCTTGATATCTAGCTGAGTGAGTAGGCTCGCCACCCCATTTGACAATGAGCTGTAGCTTGTCTAGTACAAGACTCTCCTCTGCTGCAGTTATACGGGATAAAGTAACACCCGATAAAGAATCGTGACGAGTGGGCGACCGTCTGCCAAGGTCTGTAATACTCTTTGGCTTCTCTGATGATTTTGTCGATCCCGAGTTTTCAAGATTTTCCGTAGCAGGAGGTGGTATCCCAGAATTTAAGGATTCTTCTGGCTTTCTTTTTCGAAACATGGGCTTGATTTGTACCTTCGTGCCTGCCCATCCCCCTTTCTTCACTAGGACGTTTCTTAGTGATTTGAGCTTTTCTGTATCTTCAATACCCTCATGCGCTGCGGCATCAACAGCAAGCATAACGCTGTCCAATGCAGCTTCGCCTATCAAGAGCACTTCTTCTTGATGACCTTTCAGGAGATCGATAAAAGGTTTGGTGTGGAATGTATATTTGTATTTCTGCTTAGGTGTGCGATCAGCGTGTCGAATCACAGATACCATACCTTTTAACTTCCACGTATGTTTTGGTGCTGGTGGGGGTAACGTTTCTTGATCTTGCGCAGGAGTAGGCGTTGGTGTAGGGGGGATGGTAGACGCAGCGGATGGCACTTCACTTGGAACAGACACCGCAGGTGGTGGCAACATATCTGCAGATGGTACGGCCGAGGCGTCTTGTTCTACAACTAGAGGGGGTGAAGTCTTTGGCGTTGGAACAACTGAAGTGCCAAATTGAGGAGAACCCGAGGTGGAAAGTCTATGTGATCCTTGATTAGGTAGATGTCCGTGAAGCATGTTTGACATACTTGGTGATTTGGAAAGGATGTTTTGTAAGGCTGACCGATGATTGTCCTTCAGTCCTGACTCTCTTCTAATAGTAGTAGGGCTCATGGCGCCGTCAACTGGGGAAGTTACACCACTAACGGGCAGTGACTGCCCGGTCTTTTTCTGCTTTTCGCCGACAAACATATCTTTCAATATACGAGCACATTGCTCATAATATTCTTCATTGTCTTTTACAAAACTCCACCCATTGACATCAATAACGTAGCTCTTTCCTTGAGCACGTAAAAGATCGAAACCACATACTCGCTGGCCAAAGCTATTCGCAATTCGAGTTGCCATAGCAGATTCTTCTTTTGTGAGAGCTGTGACGTAACGTATTTCCTTGCCATGAGTATTGCGTCTAACCAGACCATCAACGACGGGAGATTTGCGAGTTTCGGCATGGCAAAAGGTCGGTCCAACGGTATATGCTTTCACATCCTCGGCATTGTCGACGCGCATGAACTTCTCATATAGATAGCTGCTCCCTGGTTCAGAAATGGCTCGAGGAATCGTGAGATCCTCCACATGTTCGGAACTCTTGTTGCCAATCTTCCGGAAAAGCTTACGACCTCCTCCGCCTTGACTTTGTGGATAATATATGCAGACATTGTGATCTTCACCACTGACTGGCTTTTCCACAAACGGCTTAGCTAATAGAACACCATCGACACTCAAAGTGTCCCCGTTGTCGATAAGCTCAACTTTCTTAGGAGCCACCATTTGGCCACCCGTTCCATCCTCGGGTCCTTCTAAGACAAGACCTGTAGTGTTCTTCAAATGTTTTGCCAGCTCCGGCGTGAAGACGGCTGGACCTCCGTCCCGATTTACTTCTACACGCCTCGGCGTTGGTACATTTATTTTGTCGAGAATTCGTAAACAGATCCTGCGATCCCACAGAATCTTCTGCATAGGAACATCATTGACACAGAATGGCTTTCTTGCCTGTACGTATGCAATGGCCTTGTCGAGCGGAAAACCGTCTGAGTAGAAAGATATCAAGAAATCACAGATCGGCCAATTCTCTACCTCCTCGTCCAATATGACTTTATCCCCAAAGACGATAACTTCAAATTCGCCTTTCGAGATCAAGCGATTTAGAATATTTCGACTCGGCTTGCTTCGTGCTTTGATATCCAAAGCACATACTCCTATCACGCCCCACGGTGCTGGTTTATTCTCATCCTCTTTTTTCAAATGTAGGCCTCTCTCACTACTAGGACTATGGCTACTGGCGCCGGTGCTACCACTGAAGCGCCTCTTTGCTCGACTCCTTGATCTTTGTGGAGGTTGAGGTCGTGGTTGAGCCTCGCCTCTGGCAACCGAATTTCGTTTTACTAGCTCTGCGGCTTGAGCTGGTGATTCCCTCGCTGTGAGTTGATGTCCATTTGGTGCACTTGGTCCACCTGAAGATGTTGTAACAGAGACATTTGACGTTTCTGCTTGAGATATACCTTGCCCCTTAATCGATGAGACTGAGGCTGTAGTCGCTCGTGTGCTTCCTCCATTATCAGAGCCTGTCGCAGATGCTGCAGAGCTTATTACCCCGCCTGCCCTTGCCGATGTCAAAGAGTACATTGACGAGACTGACATTCGCTTCCCATCCACCTCCGTAACAGATGCTTGAGGTCGAAGAGCAGGGTCGGGAAGTGGCACGGGTGTATTTTTATCATCATCTGCCATTGTTGAATTCGTTTTGTGAGGCTCAGACTCCTCAACAGCAAAATCTTGATGACTTGTCCCTGCTCCTACTAAATTTGTGGCTTCTTTTAAAACTTCCAATGCGGCTAGCGGTCGTTGGCTATATGTCGACGACGTTCTAGATTTGGACAAAGGTTTTGTGGTAGGTGGTGGCATAGAAATACTTGCTCGTTCGGAATTGAGCTCTGTGTGTATCAATGGTTCTGCATGCCTTCCTTTCCTGCCCAATGACGCAAGAATGCCGTTGCCGATGGCAGAAGATAGACTGTACGAGTTTGTTCTTGCTTTAACTCTCGGGCTCGAGTCCTTTGTTGATTGTTCTTCCTGGCTTGGAGAATTGGGTTTTTTGAATGGAGAAAAGCCCACCGCCTGTTTATCGGTACTGGGATCATTAGTTTCCATGACGGCATTCTCACCTGCTTGTGCCATAGCTCATGGCGGAAACTTTGTTATCGATATCTAAGATATGCAGGTAGGTTTGGAGAATGCTACCAATTCGAGTCTTACAAGGTCAAATGAAATATCAAATTTGGCAAGAGGAATTTAGTACAAGGAAACCAATCGCCTACGGCTACAGTAGATGAAAAGTATATGATCGCTCGCAATTTAAGTGAAAGGGTAGTTGGCAAGAGAAGAAGGACATTGTCTTTTTTTATTTTCCAAGGTTACACAGCCATATCGTGGCAGATGACGATTTAACGCGGCAAAGAAAGCATTAAAAGAGGGACGACGAATAAGATGATGTAGCATTATCAAAAACATTCGAGATGGAAAGGAAGATAGATACCTACCTACTAAAAGCGGAGGGTAGCATTTGTCCATAGTTTGGAAAACTAGGAGAGATGTATGGTATGTATGTCAATGGAGAGAGAGGTTGAGGCTGAGGCTGCCAGGCTGCGGACAGGGGAAGAAGGGAGACAAGTTGTAGTGTAGTTGCAGTGTAGCTGTAGCGTAGTTGTAGTGTTTGTACACCGCAACTGCACCGGCACCATTGGCACCACTGGCACTGTGTGATGTTAAATAGTCACTAACAACCTTGGAACGCTACGGTAATAATCGCCGGCTCACCATGACAGGGCCTGGTGGGCTGTTTTTTCAGTGATAGGCCGGGGGTCGGCACTTCCCCACGCATTTTCACTTATTGTCGCTAGACCACCCACCAGTACCTACAGGGATTAATTGATTGACCTAGGCAAAAGGAAAAAAAGTTCCTCATAGGAATATTATTGTAATTTTTGAACATTTTTAATCCTGTCAACAACGGCGCGCAAAACCAAGCGCGTTTGATCTATAGAAGTGTACTTAAGAAATTAAGATGCCCTCATCTATTACTGCCAGTCTCCAGGATGGTCCAATTGTAAAAAGGCAGAAATTGAATGTTGTTGATGCGCCTAAGAAAACTTTGAGAGAATCAAGAATCTTTACTCCATTTCGGGTTTGTCCCCCAAATTCTCTCTATCGAAAATTATCTTACTGACCTCTATAAGACAATTGGTTTAGTATCTTCGACTCCCGTTCCCTTCACCTCGATACCACTCGGTAAAACCACATTCCAAATCACAACCTCCGTAGGGAGATGTTTACAAACGTACGACCTTAAAAGAGGACTCAACCTTGTCTTCCTCACTAGACCACAGACACCAGCAGACATCACGGCTACGATAGCATGGAAAGACAAAGTCTTCGCAGCATGGGGAGGTCAGGAAAATGATGGCCACCAGGGTCTTTGTGTATTCAAGAGAGGAAAGAGGATTGAGGAGATCCCACTCCCAGCAGACCTTACGGAACCCATAAAACAAATTTTGGTCTTTGGCACTTGGATAGTGGGATGCTGTTCAACCAGGATAGAAGTATGGAAAACCTCGACATATGAGCATTACACGACCTTGTATACTACAGCAGCACGGAAGGGCGGAAACGAACTTACGGGCGGAATATGCAACATGCCAACATATTTAAACAAGATATTTGCGGGAAGGAAAGATGGTGGAGTCGAAATATGGAATGTCAGCTCTGGGAAACTGATCTACACCCTCTTACCACCGGGTCCAAATTGTGGAGCTGTAACCGCGCTACAACCCACACCAGCATTATCTCTCCTGGCTATCGCGTACTCTGAAGGTCCTCTGATAATCCATAATGTGCGAACGGATAAGACCATCATTCATCTCAATGGCGGCGCATCTGAGTCTACCATCACATCCATTTCTTTTCGTACAGATGATCTTGGAGCTGGAGAGGATGGCAAAAAGCCCGGAGTTATGGCAACGGCAGGTCCAGACAATGGCGATGTGACATTCTGGGATCTCAATGGTGGTGGTAGAGTCATGGGAGTTCTTCGAGGTGCCCACAATCCGCCTTCCGACTCCGGCGCGACGGTAGGCGGAGGACTGAGCAAGGTTGAGTTTCTGTCTGGGCAACCTGTCATAGTAACAAGTGGATTGGATAACTCTTTGAAATCCTGGATTTTTGATGAAGCGCCTTACTCTCCGATACCACGAATCTTGCATTCGCGTAGTGGGCACGCTGCGCCTGTCACACATCTACAATTTTTACCTACAGATGCAGATGGAGCAGATGCTGGTGGAAAATGGCTGTTAAGTGCTGGTAAGGATCGCAGTTTATGGGGATGGAGTCTTCGAAAAGACGGACAAAGCACAGAATTGAGTCAGGGAAACATACGAAAGAAAGCGAAGAAAATGGGTATTCTAGCTCAATCCACATTAGCAAATGAGCCTAGCACGACTCTTGAGGATTTAAAGGCCCCAGAGATCGTGTGTCTAGCATCTTCACTGAATCGCGACGGTGGAATGGGTGCACATCCCGGAACTGGAGCAATTTGGCAGAAGGGTAATATGCAAAAGAAGGGTGTGGACGCGACAGCGAGTGGTGTTACAGGCTGGGAGAGCGTTGTTACTGGCCATAAAGATGACAGGTTTGCACGAACGTGGTTTTGGGGAAGGAAGAAAGCTGGAAGATGGGCATTTGAAACTGGTGATGGAGGAAATGTCACAAGCGTTACAATCAGCCCTTGTGGCACCTTCGCGGTCGTTGGGTCGGAAACTGGGGGACTCGATATGTTTAACCTTCAGTCTGGACTTCACCGACAACGATATCCTTCCAAACTTACGCCAGCACAGGCGAGAAAGTTTAAGATACAGCAATTACAGGCAGCCGAAAGTGGGAAGGAAGTATCTTCTGAAAAGCAAAAGAGCTTCCAACCTGGACTTGGTAAACACAGAAAGGCTGTAACGGGAGTGGTAGTAGATTCTTTGAACCGCAATATCATTAGTTGCTCCCTCGATGGCAAGATAAAATTCTGGGAATTTGGAACTGGTAACCTAGTCGGTGAGATTGACTGGTTTCCGATGGCATCTATTACAGGGATGAGATATCATGCACCGAATGATCTTATTGCGGTTTCGTGCGATGATTTGTCTATTCGAGTTGTTGATATTGAGACTAAAAAGACCATCAGAGAGTTATGGGGATGCCAGGGAGGAATTAATGATATGTGTTTTTCTAATGATGGGCGATGGATCATTTCCGCCTCGACAGACTGTGTGGTTCGAGTATGGGATCTTCCAACTGGTCATCTCATTGATGCAATGCGAATGGAAACTCAATGCACTGCACTTGCCTTTTCTGGAACAGGCGAGTTTCTAGCCACAACATGTGCAGGTCAGGTTGGGGTCAATATATGGAATAACAAAACTCTTTTCACTCACGTCCCTACTCGACATATTTCCGAAAAGGAAATCGCTTCAATCACAGCACCCACTGTATCTGGAGAAGGTGGTCATAACGTCATTGATGGCGCATTCCAGGATGAGGACGAAAATACCGAGGATGCTGCTCCTGCTCTGTCACTTGATCAGCTAAGCAAAGATTTGATGACCCTAAGTGTGGTACCAAAGAGTAGATGGCAAACTCTTATTCACCTAGATCTTATAAAAGCCCGTAATAAGCCTACAGAAGCACCAAAATTGCCAGAAAAGGCCCCTTTCTTCCTTCCATCCATCGATTCCGCCGCAGGCCCATCAACACAAGAAGAAAAGTCAACAGACAGCGCCGCAGAAAGATCAAGAATTATGAAACTCGACCGTATTGCGTCTGAACGTCCCTTTACAGTGACTCTTCGATCTGGCGGTGAATCAGGTGATTGTAAGTGCCAAAACCCCTTTTCCACTTTCGTTTAATTGTCAATTTACTAACACACTACAGACATACCGTTTATAGATCATCTCAAGACGCTGTCTCCTTCTGCCGCAGACCTTGAAATTCGCTCTCTCTCACCTACCTCTAACGAATTAATTCATTTTATCCACGCACTTACATCACGTCTTTCAGAAAAGAGAGATTACGAATTAGTACAAGCATGGATGGCTGTATTCTTAAAATTACATAATGAAGAAGTGGCCAATAGCAAAGAATTGAGAAATGCAGTCATGGAATGGAGAGCACAACAAGAAAAGGAAGGCGCCAGATTGGGAGAATTGGTGGGTTGGTGTGGAGGTGTAGTAGGGTTTTTGAGAAGTCCTAGAACTTGAGAAATTATGCTTGATAGTCTGATGGTTTGTGTGAGAATTTTGTTAGTCACGGAGAGTTTGAGATGCTACTAGGTATATAGCTAATGTCATTGAAATGTCGTACGCATATGTCTGTTTTCAGGCATCCTTAACATAGAAGTTATTCTCATAGCCTGCAATCGTGCACCAATGCATTCTTTTGAACAAATGGACATGCAGCGAAATCAATTTCTCCTAAATCGTTAGACCAAATTCCAACCACAGTCTTCAGATCGATGTTGGATAAATATGCCATGAGTAATTACTTCAGTAATGACTTTGCACGAGTCACGCAATGCTTTGCTAGTAAGATTTCTTACAGCCATCCCCACAAAAGAGAAAATGCTAACTTATAAGTAGCAACCAACCAAGCCTCAGATTCAGCTACCTAGGCCAACCAATAGATCACCTGCAGAAGAACGGAACTGCCATAAAAGGCAGGACCCAAGCTCTTAACTCTTGAACTACTATTTAAGTTACCCCACGCCAATCTCCACACCGAAAACATTTCCATAAGGTTATCCATCCTTACCTCCAGACTAACATCGCCCCTCAAAACTTATTCCCCAACTTCTCTACATCTCCACATTCATTCTTCCTCCAGCTTCTGATAGCGTTCTACATACCCCTTGTGTCCCATGCGTTGTACCCAGTCGATCTGTTCTCCATCTGTCATTCTCGGAAATTGAAGCTTCTTTTGTCTTGTACCCCGGTGTGCCGATGCTACGCTCTGGAAATGCGGGGTGCGAGGTTTTATAAGAAGGACCGAATGTTGAATCTTTGCGGGGTGGCTGGCTTGCTCTCGTCATGTGTACTTTGTTTTTTTTTCATGTTAGTATACTTTGGTTTTTGGGCTGCAGGTTCTGAAGGACTGATTAGTTCCTGTATTTATGTTGGTAGTATAGGTAAGGTACAGGTGTTGAAGTTTTAGGAACAGACTATATGTATGGGTAAGCTGGTTGGGCTGTTGATGGATTGTTGAGGGCTGTTTCTTCCGTCTTGGCGGTTGAGGCGATTATCGTTCTGGAATGGGCCATAGAAGTTGGATGAGGAGGGAAGAGCAGTTGCTCTTCCTGAGATTTTTGATGTGGTGCTGTGTTTGGTATCGACAGCTACCTTTGTCTCTATTTCGATCATTGGCACTGTTTTAAGTAGCAATGAATGAGATTCAATATTCTTCTACTTCGAAAGAATTCAAATTCGGAGTATCTATACGTAAGTACATTTTGGGCTACTTACAAATGTTTTGTTGTTCAATCATGGTTTCCACAAACTGCAGATATTACCGGCTTGGCGTAATTTAGATCTCTTTATTTTCTTCATCTATCCAGGCTCCGAGTTTGGGTGTACTTACTGCATAGGTAATCGCCGAGGATGCATATGTCCGTTGTCTATACCTATCAGTTGCCTTCACTAAGTCTGCATTCAAGCTGAGAGCTATAAAGAGCCACAAGTACTCGGACTTTTAAATAAACCACTTCTTCACCCGTCTCAACTGGACTGTACAAAGAAGTCATCGAAGGAAATACAATATTACGATGTTCAAGTCTGTTAGCATTCTACTTGCGCTAGCCGCCAATCTACTGCCCGTTGTAGATTGCCATGGCTACATGGTCATCCCTTCCAGTAGGACCAGTCTTGGTCATTTAGTAAGTTTCATTATTCCATCTACATTAACACACTAACGATTACAGGCTGGCATCGACACATGTCCTGAATGCACAATTCTTGAACCCGTCAGTTCCTGGCCCGATCTCGATTCCGCTCCCGTAGGACGCAGCGGTCCTTGTGGCTACAATGCCCGCGTAAGCGTTGACTACAACTTCCCAGCCACAAACTGGGGCAATTCTCCTGTTGTGACTTATACCCCTGGTCAAGTCGTCGACGTACAATGGTGCGTCGATCATAATGGAGATCATGGTGGCATGTTTAGCTGGCGCATTTGCGAAGATCAATCTATCATCGACAAACTCATCACACCTGGATATACCCCTACAAATGCCGAGAAGCAAGCCGCAGAAGATTGCTTTGAGGCCGGTCTACTTCCCTGCACAGATGTCACCGGTGCTACTTGCGCGTACAATGGTGATTGCTCGCCCGGGCAACCATGTTACCGAAATGACTGGTTCACCTGCAACGAATTCAACAGCGGGACTAAATGTCAAGGTGTTGATAATTCCGCTTTAGGTTCTTGCTATACATCTATCGCGGGCGGATATACAGTGACCAAGAAAGTCAAGATCCCAAACTTTACTTCCAATCATACACTCATATCTTTGAAATGGAATTCCTACCAAACGGGACAAATCTATCTCACATGTGCTGATATCGCCATTACCGGTTCGGGCTCTGGTTCAGGCGGCGGTTCCTCAAGTACGACAACTAAAACATCCTCAACAACAAGCACCCTCAAAACATCCACAACCACCGCCATCACCTCAAGCTGCACCGCAAACCCAACCCTCATCCCCGTAACCTTCAACGAACTCGCCACCACCACCTATGGTCAAACCATCAAAATCGCCGGCTCGGTTGCCGCACTAGGTAACTGGGATGTTTCCTCCGCACCAGCATTATCAGCTTCGGCTTACACAAGTACAAATCCATTGTGGTCGGTAACGGTCATGTTGGCGCCGGGACAGGTAGTACAGTATAAGTTTGTGAATGTGGCGAGTGGTGGGACGCCGACTTGGGAAAGTGATCCGAATCGTGTTTATACGGTGCCGGCGGGTTGTGCGACGACTGCGACGGTAGGGAGTAGTTGGAAGAAATAGACGGAAAATTTGGGGGCGGGTGGATAGGTGGCTAGGGTAGGATTGGGAGGGATTGGAATGGGCTAGGATCGGTTTGCGGAAGTGAGAATATTGTATCGCTTGCTAGGTAGTGATATCGATATGTGTGATGCTATCACGGGAGGCGAATATCCGTATGTTTAATTGTACTAGTTCTATAATTCGGACTGCTATAGATAGGGAATTAGATGGTTACAGTTTTCACATTTGATGAATTACTATATAGCCCTCATCACCACGTATCTAAAAAAGCAAGAGCAAAGATCCGCACAATCTATCACTTGTCAAAATATCCTCAATAAATAACTTAATCCTGTATCATTACACTAGGAATCCACTAATAGATAGCATCAGCTTTGAGGAAAACATCTTTTATTAATCTCTCGATCTTTAAATGAAATAAATATTGGATATTGGATACAAAATATTAAACTCTCAGTATATAAATTAACATCGAGTATAGAATCTCAATATCTTAAATAAATTTATACTAAATAATTATATACAATAATATTCATATTTAACTTGATATAAATTTCATCTCTTTGATTTATAAATCATTAATTAATAAAAAAAGATAATTATAAAATTATAATTTCAAATTAAGATAGTTATTTATATATATTAATGAATATTATTATAAATATTTTGTAAATTTATACTTTTATTTTATTTTATTTTATTTTATTTTATTTTATTTTATTTTATTTTATTTTATTTTATTTTATTTTATTTTATTTTATTTTATTTTATTTTATTTTATTTTATTTTATTTTAAATTTGTTTTAAATTTGTTTATCTTCCCGCAAGCACTGTCCGAATACTCTTCATCAGTTTCACCTCCCCTTTAAGTGTTTATAACTAATCCAGCTTTACTTTATAACATAATACTCATTTTCAATCTCTATCCCTCCTTTAGCCACGAATGTTGCTGTACTAATAGAAAATATAAATTTAATAATGAAAGTTGATAACAAAGATCCTAGAAAACCGAGATCATTCTCCTATTCGAGTTATTTTCCCCCCGCCAGAGAAATCCCCAAGGTTTGTTTTCAATTAAAACAGCGCATGTCATGAGATCTTCACATATATATGTGTAACAGTAACTCATCTAAAATCCATATACATGACGCACTTGAGCTCCGACATCCAATCTTTCTCTCTACTCGGCGGTGTCGCGCTTCCCCGCAAGTATTCACCTCAAACTTGGGATATCTTATTCATCCACGAGCGGAAGTTGTGCCAGATACAGAATTTTTGTAGGAGTCACGTATTTACATGTACTTGTGAGCTTCTGATTAGGAAGAATGAGGGACAGCGTAAAGAATTTTATGATTATGGAAGAAGTTCTAAGGTAGCAGGGAAGAGTATTGAGGCATTGATCATGAAAGATTATATTATTAAATATCTAGAACGATAATTTGAAATATTATAGATAGTTTGGAGTATAAGAAGTAATGATTTGAACAGCCCGCGGGAGCACATAACCATACACGTAAAAGAAAGATAAGATTTAGAACATTCAAACTTCTATTTTAATTTCATCGTATCATTTTTACCTCACAGGAACTTGTATAAATACCGGTGCGACATTTCTATGGCTTAATTATATTACCCCTTGATAACTCGGTTAATTTTAAAATTATAAGCTTAAGGTTACACCAGATACGCTAGATTCTTTTCTATATATATATATAATGTCCCTCTTTCTGCTTTCTTCTTTTACATTTTAATCCCCTTATATATAATACTTCTAATCCTTTCAGCCCAGAAACCTCATCATCCTCATCCTCACAAGCAGCCATTTTCCTTCCCTCCCTACTCACTACCCTTACAGCCGCCCTCCCCACAACGCCCCCTTCGAAACATAATTCTCACCTCACGGCCCCTCAAACAATACACCAACTCTCACCAATTCTCTCCCCATATACGCATGATATCGATTAGCCAGACTAAATATCCCATACTATACCTCTACTGCTCCAAATAATAACTCCAAATCTTACATCTATATAGTAACTGTGATACACATATTATCTATTCATACAATTCTCAATAAAACAACAAGGAATCTATTACCATTTTTAAACATTAAAGACGAAATTATGATAAAGATCTAAATCGAGATCGAGATCGAGGGCGAGAGGATGTAAATAAATGAGTATGAGACTGATAAGTCTAGAAAATTATCTTCTATGAATAATTAATTATTATTCCGTAGACTTAATCTTAACCTTATATATCCAAAGAAAAAGACCCCCGAGAAAAGAGTTTGAGAAGAAGATAAAGAGAAAGTAATCTTATCTTACTTACAATTACAAGAATTAGTTTATTCTAACATTCTGATATTCAAATATTCAATCACAAGATACTTACAAATCCATCTCCGAAATTAATCTCAAGTTTATAAATTCCTTACAAAAATAAATCTAACATCTTGTTCTATAATTAATAATATTTATAAAATCTTACAATCTTCTATTTAAATTGTTCTTTAAATACATAATAAATATATAAAAAACCACACCTATCGTCATCCCATTCATCCCATCCCGACCCAATACCCTTCATTCCATTTCACTCTCAGTCAATTAATTAACTTACAAACAATTAATATAATAAGTAATCCATCCAACTTCCATCATTCCCTACTAATGATCATATAGAAACTCTCTCTTTAATTATTCCATCCTTTATCTTCTTTTAAACTCATATCTAAACCTCAAATTCAAATACCATTTCTATTCATTATATTCATTATATTCATTACATTTCTTTCAATTTAACCTTAATTTATACTTTGAAGCTTTTAAACTTTTAAACTTATTATATATATTTATAAATTATAAATATTATAATTATATTTAAATTTAAATATATATTAAAGTGTAAATAGAAGAAGACTTACATTTTAAAAGATATTTAAATCTTTTATTAAATAATTTTATGTAATTTAAAAATTATTATTATTATTATTAATAAAAGATTTTTTAATAATAATAATTTTATAAATTAAATATATTTAAGATATTCATTAATAATAATTATTAATATTTTATTTTATATATAGATTTATAATATATATATATAACTTATAATATCCAATTTTTTTCATAATAGAATTATTATCAATTAATGTCACGGACCTCGTATAAAGGACGATCACGTGATTCCAATTGATCGACAATTCCTATCGGTGAGCTGATAGTCTGTGCACACTTTTCCAAATTTACCATTTTTAGTATGGCATTATGGTCACCTCAAGGCAGATTGCGCACAACCATGCAGCTACCGTATAGGTATTTTGTATATATATAAGGATGCTCCCTATGAGCCATAGTTCTCTCACACACACTCTCTCAACCAAAATCCAAAATCCAAATAACTACCCAATCCAACTACATACACAATCAAAGACAATCAAATATAATATTCAAGAGCTTTAACCTCTAATAATCATTTATTTATTTATTTATTTATTTAATCCCTAATGTAACGAGCTATGATGTAATCTTAGTTTTTAATCTAATCTATCTTCATAGGGATTTGGAAGAGGAATAATAGATGAGAAGAATCAACTTTTCTTATCTCCTATATATAAGATCTTATATCAGGAACCACTCACTACATACTACCCGAGAATCACATCAAAGCTACTAGATACATTCATTCATTCTTCTACTACATCCAGTACATAAATTACTAATTACAAAATCACAAAATCACAAAATCACAAAATCACAAAATCACAAAATCACAAAATCACAAAATCACAAAATCACAAAATCACAAAATCTCGTAGTAAAATAAAAATATCATAAAATAAAAAACATTGGGTATAACCTATATACTCCATCCATCCATCCCATCCATCCACATCCCAAAAATCATTGATACTCGAGTACCATATATAAACTTAATTCCATTCCCATTAAAAATATCAGCACATACAGAGTATCCCTCCACCACCCTCACAATTAAAAAGACATCCCAAAGATTCCATCAAATAACTTTGATTTGACTTACAACCCAGCTCAACAAGGATTGATCCTAAGATGTCAAAAGCTTGAAGCACTGACTACACCCATTAGTAATCCAGCTAGGCTCCATATATTAATGTCAACCATTCCAAGCGCCAATTCCCAGTCCTAAAATTGTAACAAGATGAGATGATTTGAAAGACACAATCGTCATGACAATCGTCTATTTGCGTCAAACATGTGTAAGTATACCACAAAAAATCATCATCATAACAATAAATGAAAAAGATCCCCGACTATGCGGCTTTACTCGAAAACTGATTCTAGACCTAGAGCTGGAGATCTTCTATGTTGAGGCCACGGTACTGGGGGCATAGGTGCAAATTGTACACCAGCCATATTAGTGAGTTTCTTTCGTTCCACCTCTTCCATCAAATTCCATCTCCAAATAAGTCGGGATTTTCTTTCTATGAACAATGCAATTATTCCTTCTTCTTCTCTACTATGCACCTCCTCAAGAGCCTCTAACTCTTGATTCTGCTTGAGGACTAGATTCTCAAATTCCTCTCCTTGTCGCTTGATCAAATTTTCCATTTGTTTCGCTTGCTTGTCTCGCATGACGTTGATCCTGCTTTGATGTAAACGACCCAGGTCATCCCGAATGTTATATTGCTGGCCAAGCTCTCTGAGATCTTTCTCGGTAACGATTCTTTGTATATTATCACCACCAGAACATCTACCAAGTCCATTGCAATAAGCTTCCATGTGCTTTAAACGAATTTGAACGCTTCTCTCGCTTTGTTTTAAAGTCGCTCTCAACTCCATCTCAGCAGCAACTTGCCGATCTTCTAAATGCGTTGAAGTTCTTTGATGACGTTCTTTCATTTTTGTTGAGAGCTCATTATAGCGATCCAAAATATCAATCTTGGCTCGACCGTGCCGGGTCCACATAATCCATTTCATCTCCCTTTCGAAAGCACAAAATCGGTCTCTTTCATCTGTTTGGCAAGCCCGAAGTGCACTCAATGTGTCGTTAGTTCGGGTTCGTTCTTCAGCCGCTGCATGCTCCGCCGCTTCTGCCTTTTCTGCCTCTTCCCTGGCTAATTTTGCTTTTTCCTCTTCTGCAATTCGTTGTTCTTCCTCGAGACGTCGACGTTCGAGCATCTCCTCGCCATTACAATAATTTGGACAGCCAACCGAGGGATCCCATACAGCGCCACAAATATAACAGAACTGAGCTTTACACCGGCAAGTGATATGACTGCAACCTTGAGATAATTCCACTAAAGTTCTACATTTGTAACAGCGACGCCATCCAGCACTTTTGGCCATTCTCAAAACAGCTTCTAATTCAAAATCTTCAGGACAATCTTGGCCAGTTGAGTGCGCCGCACGCTTGCAAATGGAACAAGCTTTATCCCCGCAGTTTCGACAAACTACCTCGAATGGCTGTTTGGGATCAACCTTGCCAAGTGTTGGGATAAATTCACCACAAGCAGTATTTGGACAGAAAATTCTCGAATCCCACGGCGTACTGAATTGCACAACGCTTTTCATGAATAAAATTTGCTCTTCTCTATTTAGAACCGATTTGATTATGTTTCCTGGAATAGCTTGGCTGCAACATCTAGGAGGCATCTTTGATTCTTCTGTGCAGCCTTGAATGGCTAGAACCCGAAGACAATTTTCGCAATAATTATGGGCACATGGAAGCGTACGCAGGGTGGCTGCCGTTTTGAAATCCTCCCGACAACAGATGCAAGAGCTACGAGATTAGCATGTTTTGATGTTTGAAAAGGTGTATACTCACATCACTTGATGCCCAGATGTCTTGGGCTTACGGCGTAAACGGAATTTTATTCCATTTTTTAAGCTTGCGTAGGAGCGTCTCGAGGATATCGAAAAAAGAGATGGGGCTGGCTCAGGAGAACTGACAGGTATTGGCGGAGGTAGTGGAATCGCGGTTTGAACATCGATTTGCTTCACATATTTCTCGTAATCATGAAATGATAAACTCTTCCTCGCCATATGTTGTTTCCATGGTTGTGGTATTGATGCAATGTCCAATTGCTCATTTGATGATGTCGATGTTAATCCTGTAGAATCGCTGTCTTGAGATATTGACGAGGCGGTGTTTGTATGCTGCGAATCAGTGAAAGGAGATTCGCATAGAGGACTATCGATCCTTTCGTCTGCGGAAGGACCCGTTATCGAAATCCCTAGACCTTCTGCTTCTTTGTTCAATCTTTCGTCAAGTTGTATTTCCGTCTTCTCCTGCCCCTCCAATCGTAACACCTCGCGGCAATAATCATCGTCATTGTATTCGATAGGTTGTGCAGCTTCGTTGTGTTGCACGTCAAGATGAGACCTGGCGCGCAAGGCCGGTAACATTGTTGAAAACCCTTAACTATCAACACGAATGCAACGTCTGATTCTGCGGTTGACACTCATACATATCTGAGGTTGAGTATTAGGTAGGTAGATAAATCGGGATATGGTACGAGGGATAAAAAGATCGGGTGTGTGCCAGTGGGGGGTTAGGATGAGGAACAGCAAGGGTCGATGATGGGACCAAGCAAGGCGGTAGGCGGTAGGCAGAGCTAATTGATCTAAGAAATACCGGGAGAGTTGTGTGCAAGGAATAAAGTGGTGGTAACTGGTAAGAAAGTAAGAAAGTAAGAAAGTAAGAAAGTAAGAAAGTATTAGAAACTGTGAGCGAATATAATTTGTCGTTGATGTTTGACAACAAAATCTCTTCTTCTTCCTTTCTGATGTAGCAACAACAACAAGCAAACAAACATATGAAGATTTGTCGGATCTCGTAAAGGTCAAACGATCAAGTAGGTACCTAACTCCATAGATGAAAAGGAAAACGTTGGAGAGTTTTTGTTCCAAGATTTAATCATGAAGGGGCGGATACCAACTTGTTAATCTGTCACGTCAATCAATCAGTCGCCCGAGTGCAGGAATAAATCATCATTCCAAATTGCCAATTGGTCCAAACCCATGAATCGCACGTTTTTTTATGGCAAGCGCTTCTTTCCCTTTGGAAGGAACATCTTGGGACTTGACATTTTATTTATACTGATGCACCCATCTATCTCATAACTTTTTCTATTCCTTCAAACGAAGCAAGCACAAACAGGAAAAGTTGAGTGTAAAGGAAAGCAAAAGGTTACGCATCCGATATTGAAATTCCGAGCCATACAAGTATTTGAACAAATCAGTCCAAATAATTAAGTCATCTCATCCACTCTCAATCTACCCATCTACTATCTACAACGAACTTCAAAACATGATCAAAATAGTTTCTTTCGCCTCACTAACGGCTTGCTTGTATCACCAATATTCCAAGAGATTATTTAGATCTTCACGAGAGCCTAGGGGGGGATCTACACCCTCAAATTACACCACCGCCATCAATCAATCACCTGATCCATTCACCGTAACATCACCCATCCATCCTAAACAACCCATCAATCTCGATAGCATCGCATCCCATCCAAATCCAGCTAATTCCCAAGTAATCGGAGACATAACTATCATATAAATAGATAAATAGATAAATAGATAAATAGATAAATAGATAAATAGATAAATAGATAAATAGATAAATAGATAAATAGATAAATAGATAAATAGATAAATAGATAAAGAAAGAAAGCCCCCCTTCCTCTGCTGGCACATACAATGATCAAATATTCATGCAGAGGTGCAGCAATCATGCATCTCACAATTACCTAGAAAAAGGACGATTTTGTTCAAAATAGCGGAAATGGAACACAACACAGTAGCACAGCACGGCTTGTACGCTATCGCTGTTCGCTACGCTCAGCGTTATTCATAAACGGACGATTGGGCTAATAAGTTGTTGGCACGTTCCCCGGATCTACTTGGTCTTGTTTGTACACAGGCCATATTGACATGATGAATTTACCGAGGCTCACACGGTCTGACCATCATAGTTAATTGTGTGTGCTTTTCGTCTGTGTAGTATCATATGGCTGATCTCAATAAAATTTGTGTGATATCAATTACTTATATTTCTACAAGGACGCCCTTCAAATATGAAGGAATATTCAAGTATACATGTAGATCTTCAGGCTTAAATGGGTAGAGTGTGTCATTTTGTCCTATTGGAGTATGCAAGTGGGCAGCAAACAGATCCTTTGATTGCAAGTTCGGCTGTTACCATATCCAATGTGGGTGCTTCCTGCAGCAGGGTATATCAAGCCCATGGGGTTACATCAAATGGACGTGGCCAGCATTTTCCCCTGCATCGTCAGATCGGATGCCGGACGGCATTCAGAATATGTATGAGTTTGTGGTTTTGTTTACAAACAAACCCCCTCTTCACCTCTCCCGTTTCTTCGGGGCGTTGATATGAGATGTGTGTAATGCTTCGACGGCTGGAATAATCAAACTCTCAATCTCAACCTCCGGTTCTCCATCAGGTAACTCATTTGGATCCAGAGGCTCATTACCAGGCTCCCCTCCCCTCGCTGCTGCACCTACTAGATCTTCCACCCCGCTGATTGTTCTCTTCCTCTTGCTCCTCGGCACTCTAATCCATTGATCTTCGCTGCCCGGCGCTACAAAAACCACCTCCCATTTCCTAGTAGCAAGTAGATTCCCAATGACCAAATGATGCTGGTAACGATCCAAGGAATATTTTGCCTTGTGAACCAAAATCGCGGGGTCAGTCTCAAGCTTGAAAGAAACAATCATGCCTTCAGGGGCCCAACCATCCACAAGATTCTTGAGAAATTTAGGTACGGGGTCTAAATCAACTATCAGACGTTTGCTTCGTGGTACCGCTGGAGAGGAGTCAAAGTTATCGAACGCTTCCTCGTCTTCTCCATTCTCTTGCTCTTCACTTCCCTTCGCAGGTGTATTTGTATCAGTTGCATTTGTAGATTGTATTTTGTGCTCCACCATACGTTCCGGAGGCACGAAAAAATCCGACACAGCCGCAGCCAAATATAGCAGCCCGCGAGGACCTAGCGGACGCATAAGTTGCGCAATAGCCCGAAGGACGAACAAATAATCGGTGATTGTCGTGAAAGGTAATGTCAAAAGTAGATTCTTCGATTTGGCCGCATTGTACTGTCTGAGAACCTTCAACATCTTCTCGCGATATTCATCGTTCGCAACCACACTCCCATCTGGTCCTTCGTGCAGAAAATCGAGAAAACAATCCGTAGCATGACTATAATGGCGCGAATATGGTTGAAGACTGAATTGGCGGTGGAGGAAAATAACCGCGTAGCCTGATTCCAGAAAATATTCCGCGGATGTAGCCCCACGCGTTCCTGCACTAATATTGTCTATGAATCGCACCGTCTGTCTCTCTAGTGGTACTGTCGTTCCTCCCGATGTCACTAAAACCACACGTCTGCCAGCAGCGGCGTGGCAATTGATAAATTCTCGCGCAAGAGATGTATGCTTCTCGAGTGTGGCTGGCGGAGGATTTTCCGTAAAGTAATCTCGCTCAGCCACTTCTGCCGTGTTTTCACGCGCCAGGCCTGGCATTGAACTGAAAGTCGACATGGTATCTTGGGAACTGGAGGAGAAGATTGAGGAGGTCGGTGATGAAGGTTGTGAACTTGGAAAGAGGTTGAAAGAAAGCGTAAAGGTCGAGCTCGATGGTGGGGTTGATGTTAATTTTGGGGATGTTCCTGCGGGGTGCGCAAGCTCCAGCTCGGGAGCGTATCTAGAAGTTGGTTGTTCAAGCTGCAACGACATTTTATCAGTTCTCTATTCACTACTCGTAAATCACCTAATTGCGCACCGGCGACGTACCTTTATAAGACTGACCTGCAAACTGTTTGGGACTCCGGCTTTCCTGTTGACCTCGGCCAACGGTTGTGTCGGAATTAAGTTGACAATTCGGGCTTCCGGAAGAAGGACCCATGTGCAATTGTTACCTTTTTGTTTCGTAAGAAGATAGTTCCTACATTATTAGCGATATCAATTGTAAGAGTCAACTAGCCAAATTGCCATAATCCGTCAATGATGGTAAGCTGACGAGAAGTCAGACACAGCTTTGGCGTTGGCATTTTGCGTGGATGAAGCCATGATTTCCATTGGACAATATTACACTCGGTCTGAGGTCGTGAACACAACATCTCATGTCAATGTAAGGCACTCGGCGGACTCATGATTTAACAAATCTCTTGGAGCCGCTACAGGATCTGCCTACTCAGCTCCGGCTGACAGGTGGTCCGAAATTGTAAATTTGGTTTTAAGGATGACCGGGCGCATGCTTTAGCGTATGCCAATTAGCCCACTTCACAAGGTCCCCAGCGTCCCTTTAGTCAACTACTCAGAGCATTCATTTTGCGAAAGTGATTAGAACATTGATAAAAAGTTATCACTCTGCGGAAACATTGCTAACAATAAGTTCATTTCTATTTCTCATGCTTTGCAAAGCTATTGATAGATACCATTTCTCACCGCCTCTTTCGTCCCTTTCGTCCCTTTCAATGCCAATCAAAAATACATGTCTATTATAGAGCTCTTTTATTTAGCAGCATTTCTTGCCGCTCAAGTCTTTTGTTCTTGCCAGTTAAGCGTTGCCTTGACCAATTCTCCAGGCTCTCAATGGTAGAGCCTGTAACTTCAGAGCTGCTGGTCTGATGTAGGCCCAAAATGTTACAGCTCCAAAAATGACACAAATAATATTCACGACATAGTATCCATCTCTTTCGATGTTACATATGCCCCCTCCAGACAAACAGCGATCTTTCTCGGCAGCCATGGCGCAGGAGAAGGACGATGTGACCAGAGGTCCTTTGAGATCAGCTGCGAGTGTGTAACCGGATCCGGGTGGAATACATGTTGCAGTAGTAAAGTAATCAACGAGCTTAAGGACGAAGAAACGAGGGAATGTACCACCCAAATTAGAAACACTATTTAATGTCAGTGGAGTGAAATTTTGAATAAGAAATAGGGGTACTCACGTAGCGAGCAGGGTCATATAAGTTCCACCAATGACAGGATCCGCAATTCTAGCATGGAAAGCTGAGATGGCCACGAACATAACAGTGTTGGTAAATGTCGAGAAAATATGTTCTGCTATAACAACAAGTAGATACCAAGTATCAACTCCATTTACAGGAAAGATAATGACCGTGATTTGAGCGATAATGGCAGCGACCAGACGGCCTACAAATCCCCAACACCAAAGACGTAAAGGTGTGTAGGATGTTGACCATTTTCCAGCATAGTAACCCAAGCCAATCTCAAAGGGGAAGTCAATAAGTACTGTCAAAGCCATATCTTCTTGACTAAATCCTTTGTCAATGAGTTTGAGATTCGTAACAGCATCATTAGCTTGGAAGCCAATCTTTGCAATCAAATGGATAATAATGATCGTTTGGATATTCTTGAGCTTGAGCACTCCCCACATAACCCTGTAGACATCCCAAATTCCATCTTCGTTCCTGGTTTTCTCTTCGCGCTTCAAAAGCGCCAGGCCAATAGTAACAATTATGTATGTCCAACCCCAAAACGTGAGGTATCCTCCCAATGTCATGACACCTTCGTCCAGGGGAGTCTTTCGGAACCATTTGTTGGCGAAGTCTGGGGCATTGAAAGCCAGGAAAACTGTGAAGGACATGAATTGTCCAGCTGTCAATCCTACAGTCTGAGCCGTCGATGCGTATGAGATATTTCCAGGTGACAACAAGGTAAGAGCCCATCCATCGACTGCAATGTCCTGTGTGGCGCACATAAATACCAAGAAGAACCACCACCCAGTGAAACTCCAAATTCCGGCTCCATCATTTGCGCCGGCTGTAATCATCATTTCCTTAATTTGGGAGCCTAGCCATATCATTCCGAATCCTGACAGCATTTGAATTGGCATGATCCAACTCTTTCTTCGTCCTACTTTTGGACTCCATATCGCATCCACTATTGGACTCCATAGCAACTTCAAAGAATATGGATATGAAGCTAAGCTGAACACGCCCAAGGCACTGTACGACATATGTGGTTTGAGTAAGAAAGGTACCGAGCCTGTCGCAAGACCCATAGGAACACCCTGCAGGAAATATAAAAGGACTAGAAGTAAGAAGTTCCTTTTGTCTTGCATGGGCAACTCGGAAAACCCATGGTTATTAAGGATAGGGGTCTTCGGTATAGGATCATCTAAGGTAAAAGACTCGCGCGCCATGAGATTTGCGGTCACCAGGGGAGAGTCGATGTTCGCATGCTTGCGCCGGTACTCGACATTGCCATTCATGGTGATCACTGGTAGATGAGAGTCTTCACCTCCTGTGGCAGAGGAAGAGCCTACTGGCTCTGAAGCTTTGCCTTTGCGAATGCGAGTCCCCATAGAATCCGTTTCAAGATCTTCTTCCTCGTCTTCGTCTGCAGAGTCTTGGTCGCCGAGTAAATGTTTTGAATCTTCTGCTTGTGTTGCGCCGTGTGAATTTGAGTGAGATTTAGATTTGGATTTGGAAGAAATATTTCTATGGCGCGAAGTAGCTGTTGACAAATCGTCTAGTTCTTGCGCGTAAGGGAATTGAGGGTCGTGATGAATAGGCAGATGAGTATGTCGAGGATTATCTGAAGTAGACAGAGGAGTTAATGAAGGAAGTGCATCACCCAAGGGAGTAGGCATCCATATGGTATTATGAAATGAGAATACTTTAGAGGTCTTGTTTGCCTCTAAAGTGTCCTCTTTGCAAAGCTTTATTTTCTTAGCGGTTCGAGATAGTGGATTGATTGATTGATGGATTCTTGATTGCTTGATTAATTTATTAATCGATTTGATTATTTTACTCAAGGTTCATCCATTCCTGCAGAGGCATCGCTATTTACAGGCTTGAAGATTTAGGGTACGGAGTACGTTAAAGCGAAATGTGGCTTCTTCGGTGATCCACGGATGTGCTCAGTCAGGTACAAAGGAGTCGAAAGTGTTTTGGAATATGTCAAAGAGCCGTAAAGGGGGGATGGAAGTTCTGGATTTAATTTTATATAATGTATTCAGATTTTTACCAAATATTCGACTCCTGTGTATGTACTCGTACATAGCCGGTGTTATGGAGGTTGTCCCTACTCCGTAGAAAGGCTCCCGTATCATACGAAGGACCTGGGTGATTATCATCAGTTATGTAATGGAAAGGATAAAAATAGATGCTTCTAGGTGCTTCGGCATTGATATTTTGGTGTTTCTTCACTATCATGGCCACTAATTACCTAGGTAGGTAATAACCGTCGCAAATCCTAAATCATCTTTTGATGTTCCCCCGCGAAAACACGTGAACTGGTGTCGAAATGACAAGCGACGCGCATCAAAACATCAACGACGATATGGTCTTTTTAAATTTAAATGAGAAAGAACCATATTCACGAGCACCGCTGCCACGTACTAGACTCGCCAATTTAAGCTATGAGAAGCTCACATTCTTCCCCACATTCTGTGGACTTTAATTCGACTTTAAATATGGATATAACAGAAGAGATCAGTCCAGAAGACGCGGCCGGTGTTGAATTGGATAATGCGATAGCTTCACTACAAGAACAAAGTGAATAATCTTACCCCTCGCTCAGTACCCTGGAAATGTTTGTAGCTAACGAATTAAAGTCGCGTCATTGAAGGATCAACGTCGTCTTCAAACTGCTACTATTCTTTCTTCTCAAACCTCAAAATCCATTTTGTCGAATTTGCGAAAGCCTTCCTCCAAAATCACATCCTCTCATTCTACTGCTCCCACAGATTCTGATCCGCTTCTCGCAAAATCCGCAGCTCAAACGACTCATAATCTCGAGAATTTATATCGCGCATGCGCATCAGTCACTTCCTTCCAAGTTCAAGATCCTGACCCCAATGCTGTGGATAACGGGCATGTATTGGGACTTCGAATTGATGTTAGTAACGCTGGTAAATTCGTTCGACCTTACTACATTATGTTGAACAAACCTTATTCGGGATCTGCGGCTTTGAGAATACATCGACACACAGTGCCTCCATGTATCCCTTTGGCTAGCCTAGCCGCGAAATATTTGCCGGCTCCCAAGACTGGCGAGGGTATCACGAAAGAGAAACGACAAGATCTGACGACATTTGCAAGGAAAGTACGACGAGAGATTACAGGTTATCATTTACGCATTGCATCTATCAAGCATTTACGGAAAGGATTCTCTTTGGATGAGAAATTAAGTAGGAAAGGAAAGGAAAGGGAGCGAGAGATAGCGGACATCAGTGCGGCTGATGCAGAAGCCAAGCAAGTAAGGATTGAGTGGGTAGATGGAAAGATCGGCAGATGCATTGTAGGAATGAATGGAGAAGTTGTAAAGTGCGTCATCATTGGAGAGGATGGCAGGGATCGCGAGACAGAAAGAAGGATTCTAGGCGGTGACAAGAGGATGGAGGGAATTGCCGACAGGTTGATGGAAGGCATTTACTGAAAAGAGAGATCCCAGCTTGAAAGGGACTTTCGAAAGCTATGGTCTTCAATACTCCCAAAAACCACTACTTCATCATTGTATCGTACTTTAATGCCCGCAGTCTAACTTATATCCTTGTGGGTATTCTCTTCTGCTTATTTCTTTCTTCTCTTCCATTCGGTATGGAGGTCTAAAACCAGGCCAGATACGAGGCTGAGTGAGGTAAGTGGATGCCGAGTCGAATCCTTCCTATGCAGCTGGTCATTGCATGTCAGACGGATACTCAATAGTTACCTCCAGAACTATACGAGCTATGGAACCTGTTTATTTAAGCCAGCCTTATTTTCCGAGACATTGAATTTCGTCCTAATAGACCTTTAAGCCATGTAAAGCTGTTGTCAAATCAACATTCCTTTTGAAGCAAAAGAATACAACAGACACTTGATGTCGTGGTTCATATCGAAGCTCAACCATGCGATCAAACAATCAACAGCGGGCAGTTACCGCAGGATCATGTCTTTACCATCACATATACTTATACCAGCCTAACAAATGTTGTTTTTTCGCGCAGCTATCCATCACATGAGCCTTGGCCAGGTACAAATCACTGCAGAAATCCATATGTTCGAAATCAATTTCTTGGCGGTGTGCCTTTGACTGGGCTATAATGGCACTGCAGTCTTCTCAAACTATCTATGCATTGGTGTTAGCAACCAGGCAATATATATATCGTTCCATGGTTTTCTTTTTATCGTTCTCCCAAACTATTCATTTCTCCCGTGAGAAGTAAGGTACAACAAGATACATTGCAACTGCAACTAGCGCATTATATTTTCTCTACTAGAATTTCACTGAGGAGACATGTCGAAGAATTAGCCGACTTGCACTGGTAACTCGGTTCCATACAGGGAACTTGATAAACCGCAAGAGCCCTCATGGGAAGTTTGGAGCGAGGGAAGCGTTCTGGTGGTTTCAATTTTCTTCTGTGGAGCTGCTGTGATTGCAGTTTCCCTGCCACAAGCAGCATTCTGGCTTGGAAGCCGTAACAACCTACAGCTCGTCATTGTTGGTCTGGCTATTAATCTTATGAATTACTGCTTTGAAATCGAGGCTCAGGCGCTTATCTTGGTTGTGGAAGCACGTTTCGGTCGATCCACCTTACAAAACTTGAATCAATACTCAACAACAGTTTTTTCATCAAACATGCTCACAAATACATGCGGCTAGTCATACTGGTCTTATCCGCATTCTCTCTGCTTTTGAATGCTGCCTACTTATCAGTCGACAACGGCGAGACATACAGGAGATTCGGGCTGGCTGCTGAATGGTCAATCCTTTTTGCGCTACAAGTACAACAATACTTACCAGCTTAGCAATCCTTTGCTCGATAATAGGATAACAGCTATCATGATCTATGCTACCGAGCCAGTCGTGACCCTGAATACCAGACATCCGCTGCAACTTGGAAGCTATGGTTTGAACATGCAAGTTCTCAATCACAATACTACAGCAATGCTAGATCCTCCAACCAGACACTACCTTCAGTCCCTGCGGAATAACATGCGTCAAGTTCAGACTGTTTACCTTCGAGCCTCAGTCAACGCCACTTTCAGCAGTGTCAACTGCACAAATGTGGACAATTCATGTAGGAGGCCTGCTGGATTCTTTGACTCCACCTCTCTATCCCATGCGGCATGGGAATCCACCGTTAACTTTGCCGGCGCCAGCAACATAAAATTCACCATGGAAGTCAATAAAGCGCAGCAAGAAGTTTTATTCATCTCTGCTTGGGACGAATCGGCTGACCCTCCGGCAAGCATAAGCTCGGAATTAATTGGGTTTAATCTGTATCGAGGTCATTGCGATGGCAGATGGAGGGTTGATGAAACTACAGTGCTATTGGAGGAAGCAAGCGGGTGTCTTCTGTCTGACTTCTCTACCCCACAACGGCTGACTGTCGAGAATAGTGACTGAGCATCATTACAGAACCTACAACAAGTACTAGCAGATGCTATGGTCACAGCTAGCAATGATCCAATACCTAAGATTCTCCCTACACGTTTTTCGGCCCAGTCGGCAATTGTCCCATCAATGGTTTGGTCTAAGTTATCATTCGATGTCATTGAGACTATGACTACTTTTTTCAGCCACTATCCTGAGCTTAATTATGTTACAGAGTCATGTCTACAAGCGAGCGTGCAAACATTAAAACAAAACACTCTGCTCTTTGTCGTTTTATGCATTCAGCCTGTTATTGTATTTATATTCATGATCATTCGATACCGTTTAAGACATACTCCGATATCAAATGAATTCGGACTGGTCTCCTTACTTGCGGGGATTCATCCGAACAGTGTCAGACTCCTCAAAGGTGCTAGCTTCAGCGGTGTCTTGAACGCTCCAGCCGGACTTACCATTAACGTCATTGAAGATGGTGAAGCAGATGGGCATCGCTCTGGGCATTTAGAGTATGTCTTGAATACTGAAATAGGTAGTAAAAGTGGCTTGCTGGTCAAAGGAGTCAGTTATTATTGAATGTGTAATTAGCAAAATATTGGTTGTTCGTTTTCATGTTTATGGCCTGCTTCATGTGGATGAAAACTCTTTTCTGTTAGGTTCCTTGGGTTTCGATTGTTCATCATTCGCGATACCACCACTTTAATAAAAGTTAACCTTCATTTTATATTACTTGGACCCTGTAATATACCGTTACTAGAGCTCCTGTCGATCTCTTTTCTGCAGTTTTTCATTGCCTTTTGTATCATCCGGACTCCGGTTGCTTTATAAGATGCAAAGACTCACTAACAATCGACTAATTTCTGTAAGCCGTCGAGGTGGCAGCTAAACACCTGTTGACTTCAACTCCTCTAGTACATCTAGAATGAATAAGATACACGAACTCGTATTTTCTTCATTGTGATATCACTGATATAAGCAAGATGTACAATAAAAACTCGATGTTCAAACCTAATATAGACATTTAGATGCTCGTAGGTAAGTTAGACCAGGAAGTTCAGTAATCACAAATCATAATGTTAATCATAATTCTACAGCATAGGTTTAATTATTCACTATTTGAATACTCTTTTAATAAGTTTATAGTTGTAATAACAAGTACTCGAGTAGTGATTCATGTGCCCTTTCATACTCATATTAGTAATGCTAGTGTGCTCATGTGCCTCGTATATGGGCAGAAATGTTTCGGAATGGAATACCTGGTAATATTTCTTTGAAGTATTTAAAATATCGAGTTGAATGGCTGTTGGAGTTGGAAAGCTTGGATTAGAAAGGAGAGTGATTACTTCGTTTGCTCGTCCATTTGGTGGTTGATGGGTATGATTGATATTGATTGTAAGACTTATGTGCATCGTGATGCTGGAATTTGAGTGGAATGGTTTTTGAAGGAATTTGGGGGTGATTTGGGGTTATGGTTGTTTGGATGGTATGTTTAAAAATAGTAGTCTGATACTTGGTCGAGTATTCTGCTGGTCGAGTATTCTGTTGGTCGAGTCTTCTGTTGGTCGAGTCTTCTGTTGGTCGAGTATTCTGCTGGTCGAGTATTCTGTGAAGATGAAAATCGAATGTTGGGATGTTGCCGGGGTTAAATTTTGTCCCTATTGCTGTTGGCGGAAGCTAATCAGTGGCTCCGGGGTAGGTCACCGTGGGCGTTCTCCACACAACACTTCGTACTCCGCTTACCATGTGAGAGTCTCTACCTACCTTCATAAATTCCAGAGACTTTCCACATCTTTTACATCTAACGGCACCTAACTAACCGCGACGATAAACATTTCCAACAGCGATAATAGTCATGATGGTAATGACTAACTATAACACGACATGGTGTACAATCACATGAGACCATCCATGCAAAGGCGGCGCGTGAGACTGATTCTGACTGGATGTCTTGAGTGTACAAACACTTTATAACATAAAATATGGTGGAGGTGATCTTCCAAAAAGCGCCAGAATACTCATAGTATCTTATCAAGCAAGATGAGTGAGTTATGTGTTTATTCTTAAACATTACATTTCTGACATTATGCATAGATAATGTTCGTCGACAAGCTCGAAATGCAAGAATTACATCCGAACGGGACCAACCACTAGACTGGAACCCTCTCCTACGATGCAGGAGATGGGCTGACGATAGGTTCAATATTTACCATGACGGACGGAGAGATGTGGAAGCCGTACGAGCGCAGAATGATGATGCACAAGCTTTGCCTTCACGCATGGAGGCCTTTTATGCGCATTCGGATCCTGAAATTGTTATGATCACATCTGCTCCGGAGTTTTTACCTCCTATACCAACCATAGAGCAGATCGCAAGGCCACAGCCGGCTGGTGATTTAAGTGCGGAGAAAACCACAAGCCCTATCGCCGTACAGAAATATCCTCGGCATCGATTTCCACAATCTGCTGCAGAGAGCAAAGCAACTTCTGAACTTGACACAGCTATCAAACACCAAAGAAGCCATAAACCATCATCTGTACATTTGGTCAAACAAATAGTAGCAATTTTCTGCTCGTCATGGCTATCAGTCCTTCTTCCATTTATTCCAGCAGGATTTGCTTCAAATTACACCAACTCACCACCAATCCTCAATTTTATATTGAACTTCTTCGCCATCTTTCCAAGTGCTTCCATTGTTGATATGGCTATGGATGAGGTGATGTTACATTTTGGAAATACTATTGGTGTGTTGATATATATGACTTTTGGGAATATCGTGCAGTTGGTTACCTCGATCCTTCTACTCAAAACTCGCCAAGTGGAAATTCTGAAAACTTCACTAGTAGGAGGTATTCTTAGTCGAGTTTTGTTAATAATGGGCGCAAGTTACTTTGCAGGTGGAATCAATCGACTAGAGCAGTCCTTTGATGTAGGCTCTGCAAGCCACGTGGCCAATTTCTTGACATTATCTGTGGCTAGCTTGATTATTCCAACAGCATCTCATGCTTTTGCCAATTCTACTACGGAGAAGATTGCCGCTCAATCACGAGGAACTTCGATTGTACTTTTGCTTGTATACGGTGTCTATCTTCTTTTCCAGCTAAGAACACATGCACATGTCTTCAATCCAGAAGTCATTATAGTAATTTCAGAGTCCTTAACATGCTTTACAAACGCTAACTTTGATTAAGGACACTAAAAATGTACCAAAACAAACCGTTAAAGGTGTCGCGAAAGACGGAGTAACTCAAAGTCAACCTTCCCCTCCACCAGTCGTATCCTCCAAAGACGAAGTTGTAGAGCCTCAACTATCTATGACAACCGGTATAATCACCCTCGTTATCGGTACAGTCGTTCTCGCGTTCAACACCACTTTTGCAGTCGATAGTATTGATGGTTTGACAGCCGATCACGCCTCACCCACTTTCGTTGGTTTGATACTCCTCCCATTCCTCGACAACGATCTTATGCCAATTAAATGTGCGCGTATGGATAAATTAGACTTGAGTATCATGGCATCAGCTGGAAAATCTCTTCAGACTTCCCTACTCATTACGCCACTCATCGTGATCATTGCTTGGATTTGGGGTATTGATGATATGGGTCTGCTGTTTGATGGGTTTCAGGTGGCGTCGCTGTTTATGGCGGTTTTAATCTTCGATTTTCTCATAGCTGCGGGAAAGAGTAATTAGTAGGTGTATCTCAATATGTGTCTAGATATGGCTGACTCGATATAGCTTGCAAGGTGTTTTACTACTTTCAATTTATGTCATGATAGCTATAGCAGCTTGGTATACTTAAATTGTGTCGGAGAGTTGATAGATGATTTCTTCATAATTCGTATTGTCGATACTTTATATCAAATATCTAGGACCAATTCCGTATTCTTGGGCCTTTTACCCGTTCATATTTCCATCACTCAGCATTGGTGACTTCAACTTGTTAGAACAGAAAACAGTGAAATCATAAGACCTCCACTGGATATTCTTCTCCATACATATATTTCAAGGCCATGCAATCTAAGAATTGAAAAGCTTGGTCTCCTGTTTATTTCACTTTCCTTACATCAATGTCGTTCGACAAAATAGCCATCGACACATAGGTAGTCTTCTGTTCATAGATGCTTCACTGCCCAATAATAACCAAAAATGTATGCAAATGATAATATCCCTAATCAATGTAAACTAGAGGATGACATGATCGGAAAGTAACTCGGCAGTTAATCACAATGTTCAAATCTTTCCTATCAAGCACTATATCCGTATGTCACCGCCTCATCCTCGTCATATAACTAGGAAACCTTACTCCCTTCTACGAACATAGAAAATGACGAGACGTCTAGGTAGCCATACTCGGGGATATTCGATGATTTTCGTACTAACTATGCAATATGCAATATGCAACCGGCTGACTTCGATGTAAGATTATCAACTACCTTGTAACCTAATACCCTTATCTCCATCAACATTTCAAATTTGTAAAAACACCAGGACAGGAAAATCCCGCATAGGAGGGAGCAGAGATATTAGCATTAAAAGCAGATGGAGATAAGCTCGAAGTTAACGGTCTTTGTGAAGCGATGCTTACATTGCATACCTACGTATATTTGTCAAGGATCACTAAAAATGTTAATCCGCTGTGTAATTGGTCAGTTTCCCTGTAATGCATCCGCATGCCGCCCGCGAAAGCGCAGATGCCGCCGTTGTCAGCGCTCGCTTTTGTCGTATTCAGGGGGGAAGATTGAATGAATGGAGTGTGGAAATTTGAGGAATTTTTATTTTTGGGGATTGATGGTCAGATTGATTATGGATGATATATGATGTATCAGAGAGAAAATATATATAAAGACGCGACTTTCTAGTGAAATGGACATTTCTTGTTCGGTAGGAATATCGAGCTTTTTCTTCTTCCTCTTGAATATATAATTTATATATATATAGATTTATATCACGGTTGAATTTTTATCCCCCTTTTTACTATTCGCATTAGACGAGAAATTTAAAGAACTAAACTACTCTTTCAAAAAAAGAATGTCTCCTAAAATTCAAATCGACCCAAACTTACCCGCTGACACAGTATGGTTTAGTAAGATAGATTCCCTCCCTCCCCCTCCATCCCATCAACACCAACTAACCCTCCCCAACCAACAGTAACCGGCTGTTCCTCCGGCATCGGCAAAGCCCTCGCACAAGAAATCTTCACCAAAACAACCCACACCCTCATCGCCACCGCGCGCAACCCCACCACCCTAACCTACCTCCCCCAATCTCCCCGTATCCTCCCCCTTCCCCTCGACGTAACATCTACCTCCTCCATCCAGGACGCCCTAACCACCAGTCTCGCAACCTTCAAACACATCGATATCCTCGTTAATAATGCAGGTTATGGCATCTTAGGCGATACGGAAAATATACCCGAGGAAAGCGCTCGCGGGGTTTTCGAGACGAATTTCTGGGGCGCGGTACATTTGTCTAGGGAGGCTGTTGGGATTTTAGGAGGTTAATGGGGAGAAGGGGGTTAATTGTGCAGGTCGGTACGGTGGGTGGGGTAGTAGCTTTTGGGGGTCAGGCGTTTTATCATGCTAGGTATTAATCTTTTGTTTATTTTTATCCTAGCTCACTCCCTCACTCCCTCGATTACTCAAAACCCCAAGCAAAGAGCACCCTAACAACCCAAACCAGTAAATTCGCCCTAGAAGGCTTCACCGAATCCCTATCCCACGAAATCCCCCCATCCTGGAACATCCGGTTCCTAATCATCCAGCCCGGCGGCGTCAAAACAAACTACGGCACCTCATCACTTGTGAAAATTCCCGCTCATCCCGCCTACAACGATCCTTCATTTGGAACGCGGAAGCTGGAGGCCTTTTTCGATAATCCTGCTTTTGGGGATTATATGGCGGATGTAGATGTAGTTGCGGGGATTATTCTCGAGGCGGTGAGGAAGGAGAGGAGGGGTGAAGTGGGATTGAGGGTTCCGGTTGGGCCGGATAGTTGGAGTTTGATTAAGGGGAAGTATGAGGGGGAGTTGGTGGGGTTGGAGAAAGTGAAGGAGTTGAGTTGGGGGACGGGGAATGAGAGGCTTTTGGAGGTTATTGGGTTTTTAGATGGGTAGAAGGGGGTGTGAATTATTGGTGTTGGTGTTGGTTTGTATTTTGGATTTGGTGCTTCTAGTTAGTAAGGTTGATAAATGAGTATGCAGAAGATATAAATTAGAGGAGTGAGTGGTCGTTTTATTTCAATGAAGCAATTTGATAAATTTGTAGAATTATGGAGAGTCTTTTTCGTCCTTGATTCCTCAAACACGAATAGATATATATCTATGTATAATAATTTGCTGTAACACAAAGTAAATCATCCATAAATTTAAATTCTTTGAATTCTTTGAATTCTGTTCTACAGTACACAAACTAATCCTATTCCCTCCCTTCTATACGTGCTGTATTCTCCTCTTGAACCCCCAGCTATTATTTCGTACCGCAATCACAATCGACGGGCTCATGATACACTCACTTCCCTAATAGACCTTTTGACCAAACTAAAGTTGTCAATGACAGTAAGTACTTCAGCACCAATGACCATAAGCCCAGGCTACCACATTCGAAACTTTCGAAAACAGAGATCCTAAAACTACATAAAGCTAGAGTCACTCGAGCCATAAAGCAATGTCATTGCGGAACAAAGTGATCTTTCAACTTGTGTTTCTTGATCCTAGATACATATATTTCTAATTCTCTTTCTTTTCAGATACACAACCTGAGACCAGAGTCTTTTGTAAGTCTTACATAGCTAACAACCTATCATGGATATAGAACTATAATGACAGCATATCATTATATTAGGCAGGAAAGTGAATGTAACTTGTTTACCTTCTTCACTCACCAAGCTCATAGTACGAATTAAAGATCGCAGTATAAAGGTCCAGAAGAATTCGACTGACCTTGTAAGTCCACCCGTGAGATGTATTTCGGGGTAAAGATGCCACGGGGATCTAGAAACTAGAAACTAGAATATAAATTTTTCTATTATCCCCGTGATCTTCATCATACTTGCTAAAAAAGATTATGGAAATGCATGGACCTTGAACATTAAGAAATCTAGGCTGAGAGGTTTCATAAATAATACTATGGAGGTATTCATAACGAATAGTAAAACCTATTCTTCAAATCAAGGATAACATTTTTTTAGATTAGACAAAGTAACTCGTAAACTCACAAATTTGTAAAGCTGTACTACAATGTACTGAATGGTTTTCTTGTTCAAAAAACTTATGAATCTAGATTCCTGACTTCGAGTTTACAAACCAAGGAACTAATGAAGAAGTTGAAAGCTTAAATACATACGTATTGAATATTAGTGGAGCGGAAAGAAATAGTCGATAATTGCATTATATGACTGATAGGAATACATTCAATACTAGCAAGACCTAAAGTTCTGATGAGGGTTGTGGATGTCGAACTATCGATACTGTAACCAGGACGAGAACTTGCTCATACCTTGGCATTTCAAAAGACTATGGCATGTATACGTAGGAAATGACATCTTAAAATGACCCTTGAGAAAGACATGGGAAACTTTCTCACCAATGTAAAATGAATATGCTCAGTCAAAGCTAGCCATATGCAGAAAATTGATATCTTTATAAAGTCTTATAAATACCATGCAGTTTTCCTCTTCCGATAATGCGGTGTAGCAGAAAAGACGATGCTCAACAACAAGAAAAACACCGCCCTCTATCCATATATATGCACCCATAAACTCCAATTCCCTTATGCCCCTTAAAACCCCAAATCCCGTCCCTCACCATCCCACTCATTCCCATCCCATCCAACCCACACACCTAAACCAACAACCCCAAAACCCCATAAAGCACCCAACTCATGGCCAAAAACAATTGATTCTCCCTCACCTCGTTCGTCAAGCCAATCGCATCATTGAAATCCCCCGTACCAGGAATTGGCATTTTAGGTTTCCCCTTCCAGAAATCCCCAACATATTTTCTCGTACCAAGCAACACTGCAAGATTAACAGTCGAGAGTGCGAAAATAGTGCTACTGGTGTAATTTAAGAGGAGGAAGGGAGTAGCGGTTGAGAGTGTGAGAATAAGCTTTTATGGAGTTAGTTTGGTAGGTTAAATCAACCGTATTGAGAATGAGGGGTAAATGTGTAAGGTTATAAAATGAACGAAAAGACTTACAGCTCCTACACTGGCAGCTTGCGTGGTTCGTGTTTTGAATAGTTGTTCCTCGGCGATGTTGGAATATTTTGCGGCTCTGATGGCTTTGTTTTCGTAGGTGAGAAGTTTGGGAATGGCGATTGAGGAGAGATAGAGATTATATCCTGTAAAGGCGATTTGACCAGTGCTTATGAGGCTTAATATTGCGGCGAAGAAGCCCATTTTTTATGGTGATGTTGGATTGATTTGTGTTGGGATTGAAGGTTGGAGTTGGGATTGAAGGTTGGAATGGGGATTTTGAGGATTCCGAGGATTTCACAATTGAATTATCTTTAGATGGATGAACGGATGTCTTGTTTGATTTGAGTTGAGATAAATCGTAGAATTAAGTTCGTGAATGTGCACATTGCCCTGCCCACTTTAAATCGCAATGATGTCATTTTTTGAGGCGGGACGAACCTTCTTGGAACTACATCCCGCCTCTCAGGGGCATTTGTAGTCCGGAATGGACATCTAATGGCTCCTTGGCTGTTCGACAACGACGAGGTTTAGTTTCGCAGAGAAATAAGCCATCTTTTGATCCATGTTACCCTTGTGTGTTATGTCGATCGATTGCTTTGTAATCTTACATGGCGTTCAAAATATTGTGCCCATCCAAACGCCTACGTTGAAGTATGACGAAATAAGTCATGTTCTACTCGGTAAAGGTATGAATAAAGGAAGAAGTAATATAAAAGCTTAGGGCAAAACCCTTCTTCGATTTGTCAAATCATTTATTCGAAGGACACGATAACCTTAGCTTTTGCAGAACTCTAAGGACCTCCAGAAAATCCCGGGTCAGAGAAGTGCCATGTCTAATGGTAGATAGGATAGACTATGTAAGACTAGCTTCTATCAATACAATCAACCATCGCAAAGTTAACGTTGTGGTTTATAGGTGTATCTGAAATGGATTGTTAAGCTAATTGATCATTGTAAGCTTACGTTTGGTTGGAATGAGTTTGCTCAATCTTTTACGTACTATACGGAATGACACGCTCCCTCGCGGTCAAACCACGAAGTAGAGGACAGAAGTCATAGCCCAAAAATCGGTGGAAAAGAATACTTTAATTTCGTCTAATCATAGGTATGTTGTTTATTCTCGCCCACATCTCATCCATAACGAATCTAGGTATCATATTTTGTACTCCCCTAACTCTCATAAATCAATTTTCTATCCCCCATCACCTTCCAAAACTCCTCCACAATCTCCTTTTGACCACTGGGTGCTCCTCTAATAGCCAAATACTTCCTCCCATCAACCTCACAATCCCATTGTCCCGGATTTCCTCCAACCATAATACCACCAGCTTCAACCAAAATACACCAACCAGCCGCAACATCCCAAGCCCAACAACCTCCCTCCCAAAAAACATCTTGTTGTCCACTAGCCACATGTACTAAATTCAAAGCTGCACTTCCCAAGCCCCTCAGCGAATGTACCATCGAACCTCCATCTTCTTTTGCTGCCGATAACTTTCTAAAAACATCACATTTGAGATCGAAATTATGTCCTGAGCGATCGGAGCCCCATTCTGCGCTCACGAGACAAGTACTTAAATCTTTTAATGGTTCTGGTTCTTTCTTAAGCGGTAAACTGAATTTTTCTCCATCCTTGCGTGTTACGAATGAGCCGTGGCCTTTGATACCACTAAAAAGGTCCCCGGTGAATGGATTATATATAACCCCCACACTAGGTATTTTCTCGATGACAAAACCAAGAGAGATACAAAAGGCGGGATAGGCATGCACGAAGTTTGTTGTCCCATCTATGGGATCGCAGATGAATGTTGGAGCGGAGGTAAGTTTGGTTTCGCCTTTGACGAAGGTTTCTTCACCAATGAAAGAGTATGTTGGGTAGGCGGAGGTGAGGTGGGTAGAGACCATTGCTTCGACTGCTTTATCGGTTTCTGTTACGAGGTCGGCGGCTAGATGAGGAGGGATGTTAGAAGATATTATGCAGGGGCAATTGATTGATCATGAAGAGTCCAAGAATGGATATTACTTACTATTCATCTTGGTTCCAGAACTCAGGTATGAAGGGGTCGCGGACATGATCATACGACCTGCTTCATGAGCAATTTCGATCAAAAGATCGTGGATTTCCTGGAGGTTGACCTCAGCCATTTTGGAGATGTGCTAAAGAACGTTGTAATGTTTAATTAGGAGGTGAGAGTGAAATAAGAATGAAAGAATGAACAAAAGAACAAAAGAACGTTCTTTATGCAATGCAAATAAACAGTTGGACAAGTGAGGTGAGCTCCAAAGTGGGGCGGGAGGGGTCATCATGAAGTTATCTTATCAGCACGTGGGGAGCACTTTGGGCAGGAACTGGTGGGATCAAGAAGGTGAATTCTAGAGTATAGTATAGAACAGTAATTGTGTCGCACTCATTAGAAGTAGAACAGAAGACAAGAGGGAGGTCGGTTTGTAACATTCTTGAGTGACGTCCGTTTGACTGTGAAAGGAAGGCAGCGTACCACCGGTCTTCTTTGCAGAAGGATATCGTGGAAATGATAATTTTCATGGGCCACATAGAGATCAGCACCAGGTACTGATATATTAGCTCATGAGAGCTTTCTCTCATCCTGGACAGACCGATAGAGAAACATCAAACTTATGCACAGCTTCAATAAAGCCGAGGTACCTGATTAGTACGTTTCCTAGCTCTTCACATTCAGATGATCATTGCTAGGTAACTTTGGAAGAATATTGTGGTTCAGCTTTTGAAATAGGATGTGCATTCGTGATTTTCCTTCGCTCCATATAAATATAGCCACGCCCGGTAAGCATCGCAGATTCATTAACCCATTGTACCGTGTCGCCATTTAGAAATCGTAACCTCCATTCATGATTCCCCTACATATCCTCCCTAAATATTGATCTCCTCTCCGAATGATTGTCATCGTGCGCCTTATGGTTCTTTGTGTTGGACTCCATTGGTCGAGGACTAACACCTCTCAGTTGGTTTGGGTCATCGAAAGGATTCTTCGCTGGTTGTAATCCCATCTCCTCATCATAACGTCTATCGAGCCCAGCTTTTGATCCCCCGATATATGGTTCCGGTTCGCGACTCAAGCTTCTACCACGAGGAGGACTTGAGAAGCCCGTAGGTGCCGTACCCGACGCTCCCGCGACACCCGAATTTCCGCCATGTAAGCCAAGCTCTTGTTCCTCAAAATATCCTCCAGGTCCATATGCATCCGCTTCAGTTCCTACTCGGGCATCCCATGCGTCATCAGGATCCAGTGGACCAAAACCTCGATTTGCTGCGCGACCACGTACGTTGCTGCTCAATGGCTCCTCATATGCTCCTCCTGCTGATCGATTATTGCGATTTTTCAAACCATTAACTTTGTCCTTCACCCATCCGACCATTCCACCTTGTCCCGACCCGGAACCCCCATACCTATCGGATCCGCCGCTGAATGGGTTGTAGGATGATAAAGATGGTTGTGGTAAGCCCAATCGTCGTGCGCGCAAATGTGTATATATGATCCAAGCAGACCCTCCGATGACAGCGACGGTTAAAACTATGACAAAGAAGGCCCCTACGCCTGAAATATGTGCCATTGTTGAAGATTTCAACAGTTGACCATGCGGGAAGTAAGTTTATCGTTGGTGGTTGAAAGCTATGTTATTCCTTGAGTTATGATTGAAAGGTAGAAGGTAGGCAATCAGGCTAACAGTGATAGTGTGTTTATCAGGGCAAAAAAATGATAAGGGTCACGCCTTAACAAGGAAGGAGCTGTGATCTCACCAGGTTTCACTGAGATGAGAAGATACGTTGATGATTTAAATAAAAGTTTGACGTGAGGAGCATATTGTGACGTTCTTTGAATTATTTAATTGATAGACAGGTAGGTACCTATGGTGTACCTAGTAGAGGAATTTTGAAACGAGAATGTTCCAAGCAAAACAACTGTTTGGAGGTACATACTTCGCAAAGCAACCGTGAATCATAGCGGGTGTTTTTGATTCTGATTCTGATTCTGATTCTCAGATCACATGACACACATTCACATTCACATTCACATTCACATTGATGATTAATGATTAATGATTAATGTGTTATGATGTAAATTTGGAGGAGAGTGAGGACTGACTGCTTGCAACCGAATTTACCCCGCCATTCAAATAATTAACCAATGCATTGAACAGGATCTGGGCATTCTCTATCCTTCAATGCAAAGGTCTTAGTTAGGTCGGTCGGTCGTAGGATAAACCTTTTAATGCTTATCAAAGAATATAAACCAAGGCTTATTAATTATAAGTATACACAAGATCCATATCATAAGTAGGTACCTCATTCTAACCTCATCGTTTAGTTTATCAACTTACATACACTTATCGGTAGGGGTCATCTTTCCAAGGCTCAATAGAATGGATGCATGAATGAATCTGGATGAATGCTAGGAAGGTTTATCCACTCGACTAACATAATATCCTAACTATAATCACTAGTGAACCGTTGAGATTATGGTTATAATTTAATATCTATGAAGGATCCGTTACTCTTTCAACTCTCTTGAGTCTTTATCCTCATATCCACCAACAGTGAGACATCAACTCCATCAACGACGTAAGACTTTGTCCATAACCACTATGATGCTATTCCTTTATAAGAAAGGCCATTCCACTTTCTCAAGGACTCAACCCATAAGCATAACAATCTCGGGATCAGATAAGGTGAATCTAAAATAATCTGCAGAAGCTAACTACTCATCCCATGTATTTTTTTAATCAGATAATGTGATGATTCCTGCAGATGGAGGCATGATTTTTCAGGGATAGACTTTTCCTTGTACATTTTGCTGCAACTCTCATGAAATGAAATCCCCCCTCACGATCAGATAATATTCTGAGAATCGAAAAGGGCAAATTTTATCATTTTCCTATTTCTACTTCGAGTCCTATTTCTACTACTACTACTACTACTACTACTACTACTACTTATCATCTATCCAGCGAAACACGAAACACGAATCACGATTACCGCCTCACCGGAAGGAATAATATTCCCGTATCACCGTCATAGAGTTCTCTGTCCCACTCATCAACCTATTCCCGCCTACCTAGCCTCAAATTCTTTCGCGAGAAAGTCCCCCTCCTATCTAAGTCTGTCCCAGTGGGGCCTGACAACGTGCAACGATGCCTCCTAGTTGCATATGACATCCCACCCACCTAACGTTTCCGCAACGGGCGGCAGAAGTAGGGGATCGGGTGACTCCTCTGACTGTATTATAGAAGGCTCAGCTGTCCCTCTTTCTTTTCTCCAGCCCAATCCGTCAAATAATATTGTCAGGCAACCATCACCAGTCGAACCGCTCCATCTGTACAATCAGAGTTCGAATCACAGTCGTTATCATTCAACAAACTACACCGACGACGACGAGGAAGAACTTTATCCTGAATCTACCTCGAATCTTCTTAAACGACATAGACAAGATTCCGCCGAGACAGAAGACGATGCTTCACGGCACAACTCAGCAGATGACAACACAAATTCAATAAACCTTTTTCAAAGAATACATAGACTGATGTCCAAGACACCCCTCCTATTACGCTCCGCGCCCGGCTTCGGCACAGGATCATATGGAGCAGCTCCTGTGGGCGCATCAACAGAGAACAGTGAAGAAGAGGATGAGCATCTTGTGAGAAGGGAGAAGCGAAAGAAGAGTTCATCGGCCCTAAGAAATCTGAGGAATTCTAGCAGCGCTGCAACATTCAAGTCAACCAGATCGAATTCGGGCCCATCCTCATCTGCGAACGTTGGTACTGCCTCGCGGACAAGACATCGTACAGGAAGTAATACACAAAATGACGGAACGGACGAGATGGAGCTGGGGGCTTCCCCGATCAAAATCCGTGATGCAGATTCGGATTCTATTTCAACAGATGAAGATACAGAGGAAGTTCTGCCAGAAGAAGACGAACAGGACGAGGATGCATATTCGATAGATGATGAAGATCCGCCGGACAATTCTCCTTATGCACAAGTTCGCGCTTCAGTGTCTGCCATTGATAATACAACTCTGTCAATCAATACCCCTCGAATGTGGGCACTTTCTATGCTTTTTGCTATCCTTGGTTCTTCAACGAATCTTTTCTTTTCTTTACGATATCCTAGCGTTTCTATTACACCTGTCATCGCCCTTCTACTTGTACATCCGCTTGGATTGATGTGGGATGGATTTCTTAAGCGACGGGACGACCCTGATGAAGAGTTTGTAGATGGCCATCGGATTCCAGCTCATGAAGGTAATGAACGCAGTGGCAAATCTGCGACTGGCTTACGGCGATTGAGGTTATGGTTGGCACAAGGAAAATGGAATGAAAAAGAGCACAGTTGTGTCTACATCAGCAGCAATGTCTCCTTTGGCTTTGCATTTGCAACCGATGTCATTGTTGAACAGACACACTTTTACAACCAGAAAGTTGGTATCATGTACCAAATCCTCCTCATTCTTTCTACACAGATATTGGGATATGCTTTTGCAGGCCTCACTAGACGTTTCTTGGTTCGACCTGGTGGAATGATATGGCCTGGAACTTTAATGTCGGCTGCCATGTTCACAACATTACATAAGGAGGAAAACACAATTGCTAATGGTTGGAAAATCACGCGGTGGAAGTTCTTCTTCGTCGTTTGGTTCTGTTCCTTTATATTTTACTTCTTACCCGGGTTGCTGATGCCTGCTTTGAGCTACTTCAGTGTCATTACCTGGTTTGCACCGAAAAATGTAATCGTTGCAAACTTATTTGGTGTGGCTTCAGGACTTGGACTCTTTCCTGTAACCTTCGATTGGGCTCAAATTGCCTATATTGGATCACCACTTTTAACTCCATTCTGGGCCGCGATGAACGTCGTTGGAGGTCTCGTCATTGTGATGTGGATCCTTGCACCTATTGCCTACTATAAGAATATCTTCTTCTCATCTTATATGCCAATTTTATCCTCATCCGTTTTCGACAACACTGGAAAGATATACGACGTCAGCAAGATCTTAACTTCTGATTTCCTGTTTGATAAGCAAGCATACGAGAATTATAGTCGCGTGTTCTTACCAATTACTTATGTTCTCAGTTATGGACTTCAATTCGCTGCTCTTGCCTCACTCTTGACACATACTACATGTTGGCATGGTAGAGATATTTGGAAGCAATGGAAAAGGTCCCTAAAGGAAGTTGAAGGGGAGGTTAAACCTGCGTATGATCCTGTACCTGTATCAAATGGAAACGGCCATAGAAGGGGTGCATCCGCAAACAGCCACAGGCTGAATCTTGAAAGGACTCCTTCATACATGAATGATATCATCAGCCAAGAAGATGTGCATAACAGGCTTATGAGAAGATACAAGGATGCACCAATGACTTGGTATCTAATTACATTCGTATCTATGCTTGCGGTTGGGATGTTTGTCGTGGAATAGTAAGTAACCATTCATCTTTGCAATAAAATACGATCTTAACACCATTGGTAGTTACCCCGTGCATTTACCGTGGTACGGCTTACTCCTTGCATTGGGAATCTGCACCGTCCTCTTTATCCCAATTGGAATAGTCATGGCCATTACAAATCAACATAGCAGTATATATCTCATTTGCCAATTGGTCTGTGGTGCAGTGTTCCCAGGCCGTCCTGTCGCGAACATGGTCTTCGTCACTTATGGATATATCTCTTCTTCTCAAGGAATTAAGTTCTCGTCCGATTTGAAACTTGGGCATTATATGAAGATCCCGCCTCGAATTTTGTTTTCTGTTCAAATGGCCGCCACAATTGTTTCTTCAATCACACAAATAGGTGTTCTTAATTGGATGTTCGCCAACGTTCCAAATATCTGCACTCCCCAAGCTATCAACGGGTTCGTTTGTCCACTCGCCCGTGTGCACTTTAACGGAAGTATTCTTTGGGGAGTCGTAGGGCCTGGACAATTTTTTGGCCCTAATGCCACCTACCGGGCTCTCGTATGGTGTTTCCCTATTGGTGCCATTGCGCCCATTATTTTATGGCTCTATTCCCGCAACAAAAGACACAGCATTGTAAGGAAGATAAATCTTCCCGTCTTATTTGGCTCTCTATCATGGATTCCTCCGGCCACGGGACTCAACTTTTCCGTTTGGGCACTAGTATGCTACCTCTTCAATTATGTCATCAAGAGGAGACATTCAGCATGGTGGGCCAAGTATACAATGACACTGAGTGCGGCGTTAGATTCAGGGCTTGCATTTGGGCTGGTGGTGGTGTTTTTCGGGTTTGTTTATCCCGGATGGATGGATAATTTTAAGTGGTGGGGAACAGAAATTTATAAAAAGGGCTGTGATTGGCAAGCTTGCCCATATAAAACGGTACCTGAAGGTACACATTTCGGGCCGGATACTTGGTAAATAGATACAGAGGCGACTACCAGACATATTTGTGCATATGGTAGATACCTTGTAGAGATGAGAAGAGTGGTGTATAAATAATAAGTTCTAGTTATGATGTATTTTGAGTATTAGTTATATTATCGATGGGTTTATTTATTGTATCAAAGTATTTTTTGGTTATATTGTATAGCGTTAGTATAAATAGTGTTAGTAACCAATGTATATATTTTCATATGATATTGATCAGATGTAAGGAAAGTATAAGCGAATGAATACTATGATATTAGAGGTCACATGAAATCATATAAGAGCAATATGATTTCCGTGACACTTTGACTAGAAAGGAATTCGTTACCAATATTATTTTTTGTGATGTGGGTTACAGATTCATGAGTATAGATTCTGTGTATGTTTATTTTATACCTAGTGAATGATGGCAGTAGCCCCTCAAACAAAAGCCTCAACTAGTACCGGTACTTGAAAATTATCTTTTGTTTAATGGTTTATCTACAGAGCATATACAGAAAACTCCCTCTTTATAAAGTTATAATTTAAAGCGGTTTATATATTATATACCATATATATCCGTTCACTTATTGAAATATCAGAGTGTTATAAACCCCAGTGATCTAGGTCTTACAATATACACACCTTCGAGGTTGTAAGCTGATTACTATACTAGCGGCTAGATAAAGATCTATGATATAATCTGTAGCTAGATTGTTATTGCCTGGTTCAGTGGTACAGACTGGGATGGTATAAACAATAGGAGGGTCTGCAGGTGTAGTAATGGGAGATATGGTTGAGCTCGATATCGACGGGCTCTGGCTCTCTCGTGGGTACGAAGGACCTTGCTGAGTGCTTTATTCGCGTGAGAGCGTCCGAGGTCACTATCGAAAAGCTCTAGAACATTGTTTGTCACCGTATCTACTTCATCCTTAATATTTAGTCTCCTCGCTTCCCTTTTGCACACATTGACAGGTTGATAGTCGTCTCTGCTAAAAGCGACATTTGTGCCCCGATTACATCCCTAAGAAAGCAAAATATACTTACTATAAGGACATATAAGTACTTTCTGAAATGCCTCAAATATTTTTATATGAAATACATCATGTATATAGATTTACTAAACAAATATCTAAAAACGAGACTTTTAAAATTTGAAGTATAATCTATATAGAAAGTATATATAGTTTTATTTTTAATTCAACAAAAACAAGATCTTTCACTATGATTATTAATTATCTTTAATCATTGATTATTAATTTATTATATTTGATTGTTTTTATTTTATTTTTTTATTCACTTTATTATTATACCATAAGAATATTTTAATTATATAATAAATAAATTATTTCAAATATATAATCATTTTATTTCAAAATTAATCATTTTAATTCAAAAGTGTTCTTTAAGGAAGTACTTCAAAATTTATAAAATTGAAATATATTTTGAAGTACTTATAAAAAGTATTTTTAATTAAACTTGATCAATTTTAGGCTCACTTATCCTTCTAAAAAAAAATCAAAATTAAGGAAAAGTACTTCCTATAAGTACTTTTTGCTTTCTTAAGAACAGCTAGGACTCACAGAGCTGGCATCGTCGTGCTTCTGATGGTTAGTTGTCAAAGAAATGATTGCGGGGTTATGCAGTACTTCGGATCGGTCGGTAACAGCAATAAATGATACAGCTGTAGAAGTTGCGAGGAGATGGGTTGTGGAACTCATCCACGCTGGCTTGATCGCCGGTCTATTGGTTAGCTCCTTGAGAAGCCACGCATAGTATTCATTAGTAACAAGATCTTCTGTTATGTATGTCCAGGTCTGAAGAAGGTTCCGGCGTAGGTTTTTGGCGTTTTTGCTGCTGTGATCTCCCATGATTGATGTGGAGAGAAGAAGCAGACGGACAACTCGGCAATTTTGGGGAACAATTTCTCTATCTCTTACATCCCGTTCCTGATCCGCCATCTCGTAATCCGATTGACCGTCTTCCGGTTCTTTAGAATGGTTATACGTTGTCTCTTATATAAGAACGAAGCTTTACCGGCACGCCTGCGTTTCTTTTAAATCTAAAAGACAGGCCTAAGCATATTCCTGCTGTTTGTGTTTAGGAGGTTCCCTAATCGCGGTTCTTAAATGTCCTACTTATTATGAATAAAGCTAGACTAGATAGTAAGAAAGTCCTAAAAACGCTTAAAGTAAGCGTCGAGAGGATCTTCGTATTGTACTAATTTCCCGGGTACTAGACGGTTAGCGACCCGTGTCTTCTACTTTTCGCTCCTAAACTCTATGAGACAATCCTAACATTGCAATCTACGTGAGTTGTCCAACTCACGGGCCATGTATATGTTCTACATTCCACCGGCGTTGCCCAACCCCAATGGGTTATGCAATCCAGTCTGTTACAATTATGTGTTATCCTCTTATCAACCGAGGATAGTTATTTTTATTTTTATATTTCTTTTTGCTTTTTCACGACTCCCGTGACCCTGGAAATCTCATTTGTTACAACAGGCAACAGGAGACCCCTTTGCCCTTCTTCCTGCTGATAAGTTGTATCCTTACGCCTGCTACGTAGCTCGTGTGCTAATATGTGGTGGTCCTCGGCTGTCTCGAGGTAATTCCCCACAGATTCTGCATATTCGTCTCTTCTTGGTAATCTTACGAGGTATGGTCAGATGGTATACGAGTTAGAGATTAGATTATGAGATAATAGAGAAAGAAGAGTTATGAGACCTTAATTGAGGTGCTAATAGGCTCCAACCTTCGTACAAACTGGAAAATCTTAGAAGACTCGGGCAGAGTTCATCCGTATACGTGATTTACAATGATATATTTATAATATCATAAGCTTTTTTGATCATTATATATACTTATATAGTCTAGTCCCAAATGATCTAATTATCAGATTCTTAGTAAAATAGTGTCTGATTCTCAAAGAATGAGACTAAAGGTGTTGACCTTTAACCTAGCCTTTGTAAATTTGCTGACCAATCAAGCAACGTGACCCTTTTTCCAACGACGTCTTATATTGAAACAAGTTAAAAAGCAAACTAGATGATAATTTATAAATTAATATTATCTCATGGAAGCAATTCATTTTTGAGTAACACTATTATCTTCTTGTCAAAAGTTTGGCAAAAACAAGAGGGCTATTTTGATAGCATAGCAACACATCCTAATTCTGTTTCTTGTCTTTCTTCTTTCTTACACAAACATAAACTTGTTTTATCTTCAACTAGAAATATGATTTTAATAGCAATATGCAACCTTGTCTACCGTATCGGATAAATGCTTCGTTATACTCACTGTATAGAGGACGTATATTCCGAGAAAGCGAAAGACTCGAAGCCCTTCTTCTTTATTTCCTGGACATTATCCCTCACCGTCGAGTTGTTCTAGCCCAGGAAACCATCTTTAAATAGTGTCTCTTTCGCGCCCCTGCGGAGTGGATAGGGGGCTTCAAAGGGCGTTGATGGTCTGGTTTTGTGTTAAAAATGTAGCAGCACTCAAACGGTATAAGGTCTCAACGGCATTCTCTCGCATGGTGTTATCTGTTATGCCAAGTTGGGATTTTTGCTTAGTCATTTTAGAACTTGCAGATAATAAGGGCGACAGCACATAACTGAGATTGGATGCTCACTCATGTGTCGCTGCAAATCACTGTCGGTTCCAATTACTCAATTTGCACCTAAATGTTTTTCCCGATTCTACATATTGGATGTCACTTGAAGAATGATAAAGGCAATGTATTATGGGTATATGCATTATTAAAGGAGTATATAGCCAACTGGTAACATCACGAAGTAGCCATTTATCTATGAATCTATGAATCTTAGACATGGCTTCATGTAACAAGCAAATCATTGTTTCTTTGCAGCCTTCTTCTCCGCGACCGCCTTTTTCTTAGCTAAATTTTTCTCCTGGTTCTTTGTCAACTTTATAGTGCCTTCAGCAGCTTCTTCGCTTGGCTTCTCGTTTTCCCCTTTCCTAGCCACAACCGTGACGTTTGGATTTCCACCCCACACCAGAGGTTTTTGTGACATGAAATCTGCCACGATCTCATCCGTGACTTTCGCTCTCCGCTCTTGGAATCCCTTAACGTATACCTGCAGTTCTGCGATACATTTTGCTTTTAAAGTTCCTGTTAACATCTCTCCACTCGAGTATTCTTTCTTGATCTTCTCTAGCTCTTCATCATCCTCCAAAAAGAATGTCAAATACTGGTAGGATACATCCTTGTCTGTATCCTCACCCTTCTCTCTCTGCTCCGCCTCATTAAGCTGTCCACCGGAGAAAGCAAATCTAATGATATTATTTTTAATCGTGCTAGGTTCATCATGCATGAACATTGCGCTCGCGGCAACACTAGCACTCATTTTTCTACCAGGTCCTTTTAAGGCGTCCAAAAATAGCGCGTGAATAAGTGCGGCTTAGCGAAATGGAGACGTGCTGCTACATCTCGTGTTACTCAAAAGTACGGATCTTGATCAATAGCACACGGAATCAATGCTGGTATTGAGTTCGAAATTACTTCATCAGTACCAAAGATATGTGGGAATGAAGAAGCAAACGAAGTAGCACCTTGGACTGCCCCAAAATGGATCTTGCCAATATTTGAACTGATGCAACCATTAGAACCAGTAGCAAGAATGGGAAAACGGCATCATCTATCTTCCGTCAAATCCGAACACAGCCCGAGCAACATTCAAAGTTATGTGCTTTGATATACGAGTCACGTTCCGGTAAAATGCTCCTCCCATGAAATCATAATCGCTGAATATGAAATTCTTCTTTGAATTAAAGCCAATTGTAATAATGTATTTGCAATTAGCTATAGAATAACTGCGGACTTCATCAATCGTTTTTTTCTCGGAAAAAATGTATTTCTCATCATCAGTGAGCATGATGATCAATGGTACATCAAATACATCTTGTAACCACCTATAGGAAATCAGCGCATTTCGGAGAAAATGGCAACCAAACTGTCGAATTGGCTAACCCTAAAAGATGCTAAATATCTCTAACTCCTTAGATCTCAAAACTTACTTGGTGAACTCGAAAGGTATTGTGTGTCCGATATGCATGCTATCACTACTTGGCCTTCTTCTAGTATACAAGAAGAAGGGTTGCCCACGCTCATGACGATCAAGGATTAAATTCAACTCGCAGTGACTGAAGACTATGCCCCTTCGCATAAATCGACGAGGTTTATGACCTGTAACTTGCTCAAATCTCTTCAAATCATCAGGAGTTGTTACTTGAGTCCCAAACTTTTCCACCAAGCTCAAGTAATTGATGGCCATTTAAATGCCATCGGCCCCAATTGCTCCCTGAACATTACATGGGTCAACGCTTTGTTCTGTCGTTGCTGCAGCTGAAGGTTCCGCCATGGTGAGACCTTTGAAAACTGTTGGTATCAGTCCGGTGATACTACTCACATAGTACTATTATAGTATGTGTTTGATTCTTAGTTGCCATTAATAACTATATAAATATGGAGACCTATTTATACTCAAGAGGGAAGGGCTAGAGCCCGCTTGTTGTACGGTCCCTTTCTTGTACGGTAATCACATGGTATACCGACAAAAACTTTGGCGAACAAAGTCCAAAAAGTTGTGTTGCTTAGGTAGAAGAAGATGAAGTTTATGTTTGAATGTGTTGATTGTTGGTTTTTGACTCATGCACAGGGACGAGGTGCAGCCAGAGGAATTCGGCCCGGGTTGTCTCGCTTAATTACATGGTTTATTTGTTGAAGATTATATAAATAAAAATAATAAACCTTATTAAATAAAGTTGTAAGGCTTGCTTTGCCAAGCTTTTTGTTAGATTTATTTACGAGGGTATTTTAGACCAATCAGATTGTCAGGATCGCGACTCACTTAAGCGAGTTTCTCATTTTCTATCACCTACACTAGGTAAACCTCGCGTATAGTAAGGTTTTGGTGTCGGCAAGCCGACAATAATTTAATATAAAATCCCTTATTATTATTTATAATTATATTAATATCTGGATGTTAAATATAACTCAAATGTTTGTTTTATATAAAAAGACTTGTATAAACTTTAAAATCTAAGATTGTAATTTTTGTATTTTTAAGATTTGAATAATTGATTTAATTTAAATACCTAATAAATGTATAATTTTATTTTTTGTAATATTAGTCTATTAAATTATAATAAATTAAATAAATAAAATAAAACTTTTCGTTTTTATATTTTGACTTTTGTGTATATGTATTACGATCCTGTTAATCCCCTCGTGGAAAGTCTCCCAGATAAACAGAATAGAAAAGAATAAAAAAATATATCGATATCCAACTCCTTTTCCAATTTTGTCTTCCCAAAGTCAGCCGTCACGCCATCCCATCCCATCCCATCCTATCATTAAATATTTATATATGAATATGAACAAACATTGCATTCCATTGTAACAAAATCATATTCTTCCAATCATCCTTTTCCCGTACTTCCCCTTTAAACCCTATCACAATCTGCACTCACACTAAGAGTAGTATGTGATCTACTAGTGCTTAATTCCACCATACTTTCCGTTTCCTTCATCTCTGCTCTTCGATTACCAGTCATCGGTCTATTCATCATGCGGAATCCTTCGGTTCGCTTATGTTGGTTTGAGGGGCCTCGAAAATCGGCCCAGACGCTGCGACAGATTCCTAGAGAGGTGGTGAAGTATATTATGGTGTTCCACTATTATATATTAGTTACTGGTATCTCGAGTGGCGTGGGAAACAGAGACTTACAAATCCTTGTAAAGGGAGAACAAGGGCAGATCCTATGTTTAGTATAAATGATGGTTTATCAGGGAATCTCAATCCGTAGACTCGATTTACTGATGCGGGTACCCAGGTTACCAAGATAGACATAGCAAACAGAATAGCGCATTTAGCATAAGCCCATTTTATCCTATCAAAACTATTTGCAGTTCCTCTTCTACTCTCTGTCACCGTTGTCGTATTAATGCGCGGTAGGGCGGAGATAGTTACACGGTAATTGGTTTCCGGATTCTTCGTAGGAGCTCTTATATGATTTGAATCAGACGGGTCAGGGTTTTGAGAAATCGGTTCTGTGTTGATAGCCATTCCATTTTCCCACAAGCCATGCGTAACTTCAATCTCAGTAGTTCGGGTTCCGGTGAATATTGGTTGGCCATGCTCGCTTTCATATTCTTTGTTCGTTGCTTCGGATGTGTTGGATATGGTATTTTGAAGGGGAATGGGCGATTTTCCCCCAGTATCTGTAGGCAGAGAGGGATCTGATTTGTGGGCAAATCCATGAAGTTGGTTGCGTGTATGAAAAACCCTGATTCCAATTCGAACATAGATACATAATGCAGCGAGGATGGTTAACCAGATTGGCACGTAATAGCTATAGATACGGAGAGGTGCCCATGAACCATCAATCCAACACCAAAGCTATATATGTATAAGTTCTCCGTTTGACGATTTGAGGAAATGGACTGTTACATACTGTTGCGTTTCCGTAGATCCTTCTTTTCTCTTTAGTTTTGACAAGTAGACAGACCATGGCTGGAATGAAGGGAAGACCATAGCATATCAATGCATAATAAGGATAAAGTTTCTTCAATTGAGCGGCATCAAATCGGTAAAAGAAGACGAGGTAGACATTCGTAGCCATAGCCAAACTCCACCATGGATCGCTCTGCATGAACCTTTTCTTTCGTCAGCGGCGGTAGAATACAAAAGGCTGGATTATTTTATACATCTCCAACAAGAAGCCTTGAAATTGACATAGTGGTGAATTAACTTTCGATAATGCAGAACCTCCAATAAGTGCCGCAACATTAGCAAAAAGATTTGCAAAAGAAGCATAAAAGATAATTGTATTTGACAATGTTCTGAAAGATTTGATGAAGATAAATGTAGCAAACAAAAGCAATGTTCCTAATACCGAAAACGACGCTGTGATACGTTCAATGATGATTAAGATTTCAATCTGCCTTTCCGTAAGTTGGCCCATGATGACAACTAGCTAGTGGATGTGGGGAAGCTAGAGATCTTGTGGACGGGAAGGTAAAGAGAAAAGCTTGGAAGAGAAGAAAAATATGGAGATTTCCTCATCTATCTACTCCGTATGTAAGTCAGCAATAAGCATAAGAGGGAATACAAAAATATAAGATCGCATCACAGAATAGGTGTAAGCAGGCTAGGGAGGAAAAGATTCATGGTAGAAGCAAATCCAAAGACACCTAGAGGATTAGAACACATACATACAGCAAATGAGACGAGGAAAACCTTCATGATTTTTGGCAATACATGAATAGTGCAGCGGAGGCGATGACCAATTCAAGAAATAATTGGCAAGAGATGTAGAGGGTAGATGAAGATAATGTAATCAGTAAGGTAATGAATAATGTACTTCATGGCTGACCACCTTCTTTTTCTCTCTTTCCATTATCCCGTGTGTGATGCATGGGAAAAGAACGCCACGGAAAATGCTTCCGAGCAAATACTTGTGCTTGAATTTCATGTTGCAACGTATGTAATGGGAAGAAGAAGCAGTAAGTAATCCTACGTGGTCAGCGAATGAGGCTGGAGTAAGGTTACTTCAATCATGCAGGATGGGCCACGGGGCGACACAATTCCCTACCCATCTAATCTCTCATAAATTCTGGAAAAGTCCGGTCCCGGTTGCAGAAGGAAAAGATTGAGGCATTAAACCTTCATGTGAACAGTTTCGAGAAGTAGAAAACACTCACACACTCTTTGCCTTGTAACACATTCGAGAATAAACTGAATGCCTCCAAACATCACCGGTTGCACTCGTGTGTACCAACTACCAAATGCTACTACTTAAATGCTTATCCGCTCGAAATATATTAAACAAGGTTAATTTCTCCTAGCGCGGGTAAGCACTTTTTTTTAACATAATACCGAGATGAATCCCTTCGCGGGGATATGGACATCTGGGGTAATACAACAAAGTATTGACCACGAATTTCAGTGATAATAATGCCTCATAAAGTAAGAGTGTGTTTGAATTGTTTTTTTACAGTATTATATCTAATATCAAATATAAAAATGATATATATAATAAATATAATATTTTAATTATTTAAAAGAATTTGAATAATTATAATTAAATTAAAAAAAATATATATATTTAAAAAGATTTAAATAATAATTTAAATACAAAATTGATAAACTATATATTTATAATCTTAATTTTAATATTTTAAATTCAATAATAATAATAAAAATTTTAATCAATAAAATTAATATTTAATACTTTAAAAATATTTATTATTTTTAAAATAATAATAATAATAAATAAAATCATTTATTTAAATATTTATAAAAATATTTTCTTTGTTTAAGATTTTTTTATAAATCTTTTTATTTTTTAAATTAATTTTTATTATAGATTTTATTATTATAATTATTAAAATATATAAAATTCAAAATTGTTAAATATTATTATAATAAATTATTTTTTTAATTCTTTTAATTCTATTTCAATACGAATACACTCTAAACATTAAATGAAAATATTATTACTTACTACTTAAATAGTATTAGTTGTATTTTCCGACAACTTACAAGGAAGAATCAAGCTAATGCACTTAATGTGGGTGTCATGACGTGGTGTAATTGTTCCACAGAGCACTCGGCTGAAAAAGCTTGCTTACTCCGTAACATTTTGGGTGTTGCCGTACTTGCTTGCTTGTACAAAATTATTAGGCTAATCAGGATATTGCTTCAGTGTGAACTTTCGCCGCTGAGTGAAAGTATGTTATATTCGGGCTTGTTTGAATCGGTTTGATGGCTGGGATGAACGGCTTGAATGGTCCTGCAAAAGAGATTAATAAATGACATAACAGTTACTTGCATAACCGTGTGTGGTATCAATGATGCATAATAAACTTAAATCTAAAACCTTTACTGCGGAGGCACGTAGTACAAAAATAAACAGAAACCAACAACAGATTGACCTTTTAATATCTTTACCGCAACATCTGCATCCAGGTATCAACTTTTAGATGGTGTACAAGAAGTCAGGACGATTGTCACCCAACATCTCGACTTCCTTCTCCGACAACCCTGCAACCAAATGGTCTCTCTTTCCAGCCAATCTAGCTGCATTTTCCCTGCGTAACAACAAGTGCATCGCAACACTTCCACCAAATAGGAAGACAATCATATAAGCCATGACGGTTGCATGGCCGACCGTAAATTTTGGTGCCTTGTAGTAGATGTTACTGCTGACGATACCATTGAGATTGCCCCATCCAATGACGAATCCAAGAACGATACCACGCTTATAGACACCCTCAGCATTGTTGCTAACCCATGAAATAGTGTTGGAGATACATGGATAGATACCGAGAGCACCCAAGAAAATACCTGCATACTTGACATGAGGGCTTTGCGATCCAAGTAGCATGGCAAATCCGACAACACCGAAAATCGAGGTACAAATGTTGAAGATTCCGCGGCGTTTGGTACGATCGGCCGCGAGACCAACAATAATTGTTAGGAATGCAGCGGAGGCGTACGGGGGTACCGAAAGTAATTGTGCACGAGTTGCCTTGTAACCCATCTCAGCGACAATGGTTGGTAAGAAGAGAGAGAACGAATATAGGGCCATGGCACTTCCAGAATATGTTAGCATTCCCAACCACATCTTATAATCCTTGATGGCGGCCCAGAAGTATTCCATCCTGAATTCCTCGTGCTCAGCACTAGATTGTTTGTCGACCTTGAGTCTGCGAATAACTCGGGCACGATCTTGCTCCGAAAGGAAGGCAGCGGTATCAGGGAAGTCATGAACAAAAATAAATGATAATAGGCCGAACCCAATTGTGATAGCACCTTCAATGATGAAGATCCATGCCCAGCCCGGTCGTCCTCCTAGACCATCCAGTTTGGTAATTGCGGCAGCAAGGAGACCTCCGAAGGACCCGGCAAAAGCGGCGGCGGAAAAGAAAATTGCCTAAAAAGTCAGCTGTGTAAAAGCAAGAGATCATCAACTTACTGCACGAACACCAAACTCATCGCGCTTGTACCAGCATGAGAGGAAGTAGTTTACACCAGGGTATAGACCAGATTCAGCCATGCCCAGAAACCAACGAGTAGCCATCAAGCCAGACCAATTTTTAATATACCCCATTGACAACATGGCGACACCCCATATAGTCCTGAAATACATTAGGAAACAGAATATGCTAAGAAAGGAGGGTCGACGTACATGATAATTGGAATGAAGATTGATGGCTTGAGGCGTTTCAAGAGAACGTTTGTTAATGGTTCGAAAACCGAGTAGGAGATGAAGAACACGGAAAGAGATAAATTGTACCGTCCAGTTGACATGTTATTCAAGTCCTTCTGCAGGCCATCGATCTTCGCATTGCCAATGTTCGTTCTGTCCAAAAAGGCAAGGAGGTAAAGGACACAGAGCTATTGTAAAATCAGTACTTGGATTGAGAAAAGAAATTGTTATTGTGGACGTACCCAAGGCATCAAATACAAGTCCAACTTCCAGACAAGTCTTCGGTCGATAGCTTTGCGCTCTGCGTCTGAGAGGTTGGCATCGGGGTCCTCAGGAAGGGTAGAGCTGATTGGCGCAGAAGCAATAACCTTTTCCTCATCGCTGGTGCTGCAAGTCCTAGCGCGTCCATCGGACTCCATGATATTCAAAAGAAATATGTACTAGAAGCAAGAAAGGAGGAAGAAAGGAAGGTTTAAAAAAGAAGCAACTTTCTAAGAAGCAAAAGTAGTCGGACGGAATGGCCCTGGATACTCGCATGTATTTAAATTCGACCTGTGGCCTGCATGGGGCGCTGCGGAAGAACGAGTTGTATGTTACTCTAGAAATATGCAGTCGGGAATTCCCTCCTCTGTGCTATGTTACTTTGCGCCGATGCATGTATCAAGGGTATTTTGTTCGGGAAAGAAGCCCATGGTAAGTTAGAAATTTAGGAAGGTGCTATATGTGATTTTGGTAAAGGCTGTTAGGGAACTTAGACTCGTATTGGTCCAAGACCCCTCCCGGAAATGGTGAATCCAATGAGACCCTTGAGGAAAAGCTACCAAAAGGCCGCCATGTGCAGCTAGCCATTTTATCCTACGCATGAGAATTCCGTGGCATCCCTGAATTATGCGCTATGCTTAGATATAATCGACAGTATTCTATCAGCTACCTAGAAGTTAGGTGGTATTATATCCTAGTTGATCTACTCGCAACAAACTGTAAAGTACCAATAGTATGGTAGCCACTCACTGTCCTTTTGAATGTGTGTATTGAGAATGGAAAACTAAACGAACACAGAGCGGTAGATGAAGGGGTTGATATGATTAGAAAACAATGGGAAAGCGGAAAAGGCAGGAAAGGCAGGAAAACAAGAGAGTGTAAAACCAATGGCGGCTCATCATTTGCGAGTGTAAAAAAGCTGTAACGTGCATAATCTATCAAATGTCTGTAATTGTGTTTTTTTTGGGTTTTGGTGTGGTTGTACGAGAACGGTTCGATGTGGATCTGTGGCCACTCTGATGAAGAGGTTGGGAAGATGGGAGGGGTGAGATTCATAATTCACAATAAGAGATCTGATCTCTGATCTATAGGACCGTTCCAGTCTGTCAGCGTAGGTATCGATGTGTCGAATTAACCAATACTGCCTGAAATCCTGGTGGAAATGAGGAAAAGAATTGTTACTTTGCCCCGCATCAACGATTAAAAGCCTCATGTGTGGAGTACTAGTAGTCCTAGTGTAACTTCCATATGGTAAGTCGAATCACGTGCCTTATCATTCTTGCTCTTTAACCAACTGCCGGACGAACAGATCGAGCACTGAATTTTCATTTCCTCCACATTTCTGGGCAAAACACCTGTCTATTTTTTACCTTTTTCTCCTTTTTTATCGAGGGGGGTGACCCTTCAATACCTTCCCTATATGTTTACCATGGCCACTTCGCATATCTCTTCCCGTAGGTGGGGGGGTCCGCATTCTCAAAGTACGGCGCTTTGAAGATACGGCTATACCCGCTTTGTCTGGGGAACAGCATCCGCTATGTTCAATATATGCACCTTGATCTCGAAGCATAATTTATTAAGTAGATCACATTGCTCATTGTCAAAGTTTTCAAGGCTAACTGAGATTAATATCGTGCCCTAAGCGGTAATTCTTGGCGATCCGATAAGTTTCCTCTATGTCTATCGGGCATGAACACGCATCAATCGGCGCTAATGAAGAGATGATCTCCATCCACCCAGAGTAATCACAATTATTTGATCATGTTAAACTTTTGTCACCTCCCATGAACCAGTCAAGATCTTCTGATCCTTCAGTTTTCCTTCTTCGTCAACTTCAAGTATACCAATATCGGTTCCCTCGGAGTTTACCAACCTGGCCTTTGCCCCCTTGACGGTATTGTACAGACGAACTTCGACGTCTTGGGAATAGTCATACACAGTCTTGCTTTGCCCCGATTTTCCGAGCACAAGAATTGTATTTTCTCGGACATATAAGGGTAGGGTATCGAAAGCATGAGTTTCCTTGAACCAGCCAGGCCCGCTCTTCACTTCATTGGTGAAGAAGTTTGTCCACTTACCTTTTGGTAGGTAAAATTCAACATCACCCGATTCTTCAAAAATTGGGGCCACCAGTAAACTATCTCCAAACATGAATTGTCGGTCAAGATACCATGATGTAGGGTCATCTGGGAATTCCAAACACATAGCTCGAAGTGAGAGAGGTATACCCAGCTCGACAGCTTCCTGAGCCTGTGAGAATATATATGGCATAAGTCTTGCTTTCAACAATGACCACTTTGAGAGTACTTTGGAGCAACCTTGATCCGACTTATCGTCTTCATCTACTGTCCATGGTACACGGAAAGAATTACTGCCGTGAAGTCTGCTGTGGGAACAAAGAAGGCCAAAGGCAACCCAACGTTTGTAGATCCAAGGAGGAGGGTAGCCCTCAAAGCCGCCAATATCGACTGACCAAAAGGCATAACCGGACAGTCCTAGAGATAGACCTCCTCGAACCGATTCGGCCATAGCTTCGGGAGTTGATTCGCAATCACCGCCCCACTGCAATGGGAACCGCTGAGTTCCGGCAGTCGCACTACGTGCGAAGAGAACGGCTTCATTCTTCCCGTATCGGTCTTGCAACGCCTCGTAAACAATCTTGTTGTACAAGAACGCATAGTAGTTGTGCATCTTTCTCGGGTCGAGAGACGAATCAAACCATTCAACGTCCTTGGATGGAATGCGCTCTCCAAAATCGGTCTTAATTGAATCGACCCCTTTATCAAACAGACCCTTCAGGCATCCTACGTACCATTCCGTAGCCTCGGGGTTCGTAAAATCAATGATGGCCATTCCAGTCTGCCAAAGATCCCACTGGAAAATGTCGCCGTTCTTGCGCTTGAGCAGGTAGCCTTTGCTCGCAGCGTATTTGAAGACAGGAGATGCTTGACCCAGATATGGATTCACCCACACACAAACTTTTTTGACAAGTCCTACTAGTCTTTAGCAAAAAGTTCTTCGTCAAACCAAATCAGGACTTACCAGATTCTTTCAGCCGGGAGATTTGAGCTTTCGGATCTGGAAACATTTCGGAGTCGAACTCAAAATCACACCAGTGGAATGCTTTCATCCAGAAACAATCAAAGTGGAAGACTTCAACTGGAATATCTCGCACACTCATCCCTTCGAGGAATGAGTTCACGGTCTTTTCGTCGTAGTTTGTGGTGAAACTTGTGCTCAGCCAAAGTCCAAAACTCCAGCTAGGTACTTTTCCAGGCTTTCCCGTCAAGATTGAATACTTTGTTAAAACTTCTTTTGGTGTTGGACCATAAATGATGTACCTTCGACGGTCAATATTTGGCTTTCAGGAAACACGTTGCGGGAGTAACGTACCATTTCAGTCTTTGGCCTTCCACACTAGTCTGAACTCGGCAGCATCTCTCACTTCCGATTTCCAAATCCACCTTGTCAGGGGTGTCAATGAATATACCATATCCCCTCGAACTCATCCAAAATGGCACGTTCTTGTAGGCTTGGTCACTAGAAGTGCCTCCGTCGGCATTCCAAAGCTCAACAGCCTGGCCGACTCTATTAAAAGCCCCAAAACGCTCTCCCAACCCATATACAGATTCGCCCACTGACAGTGTCGATTGAGTGAAGATATAATGTTCAAAGTCCCGCATGTCAGCGATTTGCATCGGGTTACTGGTTGCTGGACTATATGCCAAGCCAACGCTTCGATTGAGTAGTGAGGTAAGTTCTTTCGAACCATCTGTGGCATGGAATCGAATTTCGAAGTCATGATTGCCGGTCTGTACGGTCGCAGACAAGGATCCGGACTTCAGGGTGGTAGACTTTTCGGTTTTTGCAATTTCGACTTGATTACTTTCTGGCTTTCCTGCGGGGAAAAGATCGAAATGAGGTCCTGGATTGCGAGCACCTAGAAAGTGTGTAGTTTCGACGGATATGACTCCATCAAATGGAGCTTCTATATCCTTTCTAAAATCAATATTGATTTCACACTCACTGGCTAGACAAACTTACAACTGTCAAGGTGCTCAAATTCAAAGAATCTGACCTGGCAAATATCTTTTTTGTCGGACAAAGCAAACTCAATGCCTTGCCATCCTCACGTTCGGTGATAGCATATACTTCTTCAGCATATTCTAATCGCTTCCCCTCCGCCGGCAACCACATTCCACTTCTGAATTTCATATTGAGAAATCTTTTGTGATGTATGTTTTGGAGCAAATAATCACTTTCGTGGACTACACTCAGCAATCAACGTTTGGAGTTGAGCAAAAATCAAAGTTTTACGATTAATTCATCACGACAAACCTCTATCTACATAGAGAACCTAGCTAGCTCCAACAGCTGTCAACATCATCCTCATCCCACTTCCAAGTAAATAATTTTGGGTCATCTTGTTTTTGGCTAAATGCAATTTTCGCCAAGCACTCCGATACGTTGATGTTGATGAGGGGTAGCTCTATTTATCCGCCCCACTTTGCATATCCACAACCGGATGATGAATTCGAGATTGGGTTTCGCACGAATATTGTTCCGGAAGTACATCCACCGCTTTTTCCAAAGAGCTTCCACGAGTGAAGTGTCAAGAACTAGATACTTTCGGTCATTTTCCACATATTTATCCCCATGTATCACGAGCGACAACACGAGAGTCCAAGACTGCAGGTCCGTACCAAGATGTACAACGGTCTGCAGGGAAGATCAATTATCCTGATTCAGCTACCTCCTGTCGGTTTAAATCTAGAACTGGTTTGGCTTCAACTTAGGATTTGACATTAAATTATGTCTACATCCCTTTATCCAGTTAATAATAAGAGATGTGTGAATGGAACTAGAGATGCAAGACCTAAAAGGATGCAGGAGGGTGCGCTCCGAGGTCTGGGCCGCTTCGTCTGGGAGGTTTAAAAGAGCAACGATTCCCAGGTGTAAATTTTCTTTTCTTAGGCATATTCTTCACGAAAGATATCACTCTCCCTACTCAAGATGAAGGTCTCCTCAACTTCTCTGGCGGCTTTGCTTGCCTACACCGCCAATGCCTCGTACACCAATTCTACTCCACTGTACAAAGATCCAAATGCAAGTGTGGATGACAGAGTTTCAGACTTGCTGTCTCGAATGACCATTCAAGATAAAACCGCACAATTGATCCAGGGCGATATTTCGAATTGGCGTAATATGACGGATGGCAGCTTTAATGCAAGCGGCTTAGCATGGAATATGGCTACTCGAGCTGGTCAATTCTACGTCGGTTATCCAGTTGCGCAACAGCTGATTGCGGATGGAATCAGGCAAGCGCAAGATTATCTTATGCATAATACCACATTAGGAATACCAGCTTTGGTTCAAAGTGAAGGTATTCACGGTTTCTTGATTGAAAATGCAACTATCTTCAATTCTCCAATTGGACACGCTTGCTCTTGGAATCCGGATCTAATTCAGAAGATGGGAGCAGCCATTGCACAGGAGTCACTGGCGCTTGGTGTAAACCAAATATTTGGGCCTTTGGGTGACTTGGCCCGTGAATTGAGATACGGCAGAGTTGAAGAGACTTTTGGTGAGGACGGTTATTTGGCAGGCGAGATAGGATATGCTTATGTTAAAGGTACGTCAAACAAGATGCCCATTTATGAATCTGATTCTAATCGAAATAGGTCTCCAAGCTGGAAATGTCAGCTCGACAGTCAAACATTTTGCAGCGTATGGAACTCCCGAACAAGGGTTGAACACTGGCCCACAACATGGCGGAGAGAGAGAACTTCGAACTACCTATCTACCATCATACAAGCGCATTATCATGGATGCTGATGCATGGTCTATTATGTCAGCTTATCATTCATATGATGGTGTCGCGCTCGTAGCCAGTCACCATATTCTTACGGAAATTCTCAGAGAAGAATGGGGCTACAAGTATTGGGTGACTAGCGATGCCGGTGCTACAGATCGTCTTTGCGATGCCTTCAAGATGTGCCGATCTAAAGGTAATGGACTACCTATCGATTCAGAAGCAGTAACCATGTTTGTAAGTGATAACCGAACATATCTCATCAAAAACTCTGCTAACTAATTTCAGACACTTCCTGCAGGAAACGATGTCGAGATGGGTGGCGGCTCCTATAACTTCGAGAAAATCCCAGAACTTGTGGAATCTGGAGTCTTAGATCTCGAAATTGTTGACACCGCTGTATCGCGTCTTCTCCGTGCCAAGTTCACCCAGGGTCTTTTTGAAAACCCTTATCTTGCAGTGCCAGCTGACGAGACCGCATCTTTGATCCATACTCCAGCAACCATTGCTCTAGCTCGAGAACTAGACGCTGATTCAATTGTTTTGTTGGAAAATGGTCAAGGTGTCCTCCCTCTTTCAAAAACAGCGAATGTGGCTGTGATTGGACCTATGGCGCATGGATTCATGAACGTGAGTTTTGCAAAAAGTCATTGCTATATAATGCATCTAACACTTTTTAGTATGGTGACTACGTCGTCAATGGAAGCATGTACCGTGGAGTAACTCCATTAGATGGTATAAAAGCTGCCAGTTCAGGAAGTAAGATTTTGTTTCCCGAACAAAAATTCATGCACGTAACTAACATTTCCTAGCTATTACTTATGCCCAAGGCTGCGAGCGCTGGTCAAACGATCAATCCGGGTTTGATGAAGCTGTTTCGGCCGCTCAAGCTGCCGATGTCGCTGTTGTCGTTGTTGGAACATGGTCAAGAGATCAAAATCAACTTTGGCAAGGGTTAAATGCCACGACTGGAGAGCATGTTGACGTGTCTTCCTTAAATCTTGTCGGCGCCATGCCCCACCTGGTCAAAGCTATCATCGATACCGGAAAGCCTACCGTGGTCGTTTTCTCCTCCGGTAAACCCGTCACAGAAGCATGGATTTCCGAAAGCGCATCTGCATTAGTCCAACAATTCTACCCCTCTGAAGAAGGAGGAAATGCACTCGCTGATGTCCTTTTCGGTGACGTAAACCCAAGTGGTAAATTATCCGTTGGCTTCCCCTACGACGTCGGCACCACCCCAATTTACTACGACTACTTGAACTCCGGACGGCCAGTTGATGCAGGTAAAGAGTTCCCCAACGGCACCCTATCCTTTGGTCATCAATACGTCCTCAATTCCCCTGTGCCCCTCTACGAGTTCGGCTATGGAAAGTCTTACTCCACATTCGAATATTCGAACGTTACTCTCTCGGCCAGAAATGTTAGCGCTACTGATACTATTACTGCTACTCTATCAGTCACCAACAACTCAACACGTGACGGCTCGGAAGTTGTGCAGCTGTATATCCAAGACGTGATCAGCAGCGTCGTTGTTCCAAATATTCAACTCAAGGGTTTCCAGAAGGTGGCAATCAAAGCAGGGGAAACAGGAAAGGTGAATATTGATTTGAAGGTACAGGATGTTGGTTTGTGGGATATTAAAATGAAGTATGTGGTTGAGCCCGGAGATTTCGTCGTTCATATTGGAAGTTCGAGTGCGGATTTCAGGACGAGTGCTACTTTTACTGTGGTTTAGAAATTGTAATCTTTTGTTTTTAGATCTTATATATTATGAATTTGAGTATAGGATTCGATGTTAATTATTTTCGTTTCGCCGTTGTGATGTTTGCTAGCCATTCCATGCAGATACGGTATTGATGCTCGGGTACTTGCTGGATAGCTTCGAGTCAGGAAAGGGAGGTATGATGATTTATAGGTATTATTCCATAACCATAATTTGGTTTAACGTCTTTTCTTCTCATCTTAAAATCTCAAATTCTAAAATCTTCATCATACAGCGATAAACTGATTCCTTGAGTGATAATATTTATACGTATTTTGACTCACATAAAGAAATTATAAGATAACCATGTATGTAAAATCTCGATCTTAATCCTAAATATAATTTTGAAGAAGTTTATACTTCATCTCATCTCATTTCATCTCATCCAACCACAAATTCTGTAGCCACACCATGAAGGATGGGATTAGGATTGAAATTGATGTATGTATGATGAAAATCTATAAATAGATAGATAGGTTGCTCGAGTGATTAATATAAGCTTGAAATTTGGCGATTGGAGATTTAAAACTGGAGATTGAAGATTGAAGATTTAATATCGGAGTGAATGAAATGGAGAGAAATACTAGGTGGTAGGTAGGCAGTGTGGGTTTTGTGTTGGAAGATCGTGTGTTGCATAGTAGATATAGAGTAAGATGATAGATATTTATTCAAACAATTCCCCAAATACCCTTCCTTCCTTCACTTCAGAGACTGCCGAAAATAACGCCAAGGAACATCTCTCACGTCATTTTACGATTTAAAACGAAGTATAGCCTAACGCAGGAACAGGAACAGGTACGAGTGAAGATCGAAGGATCAATAGGATTGTGAGGTTAAGACCTTATTTGATATACGAGTCCACCAGTGGTCCACCAATCTGACTAAGTAGCTTTGGTCCGGGAATCTCATGATGATGTAAGATTACTAGGTATCTAGGTAAATATCTTATGATTTGGAATCTGGATCTGGATCTGGATCCTTGGGGCTTGGAGTAAGATGTTAGGGTTGATGTATGGAGTAGGGGGAGGATGGGAAGATGGGGTGGGATAAATATGAAATCATATTAGCATTTAAGATCTTACAATTGTTTGAGATGATTGAAAGTCTTTAATGATGAAAATACTATGAAAAATGTGCTAATCTTAAAATTCCCAAAAATGTACCGTGTGCTGTGTGTGGACCAAGTGTATTGCCATTGCAAATATGAAGATAATAATACATCGTCTCGACTGTAATCTTACAAACGTCGCTACTCGTACATAATTTTTTGCTCTTCCGCTCCTATCAAAACACGCCATAAACCTTTCCTCCCCTTTCCTTTCCCCTAATAACCATTACAAGCCCCACTCCCGGCCACACTATCCAAATCCTTCGGGATAATGCCCGCCCGCACCGCATCCTGATAACTCCATCGATAATCATTCAATTGAGATTTCCACGTCCAGAAAATCCATCCTAATGCATGATTTTCATATCCCATGACTTGTGCCTTGAACCATTTTTTGTAGAATGCACCTTGGGTGGATGTGGACCAGTCTCCATTATCTTGAACGTCGTCTGGAGGAGAGATTGAAAATTCGCCTACGACTGTTGGACCGCCCGTGCTGGAAATCGGATCGTATGTGCAGGAGGATTTAAGGTAGGCCTCTTTGGAGACGGAGACGGTAGACCATTTTAGATAGCGGTGCTCGTCGTCTAGCGGGGAATTTTGGTTAGAAGAGGGGTACTTTTATGAGAATATGGTAATATGGTACGTGAAGCATGTCACAATGAATGGGGAAACTTACAAGCCAAGAAAACGCCATCCCCAAACCCGGAATTCGGATCACCAGAACCCCATCCCTGATCCATAGCTTGAACGTGCAAGTAATTATTTGAGGTAACACCCAACGCGTTCTCCGCATCTCGAATCGCCTTGTAAGCCGCAGGGTAATAAGTTGAAATCATATCCGCAGCCTTTCCAGCATCTTGGACTGGTTCATTCACAATGCCAATCATGCCAACATTTCTGAGAGCATTATTTTGGTGAATGTTGGTCGCGAGCCAAGAAACAAACTTTTCTCCTCGAGCATATTGGTAATCAACGTAGAAACCTGGAGTTGGAGCATTTTGTCCAGTGTCAGCGTTATATGCAACTTGTGCTCCGGGCGCTCCATGCATATCAATGATGATGTAAAATCCAGCATTAGCAGCTGCGTCGCAGATACTCTCAAGATATCTTAAACCTCCTTGAGGAAAGTGTTCACTATCGGAATAAACCAAACTTTCCATTATCCAGTATCCGACTGGGATTCTAACCGTGTTGATACCGAAACTTGCCATTTGTGCAATATCATCAGCAGTAATCCAAGTTTTCCAATGATTTTGGAACGCGGAATTAGCTTTCGCTTGTCCCAAGCCAGATACACAATCGAATTCGGATGCATACGGTCCACAGCCCATAGCGGACCAGGCGTCTTCGGCGATCCATGGTTCAAAGACGAAGAGAGATCCAAGGTTAACACCTCTGATTTTGCCAGATGCCGGAGTCCAGCGACGGGTTGTTGAGTTTTTCGCTTGTGGATCGAAGAGAGAAACACCCTCTTTAGAACGGAGCTCTTTATCACCTGGCAGCCATGCACTGACTGTGCTGGCCAGAAAGGCAGTGAGGAGTGTTGTCGAGATGTACATAGTGGGCCGATGAATTGAAGATACTATCAAGAACACAGGATTGAAGCAGTGTCAAAGAAGATAAGAAGTAAGGAAGGAGCAAATGAACCTCGGTCCTAGATTCACTGTCATAAAACAAGAAGAACGCGCAGAAATTGTAGACAGATGAAGTAGAGGCCCACTGCCAAATGGAGGTAATTGTCACGAAGAACTTGAGATGATAGAGAACAAATTCAGGTGAGTGCAAGATGCATCTTATAAGGTATTCTGTGAGTGATGACATAGAAGGATATGTTCCTTTCGGCATACTACCCGTCTCAAATAATCATTCCATTACTCGATGAACTCCAGATTTTCCCACTATAATAGTCATCATTACCAAATAACAAGATCAATCAGGGGATGCAAGAAGACTTGTCGTTGTATCCTCCCATCCTACTAGAAAGCTAGTTCGTGATCGTGTAGTATTATGGTTACACAAGATGGTCCCAAAGACATCTGGAAATAAAATTAGTTAAACGAAGGAGGCAAATATGACAGACAGGGGGTAACCTTATTTCTAGCTCTTTATTTACCTGATCTCCGGAAATAAATCCTTCAAGCTGTGTTAGTAAGATATTCAAGTTGAATCTGCTACTAAGAATGTCCAAAAGGTTCGAATTGATAATCTGAACTTTGGACCCTAGGATTTCGATTTGAATTTACATCTAGCCATACAGGGCAACTGTTCCTTCAACTTGTGCCCATGAAACAGCAAGGTTAAGGCTGATATAAACAGAAAGCTGGCTGGATATCACTTGAACCCATTATTTGCATTGCAGTATTTGTCAATCTGCTCCAAAAATTGACCAAACAGTGGCCGCTTGCGCGACGGCGATCGATATCTGATACTCCCATACAGGACAATTGAGTAGTAAATATTAATAGATTAGGAGTTCTTTCGTCAGAAAGATAGGAAGGTTGTCGTGGGAATTATGACTAATCAGATGGGCGTGCTGACACCTAGAAAAACCAGAATCCTACTAATTTCCTTGTGCATAGCACGTTTCAATATCACCAGATTGCTGACACATGGGGAAAAAATTTAAATGGCATCTTTTGTTGGAAGCCGTTGGCAGCACTTGCTTTCCTTGGTTTCTCGTTTCTCTCTCTGCTTCTTCTGGAAGGAGCCATTCTGGGAATGAATATCGATCATCATAGAAGCTACAGGGTAGTCGCTCCTTCTACGGAGTGCACTTCCTAACATTTGGCTTGACACGAAAGAGCTCCAACCAAGGTATACTATTGTACCTAGAGGACACTGTTGCCCCTGGAGGCGATGTTAAAAATATAGCCACTACAAAATAAAATGATATCGAAGCGAGCGTTCATGTTGGATTTCAATCCTCAAGGAATAATAACTGAACATGAGCGATGAGGTTTCAAGAACTTCCTCATCCGACTTGGTATTATCTGGTCGCAATTCATCAAAGTGGAGAGAAACAGAACGGATAACCATGTTCAAGTCAGGATAAGCTATACACATCCCCGTCGAGAATCATCCGTCTACCCGTATCGTATTCCAAATTCCAAATGGTGACGTCAAAGAAAGGATATTAAAGGTTGAAGATGTTGCTATACGGATGTGAAAGGGGAGCTGGGTTTTTGGGATGAAAAGCATGATGTTGTAAATTTTCCGGTGTCACTGAATTGGCGCCGTGATGTGGATCGATCGGTTCACCAAACTAGTACCTCGGCGTCCTCACCACATCACGATTAGCAAAATCATTAATCACCTCACGATTGATTTTATAAATGAACTTTTTCTGCTTGCACAATATTGGCACCCTTCATCGTCTGGCTCATCCTCAACAGGTCTGCACCGAAACAAAAGGGAATGCTTGTAATCACTATAGAAACGTGGCCCTAAGAACTTGGCCGATTCATAGCTACTAAGGTTGAGTCAATTGCGGGTAGCTAATGAAATATGTTGAAACCAATTTCCCAGCCATTTTCAAAGATGCATTCCAACTCCACCAAAACCATCTTTTTAAGAAAAAACGCAAGCAGCTCCCGTACATTCTAAGCTTTTGGTTCATATCTTACTTGTTTGTCAACTTTTGCAACCTGCGGGGATGTCCAGAGTCAGCATTCTGCAGGAGAAGCTCGAAAGCTAGCGCTTGATTACTTGGTGGAGCGTCTGATTTCAGGCAGCTAAGTAAAGCTCAAGTAGGATTTAATTCCTCTACATAAATATTAGTGAACAACCTTCGTCAATTAATTTGGGATTGCTCTTACTCTTAATACATCATGGTTTATCTGAAGAATGCAGTATATGCTTTCGCGGCTCATATCTTCCTCGGAAGTCCTAAAAACCCTCTAGAAGACGCTGCATCTTCTTCATGCACTAAGACCATACCTCCTGATATCACTATTGGGCAACCCAAAAATATATCAATCATAAGTTCGAATGTCACTCGATCCTATCTCATCGTCGTTCCACCTCTTTATACAACCCAGAACTTGACTCCTGTCATTTTTTCTTTCCATGGAGGTAATCGAAATGCATCAGAACAACTCACTCTCGACCAAATATCATATCCAGAATTTAACAATTTCTCCATAACCATTTATCCTCAAGGCGTGAAGGTAAGATTATTTCTCAAGGCTGAGCCCTAGATTGACAATATTAGGGAAAGTGGGAAGGTGATCCTGGAAACACAGCAAACGACACCCAGCTTGTCAGCGACATAATTGACAGCCTTAACGCAACCTACTGTGTAGACTCCAAACGCATCTGGGCCACTGGTAAATCCGATGGAGGGGGTTTCTGTAATACCCTAGCCTGCCATCCAATTCTCTCCACCAAAATCGCTGCATTCGCACCTGTTTCCGGCGCGTTCTATATCGATACTCAACCCTGCCATCCGCACAACGTCACAATACCATGTTCCCCGGGGCGTTCTAAAATCCCTATGCTTGAATTCCATGGCGGAAACGACTCGACAATTCATTATGAGGGACAAGCTAATCGATCCGGTGAATGTATACCAAGTATTCCGCATTGGGTGCGTGAGTGGGCTTTGAGGGACAAATTGGGTTTGGAAAATGTTACGACTGTTTTGACAAATGATACGGTTATATATAATTATGGAAAGGGGGATGAGGAGGGCTTGGTAAAACATGTTTTTGATAGGAACCTGGGACATGATTGGCCGAGTACGGTGTTAAATGATGATTTGATTGGACATGGAGAGGGACCGGCAAGTTTTAATGCTACGCCGATTATTTTGGATTGGTTTCAGAAACATATTTTACCATAGTTGGTAGAAATGGATTTACCGTTTATCATCAAGGATTATGTATGTGGTAGATGAAAGAGCGACGGTGCGGTTTCTAAAAAATGCTTGTTTCTGAGTACATTGAGATTCCAATCTAATTGTGACAAAAATAGCAGTTGTCAAGTACTCCATTCTTATTCTCCAACAGTCTAGTCCTTCATATCTTCAGACTTCACATAACACACTGGAGAAACCAATAAACTGGAGCGAACATGTTGACACCCTCTCTGTGCTATGTATCTGGTTACATCTACTGCACCACTGTATCCATCGTACCTGTCAAATATTGCCCTGGGTTTCATGAATCAGCGAAAGAAAAGTTTTTATTAGAAATCATAAGCATCTTTCATTCACTAGGTTAAGATAAACGACCTGTTCATAATTTGCAAATTGTATGTGCAAAGTTCGAAAATACGAATCGAAGATGAAATTAAATTGCAATGGGAATATGAGTGGGCAACGGGAGACATGGTAAAATTTCCAAGACAAAAAAAAAGGGAGGTGAGAGATAAGAGCAAAACTATTGGACCTGTCAAGTTAAACTGAATCACGTGATCCGCTTTATCCGCCTTCATCTGAGGCAGCAAATGTAGTCGTGCATGGAGTGACAGAAGATGTACCAGTGAATGCAGGAATGAATTGGTAACGGCGTATTTATATGCTCACCTGAGACTTCTAAGGACTTAGATATGGGTACTTTCGTCATTAATATATGATAGGAGGTTGGGATATGAATTTGTAAGTGTGCTGTGTATATTAGTACCCTTTCTTTGGTTGATAGCCTTTGTAGGAGCTTAAAAATCTTGATTTCATTAATTTACTTTACATCGTAAACATTAGGAATAATGCTTCTTTCGGATGTCGAATCTTTAAAGTGAATATTCAACGCACAGATGTCTTCCGTCCATAATCTAAGATGTTACATTGCACTCACACCATATCGATATCAAGAGTTGCCATGAAGGGGCTTAAGCGAAATTTGTGTATAGCTTTTAATATTCATAGTCGATTTGTACATCAGTGAGATGAGAGTAATATGCATGATAGCCGGACGTCATTGACAATAAAAAGTTAGCGTTAATATTATCGTGGGGATCTGACCCCAATCGCCATGGTACTCGCCACCACCATCGAAATGCGGCATGGATTGATATCTATGTCCAATGGGCTAAAATTGGAATAGTGATATTATGTGTTGAGTTGGAACTCGACAACTAGATACCAAGATAAAGCGCTGCAATTATCCGGAGCCCATAACTTATGAATGGTGATTTGAAGTTCGTGACCTTATGGTTTCTGTGCTTCAATCATGTAGAAAGACGGAAAGGAACTTGTGGTGTTCATTTTCGATGATTCTGGGGAAAAACTACTTATGATTGGACCGGAAAATTTATGTCGTGGTGATGGTTAGTACGTAGCTCCTACAGGAACAGGAAATCGACATAATTACCATTAAGTACTCCAGCCGCTACAATTCCATTAGCTAACAACCCCAAGGCCTAGGTTGCCTTCTCATATTAGATCCGGCTTGCACTTTCATAGTTCCTGAATTCGATATCTCGAAGGTTTCAACGGTTGGACGCAAAGTACCTTGTTGCGATATTGGCGCTTTGAGAATAAATTTGATGTTTTATATGACCGCTATTGAGAAGCATTAGTCATTTCGACTACTACTCTTATCTTCGAGGAGAGGAGAAAAAGTGAAACAACTACAAACGCCCTGAGGACAGAATTTTGAGTTACTGCGAAGCGACTTTATGAAGGAACCTAGGACAGTGAAGAACAAGGCTAGGAGGATAAGTGGTTGGAATCGAGGTCCGCCTTGACTGCCGGTCCCATTGCTATTTTCATGAAAAAGCTCACTTTCTAGGCCACCAACTGTGGTATCAAATTGAGCCATCAAGCAGGATGTATTCAAGCTCTGAAGTTTGAGTACCAGTAGAGAAGAAAGACATATCGACTTTGGAGTGAAGTCCAAGTAATGACACTAGAATCACGATGCGCGGCCGAATGAGAGTTTGCCTTAAACCCAGACTTTGCTGGTGAGGAAATAGCGGGACGCGAAATAAATCGTAAAACATTTTCAGGTTCATACTTCGGTTTGAAGCTATCGGAAAAGCCTACACAGTCCTCCAGTGTCTAGATTCTTAGAACAGCTAAGCTCAAGATCAATTATCCAATTAGGCGGATTACGGGGCTATGTTTAAGAGCGTCTAATGCTATGTTTAGTTATGGACATTTTGATTGGGCGCAATAGAGAGCAAGGTCAGCAAGTATTGCCACGGCCTGTTGGTAGTCAAACTACTCATGTAAATCTGCTATCAAATTCTCCTAACAAAAAACGGACTTGATTTGCCAATGAAGGCATTTATGGCCGGATGCTGTATGGTGGAATTGCAGATTTCCAGCGGACGGACATACGAAATGAGAAGGAGACATTTGATTTCCAGAGTTAGGAGAATGTGGAAATGTAAATTCATTCATCGTCAAATCAAATGATTCTTTGATACAAGCTGCCTGCAGCGTTACAAATTCTGTTTGTGCTTTTTTACTCTGGTAAAACAGAACAGGGCTGACTAATCAATCGCAAGAAAATCAAGCAAACAGAGACAACGATTCTTGCTACGCTTGTAAATTTTAATGCGAACATGTGTGAAATAATAATCCCGTCTGATAGATGGCAAGGATGACACTGTGCAAGGCGTGGCTACGCTTTCTTGCGCGAGGTCCCATCCTATGAAATTGTGGTTACTCACAGTACAGCAAGCGCCAAAGGCTAGAGCTACTGGCTCCAAGATATGCAGCAGGGCAATAGGTGCTTGACTAGAACCGGGCACAGATAACGTTGGTAACCTTCCTAAGTAGTTTTAGGTTTCCTGCAACTTCAAGACATCATAATGGCTCGTCGGATTTCAAAAGCTTTGAAATTTATACGGCAATAAATAAATTTCATATATGCGAATGCTTTTTCATATCGTAGTGGGCGTCATTCAGAGGTTTCATCGTTTTTCAGTATACAAAGTGCACGATAAAATGATTATCTCTTTTCTAATCTTATCTCCTTTGCTCCACAGTAACCCTGATTGCCTAATATCCTAACTACGTGTTCGTACGGGCCCATTGGTGGCCCCTCAACGGAAAGAATGTGTTGCGTTAACGCGCTTTTTCCCCTCGGCTTTTTCGCGTATGCAGACTCTTGCAGGAAGCCAGCCACCATGAAAATTTGATCAGTTTTGTCGAAAACGAAATCACCAGACTGAAAGCCATGTATTGATGGACTGAAGTCGGTAAAGGCCGTGGTTGTCAAACACACAGTTCACCTATAAGGCAAGGCCAACGAGAAGTGGGTTCATCTTGGCTTTTTGAAGCAAGATTATTTATATCCATACATGAACGCTGGCCGCTTCATCTCTTCTTTTTTGTTCTTGGGTGGTGTAATAGTTCCTATTAAATAGACTCTCTCACCATCCGCCCAAGCTCAAATCAGTGCTAGATAAATTGCGAAGGTTTTCCTTTTTTCCTTTTGATGAAGGAAGTCTTTCCATCAAACATTGCAAGTTGTACTTGACCAATATGGCGCTGTCAACCTTCGCTGCAAAAGGTCTTGAGTTAGCTGAAAGGGTAGGTGATTTTTTTCTTTTTCTTCGTGGTTATCCAGGAATATGTGAATGCTTGTTTTCTTGACAAAAGGGAATTGGTTTTACAGAAAGTTCGCTCTTATGCTAATGTTTTCGATCTCAGGGTTCCTTCATACTTTATGGTGCTGGTTATTTTACCGAAGAAGAATGGGTGGAGTTGGATGCTTTACTTCATAGGGGCAAATACGTGTTCACGAATGGTCCGCAAACCTCAGTAACAAGTATTCTCGATGACTTGGAACCTAGAGCACTTTCCGCGGCTAGCGATGAAGCACGATCTGGAACAGAGAGTAATGCCGAAGAAGATCTCCTAATTTTTGATGAGCCTCCCGAGGATAAGACGATAGAAGTTGACTGTTCAGCCACATCGGTTGATAGTGATAATGAGGTGGTTTCAAAGTTACCTACAGAAGTCGTGGAATCTCATGACGATCAAAATCAGCACAAGCAGGAGCATGGGCAATCACCAAAAATAATCGCGCAGTACTACCAACCAAATAACACCGAGTTTCGTCCGGTTTGGCTAACATAATCCAGCACCGATGCCCCTATCGCCCCTAGTAAAACACTTGCCCGGTCGAGTTCTCCGCAATCAGTTCCTATCGGTACACGATCTAGAAAGACAAACCCTTCCGCCTATATTGGCAAACTATTCGTGGCAACAAAAAAGTTTGAAAGACCAAAAGAGTTTTCTGCCAAGCTAGAGGTTTCCTGCGGTGATAAAATCCAAGTCGTGAAACATGTTTCTGGCAATGAATATCGAGGTGTGAACCAGAGGACGGGACTGTCTGGGCACTTCGATCTCTCTATCATCACAGCAGACACGAAGATCAGCAGCACAGAAGCAGATGGTGGTAATACAGTTATGAGAAAAGCTGGAGGCTTTTCTATGGATGAAGTAGACAGACAAAGAACTGCCGAAGTGAGTATATACCGACATAGCGTCCGAATATTTCTGTTCCTTTCCTAAGTTGAACATTTGTAATCCTCATCTCGATTTGTCTCAATAATGGACTGCTAATGCCATCCAATAATAGTGGGAGAATGAAAGTGAGTATGATGATCAATCTCGATCGGTAAAGTCACAAAAAGCTTCGGATAGTGGTAAAGCTAGGAAGCAGGTAGGAAGCCTGGGTGGTTCCAGATTTGCCTCTCTAGCTGACATTGATCACCAAAGCGTCAGCGAGAGCGAGAAAGCTGCACTTGAGTCTGTGGTCTGCCGTCAAAAGACTGAGCTTGAAAGAGATGTGGTCGAGCACTGGGCATTAAACGAACCAGCAAATGATGACAAGGTTGGTTTCCTTTCCCTGACATATGGTTTAGCCTTTTTCTTTCGTACTGTCCAATTCGCCCTAACTACGTCATATGTGCGAAAGTTAATACATTCCTGAGAGGAAGCGACTGCCTAGAATGGAGTTAGTACTAAAAGTGAACCGTCGAATTAAAACTGCCTCTCCAGGTTAGTGCCTTCTATAGGAGTTTATAAACGTGTGATGTATGAATCATGAATGGCATCCCCATTGGTTCGAGAAAAGTATTACAGTTCAACGGTTCCCCACACCCAAGGTCAAGCAAACACCTTAGACTCTACTAGATGGCGACCGTTATTTGACACATTCTATATATTCTCACATCTTTTTTCCCAACTTTCTTAAACATCGAAACCTTGACATCAAAACTTAACACTTCTTAACAGAAATCACAAATCGTGCTATATTGTCAACAATCAAATAGTACTTCACCAAAACCAGAAGACAATATGCCTCGAAACAACACAAGAGAAAGGCTACGCAACAAGCCTTACGAAATTGTTGTCCCAAAGACCGAGGTCTGCTAGTAAGTAAATCATTTTCGTCACCTCTACATTCTGAAAGTACGCTCAAACTTCAAATTACAATCCATGACACAACGCATGACAAATCACTTTCCAAGGGGCCATCACTAACAGCTCTCAGTTTCTGGTCGCTGCCAAAGGGCTGTCGCTACACAGAAGCTCAATGTCGCGATCTCCACGAAGAACGCGAATACACGCTGCAAACCAACCTCCGCAACGGCAAACCCAATCCGGGAGCCCTCTTCGACTCCGTACGCGAGATTCCCTCTCCTGCCCCGGGAAAATCTCACCAGCCAGCCAAGGACCCCTCTACCACCGTCGGAAAACGTTTCACGTGTTTCTTTTGGGATCAAGGAGGTTGTAGGAGAGCGGAGAAAAATTGTGATTTCTTACATACTTATGTGGGAAGTGGGGGGATCTTGCTTAGGGAAGTACAGAATCAGGCGGTGAAAAACAGGAATAGGAAATTGATTGCCAAGCCGAAGTTTTCTGATACGGACAATGATGCCGAGGCAAATGGATGGGGTGAAAGTAGTTCCGGATGGGGATCCGGATCTCAATCACCGCCCTCTAGTGATAAGTGGTAGATAAGGTGCTATCGGGTTGGGTTAGTGGAAAAGGGACATAGTGATATATTCTCACTATGATGGAAGGAAGTCGAACAATATCGCTGATCAAATTCAAATCGGGGTATAATTTATCAAGGATATCTATATTCTACAAAACGGAAACGGACGACGATATCGAATCGACTCAACATAATACACCCACACTACACGTATCTCAAACTCCAGCATTCATCATTCGAGGCTCTCTGGCACGAACGACATAGAGGGCATGCAGTTATCAACGAGAGCACATATAACAAAAACGGGTTGGAGTTTTCATGCGAGAATTCGAGGTTATACATAGATAATTCATTAAGAAATAAAAAAATCATACTATACTATACTTTTTTCCTTCATGTTCGTGACGTCATATTATCCTGAGAGCTATAACATTTCCAATGTTTAGGATAAAAAGATTACCAATACCGATATAAATATCATGAAGTGAAGCGAAGTGAATGAGTATCACAGCAAATGAATGCAATGGATAAATGTACGCACCACGATACAAAGCAATAGATCGCGATGAAAAATACTGGAGATGGAATATTCGAGCTATGTAATACTTACCTGAGGAAGATATGCACAGCCAAGGATCCCAGAATCCCAAATCTCACAACCAAAAATTTACTTGCTCAGGACAGAGAAGCATCGCCTCCATAGGTCTATCTGTGTTTGCCTGGTACATTCCAATGTACCTTCCCTCGTTTCCCTCGTTTCCCCTCTTCAAAAGCAACAACCAAAGACGGAGAAAACGCAGTCTCACTGAAGTCCAAGAAGGGAAGTTGCCAAGATGACACCTGTATGATAAAAGATTATGTTTTTGAAAGTAAGATATTAAAAAACTGTCTATTAAGATCCCGTTTGGTCAACCAGCCATCCAATTCCCTAGCCCAAATCCTTGTCCAATACCCATACTCATTACCATACCAAATACCATACCAAATCCCCAGTTCCACTGTCCCAATATCCATTCGAATTCGGGAAACATTACAAAATGGACAAAATTCTCGTGATATCGTTATGAATTATTAAAAGGCCGTTATAGGTATCGACTCCTCAAAGCTTGGCTGATGGTACTCATTCTACTAGCCATCCCGCCTGCCTGCATGTTGCTCGCAAGTGCCTCTTCTAGTGCACTTTGTGTTACGGATGCGTCTAATTTTCGTTAGAATTAGCCATTGTTCTTTCCTCACTCGAAATTCACTGTATAGGAGAGTTTTCGAGAACAAAATAGTGGAATTAGAGTTAAGAAACGCAATGGGAACGGATGAAAATTACTAAAGGGATAAACAAGGAACAAGAATGGAATAAGCCTTATGGCTTGAAAGTCGTGGAGAAAGGGGAAGACAGACCATCCAAATCACTAAAACTACTACCCATACTTGGTGTTCCTCCATCACTTCTCTCACTTTGTAACTCCGCTGTTCGGCGCGGGCTTAATGGTCCGCTTGGTGGTCGTCTTCCTCCTCCGCTTACAGCATCGTGTCTTTTGTTAACGATTTGAGCAGTAGAGCTTGTAGAAGAATCAGAAGTTTGTGATTCAAGTGGTACTGTTTTTTTGGTAAGAACCGGTGTTCGTCGTGAGATGTTGCGGGGGTCGCCACGAAGGGTAGCAGATGGATCATGAGAGGTACGGAGAAATGCAGGTTCGTCATCATCCGAAGAGGGGCCTTGGGGTTTCTTCTTGCTGGAAGGAAAGCGTCGGTGGAGGAGCCTGGACTGAAATTGAAAAGCGTCATCGTCAGAAGAGTCCTCTGGAGAGGAAGGTTGTGCCTGTTGTGGAGAGTTTCTAGGTGGATGGTCAATCGCCATTGAAGCAGGTCGTGATCGTGGTTTTGGAGAGAGGGTTCGTCGTTCTATGGTTGCATGACCTGGCCGGGGACTTGTTGGTGAAAATGTTCGGGATTGGATAGTTGTGTCTCGAGATGAGGTGCGAGAGACTCGCGGAGCTAGTTAACGTCAGATATATGATATGATGCATAGCTAACTAAGGTTGAGTTAATACCCATTGCGCGATTTGGTGTATCTGGTACGCTTCCATCAGTCTTCGACAAAGATGTTTCTTTTCTGTTAGATAAAGAGGATTGAATTCGTGGACCTGCGAGTAATGAGCCCCTAAATCGAAGTGTCGCATGTGCCAACATACCTCCACCTCCAGATCCTGTCCTCTTCATTCCTTCACCACCTGTTGTTTCCGATGTGCTGCCTGGAACTGGTGACGGAGCTAAAGAACCTTTCGATACCGTCACTTTCCTCATCTGCGCGCGAACTTGGGAGAGTTGTCGTTCGTAAAGCCATGCTGCTTGTTGGAGAAGGAATGCAAGAGTGACTTCGAATTTCGTAGCCCTGCGATTGAATTAGGTTGAATGTAAGAATACGAATATGAAACCTACAATGCAGCCCCTATATCAGTTAGCATAATAATACTCATAATCTATTCAAGGACTTACAATCAACATCACTATTCTTCGAAGCTTTGGACAGTATCTTCCATAGAGCCTTGTCCTTGGCTGCATCCCATTCCACCTACTGAAGTCAGCCCGATTCATTTAATCATCAAAATATTCCATACATACATCTGGAGGATCAACAAAGTCACCACGGGGAAATGGTAATCTTATGAATACAGTGTAAGAAGGATCTGGTTCTGGATCTGGATTTGACATTGTTGCTTTTAGTTGATTGTGATAATGCTGTGGATGCTTTAATGTCTCCATACTCTTTATCAAAGGTGGTTCATGCACTAAGATAAAGCTAGTCGTCGTTCTAGTAAACTGTGGGGTGCACCTACCACTATCATCAAATACCTACTACTACTACTCTCATGTGACTCCATCAGAATACCAACTAATTCGTAGTACAGATTATCCTCCAAATTGAGAAACTTAATTTGGATTGTTCAAGAGCGACAACAATTTTTGTCCTAATTTATGTGTATATATATCTTAGTTATTTATCCGCCCTCACCGTCTGCATTCTGTCTAAGCACAGATTCTCATGGTCACGTGTCGGTGTTGTGGTTTAGTGGTATAATTCTTGCTTAGGGATTTATCTATCTTCATTGATTGATTCTCCATGTAAGAGGTCCCCGGTTCAATCCCGGGCAACGCCCAAGTTTTTGAATTTTTGGGAACCATTCTTTTGGTCGTGGAATCTAGCGATTTTGCTTCAATGTATTAAAGGGAACCCTACTCGATTGGTCAGAGCTTTACCGAGATCCCCTATTTTCTCTATTACCTTTTGAAACACTTCTTGCTGTTGTGTGTCTGGCATTTTGCTTGCGCAGATCCATTTGTTCGCAATTTTGCCACCTGAAGCGCAGGCACCTCTTGCCCAAGAGAATATTCTGTCTAAATTCCCGTGGCATCTACTTGCGCCGAGTGCAATTCAAATAGGGCGGTAAATGTTTTGTTCCGAAAGATCCGCTAGTCTTGGGTCTCCGAATCGAGGAAGCAGCGATGGAAGGAGTTGCTGCGGGAGAGGTTAATTAGAGCATACAAAGACCGAGCTTAGAAGAACAGATGGCAGCTCAGTGACTTGTAAATAAGCTTGTGTGATAATAGCTTATAAAAAAGAAGGTTATGGCTTCAAATATAATAGAATAAGTCTAGTACCCTACTTTTGGACCACCTCTAATATGGACCACCTTTTTATATCAAAAATCATCATTTTCAACTATTAATAATTCAACAACAAATAAATAGAATCAATTGAAATTTTAATTATAAATTTAATATATAATTATTGATGGATTCTGAAATTTTCAGATTTTTGATGATTTTATTGATTGAGAAATTGAAAGTTGAAATTACAATTTTCAATTTATATTGGATTTATATACAAATTTGAAAATCTTGAAAATCTTCAATAAATTTTCCAAAAAAATTGTTAAAAATAAACTATAAATCTTTTTGGGATTTTTAAATTAAATTTTATATAATAGATCAATTTTTTGAATTTTAAATAATATAAATGAATCTTTATTGATATTTTTAGATTTTATAGGGATTAAAAATCATAACATTTTGATTAAAAGGATTTTTGTAAAATATTTTTTATAATAAGTTGATCTATTTGATTATTTATGATATAAACATTCGAAAAAATTTATAATTTATTTTTAATTACTTTTGTGGACAAGTCAAGATTATAAATCTCAATGAAACTAATTCCAAAAAATCTAAAATTTTCAGAATTGAGTTATAATTATATAATGAATCTACAATTCAAATTTCATCAAATTCTATTGATTGATTGTAAATTTATTAATAGATAAAAATCACGATTTTTGGTGTAATAAGATGGTCCATATTAGAGGTGGTCCAAAAAGGGGGTACTAGACTTATATTAGAGCTGCGGCACTACAATCTCTTCTTTATTTATTTACTCAATTATTCTAAATTTGATAACTAATAACTTCACAACTTCACGACATTTGGGGTTAGGTCTAACACTGTATCCCGCTTCCTAGGAATCGATGAACATATATAAGAATCGAATTCCAGATTTTCATATCCAAGTGAATGATTAATTCGCGAGTGATTACTTCACATTACTTTATAAGGACCTCGACATTGAGATTGGTCCTAGCCTACCTCATTACACGAGTTTGTGAACGTCCAAACATGCGAGTTTTTGCTTGTGTCTGATATTCCCGTCTGTAGTCTAAAGAGACGAAGGACTTTTGAGTTATAAACAATTTTGAAGGTCAAGGTGAATCCAAAAATATTTCGAAAGAAAAGCTTACTGATGATCAAAAAGATGATAACGATCCTGTAGATCTCAGATCTAACTGTAGTCCAGGCTATTAGTCAGCTGGTCTGTTTCATGAACAGTGAGCCTCCAGGATAGATAAAGCAGATAATATTGAGGTCTAGATCTAGTATTATTAGTACGAATAAGGCGCCAAGAAAAACTAGTCACTTTTAAATACTATTAGACTGTTTAAAGTCACACAGGACAATTTTTATTTGAACAATACTATAGAGATTGATCAGATTGGATGAAAATGAACTATCTACTATATGAAAGGTTAGCTGCATTTATGAGTGAGCGGATATCTTAGATGATTCCTGCTCGAATGTGGATCGAATTACACGTTATGTATAAAGTTTGATATCGTCGTTCTCCTATCTTCCGTAAGACCCACCATTACTCTTTCGTAATAGATTGGTTCGTTCTGTGGTAACTTCTCTCTTAAAAATCGATCATTAATGTCCATTCTAAAAGTGCACTAAAAGCTGATTCGGCGTGACGCGAAGCCCAAATATACTGGAAGCTTACGCGATTTCGTTGCCACAGCCAAACAATTCTCCTAATACCATTTCCAATGCTTCCTATCATAAGCCACCTCCATAGAGCTCAAAATGACCTTTGTGGCTTCCTCCTCCCAAATCCCCAGCCCCATATTGAACAGTTTAGGTAAATGGCTCGACTTGAAAGCTAATTCCGCATCGTCCCCTTCTTTTCAAAGGATGGGCCAGCCGGATCAATCGTGCATTGGCGTGCAGATATATTTCTGGTAATGACGTGGCCTCGCAAAGAAGTAATAATCTTCTTGGCTTTCTCGGAGACGTCTTCTTAGGACTTTCCCAGGATGAAGATCCGAGGCATCTTTGGGGACCCGCGGATATACAAACTCGAGGAGAAATCGAGATGGACCTAAAGTGGTGTTACCAGGCCTTTTGCGTCGAATTCGAAGTGGATGCTCCCATGAAAACTGCTTGGTCCAAAGGTCATATCCATGTCCTAGGTCATGCCAGTCGTTGGTAAATTTATACTGTGGAATTTGAGCGGGTGGAGAGTTGTATCAAGCAAGAACGTCAACCGCACGTCGCAGCTCGATCTTTAATTGGTATAAAAGTTTGTATAAATTGTACATCTCGGACAAGTCAAGCCGAGAGGAACCGAGTTCGCCTAGCCAAGATGTTCCATGATGTGTGGTATGCAATATCGAGTGGAAAAGTCTCCAAGCTGGCAACCGTATTTGGGCGCTATTCCAAAAATCGGCAAAAATACAGTATTTAAAGTACGTAGTATATCACCCATCTTTCCTAACACGGACATCTGAAGGGCCCTTCTTTCTGTTCCTGGGTGGCTTTGGTTGAGAGCTCGCCTTCTTTCTCCTGGATGCCATTCTTCTAGCTGTCCGAAACTTATCTCTAAGATAGCTGTCTGTGGTAGACGAATCGGCGTTGTAAGAATTCTCCTACGGAAATTTACGTAGCATAGCAAGTGCCAAACATAAATACTAGAGTTTAATTACAGATTCATCGAGCTGCTCGATCTGTCCAAATCATGTTTGAAATAGATTTCTTGTAAGATTGCTTCTTTAAGCGAAAGGATGGGATAAGCCTGAGTCCCAAGTGGTACTGTTGCTCTGTATTGATCGGATACATTCCAATAAAGTGATCTCGATTGCAAATTTATCCTTAAGTGAATTCAGAATTGCTTCTTCTACTAACGGTGTTGTGTTAATACTCATGAATTTTCATGATGAATTTTCCTTTGGTTTGTGAATGCGGCGGTAAGAGAAGAAAATCTTCACGTATTAATTAAGAATAAGTATTAGATACATAAACTGCGATTGAACCAGGCAAGTAAAAAGCTTCGTCAATCACTCCAAAAGACTACAATGCCATAGTCTTCCGCTTTTCCCTTCATATAACGATGTTGGAATCGATCATTGAACTCATAAACAGCATTCCATACATTTCCTTTACACACTGGGTCTCCCAAAAACTTTCCTAGCTGCCTTGCAATTCAACTCTTTCACGGCCACCAATCTCAGCTACTACGTTGGTTGTGTTTCCGGTAAAGTATTGCTTCGGCGGATCATAATATACTGAAGGTTCTGTGAGGAGGTCGGTCGGAGGTCTGGTAGAAGTACTTTTGGCATTGCGCCTCCGCCTGAAAATGTAAAACGCTAATCCGGCAATCAACAAAGCTGCAACCACTATACCAACAGCAATACCGGCTTTTGCACCTCCACTCAGGCCGTTGTCATTGTCCTCAGAGGTGGGTGTGGACGAGGACGTCGCCGATGGCGTAGCGATTCCCGCACTCGATGTTACCGGTGATGTTGCTACAGTACTAGCGGAACTTGTGCTTGAAGCAGACGAAGAAGTTTGACTAGAAGAGATTGTCGAAGATGTTTGGCCAGAAGAGGTTGTCGAAGACGATGAAGATCCTCCATCAATAACCAAGAATCCAGTGCTGGAGACCTCTTGGGAGCTCGCGTTATACACAGAGCTGAGATCCTTAAACCGGAGGACATATTTTGCGTCCTTGCTCAAAATTTTCGTCGGGATTGTAATGGTCCAGTCATATGTACCACTGTTGTTTGTGTTCACATTCTCTAAAGGATTCAGAATCATCAGGAAATGTACAGAGTGTAAAATTGAATACTAAGACGTGAAAATGGGGGGAGTGCAGTCAACGGTGAATATTCATACCTGTGAGCAGTTGACTGAATTGTGTGTTCTGGTAATCCCATGTCGTAACCCACAGATTGGATAGTGTGTTAAATTTATATCCCTCCGGGACTGGGTTCCAAGTAACCTGAAGAGTTATACCCTCCGTGTATGTTTTAGAAAGGTCCGCGGTGTCACCGTCTGGTACGACCCATACGGCCGATGATACGCCAGTTTGAGCGCGAACCGGTAGAGCGTAGAGTATATAGATGTTGAAAATAATATTAAGGATAGAGAATTCCATTGCCATTCGTTTGCCCAAGAGAAATGTGCCCGGTCTCATCGTCATAAAAAATTCGTGATATAAAAAGATTACAAACCTGCGTACAAAGATCAGGGAAGAGCTTGAATAATGTACTTTCAGCTGGCCTCCGAGTGTCCATTGACAACTTGTCAGCAGCCCGGGAGTCCTGGACAACAAGGCATGGCGGCCTTGAATTAATGTGTGGGTCATTCCAGATTAAAGGATAGAAACGTCTCACTTGAGAGCATTTTCTACACTAATGCTCCTTCATACTTGCTCACATCCCATGCCGACATGTTGAAATTTCTCAGAGCTGAATATGTATGGTCAGTGCTTACGAGCTTCCATGATTAGCTTAGCCGGCCCTCGCTCTCGGCAAAGTGGGTTTGCCGGGTAGGCGAACAAACCAGATGATGGCCCGCGAATTCAAAGAAAATCAACCAATAAATGATCTCTATTCAATCTAGGGGGCATGCTTTTCTGTCTGATGGCGCTTACAGAATGCTGCTCTACTAACTATACCTGGATAGTGAATGATAAAATAGCATCCACTGCCGCTCCGCCCAAAAACCCGCATTAAACCGTTTAGAGCGCTTCCAATCCTTCGGAGTACATATTGACCCTTGAACTTTGAGCCGTGTCCCCTGGATTTCAGCATCATTTAACTTGAACCTTGTTGCAATAAGTTTCAAGATTGAGGGATGTACGGAGTAGTCTCTTAAGCTTTCCCACATTCTTATGAAAACTGAGCTACTCATTTTCTGAACATTCTTTCTTGTACTCCATATGATAATCTGTAATCTTCACAATAGTTTTTTTTGATTTTCTTCATAATCGAAACTGCGCCTTTGTGGAAGTACTATCCCGCAAACAATTATGGCCTTCAGATGGAAGGCCTTGACCATCGCTGCTGCAATTTTTCTTCTCCTTATTATCTACCAAAGGCCCGCGCTTAAAAGTTACCAAGAATCATATGATCGGACAGAACCTATAGTTCAGTCGGCTCCAAAAGAGGGAGGAAACAAATTTCGATGGTCCGAGGTCCCACACAGTTTTCCTGTTACAGATTTCATACCTCTTCCAACAAATCCCGCCACAGCCATACCGAGAATTCAACATCAATTCGGAAAAGAATCGCAAGCCGAAAAATCAGTGAGACTAGCTAGACTTGAGGCTGTCAAAAGCAATTTTACACATGCCTGGAATGGCTATGTTAGTCATGCATGGTTGAAAGATGAGGTAATGCCTCTATCAGGTGGATCAATGGATCCGTTCGGCGGATGGGCCGCAAGCTTGGTCGACACTCTTGGTCGGTAACACAGCTCAGATATTCATGCTTTTGTACTAAACCTCTTTCTAGATACACTCTGGATCATGGGTATGCATTCAGAATTCGAAGCTGCTGTCGAAGCCATTCAAGCAATTGACTTCAGTACTTGCGCTCTTGAGCAAATTAATGTTTTTGAAACCACTATTAGATACCTGGGCGGCTTTCTCTCCGCTTACGAGTTAAGTGGAGAAAAGTATCCAGTCCTACTCCAGAAAGCGACGGAGATGGGAGAAATGCTGTACAAGTCATTTGACACACCCAATCACTTACCTATTTTGCGATGGTACTACCACATTGCTGCCACTGGAGCCAAACAAGAAGCAGATGACAATGTTCTTGAATCTGAGATTGGCTCATTGACGTTGGAATTCACACGTCTTGGCCAGATTACAGGAGATCCACGATTCTACGATGCAGTTCAGCGCATCATGAATATCTTTGACGAGCAGCAACCCACATCGAAACTGCCCGGAATGTGGCCTGTGATTGTGAATGCGAAAGACAAGAACTTTGTAGACTATGGGGGTTTTACTATTGGTGGTATGGCTGATTCATTGTATGAGTACTTGCCCAAGGTCAGCTTCCACCATATTCAATGAGAGCCAAGAACTACATGCTAATATCTAATAGCAACATTTATTACTTGGAGGTGCGACTCAACAGTATAGGAGAATGTATGAGTATGCAATGATTGCAATGAGACGCAATATATTCTTCCGGCCAATGACAAAGAATGGTGAGGATATTCGTTTGCCAGGAAACGTAGATAGCGATGGTAAGACATTGGTCACAGAACTCAAGACTCAAGGAGAGGCGCAACATCTTGGTTGTTTCGCAGGAGGAATGGTTGCCATTGGTGCAAAGATATTTGAAAACGAACAAGATTTAGAACTGGCTAGAAAACTTACTGAAGGATGTTTGTGGGCTTATGAAAACATGCCACTTGGCATCATGGCTGAAAAGATGCACATGGTTCCATGCGAAAACGAAAATTATTGTCCCTGGGACGAGCAAAAATGGCTGGAGGGGATCGACAAGGATACTGAAGGCAATGAGACTGTTCATGAAAAGATACAGCAACACCGACTCATACCTGGAGTCACCAAGTTTGATGACGGACGCTATATTCTCAGGTAATAATTCTCATTTTTGTCTCTTTGGCAAAGTATCTAACTCTCAGTAGACCTGAAGCAATAGAGTCCGTCTTTATACTTTACCGCATCACTGGCGACCCCAAGTTACAAGAACGAGCTTGGACAATGTTCAACAATATTATCAAGCATACAATCACCGATATTGCGCATGCTGCTCTGGACGATTGCACCGTCTCAGAAAATCCCCCTAAGGCTGATAGGATGGAGTCGTTTTGGATGGCTGAAACTCTTAAATACTTCTACCTTATTTTTGCCGATGCAGACTTGATCAGCTTAGATGAGTATGTGCTCAACACGGAAGCACATCCCCTAAAGAGGCCTAACTAGTTGTTGTGACCTTGAGTAATATTTTTGAATGTCAAAATTGTTTAGAGTTATTAGTCAGGCTCAAGGATTTGCCAACCTTCGTGTTAAGACTTATAATTTTGCATAGAAATTTTTAATAGTGTTAATTGTATTCGAACATTGCTCAAATCTCTTTCACTGCTATGAAACTAACCGCATAATCCCGCACCTCATTCTTAACCCGCTTCTGCCTATTAATAATTCCCTTGAAACTTTGCGCCGATGATGTAAGGGGTGTTCAATGGCACCACAAACCTTCAGTCCGAGACTTTGCCCTCTCAGCCCTTTTTCAGTCGTTAATCAAAACTCCATCATCTCCCTCCACTGACCAAAATATTTCAAAGATAGATTCGCAGTGACCAGGCCATTCACCTCTGCATTTGATCCAATTTTCAGGAACTTCCACATAAAAAATATGCGTTCCTTGTACTCATCAGGAGATACATCATCCATCGAATCAAACAGTACATGAATAGCTTCCTTCATTTCCATCTCATACATGAATCGTCCTTTATTGTATGGGTATGGATAATGAAAGTCCTTCGGCATTTGTTTAGACCAGCACTGGGTGTATAATTCATAATCTCGGTACCTATGCTTGAGATCTGTGCGATTCTTCTGATTGTCATAGTATGGACGACAAAGGAATCGACCATAGTATTGATAACGATAAATTTTATCGTTTGGTACGCGCTTACACTTGCGTGTCATTATTACTTCGAATATATAGTCCTTTGGCTCATACACTCTCATGATCCACGCGTACTCTAAAAGTTTTAAATGCATGCGTTTCGTGTTGGAAGGATCAAGGCGAGGCGGGACACCTGTGCTGCAAAGACTGAGAGGTTGGGGATGCACATCTTTGAATATTTTATACATGCGGGGACATGTGAGTGCGATGGAGATATGGTAAACTGAGAGGAATTGCATGATTCTTAGGATAATTTCTGTGGGTAGCTTTTCGAGTGAACAATCTAGTGGCATTTTATTAGCTTGTCTCAATCAACGTCTTGTGAATTAATAGGTACCCAATTGTTTTTTAGCTTTAGTTCTAGATGCACGGGTAGTGACAGCCTCGCTATCATCTTCGTGAGTGTCGGACTGTTGAACTTTTGATATCTGGCAACCCATAGTGTAACAAGTATGATGGGGATCTGGGATTATGTGGTTGATATCGTCGTGTGCTTAAGAGAGTGCTGAATGATCGTAACGAGATCGAAAGTAATATGAAAACACTATGTTGTTCTTTGAGTAATCTTTGAATCATATTATTGTGATGAAATTTAATCATATGAAAAATGAAGGGAGAAGGCAGTTGGTAGGTAAGCTCTATAAATAGATAGAACTTCATGTACGGTAAAATAGGAGACGTTATTCCTCTATAACAGCTAACAATTCATGCTTTCAAAGTCACCGCTGTATCGTATTTATTAATACATCACGGTATTTCTTTTACTTTTTTTCCCACCGTACATGTATTGGAGCCGTAGCAAGTAATTTTAACAGAAAAACTTGGGAAGAGTCGGCAAGGAGCTTACTGGCAATAGTTAGCTTACCTACCTAGATATAAATCCAAGGGCAGCTGGATTAGAACTTATCCAAATAGTGTGAGAAAGTTGGAATTATAAGCCATATACATAGGGATTTTTAGTTATCAATCATATGCCCTTTTGTAATTAGATATAAAAGAAGAGCTTTTGTTTCTTCTTTTTAAAATAATCAATCTTCTATATAGATACATTTGAACCCATGTAGTTTCAACCCCAAAACTATTGTAAACTTCGTTTTCTTTATAAATGATGTATTACAATATAATCTAATCAACTTTCTTTTCCAATTCCTCCTTACAATATGTTATCGGGATGTACGTATCTCGATCTACCTCTTTTACAATAGCACTTGCTAGATATTATTCATTTCTGCTCCAGGGAAAGAGCTGAATTGGTCTCGCCCAAACCGTAGATCAAATCCGGCCCATCATCCCCGACATTTACACTAGCAGAAATAAAGCTAGCTCCAAAGATTTATTTTATGCAGATTTTTGTTTTGTTAATGAAGGAGGTAGTATTGATGAGGAATGCGTTATTTGGCTGGCAGCACGCAGAGCCCGTACAGCAAATATCTTTATTGGAGTCTATTCAGGCAGGCAACGGCATGAATCAAAATGTTTGAAAGGTTTAACTCGATGTTGCATCAAGCTATGACAGTTAAGTTTTAGCATCGCCAATCCATTAGATTTATATGGATGTATTATGAATTCACTTTCTCGCAAATTAAATGTTATGGAGGCCAAATTTGGATTTTCAGATTACTTTACTTCAGTGTTGGAGAGGTGAAGTAGCCAAGCAAGTCAAATAATATGGCTGGAGACTCGCCTTCGTCTGTAAGTATGGACCTCAATTCTTCAAGCAGCATATGATTTAAATCACTTTTCCGGACTTGCAAGCTCGGAGGTCGAGCAGTTCAGATTAGCAGATGAGGTGTAACTTTTCAAATCTTTGAATTTAGTATTCCAATTATCACAAATACCCGAGTGCTTTTAATATTCCAAACCATCTAAATACTTCAAGTAGATTCAACAATTGAAAAGTTCTTGATTGCTGGGCTGCAGTCTGGAATACTGGATGGCCTTGCGCAAAGTTTTGTTTCACAATAGTATTGTCATGTTATTTGTAGATAGTGCTATTTACATGGATTATGAAGTAGATTCTGAATTGCAAAGCCTCTGCCTAGATTTAAGCGAGCAGCTCGGGTCACAAGAGGTAAGTGATCCCCAACCAAGATTCAACCAAATACTTAGAATTTACTGGCTATTCTCATTTGAGTTTATATCAAATGGTGGATTTTTGGAGATCATTGTTCTTTCTGGTCTATTCTTATGATTGTGAAGATGACTATGTTTCAATGAATTTAGGGGTAAGCGAGACCCTTTCATGCTTCGATAGATTAGAGAGTATTATTCATTCATCAGAGTTGTAGAGACATTTTTTGTGTTTCAATACAACTGCTGTTTATGGATGTAATTTTTCAAAATACGTTATTAATATTAACTAGATGAAAATATGAAAATTGTAGATAAGCGAAGAATGTATGTAGAGACAACTATGAGTTACGATCAATCTAGTCTTAAAGCCCGTCGGTGTTTCATTAACATTCATGTACTATTCAACAATAGAAGAATAGTAAGCTCAGCTATGGGTAGGTCGCTATTGGCGTTTAAATTATCGTCACAGCTGTTTGAGTTACCAAATGGCCTGCTGATATGAAGATAAGATTGGAAAGAAAATGATATTTTGAGAGACCAATGGTAAAATATGAATGGCAATAGGTACCTCTTAATATTCAAGTAGGCAGAAAAGAGGTAAAAGAAATTTAAGTCGGTTCCTAACACCATCGTACTGAGTTTTCGCATCTTACTTATATCCAGCCCTTCGTACCACATTCGTAGCTCTTTAAGCGCGCCTCATAATATAGCCACTTCAAATTCAGAGTATAATTAGGATGAGAATTACTAACACTAAGTAGAGCTCATATTATCTGTTTCTGTCCCTTCAACCGTCTCCTTTCCTGCCCCCACACCTCAATGGCCAACCATCCTTGGCTATACTCCATTTTACATCATCGGATTCCACATTTAGCTATTCCTCTGAGTATAGTTTTTGGTGTCTTATTATTACGGGCAACGAAAATACATTGGTTCCTTCAATTCATTCCTATCCGCCCATATTAAAAAGGAGAAGCATGTTGTGGAAGCTTGTAGTTTGGCACCATTCTAGCCATCCACTCTTAATGGAAAGATAGGTGCACCATCCTACACTAGTGGAAATATGTGTATATTTGCCATAGATCATTTGTTTTAATTGCGGCTCATTGATTAAGAGAGACAAGTATGTACTTGCTCTGTACAATTTGATCGAAGTTTTTCTATTTACGGCCGACCATAAAGGCCAAATTACCGCATTTCCCATTCCGCTCATGTGTTCCACCTAAACACATGTATCTATATGCTCCTGTACGTAGCCAGAAATTTAATCATTCCTGATTATGATCATAGCCCACTGAGATCCCTCCATTTAGAGCAAGCCAGAATCATTTATTTTGCCCAGCAATGTCGCGCCTGTCGATCTAACTCGCGTTCAATTCTTTTCGTGCTTGGTACTGCTGCTGAGCACGGAAATTTCATTGTGCGATGACGTGGAATTCTTTGTGGCGCCCATCTAATAAACAGCCCGCTTGAAAGTGATCTGCAAAGTCGTCTTTCTACCGCTTCTTGATGCTCTACTCGAAGCCTTGTTTGAGGCAACCATGGTCCGCCTAGGTGTAATATTCCTCGGCTCGCAGCGAATCAAATGTGATTGACCACTGTCTTATGAATAGCTGTGATATTATCGAACAGCAGTTAAGATGCCGTCCAAAACAGTATCGATATCCATGAAGACCGCTCCAATCTTTTAGAAGGCGCCAAAGTGGTCAATATAGACAGCCAAGCCCACTATTAGCGACCTCATTGCCAACTCGCTGCATCGGGCCAGCATCAACTGTGCAAAGACAGGTAAGATCCTTCATATGTACCCGCAAGATATCATTGCAGAACAGAAGATAGAAGCGGTGACAAGTCAACGCCAGCGGTACTTTGTTTTGGTGTGCCCAACGGGTTAGTTCTCTCCTAATTTGACAGATTATTTCCGTTGGTAATTTAGCTAGACGGGCTTCGTCAGGTTGTATTTGAAATTCTAGAGGTTTCTTTTAGTATGGCACAGGTCAGTTGAAATCAACTCAAAACTTGCGTGCTTTTGGTTTAGGTTTCATATTACTCATTCTTAGGTCATTTCCATGCGGCTCCCACAAGAAGCCCACTCGCTGGTCAAAAGTCATGTTCAACATCAAGGAAATTCTTTCGTCACGAATGGATTAGTCATTGGGCAGTGTTTTTTGGTCTCCCTCCGTTGTGCCATATCTAACAAAGTCCGATGAGTGGTTGAAATGGTAGTTGATTGTTGAGCTCTCCGCGGAACTCCAGATGTTCTTGTGTGAAAAGTTGTGGGTTGATGTGAGAGTTGAGGTACGAAATTACGGCTTAAATGCACCATTTAAAGCCAGCACAAACAGCATCATAAAGATTCTGAACACCGAACCACTGAACGAATGTCTGTCTCACTACAGCAGTTATATATCTATGCAGCAGTCATCATCAGCGACTAGATATGCATAATTTAAAGCAACGGAGATAATACGTTCCTTGATTCAAAGAGCTCCGAGATTCTGAGTCGATTGAGTTTGTTACATTTGGAATCGCCCATCGCCATGTCAATCCTGGTAATAATTACTGCTCGCGTAGGAGCGATATGAGTCATTTTACTAGCCGGTTGAATGCGATTGAAGAACTAAGGTTTAGAATAAAATATCTAAAAGTGGAGATAAGAAAACTGCTAGACGGCGTCTTTTCGAGGATGTTTTTGTCCGTACGGGAACTGAGTTTCAGCTCTTCCATACTTCACCAAAGAGTGGTCACTATTGAATGAACCAGGCCTACAGAATACAGGGCGTCTTTTCTTGGCGGCTCGCATATTCCCTTTCGGGGTCGACTACTAGATCGAAGTTTTTTATCTGATGTCTGCAGGATATAAGACTCTGATGTGGTTCTTAACGGGATAGCTTTTTCACTGCTAATCAGGTTGTAATAATTCACTGTACTCCAACACATAAACAGCAAGTAGAGAATTGACCGGCATTATTCACTGTATAGTTCCAAGCGTTCTAAAAAGGCTACTTAACCTGCTATTGTCCAAGCATTTGTTGTACTACTATATGTACGTTACCAGCGCAGGGGTCGATTGAGTTTCCCGGGGCATCTCTCGCTTAATATTATGATCTCATACAATTTTGCAAGCTCGCATATCTTTGAATATGACCTTCCTCCGGAAGAGTAGATTCATTTAAACATAGAGTATTTAGAAATCTATTGGGAGGTTTTATCTCTGAATACAACTATATTAACAATCTCGATATTAGTCAACAATCAATCATTTGACGCACTTTCAACAACACTTAAAAGCCCTACTTTCCCATTTCCATTAGCAAATACTTCCAAGAGAAGTTGATAAATGGTGGAAACCGTGAAAAAAATTTTGTTTCAATGAGTAAAACGAAAAGGAACAGAATTTTGCAGACAGGAAAATGGTGTCAGTGGATTAGGGCTCCGAGGCTAAGAGTTCAAACCATGTTTATATTTTGATGAAGAGGAACTAGTACTATTTCACAAGCTAGCTTCCATATTACAGATCTCTCTCCGAAAATCATCCGACATATTTTAGATCATCTTTTGCCAAAGTTTCATGTTGCTTGGCTTAAGTTGTCCGCAAGTATATACCTATTTTATTCCGAGAAAAGCGTGGGCACTGCACTCAATATCCAGATCTGGTGTGTATCAACAGATTTCGAAGACAATCAGAATCAACGGGATGGGGCCTACAGATCGACCATGTATAAAAAGATGCAGTGAACTTGCCTGGTACAAATACCTCAATGCTGCTGAATGGATGAACTAGCCAACTCAAAACGAGTGGCAAATCTAACAGATAATGACTCCTTTACCGCATGAATAGAATTGATGTTGATCTCGACAGTTATTAAAGATGCTAAAAGGTACTAAAAAATGCAATAAGAGGAAGTTTTAACAGCAGGACTCGAAAAAATACGAACGTCGTTGAAATTTGCATGCGGACTATTTTCCCAATGTCCTCAGACTAATAGAGATAAAGCATACGTTCTGGAGCAATCTATCAGTGGAACAACAACGTGGAATCAAAAATTTGATGCGGCCATGGACTTCTGGTGTGAAAGTATATGGTGACCCGCCGTGCTAAATGGATACACTGGCCATGGTTGGACTTCCATGGAAACTTTTCTGCTGGGATAATCGGAGCTTCTCTACTTGAAATCTCTTCTTTTTCCCGTTGAAATATTCTATACAATTTCAAAAATTCAAATGATCAACAAGAAGAGATACGAATCATGCGACAGGAGAGCATTAGATATTTCTTTTCCCCTAGAGCTGGTAGTTCTTTCCTGTCACGGTTTAAAGTCAATGTGTGCCCACTTAGAATAAAGAAAGTCATCACAAAGTAAAAATTCCACATTATAATAACACTTTCCATATATGTTTCCCAAAAGAATTCTCTGTGCTGTGCTAACTTAACTTTCCCTACAGCCAGATCAATACTTCGAAGATCTGGCTGAGGTATGTGTGGGAATGATGATAAATTCGAATATCTACGCGTCACTGTATTTCACCAAAAAATAAGCTTACATGCATTCAAATCCACATTCACATCCCCCCACCCAACAAAACCCACATCATATGCCAAAACCCTTCATCTAAACCCATCAAACAACACAAACACAATAGCAACCCCCCAAAAAGCGGCTTTAGCTCACTTGGGAGAGCGCCAGACTGAAGTTAACTTCTGATCCTCAACAGACCTATCTGTTTATCTGGAGGCACTGTGTTCGATCCACAGAAGCCGCATTCTTCTGCGAGTTGGGGTTCACTCTGACTTTAAATAAATTTTTTTCAAATCTTTTTTTTTTTGACTTTTTAATTTTTTTTGGTACTGTTGCTGTTTTTTTGGAAAAGATAATCTTGGGGCGATGGATGGATGGATGGATGTATTAGGGGTCCATCCATGGATGGGGGGGATGGGGTGAATGAAAGTGGGTTGGTTGTATTTAATTTAATTTTTATTTTATTTTTGTAGGGGTGATGATGGATACTTACTTCTTTCTCTCTCTCTCTCTCTCTCTGTATAAAAGAGGTAATTAAGTAAATAAGATCTCACGGATTTCGAGTAGTATGAAAGAATTGGTGAAGCTTGTATTGTATTGTATGTTAGAGAAGGAAATAGATATATTGCTTTTTGAAATTTTCAAGATCAGTTGAAGTAGATTTTTACTGGTTCCCATTCACACACAGACTGAGATGAGATCAGTTCAGCAATTGTGAGAATCTTCTTTTAATGTTCACATCACTCAAGAAGAATCCTTGGTTGGAAATTGACACGTGTATAACTTAACTTAGTCCAGTCTACTCGGAATATTTACGCCATTTTATGACGTTTTCATTAAAAGGGATATCTCATCTACAAAAATAAAAATACAAGTGCTCCATTTCCATCTCCATGGAAGTAGCATCGCCTGAGGTCATATATGTATAACAATATCAGTTCTAAGCCGCTATTAGAACCCAAAGTCTGTATTTCATATGTTAGCCTGTTTCTTATATATCTCAAGGTACTGGAAAAGGGGAGGAAAACTTACAAAAAGAAAATCATAAGAACACCAAACATCTTAGCAACCAACCAGCGATTACCAGAGACCCTCGACCAGTATTTCAATAACTCTCTTTGAGCCCCTTGAACGTTATCTACTACATCTTCCGTATTCGCATCAATTCTTTGAATCATTTCACTCTGTTCTGAAACCATAGTAGCCAATTGTCCGAAAATCCCTCCTAATTCACTAATCGTCCTCTCGATTGCTTCTATAGCTTCTCCTCTCTGATGAATATATTCATTTTGCGGTTGCGCCTCTTCCATCATCAATAATTGTTGATCTCCCACCGGATTCAAACTTAACAAATCCTGACCAGGCCCTGGACTTCCTCTCGTGGGTGTACTATATAGCGGACTCGCGGACTGTGAAATATTAGGTTGAACGTGGGAAGATACTGAAGAAACGAAATTCTCAGTTCGAGATCGCGAAGCTTGAATATTTTTGGTGCGGACTTCGAGGACATCTTTGAAATTGGCGGATACGACTGTGAGATTTCCTTGGAGCATAAAGACGACATTTTTGTTATGTTCGCCTTCTTGATCGGCTTTGGGATGTTGGGCACGGGTGAGGCTCTGGAGACCAGAGATTTGTTGATTTAGGGAGGAGAGATCTTGTTTTATTATGAATGTGAGTTCGTTGATTTCCACAGGTCTGTCATCGAAAAGGGTTTTTCGTTTGGCCACTATTTATAAAATCAGTATTGTATTTTTATCATAAATCTATCATGCTCCAGGAGCTGGTATCTCATCTTACATTCCGCCAACTTTTGTAACTTCTCCATCGTCCCCGTTATCCCCCTCCCAATCTCAGCCGCCTTCCTCGCAAACTCGGATCTCCTGGGCTTCCCATGTGGATTCGCATCTCCATTTGCTGCGGCCTTTTGGGAGTCGGAAAGAAGTGATTGTCTCTGAGCTCCCACTTTTGATGATGCTTGTCTCTTTTGTACTTGTGTTAGGACGGATCGGAACTCGTTTGTTCGGTCCTGTATCGATGCGACGGCCATTGCGGCGGTTTGTATGGATATATGTCTATGATATTTCGCAGTAGTTTATAAAGTTGTACAGATATATTGGTGGGTTAAGCGCGGATTATCCTCTGATCGTTTCGTGGGTTTCGACGTTGTTGAGAATATGGGTATCTTTGGTTGATGCTGTTGCTCGGATTGCTGTGTAGACCTCGAGGCGCAACTTAATTTAATTATTCTAGGGTTTTGTACAGGGTGCTGAATGTCGAATAGAGCGAACAATGGTATAGTTTTGCGACAAGGACTGTAGAAGAAGTAGAGTTGTCAAGATCTCTTTATTAAATGAAATCAATATCGCAGTGTATTGAATGTGAGTTGATGTTCACCTAGGGAGTAGGTAGTTGTTGATCGTTGATGAGTAGATGATAAATTACATTAATAGGACAGCTGGTGTTTCGTGTTGGAGTTCTTGGTGTTTGACCGAGCCTGAAACCAGCAGCATAAATAAAGATGCTTGGGAATGACATCCTGCAAAGCACCTGCAAACACCTGCACCATGCACTATTCCAGCCGCGGAGAGTGATACCTAAGGCCCAAAGAATGTTGGCTGTGTTAATCATTACTGCAAGCAAACCAATACGGAGTAACGTGAATTTATTTTAAGGGAAGCTTTCGGTAATGAAATCAATACTTTCATATAATTCGTCACTACCGGCGCAGAATCATTTGAAGGTTGTGGCTGAGTTCCCACTCAGCGATTATTATTATATGTGGGTACGGAGTGTAGAATTTCATCCATCTTGTGAATGGATAAATGAAATACCTTGAGCTGATTCGTGGATAGAAGAATATCCATGATTCAAATTATACTATTCAAATTACGGAGCAGTATAACTTGAATCTCTTCATCTGAATTGGTACTAGCAGCAGAAGTTAATGCCAAGAGGCACGTTGTGCAAGGGTAGAAATATATTCATGTGGCTCTCAAGAAAGGTAAAGGCGTGCATTCATGCATCCATTCATTCATCCATTCATCCATCCATCCATTCATCACGCATCATTTTGAGTAGAACAACCTTTTATCTACACTTGAATCGTTACGAAATACTAGGTAGCTTCGACAGTAGACTACTCGAGATTCATCATATAATTAAAAGTATCAACCTTTGCTCTCGGTTTCATAGTTTCATATCTTCATCCTTTAACCTTCCTTCACATAAACCTTCCTTCATATAAACCCTCCTTCATATAAACCTTCCTCCATATAAACCTTCCTTGTACCCTCCGTATCTCTTATTATTACCTCATCAAGGACGACCCCCTTACCCCATTCCAAGAAACGGGGCTATCACGCAGCCACAGCATTCATCTGAAGATTTCCGATAATCAAAAGTCGTATCCGATCCACTCACTACCTTGACCTTACCTTAATCCTCATAATCTCAATCTCAATCTCAATCTCAATTCCAATCCCATCATCCTACTTTTACTCTCTTCAAACAAACAAAACTTCTTGTCCGTTTCTTTTCCCGCGTCTTCATTCTCTGTCAATAATTTGAAGCCTTTCTATTACATTTCATGGTCAAAAATATGATGCTCTCGTGGATCGCGAGAAATTAATGTTTGGTGTCGCATCATGGCAAGGCCATATATTACTACCTCGGACAAGAACGGATCTTTATTGTAAGCTTCTTTTGCTATTCTCACCAAAAAAAAAACATACGACCTTACTAAACGATACATCAACAGGAATCCGATGTCTGCAGGTTCAAGTACTCCCATATCTTATCGAGCGAACGTGAATCGACAAAAGACAAAGAAATGGGCGGAGGCAAAGAAGATAGATTATGGAGGTGATGATTGGGGAGACGATGATGAATATGATCCTTATAATGCGTATGGAAATGAGCCAGATCCGGCACCTGCACCAGTCTCAAAACCTATTGGTCTACGTCAACAAGGCCAGGGACTTGCTAGTATGAGGGAAATGTCTCAGGAACGGGGTCAGAAGAGCTATGGCAGTCTCCCGACAGCTTCCGCAGGTAGCGCATTGCGTAGACGGAATTCCTTCGAAGCTGATGATGAGACGAGGCACTTTTCGAATTCAACTATTCGACAAGAACCAGCAAAACCCTCCTCCCCACCTCCTTCCGCCGGCTCCGCGAATGTGCCGGCAACACGATTTTCTCAAATGGGAGTTGGAGGTATAAGGCATACTCGCGACCCAAGTGGTCCTCCGTCCCTGCATATATCTACTGAACAACCTTCTCCTACATCATCACGAAAACCCTTGATGTCTGTCAATCCCGCGCCACCGGAAGCTTTATATAATAATGATCCCATGTCCCCACCTGCTCGCACATATACGAATGAATCGTCCATCTTGTCAGCTGGCTCAGTCAATAGCCTCAGCGACTACGAAACTTCCAAGGATTTTTCCCCATCTGCAGTACCGGCCCCATTACACATGCGGGCTCCGTCTGCTTCCCAAGGTGCAACGAATGGAGCTCCAAGTACCAAATATCCGGCGCGAAAGAGCAGCTTGAGTACTGTGGGAACAGAAGCCCAGCGGGTCCATCAAATGTCACAAGAAACAGTAGCCAAACCGTTAGCCGCAAGTCCCGCTCGTTCACCTTCCCCCGGCTCTGCAGATCGGTCAACAACAACCCCAGGTGCGTCAAATACCAAACCTTCACCATTTATCAGGCCCGCGGATATCTATCGTCGAGTTGAAGAGCGAAAGCAAGAGAGGGAGCGCTCCTCCTCAGATTTGGCAAGACCTAGTTTGGACTCCATTGGTATGGAAAGGTCGAGTGACGGATCACGTACCCCAGGCCAAGCGGGCACTCGTGAAAGATCGAGTTCTGATAGTTTAGGACCTGGAAACCGAGGAAAAAATAGTTTTGGCGATGAGGATTCTGAATCTGGAAGACGTTTGACACCGATCCTGGAACCCGTCAACGAGCGAAAAAGTGAATATGACTTCGAAGGATTTAATGCTAATGAAATTCCCTCGCCAGACCAAGACATACTAAACCCTCTCCCCGAAAGCAAAACTACCAGCCCTACACTTCCAGACCTACATCGAATTTCCGGCTTTGGATCCGACTTTTTTTCCCAATCAAAGCTTGATAGCGAGGCCGCCCTTCCAGCGGAACTCTCAGCGGAACAACCAGAACGAATGTTCAAAGAATATGCAAAACCGCCAGATGATACTTCCCTTCGAAGTCATCCATCTTTTGGATTCAAGTCTGTTGTCAACCAAGCATTCGATAGTACGAGTGACGACTTGGTTTCTCCGATCCCAGCCTCCAAGACTGGGAGTGAAGTGAGGAGATCTGATAGTGAAAGTACTGGGACCACTGAGATAAGTCCCATCATGAGCCATGGTCCAAGCACTACGGTTTCGGACAACCGAAGTCGTGAAATGTCAACTCCTGCTATCATGGAGTTAGTTGAACCAGCATCACCGCATCCTCAGGATGTTACACACGAGCATGATGATCAGATAGTCCCTCCAGATTTTATTCCAGGTCATCGGCGCGATATCAGTACTCCTAGTCCAGGTAATAGTCCCGCTAGAACCCCAGATCTCGGTACCGCATCGAAAAGAATATCGATGGGAGAACACGCCTGGATATCTTCTGCATCTCCTACTGCAGAAGATGAGATTCAAAACACTGAGCCGGAGCCTACACGTCCAACCATTGATCGCGAAGAGAGTTTCCGCCCCCAGTTACCCGGTGGATGGCAATCATATACGACGACTGCAACTACGAGCACTGTCCAGCCAGAGAGCGCTCGCTCACAAAGTCCGCAGATACCAAACGATCCGGTTCAAGATTTGGCAGCTGAAGACTTGACACCTACTACCGCCAAGCACTCTCTTCCAGAGTCGTCTATAGACGCAGCACGTGTTACACTTGGTGTCAAATCTGACGCGATGCCAACACCAGATGCGAATGGAAATGTTCATTCTGCTATGACCCCACATCCGGAATTAATTCCTGCTCTGCAAAGAGCTTCGCCGGAAGCTCAATTGCGGCCTGATTTCACTGCTCAGTCTGTTCCAACAGAATCTTCACCTACCCCATCAAGCAAGGGTGAGCGGGACGAGAATGCTGAAGACGCTTCGGAGGATCTTCCAAGCCCAGGCATAGCTTCGCAGGAGAGTACAGCGGAGGCGATTGACACCAATGAACTCCTTCTTCCGCCTTCTCGACCTCAGGTTCTACCGACGTTGAGCACCGATACTGGCCCTTTTGATGAACAAAGCGACAAACTCCGAAAAGAAATAGTCAAAAGATTGTCAATTCTGCCTTCAGAATCAGAGGTATCCCATGAAAATGTGCACGAAAGACTAGATGCCCCCAATACGGATCATCCGCGGGAAAGTGCATATTTGACGGATGTGTATGATGATTATTGGAATGGTACAGGTGATGAAGAACACTCGTCTTCCATAGGCACTACATCTTTAGATAAGCCACAAACTGAGCAAACTATTCCAATTGACATGCCAGAAATCCGACCCCTTAGCTCTCATAGGATGTCACGGCAGCAAACTCGCACCCCTCTACCCACACGTTTCTCTTGGGAAATGAGCATGGAAAGTGTCCACCAAGTGAATCCAGACATGCCTGAGCCACCTCGAAGCCATGTTGAGCTTCCTGTTGAGAATTACGATGAGCCGCATGAAGGTCTTAGGCAAGTTGATCCGGAACCATACATGGAGAAGGAAGTCTTCGAAGGACCTTCATATGGCGATCGTCACTATGAAAGGGATGTCGCCTTAGCCACTGACGCTACAACTTTTGAAGATCGTGCTGCGGCTGCTACTCTAAGTACCACTTACCTTGAATCCGCACCTACTGTTAATGTTTCTTTGGCTCAAGAAAAGCAGCAGCCACAATTTGCGTCATATACAGTCACCCAAACTCCTGAGAATGAACAACCAGCGCATGTTTCCACATTGGATGTCTCCACTGACCCGCTTTGGTCCAGTCCACACTCATCGGCTAGTATTCCAAGTCCTTTGTCGGCACGTGAATCTGCCACTTCTCCTCGAACATCTAATTTGGGAAAGGTCTTGACGTGGAAAGAAATTTTGGGGATTAAAGATGTCCATGAAAGAGTACATGCATTCGATGAAACTAGGGAACGGTTTGCGGACATGGACTCTGGTATCCACGATTGGATTTTTGCCTTAAAGGCGGAACAACCAGAACATGCTGATGTGAATGAATCTTACGGAGGTTTTACATCAAGTGTACCGACTGGCTCGACCCGAAGAAATACAAGGAGCGCATCAGGATCAATGCAATCACCTTATTTTCAACAGTATTTGAATTCTAGTGCGCCATCACAATCATCAACGTCTGTATCACGACCAGGGCAAACCGGAGCTCCTGGTAATCAGCAAGGCTTCTCACCCGCGCATGCCAAAATTACAAGTCAACAAGTTCAAGCGAAAGGAAAAGAATTCCTCCATCATGCTGGGATGTTCGGTGGTAAAGCTGGAAAGGCAGGTTTCCAGGCGGGTAAGGGATTACTGGCGAAGGGCAAGAACAGGCTTCGTGCGGCCGGCAGTAGTGATAAGGTAGATTAACATCTCCTTTTGGGTTGGATATGGGGTCTTTAGGCGTTTTATTTTGAAATTTTGTCGTTTTTTGATTAATTAGCGTGGGTGAATGCTTATTGCTTTGCCAATCCCGCATGGCGGGATGTGTACGACTAAGGAAAAATCCAGCCCATCACAATTGTTTTCTTCTCCTTGCTATGTGGCCCATCGTTATGAGTGTTCCAGCGCTAAGTTTAACCCTTTTTTTTTAGACAAGTCCCCCTCCCAAGCCGAGACACCCTAATCGTTCATCATGGGGCCTAGCACTCAGTCTATCGAGAGCAACAGGCAGAACCGATCCTAGTCAACACACAGAGCAGAACCTACCTTCCGAACCAACCAGCAGATCACGAGTGTCAACTTCATCGGATGTGCTTACACCAATCGGCATAATTGACGCTCCTGCAAGCGACGAAGAGGCGCGGGCGTCACACGCGGAGGAAGTGAATGTGGTGTCACGTGAAACTGCAGGTGAGATTTTAGCTCCCGGTGGAACGGAAGAGCAACAACTTGTAAATCTTCCGGCACCTATGAGTGAGTATAAACCCACATGGGATGCTGACCATGCTACTCATATTACTAAGGAGGGCCATCTTGACAAAGGTTGGCAAACTGATCACTATTCACCTGATCCCGAGTCAACAAATAAACTTTTCGCTCCCGCTGGATCGCAAATGGGTGCAAGGTCGAATTGTGATAATGCCACAGAACAGCAAGCCGGTTGGCCACCCAAAGATGCTGTCGCAGCTTCATCGCTTATCGTAGGAGGCACAATGGAACATAAAGCAGGCTTGAAACCATTAGATCGGTCTCTAATTAGTATGATGAATCGACCTCGTGGAGCAAGTCTGGATCAGGTGATCAATCCTGATCAGCCGAGTCGAACTGCCACAAGATCATTACAAGCGCCTCTTCCAATACAACCCACAAGTCAAAAAATATCCGGCATCGAAGAACAAGGAAGGCAACCCTCATTCAAAACATTGCCACCTATCCGAAGGACATCCAAGTTTGGGTTCGAATTTGGATCCAGAAGACCTCAAACCAGATTTCCCATATCCGATGATGAGGATGACGATGTTTCGAACGGTTACATACAAGATGTAGCCCATTTGAATACAATGGTAGGTAGTAGTGATCATACTTCACAGCAAAATGCTCGTACAGATGTTTCAATTGTGAACAAGGCTCCAGTCTCGAAACCGAATGTTCATACCGTCACACAACCTCGGTTCTCGGTTTTTCCTCGTGTCGCCGATCCATTTGTTCATAAAAATCATGGGCAAGATGTGGAGCGATCGAATCCAGCCATGGGACATACTCGTCAAAATTCATGGAACAGTCTCTCCAAAATTTCCCGACCTAGGCGAGGTTCCACATCTGACCAGCAGTCTGTTCAGCGTCGTAATAGCAATGCACCACCACCGATGATACCAGCTTTACCATTTGAGTCGCCTCCTTCTTCCACTCAGCGCTACCCCGAACTATTTGGAGGGCCGGCTGCTGAAGTCCAAGATGACTATAATATGCCTGGCGGATATTATCAAGCACCTAGAGGTCGGACTGAAGCCCTAACTCCACGTCAGCCAAGCAGCGAAATCTCAGGGGCGAGGCCTTCTCAAAACAATGAAGAGCCTGTTGGTCATCGAAGACGACGTAGCTCAGATCTCGTCAGTCGAGGTATGAACTTTGTTCGCTCCATCTCAAGAGAGCGAAGAAGTTCCGTGTCAAGAGAGCGAAAAGGTCCTGTATCAAGAGATGGGGAAATACCTCCCATGGATACTTTTGCCACTCCTCCTTCACGTGATGGTAGGCAGAGAAAGAGAGGGTCTGGTTTCTGGGGTAGTTTTGACATTACTGGGGAACAGTCATCAGACTCCCCTATTGGAAGAGAGAGTATGGTGGCGCATTATTCTGGCAGTCAGTCCAATCTGATGGCGAGTCCCCACGAGAGCCCTAGGACCCCAAAATCTCCCAACCCAAATCCTACATTGGAGACACCAAATTCCAACATAGTTGGTCGCTCCACAACTACGATGGGCAAAACACTGCAGAGGGATGACAAAAGGGGTCGATTGGCAGGGTTAAGTGGTCTCTTCTCACGTTCTCCTAAAGGCGATGGATCGGTACTTTTCAAGCCAAAAAGAGCCACGACAGACCTTTCAAGTTTTAGTCCCCGTGGTGGCACTCTTTCTTCTCCCCAACTCGAAGCTCAAACTACGCAGGATGCCAATATACACCACAAACGAAGACCAAGTCAACCGTTGAATTTTCTGTCTAAATTCGCCCCTTCTCCCTCTCTTCAAAAAACTGAGAACCCAAGTCAGGATAGTAAGCTATATCAGGAACCCCGCCCGAGGCGCCCTTCAGTGAGTGGACTATTGACCGGTATGCTTAGAAAAAGATCGAACACGCTAGAAAAAGATAATGAGAAAAGTGAAGACGATGGAAGAAGGCCCGTGATTGCTCCTGTGGCTAGAATGTACTCAGACCTCGCCATGGAATCTCATGAGGCTTTACCCGATCCCGTTGCCACGCCTACGCAACGATTAAAGAAGATAGACCAAGAGCGTGGACGGACTCGCAATTCTGGTAAGTTGAATGGTAGCAAACAGGAGCATTCATACTCTCGTCCTCATCGACATGGTACCCCACCTTCCGCGGTCCCCGAGCCTCAATATGATTCAGTCCCAATTCCAGGAGGATATAACCTTGTCCGTGGTGATGGAACAGCGGCAGTACTTACCAACTATGATCCACGTAGTATCAATAACACTCGTTCTCCGTCCCTGGAAGATACCCTTTCTAATTTATCCCAACAATACTCTGAACCATCTCCTGTCTCGCCCCTTGTCCATTCTAATTCCTCAACTTTGCATCAATCACCATCATTTCATCAGACAGTTACACCTGAAAGAAGAATCCCAATCTTACCATCTATAGATACGCATAGTTCATCATTTACGCCTTCCGTTCGCACTCATTGTCCAAGTCATGAAGATATCCTAGCTCGGTCGCCCGCCCGCGAACACCCAGGTCAGCAACGACCCTTCCAGCTTGCACTACCATATGACAGTAATGCAAATAGCCGATCTAGTAGCTCATCTACGCCACCTATTCCTCCTCCCAGGGATGGTGCTGTAGCTGCGTGGGGTCAAACATCAGTACTGTTATCCGTGGATGAAGTTTTACCGACAAATGAAAATATCGATATCGATCGCTTTCCATTGCCGCCCTCCCCACCTCAAAATAACCCAGAGTGGCACAGAAATAGAAATCTTTCGGCATCTTTTGATAGTGGTTTGCAACGAACTAGCACGGGAAGGAGTCTAGTTAGTGCTGTGTCGCAAATTTCTGACTCTCCATCCCCACAGCCCCAAGCAGAGCATGCAATGGAGCATTTTTTACATGTGGATGGCGACAACCATGTAAAGCGACAAAGTGGAGGTTCGTATAATGCGGGTACAAAATTGGCGAGGGAAGATGCGAATATGGCTGAGGAGTATACAGAGAGGAAGGATGACAAGCAGACTTGGACAAGAGGTGGTAGTGGGATTGGAGACACAGTTGAACGTGAGATTGGCGAGAAAGCTGGCAATGAAGGTGCCATGAACAAAAATGCACACACAGAAGACGATAGATTACAAATGTCTGCAACGAGTTATCCCGGTATGGAGTGGAACCCATATACAGGCGGATATACGGTGGATGAATGAACATGTTTTGTTCATTGTTTGAGGAGGTAAGGAACGATTAAGAGAAAGTGGAATCACACCATGGAAAGAAAGGTGGCGGGAGTATGTAGGGTGCCAGAGAGCCATTTGATTCAGTGGCGGGAGTTTGAGATTTGCTCGATGGGGTTTTTACATGATATGATTTGACATGACACGATATGATATGATATGATTATATTACATAGCGAGCTGGCTTTATACCCAATATTTGTTACGGGTACGGTATGGTAAATCAAGCGGGATATGGATGGGATGGAAATGGGATGGAAATGGGATGGAAATAGGATGGAAGGCAAAGGGAAGGAAATGAAAATGGAAATGGAAATGAAAATGGTGCTCAGGGGTTTCGCTTATTCGCTTAGCATAGCATGGCATGGAATAGCATGGAATGGAATGGCTTCGCACGGCTCTGAAATCACTTTTTGTACGCCATATTTTGCAGGCAGGCAGACAGTCAGTAATCCTATGATAGATATATCTGTCCGTATATAAGTATAAGTGTAAGTATAAGTATAAAGTATTGCAGATACTGTGTATTTTCATATGGTTTGTGAGTTTTGAATGTTTGAATGCTTTGGGTTTGAGGTTTGAGGTTTGTAGTTTGGAGTTTGAAGTTTTCGCAAATTTTAACAGGTCTTTTGTTGACTTGGGCGAATAAGCGAGTGCGATGTCGCATAAATACAGGCTTTTGATCTTCCGGTCAAAAGACTGTGGAACTTCTACGGGAAGAATAGTTATTGATGGCTAGAGGATCGTGCACAGTGGCTTATTTTGATTATGATGCATCGCGGAGTTTCGCGGGTCTTAAATGTGTCTTTTTTAGTAAAGATATAAAGATGTAAAGCTCTGCAGCATCGTATACCTCTATCTACGTCGAGTGCTCAAGTGGGCGTACAGTCGTTAAATATGCATGAGACACTCGACTAGAACAAAAGGGGTTCTCATTCAGGAAACCCCAGAATAATTTTCACATGTGTCTATGAAAGCTTCACGCGCATTATAGAAGCCTCGGTGAATAAAATTTTAAGGGGATTACTTAGACTAGGGCTGAACAATTATGTCGAGTTGAACTCATTTTGTTGCATGACTGTTGCGGAGCTCCTGAACCATCTCCAGTCACGTATTGATTAAAGCGTGATTCGATATTCACGATGATTCAAAGTGTTTGGAACGCAATATTCAATGGATTGAAACATTTTGCTGTGGAATATGACTGATAAAGCTTGTCGAGTGCACATTTCCACTTGAATATACACCAAGTTGATGACTACCTTTGGTGTGAGTGTCCCAAAATGTGTTGATCCCCTACTCATAATGATAATAATACTCCAGTCACACGTTTGAGGATTATTTCTTTGACTCCTTGATTAAATAAACCTCAAAGCACATCAAAGTTATGTGGATATAGGGTATTATGACAAAGCCCGCCCATCAGTATTCCATTTTTGTGTCATATACCAACTTCTACAATGATTTCATATGAAAATCATTTATGACACTACAATAATAATGGTTCATTTGGGAATTAAGACTTTATTCGATGATTGAACGGAACTCAAGGGTACTCTCAAATATGTATAAATAGGGTCGTCTTTTTGCCTCTGCTTCCTGTTTTTTTCTTTTCTTCATCGACGTCCAACCAAACCTTCGAGTGCTCAAAATTATCACTTCCAAAGACAAACAGATCTTTATCTTCACCAATAATTCAAAGAATCTTCAACATTCCTCGACTCTCACATCAACAATTACAGTCATGAGTACTAGTATGTTGCCGCCAGGTCCGAAGACCAAACACAGCAAGGACGACGATTATCTTAGACAACAATGGGCCAAGCATCTGAACACGCAGTATGAGAATGATGAGTCATCCAAAGCTGGAGAAGACGCTGTTGTAGAGAGGATTGTGGCTAGAGCCGGCGGCGACGGCAAAAATACAAATAAAGAACAGATTGAAGAAACTTATAGCATCATTAAACGTCGTACCGATCCAACTTCTCTCAGGGCGACCGTTGAACAGGAATACATAGTGGCTGAAGCTGGCAAGCATTTCGCTAAGTATGGAGTAAGCAAACCCAGTGATTTTGGGGCTGCTCAGCACCGGATATTTATAGCACAAAAAGCTCTCATCGATGATATTGTCAGCAAGTACGGCGAGAAGTATAAGGAGTTGTCTGCTATTGGAAGCGTTTATCTGCTGTACAAGAGGCCTTATCCTGAAGCTGAAGATTATTTAGTGAATAAATGGATGAGCTATCGAAATGAGGAGTTCGGAGACCGATGGGACTCTCATAGGAAGGGAGATAGGGCAGAAGAGGATATCAAGCACTGTTTCGGTGTCGTCAAGAATAGGGCGGATATCGAAAGATGGTGTTTTGAGCACGCGAAAGGAGATGAGCACACTGTTTACCCCAAATAACCCCTCGGCTCATTGATGCGCGTCGCCTCTAGTTGTGTTGGAACTGCTTAAGATTGATTCGAGAGTTGTAAGTGGAAGACGAATATTCCTTTTGCTTCTCGTATCTGATATGAGCTAACTATATCAGTACCAGTCACAACGGCGCCCAACAGAGCTTGGATATGGCAGTGGGGGAATGTTTGGAACTTGATATTTCTTTTGTCAAGTCTTTATCGTTGCTTTCGAAGTACTTCTACACATCTGATGTAGTTAGCTTCCACTTTGTACATCGTTGGTTAGGGATTCAGTGCTTGAACTGGTTTCTCGCATTGGATTCCGTTGAGTTTCAGGGCAGCTTTCGAATGTTTGACTTGGATTTGGATGTTGGGACAGAAGTTCATTTTCCGAATGAGATTTAGATACTGTCCAGTAATATTCAAGACCAGTGTATGATCAATCGGTCGGCCGCCGCCTCATCTGCTTTTGAATCGGTAGATATAAGACACGCTGGTGATATTTCATGGTTGTCATCATTGGAGGCTAGTCATTGTTAAGCGAGCCTTCGACATATGTATTTCAGACGATCTAACAGTTTCATCTAATGACGCACAGTGAATTCACCTGAGATCAAAGATATATCCCATGACAAAATGCCGCCCTTCACTGAAGAGAATTTTCCAAGTCGAAAACAGCTTTTCCACGCTGGCCATATTCCAAAGACACTGACGTATAAACTATTTGAGGATCTCGGAACACCTCTGCAATTTTACTAACTTCGAGTAGTGAACCACGGCCACTCAATAGTCTGGTGCACTCGTGAAAGCTAATGCCTAAATTTAATGAGCTGGAATAGGTAACAGCTACTCGGTAGGTAAACACAGCTGAACTCACTAGGCAAGCTAGGTGAAGACCGATTATAAATGGAAGAATCATTTCGATCATGTTCCTACGCTGTATGTTCAATTCTAGCCTGTATGGTTGCCTACCAGTTCAATTTACCATAGGATTCTCGTATTGTATTCAGATGAAGCAAACAGGAAACGTAGATTTAACGACCGGTATCACTATGGCGGCGGCATTTCTATTCCGGGAATTACACAAAAATGTTTTTTTGAGAGAAACTGTTGACGTTTAAAAGTCTTTTGTTGGTCTGATGAAAGCCCCCTTCATATCATTGCTGTAACTGCAGTCTTAGTATTTTTCGAAGATGTTCTTCTTGACGCTCTCTCTTTATTATGGAGATATGTGATCTTCTTGACTGCTGTGCGGCGTTGGCAAAACCAACACGTTGAGTTCGATCGGTGGCTCCAATCACTAGACCAGCTTTATAACACCCAAAGAAGAAGATGAGTCGTCATTGATAAGAGCTGGGAGACCAATGTTAGGGATGAAAAATACTGTTCATCTGAATAGTCCATTACCATCATAAATCTTCATCTTGCTGTTTTCGAAAGCCCAACCCGTTGTGTCATTCTCTCGGGTAATCAAAAAAGCGTTGAATTTGCAATCGTCATCAGCGATGACACTTAGACAGCCATAAATTGAGGGATCAACGGGTCGAGAAGATAGTTCTTCCTCTCCGGACTGGAATAATATGCATGGAGGGTGTTTCAAGAGCACCTTCCTTTTGATATCTATTATCAATTGTCCGTCATATGCAGCAGCAGCCCTGAAAATGCATTGCCATAATTTCATGCTTACTTTGTCGGATCGGAAGAGAGCATAAAATATGGCCAACGCCATGAGTATGAGTTCTCTATGATTGAAAGGTGCTAAGCTCTCTTTTTGTCATTAATAACCTACTGGACATATCTGCTAGGTAATTCGTATGGTAACGGGTTTTAGGTAGGACTTAACGACTATTACCATCTTGGCGATCCAGCAAACAGCATTTTAAGGAACGTTACTAAAAACCTCGAAAACACATCATTTACCAATGTTACAAGCTCTGCCACATTGTAATCATAAGATAAACTGCAATCCTAATGGTCACACCCTTGGGACTGTCTCCGGAGGCACAGCTGTTGCATCATGATCGAATTCATGCGCACCATGAGAGTCATTCTCAATCATTTGCACAGGGAACAAGAAATGAGGTATCACTTCAACCTCTAAAAGTTAAGAAGAAATGGTATCAGAAGTAATCTTACTAGTACTCATTGACTCGACCGTGTAACAATGCAAGACCAAGAGCTGTCTCACATCTTTGCCACCCAGACACAATAACTTTACATGTATGGGTATCGATTTTGTTGCCAGATCAACGAGAATAGAAAGGAAAAATACTCCGAGGGGGGGCGTTGTTGACAATTTCGCATTGGCGTCGCTGCTCTTCAATAATCTTGGTTGTTGATGGTGGGCTAGAGTAGAATTACTCGGGTGGTGGTGTAACGAGAGTAATTTTATCAGGTCACATGTACGCTAGTTTAGTTTAGATCTAGTGCTGATCCGGGTATAAATACCCTGTCAGTTCTATTCTTCAATCTACACCCTTACCCTCTAAAACTACTCGCTTTTCTGGTGGTGCACCAGTTCAGTATTTCTCCGCAGAAGTGGGGTTAGTGCGTGTTAAATGGTGGGGTTGCCAGATATTTATTTCATCATACGTCCACTTCGAGGGGTGATGGTGAATTGATAGCTTGACACTAACCAACCAGTATTAATTCTTCCCCTCCCCCACGTTAAAGATGCCACATCCCACATCTTGTTGAAGTTTGTTCTTGTCCTTCAATTCATCACCGTCGATTATAAAGAAAACAATAACTTGACAAACAACATACCAACATCATCAAACAAAAACGCAATGGCAGACACAAGATTTAAGCTCAATACTGGGGCTGAGATTCCAGCTTTAGGACTCGGTACATGGCAATCTGAGCCCGGAGAAGTTGCGAAAGCCGTTTCTTATGCATTGTCAATTGGATATAAGCATATCGATTGCGGTATATTCTCCTTTACATCCTCATGAATGTGAATCTTCAGGAACCAATCGCTAATGAAACCGCGCAGCATATGTTTACGGAAACGAAGATGAAGTAGGACAAGGTCTCAAGGAGGCTTTCGCATCCGGAATCAAGAGAGAAGATATCTTCATCACCACGAAATTATGGTGCACATATCATACACGGGTTGAGGAGGCTCTGGATAAGAGTTTAAAGAGCTTGGGCTTAGACTATGTCGATTTATATTTGATGCATTGGCCCGTTCCCATGAATCCAAACGGTTAGAATATTTTTCCCGCTTACATTAATTACCCCTTCACTTTCCTCGGATAATAAAGTCTTCTAACACTTCAGTTCTCAGGAAACCACGAAAAGTTCCCCAAACATCCTGATGGATCCCGCGATCTTCTGACAGATTGGTCGCACACTCAAACATGGCAGGAACTCGAGAAAGTCTCCAAAACCGGCAAGACCAAGGCCATTGGAGTTTCGAATTACAGTGTGAAAAACTTGGAGGAATTATTCTCTAAAGCTACCATTACTCCAGCGGTCAACCAAATCGAGAATCATCCTTCATTGCCACAACAAGAGATTTACGATTTGTGCAAGTCAAAGGGAATTCACATCACAGCTTACAGTCCTCTTGGAAGTACTGGAAGCCCATTGTTCACTGCCGCTCCAATCGTTGAGGTTGCGAAGAAGAGGGATGTACCACCTGCTTCAGTTTTGCTCAGCTATCATGGTAAGATCACCTCTCCAACACAGTCTTATATTGGCGCGAAAATGCTAACAAACACTAGTCGCTCGAGAAAGTTCTGTTCTCGCAAAGTCCGTCACTCCTGATAGAATCAAGGCAAATATGAAGATTGTGAAGTTGGACGATGCAGACATGAAGATCCTAAATGATTACTCAGATGACCTGCAGAAGAACGGAAAACTTATGCGATATGTATTCCCGCCATTTGGTGTTGACTTGGGATTCCCAGATAGGAAGCCTTAGAGGACGAAACAGAGCCGGTGTCGAAAAAGCTTTCTTATGGTGTGGCATGGATAGGAGATAATGGATCCATTAATCGAAGTTATAGAGCTTAGATATATAGTAGATAGAGATTAAAATATAATGGACACCAATTGATAAGGTGGAAATGGGAAGCTCACCTGGTTTAGACCCATTTTCCTCCGAATATCGTGCATGCGGTACAGTCAAGACTCATCATCGAAGTAGGTTTTTTTTTTCGCCGTAATCTTCTTCACAGGTGTTTTCTATCCACCCGCCGCGCCTCGTCTTTCCACAAGCAGCCAGCGATGTCCTCACTAACATTTGCTTGCTCAATCTCGACGCTTCAATAACCATACCTGATTTCATGACACATTTATTGCCTTAAGTGTATTGAAAGTTTACCTGCAGATCCCAACTTATACATATCAAAACAGACAAACAGCTCAACTATCCCTATTAACCACGGAGATCTCTATTAACCCAGGAGATCTCTATTAACCCATAGAGGCACCATGATACTGTTTAAATCATATTTACACTAAGCTCAACTCCTCAGTCTCGCGATTGTTGACCCGGAATGATTAATTTTGGGAAGCATGACTTCATATCTACCTAGTAGTTCCTCGCCATGGCAGGACATAGAACTAGAACATTGTTTCTGTAAATCATTTGAAGTTCTCATCGATATTTGATTATAAAAGCTGAAAGTCGAAATGAAAAAGATCGAACGATTGCATATAAACAGTTGAAAAATGAGTTTATGATTGAACTTTTTTTTTCTTCATAAAGAACTTACTTAACCTTGAGGAGAGAATTGATTATATATGAAGTATCAAGATATATATATATATCTGGAAAACATAACGTTATGGGAGAAGGAATTTCGATACCTAGAATTTAGGTTAGTATAACCTTAAGCTTAGGTGCTTAGATGTGAGATTATATGGCCCGAGTATTCGGATGAGGAACCACGTAAGATCTTATAGTTTTGACTAGAAATGATGATTATGGAATAGGGAAGAGGGAATGATTAGTTGCGTAATTGAAGGATTTATTTATGGAGTATAGATGTATAGATGTATAGATGTATAGATGTATAGATGTATAGATGTATAGATGTATAGATGTATAGATGTATAGATGTATAGATGATTTATTGGGTCAGGCTTTTGGGGGGATAAAGTAAGGTGGGATATGGGAGTTTGGAGGCTGAGTTTATTGGTAGTGGTGTTGATGTCGATTTGGTTGGGAATGGGATGAAATGGAACGGAATCGGTTTGCTTTGTGTATGGGACTATAGTGCGTCCGGATCTTTTAGATTGGTGATGAAGAGATGTCATAGCTACTTTCAGTATTACACCAAAACTGATATCATTGTAAAAAGAGCCAGTGGAGAATAAAAATCTTTACAAATATCCTAGACAACTGTTGAGAATCAGTAAATCGCTCGGGTTCCGGGAAGTGGTGCAAATAAAACAAACAAAGAAGTTTTGAAGATATATGGATAACCTTACGTACTGCCGAGCCGCAATAACTGCGTGGCCGTTGGGTTGAAATATTGAGCGATTTTGCTAATTATAAAATAAAAAAGCTTATTTAGTGGTGATCCAATGTCGACGTCAGGGCGACCAAGTAGATGTATTAATTCATTTTACTTACTTGTATAATTATTAAGGTTGTAGGTAACATATGATAGACTGTATATGGCCAAGTTGAAATCTTTCATTCTTAATCAGTACAGATGCAGAAATAAATGCATAAATTTCACATGACCTGGTTGGACACACGCATACGAGTAGATTAGAAGCAAACAAACAAACAAACGACATCAACAGTCAACCCCGCAGTCAGCCAGCCTCACGAGAAATCTACAGTCTAACAATCAGCTATAGCCTATAGCCTACTACGTAAACCAGTCCCGAAAATTAACTCCATAGAACTAGGAATCAAGCCCCTTTATCGCGTGGACAAAAGGTGGAGGTGTGCCAAGGTAGCTAAGCTTAGCTTTAGCCCTTACTCTAGCTAAATAATGAATGCCCTGTCTATTTTAAGAGTAAGGTTACCCAAGCTTCTTGACAATGACATGACAGCAGTGTGGGGTTCCATCGATTGGTTTAAGTATTTTTCACGTCAGTAACTCAGTACTCAGTTGAAGAGGCACAGCTTTCGGGATACTAGATAGGGAGGGAGGTAGGTATAGCTATCCCGTAATTTTATCTAGTAGATAACCTTACCTGTCTAGGTAATTCAAGTAAGCAGTAAATAAGAGCCTCTATATTATTACATCAAACGCTAAAAGTCATTTACTTTATCCCATGTGGTCGCTACCTACCTACCTAGGTAAGTACAGGTACAATACTCGTAGATTGACCTATCCTATAACCTTAACCATGAATTATCTAACGAATGAGGCTCTGCCGGGAGGGCTGTGCTTAATTATGCATATGCACATGATACATCTATTTGCACATGTTTGCTAATGCGATGCGTTGTTAACTGAACTTGTCTTTTGCGAGTTTCTTCTACATGCGGAATAACCTAATTGTCAGATTATAATGGATGGGTATAGGTATAGGCAGCACATGGTATTGAGGGGCCCGGGTTATTGGGTGGTTCGGAGAAAGCTAGAAAGTCTCGAATGACGAATTTTGTAGTGCAGATGCTTAGCTATAGGCGGGCGGGTGGTTGTTGATTTAGTAGAGCTTGAGGTAGGTAGGTACATAGGTAGGTATTCTTTTGGGTGCAGGGTTTGTCGTACACAGCCTTTTTTATTTTATTTCTCTTGCGATTGCTTCGATGTTTTGTTATTGTTGATTGATCTTCTAATATATTTAGATCTTTGTTTATTTTCTTCTTTTGAGGTGTTCGTTAAAGTTCCATTCTTTTTCTTATCGTCGGACAGGTATTCATAGATGTATATCAGTTGTTGATCATAGATATCATGGCGACTGAACATCCTTATGCTCCTTGGAGGAGATTGATCTTGGTACCTTGCTGGATCATCCAAGTTCTGCTTTCAGGCTTTACTTTGGTCATTAATGCTGTTGCTGTTGCTCAGTTTATGCGCGATGATTCCGGTGATGATGATGATTATAACGGTGATTTTAAAACGAGTTTTGGGTAAATATATCTTTCTTAAAGGTGTTTTCTGGCATGAGTGCTGACGAAATTTGACAGTATCGCATGGTTTTACATTGTATTCTCCAGCGTATACATCATCCTTACTATCACAGAAATTATCCTCATGTTGAGACATAAATTAAAGCCCATTATGTTTCTCAATATGAATATCCTCAAAAGTACAAGTTCGACAATCTTATTCATCATCAGCTGTTGGAACGCCTTCGGTATTTTCAAGAAGATAATGCCTAGTTTCGTGGGCTTAATTATCCATATCATATTACTGTATGCCGAATTTCCCATTCACGAGCCTATATACCAAGCACATGCTAACCAATCCTCCACAGACTCGCTTTCTACATTCCCCTAACACATGGCTCCCTGATCATGCGCCGCAACCTGAAAGCTGCAAAATACGAACCCGTGGACCCCAAACACGCCAGTTACGATTCCACTACCGAGCCATTCCCAGATACATTCCCAGATACATTCCCCCAAATCTACAAAGCCTTTACTACCGTTGTGGAAATCACCGATCTCGAAGCGAATAATCAAACCCCTGAGCGCCCTCGACGACTCAGTTACAATCATACGAGAGACACCAGATTCGACTCATATAAACAAACTCGAAGGAGTTTCTCGGATCCAAGTGTTATGCGGAGTATGGCTGCCAGTCCCCCGGGATTTGGTGCTTTGACCCCTGTTAGTCGGAGTAGGAGTGGTACGTGGAGTTTGCCGATACCGCAGGTAGTGGTAAATGATTATGATGCGCCTTCAGAGACAAATGCGAGGCCTGAATTGAGATAAAAAGTGTTTTTGGTGGGCGGCGTTTGGGAACATTCCGGGTATAAATTTTTGCGTCAGCGGGTTCGGTCTACGGTTTTGGGATCTATCTTGCTTTTATGTATATATTGTATGGATGCATCTGGGGAAAGATATCAGCCTTTTCTTGTGATACCATTCAGGTTAATAGAGTGACTATGGATTACCATGCTTTATAAATTGAGATGGATGCTAGGCGGCATGCCTCATATCTATACTATGCTTCCGTGTCCAAATTCATCGATAATTAGCCATAAATTTGGCAAATTGAATGGATGAAATGTAATTTCTCAATTTCTCATGGTAAAATTAGCCTGGAGCTAGCTACCTCTAGACTTGCAAGCGCGTCAAACTCATTCTTTAACTACAGCTCCCTGATACAAAATTCAGTCTTCCTGATTGTTCTAGCCCATTCAAACATCAAAACTGTAAACTTACCTTGCCCCTTCATTTTCCTTTGTAGGCGAACCCCACCAAGAGTCCCCAAAATATTTTGACATTCTCAAACTTGCATAGTATGCCTGAGCCTTTTGTTTCAAAAAAAAGATGTGTACTTTCATAGACGCAAATATCAATGATTTCAAATACTACCATCTAACAAACTAACAAACGAATTGTCTTTCATCCCAATAACTCCCTAGTTCATGATACTTGCTAATATACCGAAACTGATAAAGTGCAGCTCATATTCTTCACTTTCTTCCAGGAAGTACTAAACATCAGAAGAAATGTACATTAGCTTTGCTGTAAAATTAAAATTGGTCACTACACTATAGCAAACCCGACGTTCATGTAGCCTGCACTTGCGACAGAAGGGAGCATTGTATCTTTTGTATGCACCAGTAGGTTTTCTCTGGCGAATTTGTAAAACTGTAGAAAAATCTTTAGTGACAGGAATTTCCGCCGCTAAATCAAACTCCAAAATGACCCGGGCGCACAGCATCATTTCAAATTTTCCCCATGGGTTGGGTGATAATATTAATGTTAAGAATAGCTCTTGCTTTTACCTTCTCACTTCTTCAGAAATGCCAAAAGCGCTGGTGGGAGCAAATGTATCCCACGCTGTAAAGAAGGCTCGCTAGGTTTGTTTACTCCATCAAACGTAGTGCATCACCGCTCACTGCGAGAAAAATTGCCGCATCAAAATTGGGTGTTTTCAAACGCACATGCACTCGTGAGGCTATGAGTACAGCATGACATACACCATTTTTTCCCCATCTCTGCTACACAAGTCGGGTCTGGAGAACGCTCGCCGGGCCGAGTACTGAATTATTTTATCCGATGGAAATTGTTTTGTAGGAAAGCTGGCATATATTCCATCTCCAGTGTAGATGCTTCATCGATGGGAAGTTTAGGAGAGGACTCGGAATCGAGACTATTTAGCAGGTAGAGTAGGGAGCTGGTGAAGCTGGGTGTATATTTGGCGAGGGGAAGTGACGAGGATAGAGGGGATGGAGGGATTGGAAAAGAGCTAAAAGAGATATGGGCGGAAAATGAAGAAGGGAAGATATGGAAGAATAGAGAAAGGACGAGAGAGGTTTGGTATATGGGAGTAGGAATATATTTATTCCGATGAGGGTCTTTGGAAATACGCGAAGGAGGTTGGGGATCTACGGATTTAAGGTTGCAGGGAGAACAGGAGGGGACGATAATGGGAATTTGATTGTATTGATGCGGGTTCATGAGGGGTAGGGAATTGAAGTCTAGAACCTTTGTAGACGCTTGATTCGAGGTTGTTTCCAAGTAAAGACCACCAGGACTTGCTGAATAGAAAGATCTTTCATTTGCCATTGCGATAAGATATTGAAGATGGACGACGGCCCGCGATAAGGTCAGAAAGCACTTGTAGACCTGAGGAACACAATGGATTTCCTTTTCAAGCTTTGATTGTAGTCTTGCAGTGTTTTTTTGGAAAGAAGCATGTAGATATTGCTTGGTATTACTTTTACATGACTCCATTCAAAGACAAGATGGGATAGTGGGTGTAACATACTGAAGCACAGATCACAGATGCACCTGCAGCTCCCCTTGCTGGAAGCGAGACGAAAAATCCCACCCGACACCCTGCTGATGCCCAATTGACCCCATTTTCGTACATTAGTGTCACTGCAACGTATCTCCATTCAATTGATCAATATGGAAAAATGGCTGGAAGGCCAACTGAATATCACTGAATATCATCATTTGTGAGGCGAAATAGACGCTTTCCCAGCCACCTTTTCGCTCAAACCCTGTACGAAAAACGAAAAGCGAAAAACTTCACGGCGGCGACCCAACACCAACATCCAGCCATCTTTTTCGCCCTGCCACTTTTAACTGATAGATGCTGGTGCTGCGCAAAAACCTTGGAGATGCATTCCTTGATTAAGGGCTTATGTTATTATTGGTGGAGTTGCTTACAAGAAGATGAATCTTGAAACTTTGGATTTGCGGAGAGTTAACCGTGAGTTGAGTCTATGATTCACTATTCTATTCTATTCTCTTCACCTACATTCTGACTTGTCGCTTCTTTATCTTCTTTTTACTAACACAGACCTTGTACATAGACTCGCGACCACAGTTGCAACAAGTGCGAACCTCAAAAGTAATTAGCGGTGTGGATGTGCGGTACGGAGAAAACACACCTTCAGTAGAATCGAGTAGTTCGGATGCAGCTACGGTGACACGGTGGGCAACCCCTCCATCTCAATTCCGTACTCCACAGAGAAGCTACGAGAACCTGGGAGATTCAACAGAGGCGCCTTTGATCAGGGCAAGCGATTGGGAGGCTTCACATCAGAGATACAACAATAATATGGTTCGATTTGATGAACAGCAGATAAGGAATATGGAAACTGAAGCTTTGAGGAAACAGACAAGGATTTCAGATCAGGCCGATGATGAAAGTCCACCTACTCCAAACACTGACGATACGCCATTTATCCGATTTGCGATCGATCAATTGACGAGAGATGAAGAAGCCAGGCGAGAAGCAAGAAGAGCTCAACAATTAGAGCAAGGTCAACTACCGACTGATTCACAGAGTTCGGAGGATTACCCTGTGGAGAGACTTATTGCAGATGATAACCGATATGTCCCTCAACGGCCAACGAGAGCAGAACTAGCACTCATCAGAAAACATCGCTCTACACCGGGACCCGGGCGATTATTAGGTCTCAATGCCACACAACCTCTCTCAACTCCACCTACACAAGAAGAGGATAGAACACCCATAAGAGCACCTCAAACATCTCAAACATTTCAAATACCTCAAATACCTCACGACGATAACGATGTCGAAATATTCATCCCCACACAACCTCCTTTAAATACCAAACGATACCCCGAGCTGAGATTTTTACCCACGATTTTACGACCTTTTTCTTTGCTAGCGCTTATTACATTATGTCTTCTCATGACTGCAGCGATTATGTTTTGCGCGATTTACTCGAATTACCACGAAGGTCTTTATTCGTGGAATACTGGAGTTTATGGCGTTAGATATTTTATATTTGGATTTTTACCCCAGATTTTGGGAGCGTGCATATTTTTATATGTTCAGTATTTGATGGCTGCCATCACGAGAATCATGCCATATACATTAATGGCGATGGAAGATGCGGAGCCCAGAACCAACGCCTTGTTCTTGGAAGCCTTCCCAAGACATATGCTATGGCCGAGGTGGGACGGGCCTATGATGATTGATATTGGGGCATTGTGTTTATGGTTATCCGTTTTTACGATTCCTCTTCAGGGATGTTTGTTCTCTGTCATATTGGCGGATGAACATTGGAAATGGACTGCTGTTCAGGGGATCGCGTGGACTTTGGTTGCGATTTACATATCGATGTGTATGGGATTGGTACTTATTGGGGCCTTTTTCTTTCATCGAACCACTGGGTTGTTATGGGATCCTCGATCATTAGCTGATCTAATTGCGTTATTGCCTCGGAGCAATAGTCTCAGAGATTACCCAGGAACCGAGACTATGAAGTCGAAACAGGAAATTAGAACTAAGCTAGCAGATCGAAGTGATCGATTGGGTTACTGGAAAACACCTAGTCCTACACAGGGGATATTCTATTCGATAGGAGAAACAGGTGCACCAATAAGACGATACACGTTAGAAAGTGGAAAGGCCGAGAGAAAAATTAGCAGTGAGAGCGCTACGCATGATTTGGAGGAAAATCACCCATTTCTTCATGATACCGCTACTCGATTTCGATCTATCTTATGGTTCTTGCGCGACGCATTTGTAGTACTGTGGTGTGTTACGGCATTTTTCCTCTTGCTGGCATTGATCATCATATCATTCCTTCCATCGACAGCCATTCGCCATGGATTCCCACCCTTGGTTGCTGCTGGTCCAAATGGGTCCGGATATTCCACAGCAAATTTCTTGTACAGTTTCATTCCATCCCTAATTGGGATGATTCTATACCTCCTATTTCAGCCCCTCGACATGAGTCTCCGAAAACTTCAACCTTGGGCCGAACTAGCCAACCCTGACGGTTCTCCTGCATCTAAATCTCTCCTACTTGACTACACAGCCGCCCACCCAATCCAAAGCAGCATCACCGCCCTCCGAAATGGACATTTCCGCGTCGCCTGGTTTTCGCTCACATCTTTCCTATTCATAATTCTCCCCATCCTCGCAGGCGGAATATTCTTCCCCTTGACCACCACCTCGAACGAAGTGCGCATGCTTCCTAATCTCCCTTCCTTCTACATCTGTCTCGCATTTCTCATTATCTATTTCCTCACTCTTCTCCTCCTACTTCCTAATCGCCGAGCAATGCATTTACCTCATCCAGTGGATTGTCTAGCTGAAATCATCAGTTTTGTGCATTCGAGTAATATTCTAGATGATGCGGCTTTTAGTGCTCCTAGGTCGAAAACCGATTTAGTGACGAGATTAGTTAGTACATCAGCTTATATTAAGGGAGAGGAAGCGAGATATGTGTTGGGGGTTGGTATGGGGAGGGGTGGGAAGGAAGGATTGGGGATTGAGAGGTTAGGGAGGAGAGGGGGTGATCAGGTTATGGTTATGGGGTGAAATGGATGGAATTGGAATTGGAATTGGAATTGGAATGGGAACGGAAATGGGAATAGGATGGATGGGTGGGTGGTCATCTGATGGTTTATGGTTTATGGCTTATGATTTACTTTTAATGATTATACGAATGCTTGATAAAGCTAATGTGATGGATAAAATGGATTGGTCTTTTGCTTTAAACGAACCGGGATCGGAATCGGAATGAGGATGGGAATGAGGATGGAAATGAGAATGAGATTGAAAATCCCAATGTGAAAGTCAATCGTACGCAGTTTTTGGGATTGGAAAGTGTAGCTGGAAAGTGTAGTTGATATTCAAGTATCAGATGAGATAGGGTAGATGAGATAAAATAAAATAAAATGATTCCCTTAAAAGTATTAAAAATAAGCCCCTTGCTGTAGCGACACTCGCTATAGAGTAGCAGCAACACAGGCAGGTACAATATCTATAACACGGCAAGTGCTATAGATATATTTTATCTTTTAATTATTAAATACAACAGCTTTTACTCGAGCTAGTCTTTAAAGAGGGCCGGGCTCAAGTTTTTATATTCTCATTATTAAAAAGTTGATCTTTTTAAAAAGAAAAATTTAATTCAAATATTCAATATTTTGATTTGATATTTTGATTAGATATTGATATCTATTTGATTAATAATTATATAGTAATAAAAAACAATTTTTGTTTTTTTATTAATTGAAATTATTGAATCAAAATAAATAAATAAACATTATATATATATATAAATAAAACGAAACACTACAAGATTCAGAACAAGAACAAACAAATCACAATCACAATGACATAATATAATAAAATAAAGCTACGATATTAAATTAGCGATTAACAATTAGCAACTAGCAATTGGCGCTTAGTACCTAGGATTTAGCAATCAATCAATCAACTACTACTCTTACAAAAGGAGAGAATACTTCTAGCGTTCCCACACATCACAGCATCTAACTACTAGCTAATTAGCTAGCTAGCTACCACCCAAGCTGGCAATTTTTTATCACCCATCCTATACATCCGTCATTCAATCACCAAGATGGCATTGCAAGCACAGATTTAATGCAACCATCATGATATGTGAATGGATCTCCCGAAGTTCGCTTCAAGCAAAATCCCCTAGCCAGCCAAAACCGTGATAACACCAAGCAAGCAAAAGATTAACAAAAGCTACCATCTCCTTCATGTGTTTGGATGCATTCCCCAATGTTTTGCCCTAGTTCATATCGTACCGTCAATGAAGTACTTTGAAAGCCAAAAGATGCATAAGAAACGCGGTCAATCCTGCCAGAACTTCGAAAATCCATAACCACCCCTCTTCGAAAAGGCTGTACGTCTAATAATCCTACAAATAAAATTTTCTTATTTTTTTAATTATTGCAAAAGGCAAAGGTAAAAGAGAAAACAGTAACAAAAAGCAATCAATCATCTCGAGGAAATAGAATTTCCATCATACTCAAAGAAAAACGTCGAAAGTCGAAAGTGGATAGGCAATTTTTGGATAAGCCTTTCTCGCAAGAAAAGACTCGATGATGGAGAGCCATAGTGTCGTTCGGCAATTCAAGAGAAGGCTTCTTAGAGCACCGTTTGATGTATCGTTTTGCCGAGCGATTGAGTCTTGAAGATCGTTGCTTGGATCGTTTTGTCGAGGTTTCGACATTCACAATTACTTCCAGCGGTATTAAGACAGCCCCTTGACTGTCATCGGTCGCGTACTAAAGAACTAGTAAGAATCTAGTAGCGCTGGATTCGGGCGTTATGAGTGTTTGGTACATTAATTGCTACTCCCCAGTCTTCCCCAAAGAAAGAATCATTGCCTCTTGGGCTGGTATCGATATGCCAATCTGGGCTTTTGGCATATCTCATGAATGGTAAAGTAGAGTTACCTTCCTCCTGTTGAGCTTTGATAGCAAACAAGTTGCCTAGTGTTCCATCTATCATTGGAGCGATGACCTCTGGTATGGTCTTCTTTTGCATTTCTGAAATAGTGATGCCGGGAAGAGGTCTATTGTCGGAAGCCAAAGTCTTCTTCGTGGGAGGACCAATTGGACCAAAAGGGTTGGCATAGGTTTCAATTTCCGTGATGTGATCTTGAATCGTCATATTCCAGCGTTTCTGGCCAGCGTAAAACCACTCATCCTTCTCCTTTTGTTTTCTGGTTCGAGCTTGCTCTGGAGTTTCTTCATCCACGAGAAGACCCATTTCCTTTTGTACATCAATCGATAAACGAGTGAATCGCCCAGTCATGTCAGCGGGGAATCCGTGGGGATAATACCGAGAGGCTTCTTGCATAGAGATTGTGTCGGTTGCTCGTGCGGAAGGAGCTTGAGCCGGAGCCTGTGCTGTATACTGTTCATTCGTCACTTTCGGTTCCTGCCATGGCGAAATGGCCCCGGGGTTCGTATGTGGGTTTTGTTTCGCTCCAACTTGATCTTGTGTCCATGCCTCCTCACTGTAATTGCTATTCTGTCTGTTATTAGTGTACGAGCGTTGACCTGGTGGACCGGCAGTTAGTGGTTGTGGATACCCAGGTACCCCCCTATGATGTCCAGAATCTCTTGAATGACCGTTGGTCACAGCGTAGGCACCATAAAGTGGATTGTATGCTGCATTGGAAATACCTGGTGGAGGAAAGGTATAACCACGGTCTAGTTCTCCATTCTTGGTAGCATGTGCATCGCCCAATACGGTTTTGTCTTTTGGGTTCCGCAAGAGGTTCTCTAAGGCTTGACTCGGAACTTCTACATCTTCATTGAGATTTGCAGTATTCTCCGTTTTGGGTGCCTGCAGTTCTGACAATCGACGTAAGGCTGAGGTTTGCATTGGGTTCGGGAATCTCGCGAGTCTTTGTAAGGTCTGCATCTTTTCAAGACCTGATATCGGACCTTGCAAATCATTCCCTCTTCCCATATCTTGATCGTCATTTGAAATTGATGAAATATGATTTTGATGAGAAGCAGGAGTTGGCGTGTTGGGTGAAGCAGGATAATGACCACCAGGCACCCTAGCGTTGATCATCCCTTGAAGTCTAAGAAGCGTATGATTCTCTTGTTCTGTTTGGGACAGTCTCTGAGAAACTCTTAGAGAGCGAGTAGATCTCGCAGATGTGGCAGGAGGGGTATTGAAAGTATTAGAAGCTTGACCGAGTTGTTGCGCATAGTGCATAGAATTTTGCATATTTAGAGGGGGCGGTGGACCGCGGGTGTGAGTATAATAATTTGCTTGTCGGTTATGAGTTGGATCCAACTGAGGTCTGCGAATTGAACCTTCACGTTGAATGCGATTGGGAGCTGAGATTTGAGGTTGTAAATTAGGATTGACACGGGATCCGACGGTAGTGTAGGCTACAGGTTGCGCTTCGACCAATAATGGCTCTGGGGAATCGTTAATCGAACGAACCGGGAGATCTGGATCCCATTCTACAGAATCGAAGCCATCGTTGGCGGTGGTAAGATCACTCATGGTTCTGGTCATCAAACCTGTTGATTCAGCGATGCGAGCCATGACTGCCTCGCTTTTATCCTTAAGCGATTGTGTATCCGAATCGTCACACTTCAAAAAGTCGAGGGAAGAATGGTTGAGATCAATTCCACTATCAATCGTATAGAGAGTTTGCGCTCTGGTGTTATCAGTGGTTGAATATGATATGGATGAGACTCTCGAAAGGCCTGGAGGAGGTGGTATAACCAGTGGTGGAGAGATTGAATCAGTTAAGGGCGTATTGGTAGTCGCAGAAGAAAGGGGAAGAGGAAGAGGAAGGGGAAGGGGAAGGGGAGGATTAGTGACGATATCTTTCTCTTTTATAACAATTGGTTGAGAAATGCTGTGATTAATATTTTCTTTATCGCTGTCGTCTCCAAGGTTCTTCTCTCGTGAGATGTGAAAATCCTTCAAGTTTTCTGGATCTTTTCGAAGAATTTGAATGACTCTTTTTGGCGCCGGTGCAGTGAAGGTGAATTCTGATTGATTTTGTTGTTTCTGTAAAGTGGTGTGGGGGGAGGGGAAATCGAGAGATGATTTGAATTGTGGGGTCGATGTAGGTGAAATGGGACTTGATGAAAGTCCACTTCCATTTCTACCTTCATTTCCACCTCTACCTTCACCTCCACCTCCACCTCCTACCAATTCGGGATCTGTTCCAACTTCACTAGTACTTTCGCTGTGTCCCGTATCCATGTTTGCCTCTTCATTTGTGATTATACCAATATCTTCACCTCCAGTACTACTATTATTAGTAGAGTCTATCGCTTCAGTCACATCTTCATTCAATGTCGATGCTGCATATTTCGATTTCGCATTCTTCTTCTTCTTAAAGGTATATTTGAACGGTCCAAGTGATTCAAGAGTCATCGGTCCTCCTAATCTCATGTCGGGCCCCTCATCTAATGCTTCATTTCGACGACGCGAGCGTGACGATCTAGCAGCCATAACGTCTGCGTACGTACTATTCGGAGGATGCGATATCGAAGGAGGACTCTTGGAATGATTATTTCGAAGTAATTGTAATCTTGTTTCGTATTTTAACTGATCTTGTATTTCTTCTTGGGCTGATTTTTTGATAATGAAACCGGGTGATGCAAGTTCGTCCTTTGACCCGGGATGTTCTGGAATGCTCTCTGCAGGTCTTGTTTGTATGTGCGAATGATTGGCAAGATTGGTCCTGCTATTATATTCTCTAATAGAGTTTGAGGTACCATAGGAATTGTCTTATTGAGTAAGCTTTCCATATTGATAAATCTTGAAGCAAAAGTGAGATAGGAAAGGGCGACAACGAAATTTTCATACTTACGAGCTCTTACAGTGCTGCGTCTAAAACCGGATGGCATGGTTACTGGAAAGCTATCAATGCCGAATATATCACCGCCCTCATTGATCTGTGGTTGTCTGGTAAAGGTTTGGTGGTAATTCAGGATCTTGGTGGGAGGATGCCGACTATCCTATATCAAAACAAACTTACAATGTATTTATTCCGATCAAGGAGACGTAGCGATGGAAGCCTTTATCGGTCCAACCAGAGGGCACCAGATTCAAGAGAAGGCTCAATCTATATTTGCACCATGTATCATGGTCTAGCTCAAAGCTTAGATATTAAAAGTAATTGTTGAAAGCTTGACCTTCATCCGAATTCAATTCCTTTGAAATAATACCGTCCAATCAGATATGGAGGATATTCACCTGTGTGTAAAAACTGGCACAACTTGGAATTTTTTAATGACATAGGTCTATATAATTAACGGGGTGAGCGGCAAGAAGATTAAATTGGCTACATAGATATTGACTTGCAGTGTATAATCTCAGCAATGATAATACAAGGTCTAGCCAATACTACGAATGCCAGGTGTATGTGTGTCGTTATAGAACCGCCAACCCAGCACGGTACATATGAAGCAATATTCAAGACTCTCTGTGCGTACCCCAATAGACCCATGCGATAATACCTTTTTGATGGTCATCCACTTGGAAACCTGCGATACCAGTATCTATCATCATATCCTATACCAATTCAGACAAATCTGTGTGGCATACACAAATCCAGATAGGATGGTCCAAAAGGCAGTACGTGTTGAGTACTTTGAGTGAATATGCTCATATTGTGACACTGAAATTATTAACAAGTTCTGCCTAACAATGACACAATGGCAGTCTATGTGGCATTTGCTTCGTCATCCTTTGTCAAGAAGTCAGTATTTCATCTGGGTATTCCATTTGAGATATCAGCACTGAGTGTAATTCCTAACCTCAAGACTTTTGAAAACATACATGCCATTGTATAATAGCAAAACACAATCAGGGACTAGCAGCCATTGCATTATTCCAGTTGATGTATTCACCACCATAAACCGATAGTCTCTCCCCTGGTGACTGTTGTGAACACACTGGAAAGCTCGATATATACAGATAAGAAGCCGTACTTAAAGGATATCAAGAGATGCACTATGAGAAGGTTTTATCAAAGGTTCCGAAGATTCCTTTCAACCTTTCATGATGCCGATACTCCTGTGCTCTTGATGATAATGAATTCTAGTGAGATATTTGTGAACTCCCGGTGGAGAGGTGGATTTCCTACATGAGGGAGTATTAGGTAGTATATATTAGTTGTTGATAAGTGTGATGTTGATGTAGAGAATGGGGTTGGGTGGGTAGAGTGTTGATTGGAGTGAGGGCAAACCGTAAGCGCCCGGGTTAATTCTAAGGTTAATTCTAAGGTTCACCTGGTGGTTCTAAGATACAATGCCGGCCACCGTAGTCATCGCAGTGCACGTGTGCTACCCGCATCTCCTCAGCCATCAGCATAACTTGAATGCATTTCTTATTCTTCCAATACCGGAGTACTGGTGGTTGCATACGAGTTGGATTTTCACCAATCTGCAACATTTGCGCCATCTCAACCTTGAAATGGGAATAGATAACATGGTGGCAAAGCATTTTCAGATTGGCTTCGGCATCATCAGAATCTACCAGCTTTTTCTCGTGCTCTATCGATTGGACATGAACAGATACGATGGATGCAATGCAACACTACAGCGCTCCAACAATGCAACAATGAGTTACATTACTGCAATCTGGGGAATGATGATCCGTACCAGAATGAGACAAATCTGACATTGATTAGCCTGGACATCTGGAAAATTATGTCCATCGTGGAAACGGTTACCACTGCGAGTCTGACTTTTTTCTCCCGAAAGTGGGTACACCAGGGTATGGCTTCACATTCACCATGCACGTTCTGCCAAGCAACGATGGTGATTCGCCCCAGATGGCTCTTCCCGGTTGTTTCCAACGTCTGCAGTGCAATGAATGCGGTTATGTATATTGATAAGGTCCCCAATATGGCTGGTACTCTGCTGGTCCAAATGTCTGCAGATATATATATGCTAGGTATGTATATTTGTAAGTTTTAGTTAGCTTTCCTACTTCCTGTCCAGTACATGCATGCGAGCTCTTTTTTCGCCCCGAGATAACACGGCAGGTCACACGACAGACCGTGAACATACATCTTGGATTGTGTAACTTGCAATTATAATTTTATTTCAAGAAATCAATCTGTTTGGAAGTTCTATTCATTTGGAAGGAGCTCACCCTTCTGCTACATCTGCAACCATTCCTATATCGTATCGAAACATGGCAGAAAAGGAAACGAATGTCGAGATTGCCGCGTCTCCAAACGCGCCAGCTATACCACCCTCCGAGGAAATAGTCTCAAAATCGAAGCAGTCTCTTTCCGATAAGTTCACAATTGTTAGTACTTCAAACCTATGTTTCAAAGCCTCAATGAAATACAGACTTGAAATATCAGTTTCGGCCTACCTTTCGCTGGCACCACCTGAGTTCAACATTCTCTAATCTGGTGATATTATTCTAGTTTGCTTCCGGAGCTGCCTTAGTGTCCGATGGCTACTTCAACAATATCATGACCATGGCGAATGTCATCCTCAAGAAACAGTATCCGAAGGAGTATACAGCAGCAACGAGTACCCGTGTCTCAAATGCTCTTCTGGTAGGAGAAATTTTTGGTCAAGTGACTATTGGGCTTACATGCGATTACTTTGGGAGAAAGTTCGCTATCATTGCTACCACTTTGATGATTGTTTTTGGTGGTGCTTTAGCTACAGCTTCCAAGGGGCTTACAATTAATGGGTAAGATGATTCTTTCTCCACTTTGGGTTCCTTCATCGTGCGAATTATGGTCTTCATTTGAAAGCTTCAGCGTTCAAATGGATCATATATCAGATAAAGTACATTCGAGGTAGAGCAATGTTTGAAATGGGCTCCGGGATCAAAACTTTCTTATTGTTAAACTGTATTCTGCACTATCGGAAACACTATCCAGCGCAGTATTTTAATTAGCTAACTCCCATGTCTAGCATGTTCTGGATGATGACTGTTGCACGGGGAATTATAGGGTTTGGTGTAGGTGGTAAGTTTTTTGGAACCCCGTACTATCAGCCTTCAATTAATCGTTGCCTCCAGGTGAATATCCAGCATCGTCTACATCCGCCTCTGAGGCTGCAAATGAGCATGCTCCCAAAAATCGCGGTCCAATCTTCATTCTCGTCACGAACCTTCCACTGTCCTTTGGTGGCCCGCTAGCTGTGTCAATCTTCCTTATCGTACTCGCAGCATGCGATTATAAGCACTATAACACAGTATGGCGGGTATGCTTTGGTCTGGGTTGTATTCTCCCCTTATCAGTCTTCTACTTCAGAATAAAAATGCTCAACAGTACACTGTATCGCCGAGGAGCTATTAAAAAAGACGTTCCATACAAACTTGTGTTCCGTTACTACTGGAAATCTCTCATCGGAACATGTGGCGCCTGGTTCCTCTACGATTTTGTAACATTTCCCAATGGCGTCTTTTCAGGCACAATCATCGCCTCTGTCGTTCCTTCGAATCCTAGCACTGTCGTTCTCAAAACTGGGGAATGGAATCTGTTACTCGGAACCATTGCGCTACCTGGTGTCATTATCGGTGCATTACTTTGTGATCGCATCGGTCGAAAAAATACAATGATGATAGGATTCTTTGGATACCTAATGTTTGGTCTCATAATCGGGCTATCCTACCACAAAATCACCAAAATCGTCCCTCTCTTTGTAGTTTTCTACGGCTTGATGCAAAGTTCCGGAAATCTAGGGCCTGGAGACATGCTAGGACTGATCTCATCCGAAACTTATGCCACCTCTGTAAGAGGAACTTGCTATGGAATTTCCGCCGCGCTGGGCAAAGTTGGTGCAGCAGTGGGTACCCAAGCTTTTACTCCCATTCAAATCCATTTGGGAAAGCAGTGGACCTTTATCATCGCGGCTATTTGTGGCGTGGCTGGAATTCTCGTTACGTATTTCTTTGTAGAAGATATTACTGGTGAGGATTTGAGTGTTAGAGATGAGAAATTTAGAGCATATTTGGTAGCTAATGGTTGGGATGGAGAGATGGGAGAGGATGATTTGAAGGCGTTGGCGGAGGAGGGTGTAGTAACAGAAATGGAGGTGGAGGGAAAGTAAGATTGGCACAGACGTTTGTGATGATCTAAAATAAACTGGAGGAATGAAGTTAATGATCGGAAAGTTGTATTATCTTTAGCTCGTTGGAAGTAAATGAACAAGTACATAGAATATATAAACTAAAATCGCTTCACATTTTAAATAGTGCAATGTGATGGAGCATCTTAGCAAGAATTTGCAAACTACCTACCCCTGGCCAAATACTCGACACTTTGGTCCGCAGGCCTTCATATTATTCAACATCATGGTAATAGTATAACCTCATGTGGAATTACTTCAAAAGTCAAATGCATCGGAGGCAAATATGAGACAAGAATACCTCAGACCTGGATAGTGTTACTTTTTGTGGTTCAGTACCAAGCTTCCCATCTATTGGAAATTGCGTTCGTCGTGTAATGGGGATAGTGTTACGTATCCTCGTGCAGAACTTATCAACACAGTGAACTCGTCACTGGTATCATCTCACGAATCAAGTTGGCGATTCCTCACCACTGGTCCATGTCCACGCTCTCCCGGTCGATTAGGCCGTACTGTCGGACCATGAGGTCCTATTTCGTGTTTCTCCTTCTCTCCATCTCCATCCACCCGCTCACCAACAGCACCATCACGATTAGCCCTCCAAACCCCACCCTCCTCACCACCAAATTCTTCTTTCTTCCACACTTCGACTTTCTCCTTACATTCCTCAAGCGCTTCTTCACCAGCCTTCCAAGCCGCCTGACGATGCGGCGACGATACCGTAATCAAAATGCTTTCTTCTCCAATAGGTACAACTCCCAAGCGATGAATCATGGCAATAGATGTCAGGGAGTGTTTGTGGAGAATCGTCTTGCAGATACTGAGCATGCTCTGTAAAGCACGTGGTTCGTATGATGTATACTGAAGTTCTTTTACGGGCTTTCCTCCAAAATTGTCTCGGGTTGTTCCTATGAATAATGTTGTTCAGTACATTACTTATAGATCGGTTTCGCATGGTTTTTAGTACCTGCGAAGAGAACGATGGCTCCGGCTTTGGGACTTCGAACTTTGTCCATCATTACTTTGGCGTCAAGGTTTTCATGGGTTAATGCTACATAGCAATTTTCTTCCGAGAGGTCTTTCGAATTAGCCATAATTTTGGAATTTTGGAGATGTCTAAGGTCTCTCCAATATAATGTGATTGCAGGACGACCTTGAGAACTCCAGCTCTGTGACGAATTACCTGGTGGGAGTGGTGGGGTAGCCTTGCGTATTGTGGCGTAGAACTATCAAGTGAGGTTGGTGGGGGTCAGCCTTATTCTTAATGTGGCTTAAAGTGACCTTCCAACAACAACCAGGCTTTAATTTAACAAACAAACATTCTTTGATGCATTCACAATTCACAATTCACAAACGACACTCACCAATCTTAAATAAATACTTACCTTTCCCGTCCCAAATATTTGTGGCACATCTTATAGAGATCATACTTGTAATACCTCGTTCTATGACTTTTCCACCATCATGAGTTCCAGGCCTTATAAACCCGGCCCTGACGCCGACATGTATGATGACCAAGAACATTCGACCGAGTATCGACACCATGGAGCACCTGGATTTGAATCGCGGAAGGGTAATCGACAGTTTAGATATGCAGATTGCCAAGTATATGTGCTGATCATCAATGTCTCAAGATAACTCAAGGAGTCCTCCACGAGGACATGCTTCTGGCAGACCACACGACTCAGAATACCCAGAACGCCCATATCGAGTCGACCGCAATCCATATGAAAACAGACATGAGCGTGGTCATGATAAGGAAAGATCAAGGTCTCCGCGCAGAGAGAAGAGAGGCCGTTATACGGACCGCGATCGCGAAGGATATAGATCTCCAGTCCATGAGAGAAGTCGCAGTCGTTCGCCTCATCATGGCGCACCACCAAATCGAACCATCATTTTTGAAGGATTGCCTCTAGATATGACACAGGAAGACGTTGGCCGCCCCATTCCTACAAATCTGCACCGAACCTGAGAATCCACTTCTAGCCTAAGTGTAATGTGAAATTTTTTGGAATTCTGGCTAAGCATAGCGATTGGCCTTGTTGGCCGTTGTTTTGATTTATAGATATCAAAAGAACTTCAAAATAGTCTTAAAGTTGAAGGTGTGGAGGAGATTAGGTTGATCAAGGATAAAAAGACTGGTAGGCACGCGGACTGTTACTTTAGGGTGATACATCACTAAACATTTGGTTCTCAGGTATATCTCGAGGGTTTGCATTTGCGCAATTCTATACCCTACCAGAAGCAAAACGATTTCTCAAGGAACATTACCCGTCCATTTCATTCTATGGTCCTTCGCAGGCATCAGAACCAGCCAAAGTCAGAATCGCTTACAGTCGCGAGAAGAACGATCAAGAACGATCAAGCAAGCATGGGGATGATTGGAAATGTGACGTTGTGCGTTATCTTTACACCATTCAGAATGTTGGAAGCTAATAGGATCCAGTGTTACACATTGAATTATTCATACAGAATGATGTGTTTCAAATGCGGTGGCCCTAGAACTAGTACGCATTTCAGCCACATGAAGATTCTATATCGCTAATTATCTTAGGACCAACTGCTCATGGTGTTGTTTTGACCCAAGGAAATGTATCTAGCTACTCAGGATTCGCTACGACCGGTGATAGTGACGCCTCGCCCGACGAAACAGCCTCTCAATTTCTCTTACTTAGAGGCCTCGAACCTGGTGTGACGGAGGAACTTCTTGCCAAAGGAGTAAGCAAACTTTACAAGACCAAAGCAAGCACATCAGCGGATGTACATACAGCTAAGAAGACAAAAATATCTTCCACTTCCGCTGATGCCTCACTTGGTGCAAGAGAAGGTTCTCTCCGCCGCGTGTTACTGATTCGGGATCGTAAAACGAATGATAGTTGGAGATATGGTTTTGCTGAGTTTGCTTCAGTAGAGGATGCTCAAAATGCTTTGGCCAAGTACAACGCTACAGACAAGTTTACCATATCTTCGAAGCCTGTGATGGTTTCATACATCCACGCAGGCGTATTTGTGCCCGTTCTTGACGTTCTAAATGAAGAATCCGCGAGGTTCACATTCAGTCCATTGTCAAACCCTGCGGTTAATTTGATGTACTGGGATACTACGGCTTATGCTAGCGAGCTGTCTACTGTAATCCCAGAGGCACCAGTGAAGAAGACGAATAATGACCGAGCTAAATTAGCTAATGCAGCAGCAAATGAAGGACTTGTTGGTGGCAAGGATGGAGAATTTCGGTCCAAGAAAAGAAAAATCGAAAAGGATGCGGCTGTGAGTGCTAAAAAGGTTGTTGCTCCACATCTCCAATTTTGGACCAATAGACATAACGAGATCCATGGCCTGCCCGCCAAGGATTTTGAAGACAATGAGCCTGAATCGACTGCTGCAATTGCAAAATCTACATCAGAACCCATTGCCGATGCTCCACCTATTCAATCATACGCAGACATGGCTCGAAAATGCTGTATTTTATGTTCCCGTCAATTCAAGACGGAAGCAGAAGTCAACAAGCACGAAAGAATCAGTCAGCTTCATCGCGACAATACAAAGAACGAAGAAATGGTTTCAAAAGCTTTAGCCAAGCTCAAGAAATCTGCAAGTGATTCAACCTCAGCCGAAAACTCCGCTTATAGAGATCGAGCCAAGGAACGTCGTCAGGCTTTCAATCAGCCCAAGCAACCTGCTGCGCAACACAATAAATCGAAGACTTCATCTACCAGTCCCCCTTCGCAAAAAGAAGAAGATAACGAGCCAGTAGCACCCGCACAATCTAAGGGTGCAGCACTATTAGGAAAAATGGGTTGGAATGCTGGAGAAGGTCTCGGTGCTCAAGGTACAGGAAGAACGGAAGCTATTGCTACTGAGCTCTATACGCAAGGTGTTGGTTTAGGAGCTGAGGGAGGTAAGCTAGGTGATGCGATGGTGGAAGCGGAGAGGCAGACAAAAGGTGATTATAAGACGTTTGTAGGTAGAACAAAAGAAAAGGCTAAGGAGAGGTATGAGACTCTGGGTTGAGGCTTGAGGGTTGAGGTGGGTCGAGTGTGTATTGTATGAATATATTAATAGGTACTTTTTAAATGAAATAAAGCTTCTGGGTTTATATTTCTTTCTTGTGAAAATCCTGTTCATCTAGAGCACACATGTAGGATGCAATGGAAATTTTGATGCACAGCTATTTGTATTGCCATGCACAAAAGTTACACAATTACCTGCCACAAAAGAAAATAGCATTTCTTCCTGCGGGTAATAAGAATGGGTATAAGCAATATAATTAAACGACCAACCAACCACTCTTTTTCTATTTGAACAAAACACTTCAACTTTCATGCTCTTACTCAAACCTCAACTCAAAGTCAAAGTCAAAGAGAATATAATACAATATAATAGAATTGATATTCATATTTATATTCACATATGAAACTTCTTGATTGAGATGAATGTAACAAATTGATCAAATATTGATGGACTATTGTATTTGAACTAAATCCTGCCTAGGTGTCAGAGTTCCACTGATGACCTTAATAGCAGGTATATCCGCCGTCGACGACCTTAGAAAACTCAGTAAGTACTTCAAGATATGAACAAGCTTTTGACTTACCAGATCACAGCCATTTAGATAGCTTGATGCATCACTAGCCATATACACTAGTGTTCCTCGAAGCTCACTTGGATGAGAAAGTCGACCCATTGGGATATCTTTAACCCAATTCTCTTCGATATGTTTTCCTTCTTTCTCCAGAAGATCAATTATGAGGTCTGTTTTTACGTATCCAGGGCATAAATTGTTGACTCTGATCCCATATGGTCCCCACTGATTACGGGTAAGTCCTAACCCATCAAGGGATAGAATACAAGAGTTCTTACCTCTGTTGCCAAACTCTTACCAAGCATTGAGACGGCCCCTTTGGACTTCATCAGGTTAGCATAGACTTTCATATCAATATTTAACATCTCGTAACATAACCGGACTCGTAGAGGAAACTTAAACCTACAGCATTATAAGCCGCTTGCTTTTGTGGTTTAACACAAATCATGCTGCTCATCGATGATATCAAAATCAAGCTTCCCTTGGATTTCTTCTCAATCCAATATCTCCCCGCCTCTCTAGCAAACAAAAAACTTCCATTAAGATTTACATCCATCATTCTCTTCCATTTATCAAAAGGGTATCGCTCTGCCTCAAAATTCTCAACAATACCCGCAGCTGTAACAACTACATCAACATGCCCAAAATCTTCAATGATCTTCGCCCATGTTTCTTGTACTGCCTGTTCGGATGCCACATTACATCCATAAGGACGAAGGTCTGGCGTATAGGAAGGATTCGAGGTTTTTATGCTGGATTTGATGTGATCAATTGATTTTTCACCGATAGATCGAGAAAGATCAACACAAGCTCCGCGAGCACCACTCAGCGCAAAGGCTGTAAGACATTCCTTCCCAATTCCTCTTCCAGCACCTGTAACAACACAAGTTTTTCCTTCCAGTGAAAATGAGGGAAGAGTCATGAGAGTTCTTCGTACGACTGTGGCTGGCTGCGCAGCGCGGAGGAGGTGTCGAAGTACAGGTACTTTAGTAAACATGTTTGAGGAGGATATTGTACTCGAATATGTTGGATAGAATATGCTGAGGCTTCCCAAGGTGAGGTAAACTATCTATCTAAGCTTGATTGATTAGTTCAACAGTGATCATTGTGTGTTAGCAGAAGGTATTAATGTGAGCAACTAGTCTTGGGGTAGCATTTCGCGCCACGGATTCCTGTGTGCCATGAGAATTGTTGTCGTATAGGTCGAAATGGGTTGTTGATGAGGGGGAAAGCTATTTACGTCGTTACTCGTCCAACAAGAGAGGATTACATAATTTGGAAAAAGATGGACGTTACCCGATTGGTTGATCTTGTAGAAGATTAATACTTGCATAAACATTTTATACCAAATCAACATGTTTCATACAGTCACTGCTTAGTTGTTCCTCAATTCATGGCTATTACCCAGGCAAGTAGTAGGTACCATTAACTATCACCTATTACCTACTATACCTCCTAAATAGCTGAAAGTCCTTCGAACATCGACTTATTTACCAAAGGCTTTACTCTTCTTACGCATACATCAGTTCTTATAATCCACTTCTCACCGTCCGTGACTTCTCTCCCTTCATGCAACATGCAATCATCCCCATGCTTATGTAACAGGACCATTCCAGTCTCTAGACTTATGACAACAGGCTTATCAATGGGAGACTTCTTGTTAGGAAGTTCCTCAGGGTAGAAAACTGTTTCACCCCCTTGACAACCTGTTGCTGGAGATGTGAGATATAATAATAGTGTCCATGTTGTCTTTGCTTGAGTGGACGTAGGTCTTGTTGGAAGTGTGATGAGATTCGATTCATCGTCTGAGAAATATGTGAGAATTGAACACTCGTGACTTGAAGGGGGTGTGTCAACTTACAATGGCAATCAAAGAACTGTCCTTTTGAATATCTATATATTCGGATGACGGGATTTAAACCTACAACTTCTCCTCCCCTATAATACTTATTAGCATCATGTAGCGGGTGCATAAAGTATGGACGGCCAAACGGCGGGATATTCACCACAACTCTCTTCTCTCCTCCTCACTCATCTTTTCACCCTCCTCCTCATATTCCCTCTCAATTTCACCACATAAAAGCTCCTTGAGTCCGGTCTCCCTCCAAAGTCGTTCAGCGAAATTCCAATCATCAACCTGGTATCTATCATTGACTCTCAATGCATCACCCTTTTTAGGTTTACCAGGTGTTGTAGTTAAGGGTAAACTTTTCAAGAATGAGACATAATTTTTACACAAAGTAGATGTCCAAAAGTTTGGTATTGTAATAATTTGACCAGGAACAATGGTTTCGAGAGTTAAGTTTGTAGATGGCATGAGAGGCTTGAAAGGGGGCCAATTCGGAGGTGGTGATTCTGGTGTAGCGTCACTTTGCTTGGGCTTTTTGGGAGGCATGATTGGTGGGATTGTCTTGCTTTGATACAAGCAATTCGTGTAAGGAGTGAATTAACAATATATGAGGTTTTGTATTGTTGTAAAGTATTTATACTTTGATATTGAATTGGGCCGAGTTACCTTCGCATAGAGCGAGGGGCATTTTAATACGGTGGCCGGGATTTTTACGCACGACTTCTCCCGTAAGACCACCGGCCCAACATCAGATCATTCTTCATCGTAAGGACCTTCATCACTTTCACTGCGAACACTCATACATGGCAAAGCTGCAATTGATTTCCTCCTGGATTGTCTCTCGCTGCAGGAAAGCTCACATTTCATAATACTTAATAAATTGTCAATGGAATGAGCGATGAGAAGAATGCTAAGCGCCAACGTGCCCTTGGCATCAACATTCCTCAACCAACATGTTAACATTCCACGCTTATTTTGGTTTCCTGTTGATGTTGTCAAGCACATATTCATATACCAGCAGATTCCACGTTTGAGTAATGTATCAGTTCATGCGAATCGTTGACGATTTTATGTTATCCAGCCTTCGCATTTTTACCTTTCTCTTATACAGACTTAGATAGTCTTCTTTCTCTTTGCACTTTTCATTCAATCATCGCCAACAGTCATGTTAAGGATCTTGATTTTTACTTTGATGCTGTGCATATTACCTATTGAAGTAATAGGAAGATCCAGGAAGTCAGATCGTATTCATCTTTCGTCTACCAGCTCACCAGGGGATGATGGTCAAGAAAACTACAGACCAGAAAGCACTGCACAAGCTTATCAAGAAGGGTCTACTAGACAAACAACCTCGGTCAATTATACCTTACCATGGCCTGCTACTAAGTCTATTCAACCCGCTGTCATTTTCCAAGGAATGAATGTTACATCGGTGATTCCAATTTACGAGACATGCAACTTGCCAGGAGCAAGTACTACATCATGTTCACCATCTTTTCAAACTCTCATCACTACCAAGTGTTCAACGGTATTGACAGGATACTTCACGAGACATACTGTCTCAGAGTGTGATGAGATTGTCACTTTTTCTACACAGTATGGCTATTCTTTAGCTACCACCACTGCTTCCGCGAGCAGAGTCACGCATCTCCACAGACGGAGTAAAGGCATGTTAGTTACACAGAAAAATGTTCATAATATTACAACATATTACGCTGCTCCATGGCAATCAATAGCAGCGGATGACCCCTCAGACATACATGTTACCATTTGTGGGCTCTCTTCTGATGGAGTTCTGGTGTGTACGACTGTCAGTGAAGTTTGGGTCACTCATACGGAGTATTTGCCGGTTTATAATACCGAGGTCATTTCAGTGTCGACTGTAGTATCTTCAGTATGTAAGCATGCGTATATGATCACAGATATGACTAACATCCTTAGACCGGTGTGCTGGCATTTGCTTCAGACATATATATAACAATCACGCCCGGAACTCTTATCCTCTCAACGCAGATAGTATCCACAAGTTTATCAGTGAAGAACGTCACCTCAACGTCTACTATCGGAAGCATGAGCTCGGGGTTAGCAGACCTGGGATCTAGTGTTGAAGATTCCACAACAACAATTTATATTACAGGTCCTGCAACTACCACAACAATAAACCTGGGCTTAGTCTCATCTCTCACTTCCATCGCACAACTGTGAGTGTAGACACTAAATGCATTTTCATAGATGTTACTGACAAACCATTGTGACTAGAAAAACACGCACAACAACCATTACTAGTACAAAAAAGATAACAAGAACCACCACTTTTACACCTGTACGTCGAACCATATGACAAACTTTTCATACCCTCTATTAATCAGCATTCATAGCGTCGCACTATATTCCGAACTACTTAACTATTCAGCAAGTTCTAAATTTGGGCTAGGTTTGGTATCTTAGAGATTCATTAGCAATTGCTTCATTGTCTGTGTAGCACACTATAATTATTTGAAATTATAGACATGTTGACATTTAATATAATATATATATAACGCTAGATTACACACATTGAATACATGACTTTTACCTTTGTCGAGTGGCTTTCATATAGATTCCCTTCCACATTCGTAGAAGAACAAAGCAGATATTAGTCCCAAATTCTCTTCATGTCATAACAATATCATCTATAACAAATAAATAAATAGATATATAATATTCCTAATAACCTTTCAATACAAAGCCTCAAAAACTCCAATAACTAAAAGAATATCCAGATAAAGAGCTTACGTCGAGCTCCCCTCCTCCCCACATAACCTCAACACACAATCTGCCTTATCCTAATCCCTTTTTCCAAACAAAAAGGTAGGAAAAGCAAATAAAAACATACAACAGTAGGGATTCGCTGGTGGTCACCCACCCAACTACTAATCCACCGATCTGAAGCTTGTGTATGGCAGAGCGGACGGGATGCCCAATTCTCTTCAGTCTATGGTCGTATGTGGTAGATATGTGGTGAGGTGTGAATATATTGGAGTGAGAATGAAAAATTAGCTGAATGAATAGAGTGAGTAATTGAAAACGATGTTCAGAGCTAAAGAATAGGAATAGGATTTCTGGAATTTGGGGGGTTCTAAAAGGGGTTATTCTGCTCTTTGCTTATTCGGCTGAAAATGCTATGTCCATTCATGCAGAGATTGTGAGCTTTTGTAGTCGTATTTTGTTACTCTTATTGCTGCCTAAGTTTCTAGAGAATGGATTGTAGAATGATTATCTCTCTTTCTGCAACCCCTTTCATGTATCAGATATTATCCGCAACTTTGTATATTGCGAAGAGATGAACCGATATATCAACAGCATGATTGTTGCTCCCATGAGTTGATAAAAAAATGCTTGAGCTGTGACTGTTGGGAAGACATAAAGACTACGATGGAATGGATCTGGTGTTCGTTTTGATTCTCCTCACTCTCATTTTCCCATCCGTGGTTAATTTTATATCTGTACCATAGTAGAAGTGGATTCATAATCGATTTGATCGAACTATAGCTAAGGCTAGCGGAACACGTGATATGCCAGGGCTATGTACAATATAGGGTTATGATCTCCAGTCCTTTGGTCTTCTTTATGATAGCTCCCTTAAGCTTATAGCTTAATATCAAGACCACATCTACACGCTTGCAGTAATCTTCCACAGCATGAGAGGAGCAGTTGAGTAGTTAGGGAACACCAACAATTGCTGCCTATGCTCACTGAAGGATTTAGACTTAGTAGCCAAGACTTCTACATGTATAGCAATATTTTCGGCATGAATTTCGTCAATGGAAAGACTTAGTTCTCAGCCCCCAGTTTTATACTTCGGCATCGTCAAGTTAGGCATCAGTCGGACTTGAACAATGGTACTGCCAAAGCCATAACTTGGAAGTATAGGCTTTTCGCCATTGAATCGATCAAGAATCGTACTGGCGACATCGTACTGATTCCTGCTGAGTGAATGCGAGCCGAAGCTGTGTCGGAATCTAAAGGAACAGCCGGGATACGTAAATAATTGAGAGGAAGATATAGTTGCTTATACATGTTTCATCATCGAACAAATCATTGACCTGATCAAATCGAATCAACAGGGAGGAGAGCATTGTATTGTTCGTAGCTTTACTTCTTTTCACCTCCTACCGCTTGTGAACTTTGCTGATTTATCACAGTGGTGAGATAATATCAAGTCATAAACACGATTTGAGTATTCTAATTTCCTGGTAATCGGTGCCAGTTTAATAGACCTAACTACAGGAGCATGTGAGCAAGTTGTATAGTACTGTATGTCAAGGATTCAAAGATTCAAGGGGGAAAACAGCATAGGCGACGTTGACGAGTCTTGAAAAGGGGTAGCACCAGGAGATACGCATCAGGATGTAGCTCAGGAAATTTAAAATATGAGTTTCTGATACTTGGATGATATGTAACAGTAGTTGAACATACTTTGGAGCCGAGAAGAATGATATTGACTCTTTATGACCGACTCCATTGATCAAACAGGTAGTTTCTTCAAATTGTTCAAATCTTACGCAACTTCTGTGCGGGCTATGCCATTTAGCAAATTTACTATCGATATTCATCGTTCTGTTTCCCAGGTAAGTCTTACATTCACTAACCTTAGAAGTAAAGGTAGCAAAGATAAGACGACTAATTACTTGTTAGGTCTGACGTCAAAAGGTCCAACAACTAGATTGATTTGCAACTCGACCCTAGGGCTTTAACCCTGTCGCCTTAAGTAATCCCTTTCATTTTCATCATTATTGGCCATATGGATTTAAATCTTTCTAATCCCCAGGTAACTAAATTATGTTATGGATGACTGTTGAATTTGTAAGATTCATGAGTTCGTGAAAGGTGGTCTTCCGCATTCGTCACTTTTTAGCGTTGTCAATTCAGCACTGTACCCACTAAATTTCCACTTCACAGCCTTGCGCGTATCCCATCAAAGTTCCCATCAAAAAAATTAATTTACCATCTCATTTACTTCACAACATTACATCTTCACAATTTATTCTACTTTTCATCATCTATAATAGTAACATAAACTCTCCATCATGGATCAAGTTCGTACCGTTCTCCAACCCATAACCCACAACCTTCCCGCACCTATCAAAGACTTGGGAGTTTCTCTTATCGGAGAACAATGCTACAAAACGCTCCTCCTTGACATCGACCCATCCCACACAGAATGTCTCAAACTCGGCATTTCGAAGGGACTCGGAGTAGGAATCATTGCAGCTTCTTCTATCGTCAAGATCCCACAACTTCTCAAACTCATCTCCTCCAAATCTTCCTCGGGGATATCCTTCCTCTCCTACCTTCTTGAAACCTCCGCATACCTTATTTCGCTCGCCTATAACTATCGATCAGAATTCCCTTTCAGCACATATGGCGAAACGGCACTTATTATGGTGCAGAATGTTGTGATTGCAGTGTTGGTATTGAACTATAGTGGAAGAGCTAGCACAGCTGCCCTGTTCGTGGCAGGATTGGCTGCAAGTGCCTTTACGCTTTTCAGTGGAAATATGCTGGATATGCAACAATTAGCATACTTGCAAGCAGGAGCTGGAGTTTTGGGAGTGGCAAGCAAATTGCCGCAGATTTTGACTGTCTGGCAAGAAGGGGGAACAGGACAGTTGAGCGCTTTCGCTGTAGGTTTATTTCACTATGTTTGATCTAACATATCAAGGTGAACGAGATGCTAATTTAACATTACTAGGTTTTCAATTATCTTGCTGGTTCTCTTTCCAGAATCTTTACCACTCTTCAGGAAGTTGACGACAAACTCATTCTCTATGGATTCATTGCCGGATTTGCGCTCAATGCTATCCTAGCTCTACAAATGGTATACTACTGGAATTCTCCCAGCAAGACCAAGAGCAAGAAGAACAAGAGCAAGAAATCTTCAAACACAAAGCAAAAGGAGAAGGTTTCTGTCGCAGCATCTCCTGCCGCAAATACCACTCAATCGCAAAAGAACACAGCCAAGAGCCCTAGCACACGAAGACGTGGATAAGTCTTCTAGCTTTGGGGGATTTTTTTTGTTTTTATGTTTTGTTTTGACTCCTGCTCAGTGCAGTTGTAGTCCTTTGCTGTCCATTATATGGGTGATTAGATAAATTAATCTGATCTAATTGTCCTAAATATTGTTATTTAAACTGTTGTACAATTTTTCATATTTGTCATTGCTAGACCCCTCATTACTAACCTAAAATATTTCAACACCTCCCAAGCTTTGTAAGAATCTTAGCACGTCCAAGACAAGATCCATCTAGACCCCTCCTCCCTCTCCCTCTCCCTCACCATACTAAACTCAACTTTGATTGCTCATTCCTCATTCCCCATCCCACTCATTAATCCTAATCCTACCGTATAATATACCCCTCTGCATATCTCTACCCCTTATTCACAGAAAAGAAAAACCTCATTATCTAGGTATGAATAGTAAGATAAATATAGTTTAAATACTTGAGTATATCTAATTATATTGTTGTTTTAACTCTATTTTGTAGTCTGATTTAGTTATATTGGAGTGAAATATTTTTGAATTGGGGCATTGTTGATGGGGTTATTTATTTTGGGAAGAGGGATTGAGAGAGAGGAGGGGGAGGGGGAGAGAAGGAAAAATGGGGAAGGAAGAAGGAAATATTCGGGGTGGATAGGTAGATGAGTGTGAGGTTGGTTTATGAATTGATTTGTAGATACATATATAAGAATGTCAGGATATAAATATAAATATAATTATCCCTCTGATTTTTCTTCCTTTATTTATATAAGACTTAACTTGCAATAATTCTTACTTTTGGATTCTCCTATTTTGATTTATATATAATCTACACATCTCTCCTTTTTAAATTCTTTTCTTTGTAAGTCTTACATGCTGATCTGATTTCTCGGATTTGATAATGCTATAAGAATTGTAAGACTTATAAGACTTGTTTTTTCAAGGACTGGGACTGGGAGTGGGAATGAGAATGAGAATGAGAATTGGGTGAGGAGAGGGCAGGGAGAGGGAGAGGGAGAGGGAGGATTGAGTGGTGAAGGTAGGGAGGTGAGAAGGTAGGAAGGTAGGAAGAGATAGTTGTAGATTTGTGGTTGATAGAGATGCAGATAGCAATGAGTGTTGGGAGGTGCACTTGGAATTGGAAAGGGGAGCGGAAGTGGAAGGGGAAGTTGGATGGTGGTTAATTTGTGGTAGTGAAACTGGCGAGAAAGTTCAGAGATGAAACTCAGTAGATACTTTGAGGAGGATTTGAGGTGATGTTTTGGAAGGATGGCTTGGTATTGATTGATATTGCGTTTATTGGAGATGATTGACTGAAGCAAGAATTTTCAATTTGTTTAGATTTGAATCATTTGAAATAGAGGATTCATCGAAGTGGAAGATGAATAGATAGCGCATTATATATTGGAATGATTAATTCAATTTCTGTAACTTCGAGACCACTCTTGCTATAATTATTCGCATGTTGAGGGCTAAAATCGCATCTTTGCGATGAAACGACCAAAGTTGAAGAACACATCGTAGATTCATATCAACCCCTTTAGAGTAAGGACCCAGCTACATGCGTAGATGTGTTTGTATGTGCCCACCCTTACTTCTATCGTAGCTTGGTGGCGCATTTCGCCTGACTCCCGGCCACTACATGCAAGGAATTGAATTCCTAGTATCCAAGAATAAGAATGGTGACTACACCGACCAGATTAGAGTTTAGGCTCATCCGCGAGGCATTCCAACGTTGGACCGTGAAGCTTAGCTCCCATATGTATTGGCGCATTGCCAATTACAGAGACTGAATCTTGTACCTTACAGGGTACACTTTTCGCCTCCAGCTTGATATATCTTCCCATATGTTGTGCTATCTTCAGATAACCCCGCTGGTAGCGAATCTCAAAATCTCTTCTTTACTTCTCACCCTACCATCTTTCCTTGTAATTCCCTTCTCCGGCGCCTTCTTCTCGGCACTTCGATCCATTCCTCCCATAACCTCATCATCCTCCTCACCTTCCTCATCTTCTTCATCACTTTCTTCCTCATCCTTAAGTCCCGTATTAACATTTTCAACTCCACTTTCTCTCTCTTCCGCCGTATACTCATCGCCCGCTTCATTCAATGCATATTCCCTTATCCTCGGCCCAATCCATTCAGCCGCCCATTTCCATGTTTCCTCAAGATCTCCCTGATTAGCTCCCTCTCCTGCGCCATCTATTTGTAAATTACGACCCTCTTCAACCCATGTTTCGACTTGCGGTTCTAGTTTCTTGCGCAGTAATTGTAGGAGAAGTCCTTCTTGTGTGCGACCGGGGAAATTGGTAGAAGGGAATACGACGATTCGAGAGAGAATCTCACTATTAGCAGCGAGATGATCAATGACTGATTGGATGTTTGTGCTTAGGATAGAAGAAGATGTCATTACTGAGGAACTGTATATCAATTAGTTAACGTGAATGCGCAATGCAGGATGCGACAAGCAAGGTGAAGTACGTACTATTCAGGTAGAGGTGCGCCCCTTTGGAAATCAGTTTTTAAAGATGCGATGTTAGAAGTTAAATGTAAGAGGCGCTGACGAGTCTGCTCGAGAGCTTTGAGATCTTCTTGTTGAAGTGCCATGATTGTGATTCCGTATCGTTGGCGCAAGATTGATTGCTGGGTATAATGGTGATGTTGACTTTTGGGCTTCGTACTTCAGGGATTATTGGGCTGGATCGTAGGCTTTTAGCGCGGAACTAAGCTGCGGGGTCGATGGTGATTAGCGTACTGCTGCGGGAAGAATCACTAAAATAAAGCATCAACTGTCGCATCATCTCTCTTCGGTACACATTGTTGCCAATCACAGATAAAAGATGTGTTATTACCATTCAATTCATTAAATGAAGCAATGCATTGATTGATATGTATTCCGGTTGAACGCGATGCTCAACCTTTCAATCGACTATTTGCCAACTAGAAACAATGAAGACGACGTAGAATGAGAAAAATACATATTGTAGGTTGGTTATTCATCAATTTTACCTTCTCTTCTTATCCAGCTCTTAGGACTTCTTCCTGTATCTGACAGACACCCCAAAACCTCATCAAGTCAATCGCTCGCAGTTACAGTCTTCTCACCAGCCGTTTGATTGGCCTTCTTCACAACCTCCATAGCTGTCTTCTTCATCTACTCAAACTCTTGTACACATTGACCCTCCATATTAATCAACCACATCTTTGTCTTAACAACATCATGCTTCCAAACATCTGCCTCTCTTGCCATTGTATGCTCAAGGAAGCCCAGAACAATTAATGTGATCCACATTTTTTGGCCATTGGTATCTCTCTGAACATTGAAGACATCCTGGGGGACCTTGAAGCCGAGAACGGGCTCAAGATCTGGTAGAGACATCCAGGTACCATCAATTTGTTGAAGCTCGATGATTCTCAAAACTATCTTTTCTGAAGAAGCGCCGGTCCAATCCTCCTCAAATGATTTCCTCGAATAGGATTCAGAAAGAGCGACCGATATGGTGTCAGTAACAAGTGGAACTGAGTTCATGGAAAATGGAAAATGGAAAATGGAAAATGGAAAATGGAAAATGAAATGGCCTTGCTTCTTTTCACGAGTTCTGACGATGGTATGGTTTCGTGGTTCCTTCTTGATTGTTGAGCAGGAACGCCACTGAACTTTTGAAAGCTTCTCTTTAGATCATTAGGAGCCTGGTTCCCTTTGGCAAGTCCCTCGAGTCTGTTCCTGTCCGTTGTCGAGTTTACACCAGTGGAATTCTCGACAGATGAGATAATTGTATTGAATAGGTCCGACGCTTTGTGATGACTATTTCCCAAACGTTGTGGAGCTGGAAAAAGTGATCTATGTCGATCATAAGTTGATCTAGAATCGTCTGCGGGTCTCGTCATTAAGTCCACTCCAGGCGGATGTCTACTTGGTTGTTGTGAAGTTTCACTGGCGAAGGAATTAGTGTTTTGGGATTCTCTCTTGCTGGTCCTGACGAAATCAAATTATCGAAACTCTTGCTTCTCATTATTCTCGGCGTCATTCTCAGCGACGGCTACAAACGAGCACCGTCGATTAGCAACTTGAAATTGCTGCCCCAATCGTACGGCCTGTCGTTTAACAATATCATCGAACAGAGATGGATCACGATCTTTTAAACAAGCACCATGATCCTCTTTTGCATCGTATACCCAGCCCCTACCCTCCTCAAGATCTTGCGTAACCTTTCTAGCTGCGAGCTGATGTATAGTTTGGCTTTCTCCCAGGAGTCTTTCGATAGGAATTGATAGCTCTACGGGACCATGTACATATTTACCTCTCAAAACAACGGCTGTATGGTTTCGTTGGATGGTTTCCGGAGACATCAACAAGTATACTACAGCGTTGGCTTCTGGAAACAAAGAAGGAATATTGTGTGGGGCCTGTAGCAGTTTCGGGGTTGGAATTTCTGGTAGCTGTTGACGAGGTCCAGCCTTAATGACTGTATCTCTAGGTTCCTCAAAGGTAGGGTCAAACAGAGAGATTGTAGGAAGCATCGGCTGATCCGGTTGTTCCATTTTCTCGTCATTGTTCGATAGAAGGAGCTTCATAGTGTCTGTAACTCTTTCAATGATCTCCAAATCATCATCTTCGGATTCGTATTTGACCTCCATGGTGTAGTCAGTAATATGGGGGTAAAGTGCACCGCGCAGCATTCGAATAACACTGTCATCCATACTTTCACCTCTCTGTACAGCCTGGGAAAAGCCGTTTCCTGCTCGGGCAATCCCATTGAGCAAAGCATGAGAAACGCCATCTCCTATACCCAAGGGAAATACCCTGATCGCTCCCTGGCTCTTTTTCACTTCCCCGTTCAGGTATTTGAAACATTCTTCCTGCCGCGAGATATTCCCGGTCCGTCAGAAGTATGATCTCCAGGGGCAAGTACGTGAGGCGATTCCGGATCGTGGCGGTAAGTGCGGTTAATGTTTCGGTCAAACCGAAATTGGCTTTGAATTCACCAGCATGCTTGAGAGCCTGGTCCAGATTGTCGTGTGTATATTGTTTTGACTGGCCATAGAAATTCATAGCCAGTGCCGAAAGAGCAGATGTTAAAATTTATTCCAGAAGGCAAAGATTTTAGAGAAACCGACATGGCTGAGCGGAGTGTTGACATGCTGGGTCGCATGCTTGTGCTCCTGTCAACGACGAAAACAATTTCTGGGTTGTGGGCTGGCAAAGTAAATTTCGGGACCAAGGAAACCATTAATGCTCGATGATTGGAAATGGTGCTATGAGTCTCGAGCACAGCCTTCGGGTCACCCAAGTCCTTGACATTGATTAGGAGAACGAAGTCTCGATCCAAAGCCGCACTCTCTTGAGCCAGCGTAACTGAAGCCTTGTAACTTTCTCTCTTTTCACTTCCAGTCGACGAAGCCCCTATTGTGATGGCGACGGGATGGGAGGGCGAGGCAAGTCCATCAATGCGCACACCTGCCCACATTAACACATCTACTATGATCTTCATCCCTCCCTTTGTGGTCGTACCAAGGCTTGTCGATGAGGAACCAGACGTTCCAAATCTAGGTGCAACTTTGGTCGGGATGGTCAGTTTTACCCTGTTTCCGCCTTCCATCGTCAACTCCCCAATGTATTCAATTTCCACCACCACTTTCTTTCCAGCTGGGATATTACCTAGCGAGGTGCTAAAAACATCACTTGCTTTGCTGTTTTGCTCCAATAGACCTGCTATCTCTCCTCTATTCTTGGCATCTTCGTAGATCTTTGTTGCAGCCGCTCTTTCATGAATGACTCCTGAGAGCTTTTTGCTGTCCATGGTACATGTAAACTTGACAATACTGATTCCATCATAGAGTGGAAATTCATATCTGCATGATAGGGTATTCTCCCCGGAAACATGATCGAAAACCTGCACGAGAGAGGTACGCAAATTTGTGGCCTTGATAGTGGTGTGCAGAGACTTCGATACAAGAGATAGATTTCCCTCGCTTCTAAACCCTTGCGCGTCTTTTGTAGCATAAAATATGCCACAGCGTGCCATCTTGATGGTTTTAACTTTGTTGAACGGTGAAGTTTGATTTTGAACGATGAGAGTTTTGATTGTTTATGTTTTTGTTTTTGTTGGTGGGAGATATCTGGAGATGAATTGGAGGGATGGGAAGATCTCCTTTAATCTATGAGTAGAATACAGAAATAGAGCTGACTAGGCTCAGTCTGTTTAAGAACATTCACCGATAGAAAGTAGTACTTGTTCTGAATATGGTATTTAATAGAAAATCTACAAGTTTTTTTACCTAATTTTCATATGGCTCATCGCAATACAAGGCGTCAAGTTTTTATTCTTGTGCTTACTCTGTTTTATTACTAAGTGCTTTAATGTAACCTTATGCTGCCTCGTGACATTTCTTTTATCCTTCCCAAACCCCAAGTTTGTTAGTGTTAGTTCATGGCACGGCTAGGCAAAGGGAAACCCGGTCGAATAGCCACCCTGCTGAGGCTCTTAGGGTAGGGTAACTATCTCCCTATAAAGTGCTCCGAGTACCATAATACCCGCGGGTATATATCACGTGAAGCTATATATATGATAAAGGTTGATATTCGTATCATATCAATATCATGTGATGTATATACTATATCATTCCTGTGTTATATGATATACATAGGTATCATATGACATTCATATCTACCTAGATAGATATCTCCAATTTTAGATATCGGATGATCACACGATATTTACCCTACCTACCCTGGCACCCGCTGATATTTCCTGGAAAATATACAGGGAGGGTAACTATCCTACAGAGGTCAAACACTCCGGGTAGGGTACAGGTGCCCAGCTCTGACTCATGGTATTAACCAACCTCATTTTGATTAACAGATCTGCACTATCTCCTAGGATTTTACACTTCTCTTCCGGCTTCATCAGTATGCACTTGTCCTTAAATTTTTTTCATATCGACCAACCATTTGTTTCTTTCTATCAAGCTCCAGAAAATTTCAAGGTCATGGACACTACCTACTAATATGGCGGTTTTCGAGATGGTATACTCAAGGTCTTTGACGACATTGCTGGCATTCGGGCGTTAGAGCTTGGTTACCATCAACTCCTGCTTCATTTTTTCCCTTATACTTATACCCACAATTCCTTACTTGCAAGATCCCGAAACCAGGCCCGTTGACTGCCAGACTATGCGGCCATAGATAATTGGTACTTCTTGTCTATCAAAGCTTCATAGCGAGTACATCCGTTTCACTACCGAGAATGGAGAAGTAATTTTGTCCAGAAGTCAAGATCTTTCAATGTTGGACCCCGAAAGATCCAGTGCGGGAAGATCTCTAGCGGAGTTTGAGGAGCGGGATAGAAGAACGAGAATCAACACAGAAGAACGAGGCAAGTATTGAAGATACAACGAAGAAGATTGTCCAGAAGACAGTGTAAGTAGACTGATTTATGGTTGATCATGAATAGAGCGATGGAAATTACTGTAGGAGATCGCTTGAGCAAATGTTTGTGATGGCGGATGATGGCTCGTTGAAATTTGTAGAGGAGATAGACGGATGAAGTTAGTATGTATGTGAAGAAGAGAACATTCGAGAATCCCTCGGCAGTGAGTGTTATGACTAGGTTGGCGTCATCAAAGGAAGATAAAACTTTCAAAGAGAACTTTAGGAGTCTTGGTTTCTACGATAACAAATTCGAGGTTGGGTAGTGACTTGGGTACATTGTGATTGATATATTGTGGTGGTTGAAGAACGTCATGTTTTAAGGAGCAACGAGGTTTGGAAGAAGAGCAAACACAAAAATCACAAGCTACAAAACAGTCAAACGTTTTTGAAAAAAGATGACATATTGAACAATAGGTTTGGTAGTGAATCTATACCAAGTCGTGGCAAGTCCAGTTTTTAGATGCTGGAACATCGATCTATCTGATTCTCATGGTCTGCAAGTGCCGACCTCATTAGGCTTGTATTGTTTTTCTACTTGTTCTATATCTATTACAATCGCCGATACCATCATGCGAATTTAAAGTTAATTGGCATTCCCACTGGATGTAACATGGGGCCAAGAACCTTCTTCCTGGAGAGATCACGAAGATTCACTTTAAGTGCGCACACTTAAAAAGTACATTTTGCGTCGCATATGGGTACGAAGATACAGCGAAATTCAATGTCTATCTATGATTATCGTTTGATAACTTGCATTTGCTTAATTTACGGATGGGTGAGCTGGTTACAAATCTCTCAAGGCTGCTTCACTTTATTCTAAATATAGCAGCTGCTGGCCCATCTTTTTGTTAACTACTGGACGATTTGCTAGGCCTGCAGTTAGGTATACTTCACAAGCTTTTGATATCAATTGCTTAATTACCTTGTATACTCAAGACGAATGCTAAATTCTCAATTCCATTCTAAGGAGATTCTTTTCCGAGTACAAGCATCCGCGGAATATTCTGGAAGAATTGCAATTTAATAGCAGATCAATGGTTCAAGGAATGAATGAAAGTTCCTGGCAGAGAACGATGGTGGTATTATCATTATCATTACCACATTTAGGCGCGACTTAAAGAATGACATCCAAATACCTTCATATCGTGGCGCCGTGGAGATTCCCAAGATGCGGTTTTTCTTCATAAAGTTGTGATATGTGGATTAGTTATGTTTTTATTTTATGGTTATCATGATTGGCCTGTAGCGAGACAATTGGTACATTCCTCAACCACAACACACATTCTTCTCTTAGCAAAATCTTGGCAGTTATGTTACAACTATCGAAAAAAACAATTCAGCAAAGGAATATTCCGAATTCTTAGTATCCGAGCCAATAGCACCTCCATCTTAAGACAATTCGCCATCGGGAACGATATTTACTAGATTGTTTGAATTCCACATTCCCATATTTGATGTCCCTCCCATGGAGAAGATTCATTCCTCACAGGTTTATTTCTCAAAAATGAGGCTCCAACATCATCACAACATAAATGATCTCGAATATAAAATCACGATGCAATTCCGTCGTTTATTCTTCCTTCGTACATCAGGAACCAACTTGTATACACTCTTTCTTCCAAACAATAAATAGTCTTAAAGACACACCACATTCACTTACTTTAAATCAAAGTTTTATCATTCATCATGAAGACTCAAGTCGTTCTTCAAATTCTCTTGGCTACGGCCCATCTCGCTGTTGCTCAAAGAGGCGACCAACCTGGAGGCAATGGTAATGGTATTGGTGGACCAAATGGCAATGGCAACGGTCAAGGCAACGGTCAAGGCAACGGTCAAGGTAATGGCCAAGGCAATGGCCAAGGCAATGGTCAGGGTAATGGTCAAGGTCAAGGCAATGGTCAAGGCAATGGTCAGGGCCAGGGTCAAGGCCAAGGTCAAGGAGGCTAGTATTTGTTGCAGCATTTATAACCAGAAATGCTAACTTCTTCAGGCTATTACCCACCACCAGCAAAGGAGACTTTGATTTCCACAGCTAGTGGATCTTCGAGCGCCGGTGCTATTCAAGCTGCAAACTGCCAATGTTACCCATGGGGCGATGGAGCAAGTCTAGATGCCAGTACCTTACGTAAGAGATCCGATTCCTGTTCCCTATCCACTCTAGGACTCTGACTGACATATGAAATTTCAGAGGCGCAAGGTGCCAGCTCAAATGCGGACTCCAGCTTCGTCCATATCATAGACACCACTCCCCCCAAGAAGCCATGGAAGAGACAACGTGGTGGAAATGACGGAGACAATGACGGAGACAGTGACAGACAAAACGGCGGTTGGAACGGCGGGTGGAAGCCAAAGACAACAACCACATCAGCAGCTGCTGCTGCATCAGCCTCAGTAGATGCCACTCAAGTTGGTATCAACGCAGCCGGTGGTGCTGGTACCTGGACAGGCCCATATGGCTCCGGCTCCTACGCTGGCCCAGCCGTCGGTGCCAACTACCAAGATATTGATGGAAGCTGCGTATGCCCTCCAGGCCAAAAGCCTTACCCCAAGCCAATGGACGATGCCGAGGCTAGTTCCGCCCCTATCGCTCCAACCCCAGAAGCAACTGGACGTCCTGGAGGCAACAACGGCGGAAACAACGGAGGAAACAATGGAGGAAACAACGGCAACGGTAATGGCAATGGCAACAATGGTAACAATGGCAACGGCAACGGCAACGGAAATGGCAATGGAAATGGAAACCAAAATGGCAACGTAAGAAACCCAGAATCTTAATTTCGATTTTAACCTGGCTTTGATATCTCACATGCTGTTTTCTCACAATACCTTTGTCGCTGGGCGAATACTAACTATCATATTATAGGGCAATGCGAATGGCAACGAAAATGAAAATGAAAATGAAAATGAAAATGAGAACGAAAATGAGAACAAGAACTTGAATGTAAGGAGTCTTTGATCTTACACTTCCTACCCTCCACTGTTTTATATCTTTGTTTCCAAGAATAATACTAATTATCTTGCACCAGGCCAATGTCAACTCGAACACTAATGTTAATTACAATGGCAATGCCAACGAAAACATCGTAAGTAGACTTATTTAACTCCTGTTCCACCTCTCTCATCGTCCATCGTGAACAATTACTGATTCCACAATGTGAATAGAACAAGAACTTGGGTCTCAACCTCAACAGTCTCACCAACAGCAACGGATGGGGACCATGGTACGGAGGAAGCAAGGCTGCTGCCATCGCCGCCGACCCAGGCGCAGCTGCTAGCCCTGCCGCCACACCTGCCTCTACCGACACTTTCGTCCCAGAGGCCTCCAATGGAGATGCCTCCGGACTTGAACAATTCACCGGTGCAGGAAGCAGCATTGCCATCTCGGCATGGGGATTCCTCGCTGCCGTTTTCGCCATCGCAAACGTTTTGTAGATTGAGTATCAGTATACTTGATCCATTTCTTCCCTTTGTCTCTGGGAATGCTCTAGGCCTTCTTTCTTTTCTTCTGGATATCGCGGGTTTGCGTGTTTGTTTGGGGTTATTTTCAATTCATTAGCAAGACATCTTTAAGGTTGTGTTTGCATATCATATTGGGGATGAGTAGACGAGGCATTTTTTGTGATTTTAATCTTTTAATTGAAAAGCTGTTATTGTTCAACTACATTGATACTTGTGCTTCTTCCTGGTGACTATGTGTGATTTTCGGTTATAATTGAAACTACTTCCTTGAGTCTGAGGCCGTTCAACGACTGTACTTACTGATTCTTCCAGTGCTCGTCATTTGATTCCATTTTTTTATGATATGACCAAGTCCCGTGCATCTTATATGTGCTACAAATCCGTTTGTATACTATTACTCTAGGAAGTAGATCGATCTTGCCATAATAAATCCAAGAAGTCATACCGTTAAAATTAGCTTTACACTTATCATCTAACAGTTTGATTTTCGCAGAAATTTGTCCATGGGCTAGATAAGATTACATAGATTACCGTTTAACAAATGTCTATCTCGAATAGAAATAGAGTAAATGTAGATTTAATAAGAAAAATATCATTTCAATGAATGGTTCGTATTTAGACATGACTAAAACTTCGCAAGAAAATACACAATAAAATCAACACTGTAAAATTGCCAGTATTCTTCCATCTACACCCTTCTGACAACTACTTTCTTCTGTACACCTTCCACCCAACCGATTCATTAGGACTATGATAACGATCTCTTCTTCCTTCATTAGTATCCGCATCTTCCAACCACATTCTCAATTTCCTCGCCCTAGTCCCCTTCATCTTCTCCCCGAATTCACCTAACTCTGCTCCTTGAGGCGCACCATCATATCTACCCGCCCCAGTACGATGTCGCATTCTCTCAAGAGCTTTTTTGTACAATCCGTCCTCATCAAGACCCCGCCAAATATTCGATGCATTCCACTGCGCCAACTCTCTAGGTAAAAATCTCCTGTAGACTTTCTCAGAGAAATGTACCCACGGCGCGCCATTCCTCCGCTGCCGTGAATTATCCAGCCAAGGGTAGCTCTCCCCTTCCCTATATATACGATGACCAAACATTATCTTCACCCTTGGTTTATACTGCGGGTCACTGGTCACATTTGAGAAATACCCACGGTACAAATCGATCACTATGACCATTGCTTTCCTCCACATTAAGAAATCATATGCACCAAATCCCATGGTCTCCATACTCTTAAAAGGATAAAGCATATGAACATCATGACCAAATGCCTGACCTAGAGCACTCGTGCACACCCAAATCTGACTTGCCCTCTGATTTTCCCTCGGTAGGTCAAGGATTTCGGATTGTCCACCTGATTGTCCAGCTCTACATTTCCAATCCGCGAGTTCTAACCATGTTCCATGGCGCGTGGGGTCTACGCGGGAAATCACATTCATGATATCTCCTATTCGGCGATGTTTGTCGGGATGGTCATTTTGATCAAAGTACTCTATTGTTGCCGCCCTGGGCGTTATTACCATCAAGGCGCTCTCTGGTTTGACATCGAGGTTCTTCGGAGATGATGTAATATGAATGAATAAGTGAGTGAGAGCACTAATTCGTTGAGGTGGGAGACGTGCTGTCGTCCTTATGTATTCTGCTCTCTCTTCTATATAAGCTTCAGAAGGAGGGTCTGTTGGCGGATTCCAGAAATCGTGGGGTAAATATGCCATGGTTGGGTAATCATCGCGACGGTTCCGAACTGGTGAATGACTATTCACAAATAGGCATATTTGACGGATATAGGCATCTGTTACTTTGAGAATGCTCGCACCGATTGCATCAGTGTATTCAGCATTGTCTTTCGCACCTGAAATTGGCCCGCACCAGCGTCGAAAGTTTTGAAGGTCTTGTACAGTCAATGGTCTGAAGGGAAGGAGATTGGTATCTCTTGGATCTCCCGCGGGTCCTGCCGGTGTCCCATTTCCCTCAATTTCTGAATCGAGAAGTTTTAGAGCTTCGCTGTTTGGCTCCGCGTATGTTTGCCTGTGACCTTGGGTAATGGTTTCTCGATCTTTAATTGTTAATATTAGTTTAGCTGGGTCTATCATTTGCTCTGCCATTTTTACTTAATTGTGTGACATAGAATCACAAAGTTCAGGAGAAGAAGTGTAGGGACAAGAGTTGAGTAAGTTTTCAGTACTTTGGGTTTCAAATACGGAAAGACAAGGTTTGGACATGAAGTCTTTGTTATCGTGCCCAATTCTTTAAGAGGGGATTGAGATTATTGTTGATGATAAAGACCATGCCGGAATTGGATCATTTCCTGATATGCCTTTGTAATAATTAGTAGAGCAAGAAAGAACTGGGATGCTTTTGTGCGACTTACACATGCACGACAAATGGCAGCAATTTCAATTGATCAAAACATGATTCATCCATCATCAGTACTTAACCTGAAAATACAGCCAGGAACCGAAATTTGCGAGGAGGACCACCACTTCAGAATTTGGTAACGGGAAAATGTACAACAATTGAGAATTCGATGATTCAATAGGAGGTGATGGATAATGAGGAAGAGCTTTCATACACCCATGAGTACATCAATAATGACGCAGTTCCTATTGGCTCGAGAGAAAGCTGTATCTGTTGATAGAGTGATAAGAAGTCATTAAAGTATGAAAATCATGTTACCATGTACGCCACATAGATAGAGGATCCAGGACCCCAAAACCCCAGTACTATTTCTTTCATGGTAGTGGCGAGCTAAGTACCAATTTTAACATGACTGGGTTCACCGGTATAAAATATCAAAGTATTTGGCTTTGATACTTTGAGCTTCGACAAGATCATATGTTGATTCATGGAGGAGTCACTCATTTCTTCGAGATGTTGTTTGAACATTGAATGGTGGTGATAATAAGCGAGGATGACCTCGATTTTATCTTGTCAGTTCCAAACTTCTGGTTGTGGGGTCACCAAGGATAAACTTAATAAGGTAAGATCTTTCGAGTGAGTAACCAGCCCTATGGTAGAATCCTGATGACTTATGTCGTGGGGATCACCATGATGCTTGGTAGCAGTTGGTTGCCTTTGCTGCACCCAAAAATAGGGCTCACCTGGTTTTTAAGGAGGGTTATGAGCCTAACCATAATATCTTCCACCCGTCGCAGGGTGCTGGATATCGAACGCGAACTGAATGGTCTAATCGAATTAGATCATTATCCTACTATACTTAAGTATTTAGTTCAAAGATTTATACTCGAAATAAAAATACAGCCCTGTTAATATATCGCTTAATTAGGCTTACGTGTTCTGTGGACGGGTGAACTGTTTTCTCTATGTCAATTGCTTATTTTAAAGCTAGTTATAATATTTATTTCAGAGCCCTTGGTATTTTCATGGTATCATAGTCGCATTTCAATAGTATTTCTTCAATTTGTTTTTCAATCACTATGAATCATACTCCGTACTTCATACATGGGCTTAAGCTTAAAGTGTATGGTGCCTGTTTATCTGTGGCTGTATGGCTCAATACACCCAAGAACCGACCTCTGTTCTTTCTATCAATAAGCTCAAGGTTGACTTCTTGTTAGAATTTGCTAGTTAAAGGAAGCTCAAATACTAATACCTCCAAACACACCAATATCACAATACTATGCAATGATTCCCTCTGCAATTCAGTTCATTTCAGAAAGAGAAATCATAAAAGCCAACCCGATGGTGAACAAGTGGATGACTTCCGCGGTACCTATCAATCTCTTGATACCAGTAACAATCTAAGCTTCGAGTATTGCTTGTTCTAACTGTCATTTGGATCTTAAGGAACTCTCTCTCATGCTTCTCTTAGTATTACAAACTTACAAAAGCATCGCATCTACTACCTTCCAAAATAATGGGTGAAGTTTTACTTCATGACATGATGCGAGTCAGTCCCCTTATCCAATCCAAGAGCTTCGATTGCAATCATATGAAACCTCTTCTGAATGCCGTCCTTCTCAAAAAACCTGATCAAGAGATCTGGGAGCAAGTCTACAATGCTCTTACATTCACTCCACCTCGGCAACCAAATGTGTCCTCCTTTCAGCAAACATCAAACTCTAATACTCTGTTAGTTCTTAATACGGATTGAAAAATTTTGATTTTACTGGTATTTGTGTTCCCTTCGCTTCATCGTTGGGGAGAATAGCAATATTTTTATATCCCGGAAATGCATGCATAGCTTTTACATTTGCCCAGGTCCAAACTCATTCTCACCACCATACCCCGGATTTTTAACTTACACGGGAGTGATCAAATATGCAAAGCACATCCATGGCCAAGGGTTTCGCTTTTTCTGTTCAGCGGTTATTAATCTGGGTGATGTATTGGTATAATATATGGTGGATACTTGTTTACAAAAGCACTTGCTATTAGAGAGTGATATTTGTAGTTGAGTGCTAGATCTACTGAAGTTTGAGAATTGGTGCAAAACTCTCGAGTTCTCGCAATGTTTACATGGTACTTGAGCATGATACTATCACTCAGAGTGTGTCTTACCTTGAATAATTCATCAAACTTCTCATATGCATATAACTACCATCTCCATAAAACATCATACTGTAATCCAAAAGAAAAGTCGGCAAAGACACTCACACATAACAAAATCTTTCATGATAATTATATAATAAACCATTCTCTTTTAGATATACTACTACGAAGCGAATCCAAAAACATCATAAAGCATGGCTATCTATACATCATAACATAAATCTCCCCTAGGAAATCAACACCATCACATCACATTCCCTCTCTCTTCCTCTTGCCCTATAATCTATCACTTCATCCATCCTACCTCCAAATCACAATCGTGCCTTCTTCCCCAATCACCAAAAATTCCAAATGCGGCTTCGGTATCGCGTCTCCAATCTTATAAATAGCCACGAGGCAGTATAAGTGCTTCAATATCATATGATGTCGGAGGAGAGTAGTAGTTTTTCTTTCTTTTTGGGCTTTTTGAGTGAATTACTCAGAAGTTCATATTGTGTTAAGATATTGTGAGAAGAGGTTTATGGTTGATTGGAAGTTTGGTAGATAGTGTATAGTTCATTCTTGAGGATTTGGATTTGAGATTCGAATTTGGGATTGTTTGTGATGTTGCGTAGTTGTGCTTGAGCTTGAGCAGCTGGAGATCGTTGGCGAGGAGGTGGATGGGGGTGTGGATTTGGGATTTCTTTTCTTTTTTATTGCTAGTGATTAAGGTTATTTACACACTTTCGTGCAATTTTTGATCAATTATTCTTTTTTTGTGCTTTGTTATTTGGTCTTATCATCTGTTTCTTTTGGAGGATTTTTGTCAGGGATATAAATGTTTTTCTTTATGAAGATCATTCCCCAGGAATAATGAGATGTAGCATATTGTGTGGTAGGAGATTATGGTAATGGTATTTGGTGCTGTGGAGTTTGTAGGTTGCACTTTTAGATGTTTGGTTTTGTGTTCAACTGTCGTTCAACATTGAGAAGGTTTTTTCAATTTTTCTATTAATATAATACTTTCTTAATTCAAGTGAAAACTTTTTTTAGATAAAATAGAATGTTGCCCTTCTTTCCAAACATTGAAAGTTTATATCTATTCTGCTCGTACGGAATCTTTGGTGATTCACCTCTCCCCTAGATTCCTACGTCCAAAAATCAACTGTCACAATCTACCAGCCATGAGAATAGTGTGAACCAGTATTATTTTAGCTGATATTGAGGCACTTGATATCGAAGCAATATATTTAACTTGTAGCATCTATTGCAGTGCCTTAATGTATACCGTTGTTCGTATAAGTTATGAAAAGTAGATGCATTTTTGCGGAATTTTGATTAATGCCAACTAATTACATTCCATCATAACCTATTCAATTCCGATAACATGGCTTCAACATTGCCTATTGCGCAAAAACTTTATCGAATTCCTCAAAATACCAGGATTTCTGTATAATTCCGATGGCATATAATATTCACATGATAACTCGATATATGAGTGATGTGATGCAGAATTCAATATTATACATTCCAGTGCGTGTCCAAAAATGCAACATGCCTCACTTTAATGGAGTTCTAGGAATCACGCTTCATACTACATAGTGCATATACTCTCATCACTGCCGTCTATATTGCTGTCAAGTTGACGATGTACTTCTGACAGCAAGGTCAACGTTAAGAAACTATGAACGTTTCCGAAACAACCGTCAAGTGTGAAATCAAGTTTATCCATGTCATGTTATCAACCTCCTGGAGCTTTTGGACTCGCTACTGGATGTAATCAAGAAAGTAGTTGACCAATTATATGATATGAAACTCGCAACTCCCCTATCTAGGATGTGAGTCATACCGAGCCTTGCTCGTATACAATCACGTGACGAAGTTTTCTGATGTTTAGGGCAACCGTTGTGCTTACTTTTCTCCCATCATTTTTGTCCCCCCCTCTTCTCTCTCTACTTCCACTCATCTGATTGATATCCTACCAGTCATCATGGTACAGAGAATACACGGCTGAATATCGACGACGATTAGGACTGTCACCACGAGCGAGACGGCGTCAAGATGGCTTCAACACGGCTGCAATCGGCTTCCGTGGCCCATAATTCGTTGTCTCATCTTGTATAGCAGCCAGCATTGACGAGAAATGCATTATCAGTTCCTGGGTAAGCTTGACACCTGCCTATTTGAATCATGTATTCTGATAATCTATCAAGAACTTTCTTTGATAAGGTGATTTTGGACTCGATGCCGATCTGAAGCCATTCATGATAGTTCGTGAACTTTTATCCAATGGTTTCTCCTAACTTACCAACTGTTTAGAGCAGAGTCTCGGTTAAATTGCGGGTTAATGATTGTTTTTGCTCCACTAAATCGCAAGTGGCATGCCGTATCTTACGTTACATACATGCATGTAACTTCAGAACTTCAGCACTTCAGCACTCAGCACGTATGGTTGCAGCATCTTGTGATGGTTTCTCGGAAGTTTGCGATACTCAAACCTGCATATTGTCGAGATAAGCGGCAAAATTTATGAGTGTCGGTAAAATAAATGCTATATATTTCCTGCCAAAGTGCAGGGAACCAGTGCTTGTTCAGGAAGTCGTCAAGCAACATCGTACAGTAGCTTGCACGCTAAGCCTTTTTCCCTTGGCTCCTTATCTGTCAACATGGTCCACCATTTGTTCGACTACGGAGATGCAAGGAGAGTCGTATCTATCGTATCCATCGAGAGTCGAAGATTCGTCCGGCACGCTGCCGTTTTGGAGCCGACCACTTGCTTTTGGGAAAGATATCGACCACAAAATATTGATGATTCAGGTCCCTGACCGCGTTTGCACGACATGTAACCAGATGCAAATGGTTGTAACCACTTAAAATAGTCCCTGCAAGACAAAATGCAAGGCAAAAACCTTGAGATGATAGATAAGGCCTGTGTGTTAACGCGAAACGCGGGGTATATAAGAACGTACCACCAGCAGTCAGCATTTTTAAAAATCACTGCAGTAAAGCGTTACTTCAAATTATCTTCTCTTGCCCGCACGGTTGTGCTCGATGATGGATACCATAGATGTACATCGAGAACGGGGGGATTCTACATCTCAAAACTCCATAGAATCCCCTATCTCCGAAAAGAAGACTGCGGATATTGAGATCGAAGCTGTCGACTCAAACGATTTTCGGGATATCTCCAGCGAGAAGCTCATCGTACCTGGAGAAGACGATGTCGTCATCGACCCTCGTCTGAAAGATTACCCTATCCCTTTGCTGGCCAAGACTGTTGACCTGCACAATGACCCGACGTAAGTGCATGCCGAAACAACGCCCAAAATTTATGCAAATTCTTATGATCTTGATGCAGGGAACCGATCCTCACGTTCCGATTCTGGTTTTGTTCTACTTTTTGGGTGGTTATTGGATGCGGAGTTTCTTCGTTCTATTACTTTAAGCCATATTCCATGAACCTTACGAGTTATGCCGTACAACTGTTGTCTTGGGGTATGGGCACTAGCATGGCTGCTTACCTACCAAAGCGAGTCTTCAATACCTTTGGTTTCAAATGGACTCTCAACCCAGGGCCATGGAATGCAAAGGAACACGCACTCGTGGTGGTGGCTTATTGGGGTAGTGTAAGTGTATTTTCTGGCTCTTTCTCGTTACTTCCACTGACCATAATAATAAGTGCTACACTGCGTATGGTCTCGGTCCACTCTCTGCAATGGAATTATACTATGGTCGCAGGATAAATGCCGGTTGGGGAATTCTATTCCTCATCACGACCCAAATGATAGGTTATGGATTTGCAGGACTCTTTCGGGATATCCTCATTCGACCTCCTAATATCTACTATCCGGGAGTTTTACCAAACGTGTCTCTGTTCAACGCCATGCACAAGAACCCCGCTGTTACGAAGAAATCTCTCAAGTTCTTCACTATTGTTGCATGTTGCGCATTCTGTTATGAATGGTTTCCTTCGGTCATTTTTCCACTTTTGAGCTCAATTCCACTGATTTGCTACTTTGGCCACGGTAATTGGAAAGCATATGTGATGGGGTCTGGGTATAATGGCTTTGTATGCTCCCGTGATTTTGATAAAAATTGCCACATACTAATGAATATTCCAGGGATTTCTCGATATCAGCTTGGATTGGAACTACGTCTCCTTTTTCTCACCTCTTTATACACCGCTCTGGGCAAATGCGAATCAATTCATGGGTGCAATTCTAGCATGCTGGATGATTTACCCTCTTTTGTATTTCACCAACAGCCTCAACGCTTTGAACTTCGCCCCTATGGGCTCTGGTACGTGGGATAGCACTGGCGCCAAGTATAATATTTCTCGAATACTCAAACCAGATTTCACGCTGGATCACGAAGCAATGGATGCTTACTCTACACCCTATTGGTCTGCATCTTATGCGCTTCAATTTTTCTTTGGGTTTGCTGCATCTACTGGAGCCATGGTATACTCAGTGCTGTGGTATGGTAAGCCAGCTTACCAGGGGATGAAAGATGCTTTTAGAAATAGAAGAAGTAACTATAATGATCCTTACCTTAAGCTGATGGAAATACACCCTCGCGTGCCGCATTGGTGGTATGGAATTTTGTTGCTCATCTGCTCTGGACTTGCCATCGGTCAACTCTATGGAGGTGAAATGCAACTTCCTTGGTGGTAAGTGTATCCCCTTTCAGTCCAATCTGTCAGTGGCTAATTGATTGATGCAGGGGTTTTATTATTATTGCAATCATCTCATGTATATTCACATTTCCAAACGGAGTTCTTTGGGGCATCGCAAACATGCAAGTTGGAATGCAATATCTATCCGAGGTGATCGCTGGAGCTCTTTTCCCCGGCAAACCTCTGGCTGTTCTTACGTGTATGGTCTACGGCCGACAGATCTTGGAGCAGAATCTCAACTTGATATCTGACTACAAGTTTGGGTTCTATATGAAGATCCCAGAAACGGAGATGTTTATAGGCCAGATGTATGGTACACTTTTGGGTCCTTTCATCAACTACGGAATGATGAGTAAGTTCTGTTCCATTTTATTCGGCGAAACTGTGACTAACTGACCACCCAGGATTCATCATTGATTCCGAAGGCCCAAAACTAACTGGCGCCGTTGCCTCGCAAGCCTGGAATGCCGTCAAGACCCGCAATTACTATTCACTATCTGTAATTTGGGGAGTTCTTGGTCCTAAGATCTTCTTCGGGCACGATTCCATATACTCTTGGATTTGCTATGGATTTTTCCTTGGTCCCATACTCGTCATCTTAACCTATATCGTCCATAAATGGAAACCTCACTGGAAGATCGAGGAAAGATGCAATCCTACGTTGATTTGCTATGGTGCTACTTTCTTTCCGGTATACCAGACAACAAATCTGTTTACTAGTGCTGCTTTCTCTGTATTTTTGTAAGTGCTTCTTTTTGGTTTTCTTCTTCTCTCCTTTTTTTTCGGAACATCCCTTATTGTATTTCAAAGCTAACATCCAAACAGCATGGGCTACGTCTACCGCTACCATCCTGTCTGGTTCCGAAAGTACAATTACCTCCTTGGAGTCGGGCTCGATTGCGGTACCCAACTCATGCAAACAGTCATGGTATTTGGTCTCAATCTCCCCAATGCCACGTTTCCAAATTGGTGGGGAAATAATGCAGTGGCTGTCGATAGATGTTTTGCGCCGGGGACTCTCCCTCCAAATGCTTTGACCTGAGTATGGATTAGATGTAGATTGCTGGGATTAAGTAAGACTGTGGAGAGTAGAGTTAGAATTATTATGAATGCATTTTGATTGTCTGTGTCCACTGTATTCTTTCCACCACTACAGAAACCCAAAGCATACTTCATGATGACGCTACTAATGTAAGCGCCCATATCCTAATAACCAATCGAAATCCACGACGCTTATACATATCCGCACATGTAAGCATCTTCTTTCAACGAAGAGCTAATCTCGGCAATATGGTACTTTTGTGCAAAGGAGGCTCGTTTACACGAGGTTCCGTATCCTCTTTTCACAGGGGTCAAATGGTGTCATGAAATGTCAGCAAGGATTTTGATGAATAGAGGGGTTTACATTCATGTGGGACCTTCGGAAGTGGAAGAGTTAATTACGATTAGTCGCAAATCGCATCATTTTCAATAGAGTTAACGAAAGTTAGAAAATGTACCAAAAGGAGGGGTGACAGCGGGGATCTGAGACCGATGAATGGCCCGTGTACTCTAAATTCCTTCTAGAAGCCAACTGTTGTGCAGCTGAACTATCTAATTTTGTGTGATAGAACGTGTTGCAACTTGCCACACTAGATTTGGGGCAATAAAATAACCTGATTCATGATCTCCCCTTAACCTCCTGCCTCTTTCGTAATTCACCACTCTTAGTTGCACGAGCAACCCAAAGAATACTTATCTTTTGCCCCTCGTTTGCTGATGCCCGATCCGCGATCTCGGGATGACTGAAGGAATATCAATATTGTAACCTCGACATGAAATATCCTGTAATCTGCTACAGGATATGCTCGTCCATATCAAAATTCACCAATGTAATACGCCAAGATTTAAACATAAGCTCGGATAGATTAGAAAGATAGTTAGGGAACATGAGTAACCCAGAATAATTCGTTGCAAGTCGAGATATGATAACTGGGGCATCCCCAGAATCTATCAATCAACCAACACTCTAGACGAGTCACGAACATGTAAAATTCCCAGATGTGGAAGTTCTTATCAATTCTTCATATTGACCTGCTTAATCCGGATAAGTCTCCTATCACGCGGCTGGTCATTCGGCAGAGTGTAACCGAAACGTCTGACCAGTCTAGCTCAACGACTTTGATCTCAGTTCGATGCTTATTCAGGTAAATTAGACAATTTATTTGGAACTTTTAGTGGACTAATTTTTCATGGTCGCTACCTACCATCTACATGAACCGCAGTGTTCAATGGTACTATTTTTTTTATTTTTATAGAAAAACAGTTCATTTTCAAGCGATCAAGCCACGAAGAGAAACTAGAATGAATTAATGCAGGCGTTCCGACAAGCAATCCTGGGTAAGATATGATAAATTCCAAAATTAAATTAAGCGCCACCTTTCCGAACCTGATCCACCCACATTCACTCTCAAGTATCAACTCTAATTTTCGATCCGGACGGACACGCCGTGGGGAGATAAGATGTCTGTGATCGTCGGTCGTGCCCTCGCTAAATCTTTTCAAAACGTTCCTGGGGCTAAATATCCTCTTCATTGTTATCCCACCTATCATCCACGATTGAAACCAGTCTTTCCTCAAATCGCCTCTGACTTCAATTCCCACTAAATAAATTATCTATGGAATCTCAAAAGCTTACCCTTTAGACTAGTGGAATTTAGCTCGAGGTTTCACTTTGGGTAACTGTATGGGTATCCGTGCCCATTGTAGCGTAAGGTTTAGGGCCATATCAATTCCGTTAGTCCCTCCGAGAAAATAAGCTCTAATGTAGACTTCACGCGATCAGCTGGGATTCTAGCGAAGGCGTGCGATAAGGTTATTATCACACAAGGACCCATTCACTTTATCGTCCTCGTAAGAGATAATCATGTTTGTATCCCGCGATACAAGAGCTTGTTGCACCATCGAAGCATGGGCTGGGAAGACCTGCTATATTTGAGAGGGAGTACATATATCTTGTGATGCCCTGCTTGTCCTCGATTGTGTTGCCTTCAGCTTGCGAACAAGTCTTGATTTTTTCAGACTCAACTCGGCAATAAGTCAATTCGACGAGATGCCAGTCGCCAATACTGATATCTCAGTCGTCGGGGCGCTAAACCCTGTTGAGGGTCATGTCGTTGCCGTCCCCACACATCAGGAAATTGACGAGAAGCTTCGCATCTCGGCCGACAATCGAGAAGTCTCTAAAGATCCGCTAGGCATTGAGACGAAAGAGTTGTCTGATAACGATAGTCATGACAAGAATGACGATGACGATATTATTATTGTTACCGGTGCGGATGCAGCTGCGCACCTGTTGCCTATGAGAGATGATGGGGAACCTGCTTTAAGCTTCCGTAGTATTGTGCTAGCTACTGTGCTTTCAGGATTTCAAGCAGTCATGTTTCAGATTTACTCGGTGGGTCGTGATTGATATCTGCTTGGATCAACAGAAGCTAACGTCTAAACCTAGTTCAAACCGAGCTCTCAAGGTGTTATCCAAGGTACTTTCATCGTTCTTATTGCCTACTTCTTAGGTAAGGCATGGACAAAAATATTTCCTCGCGGCGACAAACTTGAAGCTCGATGGAGAGAAAGGGGTGGACAGGGTAAACCACCGATGTATATTCGCATTATTTCATTCTTCAACTATGGACCATGGAATCTTAAGGAACATGCTATTTGCTCTATCACCGCCACATCAGCCTCAAATGCCGCCGGAACTATCACCGTATTTGCGGCTCAAGATCTCTTCTATGGCATTCCTCTCAGCGCTACTACCGTCATCTTAGCAGTAATTTCCATCGGTCTATTCGGATACGGACTTTGCGGCATGCTTCGCCCCATCATGGTCTGGCATCCAGAATCCGTATACTGGAGTACATTACCCACAGTGAAAACCCTACAAGGACTTCACTGGCAAGATTTGAAACATTCCAAGCCTCTCAGATACTTCTGGTATGCATTTGGAAGCATGTCCGCCTATGAGTTCCTTCCGGCTTATATTTTCCCATGGTTAAATTCTGTTTCTATTCCTTGTCTGGCTGCTATGAATGCTACAGGTAGTAAAGCAAGTACGCTCACCAATATCTTTGGTGGTGCGACGAATAATGAAGGCCTGGGACTCTTCTCACTGTCATTTGATTGGCAATATGTAAGTCAAATACACCCGTGTATTTCGTTGGAAATGGGGGAGAAGAACTAACTGGTGCGAATTCGTAGATTACATCCTTCAACACTTCCCTTCCACTCAAGACACAAGCCCATAGTGTTGCAGGATATATCGTCTGTTTCGCCGCCATGCTCGGTATTTACTATACCAATGCATGGGATTCAAAAGCGCAACCCTTCATGTCAACACAACTTCGCTCCGAAAATGGCTCGAGATACCCCACTGCGCAAGTCTTCTCCAATGGTATACTAAATGAGACGGCTTTGGAAGAATATGGTAACCCTAGTCTGACTGGAAGTTTTGCGTATGCTATGTTCATGGCAAATGCTGCTGTAAGTGTCTCAATCTACCACCATCATTCGCAAATCTGGGGATGCTGATTTTGAAAATTTTAGATCGGTGCTCTAATTACTCATTGTTTTGCATTCTGGGGTGGGGATGTCGTCCGAGCATTCAAAAGTGCAAAGGCAGGAACATACGCAGATCCACATCATGCGCACATGGCCAAACACTATAAGGAGGCTCCATGGTGGTGGTACATTGGGATCTTGATCCTCAGCTTTGTTCTTGGTCTTGTGGTCGTTATCAAGGAGAATATTACTCTCCCGGTCTGGGCGTATGTTGTTGCATTATTGTTGGGATGTTTCATTGCTCCCTTGGTATGTATCCCTCGAGCGATTTTGTGGAATTTAAGAATCTAACATTAAACCAGAGTAATCTTTTATATGCTCGCTATGGAAATGGTATCGCCACAAATAACTTAAGTAAGATGTTGGCAGGTCTAATGCTTCCTGGACGCCCTGTCGGTAACATGTACTTTGCTGCTTGGTCGCATAATGTCATCTCCAACACTATCAATCTTTCAAATGACCTCAAGATGGGCGAATACCGTACGTAATCATTACCTTCCACCATGTATCCACGGACTAACCAATAAATCTAGTCAAAATTCCTCCTCGTACCATGTTTGTTACTCAAATATATGGTACCGTACTAGGAGGTTTTATCAATTACGTCGTCATGATATCGATCATCAACTCTAACCGCGAACTTCTTGCCACCGGAAATGGTAATAGTTCCTGGAGTGGTGCCTCAATTCAGGCTTTCAACACTAATGCAGCTTCCTGGGCACTCGCCAAGGAACTCTACAAATCGGGAGCCAAATATTCAATTGTACCGTTGGGTCTGGTCATTGGCGCCGCGTTTGTCTTGGCACATCGTATTGTCGTATTTGTAAGTATCCCCAATCTCCTTCCTGCTTTCTCCTTCCACTAACCGAGACTCTTCCAAATAGTTCATTCCCAAAATCCGCGGTTTTGCCCTAAACGAAATCAACATGCCTCAATTCATTCAATACGCTGGCTACATTCCCTACAATCAATCGCAGACCTGTGTGATTTTCAGCCAAGTAATTGCTGGATTCTTCACCCAATTCTATCTCCGCAATTATCGTCCGAGTATCTTCAAGAATTATTCGTATTTGATTACCGGAGCTTGGGACGGTGCTAGTTACACCGTTTTATTCATATTATCGTTCGCTGTCTTTGGAGCTGGTGGCTTCGCCGCGCCGTTCCCACAGTGGTGGGGTAATAACTTCAATGGGAATTACGACCATTGTCCTATTGCTGAATAAAGTGGAGTTGGTAATGGAGGAGGGAGGCTTTTTGTATCGGCTATCGAGATGTCCTGTTCATATACAGGTATGTATGTTACAGGTGTCCCTCAAGTAGCTTTCCGCATCCAACAGGTTTTGGGTTGTGGTAAATGCCACATGAGTTATCTGAGCCTTGTAGAGATAGATATTAGATTAATGCCAGTATTAGACAAGATTCTATTGAGCAGTCTTCGTTGCGCAGCGTGCAATAACTGCGATCGACTCTAGTATACGAAACTTTGAATACGCTAAGCTAATCTCTCCACGTGATACGCACGTAGCCTAGTCTAATTAAGGTCACATTTTCACTGCTAACACTGTATGTGCTGGCACAATTTGCTTGCAAAATACTCGAGTACCTAGTTAAACGGAGTATGCACAAAAGTTTCCTCCGTTTCCGATCTTCCGGACGCACTATACATGGAGGGGAAAATGTACAAGTCATATAATTCGCTGAAATACCCGGAAATGACCTCGGAGCTAGCATAAAAACATAAGCTAGACACGGCTGTTCCCCGCCCCCGCACTTGAGTACCCCGCAATATATGGGATGGATTACGTAGAGGTACAGCGGATGCGAGAAGGCGAGGAGTATCTAGGTAGATAACTAGATAGATGTACAAATTTTCAGCTGTTGGCTAATGACAAGTTTTTTGATTTCTCTTTCGTTTCGTGAATTCTTAACTTTGAAGAATTTGTACTTGCTTGCTTGCTTGCTTGATTGATTTATTCGAATTTTGAATAGTTATTTCTTTGCTTACTCCCGTTGATTAAAAAATACAGTATTAGAATATATTTCCGCATAAAATCCAAAATGCCTATCTCATCCCGCTGGCAAATCACCATTCCTCCTGTAACTCTCCCAACCTATCTCTTTACCTCTGCCACAGATCCCCTTCCAGAAAAATCCGCATTCATCAATGCCGCAGACCCATCGCATTTCCTCACCTTTTCACAATTCCGTCTCTATTCGCAACGTCTAGCTGCTGGACTCATCAAAAATGGTTTGAAACCGGGTGATCGAGTATTACTTTTCTCGGGTAATAATCTATTTTTTCCAGTTGTGCTTGTGGGGGTTATTATGGCAGGAGGCATTTTTACAGGTGCCAATCCGGGGTTTGTGGAGAGGGAATTGGTGTATCAGTTGAGGGATTGTGGGGCGAAGTTTTTGATGTGTGGGAAGGATGGTTTGGGGATTGGGTTGAAAGCTGCGGAGGAAGCGGGATTGGGAAGGGAGAGGGTTTTTGGTTTCGATGATGAGGAGTTTGGTGGTAGTAGAGAGGTGGCTCAAGGAGGAGTGAGGAGTTGGTGGGAATTGCTAGAGAGTGAGGAGGTTGGAAAGCGATTCCAATGGAATGAGGGTGTTGATCCTAAGGAAACGGTTTGTTGTTTGAATTATAGTAGTGGGACAACTGGGCAACCCAAAGGGGTAATGATTACGCATTATAGTATGTTTTTATCTCTTCTCGATCTTATTCATGTTCTTGAAGCTTGTTCAGAGTTGGATGGAAGACTGACGGCGAAACTATTTAGATTATGTTGCGAACGCGGTGCAATATACACATTCGCGAGAACTCCTTGCTGATATAGAGGAAAGGAACAAAAAAGCGTAAGTACTCCAACTGAACGGTTTTCATCTTCTAACTCGGTTTGCACATTAGAAAATGGTTATGTTTCGTCCCATTGTACCACGCGATGGGACAAACAATTTTTTGCACGATAGCGCCTAAACGTGGAATTCCAGTCTACATCATGAAAAAGTTTGATTTCAAAGGGATGCTGGAAGCGGTACAGAAGTATAAGATTACAGTGTTGAGTATGGTACCTCCGGTTGTTGTTGTAAGTATCCATCATTCAATTGTGATGTGAAAGGAAACGAAAAATTAACGAAAAGGAAACCAGATGCTCGTGAAATCACCTCTCACAAAACAATACGATCTTAGTAGCGTCACTGATATGGGATCCGGTGCGGCACCACTAAGCGGAGAAGTGATAGAAGCAGCGGAAAAACTGTGGCCAAATGGGCGTGTGAAACTATTGGCAAGTTTCCTTTTCCTATGTCGTTATTCTCTCTTGACTTTTACTCTTTTGAAAAACGACTAACACAACATAAAGCAAGGATGGGGCATGACTGAAGCAACATGTTCAGTCCTGAGTCCCGATCCTCGACTTGATCTCCTACCAAACACAGTTGGTGAGCTTAACGCCAATTGCCGCGGCAAAATCGTGAACCCAGAGACGTTGGAAGAGGTCAAGCAGGGTGAGCGAGGGGAAATCTGGGTTCAGGCTCCTAAGTATGTTTACTTTTTCTATCCTTCACCTATCTGCAACACAAATAACAAAATGGCGGTACTGATGAACTTAAAAGTATAATGAAAGGCTACTGGAACAAACCTGAAGCCACAAAAGAAACAATCGTGAATTCTCCCGATGGCCGCTGGCTCCGCACAGGAGATATAGCCTACGTGGACTCTCAAAACAATTTTTACATCGTTGACCGCATGAAAGAACTTATCAAAGTAAAAGGTAATCAAGTTGCACCGGCAGAACTGGAAGCGCTTTTATTAGAACATCCAGGAATTGCGGATGCAGCCGTGATTGGGGTGACGATTGGGGACGGAGAAGTCCCAAGAGCTTACGTGGTGAGGAGTGGAGATGGAAATGTGACTGCGGAAGAGGTTACAAAGTGGGTAGAGGAAAGAACTACTAGGTTTAAGTGGTTGAAGGGTGGTGTGATATTTTTGGAGGCAATTCCTAAGAATCCGGTAAGTTTTGATTTTTCTTTTGGTTTCTGCTTGCTCCACTCTCGAAATTTTGGCGAGAGAGCAATTTGTGACGTGCTTGGAGTCTTGGACTGACATATCTCTAGAGCGGAAAAATATTGAGAAAGGTGCTGAGAGATAGGGCAAAGGAGGATATCAGTAGGAATGTGATAAAGGCTCGACTTTAAACTCGGAGATAGTTGTGGAAAGTTCTTGTGTGACGGTGACATGTAGCCTCCCGAGCATGGGTGTATCTAGTATCAATAGCACGTGTAGTTGTAAATTTATGTGCCTAAACGATGAAAATCTGTCACACGCATTAATAATGATTTCCGAATCTCGTCTATATTCACCCTCGGAGTAACAGCAATACTACGACCTTCGTTGCCGTCAAACAAAAAAAAGAACCCCGTTTTCTCGTTAACCCCCTCAAATGAGAAGCTATACTTTAAACAATTTTATCGGGCGCTTCCGGCACTGCCGCGATGGCATCTATTTTCAGATGGGCAAGAACTGTTCTTCAAAGGGCACCATCGCCGCCCGGGCGTTTTCCGATAACGGGAATTGAATGGATCAATGAGGTTCAGCCGTTAAAAGAAGAGCAGTTTGAAGGCTTCAAGCACGGCTTATACTAGCCTGCGAATATTGGAGATATATTTGCGTCGAAGTACCAAGTTGTTGGAAAACTTGGGTATGGTATTACGTCTACCGTCTGGTTAGCTTGCGATCTTCAATAGGTCTTTCGCATTGTTCATTATGTCGTCCATATCTTCTATATGATCTAACAAATCAGAGCACATGATCATGTTGCTCTAAAGATATATACCCGTGATGGGAATCCACAGGAAGAATTCAAAATCTATCAGCTCCTGAAGAAAGGAAATCATTGGCACCCGGGTTACTCTCACATCAGGACCGCCATATAAACCTTCGTAATACCCCGATCTGGAGGATATCACACAAGCCTTGTCAAGAAGCCAATGTGGGATAGTTTTAGAGACCTGAGATATCCTCTTCCAGATGGATTGTTCACCGAGGAACTTCTCAAAAACTCCCTTAAACAACTTCTCTTGGCACTAGACTATATACACACCGAGTGTAAACTTGTTCACACAGGTGGTACAATTTTTGTTATCTCTATGGTGTTCACTCCCAGGTTTAAAGTGATGGCAGCTGATGGATGAACTCGTGTTGCTCGACACTTTACTGATTGCTGTTTGCAGACATCAAGGCCGACAATATTTTTTCTCAAATAGAAGACAAATCTATTCTCGATGCCTTCACCAATGCGGAAATGCGAAACCCTTCTCCCCGAAAATCAATCAACGGAGTAACTGTCCATACTTCACGACAATTGGAAATTCCAAAATTCTTTGGCGACTCCGTTTTGAGTGATTTCGGTTCAGCGGTGCGGGGCGACGAGAAGAGAAATCACAATGCGGGGCCTCAGATTTAGAGGGTTCGTATTATACTGTGTCTTTTTGGGTCTCAGCTTGTAAATCACGATTCGAATGACCATGTTTATCTGCTACTAGGCGCCCGAAGTCATGATAAAAGCCGCATGGACCTACCCTGTTGATATCTGGAATGTTGGAGTTATGGTATGGGACCTTTTTGAAGGTGAGCATATGTTTTATGGCAATGATCCCGATGGGAAAGGTTACTCGACTCGTGCGCATTTAGCAGAGGTTATTGGAATGCTAGGTCCTCCCCCTCTGGATCCAGTCAAACGAGACGTGCGTAGTCCCGAATTTTTTGATGAAGAAGGTATGTACTTTAAAGAATCCTTTGGTCTAAATCAAAACCCTAACCTAATCCCCCACGCGTGTAGGGAAATGGATAGCTGAGATACCTATCATGGAAGACAAGAGCTTGGAGAAATCCGAGCTGCGTCTTCGAGGGAAAAATAAGGATATGTTTTTGGAACTTATGCGAGGAATGCTTCAATGGCGTCCCGAGGATAGAAAGACTGGCAGGGAGCTAATTGATGATCCGTGGCTGACTCAAGTAGTAGAATGAATGCTGCAGACGCTGGTGATGGATGTTCTTCTGGCTTGTACTTCTGGCTTGTACTTCTGGCTTGTACTTCTGGCTTGTACTTCTGGCTTGTACTTCTGGCTTGTACTTCTGTCTACATTGACTGTTTATGGTGGATGTGGATGTGTAACCTATTGAGAACCATAATATTTGTTCGAGAGGTTCTCAGCTGCAATTCCAAAACAGCATAGTAAGACTTTACCACTCTGACCAAGGGACAACAATGATTATATCCTCCATACCGCTTTATTCAACATGGAGCATTGGAAGCATCTCGGATAAATGTTTCCCTCCCCGTGGGGTACCATCCAGCCCCCACATTCTCGGTCCCGGCGCAGTATGACGTGAAAGCCGCTCCACAACCCCATTCATTCGTCAACTTCAAACAAAAATTCACCACAAATCAAATCACGCGGTCAATCGCCCGTTTCTATGCAGCAAATTAGAGTATTTTCCGTCACCCACCCTCCGTATACAGTGGGTCTACGCGTGTTGGTAGTGAAACCACGCTATTTCACATTGTCTAGTAGCAGCTTTACCGTCTTTCGCTTTACCTTCTTTTATCCCAGATCTTCGTCTCATTTGTGGGCGCGGGGTGATATCGAGCGGGAGTTGACGACGGGAATCGATATCGTTGCGTTGACCGTTGCATTGCATATTGATTTTTGGATGACCCACTTGCTGAGTGTACAAGTAGAAGCAGAGGAAGGAAGGACCCCTCGCTCTCATCGATCGAATGCTGATTGTTAATTCTCTATGTTTACTTGAGGAATTGCTTTTTGTTGTTTATATTCTGTCTTAACTATATAAATTTATCTTGAATGTATCGTCTTTGAAGATCTATCGATAGTGTGTATAAACTATCGCTACTATGTCCGCATCACATATCCCTGGGTCCTCCAGCGACAATTCCCACAATGATTTAGAGACTCCGCCGGCACTCAAACCTTCTCGTTATCGTCAAATCATAGATGATATATCCATTAATCGCAATGCATATTTCCTCACCGTCGTCGCCTCGTTCGGCGGAATGTTTTTCGGTTGGGACACCGGACTCATCGGTGGAATCCTCACCATGTCCTCCTTTCAAGATTCTTTCGGCCTCGACGAGGGATCCTCCTCTTACACAAATCTCTCTGGAAATATCGTTTCTGTTCTGCAAGGAGGATGCTTTTTTGGCGCTATGTCGAGTTTTTATATTAGTGATGTGTTTGGACGGAAAAAGGCCTTGCTTGTGGCTGATTTCTTCTTTCTCGTTGGATCTATTATCCAAACTACGAGCGGGATTAATACCACTAGTTTAGGTCAGCTTTATGTAGGAAGGTTTATTGGGGGGTTCGGGGTTGGTTTGGTGAGTGCGGTTGTGCCGACTTATATTGGGGAGAATGCGAATAAGGAAATTAGAGGAAGATGCGTGGGGTGTATGCAGTTATTTAATGTGTATGTTTTTCCTACTTACTTTTATCACTCTTATCTTCATAAAAAGAAGAAGACGAAGCGGACTAACACACCCCAGAACAGGTATCATGATCGCCTACTTCATTAATTTTGGCATGAACAAAAACGTAGCCGGCAATAATCCCCTAAAATGGCGCATCCCATTTGCCCTACAAACACTACCTGGCATCCTTCTCGGACTCGGACTCCTTTTCCAGAACGAAAGTCCTAGGTGGCTCATCGAAAAAGACCAACACGAAAAAGCCCTCCAAGCACTCTCACACGTGCGTCGTCGCTCCCCAACGGATCCCCTCATCCAACGCGAATACAACGAAATCATCGCCGATTTCCACGGAAAAGAAAGATTATCTCTCCTCCGACAAATGAACCTCACAATGTCAAACAAAGCTTCATTTTATGCCGTCTCTATGGCTGCTATACTGCAATTTTGGCAGCAGTGGACAGGAACAAATAGTATTAATTATTATTCGCCGCAAATATTCAAGACAGTGGGTCTTACTGGTACATCGTCAGGTCTTTTCGCAACAGGGATTTATGGTGTAGTGAAGGTGTGTATTACCGCGCTGGGACTCATGTTTGCCACGGAGCAAATCGGGAGGAAGTGGTGTTTAATTGTCGGAGGGCTCGGACAAGCCTTCGCCATGTTCTACATTGGAATAAACCAAGCCGTCAATCCTCCAATCGAAGGAGCCCCATTGAACGGAAACTCAATATTTGCAATCATCTGCGTATATCTATTCGTAGTTTTCTATTCCTTCGGATGGGGACCCATCCCCTTCGTTCTCAGCTCCGAATGTTCCCCAAACCATCTCCGCAGTTTTAGCATGGCGCTCGCTATCGCCGTGCAATGGTTATTCAACTTTATCATCTCGAAGATTACCCCGTATATGCTGAGTGGGATTACTTATGGGACTTTCTTGCTTTTTGGTGCTTGTTGTTTGTTGATGACGGTGTATGCGGTGGTTTTTGTACCAGAGACGATGAATGTGCCGTTGGAGAGAATTCATACGCTTTTTGAGGGGGAGATTGTTAAAGGTGCGTTTAGGGATACGATACCGAGGCTTAGGAGGTCGAATCGGTTGAGGGAAATGAGGAGGGAAGATGATGATGGGATGTTGGGGAAGGGGGATGGTGAGAATGTTATGAGTGTGCATATTGAGAGAGTAGATGGACGGGTCTAGAAGTTTGGATGGATGGATGGATGGTTGGATTTAGGAGGTGGGACCTTGAAATGCGCGGAGGTTGGGTAATGAATGGTTAATGTGATCTCTAGTTGATAGTATAAGGTTTAGAGCCGATCAACTTTTAGATTTCTTGCACAACCCAACTGTGGGATTTTGATAATCTAACTATTATGTAGGTATATAATAACATATTTGATCAATCCATTTTACGCGAGCTAGTCAAAGAGAGGAAATCTTCTTTATCCTGTCAGATAGAAAAATTTTGACGATTCAAAGAATTCGAGAAATCTAACAACTTGAGTTCTTGTGAAATATTGCCAAACGCGAAAAGAATTCGTCAAATAATCTTGTTCGAAGGAGGACTTATGGATTGTAGCATGCGGATTATCTTTACTATTGTGTAAGCTTCGCAAGTCTTGGATGAACAGCTAAAGAATAATCATTTTGTTCGTCACTGTTGGTTGACTCAGGGGTCCACGCTATGACTTATAGGCTCAATTACACTAAGTATCCTACTAGTTTCATTTCAACAAATGAGGGTTAATTAACCTTAACCATGTTTTGTGTCATTTCTCCAGAATCATCATCATTCAACGTCGCTTAATACCTACCTACGTACTGAACATCAATCAGACACGCCATTTAACAGTGATGTACACCTGCTGGCCGATATGAGATATATTTCTTTTAGGTTCAACTCCTAACGCCGTCTTCCTGGTGGAATGGGTTATATTCAAGCGTTTTCTACACCGCAACGTGTTGAGATGGGATTCGATTGCATCGATGTATCGGAGTTCAATGATGGAAAAGGCGCGATTTCTTTGGCGCGGCTTCAAGATCTAGAAGATGGCTTTTGCTTCGACTTTATCCCAAGAATTATATTTCGGCAGTGGTGAAGCTAGCACGGTTTTATTATTTACACCTCAGAGTCCAAGTAATCATTGCTCATACCTTCCGTCGTTCAATCAGGTTCTATTGCATTCAAGCCATGCCACGACAGACGGCTTTTTGCCTGTCTCCAGGGCTTTCAACTCTGGAGCTTCAAAATAACGAGGGCGAAGTCGCGAATGTCAACTGAACTTCCAGCATCGATGCGGTGCTTGCGCCTGCTAGAATTACCAAGAACAGAATAGAAGATAATACTCAAACCTATCTATCTTTACACGATTCGCGATAATGCACCCTTTACCTCAATCAAACACAATGAATGGCTTGACGCCTTATGCCATACTTTCGAGAAAACCAAAGCCTGACATGCGGATTGTCGTCGTTCGTGGGTTCGAAGGACCGGGAGTTATTCAAACAAAGGGAGCTTAATGACAGCTTTTAGTTGTCTTGCTATACCAAAGCTATGTGCCTGCCAGCTTGGACGGCCCGCATTTCCCAGCATGCTCTCAAGCCTAATGACGAATGTAAGGACGTTGTCTATGGCACCTGAAATATTCCAATCCGCGTTGTAGATGCGGTATCCATCCATCAAATTTGAGAATATTCTTTTCGTACTTGACCGGTACGATGTGTCGCCAAACGAGACTCGTTCCAACGTACCTTTCAGGCAACCCTAGTCACCGCTGGAACTGACCACCTAGAAATCAAGTAGACTCGCACAATATTATATAATGGATTCTACACGAATGGTATTGTATAATGCTGCAGTGGATATCCAAGCTTTCATTGATAGACTGAGCAATTACCGATCTATCTTGTCCCTGCTAACTAAACGTATGAGTGACCTTTTAAAGATTCTCCAAAAACTATATCATATCGAAAATTCTCAAATTCAGTAGTCAGTCCTAGGAATTCTCCTCCGGCTTTCTACCGTATACTAGGACTCTGAATACGACGTGCGTTAGCTAATCGTTTCATTCAACACAAGGGAATTGGGCATTGCAAGAAGCTCTTACTAACCCTTCTGAGTAACAATGTATCTTTCTGTTTTCGATGTCTGCTTTCACTCCTTCCAACAACTCTTTCACCTGCTCTTTTTCCATTCCCAAAACCCTTGTGAATAAGGCCATACTCATTGCTTCCAGACCCATCAACACATTTTTCTGTACCCACACGCTCAAGACTTTATTTCTCTGGCCTTTTGCCCACGGGCTCATGGGCGCAAACTCCCTTCTCTCCACAATGTCAACAAAGCCGATTTCTTCCATCCACTGCTTGTAATATGCTCCATTTGTCCATGGCCTTCCCGCCTTCGTGCTAGCTTCTACTATCATGCTATTCCATTTTACCAACGCGCAGTCTTCAGGAGGCGGGGACGCATATCTAAAGGGAAAGATTGGATCTCGAAGCTCAAGGTATCCGCCTGGTTTGAGAGCCTGGAACGCGGATGCGAAAACAGTCTTCGGAGAGCGAAAGCAGGATAACAAGACGCGTCCATGGATCAGATCGAATTCAAGATCGTCAAAAGTCCAAGGATCTTCAGCGTCTTCGATCCGGAACGAGCAGTTTGTGGGGACACTAGTTCCATGTCAGTGATCTTCGGAGGATTTAGAGATTGACCTCTGAAAACCTACTATTGCGGCTGGATGGGGCTAAGATCAGTACCAATTACCGTTGATTGAGGATATTCATCGGCTACATATTGTTAAAAATGAATCATTTCCAAATCTGAGAAATTACCAAATTCAACCGCCCAAATTCCGGTACCAGTGGCAATATCTAGCACATTTATTGGACGATCCGTGTCTACTGGTGACACAAATAACTTTCCGTCGATGGTCATACGCAGTAACCTATGTTGAAATTCTAGATGATTATCAGAATTGGCCAATTTTCAACACGGACGATACAAGAGTAAGTACCAAGCCTATCTTGTTCTAGCTGAATTTAGGACGTTTTATCAGCTAGTGCTATTCCCACGTTACATCACCAGACGTACTGCATCATTTGGTAGCGGATATTCTGTTGGATGGATGAATGGTCAGTTCCCGCCTATAGGAATGTATATTTTAAGCAACCACTTACGACCATGCTTATAGCGATGATAAGTTCTTCCATTCTCTTCGATATGTCTGTATAACTCCGACTCGATGGTGAAATTGGAACTCCTTTATGTGCCGTTAAATACATTTTAAAGATCCAGTATCTGTTATCCTTACCTCAAACTCATTCCGCCAAGAGCAGAATCCGTATCAGACCCAGACTTCCAATTTGATTAATCTTCACGCTGGAGCATCTTGTTCCATGGAAAGCACACTCACATCCAGTTCCGGTTCTCTTGCATCCACATAAGAGCCCAGTTCTTCAATTATGTATGAAGTTGGTGCAGCAATCACCTTTGGCTCAGTATTCGTCTCCATGACTGATGATCTTTCGGAAATTTTCTCCTTTCTGATGGCCAATCGATAATCTCTGAAATTCCATACATATTGACAGATCAACTATCAAATAACTGAGCAAATTTTCCGCTAATCTCGTCTTGCAAATGGGAAGGCGAGTTTGTGTTCCGGTGGATTTGTCATCCACCTTACCATATTCGAGTATAGCGTGAACTGAAGATCGTAAGATCTCACATATTTAAGTGGTCACTTTGCAGAAGGTTCCGCTAAACAGGTTGTTGGTAATGTGTGTTCGTTTCTCATTAGTGGACATATACCGAGAGGGCGGCTCCTTGGTGGAGCGGATTCAGGGGTTGTCATGAGCGGGTCGGAAGCTTTTTGTGGCACGTGCGAATAGGAGGCAAAGCACTTTTGACGAGCTGCTAGGTATTTAGAGAGCGGATGTTATCAATACTGAGGAATTCTATTATAAGCTTTACAATAAGCCTGATTTCGTTTATTAGGTTGGAAAGTTCCACAATCACGTTCTTCATGTGACCTTGGTTATCCAGCTGTGGTCTAGCCCACGGCGGGAATGCCATTTCTGTTTTAACTGTCATCTTGAGCAAATGTTTGTTACTCATGTATTTTAAGCTTTCTTTCCAATTTCCGCGAAGTGTGAAGTGCTCACTGCTCCTATTGTTCTAATACCCACGCAAAGTATTTGCACAATGGCACGTGACCAGACAATATCAGGGTTACCCTGCGCCTGGATGAGTAACTATGCAACTCAAAGTCATTTGAAATTACCCTTATGTTGAGCCTCGTGTACGCCTTCTTATTTGTTACCCAGAAGCAGAAGACATTATTTTGTCCGCATTCAGAGATTGCAATATGAGAGAACGAATTGCTTGCCAAGGGCACCATGCGGGTATCAAATTCAGTCCGCCAGACGGACGAATACTTTTGACTGCTCTGGCATCGTATGATACCTGTCTATATACGAAACAAAAGCGAGCAGGGTACCATCAATCCTATTTTTAGTAACTTGTACCGAGATGCTAGCTGCCGAAGGCGCCATGGCTCACTCCCAGAACGGTCCCAACTTAGTCACAATTATGAATATTCAATATGTGTTTTGTGGTGGTATGGCTACAACTAGCAGATTCACTTCTCTCTGCCTTCAACCTGTAACCATTATTACAAAGTCCTGAGTCATCGCTGTGACTCTACGTTGCTGTTGATTTCCATGTGCTACTCACTAGAGAACATGTCAAGGTGTTTTACATACTTGCGTTCCCTTATCCGTTAAGTTACGTACTTAAACCCGAATAATCTAACACCAACACAACCCTCCTTCTGCTCCGCGCGATACTCCACACTTTCAAAACCCAGCACTATCTCAATATGTGCAAGCAACAACTCATCCCTTTCACAGCTTTCTTAGCTGGCATATTCCACCTCACACTTGGTCTATACATTCCAGAGTCTTTCTCAGCCTCCGCAACATTATCCCTCACGTCCCTCACTCCTAGACAAGTAGGCTATACCTATTGCCACACCGAGCAAGCAGGAACATGCACCATCGCATATATCATCAATCACAAGGAAGCCCTCCCTCTTAGCATTCAAATCCTCGATAACAACTGCGAGAACGGAATAGGAGGCAAAAAATATCTACTAATAAATGCCACTCCTGACGACATCGAAACAGATCCTATCCAAACATCACCGACTACAAAATTTACAGTGGAGTATATTGCGGATGACAAGCCTGCTAGGATAAAAGCGGATGGAAAAGAAATGTTCTGGAGATCGGCGGATAAGGGCGGCAAAAAGATTTGGACTGCGCCTTTTGATTGTCATTTGCGGAGAGGAAAGTCAAATACGTAGTTTTATGGGGTGGGTGTTTGGTTATGATGCTGGTCGTCATGATGCCGAGTCGGTTATATGGTTTTGGATAGCATGGAGCACATAGCATAAAGAATTAAACTCGTTGTTTTTCAATTTGCTTGCCTAACTGAACTTATAACCTGGCTTCATTAGTTGATATAGATATGCTATTTCCCGTTTCTGAATATGTGTAAATGACAATTTCGGCTACTCCTGAAGTGCAATACTAGAAAGTAAAACTCATTTATTCAATATCTCGGAGTCGTGATAGAAGAGTCTTACAACCTTTAGCACCGCGATATGTGTACAAGCTGATATTCCGAAAGTGAATATCAACATATGATTCGATAACTTCCTCACAACAGGGATCTGGAGTGACTGTCCAAATTCAATGAATCGATATTCTCTTCCCACATAGTCAAGAAAACAATGCACAACTCCTCCAAATTATACTTCCGCAGATAAATTATTTCACAAGGTCGTCCTACCTTTCGTCTGCGGAAATTTTTCCAAAAGCGCAACACTTGCTACGAGTTCAAATCTCAAAATCTTTGCAACATACTTCCCAAGTGCAATAACCATTGAACTCAACCAAACTCTAAAAATGTTCCAAACCCCTTTTCTCCTCATGAGGTACTGCGTCTTCCTGGCCTACTTCCGCAATGGCCTCCTTGTCTGTGCGTATATCCCACCACCGCACCCACTCAATCTCCACACATTACCACGTCCATCAAAATTAGCACACTCATGACTATCGCACCTCCCACGTACCATCCCGCCCACATACTCGTCCTGTCCCTCCGCCGCTACATCCCCAAAACACGCCTCCCTCCAATTCAGCGTCTCTGTCTCCGCTTCCACCCCAACACCGGTTCCCTAACCATACAGTCTCCCCCTTTTAACAATCTCCTCTCTTCCGTATCGATAAAAATTCAAATATAATATCTTTGTAAATACAAATTGCTACCCCTCTTCTTGGTGATTGGAGTATTCGGGTGCGGGCGGGAACGGAATGGTGGGTAGTTGGTTTGATGATGAGATTTGGTATTGGGGGGTGGAGTTTTGGTTGGTGGTTGGTGGTTGGTGGGGAGGGGAAGGGAGGCTGTATTATTTGGAGGGGTTTGAGAGGCGTGGGCCGGGGATGGTTAGATGGTTGGGGTTTGGGTTTGTGGGGAGGGTGAGGGGCATGTGGAGAGTGGGGAGGGAGTGTGTCATGCGGGGTAAGGGGTTGTAAGGGTTAAGGGAACGGTTTATGAGCGGTGAAGGTGTGGGTTTAAGTGATGTGGATTGATGGATTGATAGATTGGGAAACTTGGTCTTTGTTATTTTACTCATTGGAACAATATAATGCCTGGTTTACAAGGTTTAGGTACTCGTTATGATGAAGTTATCAGGAAGACAGTTTGTTCAGCGAAGCCATATTCGCTATATTGTGAAGAACTCTAATATCATTTCATATATATATTCCAGGCCATTGCACAGTTTTGAGATTCCGGCATCAATTTAGCTTATTCCAAAATTAACTAAATTACGAAATGAATTAGTTGATACCGAATTTGGAAAAATATAAAGATATTTATGTATGAATTGAAATTATATAGAAATAACATAATCAACATATTATTTTATTAATAAAAAGTTAATTTAATTATTAAAATCCTTATTTTGATATTGCCCTTTCTAGCATAAATTTTTTTTTTGAATAAAATAAATTAACTAGTAGTAAAGTCTATGAAAATAGGAAACGATATTATAACCACTCCATTAGGAAGCTAGTGTTAGGAGTTGAATCTAAATAGTAATATAGATCAAACGGATAACACTAGCTTATTTCCAAATTAAGTTTATTGATGAATAAGCTAGGGTTCTGATCAATGAGTTAGTCTATTCCGAAATCAATGTAATTCATTTGGAATAAGAATGTTGTACAATGGTCTGGAATACATGCACGAAAATAGCCGGATCAATACTTCTAAACTTCTAATCATTTCAAAGTATATCTCTAAACATGAACATGATCCAAATCTTCCGGCCAAACAACACGGAAGCCCTCTTCACTAGGGGCTGTATAATCAATCTTCCCATCAATCTTTGGGAATGCAATTCCTGTCATTCAAGTCTATCAGTTCCCCATTCAAAGATATAAAACAATGGATAAACCAAAAGCTCACCATATGTGGGATTAATTAACGATTTCTGATCGAACATTGAGAATGCACGGGCAGTTGCCCAATCATCGAGGACTTGCCAGTTGGTGCATGTATGCAAACTATTTCACTTTAGCATCACGATATCCGAGGATTGGTGAGGAATGTGAAGATACTTACTTAGTGAAATCAGGCATAGGTCGTCTAATACCCTCTTCCCAATTAAATGTAATGATGGAAGTATCCGCGTGGCACATTAGAGCTTGGCGAATATCATCAATGCAATGATCTATCTCGATTTCAGTACCGCTCTAAACTCAAAGGAAGGAAAATCATGATAACTTACCGACATGCACTTTTGTCGTTGGTCCCTGAGCATCAGGATAGTATTCCGCGTAGAAAACTTCTCTGATGAATTTCTGCCAAATGTCAACTCCATCCTTGCGACGAGGATTTTAGATGTCTTAAACCTACCAAGCAATGCAAATGATGATAAACATTTAGTTCGCCGAAATATCCAGAACCATCAGAGAGAGGAAGAGCTGTTCTATTCAACTTATCAAGCTCTTCTTTGCTGATTCGGATATTATTGTTTTTGACTAGATTATGCCATGCTAGGTCAAGTTCCTATAAAATACACCGTTATAAATCATTATGTTACCATGCTAGGCTTGAACTAGAAAGCTTACTGGACTTGGATCTCCCTTGTAAGGAACGCTTGCGAGCAGCGTGCCATTATAAAAGACTTTCTCATACTGTAAAGCTTCTGCCGCAGGTGCTATTTTACAATATCAGTCATCACTCAGGAAAGAGCTTCCAATTGGTTGTTCTTCTTACTGTAGACCAGTATAGGTGGCCCTGATGGGTGTCTGTAGGAGCTGCTTGCAGCAAAAAACCCGACGGTGTAAGTCGCAAATATAAAAAAATGAATTACAACACCCCATATGAAACTTCTGCTTTTATGATTCCGTGGGCTGACATCAAAGTCCAGACTTTCATTGTCTTTGGATTCAAGTAATCCATCAGATGATGTAGAAATATCTTCCTTGGACGACTCGTCTTTGCAAAGAGGTCTGTAAGTAGAACTGGACGCTCTAGTAGAACGAAGTTTCCTGTACAGTTTCTCCATCATTGTGAGCTTCCAGTAATTTTTGTCAGGGAAGAGGATAACGTTCGAAGATGAGAAAGTAGAGTGATATTTGGATAGTACTTTGGGTCTTTTGTCTCAGGGGAGGACTAATAGACATGTGCACGGATATTGTTGATTCACACGGAGCTTAATTGCCTCACATATACAACATACATCTTCCTATGGAGCACAGATCATCTTATGACAACGGATTTCTAGCATTGCTACTGGGAGGGGTAAGAATCTGTAATATGAGACTACGGGATATTTTCCGCCATAGCGTCAGATTTAAACTATGAGCGGAGGGCGTAGGATGTCACCGACAGATGTAAGCGAAAGGGAATTGCCGAAATGAAGTGAGACAATGTTGCGTTAGTTGACGCCAAAAAAAATTCTTGTACCGGCCTACGCCCAAAGAGTTTCCTCCCCGATAGCTATGAGAGAAAGTTGTACACGTGATGGGAGAATTACCAATAGGAATCGAGAGTCTAACTTTTAGTGCAACACGGGGTGCGGATACTGCCAAAGCTTATTACGTTCTTTGAGGAACCTTATTCTAACATCTTCAAAGTTTATTATTGCAAATAATAAACAACGAATTTGCCGAGCAAACGTAATTGTATGGATGTTTTTTCCTCGCATCGCGGAGGCAGGAAAGTGGTCACTGGTGCTTACATAATCATTTATCATTATGAACAGGTTCCTCTGATGGCTAGCCTTCTAATGCTATCTATCCCTTTTCCACTTTAATGTAAGAATCCAGAGCTCCAGAGCAACAAGTCGTGCGGCCAGAGAGTCCGCAACACTCCACTTTTAAGCGCATACCGCAAAATGGTAAACTACAAGGAGAATAGTGGCCCACATACAAGTGGGGTGTTGCGGACTTTCTGGCAAAACGAGTACTCCGTACTCTTTTGCGAGGCCAGGCTAACTAACGACAGAAGCTCGAACTCAAACTGAAATATTTGAGATCGGGTGAATGGAAAGGAGTTTGATGGACTCGCTCCACCTTCGGGGATTTGTTAGCTCGAGGAATTGTATTCGAGTGGAGAAATACCTGCCCTCTCATCTCCACTTACATCGTTTTGCGTCGATAAAATTTAATCCCGCCGGATTTGTGAACAGAAATGGCACACATAGAAAATGATCAATCGTTGTTGATTAAGTATTTACACAAGCTTAAGGCTTGAATATCTTTCCCGCAAGTCGGACTTGCTCCTCGAAGAAGCTTCGATTGAGAGGTGGAAGACAATTTGAGGCATAAGACAAGCGTTACGCCCTATCACTTCCAATCCATGTTAATCCGCTGCTTTGTGGCATGAAATTACCGGGATGGGCTGGATTGCCAGATCCGCTACTGCGGGGTAGGAGATACGATGATGCTAGTCATGAGTATAAGCACTCAATATCAACCTCGTCTCGCAATTCGATTAGCCATGTTAATATATCCCACTCCGCCTTGGTGGCGCCCTACCTCAAGCGCCTCCTCCATCGGAGGCGGAGATCATCTTAGCTTCATACTCTTGATAGGTAGACTTGAAGCCACATCAGTTTATTAGACTCTGTTCCCTTCTTTTGTTGTCTAGTACCAACTCTCTTCATCTGCCACGGGATTAAGAATTCCCGAAGTCGACACAAAGTAGTGGCAGTTTGTTGTCCAGGGAGATGCGACCTGGCTCCGCGGTGATAGAGTTCTTGATATCATCAGGTGTTTTTGACATCTACTCCGTAGGCGTAAGATAAATCCCCACATTGAGCACCCTTGTGATTAGCAGACACGGCTTTATGATCCGGAACAAGCTCTGAGCCCATTTCAGGAGCTTCTTTGAGTCCAGCCACCCCTTGGACTACTCACTGTGTACCCCGCTAATGCAGCATTAACCTGTCACTTTACCGTGTTGATCTCATTCACTCCGACCTTTCCTGTTTGGAGATTTATCAACAGCATCACAACTATAAGTAAGTATGAAAGTATTTTTCAGTCCTTCCTCTCATCACTTCATTCACAAAAACACCGACAATTCATACTCTTGCAAGTACTTTACGCTTATCCTCCATCAATTTAAAGGCTCACTCCTCAAAGCATCAAAATGGTTGCCATCAACAAGCTCGTTGCTCTTCTCCCATTTTTATTGGTCGCGACGGCAGCACCCCTGGGGAATGCTTTAAATCCTGGTAAGATAACTCAAATGTTCTCCATCTTTCCGATACTAATATGGCTCGTAGTTCATGCTGTAGCAGGAACTGAGTCGACTGCAACTGATGAGGATCGCGCCATACTATACCGACGTGCTGAGGACGGGGATGAAGACACTGCTATACTGTATAAGAGGTCCGAGGACGGGGATGAAGATACTGCTATACTGTACAAGAGATCCGAGGACGGGGATGAAGATACTGCTATACTGTATAAGAGAGCGGAGGACGGGGATGAAGATACTGCTATACTGTATAAGAGAGCGGAGGACGGGGATGAAGATACTGCTATACTGTATAAGAGAGCGGAGGACGGGGATGAAGATACTGCTATACTGTACAAGAGATCCGAGGACGGGGATGAAGACACTGCTATACTCTACTGAATGCTGCATTGAGACACAAGTAGCACTTGGGTCTCTAAGTTGGCGATAGGAATAATGATCTCGTTCTAGTGATAAAAGGTTTGGTGGCACGCAGGCAGCAAGTTGTTTGGTTGAATTTAGGATTTCCTAGTCATAGGCCGATAATACGGGCCTGATTCTAGAGAATGGTGGTGGTGTGGAATGATTTTATTAGTTCTTAACTCGGGTATTGTACATGTTGATAGTCTTAGTTGCTGAGGTGTTTCATTTAGGAATGTGAAAGTGTCTCGGTGATATTATCCATACCTGCAGTGAATTTTCCAGATCTAGTGATTCCTCGTCCACCGATGACTATTACCATTACTCAAAATTTTCTTATTACCTCTGAAAGCCCAGAGCTTAGTTCCAAGATTATCCTCGTCCAAAAACATTTGTTACAAAATTTTAATCCTGCTTCGTCATCACAAATTTTATCGTCCTTTATCAAAGCTCAAACACAAAGAGACTTATCTCACAATTCCCAACTTCAAGTACATCTTAATTCTTTTTAATAAATTCTATCGAAGTACTTTCACGCATTTCTTTTATGGCTTTGCTGTTATGTCCTCAACTCCAATTTATTTCCACACCCTTATGATTTCAATGCAATTAGTCCACCTACCAGCGCTATCAATTCTTCCAGAAAGAACTTGCGCATTGTTCACCTCCAGATGTAATATGCTCGTATGACCTCCTTCCACCAGAAATGTACTTACATGTAAATACTTTGCTTCAGCAGGGTCTTGAGTAGTAATTTAACAGTAATCTTCGGTACCGAAAAATACCTTTCTTCATATTGGAGTCATCAATACACGTGAGCTATTCTCTGTATTTGTATAAGACTCTTATAGAAGGCTGAATGGTGAATATTATTAGATGTATCGGAAGATCTCAAGCCAATTTTGCTAAACGATGGTCAAATTAGTATGGAGTCATTCTTAATTTGTTTTCCTTTTAATTTACGGTCATAGTCAGTAGAATATTGAACTAAATTCATATGCAAAGAAAACTCAGATTATGTAAAGCAACGAAGTTCTTATTGTCCTTAAACCGTCCTCCAACTAATTCTACCCTCTGCTATCATATTTCCTCAATAAACCATCGTGAATAGTATCCAGTTTCAATTCAATCAATAACCATTTAGGCAACGCACCGCATTTGCCTCCGAGTCTCTTAACTAGTAAAAGACATCTAGAAGTTATTACAAGGATAAGTAGCCGCCCACATGATCTTACTCCCACGTCTTTTTGGCTTCTCCAAATCGTCCGGCAAGTCTGTTATATTTGTAACAACCAACTCTTCATCTCCAATCTTGATAACAGGGGCATGTGCTGGTCCCTTCAATTCGCCATAAGCTTCGACTCTTAGATTTAAATTTTCGACCTTCGGATAGCTTGATTTTGTGCCCTTTGTGCTGAGGTCAAAGCTCTCATCAAGGGCATGATATTTTGTCTTATCGTCCGGGTGGTTGAGTGTGAGCGTATTTCCATCGCACGGGGGCACAAATGTCCCAATCTCGATAGGGGTTTTGTTTTTATCTCTGGTGCTGGGGTTGATATCGAGTAGATATCCGACTACGCAATTGCCCCTTATTTGTGTCTTGTGATTACAGTAAGAGGATTTGCCTAGGTGTGCCCTAAAATTTCCAGTATACTTGTCTCGTGGTTGAAGTGCACTGGTCTCAGAGATGTCTGGTGCAATTTCAGATCGATCGATGACGAAGGAAAATGAGAGGGGAAGGGCGCAGATTAAAGCGACCACGGATGTGAAATGTCGGAAATGCATGTTGAGATTTGAGGAGTGGGTGACTTGTCAATAAAATGCTTAGCGTGATGATTATGAATGGAAATCGTAGCCGTTAATGTCGTAACAGGTCTGAGTGGTTACCCAAATTGTGTTTTGAATATACAGTATTTGCTGCGTGAATGCGAATATTGTAGTTCTTAATGATTGAGGATCTGAAGGGAAACTATCTGGGAGGTGGAAGAAAGAGTGATGCAGAACTCTCCTCTTATGAGCAGAGCAATGAGCTCTAAGCGAGAAGTCATTGAGTTCCCGATGATTCCAATGTGCTTCGAGGGTGACTGGTAAATCTAATTATTATGCATAAGATGACTGGAAATTACAGATTCTTGTGAATGTACTTACCAAGTATTTGAAGTCGCATATATGTATAAATGAGAGTGTTGATAATTTGTTCTATATTCACAAAGATCGAAAGTTCACGAATAATAGCAAATCGCGTCAATTCCTTGTCATCCTTTTGTATAACATATCAAAGAAGCCCACTAGCTATTTATTCGCGGCTGGCGCCAAAAAATGTATCTCAAAACCTTTGTACTTGAACATCTTTGTATCGTTGGATCTAGAATCCTCATTCTCAAAAGGTAAAACCATGTCGGCGATTCAGAGCTTCAAGTCGACACCAAAGCCTTGAATTTTGCATCTGAAAATCCTATATCCTCCTCTCCCTGATAACTGCAACAATCTCTGGACCATTACCAATTCCGTTTCTTACTCCTCCTTCACTACTGTATCCTGTCTCACCTTCATTCCAGACTCCTTCTCCAACCGTAAGTGTGGGACCCCAATACTTCTTCCTTCCTCGAACCAGCCATTCTACCACTGCAGCAGCGATTAAAAACGCTACAATCGGCCCCGCATAATTCATATCACTTGCAGTGACAGGCAATTTACTTGGGAAGGGCAGGCAGATTATGATATAAGTTCCATAAGTTATGGCCCATAGACTGTTTCACAACCCATATTTCTCGAGATTAAATAGTGGCACAGTTTTGAAGGGACGCGGAGTGGATTTGGAGGAGAAGCGACGGATAATGAGTGAGATATAGGATAGATACGTTGCGAGGTGAGGAGAGATACAATCGCGTTGAAAGCGTGGTAGAAGCAATATTGATCAGAGACAAAAGTAGAACGATTGTGGTGGCGAGGCACAGAGCCCGGAGCGGAATTTTGTGCGTCGGCGAGATCTGAGTGAATATTCAATGTTAGCCGACAGCATAAAGAAATTTTGTTCTCGAGCATTGAGAACTAAACTGTCTGCATGAAAAATCCTACCTTTGCGAAAAATCGAGAGAATGGTAGCCCATTATCCCTAGCAAAAGCCCAGATCAACCTTGTCATGCTTGCCAAAATACTGAAGAGTGCATAAAATCTGACAATGATACCGGTACTCATCAGAGCATTTGTCCCTGCTTTTGATTTCGTAGCTTCATAATATATCCCGATGTAAGATAACCAGTAGGTGATTCTACTGCGTTCTCGAGAGATCCCATGCTATAAAGGACGGCAATAACGAAACCGAATGCAAGGATACCATTGATGAAGGTTCCGAGAACCATAGCAAGTGGAACATTTCCAGATGCTCGTCTAGCCTCCTCAGACATGTGAAGAGCACCGTCTTATCCTTTCATCGAGATTATTATCCAGGCACTGTCTGATCATATTTTAGTACATACGTCCCATAGGATACACAACACTAAGTTGACCCATTGACCACGCAATAAATTTATTATCTCATCCATTAAACTCTGTCACAAACTCAGTCCAAACAAACTCAGACGTATTGCGTTCTCCGAGGCATATTATTGTCGTTAAGACTATGGGATAGAAAACCAAATGTAAAACACCACCGGTTACTCCAAGAGGTCCCAATAATCGTCGGGCATATATGTTAGTGATGAAAGGAATGAACATGATAGCCCAGAAGCGTTCCGTGCCAACGTTCTGGTACATAATTTTCGTTGTTCAAGATAATGAGCCCTTAAATTTCGGTCCCAACCAGGAATGGTGCCGTTTCGCAAGCATTAATCCATGCAAATATCTATAAATTTTTTCAGAGACTTAATATGAAATGTGAACCTAGAGATTTAATTCTACAGTCAACCAGCCTGAATGTGATTAGCATTGTATCTTGAAATTCAGTACAAGGCGAAAGAGTACTCACCTTGCAACAAAGACAGCATTTGTGTAGCTACAGGTGCCAGATCAAAAGTCCAATGATATTGTGCTCCAGCGACCGGGGTGCTAAATTCAGTCGGCACAGCCGCAGATGAGCAAATTGAGGTTCCAAGCACATTGAACCCAGCTCTGCAAATGAAGCAGCTATCAAAATATCTCCAGTAATAAATAGCATCAAGCCGTACGCCAGGGCGACAGGCCCACCATTGTAAAGCCCAGCAAAGAGACTTCCGCCTAGTGACTCCCAGAGCATTGCAGTACGGCTGAGAATGCGACCATTGGAAGAAATCCAAGGTATCTTAGAATTAGACGGCATGTATAGTTCAGCGGGTAGACCTGATCATACCTCTAGTTTTGCTTTTTCTCGAAGCTGAATGCCTATCCCGAATTAGTCTCTTGTCTTAGCTTGATCGAGGGCATTTCTACCATCGTTTTCATGCGGATTATAACTGTGCCCCAAATCTTGGGAACGGAATGGTCGTTAACCATCTTTCGATACTCACAACGCTCAGACGGTTTAAAAGGCAGTCGGAGTTATAGATAGAAAGGAAAATCAAAATAAAATAATTCTCAAGAGACTATCAGTGGAAATAGAAAGGGGCGACAAGAGACAGATCAAAGGAAATATATCCTATTGCACTGCAGGCAATGTATACAAATGTCCATCGCATCTTACTCCCCGATTCCTGAAACGAAATGAACGTCTTTAATCGGTACCGAAAAGCACATGTAAGTCCCCTACCCCACATTCCGGCCACCCCCTCATTCCGGCCATTTTCTTCACCAAAAATGACGAAAATCAATATTTATAACTTTCTTATTTATAAATACAATCTTTTGAAATCTTGAATATAGATTTATTATTTATATAATAGTAAATCTTAAAAAATTTAGATTTTTCAGAATTTTATTGATTGAGATATTAATAATTGAAATTTGAAAGTTTAAAGAGGAACAAAGAAATACCAACGTATAAATTGGTGGAAGAAAGGAGTCATTCAAAGCACGCAAATACCATCGCAAGACTAAGCGAAGGGATAAGAGTGACACTGACGATTTTGAGGCTTGAGAATCACAGCAGAGATTAAATGTCGTTTTGGGGACAACAGGGACTAGGCGGGACTAAAAGAAGGAATGTGTCTCTGGAGGAAGATGTGCGTGCGATCGTTGGATCCATGAAAGTAAGGTCGCAAAATGTATTCGAACACCTGGTTGTTGAGATTTAGAGTGGGGTTGATGGTTCCTTATTTCGTTAGCGATCCCGGATGTTACTGATGGACTAACTTCCGCTCCTGATACAGTGCTGCTGATATGATTTCGTGTACTTTAAAATTATGTTGTAGCATACGGTGGGCGAAGAAAACAATCGACACTGGCACATGAGTAGCATCAAGGCACCAGACAAGTTGTTCAACGTGATGGTGACCGCCTCAGGTCGCGAAGCCGCCATGCTAAGTGGCAGCTTTCGAAGTAATAAGGATGTTTATTTTTATTTTTTATTTTTTTTAAGAAACAGCGGCTTCGGAACTAGGGTTCATGCGACGGTTGTCATGGGGTTGGAAAGCCATTTTTACTCTCAATAAATAGTTCAGGGGATGGCGATTTTCCTACCCAAGCTTGATAATGTGCTCTTTTCGCTCTTATCGCGCTACAAAGTGTTGCGGACCTGATGGCCCGAAACCCAATTTCTTCTACGTGGGCTACCCCTTGACCTCACTGATGTCGAAACAGTAATCATTACTTTTGTGATGGCTCTAGTTTTCAGGGAAGCAGGAGTTGGTTATGTCCTTGACCCAACTTGGACCTCTGAGCTTGGACATGACGTTAGGTGCCGGGTACAGCTTTCTTACTTTGTGTCAAAGAGCAAGTCGCGTTGCCAAATACAGGTGCTTAGCCACTGTATTCAGCTTTCTCAAATATGTCAGTGGCCTTTTTACGCAGCATCTGCTCGATATCTCAACCGCCATGTACCAGAAGATGGTTAATATTCTCTCTTGATTTCCTCTTGGAAACGTTCACCAAGCTTGCAAGATAGTTTCTCTCGATGTTTCCCTCTGCATTCTGAATTTTTGGTGGCAGTGCGGCTGTTTTAAACTTCTGTGGTGTATCGTTGCCCCTAGAATATGGCTCCGGCTCTATCGACTCTGGTAATTCACACTCCCTTTCCCCTCTCTTTTTTTGCTTCGTAGGCGCTTAGGTGTCTTTTATAATAATAGGTTCGGATGTAAACTCCTGATTTACACCAACCTGGGATACTGAAAACGCTAGTAGACATGAAGCTCATGGAATTGGTAGGCTGTAAACTGAGCCTCGACGCTCATGTGATGAATTTATATAGTTCATGCTTATTGAATAATAGGAGGATTTCTCGTCGTGTTCAGCGTAGGAAGGATTAATGCTGTTATGATATGGGAAAGTCGGCTCTCTTCTCAGCCTTCTTTTCGACGTTGGTGAAAACATTCAACATTTCAACATAAAGTAGAATACGCGCGTCCTACTTCCCTCTTCCACGGCATGTGTTTGCTAAACTCAGCAAGTACTGAGAGCGGTTTTAACTTATGTTTGAGGAGTCTATTTGCTTTGCTCGCGGTCCGCGAGGATGGCAGCCCACCACTTTGGGGTCGTTCCTCCTCAAGTCTGATTGAAGGCCCCTTTAACGGGGGATGTATTGCTATCGTGTAGTGCCGGTCATTAAATCATTTTGTTTCGCAAATGCTCCGTACTAGTAGCTATGAAGGATGCCTGCAAATAGAAGCAACTGCTGATACTTTCCAGTAAAAAAGAGCGTCGGGATTGTAATGGCTAGCTCTGTCCACCTTCATTGCTATATGTTAAAACTTTGTTGAGCATCCTTTATGCTGTGTGAAGATTCGCTGCATCGATTGATTTGGGAGTTTGTGGTGGCATTTATTTTAGAGATTCAAATTTTATTAAAGCCTCAAGGGACTAGTGAGGTCTCCATGCTCCATTCAAATGACAGATTTCGACAAGTTCATGAAATCTTGGGTGTTTTAATGTCATCCATTTCAATCTTTTCATCACTATGCGTGAACTGATTGCTATTTCAGTACTACCAACATGAGACAGCCGACGCCTCCCATTCGCACTCATACAAGTCATTATCCTTCGACCTCATTAGAATATAAGTCCAGGGAGCCAGCGAACGTTCTGCCACCACATAGTTTTTGACTAGTTAGCCTGAAAGAATCCCTAGGCGTATCAAGATAACGGTCATAACAGGTGCGCATGATAGGCTGCCCCTAAAAAAAGTCTGGGCAGGATCCATCAACAAAGTAGTCTGTGCTCTAGGAACTCGGGACGCCCTTGCCATCTTTTTCAGTCACAAACGCGCTGTCAAGTAGCTGGCAATGCTTGTACGTTCTGTTGAAAGTCATTTGAGTAATAAAGACTCAGATGGTCCAGGGACAGCCTGAAAGTCTTCAAAAATAGTTGCATTGTAGTCAAAGGAGTTTGAACTGATATGACAAAGTATTTTGTATATTCAAGGTGTGTCTACACTAAAGATGTTAATTGGATGATGGATTCAAGATTATGTTGATGGATGGATGTGGATAGAGTACCAGCCGTTCCTTCATAGTAGCTGTCAAACCACAAAGGCTTGAAGTGAGGTCCTTTATCTAATTTTTTAAAGTTCATTATACACATGTTGGAGATACCGGGTCAATATCAGCCATTAGTTGATTTAATTTACTAGTCTACTAAGGACACAAGATTATTAATATCAATATAATACCACGCTACAAACTCCATGTTACCTATGTATTCCATCCCTACTCGTAAGTATTTCATACCATAACATAAAAGAACAAAAACGCCGTGCCATTCCCTGGTATCATCAAGCAAAATTCCCCACACAATTCAAAAGCGGGAAGATCGTCCCCCAAAACTTCGGGCAAACATCTAGTCAAAGATCCACTACCCCTGAATAAAGCATCCTATTTCTCTAGGTACGGGAATTGAGCCAAGGATAGTAGTCTTGGATCAATCAAATTGTCGAAATCCTGTAGATTTCCTTGACGTCCGTTTAAGAGGTCTGTGGAACCGGGGAACCAGGATACTCGCCCATCTTCTGTGGCTAACCCTGATAAGGTTTCATCAATACCGTTTTCCACCAATGAATGCGCAGGATCAAGCCTGTTCCAGGGGCTAACATTCGCAGAAATTTCCTCGTTCACACCGTTTATGGTGCCAAAACCATCATCTCCATTCTCTGACAGCCTCTGTTGCTTTGGCTCCTGCTGTGCAACTGGCCCTGCTACTTCACACGCCTTTCGCTTTCCATGAGTCTGAGGTTTCGCCATGAATAGCGACCGGCCCGACATACCTCGGCTCTTGCGGTATCTAAAGCACAACAGTTAGTAAATGTTGACTAATTATTTTTGCAAGATATAAAAATGGGAACTTACTCGTTGAGTTTCTCTTTCTCCCACTCTTCGATGTGCACACCTCCTTTGATGGGCATAGGCTTTTTGGGTTTGGGCCTAGGCTTGCCTGCCCTCTCCATGGCATCTGCCATGGCCTCTTCTCTCATCCTCTTGTTATCGGCCTTTCTCCTGGCAGTTGCGAAGATGTCTCGTGCTGGTTTTCCCGGTCGTAGCCATTGATATTCCTCCTCCGTCATGGATACCCTAGGTCTAACTGCATCAGGCCGCGTTGCCCAATCGGGTCTTTTCTTTGACCTCGGAAACTTTTCACCGGTTTGGACCCTCTCACCATTTTTTCCCGTTATTCCATTTTTGGTACCATGGACAACACTCTTTTCTGCATTCATCGGACGGTAGTATGTCTGTTGCATTTCTCCGCCAGCTCCCAAGTTATTCTCAGCGTAATTTGTCATGGCGGGGTCGCGGTGTGGTGATTCAGGAGGGGTGTAGCTATCATATGGTGGTGTAGGATATGCCCCAATGTCATTGGCCTGGAAGTTTACGGCTCCATTATATCCACCGCTCTCTGGTTTGTGGCATAATGGGTCATGCTCAAATTTATTTTGAGCCGCCCCGGCTACGTTCACGGAAGCTGATAGGTGCTGGAAGTCAACGACAGGAAATGGCCGGTGGATTCCAGGGCTTGGTAAGGGTGTGGATGGCTGGTAATTGCCAGTGATTTGCCAGTTATGATTCATGGGCGATTGTGAATCAGCGCACATTGGAGACAAGGACCCTTTCTGGTAGTGAGTTGGATAATCATTAGCTGTGGGGAGTTGCATCGTAGTTGATCCCATCATTGCTGCAAGTGGATATGGCATTATTGCACTCTTTTTTGGTGAATGATGACTAGGTACTGGTTCATCCTCCGGAAAAACTGGACATCCCGTAACATGTTGTAATGGGTGGTGTGTGGTACCAGTCTCCTGCAGATAATCGGTGTTCTGAATTTCGAGACCTTGAGCAGTTAGAACTAAAGCGCCCTGAAGAAAATCCCCGCTCAAACTTGGTTGGTATGGATATCTCGTAAGGCTTGATTCCGAATTTTCTGCCTCCATGGCATCTAGCAACGCTTGATCTGCCTCGGTGAACTCAAGTACTGATCTGCTCGATTCGTCGAATGATTCATTGATGAGCTTATTGATATTTTCGTATTCCTCTTGGGTCATCGTCGAAAATTCGCCGAGGTCCTCTTCAGCTAATGGACCAAGGGGAAATGATAGGTCAGGACTGCGAGAAATTTGTCGATTGGACATCCCAACAGCTTGCATTCTTCCTTCGCGCTGACCTGTGCGATGATTGGCATCGTAAGAACTTTTGTTCGATGTCACTTGACCTCCTCTAGTGTTTGCAAACCTAGCATTGCTATTATGTACCTCCAATTGATCATCGAGGTACATTCGTTCTTCACTGTGAAGTCTCTGTAAAGGGTTACGGGGGGCTTCTGGGCTCGTGCTCCACTTTGCTGGGGTGTTACTTGTACCCAGTGGCCTGAAGCTGTTATTTTTATTTCTTGCAATGACATTTCCGTTGCCTAGCACAGTGTCTGCATGGTGCTGGCCCAACTCATATATCGTATCATTGAACACTTTTTGAGTCCCGATTTTCATGAAATTGTGGATGTTATTCCCGGGGTGATGCTCAGTCCCGTCGCGCTGATAGATATCCCCCCAAAGCCTATTTGGCTGAGTCGCATGGAAAAATAATACGTCATCGGATTCGTACGTGGAATACTGCAGCTGCTGTTCTGTTGGTGCGAATTTGGTTGTTCTCTTCAACTCCTCGGGAACCATTTCACCTGCCTCCTTCATGTTATTGAGAAAACTTCGTGGGCTAGACATTCTCTCCTGCTTCAATGTTGGTAGAAGTTTGTGGATGTTGTGTGAACCACGAAATGTATTGTCGAATAGTTGTTGGCAATTTACCCTAAGACTAAGAATTTCTTGTACATACTTTTGATGAATTTAAAAAATTATGTGACGCGACTTTCTGGAAGTAGGGTTGTGGATGGAGACGGCTGGGGCTTTTGTATTATTGTAATACTCATCAAAAAACATTGCTGGCTGTACTTCACCGTATACGCGTGAAACAGATGTCCTCCCTATACTGTAGCTGGAGCGCGCGTTTATACATTGTTCCCATTGTTTGCTACAGCCTAGGCTCGATTCGCACGGCCGGATAAAAGTCATCGCGCCTAGGTAAGCTATTCGTATTTCGCGGAGATGAGCGCGCTGAGTACATTAGTTGGTAGTAATGGGCTGTATATCAATGATCTATGCAGAAGAAGCTTAATACAACTAACGTGATACTACGTCATCGAGGTGATTCTTTGCGGCAACATGCAGCAAACAGATTGATGTTTAAGTAAAGGGGGTCCAACCGAGATTTAGCCCCACATTATTCCGGAACTAAAGTCTCCGGTAACCGGATTTGTCTGCAATTTTGTGAGAACATTAGACATGCTAAAAATTTCACTTTCCAGTGACTTTCCTGTTGTGTACACGTTGTTGATAACTGATCATAGTTTCTAGAAGCTTTCATGGAAAGCCAACAATTTTTGCCTTGTCAAAATTTACGGGAAGCTGAAGCGCGTTTGAAATGTGCTGTATTGACTGTAATCATCGAGAACATTGCTAGCTGGCCATTACGCAAAAAGTAGATAATTGGATCTGATACCTGCTCCAGGCGGGATATTTTGCTTCATAAATATATAAAGGAAGAAATCCGCCACCTCTACATCCTACGTTTGCTCTCCTTGGATCAAGAGCTTCATGTTGACCTGTAGACTTTTTGCATGTTAGACTTCAAGGTATGTGATGTCAAGGGGACAATAATTACATGTTCACAATCCTGAATGTCACTGAGTTGACAAAAGAATTCAGGCACGATCTTACTTCATTCTTTTGACCACCTTCTTTTGACACCTTGTTGGCTCAATCTTTCGCAGATGAATCTAAGGGAATCGAGTACTTTACATACTGGGAGAAAAGTGCCTGCTAGGCAGCGGGCTTTAATATAGTGAGCTCCAATTCTAAGTAATCTTGGATCAAAGCCTCATGAATAGAACAAGGGCATATATGCAAGTAGCAATAACCCCAAAAACATGCGTCTGTAAATTTATGATATGTTGGAGTATTGTTACATCATTTTCTCGTACTTTCTCTATAAACCATCAAAAAATTGGGAACAAGGATTAATCTATGTAAGTTTGTATTAAGGAATTAAAGAGCTGGAAAGTTCTTATACAATGCTACCTAAGGTATTATAACTAGAGCAATTCTCCGAGTGTCTTTACCTCTTTTCATTGCACGCCATTGCGCGTACCACAGCCTTTTAGTCATCTAATGAAATCCAGATTCCCTTCTTTGCCGTGTATGTGGCTCCTCGGTGTTGGATTTCCCGAATTCTTCTTGGGAACTGAATAAATCTCTCTTTGAACCTGAGAATTTATGGTTTGTACGACCACGGAGACGGTGGATCATTTTGCAAACTCAGCATTTGACCATGACCTAAGAAATTTATGTATGTGCATGATTCGAGTACTACAAAAGATTTACCATCCTTTTGATTTTCTGCCTCTCCCCAGGCTTCTACCTACAATTGATAATTCCACTTTTCCAATTCATTCAGGTATCAGAAATCACCCCCACCTTCTTTGCCTCTAGCCAAGAATCCTGGTATTTTCGAAGTTTTTTCGTGGGCTTGTATTCTGCAGAAATGAATTTTGGCACGTATTCGCCGGGGCTACAAAGCTTTCGACGCTCTTTTTCATTATGCCTAGCTCCTCGGCGGTGTCTAGAGAGTAGTTAGTGATCATCTAATTTGTTTTAATGACGGGGCTTGAGAGGATACTCACGCATTTAGCAATTCCACTTGATCCCAGTCTATTCGACGAGTCTTGGAGGCAGTCCTGGAGTTTCTCAAGCCTTGAAATTTTCGGCGAAAACGATTCTCGTAAGCAGGGTCAATGACTTTTATCTCTTCTTCGGTAATCGTAACACGTGGATACTTTGATTTGTGGCTGTTGAGATAGGCTGAAAGCCCGTTCTTAGATGACTCACAATTATTAGCTCTCTTGGGTGCTGGAATCGTGTCGCGGAAACTTATGTTTTGAGCGTCTGAATTTGTGTTCTCCGGCTCAATAATTTGCGTTATTTTGTGCTTTCTGCAATTGAAAGCTGGATCATAAAAGCCCTTTGGCGGCAGCGATAAATTCTCATTCATGGAACCTTCGTATGCCGACTGAAATTCAGGCGCCAGGAGAAGTTCTCGGTTCATATTATCAAAGCCGCCACGATGCATTGCCTGTTGATCGAACATCTGGGGTTCCTGTCCCACAAAAACTTCAGTTGTTGGTTTGTATATGCGTTCAACGTTTAGATCGCAAAGTGTTACAGGAAATGCTCTATCATTTGCCTTATTAACTTGAGCGCGCTTTCGTTGGGTCGAAGGCTGGCTGTCTTGCACATGGCTCGTGCGGGTCCACTTTCTGAAATTAGGGGGTCCAATTTCTGACTGACCGTTCCGAGGCTCGTGGCGATGCTCGAAGTCCACCACTGTGTAGACATGTACAGGAGTATGATCGGGACCCATAGTATGCTGAGGATACTGGGAATTTTCAACAGTCCTACTGATTTCCGATCCATCCCGGACTGTATATGCCATTCCTGGGTGGTAAAAAGGGCTCCGAGATGCCACAGTCGTTGCGTTTGCTCCTGTTCCATATCTGCGTACACCAGAATTGATATTAGCATTTTGAATATTGTCTGTATTTATACCGGAATAAATTGGATCCGATTGTCCCTGGTTTCGGTAGTTGATGTGGCTCACGTGCTGACCTCCTATGGTACCAAAACTTTCCCCGGTACCAAAATTGTTGAACGTGATAGGCAATTCAGTGGCAGGACCAACTGAACCAGTACGGGCAACCGAGAAAGTTGGGGCTTGCATCCGTAAGGTGGAAGCATCAGGTTTCAAAGTGGCCATCAATTTTGGTTCTCTTTGCTTCAACTTTCCTGGATCCATGTCCTCAAAATTGGATTGGATGTTCCAGGATAGATGCGCACTCGGAGAGATGTTACGCCGACGACCTTGAGCATTTTCCTCGCTTGATTGAGGCTCAGCAAATATGTTTTGTTCGAAAACCGGCTGTTGTGCTAGAATGTACTCGTTCATTCCATTCCAGCCATTAAAGACAGGATGTGGTTCACTTCGCGCTATCGATTATTAGCCAGAAACCTCAAACTATAAAGATCACGGAATTTACTCACTTTTTTGATCTGGCACGTCTGGATAAGATGTACCAAATTCGTTGCCATCAGCCAAAGAAAAATACTGTTGCCCGTCCCGTGGAGGAGTCTTGGGTAACAATGTTGCTGGAAAGTCTTGCCATCGTGGTCCTTCATTGTCACATGCCGTAATGTGTGGATCAACATAATTAGACTGGTAATACTGTGGTGGTGGCTGCAGAGTTTGTTTCACTCCCCATTGCTGGTCAGATGCCATTCTGCTGTTCATCTGGAAATGTGATGAAACTTTTTTGTAGATTTTGGGGAGCTTTAATCAGGTCGCGTTTGAATGTTTGACGAAGAAGCTGTTCACATGTGTGTGAGATCCTTCGGAATAGTCTTAATGAACTGATGTAAGTAGTTTCGAAATATTGACATTGTTGTGTGTCAACATAAAACTATATATGCGCATGGAGATGATTTTTTTACGGGCGCTGGGTTGGCGCACATTAACTTGCAATACGGTATATTTCATCTGGAGATATTGATCTGCATTCTGGTTTGTATGCTAGCCTTACATCAGAGAGGTGCCGTAGCAAGATTCTGAGTAGCTTAAGATACATCTAGGAGGTGAATAAGCAATTATACGCTTTGGGTATAACCAAGTAGACTAAATAGAGTCTCTTAAATGTTGAACATGACTGAGAATGTTCCATTCTTCACTGCCCTGCTGCCTCGTTTCTATTGTGAGAAAGTTGGAATTATAGGCCAAATACATAAAGGTTTTAATTAGTCAATCACATAACCTTCTATAATTAGATATAAAAAAAGAGCCTTTTGCCTCTTCTTTTCACAAAAATCAACCTTCTACATATATACATTTGAACCCATATAGCATCAACCCCAAAACCATTGTGAACCCTGTTTTACCCATAAGTAACGTATTATAATATAATCTAATTCAGCTTTCTCTTCCAATTCCCTCCTCACAGCGTGCTATCGGGACGCACGTATCTCGACCTACCACTTTTACACTATCCATTTCTTTCAACCGAGGGCAACGAACTAATTCAAGGCAAAATTATGGTTTGCACCTTTGACTATACAATATCAGACGACTGAGAAGTTTTCACAATGAATGAAATCTCGGCTCAGCTATAACTAGCTTCAATATAATCGATAGATGATTAAATATACCCTTTTTGGAAAATCTTATTCAAATAGTAAATAGTAAACTGATGAAATAATAACTCGATAATTATATATTAATAAATTGAAAAATGCTATCAAAATTTATAGAGATTTACTAGGGCCTGCCCTTGTATAGACACCTGGCTTTTTGAGAAAGTCTAATAAAAAATTAAGTTTTGAAAATGTTAATTTAAAAATTAAATATTAGACATATATTAGAGTGCAGACAGAAGGAGTTTTAATTTTTTAAAAAATATATTTTAAATCTTTTATTAAATAATTTATATATAAATTATTATTATTATTATTATTATTATTATTATTAAAAAATATTGAAAATCAATATAAATAAAAATTTATTTATTAATTTTTATTCAAAAATAAAAGACTTTTTAATAATAATAATAATAATTTAATAAGTCTAAGTCGAATAGGTCGAGTAGGTCGATGTTACGATTTATGATTTTCATTATAGTAGTATTATTGATGTTGGTGATTTATATGCCGACTACAGGGGGGGTGTGATTTAACTGTTGCTTTCAGGGGTCCTGATTACTTAAGCCTAGGACTTCAAGATTCTTAAAATAAGTATCCTAAACAATTATAGTAAAATAGAACAAGTGTTCTATTTAATTAGCTGAAATAGGATAATTATCTTAAGGAATATTGTATCTTAGAGTTATAATTTCTAAAAGAAAGCTTCTGGGATAAGTATTTTAGGAAAGGAAAGGTTTCAGAATAGAAGAGGTTTCAAAATCAATTATATGATGTGTTAGTTTTGTTAACTAATTAACAAAACTAGTATATAAGGAAGAAGATTAATATATAATCAGAATAGTTTTATAGTTTAGAAACTTTGTATTTAATTCAGTTATCAATTAGTTTATTTATTTTCTAATTGATCTAGTAACGAATTCACTTTCAAATGGATAATCAGTGATTAATAGCCTTAATCTAAGAGCTCTGATCATTACTCACCGCACCCCCTTTAAATTTCATCTATACTTTTGAAAATTTAATATTAAATCAATACTACAATATTTTTTATTGAAAATCTGATAATATATTAATGAATAATAACTAATCCTTTTATTTCAATTACATTCTCTAATTTACAAATCAATCTTTCAATATATAATCTGAAATTTAAGAGATTAAACATCTCCTATAACCTTTTAAACTCCCTTTTCAATTCTTCAATAAAAGTAAATACAAATAATAGTTTTTTTAACTCCTCCTTTATCCAATATTATACCTTCTCAATTGAATTGAGATCTAAAGAAAAAGAGAACTATTGAAAGCCTTTAATATTATACTCTAATCGAATTAATTTAATATACTTCAAATGAATCTTTACACTATTTTCTATAAATATATATTTAGACTTTAATTTATCAAATAAAGAGAATAAAATAGAAATAAGAATCTAATCTCGATATACTATTGAATTTATCCTTTTATTGTTAAAATTCTTCTTCAAAAAGATTAATAAAGATTTATAATTCCAATTAAAAGCCTTTTATATCATTACAAAGATCCTTCCTAATTTATATACTAATTTGATACAATTCCTATACCTCTTTTCTTCAATCCTACAAATTATTCATATCCTATTATATTTTCCAATTTCGAAAATGCTTTCATTCGATTATATAACTTTCCTTCAATCACCCCCTCTAAACTTTTCGAAAATTATATCGATTATCCCTTATCAACAATATACATATACAAAATCCAACCTTTTTTTTGATTATTTTTTAAAAATAAATAATCTAAAACAAATTATACAATATTTATAATTATATTAATATAATTCATATTGAATAATATATATCGAAACCCTAATCTCTAATATATATTTTATCTATTCAAAAATCATTCTCCTTCCCTTTTAATCTTTTATCAATTCCCTTATAATTCATCGAATCTCTTTAATTGTTATTATAAAGAATCAATATATTTTCTTTTTACAAATAATTCTAAATAAATTCGATTTAATAATACCTTTTGCAATACTTCGAGATACACTCAAATTTTGTTTGATCCAAAACCACGATTTTCCATTCCTTTTAATCTAAAAGACTTTAACTTTATAAAGAATACCTTAATTTTGATGAAATTCATAATTATCATTCTCATCTTGAATTTTGACAACCATTTTGAATTTGAATAAAAAATATTGAAAATTCGAATTTTGATGAATTATTTATAATTGAGGGTTAAAAATAAGATTACGATTATTTCTCGGTAAAGTGTACAATTAGAAGTTTCCAGAACTCTTACAATTACTAATTATACAAAACCTCAGGCAACCGCTGCCTCGACCGGATCGTTACAACGTCACAATCGATTCCTTAGTGGCGAAAATCCCAAAATCCACACGACTGCTCAATTTTAAAAATAACCAGTTCCGTCATATCGAAATATTAAAGGTGCTTGTTTGTATAACAGCTACACTTTGCGCTCTTGACTATCATTCATAAATGTTTCCCAGACCAAATATGGGATAAATCTAAAGAACTCTACTCAGGGCTTTAAATTATTCAAAATTATTTTATGACTATTAATAGAAATAAGAGTTCTGAAACTATCTAATATATATAAAATGAAACTATATCAAAAATAAATTTTTTTTGAAGATTTTATTCTATATTTAAAATCAAAAAATAAAAAGAATTAAAAAATCCTTTAACAGTATAATTTTATATAAAAAGAATATAAAACTTTAAAATTTTATGAAAAATTAGAAGAGTACTTCTTTTCAAAATAACTTTGCTTTAAAATTACTGGACAATTAAATAATTGCGAATATGATATTTATGATAAAGTGAGATGGATCAGTACCTGGGGGCTGAAAAGAGTGGAATTAATTAGCAACTTATATTCCAAAAACAACCTTCAGATCAATATTATGCCTACGTGTTAATTTCCTTCAGTTGTTGAAATTTATAGTGCTCTGAATTCGACTCCGAGATGGTCTTCCCAAATTCTAATCCAGTTATTCTACTTGCAGAACCTCAAGATACGCCTCGCTTAGCCGATATCACCACCCGCGCCTTCAAAGCAAGCGATGCAATATACCCTGTTATATTGGGAAGTACTGCTCTGGGTATTTGTGATGCCGCTAATCTGATGTTATTCAATCCATTGTAGAATTATATACAAATTATATGGAAAAGAAAAAATTGATAGGAATATCATAGGATATACTCAATGGCTTTGGCCAGTTGACTTGAAAACGGTACTGTTTAAAGCTGACACCGAGGTTGATGGTAAAAGAGAGAAACAAAAAGCTGATATTGAGAAATTTGATGGAAGTGCCACAGTTCAGACCAAGCAGAAGATAGATGAGGGGTGGAAAACACCTGCCGGAATAAATTTTGATCTATTTATGCGGAAGGTCAAGGGTCCAATAGAATGTAAGCAACGCGATTATGATGCGGAAAGAGACATAAGTAAGGCTATATTTTTATCTCTCTTCACTACTCCTTTCCCATTTTTTTAAGTACAGTGCTTATAATCTAGTTCTCGATCTTTGTTTTGTGGATCCAAAATACCAGAAATTAGGAATAGGAAATATGCTGTTGCAATGGGGACTTGACATAGTACACAAGCAAGGCAGGAAAATATGTTTGGTCAGCACGCCGCAAGCTCGGAAGTTCTACGAAAAAGGTGAATAGGTTGTAAGGGAGAACTTAGATATAGATTTGGAGGCACATGGAGGAAGTGGAAAATATGGGAGGTGTTGGATAATCAGGGAAGTTTAAGAGGTGAAGTACGGAGTGCCTGTCAATCTAAAGAGAATTGGTCTGCGCCCCATGGCTTTATCCGACGATAGAAGACGTTAACTGCAAGTGTATACTTATCTTAAGACATTGACATAGTATAACAGCAAGTTATAAAGCTACCCAAGTGTCTGTTTTTCAAGTATTCTGTTTATGGAAGCATGATATGTATGGTGCAGTTACTTAGGACAGATGGAAAATGTCCATAGCGCGTTCAATTCATGGTTATAATGGGACAGCAGCGCTAATCCTTCTGAGTGAAATTGCATTGAATAATGCAATATAAATCCTCGAGCGAACTGAAACACATAGCCCTATATATTTTTAATAATTTCAGAAAGAGCTACTACGGCTATTACGCATGATGGTTCTAAACAAGAAAATAGCAGAAAATGGAATCAAGTGAAAATTTTTACCGTGGAAGTTTGCCATATACACGAACTATGGAAGTGCATAATCAAGAACTCAGTAAGGAGCAGTCTAAATATTAAATCGAAACCAATCTCATAGCCCCAAGGGGCCGGCAACTAGTCTAGTCCACGGAGATTCTTTTCAACCCCATGGCTTCTCCAGCTAACCAAATGTAAACTTAATTTATCCGTGTGTAATCCAAGACTGCTGCGTGTTGCAAGTTTCCGGGTCTATCAATGGCCCCGTACTTTCGCGTCTCCAGATACTACGATACATCTCCCACACTAACATGGGATGAGATGGATGGTTGAAGTTGTAATAAGAGGAAACATTTTGCAGGGTATTTGCCATTGCATCGATATGACAATTTACATGCCAATGATCATTCAAGAAATTCTCCATGTGCAATAAGATATTAACAACTTCTCTGATCTTTCTATCAATAGCTTTTAACGCCAGCTGGGATTTGTGAACCGAGATGGGCATTTCGATTTCACGCACGATTCGACCTCGTTCGAAATCATTCTTAAGCCAATTTTCTATGTAGCCAATTATTTCATTGCTTTGATTGGTGTTATGTTCTAACGTTGAAGTTCCATCCGAGGACAATGTACTTATACCATGCTCTACTGCAGATTGGAGCACTTCACTTTTAGTTCTGGCCTCTTCGAATAAACTCATCAGTCTTGCACCTGTCCTCAAAACTTCAGTCAATCCTTTAAATTTGTGATTGTAAAAATTCCAGTCGGCTTGGTTGAATCCTTCACGTAGTGCTTTCAAATATTCGAGGTATTTAGCTTTAATTCCCATGCCTCGAAATCCGCAAGTGGAAGGGTAAAACCAATAGGATCTTTTGTCTGTCAAATGCTTGAAATCCTGGGTTCGCATAATTACAGTATCCGAAACATTCTGATATCGGCAAACTTCCTCTGAATCCTCGACTAAAGCATTTGTTAGTATCATTGCGTCCTCCGCGTGCCGACGGATACTATCATAATAATGCATGTATTCGTGATATATTTCGTCCGAAGTAATTTGTAAATCCTCAAGCAGAACTGAGAATGCGCGTGCTTGTTGATAGTCTGGCAGCGCCTTAGCAAAACGCCGGGCTACCGAAAGCGTGTTGCCCGGGAATATGTCTAAGTGTCCTTTGAGTGTATTACCTTCCCTTTTGGTTGCATTGTATATGAAATCCTTGTACAACAGCGGAATTGCAGATGTGATCTTCGGATCGATTCCTGAAATGTCTTCAGTGTCTCCGAGGACACTCCCGTCTTGGCAAAATAAGGCAGAATACGTCAAAATCGAGCCTATTGTAAAGAGGACCAATCTTGAAAATATCAAATTTTTGAGTTGAAGTCCTAAACTCCATTGTCCAGGATACCGGCCAAGAGGATATTGAGGAGAAACTGGTGGCGTAAGGGGAGCTGTGTACACATCTTCATCAGAGTCACTTGGACTCTGGCTGTGTCGCCTCAATCGAGTGACAGTTCCTCGACGACTATGGATCAGAGTGGCCATAAAGAAAGAGGGAAATGCGGGTATGATATATCGGAGGTTGTGATCCTGCGACTACCTTCAAGTTGATGTTATTGATCGAGGGATGAACTTTCAAGAAGTGAGTAGCTGCTTGGTGATGAGCGCAAAGATGTTTCGCTTGGTTATATTTATTTCCAGTCAAACGCTTGGTTGTCGAACTTTACTCGCTTCTCTGTGTGTAGAATTTCCTTTGAAGTGGGAGGTTATCGAAATCCTTTGTGAGAATTGACGAACATTCCAATGAAATGTGAGGAGCTTCCATTGTTGTTGGATAAAGTCGGGACGTTTTCGGTGTAAAAGAACAAGGAAATCGAGAGAAAATTTACCCCTAGTATTGAACACTTGAATTTCTCAAAAAGTGAAAGCTTATGAATGATTGGAATTATGGACAGATACTCCAATTGATAGAAAAATGATAGTACGATATGATTTGATGGGCAATAGATAGGCTACCTAAGTAGACGAAGATTCGATTTTTTGTAGTAGAGTTTCGCTTAAATATTTGCGTAGAATTCCTCCCCAAACCAGACTATTGTATTTAAATATTGACTACAATTTCTTTTTATACTAAAACTCACTCCTTTTATATATTTGTATTAAAATAATTAAAATAACTAAAAGTTTTAAAATCAAAATTTTTATATTAATTCAAAGACTACAATTTCAATATTTTGTAATTTTTAATTATTTATTCGATTTAAAGTATTTATATAGATCAAAATATTTTAATTAACAATAGTTGTGAATATCAATAAAGCAAAACTAAAACCATTAACAATATATCATCAAGTATATAATTATGTTTTATTGGATTAATTTAAATATAATTAAGATAGAATATGTATATTTATTATACTAAACATCGAATCTATACAATCAGATTGCGATGGGCCTTCCTCCTGGGGTCTTTTCACCCCACATGGGATCAAATCAAGCCCTTAAGTATTAATTTTAACTAGATCATTGATCAACTTCTTCTCATCGAAACCCCACCTACTCACATCCATCTGCTCCTTCCAACCCTGTTTATCGCGCAGTTCCTGTAGTAGGCTAAAATATCTACCCATATTGAGATTACAGCCCAAAACACTCTCACTTGCCGCCATGATTTGGATATTGAATGTGATTTCCTGAAACATGATTCCATGGCCTCGTGTACCCAGGTCTAAAGATCCGTCGCGGCAGCAGTTTCCAACACAACCATAAATATAGAAAAATGCATGGCACATCTCATGGACCAATACCCCAAATAGACCTTTCAGGACTTTCCCTGACATGGGCTCGAGCTTCTCGTTAATGTAGATAGTGATTGTGCTAATGGGATTGAATCGACATTGCAGCTGACCATTTTTAGCCCTTTGGAAAACAACATTAGAGTCTTCGGATGTGTGACCCTTACAACCAGGTATCGTAGCGGCACAAGTTGTGGAAATGATAAGAATGACGTGATTCTTTAATGCACCTCTAAAGAACAAGTCATCGAATATGTGAAAGTATTTTTCCAGGACATTTTCGATCGGTGAAAGCTGATATGGATTAGTGGAATTGAGAATATCTATCTCTTTCCACCTCATAATGGCTTCTTTTTGGATATCGCTTAAATTTGGTCCAGTGGGCTCGATATATCTCCAGACAGCGCCGACGAGACTTGAAGGTCGATGTTTGAAGAGCTTTAGGTTGTTCAAAGTCAAAGGTCGACGAAAAAATAGTCTGGTCGAGAGTTTATCTGCCTTCGGGTCGGTTCCTTGAAAGATCAGAGCATGTGGATAGTAATGCTCCTCTTCTTCTTGCTGAGAGAATTCATCTACTGCAGATCGGTTTCCACAAAGGATTCCGGCGAGACATTCTGATAGAGTTGATTCTCCCCTGCCATGGGTTGAAATCTTTGAAGGTGATTGACCCATCGTGTGCGTTTTCCTGATAATTTACTAATAAAATTAGAATTTTAGGTGTTGTATGATATTTTCTGATGACGAGAACTGAAGGCGAGGAGTTCGAGTCGCAAGTATCTCAATATATATAGTAATTGCCATCACTAAGGCGCAATCATTCCGAGCATTAGGTACCGTAGTCATGCCATCATTCATGATGCCACAATTTGCCATTCCAGCCGTATTGAATGGAGCCATAGGTAAACCAGCAGTACAGACAGGTAAGGTACACAATTTGGCCGTATTATCTACAAAGGTCTGAATCTATTGTTTCCTTCTCGTTCCAGGTCGGCCTAGCAGCGGGTCCTCTTCCAAAAAGGCCCAAAAATCAGAGTATAATTAGCTACTCAAATTTTTTTAGCTTGTCTCAAGTGATTTTACAGGAAGGTATGATGGTATTTCGGGAAGCGTTGGGGAACTAATTCAAGCGAATGTTGAAACTTTTCAAAAGTTGTATTGGGCATTCGAAACAATGAGTATGACAACCACATTTCTCTACTTTCGAGCGAAGTTCCCAATGATTGAAAATATTTTCAATTCCCCAGCTAACCTTCCATTTCGGCATCATTAAAGAGGCAAACAACCGCGTCGAAATAACCGCAGTACATCTGATTCCCAAAATCAGCCATACCGAGCTTTTCTTGCTGTACGAAAGAAATCATTCATGCCTATACGGGAAGTTACTCAATCTTCCACTACAATATGTTCTAAGCATGCCCAAATGGAGAACAGAGAATGCTTTATACTTGTTTCCACAGCCAAGGTAATAGCAAAAGGATAATTGTAAGACGTGGCAATACCTAACCAGACAGGCTTTCCGACTTGTGGTATTTATTGGAGCTTTTGCTCGACTTTGTTCTTCAGCCACGACATGATTCGCGCTGGTCGCGTTCCAGTCACTTAAAAGCCCAATATCTCAAGTCATCAAATCCGAAGTATAATACAGCTGAATACATTGGTTCCATGCACATGTTTAATGTTTTCAAGTTAAAGTCCAAAAGGTCTTGAGCACCAAGAAGTGGCGTACGCCCACTCGTGGCATAAGATTGAGAAATTTTCTTGTTTGAGTTTTATCTACCTGTCGCAAAAACCTGCGGTTGGCGTACTTCTATAATCCTTATAAACGATCTATGTAATATTTTGGCATCATAATGACTTTTCGAAAAATTAGCTTGAAGGAGCTGGGAGGACTCCTTTAACACCTCCTTTCTGTCCAACTTCCCGTGCAGTCACGGTGACTGACAAATCCTTGCTAATGTTGATCATGACTTCGACCTTGCTACCCTTATTGACACCCTTGATTGCGGCCTCGGCAAGGACATTTCCGACCTTCCAGATTCTCTCACGTTGCTCCTCTTCTTCCTCTTCGCTGTCATCCTCCTCTGAATCATCAGAGTTTGCGTCCTCTACCTTGGCTCCGTTAGATTTAGGTTTGGGCTCTGGCTTGGTGACTTTGATGTGCGATCCTCCCTCAACAATTTTGACTAGAACATCACCACCATCCTTAGGAGCGGCAATTTCGACGGTTCGGCGAGCTGGGAGAGCAGTTTCGGCAGTAACGATTGGTGTAAAGACACCCTTATCACTCTCGCCGGAGATGGAAAGGACGCCAATGGCATTCGTGATATGTTGAACAGTGGTGACGGCAGCATGAGTAGATTGCTCAATATCCTGGGCATCAAATTCTTGAATGAGAGATGCTTGAAGTGCAGCTCCACGGGCTTGCAATTCGGATGGGTTGATGGCAGTGGGGCTAGTGGATGGGGCGAGAACTGTGGCGTTGGGGTATGTAAATTGGACGTTGGATGCGATTTTTGGGGTGTGCGATGTACCACCAGAAAGAATGACCTCGTCAATTTCCAGTGCATCTAATCCAGCCTTCTTAACAACGCCTTCAATTAATCTGTTGAATCCATCAAAGACCTTGCGTGCGATAGTCTCATATCTAAGTCTGTTAATGGTGGAAGAGAAATCGATACCCTCTGCCAAGCTCTCAACGCTGAAGTTGGAGTTTGTTCCGATACTAAGTGCCTTCTTGGTAGCCTCGGCTTCCAACTTGAGTTTTGCGAGACTTCGAGCATTTTCACGGGGATCGATTGAGTTCCATTTGATAAATTCCTTAGAGAAATGGTCCATCAAAACCTTATCAAGGTGAACACCAGCGAATTCATAATCATGTGCAGTTGCCAAAATGGTATACATGCCCCCTCTTGATGCGATGAGTGCGACATCAGAACGAGTTCCTCCAAGATCAGCGACGATCACATTTTTGTCCGCGACTTTGCTCTCTGGCCTTGCGTCATAGGCCAATAAAGCAGCTACCGGCTCGTTGATGAGTTGTAAAACTTCAAGACCAGCGTCGTTTGCGGCCTTTGACAATGCTGCCTTCTGGCTATCTGAGAAATTTGTTGGGACTGTGATAACAGCTGAGTTGATTTGCTTTCCAGAAAAATCCGATGCGGATTGTGCGAGACGACGGATTACTCTGGTTGTTACTTCGGAAACGGAGACAATCGATGGCTCGCCTTCCTCTTTATCTTGAATCTTGAATGCGATCGTGCCCTCGTGGTCCAAAGGATGTGCTGAAGCATGGCAGTGTGTAGGATCTATCGATTTGAAGCTGTGCGTAGTGCGGGGCAAAATGTTAGCCATCTTTCACCATCTTTGAAAACACAGCCAGAATCTAAAAGGGCATTTATAATGCGTTACGTACTCTTGTCCGAGGAAATCCCTGAAATAGGCAACGGTGTTCCCGCTGTTTCTAATGAGTTGTTGCTTGGCCTGTTGACCGTAATATTCGTCCCCGTGGATATAAGACAAAATGGAAGGAATTTGACGATCTACAATTGGAGTCAATCAATCTGCCCCCTTCATTCCGGTTTGTCTATTCTTGTGGCATGAATACTTACCACCATCCTCATTGGCAATAACTTCAGCTTTATCCTCAACAGTAGTGTAGGCAATTGAGCTGTTGGAGTTTCCGAAAGAGATACCAATGGCATTTCTCTCTCCAGCAGTGCCGTTTGATGCAGGGGCTTCAGCGGCCATGTTTGAAAATATGAAGGAATATGGAAGAAAATCAGAAATATATTAAAGCAAAGAAAGACTTTGACCCAAAATCAAAGTGGTGATATCTTTCTCTGTAAATGTCCAACGCAAAGTAAGATCCAGAACTTTTCTAGTTTTTCAAAATCGCATAACCTTAGAGAATTTCGCTAGCGCCACATCTTAAGCCCCCACATTGACTAACAGACGCAAGGCTGAGAAAACTGCAACATTTATTTCTCGGACTGAAATATACAGTATCCAAATAGTACACACTCGATATACACAAACTCAAGAATATCAAAGACAGCGACGATACTTATAGAAATTTAATGGTTATAGAGTTGTACAGGTCAACATAATCATTTATTCACAACATTATAATGTCAACAGAAACCTTCGTCCTTCCAGGCGATCATATCGCTCCAGAATTGTTACCTTCTCACCCAAGTTTACCTTTGAAGCTCGGCCCAGGATTAAGACATATTCCTCCAAATACAATTACTTCAACTGTGGCAGGGCAGTTACAGACAGACTCGAGGAAGAACGCGATATGGGTTGAATTCAATGCTGGCAGAGTACGAGAGCAGATCACAACTCCTTGTACTTCAAGAACTAATATTTCCCATAGTACATTCCAACAGTAGGAGATCTCGTAATCGCTTCCATTAAAAAGTCAGCAGGAGACGTTTATTACGCAAACCTTAGCGATTTCACATCAGATGCCAGTCTGCCAGTGCTCTCGTTCGAGGGAGCTACGAAGAAAACCCGACCGCAGCTTGAAAAAGGTTCATTGGTCTATGCACGAGTTACCCTTGCCAACAAACATATGGATCCGGAACTAGAATGTGTATCAGCATCAACTGGTAAATCGGAAGGTTTGGGGCCTTTGGAAGGAGGGATGCTTTTTGACGTTTCCCTCGGTATGGCAAGACGAATGATGATGTCTCGCCCAGCCGATCAAGGTGGTTTGACGATACTTGAGGAGTTAGGGGACGCAGGCGTTTCATTTGAGATTGCCGTAGGAAGGAATGGAAAAGTTTGGGTGGATAGTAAGTTGGTAAAGACTACCCTGGCCATAGGAAAGGCCCTGAGAGAAACGGACGAAAAGTGTTTGTCACCAGAAGATCAAAAGAAACTAGCTAAAAAGCTGGGACGCGACGCTTGAAAAACGATACCCTAGGATAGAATAATTACGCCATTCAGGCTTTTCAAAAGCTGAAATAAAAGCATGACGGACGATCTCGTGCCAACATTCCTCTCATTCCAGCCCTTACATGTATGATACACGGAGGCAATCCTCGCACCCGCCACCCAGCTACAATAACCCTTTACAAGCCTCAATCATAATCTATCTAGGTGCTTTCTGTTTCGTAGTATGGCGTTTAGGGTTACAGATCTTGCCACGCTTACATTCTTTGGAAATTTATGCACACTATACCAATAATCAAGCGCAACGCATTCCTCCTACCTCAAACCTTTCACCAACCTTGCTGATTGATCAACACAAAGTGAAAACGACGAAGCTGGGAGGCAAATTGGGCTCTATATATTGAAGATGGACAACATACTAAGCTCCTTTTCCATACAATCATTTTTTCACCATGTTTCGTTTTACTACTACATTTGCGTTGGCCATCCTCTGCCTCACAAAACCATCATGTTCGAGACCTCTATCTAAGCCCGAGAAAGGAAAACCTTGTAAGAAGTCTCTCGGTCTCTTCAGTAAAATATAACACTAACACTGTTTAGTTGAGATTAACCCCCAAATTCTACCAAGGCTAGACATAGTAGGAAATGTCGGTTGCAGTGGCAATGCTGCGGTTGTTGACGTTAATTCCATTCACCTACCCTTGATTCCTTGTCCCAATTTCAACAAATCATTTCAAGAAAGGAGCGTAAAACTGCCGTTGAGCGGCAGAAGTCTGAAGATCAAACGTGTGGTTCCTTCCTTGTTATCAAGGTCCATCAGCGAGCAGAGCTTCATACCTCTACCCGCTTCGGTTGCGGATGCAGTCGCAACAATATCGTCAAATACCACAAGTTCTATGCCAGCTATAGATTCATCCATCCCAAGTTGGTCGGCCGCAACAATGTTCACTTCAACCAGCACATCGTCCGATTTTATAGGTCATGTGACAGCGATAGATTCTTCGATTCCTAAATCGTCGAGTGCCAGCACGTCTACCTTAACAGATACTTCTATAGAAGCAAGGAAGCTCCATACACATCATCGTACATTAGCAACGATGCCTCCACCTACCATTATCATAGAACCTCATCCTCGCTTGACGAATTTGCCTAAACTGACACACACACATCATCGCCTTTCAAAGACTTCTAAAGTAATACGATATGCATCAGTACATACCCATCCGTTACCAGTTCAAACCGGAGCAGAAAGGTGGCAAACAAAAACAACGTTTATGTGGATCTCACCTCCCCAAACAAGATTCTCCATACCACCGCCTGCTCCTATATCGGTACGGAAGACCAGCTTGGAAACAAGGACCTCGGCAAGTGCATCTTGGAAACGTGCTAGTTTGCATCCACCCGCCGAGACTCTGTATCCTCCTGTTATTGAGCGCGGTCTACCAAGCAATGGCCGGTACAATGACGAATAACGACGAGATAGGTTTTCATGAACTGGCTTTTTCCTTTGCAATTTTTACAGGTTTCGCTATTGTGGACTGGCATCTGTCTGGTCTGGTACCTACAGTTATCAAGTCATGATAGTCGGTCGTTAGCATATAGACGCTAGAGATAGCGGCTACGCCCCGTTGCATTATCCACATAGATTAGTGTCACAATGCAAGTTTTTCATATTATGACCTGACAATAAACGATCTTGTAATGGATATTTTGTATTAGTCGTAAGCGCTATCTGCAATTGTACCTCTTCAGGCTAGAATCCCTGTAGCAGCCCTTTATTCATAAAAACACCAATCTTTCATTTTTCTTTTGGATATGTTGCTTCGGAATACTTTGTCACTTTCCTCTACTCCCGAAAACCCACCCAAAAAAAGACATTTTACGACCACATTCAGCCAATATCCCATACCACAATTCTCATACAAAATTTCAACTCGAATAGAAGACGCACAGCAGCGTTCCAAAATAACACCGTACATACTAAGCTAGTCCATCACCATCATTCATCCCAGAGCATCTCCTCGCACGGCCCTGTAGTAATTTTCGATTCGTTTCTCTGTCGCCTGCGTCGCCTGCCCCTAGCTGCATTGCAGCGCACTTCCAGAGTCTCGTTTTATATTCCATTTTCAATTTTGGTTGTCGCCCGCATTCAATCCCTTAAAACCTTGTTCCAAAACTTCCAATCCATTTTGAATCCCATTCTCAACAATCGTCTTAATCTGACTACCGACCACACAAATAAGTTCATCATCATAGAAATCTAACCCATGGCCTAACATAAACCAAAACAAATTAGGGTATCCTTGCTCAATAAGCCAACCTTCGATTTCTTGGCTATTTCTAATTTGCCCTGCAATATCTGTCATGAGGAGATTTGCTGTAAGATTTCCTCCGTCGAAATTGGAAGATTCCTTACGTCGTGGAAAGTCCTCTTCATCGATCATTCTTTCGCTGATAAAATCTTCTCTGTCCGCGTTACGCTCATTCTCGTGTCTAGTATCATCTTCCATGTCCATTTCTTCAGTATCCTCCTCGATACCAGCACGAATATCTCCTACTTCAAGTCTCATCTCCCCCTTGATTGAATTACCGACAGGTTCCACGTCATTATCATTCCCGTGATTCATCCCAAGATACTCCATATAGTCTTCAAGGCGGGACCATCCGTGACCGATGAGCCACTCTTGGATTCCTTCGTTTTCGCAGCGGATTCCGTAGATTGATTCGAGTCTTTCTTGTTCGGGAGCTGAGATATGGAGCTCCACGATGTCTCTCTCTGTGCCATCGGGGCGGTCATCTTCATTGCAGTCTTCCAAGTCATCGTCGTGGTCATCATCGGTCATTAAATCGAGGATTTCGTCTCTTTCTTCTTCTTCGTATTCCCGCTCATTATTATCCTCCATTCCATCGCCACCATCATGAGAGCCCTCCAATACATCCTTAACATCGATCATGGCATCACTAATTATCTCTTGCTTCTCTCCGTCTTTTCCCTCATCTAACCCAACCATTCCAACCATTTCATCACCACCCTCCTCCAACTCCTCAAGTTCCTCCAATTCCCCGTCCTCATCATTTCCCGCATCAATTTCTTCCCTATTTGCAAATGGATCACTACTTCTATAATCACAGAGCACTTCTTCTGCTTTCATGTGGTCCGCTGCACTCATAGCATCATAACCATAAGTCACCATGAAATCCTGAAAGTTTTTCCATCCTCTTTTGTTGAGCCATTCGAGTCTTGAGAGTTCAAATCGGGATGTCTGAAGCATTTTTGCTGCAGAGAAAATTGGTGGTTTTGTGCTGGATATCTTGGGGTGTGTGGATTTGGTTCTTTGTTGTTTGGAATTGGTGTGGAAATTTGCTGGATGGGAGATAGGCGATGGGCTTTTTTTTTTTTGGTATAATTCCAAAAGCCTCGGAGGTGTATTGGAAGAGGATTGACTATTTGGTATAGAGAAGTCTGCATGTATAAGTCACTGTGGAAGGTAAAACGAAGGACTGATTACTTCCATTAAGCAATAGAGTCATAGATCACAAGTGTGCGAGGATCATTATCAGAAAATTTTCTATGGCCTAATAATTTATTAACATGAATCAAAATTACAAACTTAAATTAGTAGTCTCGAAAAATTTTACCATGTCATTGAATCACCGGAATTCACTTCATTTTCCATCATTTGTGCTATCTCATCTCACAGAATTCCATAGGCAAATGAATGCTAATTTATATGCCAGGCCATCTCAGGCTCTAAACTATATATGTGCAGTGTAGGGTTAATAGATAAGTCCTCATTCAAAGTCATTGAAATTTACAGATTTTCCAAGATCTTTAGTTGAATAGCTAGTTGGTAGATCGTATATAACTAGCTTCCAACTCTGAACTTATGTCTTTAAGCGCCTGCTGGGTGATAAATTATAATCAATAGATAGGCTAACGTTGGAAAACCACTATAGGACAGAGTATATCGAGTCTTTTCAACTGCTTTCAGGTCATTGTTAGAATGAGGGAGCGGTGGGTCCAAATGAAGTTTAGGCCGGGCGTGTCGGGTTGGTTATTTCTAATGGCGTATCCACTTTTAGCTTGTCGTTCTTGAATGAATTAGTTGGCGTATTGCGCCATGATATTACCTATATATATGCGCTAATCCAGTTCCGTCTGTTTCTGTCTTCTCGTTGCTGTAAGTTAGGCATTTTAATGATTATCTTTGGTTTTTAAAAGATGTGCTTTGAGAGAGACTTTGATTGCTTATGACTTTGATTGCTTATGACTTTGATTGCTTATGACTTTGATTGCTTATGACTTTGATTGCTTATGACTTTGATTGCTTATGACTTTGATTGCTTATGACTTTGATTGCTTATGACTTTGATTGCTTATGACTTTGTTGGGGGACATTATATTGTATTAACTTGGCTATATGGGTGAAAGATTAGACGATCTTTTTAAGAGCTAGTTTATGCAAACTAACACGGCTGACAAGAGAGCTTCATCGTTATACACTATTCGCTTTATAGACGATCAACCGTACGGAAGCAGCCAACACTCATATTAATTGTCATGAAAAGATTACATTATATAAATTAGAATAATACCTCGAAGCTAATCTATTATCGAAGACTCAAAATGAATCATTTAAAAGAAGGAAATGTTTCGAAAGCAGACCAACAGGGGCTTCTTAATCGCATATTAAGCTCAGTAAACAATGTGAGATGACAAAACTTAGACAGGCTTATCAATCGTTGACAGTCGTTAAAGTCCACCTCCGCGTTTCACCTACACAATATTGTCTGCACTCTGATTTTGGGAGGCATGTTGTAAATGGCCTTAGAGATTACAAAATTTAGCCTCAGAAAAGTATCTCGAGAAGAAGATATGCCATACCTGAGGTTCGCCGCTATCTGCAGTCTGCCGAAGATATTTCTGGTACTCTTGTTCGGTTTCCACGAATACAGTACCAAAGCTCTTGGAAACCAAAGCCGTGGAATCGACAGTTGTGAGATCTTTTGAAACATCTCAATTATTCCTCCTAATGAATGTTCTCATGCCCGACAAAATTGCGTTGGGTGGTTTGGGCAACTTAAATGCACCGCTGCTCACCTCAACACAATTTTCACTTCCGGGACTATTTTTTCGTTGTTTCCAAAAGTGAATCAGGGACGATGAGGGGCCCTTCCGCTTTTTGCCCGACGAGCGGGACCTAGCCGTAACAAAAAGCGTACTGAAGGGAACAACAGATACCATTATACAGGCAACGCACCCCTCGATGTATTGCCAGTATATTGCCCAGGCGTTGTCTATGATATGGTCTATTTTGATGCCACCCACTCGGATCAGAGCTATTATTGCCATGACGAAAGAAAGACACAGGAAAACACCAAGCCAGAGCTTTTGCGTTTTCTTCATGCGTGTTTTCCGTAGGAGAAGTATCGAAATACTTGCAACTGCGGTTTGAATTAGGAAATTGCAAATATAATATGGCCTACACTTACTCATGACGTCACTGGCAATATCCAAAACAGGAACAAGAATAGAAAGGAAAATATTCTTGGAAGAGTTGTATTCCGGTAGGCAATTTACTGCTCATTTCCAGGTCAGTCAATCCATGCGCCGCTTATGAATAACCATATTGTCTGAACTCTTACCCCCATCCAATCCAAAATGCGGACAAAGAATAAAGGGCACGACAATCAAGAACACCCATGTTATTAATGTATAGCTAACAATCAGCCAATAGTAGATATTTATGCGTTCAGAGACGCCTTGAATGAGACCCCGAAACAGAGCCAAGAACGAGACTTTTACCGCAAAGACACTAGTCCAGCTAGTGCACAATAATGCGTGGTAGACGGTTATTGGAGCGAGAAATTGAGGAATATCATCGATTGGGACAACGACCCCGGGCTCTGTGGCAATGGCAAGACTTAACATGATGATGTATAGATTCTTGTACAAAAATGCTGTCGCTGCGGCGAGGCAACATAGGCCGAACCATAAAAAAGCATCGTCAAGCCTCAATGAACCAAATGCTAGCAGTCTCTTCACGGTCCGGGATATCACTGCAATTGCTGTCATTCCAAATAGCACACCTACTGATATCTGTGTTGATATTAACACCATTATGAAAGATTGCTTTGTTTCAGTAGGGTTGGGAGAAGCTTTACCTCAAAATCTCTCTGTGAAATTCGACCTGCATGTGCAATCAATTGATCATTCTCTGGAGAACCTACGCCGACATAAATCTTTGAAAATATCGGTTCCATTCTAAACTAAAAGAATGAATACTTATAAAGGCAACGCAGGAAAGAACAACAAATGTGGATTGTGAGAGAAGTTGCAAGAAATGTGACATTGGTGAGAGTACTCGTATTTAATTTCCTTTAGATATCCGTCTCCAAAGAACGGCCATTCCACCAAATGAATTTAGTGACCGAAGGAAGAAAGGGCGGGGCAAATTCGGCGGGTGGCACGGATAATCACTTGATGTTAGCCAGTATCTAGCATCATGAATTTCTTCAACTTCGCTTGGAGAAACACAACGTGTATAATGAAACACAACTTTTCTGTAATATTACATTACTTTACTCCTGATGTATAACATGCAATCCTACCACGCTGTCAGCTTATACTATCGTTGCTCTGCTCAAACTTTCTCCGCTGGCTTTTGTTGCACTCGAATTAGGTCAGTCAGCAATATTAAATTCTACCAGGTATCAACTCATATATCCACTGATCACTCGGGTCGGTCAACCATCACCCTCACTCCTGCATCTCTCAGTTGCAACGTCCCATATTCTTGGCTTTAAATAAGGCCTCGCCGGAATCAGCAATTTGTGTCACACGCCTCACTCTTCTCAATCTTTCCACTACTGCAAATCCGAATCAATGTGCTCACCTCTAATTAGCCGCAGAGAATTGTCCAAATGCCCGGCGAAGACGTACGACTTTAAAGAGGCACGTGAAAGAGAAGAATCACATTTGTAGAGTGACAAAATCAATCGGTGCTGTGGTGGTCATCGCAAGACCAGATATAATGTGCAGGTTGTTTGTTGTTGAAAGTCGGAGCAAAGCTCGGGTCGTGTCTGCGCTTATCTGGCGTTACATATAAAAGGTTACACAAATAAAACTTAAGATGTAAACATTAGCTTCGCACCGGGTTAGCCTCGCGGCAGAGTGAGAAGAAGCTATTTATAGTCTTCTCCATGTATTTTCCCAGGCCGCACATAAATGATTGTTCTGTGCGAGCGGGAGATATATTTAACCTACAGATTTTTCCACCTCTCTGATGTTGACGGGTGCTTTTTGGCCCCCTATGTCACGCAGCAGATGTTCTACGCCGCAATGTGCTGCCTGCTTATGCCAAAAAAAAATTTATAACGACGTACTGTACTACCCTTTACTAGGTAATTTCCAACTATAAAATCGTTTCCCCCTTCCAAGGAAAATATTACCCCTCACTTCTACCAAATCATAGCCGTTTACTCCACACCACAACTAGATTTCAAAACATTATCACTTCCTGGATGTGGCTTTACATGCCAAGTGAAATGGTCGAAAATTCAATGTAAGCATGGTTCCTGACTGCCCATGGTTTCGTGCTCTCCTCCTTGATACCAAGACCAATGTCTGACGAAGGCAACTTCAACATCCATCATCTGACGGCACTCGAACCTCAAGGAAATCCTGATACTATCTTTGTAAATAGGTAAACGGGGGGGCAGAATACCCAAAATTCCCCACTAACTACTCGGCATCAATCGAAATTCTTTGCATCCTCAGACCTGAAGGCACATCTGCATTAACGAGTCATGGGGTGGTTATGTGACCAGCCTCCCAGAATCATTAACTCCAGCCGTTATATCTTGATTCTTTTTTATGAATTACAAATGTGCTACTAAAGGTAGAAGAGCTCGCAGAAATTGTATAAACTTGAAAAGACAAGACTTGATAAGATAGATGTCTACATCTAGTTGTCGCACCACATACTCTAAGTAAAGTTTGTAGCCTACAGTAAAACATAATACGATACTCTACCATTCCCTTACCATGAAGCCCATTATTGATCGAGTTTCCTTTCATGTACACCCTTCTATTTAATTTGGTCAACCAGCCAAAGATTTTCCCAACGCAAACTACTACCTGGATGTTCGGCCATTCTTTGGGCCTCTTTTGACCTGTAAATCGGCAAATATGGCTGGCGATATAACTCACAAGACCACCCTAGCTATCAAAAACGTGATCATCTAATTCCTTGGTTTTACACAATCCCTGGTGGGCCCAAACTTTTTCGATATGGAAGAATGAGAATAAAAACTTTGGCGGAAAATCTTGCACCCTTGCTTTGATCAAGCACATATATTCACACTTATCCCGACCCATGTTCCGCGGGCCGTTGCTTATAGAAATCCGCTTTTGGAGTATGCAGGACGTGAAGTTATATTTCGTGTAGATAAGGAGACCTTGTGGTTTACCATAGATATGATTGGAGGTCTTGTCCTGCGTGGGATTTCCTCCTTTTTGAAAGCGCGCTGTGCTGATTTAAATGAAATGAAAACAGCCTAAAGTCGAAAATAACGAAACACCCATTAGCTGTTGCACTGCTCAGTCAAATTAGATGGCATTTTGAGGACCAAATATTAAATCCTTCTACTCGATATAATCCAATTCATCTAGCATTGAAATGATGGAACTCCCATTACATGAATTTTTATATCGGAAAAGAACTGGGTAAGAGATATGAAGACTTAAAAATAAGCCTTCTTCAAAACTGTGGGAAACTAGCGTGTGGCTTTACTCTGTTTGAGATAAATTTTAAGTACAAGACTGATGACAAATTCATTGCATAGCTTCTCAGACAGCTGGGACGGACTAGTGTAACCAATGGTCTACCCGTATTCCGTCCGGACGGCTAGTCTATGATTTTCTTGGACTAGATGGACTATTGGGGGGGGGTTTTAATATAAAAAGTCCGGACTAGAGAATCTAATATTAAAAAGTCTAGAATGCAGTCCGGACTATTGAACTGAATAAAATTATATAATAACCTTATTCAATCCAAAAGTCTAGCTCGTCTGGACTGTAGTCTGACTTGTTGAGAATATGAATTATTCTAAATGAATTGTTTAACTTTCTAATAAACTTAAGCTCGACCGTTTAACTTAAAACATCTACTCCGTTCTGCAATCCGGACTATTGGATACACTGGGACGGACTGGCCACGATACAATCAGCAGCACTGTTTGCCATATCTTCTAATTATCTTCTAGAAAAGGACCATGATATTCTTGCAAAACTTCGCACAGAACATGACTTATTTTTAGGGAGCGACGGACAATCTGTTGTGATTACTATGATTAATAGCCCACAAATTTTAGACAAGCTCACATACACCACTGCCGTCATAAAAGAAACACTATCATATTTCCATCCGCTTCATCGATGCGCCAAGGTATGAAAGGGGTAGAGGTAACAGATGACAAAGGCCATAAATACCCAACTGCGAACAATACCACCATCTGGATACTCCACCAAGCCATTCATAGTTAGCCATAGTATTAGCCCCGAAAAAACTCTTTCATACAAGATCGCTGGATGGGTAGAGCTAGGGCATCTATTATAGGGCATGGAGACCTTATCGAATTCTGTCCCAGAAACTGCATCAGGTAGGGACTAGTGATCAATGAGTTGAAAGTAATCTAGGATTGGTCATTAGAGAACTTGATGTGAAGATGCTTATGAGGAGGCTGATATCATTTAGAGGGGGAAAGGGATAAAGATGGACGAGGGCGAGAGAGCATACCGGGCTGAGAGAGACGGGGCGCAGACAGCTGATTATTTTCCTCGCCTAGTTTCACGAAATCTTTGACGGTCTTGGTGGAGCTTTAACAAATCCATAAACAGAAAAGATGAATTAGTTTCGTCATTTAGATGTTTCCTGGGTGTAGAGGTGTAATTTCACTGTCATTGCCATCTCTTTATGCTTCCTTCACTCCAATTTTCAATTTTCTTCCCAACGGCCAAATATGAATCACTGCTAGAAGCGAAGAAACATTATCAACTTCAACTTTCGCATTTTTCTATTTGTCTTTGCACGCAATCTTAAATAATCATATTTTTACGCTGAATTGTTCATAATTTTGCTATGCTGACCAAGAATTCTTAGAGTTCCGTACATCATGAAATGTTGTTCCATAGTAAAAATACTGCTCCTACCCCGAATACCCTTGAAAAGGAAATGCAATGCTTCCGTCCTCCAAAGCCTTCTGTTCCTCTGCTCTTACAACATGTATCGCTTTTCCTATGATCAGTCTCGCATTTTAGAGGTAATATGTCCACGAGGGAGTGGATCCTCTGCATCTCTATCCCCCTCTTCGCTTCCAGATGATTCTGACGAGGCGGCTGTTACAAGGGCAACTTGCGACCGAGCTTGTTGCTTATCTTGCGACTTTTTTTGTTCCTCTCTCTCTTGTTGTCGGCCATGTTGAAGTGTTTTGGGAACACTTACAAGTCCATTATCATCTTGAAGTGTGTCTCAAGTGGCTTGAATTCTCGTCTGAATTTGTTCTTTCCGTGTTTTCTATAGATCACTTTCGTTTCCCTCCTTCTTAGTAATACAAAAGAGTATTTCCCATTATTGTTGGACATCAGACGATACAGCCTCCGTAATCCTTCAAGCGGCCGGACCGAATGGATTTCCCCAGCAATCACGTCTTTTACAGTAAACATCCCAGCTTCAGTCCCCTGTTTGATCTGCTCATTCTCACCATCTTCCTCATACTCAATGAAAATATAGTTCCCCGAGTTTGTCACCATTTTAACATACAGCTTCTTTTGTTCTTGCTCATCCGGCTCGACCAAAAAGCAAGGTGTTTGGTAATCACTTCGAACGAATACACTCAGTCCACTTTTTCTTTCAGAATTGGCGTTTTCCTCTCCATTTTGAGCATATTTTTCGGGACCCGGTCGCCTTTCCGTGGTTGAATCAATTGGCTGCTGAAGGTGGCCCTCATCCATCGGAGTTGCTCTCAGAACCTCTTCCTCTTTCTTGTCTTGTACGATGGATGGCTGACGAACAATTTGAATCTCAGCTAGCTCTTCAGATAGCCTGGGTAACAACTTTCTGTAGCAATCTCCATTGTTTCGGATCGTATGGGCCGCTCTTTTAACGTGTTTAAAACTGTGGGGATCCAAGCCATTCTCTACCAACAATGCTTTGAATTCATTCCAACCATAATCTTCCAACCAGATCTGTTCTTCCAATGTTAAAGGCGGCTGGTTAGGCCTTTTCAATGATGTAGAAGGCAAGGCCTCAGTGCCGGATTCCAAATGTTTGCTTGGGAGCATGTTGTGATGATACTTTCAGGATATGAAGATGCTTTTGTCTTGATTGTTACGAAAATTCCAATAAAATATCCTGATAAGACTGTAGTGATAATATAAGTTTGAGAAGAAGGAAAAGTTCTTTTTTGTCACAAGACTGTAGTGATGGTATTAACGCAAGCAGAGATGGTAAAAACAAATGGTTTCATTGTTGAGCATGTCACCTAGGTAGGGCAGTCACGATCAGGTGTGCCAAAGAGGAAGGAGTTGGACATTCAGATCACTTGGTTTGCTATGATGACCATTAGGCTTATGAATCAATCCATTCTACTTATCCCAACACCAGTTCGTAGCTCATGTTATGTCCTCGTAATTGTATACCGAAATATGATCTCCCAGATGAGCATGCCCAACCCGTCCTGCACCGTCACCACGATTCAACAATGATACACTCTTCAATTTTTCGCTGATCCGTCATTACCATGAGATTGATATGACTATAGCACGAGTTAGTCACAACAGGTACTTTTTAATGTTGGGAGGAGTTCTGAACATTGCCGGATTGCCCTCTGCTAGCTGCTGCTTTCTCTCTATCATCGGCTCCTCTAACAGCTGTCAAGATAGCCTTGCCCTCTTCATAGGCGCCGGTCTCACCGGGTTTAAGCCCATAAGAGTGCATAAAGTGATGGTTTGACTCCCAACCATTGTTCTTGAGCCAAGCATAATCGGACTGTCTGGGCTTATCGTTTGAAGAACTCATCTTTGCGCAATTGATTCTGTTCTGGAGAAATGCTAGGAGATAACACAAGAGAAGTCAAGATGATTTATGTGGGGGTTGTTTGGTTTGAAGATGGAAAGCTGGGCTGTATAAATAGACAGGGAGATGCATGGTGAGGCGGAATAGCTATTTTCAAAATTCATTGATCATTAACTAAAACGCTCATCAAATTCTTTATCAGTATTAAATGTGTTCCGGTATTCATCAACTAAGGTTACTCGAAAGTGCAGCAAATCCTTCGTAGAAGGGCTTGAATTTGTAGAGGAAAACTCTAATCTGGTGTTACGACCATGGATCTCATACTAATCGATCGTGTGCTTACAAGATACGATTTGAGCGATTTAATATAGGATTGAAATAGTATAGAGAACAAATATACATAAACCTTATTAAGCTTGGATCTCTAATAATTACAGGATTATATATTGAAGGTTCGAAAGCTCCATAGCTCCTAGGTACGAAGATCTATATAGCTAAGAAGGATTCCTTATTGTAAAGCTTTGTATTCAAGATCAATCATTTAGTATACTCTATGTTACGAGGGATGCGATCTATAACTAGGCGTCAAGCAGGGGCTTAAGGTAATATCAATGGTTGCAATTCGTAATTAATAGTAGAGTGTTACGAAGGTAACAGTCAACCTGTCCACATGAGCTTAGGTTCCATCGAAAAGCAAGGCGATTTGTATACAAATTGCCTCACGCGGTCTCCCCATCCTCAGCAAGCTGGGACATATAATCTGATCCTAGTCACGTGATGGATCATAAGGATCTAGGGGATCTAGAGAATCGTATTCTAGATCCATTAGATCCAAGGGATCCAATTTATACGAAGGTCTATATAGCTAGGAAAGGATTCCTTTTGTAGAGCTTCGTGCTCAAGATCAATCATTTAGTATACCTTACTATTAGTTACGAATTGCAACCATTGGTATTACCTTAAGCCCCTGCTTGACGCCTAGTTATAAACCATTCGAGGATCCAGGCCACTTCCACGTTATCTAGATCGCATCCCTCGTAACATCTAGCCAATTAAATTCACTTATTTCCTTCGTTTCACTTTATTTTTAAGGATTCTCGAAGTATTCCGGGAAATATAAATAAAATATTTGTTTATATCTAGATTTGTATAATTTAATTTATAATCTTATTATATTAATATAAGATCTAAATTTATTTAATCAAAAATAATCTTATTTGAAAAAAAATTTTATATATCTTTATAAATATTCTGATTTATTAATAAATAAATTAAAATATTTATAAATCTCTTTTTTTTTTTAATCTTGTTATTGGTCTTTATTTTTTTTTCAATTGTTAGAGTCACACACAGCAAAGAATCAACTAGTCTTAAAACAGTTCCAAAGCTTTTCATTGTCCTTTCTAAATTAGATAAACCAATCTTTTTATAGACAAAAAGCAAAGGTAATTTCGGATCGAATATGATTCGATGTATAAACGCTAATAAGAGGCTTACGCAATGTTCCTCTAGACTAATGGCTCGGCGTTTCGTCAGTAGTGCGTCGAGATCACGTAAATAGGGTTGTGGCCTGTAATACACATATATTTTCAATCTTATCATCGATCGCTCCCTCCGCCACTCTTATATTCATCACTCTACTCCACAATGGCAACACCTAGAAATGAGGGACTTAAGAGATTTGGAATTAGCAATTTGTCGTGAAAGATCTTTTAAAATCCCCGCACTTTCAAATATTCATTCTCGCAGGAGTAAACGTCACTTCTTTTAGCTAGGCATCTGAAATGAGCATGGCTTTAACGGGTGGGCACAGAAAAAATATGAGAGGATACTTGGACGAATGGCCTGGTGGGTAAAGTCCGCGTTTTTCTGTGAGTGAATATTGAAAATGTTTGACTGCCTTGTACAAATTCATTGTGTTTTTCATTCAGTGCTCACCTAATTTGTTCCTCAAAGACATCATCTCTCAATTCAGCAATTCTATTGGATAGATCAACTTCAGAAACCTCTTAGTATTCGATATCAAAATAGTGCTTTTTGCTTCCATGACATGTAGTTCTCATTACAGCGTTCCCTAGTCTGGCATTAGAAAGATATCCTCTACCCTTGCGAAATCTTGAGAATTGCGAGAAAAGTAGAATAGTCGCAGACGCCACAGTCCCTAAGACTCTTAGAACCGAAAGATTCCTCATCTTGCAGTAACCGGCTTCCAAGCCGTCCATACCCACTCCTGGCGATATCGTTGGTGTCCCGTGGCCACCTACTGTAATACTCTCGGTTCCTCGAGCTTCTAAATTCATTTCATGTTATTCTTCTCATCTCTGCCAGGACTAGCCGACCCTCTCTTTTATCTAATGTTCAAAATAATTATAGCAGCTTCGCAACTTGGATCTTATAGCTCTTTGAGAATGCTTCTACATATTAAGATCTCAAAATAATGCTTGTTCGTAAAATCTTTTATTTGAAAATTATTCAAACCGGAAGATTTTTTCCAATGTCAAAAGATCACATATAAAAATCACTGTCTCCATCATGTGAGGGAAAGACAACGACTCTACGTTATTGTTGAATTCCACTATTCAGCAATCTAATGATCCGGGTAATCAATGCAAAAATTGTAATATAAATATCAAGGACAGGCGAACTGGCAATAGGGTCAAGCTTAATCACGAATGTTATCCTGGTAAAACCCCTTGTTGAGAAGCGAATCGTCAATATTGTGTTCTCGTCATTAATTATCTACTACATGTTGACCCTACTGAAACTTTCAATACAACTATGTTCTTTGAGCCTTTAAGCCGACGACTCCCTCAGTCGTAATCACCACCATAATCATATCCATTATAACCATATCCATTACCGCCATATCGATTATCACCACATCCATTATCACCAATATCATGATCATGTCTTGTGTATCCTCCCTCATCGAGGTCATTATTAATGTAGCCACCTTCACCTCCAAAATCAACGGTAATGGAACCTTCCTCGACACCTTCAAAGCACTCATCACTACCGCCAACTCCGCCACTCTCCAATTCTTCTAGTATATAATCTATGCCATCGATGGATTCCTTTTCTTGCGGACCATTAAAACTTGTAGTTTCCAGTAAGCTTCTTTCACCCTCGTAGGCTGACCCTGCGTACATGTTTTCTACCCAAGTTTCGTTGCCCACCTCATCTTCGATGGTTTCTCAACGAGTAACCTCGCTGTCAGATTCTTCAGCGAGTGTTGAAAAGTGGTCATACTTCTCGTCAAACTCTCTCATCTTCTCCATAACTTCGTGTGCTGTCTGTACATCATCATTCCAAAGCCTAAGACCATAAGACTTCATGAAGTCCTTCATCCCATCGAAGCCTTGTTCGTGCATCATGGCATAATCCGAGATCTCTCCATCACCAACGGAGCCGTCTTTTTTAGATGCTTCAATATTGTTTTCTCGTATTTTATCAATGATCTGGTGTGCCGTATCAACGTCTTTAGCACTCCAATATTTGCGCCCATAGTTCTGCGTGGATCCTTTCAAACTGCGAAAGCCGTGCTCATGTAGGATGGCATAGTCTGAGCAGGTCTTCTGTGGCTGTAGGAGACTCGCGAAGGTAAATCTTTAGATGCCATTTGCGATTTATTATGTCGTTGCAGTAGATGCAAGTTGCGGGTTCGTTATGAGATAGTTGAAGTAAACTTGCTCGGTAGTTCGCTTCTCTGGGAAGGAACGTTGTTTGTCTTAATTTCTGGCAAGCTAATGCCAGATTGAGTATACACATGTGCATACATATTCTTCAGCTCTTATTTCTTTTAATTCAAAATATTTTCCGCAATCCGGCTCGTTGGCTTTATTTCAATTTTTTCGCAGGGAAATGATCCCCGTGGGCGTATTTTCCTTTCTAGTTATTTATGCACACAACCACGTTACGTTCCAACGACTTAAGGAGCGATTATACTATACCCAAAGTATGAATATATCTGTCGTTTCACTGGGGTTACTTGATCTTATTGATATATAATACGATGAGTCAAATATCATTGTTGTATTTGTCCCTACAGTATTAGATGGAGAAAGACTCTTATCGCACTCACCAGAATTATTTCTCGGTTTTCCATTACTTTTAATTATAACCCCCAAATTTCTACCTCCTTGCACCTCGCTAGATCTTCTACCATTAGTTTAGATGTAAAATGAGCTAATAGCATCAGTTTCATCAGTAAGACTCAGAGCTTCTAACCCCGCAGGGAAGTTATATCTAGATTTTAAAATCACCACGCTTCCAACTCCAACCCCAGTTTTCTTTCCGCCTTCGCCCTTTTTCATATCTCTTTCATCCAAACCCGCATCTTTGTTCGTATCCACAACTATCACAGTGTATCCGTCTCTTAAATTGTTAACAAGCTCACCTTGATTACTTTTGTGCCAACGATAAGCTGTATCATTGAAACAAAAAGTCGCGGCATCTCTTCTCCTAACATGCAAGGGAGGTGAGATGGGACAATGGGAGGCAGCGCACGTAGATAAGTTGCGGTTAAATCAAAAGGCTGTTGATTATGCCTTTTCCGAGACTCGTTCTCTTCGTCACCCGGAGGAGAACTGTCAAATTATTTGGATTTCTCATCAATAATTATGCCATTCCGTTCATTTATTTGCATATCGTCGATAAACTTCTCTACTAGCCCATAATCTCTTTCGTACCCTAGGTTCAACCCGTACGATTGCATGAGATCTTTCATTTCTTTAAGAACGATTGCATAGTTGAACTTCCACGTGCTAGGTGCTGAAGGAGTTGTCTCTGTAGCCACGGGCTCTTCATCATCAAAAGCTGGCAATAAACTACCACTGAATGCCGGGTTGATGCCTTTATAGAAAGCCCTTTTTATTTCTGTGTTATCGATCCAGAAAAACTGCGTTTTAGTTGTGTTGGTAGGGAAGAGTCAAATGTTGTTTTTTTCTGGAGAGCAAGAAAGGTCTTGACAAGATATCGGAACTTATGCCGCAAGAATTAAGTCATCTGGTTTCTATTTTCTACACAAAGGAAACTTTTCTTTCATCGTATTTTCGTCTGTTCTTGGGTTACAGAAAGGCACGTTTTGTGTTCAAGAAAGGTTGTGGGTTCAGGTAGAATTGGAAACAAATATTTGGTGTCCTCTAGGCACAATAGCGTATCACTATAAACATTTATTTTAACTATTATTCAATATTTTTGATTATTATTTTGTCACCATGATATTAGTAGTTTATACCATTAATATATCACTTGCTTTCTCCTCGCCTTTACCAAGTAATAAGTTTTTAAAAAAAAAATCCCGAATCCACAGAAATATCTCATCCAATGTTCAGTCTCGGAGCTTATTTCCGTAGATGCTTCCCAACATTCTTCAACATCCCAATCAGACTTACGAAATCAATGGTCCCTTGTTTTAGATGCCCAATAACAAGATGCAATATCATGGATCTGTATTGATGAAAGCAAGATAATGTTTGTTTGTAGTAATATTAAAAGTAAACCGCTTTGTGTGTTTTACACTGACTTTCAACGCTGCTCCCAATATCTGCACCGAACCACGCACATTAAGTTCTCTCCTCTTCAGCAGCCTACCGATCTCCGTTGAATTATCTCATGTCGTCGACCAGTAAGCCCTTATCATTGTCCCCAATGTTACCAGTTCCAATATAACCTTCGAATCTTTCAGTCGGCTTGCTCCAAATGTAACCCTTTTCATAAATGCCCTCAAAGTTTCCATACTTGTCAAAAAGAGCATGAATCGGCTTTCCATTAGCATCATATCCTATCCTAAATACCCGCTTGCCGTCTTCACTACGGACTATAAGCTCTGGAAATGTTTCGAAAAATGGCCTGCCATCTGCTTCGAAACCTGCTACACAGACAGTTCTACCCATGGTATCGTATCCAGCAGTATCGCCAACTTTAGTTAATATGCTGCTGTCATGGAAGCAGATACCAACTATGTTTTTAGAACTTACTGCCACGTTTGGTCTTGCGGTCATCAACACTTTTCGGTTCATTAATATTGCATGTCTGGCATGATCCTTAAATTCCGAAGACATGTAATCCGTTTGCAAGAGAGTCGGAATTCTGACCAAGGAATCCAAGTCATTACTATTTTCCGATAACAGTTTGGGGTTCTTCGGAAGTGGAGTCGATAAATCCAAGAGGCTACTACTTCCCAACTTTTCATACTGTGCCGAACTTTGATCGGGCAATTTATCCGGGGGATACAATGGTCGGAGTTGTCTCTCACAAAGTCCAATAAATTTCGAAAGTTCTTCTTCGGAAATCCTCATGGGTGCAAGTTTGAACATTTTCTTCGAATCAATCTTCTGCAAAATAGCATGACACCAGTCTTTTTGTGAGATATCAGCATCCTTAGCAAGTTCAAGAAACTTTGCTCTGAATTTGTAGTCCGGAAGTCCTGAGTTCTTCATTAGAAGCCAAGTTAGTTTCTCGAAGAAGACTCGTGGCGGCGGCGCTGCATTGACCGCGGGATTTTCGTTCAATGAGGGTGCCATATTGAGGTTCGTCTAATGATAGTCCAATAATTTCTGTTTAATATTGTTTAATGAGGTTAAATATTTCTGTCTGATTTTAGAAGATGTAGGATTCTGAAGTGTGAGGTGAAAACATTGGTATTTGACGTTGCACCGCAAAAGGGGAAGGCACGATTTAACCGAGAATATGACAAAGGCTGTTTATTAACCGGACACTTTTTTTTCCCCCAAAATGTGAAATAATAAACCTCCTTTTTTCAAGACTTTGATCATTTCGCTAGTTTAATTTAAGGGATTAAATTTTTTGATAGATGTCAACCCTTCTTCACATGTCAAGATCTTTAAAATAGATGTTAGACACATAGGAGGTTTTTCGATGAGGATCATAAACATGTGATACAAAATTCAACAGCACAGAATAAGGAAGGTAACTCTTTCCGTAATGGTCTTCAACAAAAACTCTTAGGCTAGGGAACTTAATGTATTTGCATCCAATAAAATGCAACACGATAGGCAAGAGGCGGTTGTCGGCAGATAATTATCGCGTTTTGATCCATGATTCTTGATTCCCACTTTAATATTATTTAAGATTTTTATTGATTTTGTACATGTTGACTTTTATCTTCTATTTTGTTCTCGTACGTCGACTGTTCAATAGACCAGATTCAAATCACGGCCGACTGATAAACGAGTCCTATTCATGTTCAGACTATCAACAGTCTATCCCTCTTCCATTCAGCATCCTTCGCCACGAAACAATGCCAGTGTAGCAATGAATTCCTATTAAAGTTTATTTCATATTTGGATAGACATACCTTTTCATGAACCATCGGTTTTGCCATTTACGCGTGGAGACTTCTTCTCGGTACCAACACATCTTATCAATTGCTATAACGTTGTCGGGATACTCGACATTTATTGAATACTTGCTTGAACACGGTAAAATCGCAGTCTTTCCATTCTATCAAAGTATGCACACGATGAGCATGTACAAATTCACCTCTATATCTATCAAAGAAAGAGATCTCTCTTCTCTCTTTTTATAAAGTAATCCACACCTAAACTAAACCTACAATTCCCCACATCTTCGGCTCTCGATTATCGATTATCAAGCTATTACAATATAATTAATCGATGACTTAATGATCTCTCTCGATCCATAAGCTTAAGCTTCCTATTCATATTCATATTCATATCTGAAAAATCCTCAGCTAACCTTCACAAACGACATCCTTCAGTATTTACACAACTAGCTTTTGTTCAGAATAAACACCACTCCAAAAAGTATGAGAGAATCTGCATAATGTTTTGTGGAAGTAGTGCGTTGAGGTTTAACAAAATAAAGATTTGAAGGAGATAAGTTTTTTTTAGATGTGCAACGGAAAGTTGAATTGAGCTTATCGATATAGATTTTTTTTTGATCGGGGTATTCTTGCTTGTGTATTTTATGGATATTCAGTAAACAGACGATGATGATGATGAATAGGATAATAAAGGATGGAGTGATAATTTGGTAGATAGGTAGAAGAAGTATTCTAAATAGAGAGAATTCGAAGGAATGATAAAGACTTGGGGGGGAGAAGTTTTTATTGATTGTGTGGTATTTTGTATTGTGTATGATATATATTATTGGGGGAGAGTTAAAAAGAGAAAGAGAAGGGCAATGATCTTGATTTCGCCTCCCAATGTTCCCTTCTTTTTCCTTTTCCTTTCCTTTGCTATTCTGTTTTTAATAGTTGAAAAATGAAGGTTTCCTATCCTGCTCCTAATAGTGAGTTCCAATGAGCTTATCCTTTCTTATAAGGTAGGATAGGAGAGGAGGGGAAATCAAGACCATTGGAGAAAGGGAAAGGGAAAAAAAAATGAAAATTTAAATTCAAAGATCGGATGGGTGTGTGAATTATGAATAAAGTGTAGTTTTGGTCGACGGTAGGATTACGTGTATTAGATAGCTTTTAAATCCCGTATCAATTTTGACATTCTTGTAATCAGAAGCTCTGCGCATCGTAAATACTGATGAAATATATTATTAAATATGCCACAGCTATACTTGTTGATACAAGTATAAAGAACTATTACAACTCAAATCTTCAACAAAACTCATCAGTAGACATTCATATAACCCCCAAGCCCCCCACTTCACCTAACACCCTCCTTCACCTAACACCCTCCTTCACCCTAGTACCTTCCTTCATTTCCGAGCCATCCCTCCTTCTCCTCATGCGCTCTGGAAATATTGAATCCCCGCGGTCAATGACAACGTAATAACCTCCGTAACCTTCTTTCCATCTGCAACCTGATCTTCCGGAAGTCTTTGAAGCACATAAATCGTAAACTTTTCATGGGCCGTCAATAGCAAGTCAAGTGACGTAACAACAGCGTTATCTAATCCTTCCGCCTTGAAAAATGCTTTTTTGCTCTTGAGGGTATCCACAGCAATTACGTTATCGATTGCGAGTGTTGCATTAATATGTTCGATGAGCGATACCGCATCGGATTCGGAAAGAGAAGGAGGTAAAAGGGCACAATCTGCGACACTTTGGGCAAAGGAGTAGTGGACAGTGATTAGAGAGGCGAGAATAGAGGCGGAAGCGGCACCACCGGTATAAAGGGAAGTTTCAGCGTTAAGGGTTTGGAAATTCTTGTCGACGATTGTGATGTCGATTTCCACTTGGGAGACGGTTGTGAAGGCTAATGCGGTAGATGCGCATAGCATGAGGCTCTTGATGAATAGCATTTTGAGTGATAGGGTAAGATATAAGATTTGATAGATTGATATGTGTGTATTCTTGAGGGTGATGGTTTGGATAATCGAGAAAACTGAGGAGAACTGTGAATCTGAGGAATGAAGAAATGTATGAGAAGGTGAGCTTTTATAATAACCATTCATGAAGAAATAGCCAGCTGAGAACAATACAATGATCGTCAATTTATTTCAACTTTGGATTGACATCTTTCAATATTCAATAATTTTTGCCCTAGTCCCATGCATCTGGCCACTTGAAGATATAAACACAGTGTATAAGAGATTCGGATTATTGAGTTTTTCAATAGACTCTAAACCATCCGAAGAAAGCTGGACTGGCGGGAAGGTACAGATGATATGTAATGGGTTAGCATGAAATATAGTGTTGTGATGTGCAGCGCTATTTCGCGGCAATGATCTGCAAGATTGTTATGGAGTCATCTCAGCCGCTTGGATGTTCGGCACACGTGTCTGGCACGTGTACTTTGTAAAGGCAATAGGAATAATCTTCCTGCAAGTTCGAATGCGAAGAAGTAAATTATACCTCCTATGCTACCTTTGTAAAAGTAATCGAAACACGGGTGCGAGTTTCTTTCATCCCAAAATCAACTGTTCATTGTTTCTAGATGTCGAGACGCGGCAACTAATCGAGGAATCCAGGAACACTAACTACCGCGCAGGGGATATTCGATCTAGGCCTAAGTACCGCGACTTCGGGGACTGAGATATCCGTAGGCTAGAGGAGGAATGTTACTTTCTGCATGTTTGGATCTGCAATTTGCAGGGAGCGATGTGCTGAGTGCTCTGTAAGAAGCATAGTGAGTCCGTATTGAGTCAAAGACTATGATTATCTATGGGCGGTAAACAGAAGTCTCTACCTACGAATGAATGAATGAGCTTTGAATGAGGAAGGAGTGTTAGTTACTCCATTGCCAGAAAGAGAGCAATTCTTTTAGTATAAAAGGAGATGTTTTCGCGAGGTTGGGGAGTTCTGGTGGCTCAACCTTTCGAACATCAAGATCTTGTAAGAAGTATGAAATGACACAGCCCTTGTTCCCTCCTGGTGTCACAGCCGATGGAATTCTCAAAGGTTCGCCCATCAACTGGGGAAGGAAGGGAAGAAGAAAGGAAGAAAGGAAGAAAGGAAGAAGGGAAGAAAGGAAGGCGGAGGTTGTTTAAACGTACACATTTTTTAGATGTGCAACAAAATTAAGTTCTGCCCAGTTTTCACCGCTCACGTGATAGTCAACATTTGACAGAACACACGTGGTTTCGTTTTCCATATGCTTGGTATCAATCAGTTTGATCTTCCCATCTGACAACTCGGAAAAATGTTGTATATCATCAATACTTATCAGACAGTTTCTTGCTTCCTCGAAGGATTTCTTGATAAACTTTGAGGATTAATTAGTTGGGCCGTTCACTCATGATACCGCTTAATGGCGCCGGCTCAGATTGTGCAATTGCTGGATGACATCCCGCATCTTCAGACAAAGACATATCATTTCCAAAGGATCGATGCTACCGTTACCACGGATATCGAGAAGATATCGGCTAAGCCTCCCATCTAAAAGAACTGTGAGAACGGTAATATTCCGTCTGGTGGACGACTGATGATACGAATGGAATCCCCACGGGAAATCCTTCACTTGAACTCACCGACACGACATGCATGTCACATACATATTACACGATATCATCCCACTATCACATCTTACTTTCCTTAACCACCGGATCTCTTTCCGATGTTTGTCCCGCTCAAGCCTTTCTTGCCACATGGTAACACCACTTTCATGGGACATCTAGACTCTAAAAAGTTGCACCGTCCTGACTACTCCGTGAATTGCTAAGGTACAGACAAGTGGCTGGGATTTGTTCAAGGGACCAAGTATCCCAAGCATCGCAGAAATTCGGGGATTCCCCACTTTCTGACCAATCATTTTATCAACTTTTATCAATTGAGGATACCAAATGTTATCAAATAACGGCTTGTAAGTTGTATCACGGATTATTATGGATCAGCATGGATGACAACAAACAACCCTTGCCCCACCTTCCTATTCGGTAGAATTCCCGTCAGCTCGGATAAAGCCTCATCATTTTCCCATCCCATCACAACATTCAACAGCCCCAGCCAATCTGTAGAACCTGGGTCAACCATATGGAAGTCGGAAGAAAGCATTGATCTAATTCAAACATAATACTCCATACCATGATCCGATTTACTTTCATTTCAACATTTCCAAGACTTTCATTACTTAATGGATTAGTTTCCATCTTATCGTGAGGTCGTATAACATCTAATCACCTTCCTATTGAGGATACACTAATGCTAAAGTACATGACATCCTACCGCAGCTAAGGTTTAACTTGCGGGGTCGGGCCTTGAGGTACCTGAAAATGAAAAGCTTGACTTTTACTACATAACCCTCGACTTCTCATATTTTGATATCCTTCATCCCATTATACTACTCATTCATCAATTCACACCATTCTTTGAGTTTGTGATCATGGTCGGGTTTTCAATTCTCATTTCTACAGCTTTAGCTGCTCAAACAGCTCTCGCGGGTTCAGTCATTCGCTCGAGAACTAACTATGCAGTTAAGGAAAGACATTACGTTCCTAAACAGTGGAAGAGAGTAGCTCGTGCTCCTGCTGAAGGTATCATTAATTTGAATATCGCATTAAAGCAGAGTCAATTCGATGAACTTGAACGACAATTGTATCAGGGTGAGCAAACTTCAAAGATACTGCATTACAATCAACATGACTAATATATTATCCTTTACAGTTTCCGACCCTTCTCATCAAAAATACGGTAATCATTTGACCTCCGATGAAGTCAATGAATTGATCCGACCATCATCTCAGACTCTCGACTCTACTCACGAATGGCTTCTTGACAATGGAATTGATGCTTCAAGCCTAAGCTACAGCAGCGCAAAGGATTGGATTCATCTCTCCATACCAGTTAAGGTTGCTGAGCGTTTGCTCAACACCGAATATCACGTTTATGAACATGAAGCAGGTGGTCAAATTATTCGTACACCCAATTGGTCACTTCCTATGCATCTTCATAAGCACATTGATGCTATCCAGCCAACAACTTCATTCATGCGTGCTGCACCAAAATCTAGCTATAACCCAAGAAAAACCAAGGTCATGCCAAGACACAACAACATTATCGAAGGTCAACTTAGTGCGGATCATACACCAGCTGGCTACACACCACCATCAAATACCACACTCTCCAAATTATGTGACGTTGCTGCAGTTTCACCTCAATGCTTCCAGGCTCTTTACGGTACTGGAGATTACAAAGTAAAATCTGCCGGCAAGAACAAGATTGGATTCAACAATTTCCTTGGAGAAGTCCCAATTCGACCAGATGATGCTCTGTTCTTACTCAAATACCGTCCAGAAGCCGTAGCCTCTGCCTACGAATTCAAATACGTTTCAATTAATGGCGGCCCAGTTCAAAACACTACTCTTACAGCTGATCAGTTGGAAAATGGTCTAGGCAAGGAAGCCAATCTTGATCTTACAGCTATTTCTGGTATTAGTTACCCAACACCAATTACCGCCTACTCAACAGCTGGAGAACCACCATTCAATGCCTCAGCTGCTGAGGATTCTAACACCAATGAGCCATACGCCGATTGGTTAAATTATATCCTAGCACAACCAGATTTAGACATTCCTCAAGTCATCAGTACATCCTATGGCGATGATGAACAAACCGTTCCCGAATTTTACGCCAAGCGTGTTTGCGAACAACTTGCTCAACTCGGTGCACGTGGTGTCTCCATCTTATTCTCCAGTGGAGACTCTGGAGTAGGAAGTAATGGTACCTGCTTCAGCAACGATGGAAAGAACACCACAAAGTTTATTCCGGAATTCCCAACAAGTTGCCCTTACGTTACTTCCGTTGGAGCAACCAAATTCTTTGAGCCAGAAGTTGCGGCTTATCGTGCTACCGGTGTCGATCCCATCAATGGTGTTTATCATGGTGGTTGGTCTACTGGTGGTGGGTTCAGTAATTACTTTGCTAGGCCCAGTTATCAAGATAAGACTGTTTCTGCTTACGTGAAGAACCTCAATGGATCTTTCGACGGTCTCTATAATAAATGTACGTTCAGTTCCTCTTTCCCACTGTCAAACTCCATTCCTTCAGCATTTACTAACCTTCTTCAGCTGGCCGCGCCTACCCTGATATCTCAGCCCAAGGTTTCTACTTCGCTTACGTCTGGAATCAAACCTACGGTTCCATTTCCGGAACATCAGCCTCCACACCCCTCATGTCCGGTATCATCTCTCTCGTCAACGACGCTTTGATTACCAAGGGTAAACCAGTTCTCGGATTCTTGAACCCATGGTTATATTCAAAAGGATACCAGGGATTCACTGATATCCTTGGCGGAAGTGCAGTAGGATGTGATGGTCCTGGATTCCCAGTTACAAAGGGTTGGGATCCAGCCACTGGTTTCGGTACTCCTAATTTCCCTGAGCTTTTGAAGTTAGCTGGAGCCAAGTAATGGTTTTTGCGGAAGGACTAGGAATCGATGAAGAATAAATGGATGATGGATGAATAGATAATTCTAATGATATAATGATCACTCATACATGTATACATATGATGCTCCGGAAATTGATTCGGTGATATTTCTTTCTATCTATTCTTCGTTCTATAGTACAATTCAATCCTGGAGAATGTATCAAGCGATATATACAATTAATCCTCAAGTAAAAATATGGAAATAGGTATCTGAAATTAAGACCCCGATTTCTTCAACTAGTAATCCTTGTCGATTATTAATGAAAAGAATACTAATAAAATGAAACAAAATTTATTTGAATTGAGATTATGTTCCTAGAAACTTTAGGAGGTTATCATATTTTAGGAGCTGTGTTGTAAGAGTTTTGATATCCTTCAATTTTTATATATTAGTATTGATGTTTGTTTTTGTGTTAATACGTACAGTACGATAAAGCTTTCCCATCGAATGCCAAACATCTAAACCATCACCACTGCACTTATCTACACTTAAAAGAACTCGCCACCATCGGATCACCCCCAACATACTTCGAAACCAAAGGATACAAACACAAATTCCTCTCAATCACCGTCCCATTCACACCAGGTAAACTCTTCGCCTTTAAAACTTCCGGCGCCTCCCCCTTCTCAACCCAACTAACCAGCGCATCAAATGCCTCATAAGGAAACGGTCCATTACCTCCCGCACAATGCCCTACACCAGGCGCTTCAAAATATCTATAATAATCCCGCACATTCTCATCTAATTCCTGTACTTCCTCATAGTACGTCGACGTCCCATTCGGAAAGATAAGTTGATCAGCTAATCCATGCCACGAAATAAGTTTCCCGCCCGCATCGCGAAATTCAGAGAGATCCGCATCGGAAGTTCCGATTATTGATGTGAATTGTTGGATAGAGGCGTGAAATATCCGCTCGAATTGTTGATGTGTGATGTTTTGGAGAGGGAATGTAGCGTTTTTCTCTATGAAGAGATTTATCCAATCTACTGGTATTTGGAAGGGGGTTCCCGTACAATTTGTATTTCCATCCGTGCAAGTAGTGCCAGCGAGAGCACTGAGGTTACCAGAGCGATTAATTCCATACCAGAGGAATTTTCCCTCCGAGGTTCTAGGTCCATCCCAAGCGGCTTGCGCGACTTTTGTAGCAGCTTCGGAAATCGTCACTGAACTTCCATCCGCACATGTAAAGTCCTTTCCTATCGTTTCGTTTGCTTGGAATTTGCACAGGCCGGGCATACTCAGTATGCCATCTACAACTCCATCGATCGCATCACAAGCTTCTACTGCCGCACTCGTAATACCGTCAAATTCACACGGACTAGAATAAACACCTAGCGTATTCATAACGAACTGAGCCCAATACTCAGCCACGATAAACTTCACCCAGTTAATCGCCGGCGCCGCCGCCAAAATCCCATTATAACCCAGCGGATACCGCTGCGCCATCATTAATCCCTGTCTTCCGCCCGTCGAACATCCATTCCAATATGCATATTCTGGTTTCCTCCCATAATACGAAGTCGCTACCTGTTTTCCAATATTCGTCATTTCATCCAGAGCCACTGATGCAAAATCTTGAAGAAGATAAAGATTTATATTTCCTGAGGGAAGAAGCGCCCAGCCCTCTGTTGGGAATGCAGCGGTTCCTATGCCACTTCCGTCGCTATAATGTCCGCCATCTGTACCTGCTGCTGCGTAGCCCTGCGATACGGCTTCCGCAAGCGAGGAGTCGAATCCACCGGTTGCGTAGCCCCCGCCTCCTGTTCCGATGAAGCGGCCGTTCCATGTTTCCTGGGTGGGGAGAAATATTTTCACGTTTATTGTGTCGTTTTCGCCGGGGTGGGTGTAGGTGAGTGTTATGTTGCAGAAATTAAGCGAGGAGAGGGTGCTGGCGAAATGGGAATCGGTTTGTGAGGTTGCGATTGTGAAGTTTGTGAGGGGGGTTGAGGTGATGGAGAGGAATGATGTTCCTGGGATGTAGGGATAGGGGATTGTAGAGAGGGAGCAGGAGGTTGACATTGTGATTTTTGTTTAGAGGAAGGGGGTTGAGGAGCTTTGGGAAGGGGTGAGGATGAGAACTCGATGTGATTTTTGCATTTTGATGGTTGGGGATGTTTTATGTATTTATATATATATGTGTGTGTGCGTGTTTATACTTATTTGTATATTAAATTATACTTAACAATATAATATAAAATTACTACTCACATGGTCCAGTAGTGCCATAACCTTCAATTCAATTGAAGAGCGCAGCCAAAGTTTCTGACCGATCCAGTCTTCAATTGGAACTCTAATCGATTCTGGAGTGTAAGACATACATTAAAGCGATATCCGGGGTTTACACGGATGTTTCATGTGTGGAGTTGTATAGGGTTACAGTGAAATTTGCGGGGCATATATAGAGATATACCTCCGTACAGCAACAGAAGACGGAAAAAACAGCAATATGTGGGTATAGAATGTCTTATATTACTTACCCTTCCAACGCACATATGTCTTCTTACTTTTAAAGACTCACCGATTGAAATACCGTAAACTTTGAGGTCTTCGGACGGACTCCTTAACTTTTTCCGAGTCGTAGATCACTCTATAGAGTTACGGACGGATGAACTTTGAAGTATCCTAATGATCCTATCTAATGCTAACTAGAATAGTATCTGTAAATTCATCCGGAGACCGATTGTGATTAATTGAATTACTTATTATCATCGTTGTCTGGTAATATCTAAAAGAAAGGCTTAATCTAAGATATATTTAAGACGTGAAGTCTTTTAAAGATATTATAATTTATAGTTTCTTTAATAGAAATATCTAATAGTTATTCAATCTTATTTAATAATATTAAAGACAAAATCTTTTAAATCTTTTAAATCTTCTAAATTATCAAATCTAGAAAGATTTATTATTATATTATATTTTTATAATAATATTTATTTAATCTTTTACAAAATAAATGTAACGATCTGGTCGAGGCAGCGGCTGCCTGAGGTTTCGTTCAGTTGGGTTAAGGCTATTAATCATTGGTTATCCATTTGAAAGTGAATTCGTTACTAAATCAATTGGAATATAAATAAATTAATTGATAATTAAGTTAAGTACGAAGCTCCTAAACTATGAAACTTATTTTGATTATATACTAATTTCTTTTGGAAGCCTCGAGGAGCCTACATTCTTGAAGGCTTTAAGAAGCTTAAGGGAGTCTATGTTTCTGGAGACTCTATCATGTGATTTCTATCCTGGTAGGTTAATCCTAGTAATCCTTTTCTACTGTAATCATTTCAGAATAATCTCTTTCCTAGGATAATTGATATCCTAGGGAAATTATCCTAAGATGAATATCCTAGGATAATCTTTATCCTAGTCTATTTCGTAAAGTTAGAACACTTGTTCTATTATGTTATAGTTGTTTAGAATACTAATTCTAGGATTCCTAGGTTCCTAATTGTAGCGATAAGAAACCCCCCTGTAGTCGGTGGTTAAATCACCGACACTTACAATACCATTATAATCTTAGATGTAGGTGACTTGTGATAATAAAGTTAAAAATATAAAAATTTGATTTTATAAATTTTCATTTATTTCTATCTATATCTTTTAAATTGTATATATATAATATATAATTTGATTTTCAAAAAATAAAAAATAAAAAAAATTCATTTAACATTATATTTATATTTATACTTATTTATATTCATTTATACTCACTCCTTTCTATTAAATATCTACAAACTCTTATTAGTTCCTAACCGAAGAAATTTCTCCTTCTTCATCTAAATATTTTAAAGCCGAAGCCGAAGTATATATTTCCTCTCTATCTACACTGAGATAAATATAAATAGTTTGAGAAGATACGATACGATACGACACCGATATAATACAGCCAATAGATGATGCGTCTGTACGATGTAGTGCAAGGGCCGGGGCAGGAAGAGAAAGTTTTATGCAGGGGGAAAGTGATGTTATTCTCGTCGATTTGAACTTGAGCTTTTTGGTTTATTTATCGCTTAGATACAACAGTGATGGATTAGGTTATGTTAGGTTATGTTAAGTAGCTAGTCTGGGGGGTACATAGGTTGTAAGGTTTTTTTTATATGAATTCCGTTCCATTCCATCCAATCCCATCCCATCCCATCCTATTCCATTCCATAACATTATCCTCTACCTCCCATTAAAATACTCTCTCAGTACACACACCCTCCTTCCCCAATAATACCCTAAGCCCCTCCAACCCCTCAAAGTCTCACCCCCAATCCTCCCCCGGATTATTAAATCTCCTCAACCATTTCCTCCCCACAAATCTCAATTTCGTCAAATCCGCATGCGTCAATTCACATTTCTCCGCTTGTAAATTTTCTTCAATCAATTCTTTATGACTACTTTTAGGAATCACAGAAATTCCTCTCAAGATATTCCATTTTAGGGCTACTTGGGCTGGGGTACAATTTCGTGATTGTGCTATTTCGCGGAGGATTTCATTTTGGAGGAGGGGTGGGATTTTTTCTTGTTGTTCTTTTGATGAGGAGGAAGAGGGAGGGGAAGAGGAGGAGTTGTATATGGGATTGGTGTTTCCCAATGGAGAATAGGCGGTCATTTTTATTCCTAGGGCTTTATGTGTGGATACCCAGGCGGATTGTTGGAGGTAGGGGTGGAGTTCCATTTGATGCGTGTATGGTATTATACCGGTTGATACTACATTTTTGAGTTGAAGTGGTGAGAAATTAGATACGCCGATATTGAGGACGCGGGTTTTGGGGAGGGAGATTAGAGATTTGTAGGTCTGGCTGATGTTAGTTTGTGAGGTTTTGGGAGGGGGTGAACAGAGATGAATTTACTTGGACGTGATCGAGATTTTTGGTTCCATTAGACGCAAATCCAATTGGCCAATGCATGAGATATAAATCCAAATAATCTAGACCGAGATCTTTAAGAGTTCGATTTAATCCTTTTTCCACATTCTCGTAATCTCCATGACTATTTTACCGAATAATTAGTCTTTGATAAATCTCCCCTAATCAATCAATCCCCAACTATACTACATCATGTGAAAATAAACATACTGATCATTCCAAAGTTTACTCGTAACCCAAATATCCTCTCTCTTCAAACCGGCCCTCTTCAAACCCTCTTTTATTCCCCGTCCTACATCTACTTCATTTTGATACGCCGCCGCGCAATCAATTTGACGATAACCGATTTCAATTGCATAAGCCACGGCTTCTGTGGTATTTTCCGGTGAAATATTTAGATTCCATGTTCCAAAGCCGATTAGAGGTTGAAGGAGTGATTGGATTTGAGAGGATGTTGATAAGGTATTTGAAGATGGTGTGAGGGGGTGTTGTTGTGGGAGTGTAAGAGCGGAGATGATAGGGGGGAAAGTAATTAGTGGAAGGAAGTTGATTATATACATGGCTGATGGATGTATATAATGGGTGTATATAATTGATGTATTGAATGGATGAAGCTAGAGATTATAGAAGGTAAGTTTGGGTAAAATCATAGTTTGTGGAGGTTTGTAGAGTTTGTGATTAGTTTCATGGTGGATTGGCCATGGAATACTCGTATTCAGGGCTGAGATTGAGATCGAGTGTTATGACGTTGGATATTTTAGGTTATAACAAGGTTTCGCGTGGCTGTTTAAGGACCGTGGCGCGCCGGCGATAGAAGATTAGACGTCAAAATTTGTAAGAAATCTGTGGGTGAACAGATTTGATATTTTGTATGAAAACTAGTACTCTGTGTATCTGTAAATGTGTTGTCAGGTGTCATAAGTTCTTAACATAAATCTCTGTTTTAGCATTATTTTAATACCGTGAGTGTATTGTTGCGTCAAATAAGGTTCGCGGCGAGAGCAACCGGTGAGCCTAAAGCAAGAAAGCATCAGCGTATCACATGATTATATTAAGCAACTTCTCTCCCAAGACTTTTAGGCGTCTTCTCGTAAAAACATTTCATTTCGAAAGAGAACTGAATTGAAAAGAGGACTACCGAAGTAGTATTCAATTCCAGTAATGTCACGTGATACTTTGAGGTCGTGTCCGTCTTGCGTGTTTACATTGGATCTTCTGCATTCTCCATTCGAATCCGAACAATAAATTTCACTTCACAACACATCAACGGATCGCGACTCGATATTTCACGAATCAAGCAAACTGGTTGTTTCTTCGAAGGGAACAATAAGCAATGAGCAAATATTTCATACGGTGTACTGCAAATGAAAGGATCCTAATATCCTTGAAATAACCCTGTGCTTCATAACCGGACAACGGAAACAAGACCAACCAGCCATTCCCGCATTTCATGCCCTAACCATCAACCCCAAGCCGACAAGAATCATGGAAATTTTCTATCCATGGCCATGGCCTTATCATTAGCCCTACAGAAAATAAGCATGATTCAGTACGTGGTTTGTTGGCAACTTACGTGAAGAGTTATTGCCTCTTTTCACACGCGCTGATGATTGAGAATTCCTTTGCTCACTCATGCACCAAACAAAAACCATCACTTTCGTCTGTCGGCATTCCATATCGATTGTCCCTTGAGTCTCTAATTGAGCTCGAGCTAATGAAGTCAGCTTTAGCCGCCCTTCGATCCATATTACTGTATGGTTCCAGCTCCACTGCACCATCTTCACCACGCATAGGGCACGATCGAACGACAAGGCCGAGCTCGAGTCTCAAGCACTACCCCTGATTTCCACTGATTTTTCTTGGTCTAGACTGGAAGAATGTATCGTCCCCACTTTATTCGCTGAAGTATCAATTCCCCCTTTATCATGAGGAACATTGTTTGACTTCACAGTCGATTCATAGACAGGCTCCGTATCATCTCCATGTCGATGTCCTCCAGTATGTAGTGACATTCTGAGAGCTTCCGGCTTCTCGGCCGCTGGAGTATACAATTCAATGTATATACTTGAACGAGCTGGCATATTGTTTGTTAGGAGGAATCGATATCGCAAGTGAGATGTCGGATGGTCAACATGAAACTATGGACACATTCCTCTCCCTTTATACCTCTCCCATCTGGAAAGAAACACATGTTAAAGGGCCGAAACTCGTATTCACGCAAACGATTCATCATAAGAAAAGAGTTTCTCTCGTCAGAGAATGAGCTCCACTTACACATTGGCAATTTTCTTTATCCACATGTCAAGTAGTAAGCCTGCAGTTGTATTACCGACTTTTCATCTCACCGTCGAGGCATGAGATAATTTCCGTGCCGCAACATCCATCTTGAAGGAAGTAAGCAGCCCGCATCCTTCTTGAGATAATTTTGCATGATTGTTAGTTCAATAATAAGATGTGTGCATGACGGATTGGAGCACCTGGGTAGTTTGTTGTTTGTCGTCTATCTTTTTCTATCCAATTAAAAATGTAGAGAAATTAGAATCCAGTTTCGCGATGTGAATTGTCGGTGAGAACTCTTAATGAGATAATATTACACTGGTATTCCTTGCGAAACTTAATCCTCAGACCGAAAATTTTTATGGAGCACATACATAGAATCATGATGAACATTCCCCAATCATCAATTAAATCATCAAATTCTACAAAAATTGTTCACCTCAGGCCACTCAAATCTCATCTCATCTCATCTCACTTCATCACATCTCATCACATCTCATCACATCTCACCCTCCCCACTACATCTTATGTAATGCACACGCACCAATAACAAACTACTGATCACATGCCATCCATCTACTCTCTCAAGCGTGTCCTTATCTGCAGATCCTGCATATATCATCATACCCTATCATACCCTACCAAATATCCGACCAAAGAATATCTACCTGTCAGACAAACATGAAGCATAAGGCATAAAGCATAAAGTGGCTGACTGGAACCACATACCATCTCCAGCTCATCTTCATCCTCATCCTCACACCGTATCTTTCTAGATTTATATGCGGCTCTGCTTATCCATATCCATATCCCTATCCCTATCCCAACCCTACACATCTGCCCTTCTAAAACTAACAAAGTCAATCCTACCTCAGATCTAAGTAATCAATAAGTAATACGTAACTAAATAAACTTACAAAACAAAAAACAAATAACCAAACCCCCCGCATCCGAAAACCACAAATGGGAAATTGGAAATTGGAAATTAGGCGCCGCTTCAGGAGTCTTGGCCCAAGTGTGCATGTGTATGCGCATCGGAATGTCGTGTGTAATTACAGCATACAGTGTACAGTGTACAGTGGACAATGTCCATGGTTTATTTGTGTATTGTAATCCCATCCATCCATCCATAGCATGGTATAGTATGGTATGGATCATTCATTAACCCAATGGTCCTAAGCATGATTAAATATCGTCCTTTTATTTTTATCAAACTACATTATGTTTCTGCGTTGTGGTGTTGTGGTGTGGTGTGGTGTTGCGTTACTCGGGTCTTTTTGGGTGGTGTCTTGGCGATAATGTTAATGTTAATGTTAATATGGTGTTGGTGTTGGTGTTGGTGTATTGGGAATGTTGTGCGCTGTGCGCTGTGCAGTGTAGGTGTGTTGCGCTGAATGTTGGAGTTGGTTTGGTCTGTAAGATCAGTCAATAGGTACCTGATGGGTTAATATGTGAGAGATTTTGTATGCTGCGGAATTGGGTTTGTGGAATTATATTCTTGTATTCTTATATTCATGATAGTTGATAGTTAGTAGTTTATTTTTTTGTCCCAAAGTGTTTCGCATATTATTCTAAGATGGCAGTATCATGCGTGCATATACTGTATATATACATATATCATTAAACGCAAAAAGATACAGAGATAAAAATCATAGGGCCCGGGTATCTAGACGCCGGTTCTCTCGACCGAAAATTCAAAAAGGCCAATTCCCTCCCCTCCAGAATCCATCGGCGCTTCTCCCTCCTTAACCAGATCCCCGCCCGGCAACCGACGCAACTCACCCTGTACCTTCCAACTTCCCGACATCCCCAATCGTTCCCACACGGTTCCCCACAACCGTACCCAACTATCAGCATCGTGTAACCATCTCCCCTGTTCTCCCTCTCCTCCTCCCTCCTTCCCTACCATACACCCTACGAATAAAGCACCCTCCACATTCCGCAGTAGACGAACCACATTCTCACATACGAGGAGTTGTTGCTCCCATGTGAAGAGGTGCATGAAGAGGGAACAGTGGATGATAGAGAATTGGTGGATGTGGTTGCGGAAGGTTAGGGGGAAGAAATTGGGGTCGAGGATGTTGGCTTGGAGGAGGGTGAAGGGGGTGTGGGTGTCGAGGAAGATTTTGTATGAGGTTTTGAGGAAACTGCCGTTGTAGTCTGTGCCGTAAAGTTGGGTGGGGGGGATCCGGGCGTGGTGGGCGAGGGAGCGGAGTCTGTGGTGGGTTAGTTTGGGGGTGTAGGTGTGTAAGTTTGTATGTATGTGTATGGATTTGGGGATGGATGATGATTTATTATTGAGGGGTCGGGGTTTAGGTGAGAAATAACAGGAGGCAATTGGTAGACGGGGAAATGGAGCAGAAAGTAAAGATTACAAAGTAGAGAAAGGAGAAACACGGAGATAAAGAATATCAAAACGACAACAAGAGCAAAAAGTTAAAATGGAATATAGAGACAGAGATAGAGATGGTGACTTTACTTTCTCTGTAAAACATAAAGAAAAAAGAATAGAAAAAATAAACGTACTCTTGACCAACACAACAACCCAAATCGAGAAAAAGAGCCGATGGATTCGAAGGTGTTGACGGAGCGGAGAGAATCTGGACGATGCGGGGATAAAGTGGGTGGGTCAGGAGACGCAGGGTTAGGAAGGAAAAATTTCCGATGGAGGGGTAGGGGGTTTGGTTCCAGAGGAGATCGCGCTTTGGGGAGGGAGAATGTTAGTTGATTGATTATTCTTTGGTATGACTTTGTGATTTCATCATGTCATGATTCCATGTACTTGGTGTTCATCTTGATTTTGTGTATTGGGATGGATGGATGGATGGATGGATGGATGGACGGATACTCGAAGCATATAACACATCTCCAAACAAGAGAAATGGAAGTAACCTTATAATTTATAAAAAAACACTAGTTATAAATCCAGGGGAAAAAAGGATACAAAAAATGAAAGATATAAAATGAAATGTAAAATAGAATATTCAAATAAACCCAACATACCATCTTATAAACATGTGCATCTACCTCGCCGGGAGGTATACGGCTATAATTCTCCAACAACTCACGTGCTTCAGGCCCCAATCGTTTGCCAATAGTAGTATGATACCATGGTTTTGCGGTGGAATATTTATCTGTGAGCGGGGATGCGGGTATGGATTGCGGGTTTGTGGCGTGTTTGGATTTGGATCTAGATGTCGGGGAGTATTTGCCGCATTTTGAGGTTGTGGAGGTGCTGCTGGAGGGTCGACAGTATTTGGTTATGGTGGAGGCTATGATTGAGGTGGTGCTGGTGCTGGAGGAGGTTCGGGAGTTTAGTCTGGGTGGTGGTGAAGGGGGTGGTGTACCGAAGTCGAAGTGTGAGGGGGGAGGGCTGGGTGAAATGGCTGGCGAGTACATTGTTTTTCGTTTGTTGGTTTGGTTTGTCTGGTTCGGTTTGAGTTGTGTTGGGTTGAGTTGAGTTGCTTGTTGGCTGCTTTGGGTTGGCTTGGTTTGAGCTGAGGTGGGTTCTGCCGATGAGGTGAGATGAGATGAGATTGATGGAATGAATGGATGGAACAAATGATGGGCTTGTCTTTGAAGTAAGCAGTTGATGCGGTCGTATACTCGGGTAACATCAATGAATGAATGAACAAATGAACGAATGAAATAATTATTACTCCGAGGATTGAAGAGGGGGGTTTAGAGTATCCTGTTGATCCATGTATACACGTCGGTTATTCATGCGAAAAATAGCTATTGAGATTTATCCCGTTGACGTTATGTGATTCAGATTGATAATTTCTGACAAAATAATAAAGCATACATTTGAATGTGCGTATATAAAAAATAGAAAGTATATACTTATATAGATACAAAGTGCTTTTGTAATTTCAATCTTAATCTCAAGAGCGAGTCTTTTTAAATTAATCAGGGCTGAAGTATTATATAATTTATATAACCTTTTTCACTTCAATCCTTCGCGATGAGATCAGATACCCCTTGTGAAATTGATTGATAAGAAATTGATTACATGTAGATAGATAATTTACAGTGAAATAAACTGAATAAACTGAATAAATTATTTTATATATTTATTTCTTTTACCGGGTTTTCCGTCATCGATTATTTTACGCGGCTCTTTAACTGACTCGCTCACACAAGCTGAATCCATACATACATCCTTTGTCTCAATATTAATATTTCCAATTTCCAATCACTCCACTTTATCACAAGTTCATCGCACTCGGTCGATGTTTTGAACAGCGAGAGATCCGAGAGATTTGTTTCCTCTACGCCGTACTCCGTAATGATGCAAGCAAGAGCTGGAGCAGCTGGAGGTGGAGGTGGAGGTGGAGCAAGCAAGCTGGACTTCAGGGTTACTATTTGCCATTTGGGGTATTTTTTAAGAAAGGCCAAGATAGCTGAAGTGATACATATGAAGATTGAATTGATGGGATGCGTGATTTTAAAGTTCTCGAGTGTGGCTGGCGTGGCTAGTGTGAGCGGCTGATACATAAGGTCAAGATAGATAGAACCATTCATCCATCATTCATTCATGAGCTAAAAACTCCCTCTTCTCGGGTATTGATATCCTCACCCTCGATAAAAAGGGGTGAAGAATTACGATTGCTCCAAGAGAAGAGGAAGGGAAAAAGCAAGAACAAATTTTTTAAGAGTGACCTGGCGTCCGAGATTAGTGGGTTGATGATGTCGATTCGAAAATCTAGAATGGTTAAATAAATGTCTATTTGAGCTTGTCAATAATTGACAAGACAACCCTAGTACACTGCACGGTACAAACCCAGAGAGCTGAGAGAAGTGTCTCACGATAGAAGAGATAACCATGGTAAATCTTGCTGCTTCATTGAAATAAATACTCTTTTGCAATAATAAGAAGTGTAACTTTTGGTGGAATGCCGAATGAATGCCCATCTCTCACTCTTCACGTCTAGAATGTGTGTATATTTTAGCATCACATACCAAGATCAGTGCTGAGAACAATTCTTGATTGTTAAGTTCGGTTGCATCCTCTCTTTCATTTCATCTCCTTGGTCATATTCAATCCACATCAAGATTCAAGTAACGCATCATCTTGTGTCTGGAACGTCGTGGCATTGAATTTACTTCTCGTAGCTACTGCACATGATTTTCATGCTGCTTTCCCAGTATTCATATGATCACAACCCTCCTGATCAGCATCCCGGAAAACCACATGCACCCATTGTACGATAAAGAACCCATTTAGAATTTGCTGAAAGACTTAACAGCCTTACCAGTTCGGGGAAGGACACGGAGAACATTGAAACGAACCTAATCAGAATTTGGTTAGTTAAATTGGACTTGCTTGCTTTGCAGGAATATAAGGACATGTGATCATGATCCCATCAATAAAACACAGGTATTTGCGCAAATTGTTACGTACGGTCTTGCTCAATGGTCTACATTGTCCAACTGTGACTTGATCACCCTCCTCGACACGGAAAGCTGGGGAAACGTGGGCGGCGAGGTTCTTGTGTCTCTTCTCATATCTGGCGTATTTTGGGATGAAGTGGAGGTATTCTCTGCGGATGATGAGGGTACGGTGCATCTTGGTGGAAATAACAGTTCCGGTCAAGATACGGCCACGGATGGAAACGAGACCGGTGAATGGGCACTTCTTGTCTGTTGAAAATTTCTTATTAGCATCGCCCACTCCGATTCAGTTTTCGCGAGCCTCTCATATCATTTTTGCACCCTCAATCTTCAATCCCAACCCCACAAGAAAATAATCCAGTCGTAAATTCGTGTCGCATATTTTCTTCCTTCGCTATTCCACAATTTCATATAAAAGTCCACATACCAATGTAGCTTCCCTCAATGGCGTTCTTTGGGGTTCTGAATCCCAATCCAACGTCCTTGTACCATCTTCGGCCACCCTTTCCAACCTTGCTGGACTTGGTCTTCGACTTGGAGTTGAGGAAGATGTGAGGTTGCTTTTGGAAAGCGCGCTCCGATTGTACGGTAAGTTCGGTGGCCATGGTTGCGAGATTTGGTCGAAGGTCGCAAATTCGTGGTGGTCGTCGATAGGATTGTCTTGTCGATTGAATGTTCCTCTAAATTTCCAATTTTTCTCGAAATGTGTGTGCCGCTAAGGAGTTTGGCTAAGCGAGACTCAATGCTAGAAGGTCATGTGATTGGGTCGAAAATTGTTATGATTTCTGAAATTTTTGTTCCGAAGTTAATCCGCATAATTCTCGTTTGATTCGACGCGACTGTTTGTTTACATTACATTGTGGTTTACTTACTTTACTTTCGGCATAGCAACACCAAGAGATTTCCAACTATTTCTTCCCCGGATTTCATAATTAACTTATAGGACACACTTTATGCTACTTTATACAACTGATACTCGAATATATGCACAATGTCTTCTTTAGAGGAGGCAACACTTCCTGCGACTCGTCGACCAAAATCTCGAAAGTCACTGTCCGCAATACCTGCTGATAAGGAAAATATGACAGCGGAGCTCGGAGCGCTTACTGGGAAGAGAGCGCCAACCGCAAAGCCAGCGAGGAAATCAAGAAGTAAGAGTATTGGTCCTGGTGGATTAGATGCTCTCAAAGATACTACTGGAAATCGACGCAAGGTAGGAATCTGGTTCCAGCTGGAAGCAAAGAAACATAACAAGCTAATAATGTTTAGTCCCTGGCTGTGATTCCTCAACCCCCTCCAAGATCAATCTTAAAACCTACTATGCCTCCTCTACGTGAGATCCCGGCGCATAATCCTAACAAAAGATCGAGTCCGAGAAAAGCCAAAACACCTTCACCACCTGTACCAGAATCCGACTTATTGATCGATTTCGGCGTTGATTCCGGTTCTAAAACTGCAGGCTCCGAATCGCATGATGATCCATTTCATATCGATATACCGAAACCAAACAATGATAATCGAGTTGCATTGCGAACAGAGGAAGAACAACAAGCTGCTGCTAGAGAAAGGGAAGAAAAGGAGAGGGTTGGTATGGAAAAGGAAGTCGATTCCAGACGAGATGCTCGACGCAAGTCTCTTGCTAACCGACGTGTTTCATTTGCACCGGAAGCAACACTTCATACTTGGGATGTCGTTGTAGAATATCAAGATTCAACAACTTCATCAAATTCTACCAATTCCACCCGCCGAGCCTCGAATGTTACTGGAGGCTCAGTTACTACCCCGCATCAGCAAAATTCTGGACCACCTAGCTCGGATCCTTCAGAGCCTCCATCAACACCATCGGAACAATTTGAAGATGACACAGAAAATGGATCACCAGAACATCAACGCGACCTACATCAAAAGAAGCGCCGCAGAAGTTCGGTCATACCTCCTATGAACTTCAATGATCCTAATGATGCTTTCTCATCGAGCCCTTTGAGCGGAAGCTCAGTGGGCGCTGATGAAGTTGAGGATGATGAATTTGCTTCTAGTGATTTAGATGATGACGACGGCACTCGGATGACCATGGATGGTGGAGAAACAACAAATATGTCAATGGCATCAGTTCAGTCAGGCTTTAGCGCTGGCTCAGATACGATGCTAGAACAATCTTTACGGCGGGCCGCAAACCAAGCTGGCACCCAAGCAATGAGCTTTGGTGAGCAAGGAGATACCAAAATGAGTGAAGATAATGAGATCGTTGCGTCCTTTGCTCCATGGACAAAGAAGCCTCTAGAATCTCAACAAGACCAAGAGAATGTTAATCCTTTTTCATCAGCACTTAAATCGGATGTTCAAGCAGATCCAGAGGAATCGGATGGGGAAGAAATGACGATGGATATGGACATGACAAGTGCAGTTGGCAGAATTTTACCAGGTCAACAACGGGAAGATGATGAGCTTTCCATGGATGTGACCCGTGCTTTCGGTGGAATTATTCCCAGTAGCCAACCGGGAGCAAAACATAAAGCAGCGGGCCGTCGTCAAAGTACTCGTAGAATATCGACAGGGGAGGAGTCGGCATTCGGCGAGCAGACCATGGACTTGACTACCGCCGTGGGTGGCATTCATACGGCTGATATTGAAGAGGCATCTGAAGATGATGATATGAGCATGGACTTTACATCAGCAGTTGGCGGGGTGCTGTCACAACCAGCTGAAATCAAGAATACGAGACGATCATCCATGGCTCCAAAGTCACAACCGAAGCGAAATCGGGAGAGCTTAGATTCCGCCGCCGATGATGGGACAATGGGTATGGATATGGACATGGATATGACCGCTGCCGTGGGTCGTATTATGCCTTCAAATAGAGAGGAAACCGAGGAAATGGATATGGACGTTACCGTTGGTATGGAAATGACCAAAGCACTAGGTGGTATCCTACCACAGTTGAACGCTGGGGATCGAAACCAAGCGAAGAAGATTATGGAGATGGAAACAGACATTTTTAGCTCACCGTTTCGAGTAGACGTTCCAGCCAATTCTCCACCGAAATCCATCAACCACCAACCTTTAACTGTAGCACCAGAACCTGACAGTCCCAGCTTCACGGCGGGTTTCAAAGGAAAAGGGCTTCGTAGAAGCATTGAACGAAAATCTACCACACCTAAATCTACGCCCAAGTCTAAGATGTTAACGCCAGTCAAGAAGCCGACTACCCCGCAAAAACAGATCACTCCACAACCTGCTCAACCATCTCATCCAGGCAAAACCCCACCCTCAAAAAATGTTCTCATGCGTACAGGATCGCCCAGAAGACTTTTCAAAGCCGATGCCAAAGATTCATCTTCTACTCCTCGTACAGCTTCGAGTAAAAAGCAAACACCGAACAAGTTATTCAAAAAAGATAGCAATACCGGCCTTGCGACACCCAACTTCATTCTAACACCACAAAAACGATTGTCCACTGGCATCGGCCTTGATAGAGTAGGACTAGGATCACCAAAGGTTGCTGCATTATTGGACCGACGTGGATCGATTGGAGAACAAGCACGATCATTCACACCTACCCAGCCGGCGGATCTCAGCCGTGGTGTACGATTCCAAGATCCTCGTATCATGGAGGAAGAAGTCGACAGGGAGCGAGAACAGGAAGAAGGTCGGGAAAATGGACGCAAGATAATGGAGCGTGAAGCGGATCAGGGTGAAGGAGAAGAAAAAGATGCAACCTTGAACCTCAAGGAAATGATCAACAGCCTCACACCTAAGAAGAAGTCGATGAAAGGTCGCAAGAGTTTGCACGCTGGTGCGGCAATTGGTCTCCTGGGTAAACGACCTGCTGAGTTGGATGAGGATGAATCAGATGAAGATGAGGGCGGTATGAAGCGATTGAAAAATCATCAGGGTAGTCCCGTGAAGAACGTCCATCTCCAAGGCCCACCCACCAAAGAACAAACAACAACTGGGCGTCTAACTCGCGCAAGTAGGAAGAGTATGGAAGACTCGATCATCACTTTCACCACGCCTACCACCACTACTTCCCCCATCAAGGAGAAAGTAACTTCACCACGTGATCAAGGTCGTTTCAAAGATGCGGAAGCCAACTTGACTGAGCCTGTGGCAATCCCATTCAAGGAAACAGCACCAGTTGAGTACCCACAACTACCTGAAGAACCACTCGAAGATGAGCGCATACAGTTGCAAGATTTTTTGAATATGACAAGCATTCGATTCATGGAATTGACAACTACCAAACGAAGGCATACAATTGCGCCAAAACGTACTAGCGATGGACCACTGAGAAACAGGTTGTCAGATCAAACCAAGATTTCTCTTGAGGATTGTGTTGCTGCAGGTGCGGCTACAATTCCTATGCTTGAGCTATTCCAGCATGTAAGTTATCACCATAATTTGTTCCGAGAAAAATTTGCCGATACTAACATACCTAGGCTTGTCATGAACTCAAGAAGTATATATCAGATGGTCGAAAAACTGTTCGAGAGATTGAGAGCGAGACCTTTGAAGAAAACCCCCCACTTTTTCGTGAATACATCTCTGCGCCAGCAGATATGAAGCTTGTGATGGACAATCAACTCAAGAATGTTAAAACACATTCTCGTCTTCTCAGTAAAGGGATGTGGTATGAATGGCGATCAACTTTACTTGAAACTGTCAAGGATGAACTCGTTAGAAGTGCTGAAGGTATGATCAATGATGAAGAAATCCTTGATAAACAGCAGGCACTCCTAGAGTCTGTACTCCCGCAGATGATAAAGAAATCTCAGCAGCTTCAACATGAGGAGGCAAATTTGAGGACCGCCGCTGAAGAAATTGCTAGCTGTGACCCTGAAGAACTTAGCGAAGCTCGACAACAGCTAATATCTATTGAAGCGGATGTTGATGCAAAAAGGCACATGATTGAGGAATTGAAGAAGCAGGTTCAAGCAAGAGAAGCGGAGATTGAAGCTGGTACCGCCCAGAAGGAGATGTGCCTTGAGGAAATCCGTGAAGCGGAGAAGATCAGGGAGGAATGCCGTGGATGGACTTCGAGTGAAATTAGTACTCTTAAAGGTATGTTCTTCTATCATTCTCTACCAATCCCACTAACAATGTCCAGCAAAAGTGGATGCTATCGAGAAGAAACATGGATGGACGATCACCGGCGTATCCGGAACTACAACTTCAATGACGTACCGGAAGGAGATTGAGCTTGTATTTGATGCATCTGCATTCAAGTCCAATGCCCCGAGCAAGACTACAAAGCCAGAAAACTCAAGGATTGATCTTTGGTACATTGCCGCCAATCGAGAATACAATCCATCACGTCTCACCCCCGAGAAGGAATTCCTCCTTCAAAGTATCCGGGATCACGTGAGAGGTTTACCTCAATCAGAAACCGAAATTAAAACTCTCCTAAACTCCGTTAGCGTCGCTTGGAACAAGGCCGCTAAAGTAGTAGATGATATTCATTTACTGAACATTATCTGTCCGACTGCTGTCACAAAAACATCAGACAACTCTATTCTCGTCAAGTCAAAGTTGTTGATTGCACCGCTAACCACAAAGGTTGAACTAGCTTTTAGTCTTATTAGCCATAGCACTGAAGAAGGATTCGATGTGGAAGTTTCTCCGGTTGCAAAAGTGATCTACGGAGAGAGATTCAATGAACCAAAGATGAGGGAATTTTTGCTTAATAGGTTGGGTAATTATGTCAAGGAGAAAGGAGATGGAACTGTGTCCTGGGGAGCAGCAGTGGCTGAATTGGGGGATAAATTGTTGGCCAGGGGGAGGAAGTAAGGTACGGGATTGAGGTTAGGGTTCTGTGTTGTGTGTTTCTTATCTCTTTTGAGGAAGAGATGGCGTTTTTATTTTATGATGGGTTTAATGACACTTACGATTGGCGAAATGGATTCGTCTTTGGGTTTACTTGGTATTAGGGTCGGAGTGGGAATGGAATTGGAATTGTTAATATGAATGGAGTTGGGAGTTCATGTTCATACTTATGTCTATATGCTAGCGTAGGATATACGGATGCCAAATCAGATCTTCAGAATTAAAACATTCAGTCGTCATTTATAAATATTCTCCCTCTGTCCTGAACATGATATGAATGATATAATTGAATGATTTGCAGAGTTTACGTTCTTTTTTATTTTGTTTTTACGCCCTTGTGAAAAGACTTATTACAAGAAGGGTTGAATTGGGTTGGGCTTTGATATTACAATGGATGGGTTAGTAGCTCGTTTACTGTATATATGTATGTATACATGTATCGATTCTTTCGATTCTATCTAGGCTTGGTGCAGTAAGCTGTGTTTTTGTTTTTATAAATTTGATTGTATCTTTAGTTTAGTTTAGTTTAGTTTAGTTCAGTTCGGAGGAGAGGAGTTGAGATACATTTATTATGAATACGAAGCGGGAATATATATAATGTGTTTCTTTTATTTTAACTAATCTCTTTTTTTGTTTTCTAGTATTATGTATAATATTTTGAGTGTATTCAACGATTCAATGTAATTCAAATCTATTATATTTTATTACATTATATTATATACTTCCTGTTAAAGTAAATCTCCGCAACTATTTTATTCAATCCTATCCTATACCTCTCCACTCCCACCCTCAGAACCATCAATCCTCCCTCCCCTCCCTCTCCACCTCAACCCCCATCCTCCCCACCCTACTCGCCTCCCCAAATTCTTTCAACCCCCCCTTCTCAAGCACAACACACCAATCCGCGCCCCTAACAGCCTCAACCCGATGCGCAATCGTAAGCACCGTGCTCTGAGCCAACTCCTCCCTAATAACCTCTTGAATCTTCCCCGCTGTCTCTTTATCAATACTCGCCGTCGCTTCATCCATAATAACTATTGAGCTTCTCCTTAAAAGGGCTCGCGCAAGTCCTACTAATTGTCTTTGTCCTTGACTTAGATTTTTACCGCCAGAATCTATATTCATATCTAAGGTCCAATTGTGGCGTACTGCAATTTTGGAAAGTACAGATGAGCATTCAAAATCGGTGTATTCGTCCATTGGGTCAAGATTCATACGCATAGTGCCGGGGAATAAAACGGGTTCCTGAGCGAGGAATGTGATGCGTTTGCGTAAGGCTTGAGTTTTGACTTTGGAGATATCGATGCCGTCGATGAGGATGCGGCCTGTACTTGGTAGGGTTGTGGCGAGGAGGGAGAGGGCAAGCGTGGATTTTCCGCTCCCGGTGCGCCCGATGAGCGCGGTGCTCGAGCCACCTTTGATGGTTAGGGATATATTTTCTAGGGAAGGCTCGAGATGAGGTGCATATTTTATGGTTACATCTTCGAAGATGATGTCGCCGCCGAGACGTGGCCAGTAAGCTGGAGGATCAATTTCGCCGGGAGATTCTTGGTCGAGATGTAGAAGTTCTACTACACGTTCTACTGAGACAAATTCCATTTGTAGTTGGCCGTAAGATTGGCATAATCCTTTCGTTGCCCGCACGAATCTACCTGCGGCTGCAAGAACGAAGGCCGTGAGACCAGGCGATAAATTTTGGTATACTGCTATGACTGTCATGAGAAATGTCGATATAGCTGAAAGTATATTGAATCTAAAAGCAAGCCATGCCTGTAATGACCAATAGAAATGATCCATTTTCTGAAAAATGTCCGTTACTTCAATTACTCGGTCTTGGAAACGACGTTGGGCGCAGAATGCGCGTATGGTACCAAGCCCCTCGGTAAGTAGACCAAAATTCGATATCAATGGAGTCAGCGAGACCATTTCGAGACGGCGCAAACTCTGAGACGTAGGTAGAAATTGTATGTATATCAATACAATTGTGATGACGAGGAAGATTGCAAAGCTAAAAGGTCGGCGTCAGAGATCCGATAACTAAAATAGATGTAAACCACAGGATAATTAAAAATGCAAATGATGTAAAGTGAGAGCTCAGATTTCCGTCGATAACACTAATGTCTGATGTCATACGATTCATTAAACGTCCTGCTGGTGTCACATCGTAGAAGCGAAATGTCGAATGGACTACTCTGGTCATGACCCTCTCAAAAATGGTTTTACCTGCTGTATAAACCATTAATTGTGCAGAGGCCTGGAACAATGCCCAGGCAACAGATTCAGCAACAGCAAAGAGAAAGAATCCAAGTAACCATGGCTGAATGTTGGTTTCAGGTGATGGAAGTCGACTGAATGGGTCTCGGGATGGTTTCCGTGGCCCTTCATATGCTTCTCCCCAAGATTTGAGAAACCACGTTTCGGCAATATCGACGAATCGAAGAAAAGTTATGACCACCATGATTAGAGCCCAATATCTCAACTTTCCTGATTTGATATATTCCCAATAGACTGAAGCTTTGATACCACCATGCTCCCGATGTTCATCTTCCATGAATTTTTCAGGCATCGCTGCGGCTGCTTGATCTTCATCTTCCTTTTGCTCTCCTACTGCAGGATTTGAAGAATTTATTGTGTGTAGTAACTCAGAAGGGATGGATTCAGGATCAAAAACTTCTGCTGTTCCATCCGTCATTCTGATAATTTGTTGTGCTATTCCTTGACATAACTCGGTACGATGAGTCACTAATATGATAGTTCTTTCCTCCGCCAATGAGCCTGTTAGACATTTCTTCACTACTGACTCGGCGGTGTGGTGATCAAGTGCAGAAAGAGGATCATCAAGAAACAATATTTTCGCATTGGAATAAATTGCTCGTGCCAATGCAACACGAGCCCTTTGTCCACCAGACAGTCCAATTCCGTTTTCTCCAATCAAGGATAAATCACCATTCTTGAAAGTTACCATGTCAGGGATCAAAGCGCAGGCATCTAGCACTTGTTTGTATCGACTTTCTTGATATGGAGCAGAGAATAAAATGTTGTCTCTAATACTCATACTTTGTAGCCATGGTGTTTGTGCACAATAACCCACCACCTCATTCACTGGCTTATATCCGCCACTAAGATGATCAAGCTCGCCAAGAAGAGCTTGTAGTAGAGCTGTCTTTCCAGATGCAACCTCTCCATAGATAAGTGATAATCCAGATGGGAATGAGACTGTCATGTTTTTTAAGACAGGATCTGTGGCTCCAGGCCAAGCAAATGAGGCATCATTCATCTCAAGTCCATCATCTGACCTTTGGTTCGCCTCTACCTCTGGTTTATCAGGCTCTTTCATAAAGTCTTCGATACGTCCCATTGCTATCCGAGCGTTGAGAAGAGTTGTTACAAGACCTGGCACAGTCTGTAGTCCCATCTCGAGCATCTGAAAAAGTTGAAGAGCAGGAAAGGCTACATCAACACGCAATGGTTGACCCGCCCAGACGCAATAAGCCCAGAATGCCACCACGGGAAACATTCCACTTGAAAACATGTACACAAATGACAAAAGAGTTCCCCACGCCTTGGTTATAACACGCAGCCACAATTCATTCTGTCTTGCTTCCATAATGCGGGCAAGCCAAATATCTTGCCATCCATACCAACGCAAGTGTCTATAAAGAAGTTACTTCAAAAATTCCAGTTTTCAGTGAAGACTAGCAGTACTAGTTCAAGTGTTTGAGATGACATACCTGATCGACTCAACGAGTTGACTAATCTTGTGGAGTTTAGTGTCTGAGGCCGTTCTTCGTTGTCTTTCATAATACATAAGTGCCTTTAAAACGAAAAAACTAAAAGCTTGACCTATGAAAACAGCTATCACTCCAATGAAGCATGGCCATCCAAGAAGCTTCCATACAGCAATAATCGAAAGTATTAATCCAAGGGGTTGCGTGATAAAATCAGCAAAGTCCCAAAATCTTTGTTGCATATTAGTAAGGTTAAGTGAATAATCTTAGGAATTAGGTCTTACCGTTGGGCAACTTCATAAGCATCTCCTCTATGAAGATTATTAGTTCAATTTCTGGATGATGGAAGAGCAAGCTAACCTCATCAAGTTCAATATTTTACCCATTGAGGCCGGTTCCTTTGGCTTCTTAGCTTCTTTGGTTCGCAAACCACAGCACGAGAGAAAAGGTTTTGTAACCATATTCAATCCTCTTTTCCACCATGGAACTGGAGGCACTTTCGTCGAATCAGCAGAATGAATTCCATTTGTTCCATTGACTCTATTGGTTTCTCCATTGGTATGTTCATCCTCTTTTGGCTTTGTGCTTGCACTAATTGTTTTTCTTGACAGAGATTTCTCGAAAAGCATAGTAATGAGTGCTCCTCGGGATCTCTCATAGGAGCGTCTACCATACCAAGTTGAGAATACATCGCACTGAGCAGATACTAGCCTGATGACGAGGGCGATCAAAGAGTATGTCAGTGTGGCCTGCTTGGCGGCTAGCGGATTTTCCAAACTTGCGAGTATTTTCTGGAGTAGCAAAGGTGCAGCAATATCTTTGAAAATTCCAATGATTAGTTTATAGTTTTATGATTCTAGAACAAGTATGGTGTGATTACCCGCGAATGATTTGTAAATACCCAAAGAACAGAGTATAATAAGATCGATACCTGTAACGTCTATAAGCCTCTTTAGTACCGAGCCACGCGTATCTCTGAACTTTTCATGTAGTATCCTATGTTGAAACTGGTAACTCAGGCTCCAAACGTTGTCTTCGTTCAGCTGTTTAGCTCTTCCCATTGACATGAGAGGTGACATCCAAGACACGCTCATAAATTGCCATAGAGTGAGGTTGTCTTCCGGACTTCGAAGTGAGTCAGTCGGTGGGCTGAAGACTGGGCTTATCCCGTCATTACCGAAAGACGGATCACGCATGGGCATCTGCAGAATGATAATGGTCGCTGCAATTGAAGCCACCCAAGAAAGAACCAATGGACCATCTTTCAGCTGTAAAGTCGAGAATCGATCAAGTAAAACGAAGTACTGCGAGACAAAAATGCTAATGTAGAGGGCAAGTAGAGATTTAGGTGTCTTCACTGGTTGAAGAATAGCAATGAGGAGGCATGCCACTGCCCATGAAATTGTAGGAAATATCATCATTAAGTGGAAATTTTGATTTTGATGAAAATCAGGATAGAATATCGACGATAGCTGTAGTAGTGCACCAATAATCGAGACACCTAATAAACACATGGTCATGGTTGTGAACATGTGTCGTCGACGGCCTTCTTCAAATTCGCCAGATTTCTCCTCTGGTTCTTCTATAAATGGTTGAAGCCATGATGGTGATAAACGACGGATTGGTAGTAATTGTGCCAGAAACCCTAGAATGATTAATGCACTGATGACTGCTGGAATACCGGCTATGAATGGTATGAAGCAAGGTTCAAATCTTGCATTTACAGGGTCCTTGAATTTGTGTCAGCGGAAAGGCATTTAAATAGAGGATTACCAAAAAAGAAGCCATACCCAAACTCGACTACAGGAATACTTGTCGCTCTTCAAGTCGAAACTAAAGTTGTGGTTGAGGGCTCCTTGGACATTAAGTGAAGCCGCCATTTGGTCAGACTTCAGGACAAATTGTGTCGTCATCTTTCCAAAACCGCACTCTCCAGTAGGAGCTTTCCCCCTTTTACAAGCAAGAGAAAAGGGATTGATGGGAGGAGTTTTTAGATTGATATCATTTGAAAGATGAAGATATACTTGTGATAGAAGCAATGTTGGTAAATTATCAATATGTAGTATTGTAGTTTGCGACGTCTGCCTGGAAATTATTATGTAGGAAAGCAAAGACTCATAACAATCAAAGATTTGTGGGGGAGAGCATTGGTTGGCTGGCTTACCAAGGTTCAACGGTTCCTGGCTAAAAATCAAGTTATGCAAGGGCTCCGCTAAATTGACGTATCAAAATTGAGAACAGGAAAGATATTTACTGTAAAGAGTCTAGCGGGAGTTAGAGATGGTAAGCACAATGATGTGATTCGTCGAAACACGGTCAAAATTACCAAACTGATATTTTATTTTTCGGTGAAGAGTGGCAAATCCAGCGGTGAACAAATAACTTTTACGACGTGCAGCATCAATTGCAAGTCTGATATATTCACCGACTACACGGGGTGGGGAAGAAGAACCTTTGATGAATCAATTGTATGAAGTTTACGAGAAAGTATTGGTATTAGTAAGCAGTCGTTATAAGATGTTGGGGATTGTAGGTGAATGGACCACCTCGATGGCTACGCGCCGCCATAAAACCTGCCAGCAATGTATTCGGGAACCTGCAGATGTTTCTGCCGGCATCCATTTCAGGGTTGGGAAGCACACATCATGGCACACATCATGGCAATAGAGGTCATCAAGGTAGCCCATCAAGGTGCAATTGATGATATCGGATGCAACCATTTTTGCTAAACGGCAGAGTTCGTGATAACCTTCCACTTCTGCGACGAATCCAAATCTACCTCCTACCTCACGTGAAGCTTTCGAGATGGCATACGCCGGTAAGATCTGCACGTGAGTTTTATAAAGAGATCATTTTCTGGGATTAATTTTTATCCAAGTATCTTTCGACGACGAAGAGAAACTCAAACCCAACTTATATGGATAGCTTCCCCATTCAAGATATTCGCTGCCTTTAGGTAATGTTACGCAATTATATCGGCTATTGGTGTATCACTCTGGGGTAGTTCCACAAGGGTAGAAGATAACTACATCGTGTGGTATGCGTGTCCCCTTGAGCATATCTCCCTCATTCATGTGTACGCTTCATTGAGGCTAGTACCAACCAATCCATCATTTCTATCGCGAACACGTGCCCAGATTGATTTCCTTCAAATGTACATTAAAATCCTAATATAGACTGCACGTGAAAGATGAAAAGGACAAAGCTATCAGCTCCTATCTTGCCAAAAGCAATTATAGAACTTCGCATGCAATGAATTTAGCATAAAGCGTCTAGATTTGCTCTTTCTCCCTAACATCTTATGGATATGTAAGTCCGCATCTCGATCCCATGACTTATCAATCACTCCTCTCTCTAAAAGGCATCACGAAATATGAAATCTACAAACACACCACTACCGCTCTCCATTCATCAGATACCCTGTTCTCCAACATCAGTTGGGGAGGTGGGAAAGAATCGATGTCCTGACAAGATAGCTACTGTGAATCTGAATACACTCTAGAGCGGCAATTGAGCCACCAAAAGGAGGTCATTCTTAGAGACCAAATCACTGGTAGCGTAGGCCATCATTCCTATTTGTCCCTGCATACGAAATTTGAACGAAAAGTCATTTCAAAATCCGCATCATTCACAACCCTTAAACCCTCATATCTTTCTTGCTCTCGCGGAATTGTTATATGCCAATGGTATAAAGACTCTACTATACACATCATCTCATCCCTAGTCTATCTTCAAGTGCTCAAATCTACACTACTAGTTAGTACGAATAATCTACTCATGGGGTCTTGGATTTCTGTTTTGTATAATGCTCTGTGATTTTATCTTTGGTTTCTAGCTTTGATTTCCTGGCTATTGAATTCTTTGTCGTTGTGTACATATGTCTCGACATGTTACGTAGGAACATTACAGACCAATATCATGTGCTCCGGAATTATATGAGCAGTTATGTGAAGAAGCGAAGGAATGAAGGAGCGAGATTCGAATATCGCTCCCCCGTTTCATTATTCCAATGTATTAGCAGAATACGAAGATCCATATAATCAAAATAGATTTCTTTATTGTAGAGCTTCGTATTCAAGATCAATCATTTAGTATAATCTATTATTAATTACGAATTATAATCATTATTGTGTTATTTAAGTTTTTGCTTGATGTTTAATTATAAACCACCTCGAGAGTCTAGAGCACTTCTATGTGATCTAGACGGCAACCCTCGTAACACGACAGTACAATCCTCATTGCATATATCATATGAAATGATTAAATGAGTAAATAAGTAATGAATTATTTAAAGAATGGGGTAATATCAAATATCAAATAGAATGGGATCGGATGGGAAGGACGAGAAGGGAGTACACAAAACATTTGTAGCATATTCCATTTTTCACCATTGAGGACCAGAAATGGAGATGAGCCGCTCATCTATCCTTACTTTTGAACTCCGATTCATTGATATATCATCTTTATATACCTAATAGGTAGCTATGTATTGAAGGTGTTTGGTTGAATATCTGAGTTTTTGATGCAAGTAGGCCAGAAATGGATGAATGGAAGGATGTATATATCTGACTCTCCTGATTTTTTGTAGAAGAATATATAAATAATTACCGATATAGATACTAAATTATTTGAAGTTTTCCCTGTTGGGAAAGTAGTACTATTACAGAACAAGAACAGGTATGTATGTCAGCATACGAAATTACACATAATAGCTACATACAAATTTACCTTGGTATTAAATTGTCAATACGACAAAGAAGGTAAAATGAACTTCAATCCTCAATCCTAAGAGAAATTTAGTTCTCGGATGTAAGGCTGCAAAGGAAACTTTGTAGGGGGCTGATTAGTTAGGTCATTGATGTTGTTGTTATTGTTATTTATTTATGTATTATGTTTACCTCGAGCCCGGCATAAGATAATAAAGAGTAATCATAAAAGATTAATGAGATAGATAGGGAGGTAGGTAGGTGTAATGAAATTGATATCGCTGTTGTTGTGAGTAGGGATGGGTTGATAATGTTTTATGTCGTCTTTGATATAAGATCTCGAGCTTTAATTTAGAACCGAAGGACTTATCCGACATATCCGCATCACAGAAGTCAGCACGCTGGTTTGAAGAGGATTCTGACCTTTTCGTTTATCTGGCTTGTGGTGTATTTTGTTTCACAAGTGTTTTATAGAGGTGTTTGAAGTTTGAGGGTGAGATGATGAACGGGGAGATAGATAGGTTGGTGGGTGGATTTTGATATTTTACTAATGCTTGAGGATTTCTCTAAAGTTTACAATTACTAGTATCCATTGAGGGATGTGAGGTTTATTGATTATTTGGAGTCAAAACAATCTTTTATAATAATCAAGGTTTCTATTAGTGTAGTGTATAGTATCTTGATGATGGGTATTTATTTAAAATATGTATGAGCCTTTGAGTATTAGGAGAACAGTAATATTGTATGAGCTTGCTCAGAAATGAGGTATGTTTCTCGAATAGAGTGGAGTGAGTGTGCAGATGTTCTATAGAGATGTTCCTCTAGCTTTGAGCATTTGGAATTTGGTAATATCTGAAAGTCTGCTTCAAGTCCGCTTCGGTGACAATCGTAGAGGAGTTTTTATCGGGATAGCTTGCTCTGGAATTCTGTAATATAATCTTGTGAACTTTAATATCATTTTGGCTTTGTGACGTCCTTTGGGGAATGTGCTTCGTGGTTCCCATTGACATTGACCATACATTATCGTCCTTCTCTTACTTGGAGAAACTTCCAAGCATAGGCATTTGGGCCTAAAGAGCTAGAGTACAGTATAAGTATATCGCGAAAAAAACAATTCTTGAATGCTATTGTGAACATGAGCTTGATCTGAAGCTTCGAAGAGCTAATTCCGAGCCATTTTACCAGCAGCAAACGCTGGACTCATCGAATGGAACCAGCATCACCTTTCTGGTATACGACATCGCATTCCTTCGAAATAATATCACATACCTACTAACAGCCTCTTCGCCGCAGCAAATTCAAGAAAATAACACGACAAGTCAAACATATATGATTTTCCTGTTCACTCTAAAAGACAATATAGAAAGGGGAAGGTGACGTTGAAATGGAAAAATGCACGGTGCGGGTTTTGAGCCCTGCATTTCATTACCCGAACGAACCTTCAACTCGTGGACATCACAATCCATTAAATGGAGAATCTTCCAGCTGTGAACGCCAATTAAACAGTCATTGATATGACCGGGTGTGCTCTACTAATAAAATGGCGCAGACAACAATGCCATGGCTGTGCCGCCGATGAACACTTCTACTACTATCGAAATGCAAACTTGACGCGTTTTTTAATGCGGACCAAACGCGTCGCGGAAGACATTACTTATTGATGATAATGGGTGCGGCTAACTACTAACTTAGCATCTGCAGGTTCTTTAGGGATACATATGTTCTATGTTATGCCATTATCTACGAGCGATGTGCAGCTCAGCATGCCGTTCGACCTATTCTACCTTTCCAGTGGTGAATTTTATACCTGGTCGACGACCTCATATCTGCAAGATGTGCGATTGAAGGTTATCAATCCATCCAGTAGAGTGTGTGATGTGAAGCGTGGTATTAGAGAATGAGATACAGCAAAATAGGACATCAAGAAACCGCAACTGGCAATACACTGCTTCTATTATGGTCATGAGAGGGAAGAGTTGATTGATGAGGTGGCCTAAGTACGTACGGCCTAAAGACCCTGAGAAATGAGAATAAACGGGCAAGGGAAAGAGACCGAAGCAATGCCACCATTCACAATATATCGAGTATACCAAATACGGCAGGGCTTCGCGACCACAGATGGCGATTGGAGCAGATGGTAATTCGGTGGTGATGGGTTTGAGTATCTTGAATAAAAGTCATCCATTCTTGGGCTGTCAGGGTGACGGACCGTTGGTGTTGGACCATACGAACTTGTTCTCCGGAGAACAGCTGCGGGTTGTGAGATTACAGGATGGAGTGCTCTGATGGTATCATCATGCAAGTTCTGATTACTTGCTCGTTGCCATTCATGACCGACTATTGGAAGAGTATAAGAGGGAAATTAGGTAACCTTGGGACCCGAAGTGAGAACAATCACAAAATCATTTCTTCAGAGCAAGTGTTGCGATCAAAGCCAAACTTTTACTGAACCGCTACACCAATCCAGGAGGTTAGTCAAGGCAAAAGTGTGGATTTGGATTGGGTTTGTGGCAACTGATATTTTTCCCGTTGTCAGATTCAAGGTGTATATGATGGAATACAAACCCAGAATCTCTTCATTTCCACGACTCAAATCAAACTTTACCGTTTGCATGTCTCACATCTTTACAGCTAAAATTAGTAACATCTTAGTCGCTGTTTGGGTCCGAATACATATATCTTCGAACAAGTCCGAAAATTGAACTGTCCCATAAACTTGAGAAAGGAGCAAATTAGACAACTTTACCAAATTGACCTCCCACGGGCAATCGACGGAGTTTTTGAAGATGGTAGTTTGGTATTTTCGAAGACTAATTCTCACATCCGCATTCCACTGATGAAACTTTCTCGGAACCGACCGTGTGCATCTACTCAATGATCCGACGATTGTTTAGGAGATGATGGGCTTGCAAGATCAGCTAAATGTTACTCGCAAAACAATCAAAACCGCTACACGACACTTCCACAACACCTTTCTCATACATGTTGATATTTTCCACAATGATCATGTTTCTATGTGCATGTGCGGTATAGGAAACATCTGCAATAGGCAGTTGAATTCCTCACGACAGCTATGTTTGATACAAGTTGATCCCGAAATCTCTAATCTAATATCGTAGTTCGTCGTACAAGGCATTTCCAAATTCTCCAATCTGTTTCGCCTCTTTACATCACAGGAATCAGCTTCTGCCTTCTGCAATGGTAGCCTCAAGACTTTCAGATGACTTTAGATCTCACTCACGCCATCTGCATACGTTTGCAATCGCCACTAGACGCGGCCTAGTTCTTTGCTTTGCCTTTGAACCGATTTAGACTCCAATTGAACCACTTGGCCATTCTCTTTCCCCTTGCTCAAACTACAATACTGGACATTTTGCCTTCCTTGATATGAGATCGGTGGAAAACAATGGATCCCATGCTCGCCTAACGAGAATCCTTCTTTGGTTTGAATTTTGCCATGGACCCATCCGTTCTTTGAGCAAGAAATCCTCCTTCCTGCATTGCCTTGCAGAAACTCTCCCATCTAAGGTCTGTTCTTTCTTTCTAGCAGTTGCAAGAATTGTAGATATAACGTTGTAAGTATAATCTAAGTATTTATAATATGAACAATGAGGTACTTAGAGAAAAGTGATTAAGTGTTTGATAGAGTGATCTGCGATGAATAAAATTCCTATTTTTAATTATTTTATCATCCATTTAAGAGTCTTACAAATTATAGCAATCTTCCAGCAAGTTTCTAGCAAGTGTCAGCAATATAAGCAATTATGTCCCATCCCAGTAAAGCAAACATAGCAAGAATCCACAACTTCATTTCATCTCCGCCACCACCGATGAATTATATCATATAATCCAGTAACTCTCCATCAAAATCCCCCATTCATCCTCATCATATCACCCCATCTCTCTTTCATTCGCAAAACCTCCGATTCCATTCCGTTATTCCATCATGATTGATTGTCTCTAACCATACCATGATAGAGATGTACTCATCAATAACCGGTGATTACTCCGCACTATGACACCACATAGCCAAACTAACGAGAGGGAGAACCATCTATCACATCACATATGAATATTAGTATTTTCATCTTACACTTCCATCTTGTCTTATTCTCGTTATAATACTCTCTCCACCATCATATCATCCCTATCATCTAAAACTAGAAATCAGGGGTAAACATAAGACTTACCAAATCTGTTACCTGACAACAAAGTCTATGTTCGGCCGCTGCACAATATCCATCATCGTCTAGAGCTTTGCCTGGGTATTCCGAAATGTGTATTAGTATATATTCAATCATCTTTTTTCCTTCTCTTCCTTCATCCGTCTCCTGCTTCCCTTTACAAAAACCTCATCTCCTGATGGTGATCCCGTATTCTATCCAATCCCAAGCCCCATGACTAAATCTCTCCCCCCGCCTTCCAAACTCCCAAACTCGCAAACAAAAAGCAACCAAAGAAAGAAAAAGGAATAAAACTCACACCCCAACCCATTAACACTATTCCGATTCAACCCCAACCCAAACAATTCCGCCGCGTACAAAACCACCGGTTGATCCCCATCGAGTATTCCCTCACAACAAAGTAATTGTCCGGAATTAACATCGATACATTCCTGGGAGTGGATTGTCGTCATGAGAGCTGGTGGTGGAGGGGAGTTGAGTGTGGAGAGGGTGATTGTGGTGTTGATTAGGGTGGTGAGGAGGGAGGTGGGAGGATTAGGGGAGGAGGAGGAGGGTGGTTGTGGGTATAGGTGTGGCGAGGATGAGGGCGAAACGGTAGAGGAGGAGGAGGAGGGAGAGCAAAATGAAGGGGTGTTGCATTGTTTGTTGGTGGGATGTGGGAATAGTGTCCTGTGAATTCTCGAGAAAGCAAGTAATAAAATCCACAATCTCAGCAACAGATCAAAAGAAGAAGATATTCGCCGATTGCTGATTGCTGATTACTTTTACTCCTCGTACCGCGTTTATATCGTATCGTATCGTATCGTCCTGTGCTGTATTTTATTGTATTGTGTTGTGTTTGTGATAATATCTTAGAACGAAAAAGACAAGAAAAAAGACCTAAACAAGAAAAAGACTCAGTTCAGGAAGGTCCATCTTGGTATATTATACTTTACTTTACTATACTATACATACATACATACATACATACATACATACATACATACATACATAGCGTATAATCGAATGGCAATCCCTACCAAGAACCAAGAACCAAGAACCAAGTATCTAGATTTTAGATACATTTGTTCCTACTATATCTCATATAAAAGAATAAAATGCAACCACGAATCCCACAAATCGAATACCTATTATATACTTCTTTCTTATTTTTCATTTTATGGGGAGAACAATTAGGATAAATCTTAGAAGCAGAACAGAAGTAGAAGGAAAGACTAAACAAACCTAGAGTCACATAGATAAGAATTCTTTACCGCACACTAATGCTCTATAAATATAATTAGATCTTATATATCTCATAATTAGCGATTCATTTATTTCATCTCAATTTACTCGTCGCTTAATTAACTCTATCATCATCATCATCATCCAAGTAGTGACTGACGCCAATTTTTTTTAAATACAAGTAGGTAAGTAAGTAGGCCTTTTACCAATCAATCGATCAATCGAAAAGGAAAGACCAAAGCTTAACCTTACCTACCTACCTACCTACCCACCAAATAAATGCACAAATGCAATTTTTTCCCCGCTCGCTGAAAAAAGAAAAAAATCTATAAATTCAACCCCTTCCACACCATTTTAAATTAATCCTTCTCTCCCTATTTCTTTCCATCCAATTCCAGTCAATTTATCAAATTTCCAATCTCAAATTTCCAATCCCAAATTTTCAACTCTTCAAAATCAATTCCTCCAACTTTGCCCTCTCTCCACTTTCCTTTATCATTCCTCTAAAAACCCCCTCCTTCAACGCCAACAATTCCTTCGGCGTTCCAAATTCCACCACCTTTCCTTCACCCATCACCAAAATTTTATCAAAATCCGCAATTGTAGAAAGTCTATGCGCGATAACAATCAACGTACTATCGGTAAATTCTTGCCTAATTGATCTTTGAATAAGTGCATCAGTTTCCATATCCACAGCACTCGTAGCTTCATCTAGAACCATGATTTTAGGATGTGAAACGATAGCGCGGGCGAGACAGAGAAGTTGTCGTTGACCTTGTGAAAGATTGAGTCCACCTTCTGTGATTGGGGATTGTAGAGATGTGAAGAGATTTTTATTCTTTTGAGTTTGGAGCGAGGGAGTTGAGGTTCCAGATGTTGATGGTGAATTCTGGGATGTTGATGGAATTAATTGTACGCGTTCGAGAGCATCGCGAAGTTCGGTGTCGGAGTGTTCATCAAATGCATCGAGATTAGATCTAATGGTTCCGGAAAAGAGAACAGGATCTTGTGGGATGATGGCTAAACGAGATCGTAGAGAATGTAGGTTAATTTTAGAAATGTCGAGACCATCGATGTGAATTGTCCCTTGACGAGCTTCTAGAAATCGGAAGAGTGCAAGAGTTAAAGAAGATTTACCAGCTCCGGTACGTCCAACTACTCCGATTCTTTCACTACGTTCAACGCGGAAAGTGAGACCTTTAAGGACAGGTGGTAAATCATCTGCATATGAAACAACAAGGTCATTAACTTCAAGACGACCTTCAGTTGGCCATGCTGCTGGTGGATCTGGTCCTTCTAGAGATTCAGTCTTTAAGTTTGAGTATTCAACGATACGTTCTGCTGCCTGTGAAATTAGAAAGTTAGTAATTGTCAAGAGAAAGCAGGTTCTGAAAAGATGATGAACTTGATTGTATGGAAGAGAAGTTTGTAGAGGGTGAAAATAGAAAATTAACCATTGAGAAAATAGATAAGACTTATCAAACTTACATTCATGTTAAGCTCCAAATTGGTATAATGACGAATAGTCCACATGACCGTTTGACCATAAGTAAGTGCAAAAGATAATGCGAAACCTGCAAGTCCTGCATTAATCGTAGGAATAAGAATGATAACAACAGCGACAATTGTAGCGAAGAATCCTCCGATGAAAGACATACGCCATCCCATCCAGCGATTGAAAGCCCATAAATGCCAGAATGTAGTAGAATGATCATCAATCTTGGCCCACATGTTTCTGATGTAAATATCAGTCTTATCAAAAGCTCGAATGGTACCAACACCAGTAAGAGCAGAACCAAATTGTTCAAAGATTGGTGATTTAGCAGTTGATTCAAGTCTTTTAACTTCTCTTGCACCAGATAGATAGAGAAGTGCAACGTAAACACATAGTGCCAGAAGAATTGCAGACATGAGAAGAACCCATGGAGAGATGAAGATACTAATTATTTTTAGTTTGAAGATTAAAGACTAGAATCTGATAAACTTACCCTGTACCAATAATGCCAATCAATTGAAATAGGTTATTTGCTCCAAATGCAAAATCATTGGCTAATCTTCCATCAACTACATTGAAATCTGCAGTAAATCTATTCAAGATTCTACCGAGTGGAACCGTGTCCATCCATCTCAAAGGTGTTCTTAAGACGGTAAAGCAAAGGTTTTCGAAAAGAACCTTGGATGCACGGATGGATCCGGTGTAAACGTAGAAGTATCGAAGGGTTCCTACAATCGCAGAAATTGCCGAAAGACCAACATATACAGTTAGATAAAATGAAGTATCATGTTTGATAGTTTCAGTTTGGAAAGAAGAATTCTGAGTATTTCCATAGGATGGCAAGTAATTAGCTTGAACTGTGAACATGGAGTTAGTAATGCTAGATTCCTGGTAGCTTTCTGTCCAAAGCTTCAACCACCAAGAACGACCTAAAAAATGTCAGTAACTGTGCAAAGTGGACGACAATGATTGTTGATATCTTACCAGTGACTAAGAATTGTTGCCCAAGGAATGCAATCAAGACAAGTATCCAGAAAGACCATCCACCAGAAGCCTTAAGATAATGCCCGTAGACCTTGACTTTAACACTGCCACGCTCTCTTGTCTCTTCTTGAACAAATTTCTTTGGGTCATCCTTTCGTGATACAACCTTCGCCAGTGTATTTCCATCGGTGTTTTCATCATCAGAAGACTCGGATGGGTTAATAACAGTAGATGATCCCGATACGGTAATGGGAGATTCATCCTCAGCGATCTGTTCCGGTGTCTCTTCATGACTGATAATACGTTCGAGTGTACCTGCTTCTTCTAGTTCCGAGAGAAGACCTGCACTTTCTACAGTTCCATCACCAAGCTCAACAACATATTTAGCTTTAGCTTTGCAAAGAGCAACGTGATGAGTAACGAGGATACGAGTCCTTCCAACACCAAGTTCACCAGTAAGACCTTTTTCATAAATGAATCGACCAACATGAGCATCGACGGCGCTGAAAATGTCGTCTAGAACCAATATACCAGCACGAGAGTAAAGAGCTCGAGCAAATGTAACTCTCCATCTTTGACCACCACTCAAATTGATACCGTTTGCCCCAATTTCAGTATTCTCGCCATCTCCAAGCATTTCCAAATCTTTACGAAGAGCGCAGTATTCGATAACCTTCTGATAACGATCCTCGTCTGATGGTAACCCGAAAAGAATATTGTCCTTAATGCTAGCATTTTCAATCCAAGGGATTTGTGCGACGAAAGCGATTGAGGATGGAATGATCCAGTTGTCTTTGTTGGCAAGATGATCACGTCGTTCTTCGGCTTTGGGACCACGAGGAACATGGACTTTACCGGCAAGAATATCAACCTCTCCAAGAATTGAAGCCAGCATTAAACTTTTCCCAGTACCGGTTTTACCACTGATGACACTTAATTCTCCTTGGGGAAATGAAACATCTACATTCCTTAGAACATATCGTTCGTTTGCATCCATCTCGTCTTCACCCTCAGCACATGGCCATGCAATCGAAGCTTTCTCGAATGAAATATTCGGAGCGTCACTGGTACTTTCGGATATCTCAACCCCAGCCAAATATCTTTGGATACGATTTATAGAAATATAAGCATCAATCAAGTCCGTGGTGAGTTCCGGAATGACACTAAGGGTAACTTCAAGACTGACGAAGACACCAATGGCAGTGAAGGCGACCGATGGTAGGAGAACGCCGTGGAGGTATGCATATACAGCTAATGCTACCGCAGCAAGGGCGATAGGGCTTGTAATCCAGCAAAAGAGTAACATTGTATCGTTGAGATAGACACTCCATTGTTCATCCAATTCCTTCTTTCGGACCATGCCAATTTTGTTGCCCCAGTTCGATTCCAGTGCGGAAAACTTAATTTGTCGAATTCCTTGAAGTGCTTCAGTCACAACTGCCATCTTAACATCTCTAACTTTCATCAATCTGTCTTGGGCTGCTGAATAACGCCTGCTAAAGTAAATGTTGAGAGGGATGGTTAAAGACATGGCCAACATTCCAGCAACCAAACTCTTCCATCCAATGATACTAATCAAGAAAGAGAAAGAGACGATAAGCTTGAAGACCGCGCCAGGAAAGTAATTATTGAATGAGCAAAAGTCTGATACCCTCTTGGCATCCACACCAATCAAATTGACGGTGGATTGCTTTCCCTTAGGATCACTATCATCCTCTTCTTCGTCTTCCGGTTTATCTTGTGCGATTGACTCTTGTGCTGCTTCAGTTGTGCCATTCGTGGACTTCTTCCCGGATCTAGCTGCTCCTTTCACATCCTTACGTCTCATGGCTTTTTGGAAAATTTGAGCAGATAATTGTGACCTAATAGGAATCGCCAGTTCGGACCAGGAAACCCAAAACATCCAGGATTCGATCCAAGCTGCGGCGAGAGTGACCAAGAATAATGTGGCTACCCAAATCCAAGCCTCGAACTGTATTTCATCTCCAGGTAAACGGGTCTCCAATATCTTCAAAATTTGAAAAGTCACAAACTGTGGTGCAAAATTTCCAAAGGCCTGGAATACGGTAAGGATCCATTGAATGACGAAAGGCGATTTATGGGCCAGGAAAATTTCAAACCAGAGGGCTTTGGTATGCTTTTTCTCCTCCCACGCTTCACTGAGATCCTTTGCCCTGGTGTAATGGTCCATTTTAGGTAAATCCTGTATTTCTAGCCGCTTTTTATCAGAGGCCAAAGCCAATATGTCTCCAACCCAGGCAAAGGTATATCTATCAAGCGCAGAAACGGACCACATGCCATCGACCGGGTGCTCATTCAAAGTAACATGTGGACGTCGGGGAAATGAGATGGCGAAAACAGCGGCTAACAAAGTGAGTATCAATTGAGATATGCGAAGCCAGAAAGTTGCACTTGATAGGAAATTTTCCTCCACAGACTGATTCTGCACAATGAGGCCATCCTCGTAAAGACAAAGGGCGAAAAGGCAGATACTCGAAATTGCTGTACGACCACCATTTGCATATGCTTTCGTAGGGCTTCTATTTAGTATAGTGCTAGCCGCTTGAATTAGGATGAAAGACTACAATCGAGTCAGTAAAGTTATATATGGCCTAAGTTTATGAATGATTCAACTTACCCATAGCGCCACATTGATCCAATCTTCAAGGTTCAATCCATCATGATGAAAGAGATCCACAATGGCCAAAGTTAAAGATGTTACAAATCCGAAAAGTGTCGACACAATCAGGAGTGCCTTGGGAACCTTGGTTGTAAATGCAGCGATTGTTTCTTCCGTTGCAACTCCATCTTTATCAATATAAATACTGGGATTTTGCTTTCCTTTTCCTTGGAAATGAGAAATTACTGAGAGGACAGATGGAAAAGTAAGGACAATGGCTACAAGAAGACAGCAGATTGCCGCGGCAAGTGAACCCGAATTGAAATCGAGCATCTTGGATTGTCTAGTTTTGGAGGGAAAACTGGTGTAAAGTTCAGATCATTCTTTACTGAAAGATATTCCCAATTGAAAAGTAATGCAAAGAAGACTGCTTCAGATGATGCCGTTGATCCTCAATTAAAGCTGGGGATAAAAGCAAGCAAAGGGGAAATACAAGTCCAAATTTGTGAGAACCGTCCCAAAGGATTTATTTTATTCTCCTTCCTCCGAACGAAGATATATATTTGAGCAGGGCAAAATAAAATCTGGCTCATAGGACGGCTAGAAACGATAAGTGATTAGGTAGGTAGGTAGTGTTGACTCATACGGGCAAGATCATGTCAGGTAGTACGAGTCAAAAAGGGTTAGTAGTGGGTCAAATGAAGGTGAATATTATACGGGAAAAGGCGAAGGAAGAGGTAAAAATCATGATTAGATTGATAAATAAACGATGGATTGATGGATTGATGGATTGATGGATTGATAAATTGATAAATTGATAAACTGATAAAAGTGATAAAGTGATAAAGTGATAAATCAATCAAATCTATAGGGAGGGTTATTAATCAGAAATCTAACTCCACAGACTCGACAGCTACCCAAAAGAAATGGCGGGGACAAAGTCGAGTTTTATCGAAAGGAGGATGTTGGTTGGTGGGGTTGACTGTGGGTGGATCTGGATGGTGGCTCTGTAGTACGTGCATGAGTGGGTGGGTGGATAATAAGTGAATGGTGATGAATAAATAAATAATAAATAAATAAACACCCTTGTTTATGAGGGAAGCGAGCTTGGATATCAAGGACGATGAGGTAGCATTACCTATCTAGGTAAGTGAGATCAAAAGACGATGTGTGAAGAGACATCATAACATGACGAAAGATAAATGAGATGAGATAAGAAGATATGACTAGATTTCATGACCGAGTAGAGTACGAATGGGGGAGTCAGATAGAGATAATACCTATATATGCATCGTAGGATAATATAAAAGATTCTACTGCTATATGCATCACCCACCTCCTCTTTCTTTAGTTCCAACCTAATAAGTTGCAGCTGGATATTTTCATGTTCATCTCAACATCCATCATCTGCATCCCGGCTTCCCTATGGCCAACGTACAAACCGAACAGTGGTATCTTATATCAATACTCCCTATACAATAAATGTAAATGTAAATAAATGTAAATATCAGCCAAGGTAGGTCACCAATTCCCCCCACCAAAAATCGTACCCAGAAGATCATGCATCCAGATCGTTGGGACAACCCTTCCATCTTATGGGTTAAATTCCATGTATGCAGACCATGGCCTCCTCATTGTTTCCTGAATGTCTCTTTTTCGGCCCCATATGTATACCGTTATACACCAACCGTCTAAAGTGATGGTAAAAATAACGCTGGGGCTGTCTGCAAGATGGAAATATGAGTGAGATCGATGTTAACTCCGACCGACACAATTAGGTTCTCTGATCTACTCTCGGCCAGCCAGTTGATAAAAGATATTCAACGATCTCTGGGCAATTCTAATCTCTTACTCATAAGGTTACCCATCCTCGTGTCATCAAGGATTTAAGAGAGCAAGGTTGACTCTGGATGGTATAATACATACTACAGTAACAACAAGATATGACCCAGACCAGCTAGTCATTTAGCTACAGCACTTAGTGATACGAGTACTCATTGCTAAACTGCCTTCCTGTTCAGGCTGACCGAGAGCGGTGTGTAAATGAAGTTGCAGTTGATCTGGCCTTGTATGGATCAAAAGGATCAAATATGTGACTGTCGGCAAGGAGACTCATAGGGTATAAGTGGGTTAGCTTGGTAAGCACTCAATGTCTTTAGCGAATTGAGAAATTTTGAGAATAGATTTCTTACCTTTCCGTCTGTTTTGTCTGTTTCTTCTACCCATCATCATCCTTTGATGCAGATACCATTTGACATCCCACGGTTGCTGTTTCCATATCATCTTTCTACAGAGTATCATCTTATCGGAAGATCAATCTGCACTCCAATGCGCTGCACCTCCCACGTATACACCGATGATAAATCGAGGCCAACAAGACTAGACCGAGAATATGCCCCACGAGAGTATGTAGTGCTCCGTATATCTATGGAAATGTGAAAGAAGGTTTCTATGATGGGTCCGATGATGCTTTAATTCACCCAAGAATTCAGGGCGGGATCCAGGAGCCGGGGTTGTTTGACCTTGTACGTTTATCGACTCGCTCGAGTTATCGACGACCTCCACTCAAGTACATTAGTTTGACTGCAGTTGTTGTCTACGGTACAACGTCAAGCAACGACTAACCAGTGACGGATTTCAACAATGGGACCGATGGAAAAAGCTTACTCCGTATACACCATGTGTGGATCAGGTACAAAATATTTGATTTGTACTCCGTTCTGTGTAGCAAGTATGAACGTGAGTAAGTCAGTAGGGAGACTCACGTTATAAATACCGGTAAACATCTATGGTTCTCCAATGATATGTCGACAGTAATTCGAATATACAGATATTCTGCATCTTTTCCTCTGAATGGAAGGCTGGGGAGAATCGGTACTGACGCACATATATTTATCAGATATGGTATACCCCTACAACAATGGTTAGAAGAAGCTTTCGTTTGGCGGATCTGATAAGCAATCAATCGTCAAGAGAATGGAGGGGCTCGCCGGTCTGCCAGTCTATTGTGCAATTCTGACCAAAGAAGAATGTTGAATGCTGTAGATATTTCACATTTCTTCACAGACTCAAGAAGTAGAAGGCAAGAAGGATATAGTGTAGAGTGATGGTTGATAGCTATTATTTTTCACAGATTTAGTAAAGCAAGACTTATATTTATTACCTAGGTATTTGAGTAAAGATTCATTCCTATTATCTCTTTCCCTCTTTTTAATTGGTGTTCCATCCATTCCATTGATTTTGGAATCCATTCAACGCGTAAAATCCATTGGACGCGCATAAACGTGAAAACATTACCTACTACCTACCTTCTGAGTACCTGCTGTACCGTAAGTAACCTCACTGACTTTGGAGTCTGGCTGCGTACAACCTTATGAGACCTCAACTATTTCACTACACTGCCCTGCGCTACACTTCACTACAACTCCCTACACTACTATTATCATTCTTTCAAATATCAATTAGATAATTACTTGGAAAAGGCTTTCACTCGAATTGATTGTTCTTTTGACCATCAGCCACGATTCAATCAATTCCTTTGAACAATCTTCGGCACCTTTCTTATCGTCACTCCGGAGGATGATTAAAGTTTCTATCGTACTGAAATTCAAAACCATAATCCCAGTACCAGCAATCCTACCACACTACCTTTCCAAGGACGTTCAGACTCATCAAACAGACCATCATTCTGCAATTATCTAATCCCACGTCTCAAGATCATTCGACTAAGGTGGCTTCGAATTGAACCACGCAAATATACCGTCCTCGGCCAACGCTCATTTCAAAACCTCAATCATCAACCTCGAGAAACACCGGCATAATGAAGGCTACGCCCTTGATCATCAACTGGCATGATCAAAATTCTCCCATATATAGTTGTGATTGGGAAAAGACAGGAAAAGGAAGATTAGCTACTGCAGGAGGGGATGGGAACGTTAGGGTGCGTTTAGTCTACTCGAAATCGAAATATGAGAGATACTGATTGGGCTATAGTTATGGAAGATAGAATCCGATGGAGAGGACCGCAAGATTGAATATTTGGCTACTCTGCAAAAACATACACAAGCAGTTAACGTAGTAAGATGGGCTCCGAAAGGTATGAGCACAAGATCTTACATTTCAAAATGGAGTGAGGCTGATCAATTTTGTAGGAGAGCTACTAGCATCTGCTGGAGACGATGGAAATGTCCTGCTTTGGGTACCTAGCGAAGCTTCAAATATTACACCTGCATTTGGGGGAGATGGATTTGAAGAAAAGGAAACATGGCGGACGAAACATATGTGCAGATCATCTGGTGCTGAAATATATGATTTGGCTTGGTCTCCAGATTCCGTTTACTTCATAATTGGGAGTATGGATAATGTTGCGAGGATATACAATGCTCAAACTGGTATGCGATCATGACCATGGGTCCCTCCATATGGAAAGCTAATCAATCATATCTAGGTCAATTGATTAGGCAAATCGCGGAGCATCAGCACTATGTTCAGGGTGTTGCATGGGATCCATTAAATGAATATATCGCGACACAGTCCTCCGATCGATCCGTACATATTTATACTTTGAGAACGAAAGATGGACAATTCAGTCTCGATAACCGGGAGGAACCGAAGAGGATTGGGCATAATTTGAAGATGGATTTACCTGGAAGAAGGATCTCCTCCAATAGTCCAGCACCTCCCGAGCTTGGATTTCGATCACAATTTCCACCAGAAACACCAAATATAATAGGTTCACCAGGACCATCATGCCCAGGTACACCAACTTCTATGGCATTACCAATGAATCCTCCTAGTGTTATTAGTCACAGTAGAAGATCTTCATTTGGTGCTTCTTCTCCTGCAATGTCTATGCGAAGATCAGCTTCCCCTGCACCTTCTATGCCATTACCCGCCGTCATGCCGATGGAAGCATCACCAAAACCATATTCGATGATTGGACTTGGAGTTAAAAATGCCCATATCTACGCCAATGAAACTCTCAAATCATTTTTTCGCAGATTAGCATTCACGCCCGATGGTAGTCTTCTTTTTACACCGGCCGGTCAATATCAAACACAACATAAAGGATCAGAAGATGGTGCGAAGATGATGTATGAAGTGATTAATACGGTTTATATCTACACAAGAGGTGGAATTAACAAACCTCCTGTCGCTCATTTACCTGGTCATAAGAAACCTTCTGTGGCCGTTAAATGCTCACCAATTTACTACACAACACGAAAAGTTCCCCCACCAGTTACAAAACATATTAGCATTGATACATCATCAGCTGATGACACGATGGCAGCGTTACCAGAGCCAGCGATGGTTCCTAAATCACCATCTCATGCATCAATGGAACCACCTCCACTTGTATCACAAAGTAGTGATTCGCCAAGACCTAGTTCTTCATCTAGACTAAAGACTTTGGAGGTTGAAACAAGCGTAACTTCTCAAGGTCCAACGATGGCATTTTCTTTACCGTATCGTATGGTTTATGCTGTTGCAACAGAGGATTCAGTCTTATTGTATGATACACAGCAACAAACCCCGCTTTGTATAGTGAGCAATTTACATTGTGCAACTTTTACAGATTTATCCTGGTATGCTTACACTAATCCATGAAAATTGAATAACGCTGATTGTTTTAGGTCATCTGATGGAACTACATTATTGATGACGTCTTCGGATGGTTTCTGCTCAACATTAACTTTTACACCTGGTGAACTTGGTCAAATTTATGATGAAGAAATCCCAATCGCAAAACGTTCACTCGTAAGTGGTTCGGCTGTCTCATCAACACAGAATACACCCATGGCAACCCCAACAGCTGGTATTGCACCTCCATCACCATTTCCAATCCCAAATAATCATCATCGTACATCCTCAAATCCTATGGTTGCACCATCACCTCCTCCTGCTCCCGTCACAACTTTCCGACCTTCTTCACCCACTCGATCAAATTCAACCTCTTCGGTAGCAACACAATCTTCTTATGCGACACCAGCTCTTGGTGCGATTATAAGTAATCCAACTCCATTGGCGAGTAGTCTTCCAGGTATTGCCGCTGCGAACATTGCATCAGGTGTACCTATAACGACACCTCCACAAACTCCTCGAAGTACTACTGGTTCGTTAGCTGGCATTAAACGACCAGGTGATGCAAGCGAAAGTGAAAAAGAAGATGTTACAGCAGGACATGAAAAGAAAAAGAGAAGAATTGCACCTACTCAAATCTCTTCTTTAACGAACCCTAGAAGTGGATTAATGGATTGATTTGATGTATTCTTCCTTATCCACGCAAACAGCTTTCTTGGTGCGGCGGTCAGTCCAAAAAGCTACTGCGAATGAAATAATATAATAGCAAATGCACTATTTTCTATTAGTTTATCATCGATTTAGTGGATTCGGTATATTCTTTTTATATCTTACTGTTCATAAAGTTTGATAATTATAAACCAAAACCTTTGTTTCATCCAGCCACGCCAGGTTTTGGCTTCCTGTCTACTATGATAAATCAAAGGAATTCTATAACAATTGAAAACAACTAACCTTCGGTAAACTATCTCGTCCCTTAGATTATTAGTTAATATAATACTATCAATCTATTCTTGATTTGGAAAGTGTAATAACTAAACTGTTCTTTCAATTCCGTACTCCTGCTTACATGATTAGCAGATTGACAAATGAAATAAACTCGGCTAGCAACGAGGGGTATGCTTGGATGTTCTGCCCATAGAATAAAACTGGAAGAAAGTTTTGGGAAAGGTCAATACCAACAGTTTCCGAATTTCTTCCTGACTGAAACACAGATTAGTGAAATTCGGACACTGAGGTGTGAATAAGAGGCACTCACTCCTCTTCATGTCGTCTTTTACTGAAATATTTATCAATATAAAAGCTTTGTATAAATGCTAGTGGTATAAAAAGATGTACTTACTAGTAGGCAATATCATTCTTCTTAAAAAACAAATTAGAAAAACATATGTAGAAGTCAATTAATAACGTACATTTCGAGGACACGTCTTGTGACACTAAAATAAATTTAGTGCACGGTCTGTCTGTAAACTTCTAGTCTAGTGATTTGACTTACAGGTCAACAACCTCCTCTGCATCTCTCTCTGATGGTGCTACAAGAGCTTTATTAGCTATTTAATCTGATTGAATGGGATTGGGTGAAGCTTACACAGTGATGGCCGAAGCTGGGCGTGGTGCCAGAGCTACTATTGTGTCTTCATTAGCAAGTATTATACATAGGTCAAATGAACGAACTCCTTTGAGAGCCGTCAAAAAGGAATTACCACATACGTGAAGACATTTTCATTTGATTAGAGAAGAAGAACATAATTGAAGCTGTACCTTTTCTTTATATTCTAGAAAGACTCAACTACATCGGTCCTTCCTAACCCGGATCTTCATTGAATAGGTAACCTCAAACTATAAAGTGAAGATAGAAGCACATAGGCCTTCTTCCCTCTGTAACCCTTTGTTTCTTTAATGACTATCTTGCAAAAATACTCTATCTTCTCTCCATATCTTCCTCGCTATTAGAAATCCATACTATGGGATTCTCTAATAATTTATTAAATCACTTAATAATATCAGCCGAACCGATGATCGGGTGATCACGTGACATATTAATAATATTTATATATATTATTAAATTTCATTATCATATGAAAATTCGATTATAATTTATATCAGATTGATTTATAAGGGAATCGAATGAAATAAAAGCGTATAGAATTTCTTACTTACCAGATTGAATATTATTGGTTATTATTTCTTTTTATTATATAGAATGATTCTATAAGATTCGATTCAAATTTATCTTATTATTAATCATCGAATATACTATAATTTCATTAAATATTATAAATATAAAGATTTTCTTTAAAGAATCCTTTGATTATCAAGATAAAGAAAAACAATAAAAACTCTACTCTATTATTTTGACTTCAATTTATGATTATATTCGATTTTACCCTATTAAGCTTCAATACAACTAAGTCTTCCACTATCACCATAATTATTATTATTTATTATCGATTAACCTCCTCCAAGACATACGATTTCGAACCAATAGTTTGAGGATTATGTATCTCGCAATAATAAAATACACATCACTACAATAACAATTGCTTCTTCGATATTGTCTGGTTCCTCTTTTCAATCCCTTAACATTAAGTGAAGAAAGATCTTTGGATATCAAAATGCCATTCCTTTGAAAGTTTCGAGGTTTTTGATGGACTTTTCGTTGCGGATTTAAAGGGGGGGCTAGAGTGAGTATAAAGAGAGGAATAATTTTATGATAGAAGTTGAAACAAAAATAAAAGCTTCTGGATTGCTGTCTCGAAGCACTTGTTAAAAAGGAAAAGTAAAATTAGAGACCAATTGATGATTGATGATGACCCCGTTTATCTCCAAAACTTAGAATTTGTTTCGGTCCAAATACTGGCGGCGGTACACATATCCCATCAGCGCCTTTCTTCAATCTCGAAGAATGTACATATTATTTCTCCGAAAATTCATCATCCACTAAATCACGCAATTGCTGTATTTTACGAATCAGAGTAGCCGTCTCGTTACCTGCTTCAAAATTCACCGTATCGTGAGGCACTCCCGAAGCAGCTTTGAGACTCGAGGCTACGTCTCGTATCTTCACCAAGTGAGCGGCTTCTTTCTGATAGGTCTCAGCCCAAGATTTCTTCCTCTCTTCCTCCAATGATTCGATTCTTGCGTCTCTTTTAAACTTGAGGGTGAAAATCTCTTCACGACACGTATCCAGTTCCAGAGGACTTTCTATCAGCCATCTGAGAAGGAACACGAATATGAGAATGATGACGCTCATGGCCCCGTATGAAATCGAGAAATTGTCTTGGTTGGTAGTACAGAATGAGCAGAAGTATTCATCGGTTTTATTATTGGGTAGAAAGGCCATTGTCGTAGGGAGGGAAGTTGGAGAATTGCTGGATGTTGATGTCATGGTTGTTAAACTTTTGGATGGAAGAAAAGACGCCATACGTTTTATAGCGGTAGATATTTTGTAGAGCTGCATATGTGTACGATAAGGAATCGTGTAGGAAGAAAGAACGAATATGTAAGATGTGAAGTTTTCTTGGGGATAAATCGGAGGGAGATAGGGTTTTATAGGACCGTTAGTTTTGGTATGACGTTTACGCTCACTTCTTTAAAACTAAAGTAGCTCGAGTTCTTTTAGGATGATTAGTATGAGCCTTAGTTATTAAATGTCTATTAGTCTAATCCTCTTCGCCTTAAAAGAATTAGTCACTTTATAATAACAAGTAAGATCTTAAGTTAAGAGCCTATGAATAAAAGCCCCCTTGTATAGTTCTTCAATTTTTCATATGCCCAATTCCATATGCCCTTTAGAAAAGCATGTTTTTTTTGCACTTGTCTTAGTTTTTGTTAGTATCATAGATATAACTATATAATCAAATACTAGAATAAAGAATTCTATAACATTATAAAATATAAACTCGTCCTTAATCTGCTTCATCAAATGCGACTAAGGAATAAATGCATCTCGTGGAAACTCCCCGAATTATCGTCACACGATACTCTTTTAAATTAGAAGTTTCTAAGATACTGTTTTTGATATTTATTACTTGAGACTTATCCTCTTAACAATATCTCTTCATCTTTTTGTTTCCCATACTCTCTTTCGAATTTACAAAACGTGCTAACTTCTCACTTGATACTTCTCCTCTTCGATGACAAAAAGACCAGCCCTTCCAAATGAATAGGATTTGCCACACCCTATTGTAAAAGTGGTAGGTCGAGATACATACATCCCGATAGCACACTGTAAAGGGGAATTGGAAGAGAAAGCTGATTAGATCATATCGTAATACATCACTTATAAAGAAAACAAAATTCACAATGATTTTGGGATTGAAGTTATATAGATTCAAATATATATATATAAAAGATTGATTGTTATAAAAAAAAGAAACAAAAGCTCTCTTTTTATATCTAATTACAAAAGGTTATATATTTGATTTATAATTCTAACTTTCTCATATTATAACTGAATCAAGGATAATGTAACTAGCTTGACATTAATAATAAACAACTTCGAGATCGTCTCGCTTAAACACTATTTCAGCAAAAACAACAAGTATATATTCAGTACTATCTAGTTTAGTTTCGTTTAACTTCAATTCAGATCAGGTTTCTCAATCATTAGTTTCGAACTTATTCATTTAATATAACAAGTAGGATTATATACTTTATATAGTCTGAAATAATAACTTTTATAGACTGTATAACTATATTGAATATTATATAAAAGATATAATTTTTATTTATATAGAATCTTGTTTATTATTGACTTGTCGATACTAAAACCTTGTTATATGTGTAGTGTACTACAATTTACCCGGTGTAGATTATGGAAAATGAGAAACTTGTTTAAGTCGCGATCCTGATAATCTGATTGGTCTAAAATACCCTGGTAAATACCCCGGTAAATACTCCGGTAAATAATCTCACAAAAAACCTGATATAAGCTTTATAACCTCAGACAAATCTAACTTGGAACTTTTTTCAACTCTATTGAAATCATTCAACTCATTCAACTCATTTGATTTAAAATAAAAATAAATTATAAATATTATAAATAATATAAAGTATTATTATTATTATTATTATTACAAATATTATAAATAATAATATTAAATTACATTATAATTATTATTTTTAAATAAAATATTTTAATTTTCAATTATCAAAAACAAGCCGATATTCTACCTGCACTCTGATATGTATTCAATATTTAAATTTATTATAAACTTTTTAAATCTTAAATTTTCATTAGACTTTCTCGAAAAGCCAGCGGTCCGGGGGCGCAGGCCCCTGGTAATATTGGATTCCATTATAATATTTTGAAATAATTATTATATCAAAAAACTATTTATATAAAAAATAAGAATAGAACTTGAGAATAAAAAAGACTATTTAAAAGTTTTAGAATAAATAATATATTCATTCATTTATATTATATTTATTAAATTGATTTTAAATAAATTGAATATAGAATCTTCATGATAATAGACTTCGTAATAGTATTTTGGAACGATCGTCGCATCAAAAAGTTGTTTGCATCGAGAAGGAAAAATAGAATTTGGGGATGGAAAAGATTATTTGAAAGTTCTGGGACGAGTAAGATATCCATCCATTTATATTGAATTGATTAAATTGATTTTAAACTAATTGAATATAGAATCTTTATGATAATAGATTTCCCGGTAACAATTCGGAATGATCGAAGCATGGAAAAACACCGCTTGTAACAAAACCTAGACTCCTGGGATGAACATGATTCATCTCCATAATGATTTCTCATAGAACCTGACAAGAGCGCAAATCAAACACTGATAGAAAGAAAACAAAAGAACTTTTATCCCAAGAAACAAGAAACCTTCAAATCCCCTCAACAACCCAATCAAATTCTTCCATAATTTTCTCCACCACATGTTCTGGTATCTCTCGCGTCATAGCCAAAAACACGCCATAATCCGTTTGCGCCGATAATATTCTCCCCTGTGTTCCATGATGCGTAGACGTACTCAAAGTCTTATACAATCCTAAAGCTGGATATGACACGAATCCAAAAATACCTATCTTCTCATTAGCCGATGACAACTTTTCCATGCAGAAAAAGGAGGAATTCGCCTCAACCTACCGGAAAATGGTTTTGTCAAAAATCCAATAGTGCCTTTTCCAACTCCCTTTACGAATCCCTTTCCGCCGTCTTTTATGGCCCCTTTTACGGGTTGGGTGAATAATCCTGCAACTCCGTCTGCCATGCCGTATCCGAAACTCTATTCATTTCATAAATTTAGCCATGCTCGAACCTTCACAAAGAAGGGGAATAAAACGACTCAAACTGACCTTAATTCCCACTAATCCCCCACTCTTCCAGTCCGTCACATCACCATAATCTCTCGGTTTATCTCCATAAAGCCCTGGAATCTCATGACATCCATCTGCCACCGCAAGCGGAAGCTCAATCGCCGATTTGGTTATCGCCATTCCGAGATTTTGGAATCCTTTTCCAAGAGCTATACTCCCTGCTTGTAAGGCGGTACGCGAAGATATTGTTCCGTTGTCTCGTTTTTTTGTAAGCGCGCCTTGGTATTCTTTTCGGTATCTTGTGCCGATTTGACCCATGGCGAGGGTTATGTCGACGGCGCTATCGAGCGCGGCGGAAGTGGTGGCGGTCCAGGGGTCCCAGCGTCGGTTTTTGATGGTGATGGGTTGGGGTTTGTAGCTGTGTGATTTTGGGTTAGTGGGTTGTGTTGTTTGGGGGTTGAATTGGTGGATTGGGGAATCTTACATGGAAAGATTACTGGTGTTGATTTTTTTCTTCTCTACGAGGACGGCGGCTGCTTGATGGGATAATTTTAGATTTTTTCTGCCTTTTTTCCACAACCAGGTCGCGGGTTCTTTGGGTAATAGCTCGCAGCTTAGTGTTTTGAGTGGAAGGTTTCGATGGAATGAATTGACGGCTTCTTTGACTCCGTTCTCCTGTCGGATTTTTACCGCAAGTTCGTGTGCTGCTACGACGGCATCGGGCGATAGGAGGAATCTAATAGAGTTGGAGAGAATGGTTACAGTGAGTGATTGATGATCAATGGGTGGAGGACCAGCACCGGCTGCTGCGACCATGTTTCCCCAAAATGGCTGGCTGGGGATGTGGTTAGATACAGATGCTGTGTATTATCGAGGAGGTCGACTTACTCTCCGAAAAACGGGACGATGGCAGTCGGACGACCATTTAGTAGTCCACATGCTGTTGTTCCCGCACCACCATGATGAATAACCGCTGAGACTTGTTTAAATAGCCATTCTATGAATGTTAGCAAGTGATTACTTGGGTATGATATTTTGCATAATCTCACCATGAGGACAATCATCAATGAATAGAACATTCTGATCCTCAATGCCTTGTCCAAGTTTACTCCAACCTTTCGATACAATTGCCCTAATGCCACAATCACGAACGGCGTTCATAATCATTGCAGTCATCTTCTCAGGGTTTTCCATTACGATGCTACCAAATCCAATATAGATAGGTTTTGGGCCGGCTTCAAGAAATCCTAAAATTCTAGGATGGGGATTGTAGGATGGTGGAGGACGGAAGAAAAATCCACAAACATCTAGATAGTTGGTCAGTATATGAATAGAAACTTCCTTAGTAGACTTCAAAGTTACTAACCTATGTGTGGAAGCCAATCCTGAGGTTTGGGTACAAGTGCTGGAGACCAACAATATGTAAAGGGGATATTTAGAGAAGCTGCTAAATGAGGACCAGCCATGACGGGCACTGGCTCAAGATCTAAGGACTTCTTTCTCCAGTGATTGATTACATCCCCAAGACTACATGAAGTGGTTAGAGAATACGAGATCAGTAATATGGAGTGAGGGCTTACCCTTGCCAAGTCATTACATCTACCAAACCGTAAGACAAAAAATTCGCAGTTTTGGGATCCGTTTCCGTGGACTGAATATTTGCTAGCGGATGAGGAAATGATCTCGTCGCTGTCCACGGCATCGTAAACATAAGATGTACTGGTATTCCTAAAGCTTGCGCACAATGGATATGAGCGAAACTAGGTGGATTTGCAATGATAGCTTGGGCAATAAATGGTTCGCCAGTCTGGGCATCGGGTTCGATACAAGAGTTCCAGCATCCTTCGAGCATCCTGGATATCATTTTTCTTTTCTTGGAGATCTCTCCACTGCGTACGGTGCTGAATTTGGGGAATATGCCGGGGTTTTTAACCATATACTATACGAGATTATTATGAGTACATATTCATCGAGGGGTATGAAATGATATACTTACTGCCATTAATTCTGTAGGGTCGCCACCGATGGCATAGAATTCTAGTCCGGAGTCTCGCACGAACTTTTCAAATACATCGTGAGTTGCAATACGTACTCGATGGCCGGAAAGTTGAAGTTCATTCCCTAATGCTATGAAAGGTTGGACATCACCTAAACATATGTTAACGCCGAACTTCTATTTGAAGGTATCAGATAGATTTTGTGGAATATAATCACCTCGGCTTCCAACTACCTGGATGACTATATTGAGTCTAGGATATTTCCCGATGGGCTGTGCATGCTTTGTTGATGTATTCTCAGACATATATATTGGAGGCAGTGGAGGTTTGTGACCCATAAATGACATGGTAATTCGTCCATTGTCTGCATGGGGTGTGTCAGTAAGGCGACCTGACGAGGATATCGTGGGAATCACCTTGGACGGCGGTAGAAACACCATATTCTTCATTGCCAAACGTTGCTTCATAAGGAGGAGGAACATCCCATTCGATACTGTCGCTCCTCCTCGTACTGTCGCTCCTCCTTCTATCATTTTCAGAATTGCCCATGTTATCAAGAAACGAGAATGAAATAAATAAGATAAATGAAATGATTGATATTATAAAAACTCGTATGTGCCTAGGTAATGGAAAGGTTGCGTACGAAAGAAGAAGATGAATAGAAGAGAACTTTGAGATGACCACCTGTAAAACTTTTACTGAAGTCATATATATCTTAATATTTTTTGAATTTTAGAATTTTGGCCTACCTGCAATTGCAGACAGTGCATATCAATACTAGCCATGTTCAATCAAAAAGTGATGGTTGGAGTGTTCATGGCATTGTGCAGCGAATCCTTGCCCGAATAGTCGTTTCGTCGTAAAGTCTTGGCTTTTTGGAGATATCGGATATCGTATTTCGTATCTCGTATTTCGTATTTCGTATTTGGTATTTGGTATTTGGTATTTCGTATTGCGTACATCTCGGGCTCGTACTCGTATAAGCTCACGTGATTTGACCTTTCGAAGGAGGTAGCTATAAGATGATGGGATGTCCGCCGTCCAGTCATGATCGATGATCAGATGTCTACTTCAGTTACAAGTTATACATATGTCCTATCTACCTACCTGTCGCTTTCTTCAGCAAATTTGTACTGTACCTTGTATTGAGTACATATGTACAAATCTTTACAACCTCGGACTTGCTCGCATTCGCATTTCGGATCTCGCTCTCGTACTTTAAGTTCCAGAGCGGCAGTTGATAAAGTTAATTTAAAAGTGGATGTTTTATCTTCTTTCATTCTTTTCTTCTCCAGGGACCCAGCTTCAGCCCTTCCAATATCAACAATCATCCACCATCTCATGTTTGGGCGTGTTCACTATTTCGAAATCCTCTGGTTCGTGTTCACTAACTCATCGTCTCCATTCCCGATACCATCTAATCCTAATCTCTTGTCACCATGAAATGGATCTCTCGACAACAAATCAAGCTTTGATGTGCTGGACGTGAGGTTCGGGGTTTGATGGCCGCGTTCCTGGGGTTTTTCCGGCGTCAGTACATGGTATCCATTAATGCACTGCGTGGCATGAGTAAGGTCACTGGCGGGTAGGGCAAGCTTAACCTTTATCGCGACAACTATTTGCGTGCGCCTCAATTAACGGGGTGAATACATTCAAACATGGCTGTAATGTAAAGTTACATCAAACTCAAATTGCTCTGGCAATACCTTGTTATCAAAAGGAGCTAGTGCTACTTTCGAGTGATTACCTTTTGGTAAATATTATGCCTTTACTCCCATTGCGAGTAGCAATATTTTTCTTTTAAATACCTTCTTTACCAAACAAAACCGTTACCAATTTTGATCATCTATTTTGCGAATTCTCATTTTTGAGCGAGTGCCTACCTTTACTGCCATCTATTCGCTTCTACGGTATTGATTATTGCTGGATGTATGTGTAGAGTTGCGGGGTTCTCCAGGAAATTGACTGGTGCTTCGACGAGTCATTACCATGCCCAGATTCAAGTCCGGGAAGTCTTCTTATGTGGTTATAGCCCAAAAATGGAAAAGGATACGTAGATTTCTTTATCAGATACAGTACTGGATGATGATCTATATAATTGATCCAATTTATAGTGGGTTATGAATCATTTGAGCCAAACGTTGGGAATAACGTATTAGGGAGAGAAAGGATGAAAATGTTCAGCTCACTTTAATTAACGTGCTACCCAGCTACCCTATTTCAAATCAATCATAATGTTCAAACGGAGTTAAATTCTATCTTGAGTTTCTCAATTATTGTAGAATTCAAGAGTCATGTACTTTCTATTACGGCTATTCATGATGCTTTTTTTTCCCGTGTCAGGATATTTTATTTACCCTTTCCATTTTCCCGCCTATTTTTCCAACAAGTGTTATGTCAAGATTTCCTAGCTCATCAATATACATTGTAATTATGTCCCGTTTAAATCTCCACATCCCGAGTTTTCAACAAAAAACGACCAGTCGCTGATCGGTCAATTGATTAATTCATCCGAACAAGGCAGTTTCCTAGGTGTAAGACGGAATCATTTTTCTTTGAGCCGAACATCTGTTCACATGGCTCGAAATAAATGAACTTTGTACTGACTAACTGATTCCTCCCAGGGAGTGTGAAGTTAGCACCATAGAAAATCCGGGGATTGTTTAAAGTCTCCCCCAAGAAAATCCGTATTGGGATGGCCAAGTAGTCTGGACTGGGGGATCTTGATCCCATTCCCGAAAAACATTTCATCTCTCCTTTTCTATGGGTGGAAATCTTGATCGCCCAGAAATCGCGTCGAATTTTATGTGTTCGTGATAGTGCTCCCGTCAAATATCACCCGGGTTTCGGGTAGGAGTGAAGAATACATCTATTGAACCATGTTGCCAGAATAATCCACATATATGTATCAAGTATCTGCCTTTTACCTTTTAGAATCAAATTCAAACCTTCTGCATACCGTGAATTTCAAGAATACCAACAATCATGAAGTTACAATTTATCATTCCTTTTCCATTTCTCCTTTCATATGTCTCCGCACATACGATATTCACGCAATTGGAATCAGGGGGCACACTTTACAGTTTGTCTCCCATAGTCTGTCAAAGTTAAAAGAACAAATTGCTCACCATGAACAGATACCAGCTATGCCATCCGAGATCCAACATATGACGGCGTAATTCTTTTCACCCTTCCTCCCAACCAAACTACTTCTAACATCTTCAGCCAATAACCGACGTAACAACTCAATATGTCGCCTGTAACGGCGGGCCAAACCCTACCACACCCTCCTCAAACATAATCAATGTTGTCGCCGGTAGCACAGTGAAAGCCACCTGGCGTCACACTCTAACTAGCACACCCTCTAACGACGCAACGTATGTTCTCGATCCGTCTCACCTAGGTCCCGTAATGGCCTATATGAAAAAAGTCGACGACGCAACCACCGACGTCGGCTACGGACCCGGCTGGTTCAAAATCTCAGAACAAGGTCTCAACGTCGCAACACAAGGATGGGCCACCACAGATTTAATCAACAACGCAGGCGTCCAAAGTATCACCATCCCCAGCTGTATAGCCAATGGTCAATATCTTCTCCGCGCCGAACTCATCGCTCTCCACGCAGCAGGCGGATTACAAGGCGCTCAGCTCTACATGGAATGTGCACAGATCAATGTTTCTGGCGGCACGGCTACCTCTTCTCCATCTACAGTATCGTTTCCTGGAGCTTATGCACAAAATGATCCCGGTATTTTGATTAATATTTATCAAACTTTATCTTCGTATCCGATTCCGGGTCCTACACCGTTTGTGTGTGGCGCCGCGCAGAGTACCGCGAAGGGTAGTACGAGTACGAGTTTGAGTAGTACGGTCAAGGCGACTGCGACTTCAACGACATTAGTGAGTAGTACAAAGACGAGTAGTAGTGTGGTGGCGACAGGAACGGGAACAGCGGCTGCGGCGATTTATGCTCAGTGTGGTGGGCAGGGTTGGAACGGGGCTACTAGTTGTGCGGCTGGGAGTAAGTGTGTTGTTAGTAGTGTTTATTATAGTAAGTCAAGATTCTTGTTTTTAAATATGCAGTGCTGGAAGCAGGACGGTGGAGGGTGGAGGATGGAGTGGGAAGCAATATTAAGGGATAGATTGTTAATCATTTTTTAGGTCAATGTTTGCCATGATATCGATTATATGTGTATGGGAGAGGAAGGGAAGCGGACCGAAGAGAAGCGAAAGAGGTATCTGTATACTCGATAGATAGTTAGGGCGGGGACGTATGCTGTGCTCAGAGAGCAGGACAGAGATAAGTTATCTTATGGAAAAAGCAGTAAGAGAGTAGAATATTTAGAGTTATTATCTATATATATTAGAAATATTCTTACTTTATCTTCAAAGATTTACACTTCAACCTAGCTTTTCTATCTTTTTATCCCTCAGCCTCTCTTTTAAAATGTACATAACTTTAAAGAGATAAAGAAATACATTATCTATCTCATACCGCGGCTCTTTCAATCTCTCTCTCTTCTTATCAAACTCTTCCTCCAACTCCGAGACCCCTCCGTTCCTCCTATGTCATTTAATATCCCCCTTTACATAATATCCATCCACTCTCCTCCCATATCCCCATCTCTACACCCTCAAAAACTTTAAAATTCCAACAAAAAACCACTTTCCTCCGTCCACCCAAAGCCAATCATTTCGAATCTATTTAGATACCCAGGATTCTTTTAGTACTCACTTGATTACATTATTAAACACACATCATCACTAAACCTGTTCATCAATTATATCTAACCTATACACAGAACCAGAATAAAGGATAAACACCCAAATGCCTAATCATTTCATCAATCATCCATCACCTAAATCAACATCATCATTATCATCATCATTAGCCGTCTCCATCACTACTTCTACTGCCATATCTATTGTGAGAAAGTTGGAATTATAGATTAGATATATAAAGGTTTTTAATTAACCAATCATATAACCTTTTATAATTAAATATAAAAAAGTTTTGTTTCTTCTTTTCACAATAATCAACCTTTTATATATACATATTTGAACCTATATAATTTCAATCCCAACACTATTGTAAACTTTGTTTTCTTCATGATATATTCCTAATCCTTTCTCTTCAAATTCCCCTCCTTCACTATATCTCGACCTACCATCTAATCCCTTTTATTCTACATCTCCATTCCTACATCCCTACATCCCTTCTCCCTCTCTCCTCTCTCCTCTCCTCTCTCCTCTCCTCTCCTCTCCTCTCCTCTCCTCTCCTCTCCTCTCCTCTCTCTCCTCTCCTCTCCTCTCCTCTCCTCTCCTCTTCATTTCATTTCATTTCTAAATCCATCTACCTACATCCCACAACTCACATCCAACCAACTCAAAAAACAACACAAGCCCAGAATCCAAACAACTCCAAATAATAAACAATAAACAATAAACAATAATATTCTCAATCCCTATAATCTCACAGATTTACAAGACAAAATCCATGATAGTGGTAAGCACACCTACATAATATAAAATCATTACACATACCTATGAAGTATAATAAATAATATATACAAAAACCCTATTCACTTCTGCCCTTCATCTAATCTCGTATAGTCTATCTCAATCTTCCCATCTCTTCTTCTCCTCTCCTCTAGACCCCCAAACCCCAACCACCCCTTCACCTCCAATCAAAGCACACACATCACCAAACCACCATCCTCCAACTTACCTACCGATAGAACGGCAGCTCATCAAGGACCAGTCATCTCGATACCAGTAGGTCAGTAGGCCAGCTACCAAAATTACTCCTTCAAGTAGCTACGAAGCTACGAAGAAGGTGTACCGAGATTAATTTGAAGACCGAGAGTAGCGTTCATAATTGAATTTCCGTAGAAGAATTCGGTACTTTATTGTGTTAGTATGATGAGTCTTACAAAAGAATACCATGCACCCATCATCTAAGATCCAAACACACCCTTTCCGCCCGCCCCTCCCCGGGAGACCTAGGAAGCTGTACATATCAAGAAACCCCAAAAAAAAGAAAACTCACCCAGCATTCCCCACATTAACAAAAGTACTCTCCTTAAAAACCCCCTTCCCCACAAGCGCAACCAACCACTCCCTCAAATCCCCCTCAAAATTCCCCTCAAACTGTGTTCTCGGCAAAAGGCTACTAACCCTAATACCCGTCCCATCATTAACACCCTGATACAAATCCCAAGTCGTACCGAATAAATTCTCAATCGTAGCTACACTTCCGTCAACCCAACCGATCGGTAACTGTCCACCTTCATATTGCAGCCAGAGCATTAGTTCTTCGGAAGAGCTAGATGTCGAATCGCCTTTGATGTCGTTGGTCATGAAATCGTAGCAGATGTTTCCTTTGAAGGCGGTGCTGTTGGTGCGGGTCCAGGTGTAGGTTGTGGGGATCGAGGCGATGCCCGTGAGTGGCGTTTCGAGGTTTTGCGTTAGTCCGACGAAGGAATAACCTTTTGGGACGTTGTTTCTAGATTATCATATTAGCCTAGCTTTAGTTAAGTGCTTTTTAGGAATTCCTGAATACATATACATACGTGCTCTCTACATAAGTTATATCTGTCTCACTATTCCACTTCACTTCAGCAGTGCCATCACTCCCTGTTATCATTTTATCATAATAAGTACATTGACTTCCCACAATCTGGTTGGCATTATACAACATATTATACACAATCCAAGGAGAATTATTCAAGATGATATAATCATAATCGCCGCAAAGATCTGTTGATCCTTGAATGGCTCGAGTGTTGAGATGAGGGTAGGCGAGAACGCTTGCGGCAGAGCTGAGAGCTACTAAGGCCGCGGCTTTACGCATTTGAGATAGCATTTTGAAGATGGTTGAGAGAATTGAAATTGGTTTAATACGGAAGGAAATGGGAATAGTAGGGAGGAAATAAACGATGGTATGTTGTGATTGAGCGTGGAATCTGAACTTTCAAAGTCTGATCAAAGAATGACAGAAAAGAACTTCGAGAGCGATTGATGAGAGCAAAAGAGGAAATTCTCAGTAAAATATGGAGAAGAGAGAGTGCAGCATAAGACAGTAGACTCTTAACCAAGACAGTCCAATCTCCCTACTCTATACCCCTAAGACTTAGCCCTACCCGCAACTCTCAACCATATGATAGATAGCATTATGGATCCGTTCATACGAACCTCTACGGAGTAAATCTTCCATCAAATTTTTCTTCTGAATGTCACTCGCCATAAAAACAATTCAGAGACCAGGTCGTTCCATTCAATGAAAAAATGCCTATACTTGAAGCAAGCGGAATCTTGTATTCAATGATGGCTCCGGATCTTCGGTTAAAAGAGATTAAACAATTCAATATAAATTAACGTTGTATATATGGAACACACTAGAAGAATCTAAATAAATGGAGATGTATGCGACAGACCCCACTGCCGCGAATTGTTATCAAAAATTATATGAAAGACTACGATAGTCTGGTTCATCAATCTCTCCACGGCGAACTGGGTGAATAATTGATGATGACTGATACTAAATGCAAATACAGGGTTGATGACAGGCGATATCGAGAGAACACGACCTACCCCTCGTCAAACTTGTTGGACGAGTAGCCAATCATCCCCATGTTCATGCATCTTACCAAGCAAGAAGTAAAGTTATTGCGCGGGGGGACAGAAGCTGCACGACTCAGATTAGGGTCTAGGACACGCGTTTAAGGAACTGTTTTGTACACCTCCCTCATCAAAGATGCACAAAGAATCGCCAAAAGCTTTCAAAATGCTTGGAAACAGGAGGACGAAAGCTTGTCTTATGCCACCCATGTAAAAACATGTAAGTGATCGCAGTCATTGCAAGCGATGGAAACGACCTTGAGAAATTTTTGCTTTCTGCTCTGTGATAGAAGGAAATCTCCTTACCTGAAGGGATATCTAATATGACAGGGAGAGTTTGAACATAGCCAGCCAGTGCAAATCATCGATACCAATATTCTAGAAGCTCCGCTGAGTACCTACATTAATTGAGCAGCAAAGTTAGAGATAGCTATAGTTATAGCTATAGCGATAGTGAGAATGTGTGAACAATGTGGTAGTCTGCGACGAAGAAACCGAGGCGGACAGCACATTTGTGTCGACAATGCATGCCGAAGAACAATTCTTGTCATATATGAAGATTGGGCTGTGCCGCACCAGAAGTGAAGCACACCTGCCAAAACCTCACTGCTGATAATCTCTTCACCGTTGTACCTGCAGAACCTTCATACCCAGATATTAAGGCCTTGCGTGTGGAATTTGATTGCTTCCCAGCGCCAACCCAATTTGGTGCTTGTACCTCCAACCGCTTGTACCTCCAAAGATATATATTATGCCTCGACCTTGGATGAGTCGCAGATTCGAGAGAATTCACATTGTAACTTTTGTTCCAATGCTTGAATCGTAGAATGAGGCGTGGTCTAACTGTTCGACGCGACTGTGAGAAAGGGTAGGATCGAGGTTCGAATTGGGCGAGCGACATTGGAAATAGAGTAAGCTTACTCATAAACAAGAAATAAGCGATTCAACAGATCTGACGAGCATTGCGAGTTCCAATCAATGTTAGTAGGTACTTCATGATGATAATATAATGCCATTGTTTGTTTACCTTGGGAAAGGGATGTTGCATTCTATCCTATTGACCTTGGGGCTTGAAGAAAAGTAAAAGTAAGAAAAATAAGCTTAACTAGGAATTTAAGGAGCTTTACCATAAGACGCGATGAACTATTGGATTAGCAGACTGGATTCCTGCAAAATAAGAAAAAGGTCTAATTGTATCGTGTATCGTGTATCGTGTATCGTGTATCGTGTACCGTGTATCGTGCGTGTATCGTGCGTGTATCGTGCGTGTATCGTTTAAGGTTAAAGGTTAAAGGTTGTCAATTGCCGCCCGATCTTAAAATCGATAGCTCTACTCCCGAATTTACCCTGACTAATCCCCTATGTTCACCGGCATCTAAAATGTCAAGCCTAACTTTCTCGACTCACGAAAGAGAGCAGAGTCGGCTTGCTTGAGAGTAATAAAAGCGACTAATAATTTTCACAAATGCCCTTGTTGTGTTTATGTGCATGATAATTAGTGTTATTTTTGATAAGTTGGAAAGTAGTCGCATAACAATTAGTGGGTGCGTTATTCTTTTGTCTAGATACAAGATGACACTTCCAAAAATTTATATATAGGTTAGTATAGAAGCTAATGGACTAGTATTGCATAGTTACTTCTTTTGAACAATGATATTGGATGCAGTGAGATTAGATTGTCCCTCTATGATAGAGAAGCTTAATCTCCCCGTAAAATTTTCGAAATATTTACTTTCAAAAAGGCTTCATCCTCTCCTTAACTGTATATCCTTTTGTCTAAATCCTCAATGAGATAATTTATTCTTCATCGTGTTGGAGACAAAGAAAGATATCCTGATTCTTTATAAAAAGACTATAGATTTGATTTTCTCCTGATCTCCCAATTCCCATCTATCCAAAATTGTATTCGTGAAATATTTCAAATCGAGTATCAATACCCTTCTAAGCATCATAACCATCTATAAATCATTACGGAATGTGTCTGCGAGCAATATGCCATTATGAGTTTTGTGGTGAACAACCATACTCTTACATTTTGTACTTCTGTGTGGATGTCAACAAAGGAAAATGCAAAAGCATACATACAGTTACTTATCCTGTGCAGGATATCTGCCCCGAATGCTACATGCTGGATGATCCTAGGATATCCGAAGGATTCAACCCTGCCTCCTTAAAAGCATTTGAGGAGCGGTGGAAATTCGAACTAGCCCACTTTGAAGAACTCAATGCACTGGAAGGTATTGATGGCATATTTGCTCGAGCCGAAGAGTATAAAAGAGAACGCGTCAAAGAAGGAGAGAGGGAAAGTCTTCTTGTCTTTTGCTCAGAACTGAACCGTGATGTTATTCGACATCTTGAGCGACTGGTCAATGAACGGCTTCTAACGTATACTTGGTCCAATGTCCTAAATGGTCGAGGACAAGAAATATCGAGAGAGCGCAGATTAACAATATTACAGTTACACCAAGCCTTATATTGTGAGAAAGTTGGAATTATAGGCCAAATATATAGATGTTTTTAATCAATCAATCATATGATCTTCTATAGTTAAATATAAAAAGAAAGTTTTTGTTTCTTCTTTTGAGAATAATTAACCTTCTATATATATACATTTGAATTTATATAATATCAATCCCAAAACTATTATGAATCCTGTTTTCTTTATAAATGATATATTACAATGTAATCTAATTCAGCTTTCTCTTCCAATCCCCTTCTCACAGTATGCTATCGGGATGAACGTATCTCGACCTACCACTTTTACAATATTATAGTTGTTTATTCACGAGTATAAAACGTAGAGTAAAAGCAATGCCAGAGATGGGTAAATTGAGAAATGCAATCAACGCAGGGGCACCATGGGTCACAACGGTTGTCACCGACCCTGCGCTTCTCAAAGAATACTGTGTAATCTGCAAGATGGAGCCGCTGAGCAGTAAAACAACAGTACAGCTTCCATGCAGTCATATGTATCACGAAGAATGTCTCAAACTTTGTGTCGAAACACTTACTTGTCCCTACTGCCGGTCGAAAGAAGCTCGTGGCACAGAGCCCAAATTAGCGGTGCCAACAGTAGGTCCTATCACCGATTGGCTTTTTGCGATACATCCTTTTGATCGGCGCGACCTCCGACGACCTTCTCCTACATGGGAAGAAAATGAAGCATTGACGGATATTTACAATGATGCCCGCGACAAAGCCTTCAAGTTATCTGAGCCTCTCGGGCCGCTATATAGGAAACTTTCGGGCATTAGACAACGTACAGAATTGCTAGAGCGAAAAATCGAGCCTAGCTTTTTCGACGTTGTTCGAAAGAATTCCCATAATTTGTCAGAGGCTCAAGTAGGAAGAATTCGTCACGCTCAGGGACATAATGAGGAGAGGAGTGTAGAGGTTGACCACTATGGTCGCAAACACTTCGAGGCTATCGGAAAGGTCAATCAATTCGACTATACGGATTTTATTCGTAGAAACAACGTATATCAAGAATGGATCTACGCGAAATACCTCGATTCAGATGAAAAGAAAAAGCAGGTCTCAGGAAAGACATTGGATGCACTTTACGCACCTCTCGAATTCCTCCCGTCTGAGGATGTATCAGAGCTCGCGTCTCTTAGAATCGATGAAGAAGAAGTAGTAAGAACGTTTTATGAGGCTGTAGATCAGTGGAGGGTTGCAATATATGCGAGGCAAACTGCGGAGGAGGACTGGACTATATATTTCGGCGAAAATGAAGATGAATTTTGAGGAGAATATCCATTAAACTGTACCTCTTAAAGGGAAATTGCGAAGAGTAGATGGTGGAAGTTTTTCTGAATTAGTGAGATGAAATCATTGGAATGCATATATTATGCGGTTTTAATATTTAATTTTTGCCTTGGCAAGCTATCCATCCAAGATGTTCAGAGGATTCGAAGTAATCTGAGGAGTCTTTAAAAATTGTTAACTGCACAATGAGGGTGAACGAGCGTTTGTATTTAGTAGTGATTAAAATTTCGAGTTGTAAAGGAGCGTATTATCTATAAAGCTGTATCCTGCAGCGTGCCAATCTCCGAGCTCACTAGAAACCATCCGAATTTTCCTACCCTAGTGTAACCGCTCGACTTATTTCATGATCATCCACATTAAGTCCATTAAATCTAACCGGAACCGTGGCCGGCAGGGAGCAAGGCTAGAAGCGCAGCAGCACTCTTGGCTCGCTTGACTTCTTCCTCCGATGGCTCACGTTTTGAAGAGCCATGACCGGCTGGAAGAAGAGCGAGAAGGGCAGCAGCACTCTCGGCTCTTTTCTCATGGCCGGGTGGAAGAAGAGCAAGAAGACCAGCAGCAGTATCAGCTCTTTTCTCGTGACCAGGTGGAAGAAGAGCAAGAAGACCAGCAGCAGTATCAGCTCTTTTCTCGTGACCAGGTGGAAGAAGAGCAAGAAGACCAGCAGCACTCTCGGCTCTTTTCTCATGACCAGGTGGAAGAAGAGCAAGCAGACCAGCGGCAGAATTCGCTCTCTTAGAATCTTCTTCTGGTTCACGTTTTGAGGAGCCATGGCCTGCCGGAAGGAGAGCAAGTAGAGAGGCAGCATCATCTCGCGTTTCGACAGTTTTTTCAACCGCAGAGGCAGCGAGGGAAGTGAATTCGGCCTGGCCGCGTGTTGTTAAGTGGTCGAAATCTACACCAGCGGCAACAATTGCAGCGTGGAGATCCCCAATGGGCATACCTCGTTCAGCTAAAACTGGAGCAGCAAGGGAGGTAGTAGCAAATGCGACCAGCGCAAGAGAAAGAATGGATTGATTACGCATATTGGATATTGATGGTAATATTAAAAAAAAGGACTGAAATAGGAGAACGTGCAGATAGATGAAAGAATACGAAATAATTGTGTGAGCACGGCTGAAGAGAAGAGAAAGTTTTTGTGCTGTCTTCGAGTTTATATACAATGCAAAGCAAACCTGTGTTCCAATCGCAACTATTCGAATATGTATAAACTTACACCGGAAGAGTTCCATACGATGTACCCAAATTCATGTAAAAATTCATGGATCATGTATCTAACAAAATATGGTTTCAACAATCAAGCTTTTGTGGCTTTGACTTTTCGTTTACTCCCGCCATCACTGTTCTCGACGATGTCAGTGCACATGAATCGTAACGCGTTTGAATTCCTTGTCATATAACGTGTCAAAATCTCGACGTTCATTGGATCGCAACACTGACTCTCTGTTAGCTTATCCGACAGGCTTGAAGCTTATCCAAAATGATCACTAGTTGTGACGATCAAAAACTGCGATAACAGGCATATCCAGGCCATTTATTTCTTTCGGCGCCGCTGCCAAGTTTGACGACATGCGCATCACTTGTGCTACACTATAGCACAAGTGTAGCAGCTACAGTCGTCAACTTGATGACCCCTTTCTTTTTTGGCAAGTCTGTCCGGCACAAGATAAATACAATAAAAATGCGATTGGGCGGTAAATTGAATTGACGTGTGAACGCACAGAATGTATGACTAGAGATCCAGTCCATCAAATCGGGGAGGAAAACATAGACGCATGGAAAAGATAAGGAACGGAAAGATAGATAGGTGTATGGAAAATATAGATATGAACATTTCAATTATCGACGGGGGGAAGAAGGCAGAGGTATAGGAATTCGCGAAACATGTATGACAAAAGGCAATGACCTTATCGGGTAAGATACCGAGTAAATACTAGGCTGGGGGAAGAGCCATCACAAAAAGACCATACTCCTTGTAAGGTTAGTATTCCGAATTAGCAAAAGCGAAATATATCGCACTGTCGGTCCTTAATCGTTCCGATGATCAATTAATTGATCAGTGACCATCCCGATCATGAATCAGTCCGATTATTGTTTTAACTTTTAAATGTTTTGAACACTTTTTTTATTTATATTATTCTCTTATTACAAAGATGTAATTGTGAGTGGTCTCGTTATATACTTTTATTCGAAGATATTAAAATTATAATAAAAGAAAACTAACTTTTATTAGAAAATTAATTTATATTTTAAATAATAAAAGTATATTATATTTAAATCAATTATCTATATATATATCAATTTTTATATATTTATTTTTTTGTTTTATAAAGATAATAAGGATTTAAAAAATTGAAAAAAATCGTTGATTTTGATATGATTTCGCTTAGTGTGCGGTGAGTAGATTCTAGAACTCTTAACATTTTATTACTTTTTATAAAACTTTATTTATTTAATTTATTTCTTTATCAAAATAATTATTAATTAAATAGTTTATATTAAAGTTATATATAATAAAGAATCAACTAGTTTTAAAACAGCTTCAAAGCTTTTTATTATTTTTTCTAAATATAATAAATCATCTTTTTTATAAACAAAAACTGAAGGTAATTTCGGATCGAATATAATCCGATGTATAAATATCAATAAAAGGTTTATATAATAATCCTCTAGATTAATAACTCGATGTTTCGCCAGCAGAGTGTCGAGATTATGTAAATAGAGTTGTAGCTTATAATATATATAAATTTTTAAACTGTAATCTAATAATGTATATGACAGTTTATTAGATCTTATATATATATAAAGTTTTTAATTAATAAGATCAAAAATAAGTTTATTCATTTTAATATCATTTTATATAATTTTATATACTAAGGGCCTGCGCCCTCTAGACCTCTAGTTTTTCAAGAAAGTTTAATGAAAATTTAAGATTTAAAAAGTTTATAATAAATTTAAATATTGAATATATCAGAGTGTAAATAAAATATTAATTTGTTTTTGATAATTGAAAATTAAATTTGTTTATTTAAAAATAATACTTATAATAATACTTATAATAATAATAATAATAATAATAATAATAATAATAATAATAATAATAATAATAATAATAATAATAATAATAATAATAATAATAATAATAATAATAATAATAATAATAATAATAATAATAATAATAATAATAATAATAATAATAATAATAATAATAATAATAATAATAATAATAATAATAATAATAATAATAATAATAATAATAATAATAATAATAATTATAATTATAATATTTTATATTATTTATAATATTATTATTATTATTATTTTGAATTGAATGAATTGAATAAATAAAGTTGAATTGAATGAGTTGAATGATTTGAATGATTTCAATAGAGTTGAAAAAGGTTCTAATTTAGATTTGTTTAAAATTGTAAAGCTTATCTCAAGCTTTTTGTTAGATTATTTACCGGGGTATTTACCGGGGTATTTTAGACCAATCAGATTATCAGGATCGCGACTCATTTCTCGATCAATCATATCGCAACATTAAACGAACTTTATTTTCTATAATCTTGTTACAAATCATCTATATCTAAGATTATAATGATATTATAAATATCAGTGATTTAACCATCAACTATAGAAGGGTTCTTTATCATTATAATTAGGAATCTAAGATTTTTAGAATTAATATTCTAAACAATTATTATATAATAAAATAAATATTCTAATTTTACAAAATAGATTAAGATAAAGATTACCTTAGGATATTTATTTTAGAATAATTCCTTTAGGATATTAATTATTTTAAGAAGAGGATTATTCTAAGATGATTATAGTAAAAAAGGATTACTAGGATTAATCTATTAGGATAAGAATTATATAATAAAGCTTTCAAGAGTATAAGCTCTTTTAAGCTCTTTGAAACTCTCAGAAGTATAATGTAACGATCTGGTTGAGGCAGCGGCTGCCTCAGGTTTCGTATAGTTGGTAGTTATAGATTAAGGTTAATAATCACTGGTTATCCATTCGAAGATGAATACGTTATTAGATCAATTGGAATATAAATAAACTAATTGATAATTAAGTTGAATACGAAGCTTTTAAACTATGAAACTATTCTGACTATATACTAATGAATGTAAAGGAGCTCTATGAAGCTTTAGAACTTCAAAAAGCTCCTGGAGCTCTAGGAGCTTTCGAAGCTCCCAGGGCTCCTTATCACATGATTAGGATCAGACTATATGTCCGAGCTTGCTAAAGGTGGGGAGACCACATGAGGCGATTACCATACAAATTTGTATACGAATCGCCCTGCTTTTCGATAAGGCCTAAGCTCATGTGGACAAGTTGACTGCTGCCTCTCAACACACCCTAATCTTAATCGTAAATTGTGACATATAAGTTCCTCGAAGCTCCTAGAAGAATCTAATATATAGTCAGGATAATTTCATAGTTTAAAAGTTTCATACTCAATTTAATTATCAATTAATTTATCTACATTCCAATTGATCTAGTAACGAATTCATTTTCAAATAAATAATCAATGATTAATAACTTTAATTTATAACTATCAATTATACAAAACCTCAGACAGCCGCTGCCTCGATCAGATCGTTACAGAAACTTAAAAAAGTCTATACTTTTGAAAACTTCATTATATGATTCCTATTTTAGTAAATTAATTCTAACAATTCTTTCTTATTATAATCATCTTAAAATAATCTTTTTTTTAAGATAATTAATATTTTAAAAAAATTATTCTAAAATAAATATCTTAAGATAATCTTTATTTTAATTTATTTTATAAAATTAAAATATTTATTTTATTATATTATAATTATTTAAAATATTTATTTTATTATATTATAATTATTTAAAATATTAATTTTAAAATTTTAAGTTTTTAATTATAATAATAAAAACCTTTTATAATCAATAATTAAATTATTGATATTTATAATATTATTATAATCTTAAATATAAATAATTTATAATAAATAAATTCATTTATTTTAAAAATTTATTTTAATTTCAATATTAAATTATATATAATTAAAAATATAAAAAAAATAATAAAAGAATTAAAATATAAAAAAATTTAATATCTTATAAAAATGAATTAAAATTAAAAAGTATATATAAAATGTATTTCTAACTTATTAAAAACAATTAATTATACAAAAGAACTATAAACAATCCCAAAAGACTTTCACTCTAGGATTTAGATTCTATATAATTATAAATCAATAAATGATATAATTTATCACCAAGAAGCTTTAAATTATATATGTGGTCACTCAAAACTTTAAAGAATATATTATATCAAACGGTTTGACTTAAACCTCTAGTAATATTTGAGATGGAAACAGCTGGCACTAATATATTAGTGTACATTTATACCTTTAGGCTATCTTCAGAAAGTCGAATATGATGAAGGTGTTGCAGGAGTTTTATTTGGCTATCCACTTCTTATATATATAGCGGAGGATTTCAGCTGTGGATTTCGTAAGCCTGAGGCTTTTGTGATTGTCCATTTGTAAAGCATTAGACAGGGATTAATCGTAATTCTCCGATTAATACGTGTTTGATGCCAAGTGCAGTTTTTATCCTTAATGATATGTTTTGTGGCGCAAAGATCTCTTATCAATCAATTTTGGTTGTAAATAGGATCAAGGGAAGGGAAATGAAGGAAGAGGCAAGATGAATGACATTTAGAGCAATATGCGCATGTAAGAGTTAGATAATGAAGGTCAATTCAAGAGATGTAATCATGAATACTCACGGGGAGTTCTTATTTCTATATGAACGTTGGGTAAAATGGATATACTATTCTACAGTACACTACGTCCCCTGTACAAATATCTACTCTGGCCCTATGCAAGGCTTTCGCGAGTATGAAAAAGGAGACATATAGACTCAATTTCCTAATCCAACACCCAGAACAAGATTCCATAAATGGGAAAAGTTGAAAACAGAAGACGTTTCGTTACAGTCATAAATATCATAATATTAGCGCGCCTGGCTAATCCTCATACATCAAATCTTCATCTGCTTCATCATTCTCTGCAAGCCCTCTTCAATAACCAAAAATGTCTCCTCCATTAATCCTGTAGGTGCACTAATATCACCAGGCTGCATCAAAAAATAACTCCTTACCCTCGTACAAGTACTCAGACAGTTGCTGAGCTCCTTTGCTATTATCTCCGAGAATAGTCTCCTCTGATCCGCAATATCGATTTTGAACGTACCGAAATCGAGTTGTGGAAGTCCAAATGTATTTGACGGTGGCGAATTGGGAATCGAAGATGTGTTTCGGGGAGAAGGGGTGGAGGGAGTTCGTTTGGTAAGATCATGTTGCATGAACAGGACGCATGCTTGTGAATAGAGGTCGTGGATATGTTTTAAAGTGATCACGTAGATCATGAGAAGCGTAAAATCCATGGACGGAGATATATTGTAGCTATTGTCGGGCTGGCTCCCAGAATGAACGGATGCATAGTCTTCCGGGCTAGTACCTCTTGTTGTGTTTAGTCCCGGTGTGCTGTCGAACATTTGGGATAGTTCCGACACTACGCTTTTATTGGTCGCGAGAATTACATCGAGGGATAGTGACGAAGGATCTCGAAGTAATTTCTGGAGTTTGCTGATCATTGTGAAGCATTTCGACGTGAGCCGGCAAGAAGCTTCAGATGATGTGATTGGGGCAGAAACAGGGAAGGGTAGGTGTTGAGATCGGGCCGTAAATGGGAGGGTGTCATCTCGTGTATTCTGTGACATGTGATCCATACTAGAATGAATTCTATATGTCTGACCCGCCGCGGGGTGAGAGATGAAACCACGATTAAAACCGGTATCTGCATCCGACGAAGTCCTATTGTCTGAATAGTCATTTATCTCTCCGGAGTAACTGTTATGATGCCGCATTGAAAATGTTGGGCGCGTATAAAGCTGGGACTGAGACATCCATGGCGTGTCCGTCTGAGGCTGTTGAGGTTGTTTGTCAGATGATTCCGAATGAGGCCGTTTATGAAAGAGATGTGGCTCGGGGATTGGCGCGGTCGGCACTGGACTTGTTCTTTGCCTCTTGGGACTCCCGAAATCATGATGGGAGTTGATAGTGGTGGGTACTTCATGAATTGAAAAATCAAATTCCGAATCTCCATATCCGGAGTCATTAGTAGTACCCACACTGGAGGTTTTCTCAAGTCCTACCGAGTTGAAGACGTCCTTTCCTTCATCGGAACCAAAGTCCCATAAGAATTCATGTTCAATCATAGGTGTGCCTAGATAACTCTCCATATTTGACGACCTCGACGAGAAATCCTCGGGTGAAGAGCTCACGGTAGAATTGCCACGGTTTTCCTCCGGAAGAGTGTTACAGTTGCATTGCTTTGGTGAACGACTAACATGGATACTATCTTCCACAGATACCTCATTCTGATCGTTGCTCGAATTATTGCTGACAGTAACGTCTTGTATGACTTGTACAGTTGCCACTGGTACTATTGGCGTTTGAATATTCAGTGTCTGATCACCAGATCTAATATAAAATTGTCAGCGGTCGGCCCCTAGGGCTTGGGTGACTATGAACTTATTTAGGCTCACTTGCCTAGAGTCCGCACCAGTAATTGCTGCATCCTTATTAGGGGATGTCCGCCTACGATGGCCTTGAACTTTCCCCACCATGGAAACACTGTAGGTGCATGTTTGTTGGTTGCATACACAACGGCGACATCCTGTGCGTTCTCCGCTGCATCTGACCTACTCGAAATGAGTATTTTGAAGGGACCGGGGAGGATGTTGAATATTCCTGACCTTAGACGCATGGCATTCATTACAAGCATGTCGTAGCTTCGGGGGCTTTTGTGGTCTATTGTTTGGGGTCATGATTAGGATGAGTCTCTGTGCAAGGTTGAAGACAGTTTGGAAGGGCCTACGGTGACATCTTGAGGAAAAGTTTGAGTGAAATTTGGATATGAGAAAAGTAGTTCGGGACTCCTGATGGATAAAACGAGGACTTTCTGGGATGTCTTCTTTGTATTTTACTTACGGATAATGGAAGTTAAAGACTCTAATTTTCTACCGAATGTCCGCCCCTCCTCGATACAACGGATTTTGAAATCCGTGTAACGCATCTTCGTGTAATCTAGTCCGCGATAAAAAGCGTTAAAATTTATGCTTTTGTAGAGGAAGTGGAGTAGCTCTATATGAATGGCATGAAGTGATCCTTTACGAAACGAACTGTATAGACTCATCTCATCTAAGGCGGAACATTCTAAACCTATTTCAATCTTTAAGTTTTTCGAAGTGGCAAAAGTGGAATTAAAAGAGCGTCGATTTCAATCGACTCTCCCAATCGAATTGACTGAGAATAGAATATCGTGTAAGAAATAATCTTATTTAAATAGGTTCATTGTGGTCTAGTGTGTATTCTGACTATTGGAGAGCTTATTTATACGTTCGCTACTTGCCAGCCAGAAAGTAGAAGTATGACTTCTAGGTTAATCAACCAGAAACTCGGCAAACTAAAGTCCGCCCGCTATCACTATTGGGAAATCACCTTACCCGTAAGGCAAACTATCTGATTGGAACAAAGCCAACCTAAGCCCTGGGAATTTACCCCGCCGCGTAGATTGTAATCAAATAAGCATTATGGGAAGAGCAATAAGACTTTCTGAGCCTCAAATTACGTCTAGCTTCACTTAATAATAAGGTTTAGGTTCTGCTAACTCATCTAGGCACTGATCTGCAGCGTCAATCAAATATCCCGGACAAGTTAGAGTGCTCGGCTCCACTTACAACACCAGCACATACATCGTGAAAAGAGGTTGTGGTACCAATCACGATTACTACTTCTCGTATGATGTATGCGCTAAGTACTGTCAAAAACGCGGTGAACTGAGGCACGCTATCACCAATACAGAATAAAGTTTTGCGGGAGGAATCGCTTGCACTGCCTAATATAGTTTAGTCTATGATTTCAATCAAACTGGAGTAGAAGTTGAGACGATCCTTCAGAGTTGACAATGCCTCAGGCGAGTGGAGCTGTCAAAACTTCTGCTAGTCGACAGTCATGTTTTCGACAATCACAGTTCGTTGAATAATTCACCCGTTTTTGCGAAATATTTCTTCTTTTTTGTAAAAGTCTTTCCATTCCAAAAGAACGCATTTTGTATAGCATTCACAATTTGATGGATTATTTGATGTAGAATATTTCAGGAATCGAAAAAGTTTTAAATTCAGAAAAGGCAGGGCTAGGTCTGATAATGACTATTTTTTTCCGGACCGGCGGCTAGCTCGTCGGCCCCATAACAATTACCCCCTTCCTAAGGCCTAGCTTGCTGAGGCAATCTAGGTTTCTTTAAATAGTGGGGATGACAATCACAAGCCAGTCCCTATGCATTTTCCAGATAGTCCCAGGGCCCTTCGGTAAGCGTATCGAAGCCTACGCAGCGGACAGTATAGTTCAGGCGGGGACTTACACGGCCCTGCGCTCCTAGCGGGAGATGGAAACCTCCTTCGCTCCATGTTACTCGATGTCTTCGATTTCGACAAAGGGAGAGGGTGAGTTGGGCTGCCCGGGGACAGGGCCATTGCTGGCGGGTATGTATAACGTTAACGGGTCAACGTGGAAGATAGGGCTTACCTCCGGGAATCGACGATAGGACTAGCTCTTTCCCATCCAGGGGCTGGTTCGCCGACCCCGTGATGGAAAACCAATAGAAACGTAAATATCAAAATAAATACCCTACCTTTTTTCTATTAGAAAATATTTTTTTCATAGACTTAAAATTTTAACATCTAATAAATACAGATTGAGAAGTACGTTATACATTCCGAAACTGTTTGCTTCCCAGCACAATAGGTTACTCGGGACAACTTGCTTTCTGAACCTGCATGCCGAGACAATCACGATAGTAGGCGGTCGATCCCTAAAGCACTGGCTATTACTCGCGCACCTTGAAAGTACAAAAGTCCGACCCCTTAATCCACGTTAAGAAAGGAAGGGGAACCTTGAAAATGATGCAGGCTGATAACAACGATCATTTCCTAGCGTCCGGAGTTTTGCGCAACACGAGTACCGAATTAATCTGGAGAATTCGGGTAAGCATAATAGGGGGGCTGTGTGAGCAAGTGGAAATGCTTCGATTACTCCTTGAATGACATGATCTTCCAATGCCGGATACATCAATCAAATTTCCTGTCTCCAGTTGCCAACCCGACTCTCAAACATCCGTTTTAGGCTTGTCCGAAATCTTCAGGCCAATAAGGTACATGCATGCATGCACCTGGCAATTATTATCTAATATTATCCATTGTACATACCTCCGATATATACATATTTAATATATCAACAATTGTTGGAATTTTCTTTCTAGGGACCCAAGCGGAATGCCAAGGATACGAAACTTAGTTCTATCAAAATCTAGTCAAAGAATCCACATTTTGAACAACATGATATTCACAAGTCGGGCGTCCACCTTCAAGATCTTCCTGCAACAAAGGCCGCATATTACCCACGAGCTTGATTAATTCATCATCTCCCAAATTGAATAGCGCTTCTTTGATTGCTCCCACTGTTGTTTCATCAGGACCGGAATGTGCGCGACTCATTATTGCGACCTGCGCTGGAAGTCCGGCGGTAGCTCCTGGCAGTGGAGCTGAATACAGCACAACCCAATCTACCAGCTGCAAATCGGTACCCCAGGCCAGGAATGCAACGTGGTCTGATATGTGGCTCAAATGTCCTGTACATTGACAGAGCCATGCATCATCGAGACCAGCAATAGGCGAGTCAATTCCAAAGGCAGTGTAGATGCGCTCTGGCTGTTTGATTGGGGTGAGGGACACCAGCTCCTGGTTTGTGCAGGGCCATATCCCATTCATGACGGGTGCATACTGAATCACGAAGTTCTTCGTGCGTTCCCAGTAGTATTGCTGCGACGTATGCGTCATGTGCCACGATCCATAGAGCCAATTCTTCGGAGTAGCGGTCCACGACTTGTCTTGTGTGGTTACGATGAATGATGGGGGTAGACGGGCTTTGACCGTTGTTTTTGACTGGGGTCGTGCGTTTGCCATTTTATGTTGTTGATGTTTTGATGTACCGGAAATAGAAGTATATTGAATCGAATGGAGAATTCGTACAGAGAACGTAGCCAGTTTTTAAAGTTTGAGCTGTTTATGTATTTCAAGTTCCGAATGGAACGCACCGCGACTTGTATCTTGTGGTCGGCGTTCTGCATTATCATCATCGGCCACCGCGGCTCCCCCTGTAATTAGCAAAAATTAATTTTTACAAAATTCATTTAGATGCATTGGAGACAGATGTTTTGAGAAATAGACGGTACTGCCAGTAACTCCTGGCGTCGGATAATAGCATTTTTGATTGTTCGTCACCGCGAGGGGTCGAAAAAAAGCAATTCAATTCTGTTTTATCTGTGTATCTTTAGTGGATCAATGTAGACCGGCAGATATGCAATTAATAACCGTTATACGTGTCTCAAAATATATTTTGACGTTATGAATCTATGAAAGCAGGTGAATTAGAACTTTTCGGTGCTTGATTGAACTCTATCAGGTATTTGGAAATACTAGAAACTTTTTTGACTTCATCGGTTTCTGTTTAGAAATACTGGCTTTTCTGCTTATATTAAACTAACTGAAATTTCTTCATAAGTTCTAATAAAAATGAATTTGATTTTTTTGATATATAGTTATTGTATAATTGTTCTAGGAAATGAAAAATTCGAGGATAAAATTGATATATAAAATCTATATAAATTTTGTATAAAGTCTTATATATATTTTATTATATTGGATATCTTTTTTAATTGAGTCTAGTTGATCAATTTCTTTTTTGACTTGATATAAATCAATTTTGTAATATATAAAAGTAAAACATATAAAAGTATAAGATACTGATTTATATCTTCTTGAGTAACAAACTCTTTGTTTACCCACCGGGTTAGGCTTTTTATTATTATATAATTTATAATATAAAGCAAAATTTTGACTTTTGTATATAATCTAGCTTATATTATTATCACGAAATCATTTTATAGAATATTATAGAGTAACAATCAACCTATTCTTATAAGCTTGAACCTTTTTGAAAAGCAAAGCAACTTGTATATAAATTTATATAATAATCGCTTTATATAATCTCTTCATCTTCAACAAGTTTGGATATATAATCTGATCCTAATTATATAATAAAGTCTTTATAAGTATAAACTTTTGTAGGCTTTTTGAAGTCCTCAAGAGTATAGGCTTTTGAAAACTCCTGAAATAGATTAGTATATAATCAAAATAATTTTATAATTTAAAAACTTTATATTCAATTTAATTATCAATTAATTTATCTATATTCTAATTAATTTAGTAATATATTCATTTTCGAATAAATAATTAGTAATTATTAATCTTAACTTATAATTATTAATTATATAAAAATCTAAGGTAACTATTGTTTCAATCAAATTGTTACATTTTGAGTACTATTATAATTAAATTATATATAATATAATAATTTTCAATTAATAATTTATCGAATTATTTTTATTCAATTCAATCGGGATCCTTGTTCAAATTATTATTATTATAGAATATAGATAAATAATTTAGATATCTATTTTTGATCTATTTTATAAAGATTGTAATAAATATTAAGTTTTTGTTGTATAAATTGATCTTTATTATGTTTTTAATAGGCAACTTTTTTTGATTTTAATATAAAGGATTTTGTAATTAATTTTCTTTTTCTAAGAAATTATATTCAATTGAATCGAATCATTTTTTAATAATCTAATGATCAAGATTATTAATAATCAATTGAATAAGAGTATAAAATCTGAGATTTATTATCTTTTTTTCAATTATGAATTATTTAGATAAAGATTCAATAAGGTATTTAAGAAAGTAAACTTTGATTATATAATTAAAAGAGTATTATAATAATTTAAATAAATTAGATTAGTTATAATCTATATTATTAAATTTCAATAATATATTGAGTATATTATATAAAATAATAATTATTTAAAATTATAATTCTATAAAGAATTGAAAGATATCATTAAGGATAAATTAACAAAAGTTTCAAAATCATCTAATCTTTCCGAATTAATCGAAATCTTTATTCTTATTGATAATCGATTTTATAAATAACAAATAAAGAAAAAAGGAATTATTTAAAAAAACAAAAAGTTTCAAAAACTCTATTATTAGAATAAATATTATAATATCAATAATCTAATAAAATTGGATAATATTGAATGATATTATATAAAATTAAACAATCTAAATATTAACGAAAAGAAAAGATATAAGGAAAATAATTTATATTATATTTATAAGAAAAGTAGATATATATTTTAAGATTGTTTTTAAAAAAAGAAATTATTCATTACAAAAAACAAAAAATAAATGAAATTTGGGAACAAAAGATAAGGTTTTCGAAAAACAAGGATCTTAAAAAAAAATTCAAAGAAAATAGAATTATTAGAAAAAGATTTATTTTAATCTAATCTTAAATAGTTAAAGGAATTAAATATCAACAATTAAAACCTTAGAATTAATATTGAGAATAATAACAATTATAAAGAAGAACTTTTAAAAAATCTTGAATTAGAAAATAAAGAATCAATTAAGAAATTCGAGGAGAATCAATAAATAATTGAATTTTATTATTTATCTCGGGAAAATAAATTATAATATCTAATTGATTATTTAAATAAAAAATAAATATATTATTATAAAGAAAAGAAATCTGATTTCATTAAGAAATATAAAATCTATAATTATTTTATCTTGTTAGTATTTTATATAATAATATATAATGATATTTATTATATAATATTTAAGGAAAATATTAAAATAAATAATATTAAAAGATATATTGTAAATATAAATTCTTTATCTTTTAATGAAGTATAAAAATATAATAAATATAATTTGGAAATTGAAGAAGTATAAAAAATCCTATTACAAATTAGAATTCATTATATCTGATAAAGGATCGATAAAGATAATAGAGAAGTATTAAATTATAATTATTGTTGAGATTTTCAAATAGAATTAATAAGATTATTATTTATTATACTTTATCGATTATTAAATATAAACAAATATTAATATAAATAATTGAATCTCTTTATTAAAGAACAAATTATTAAAATATTATTATTAGAATTAAATAGTATAATAGGAATCAAACAATTAATTATAAAAATCAAATTAAAAAATCAATAGATTAATATCTTAATTGATTCTGAAATTATAAGTATATTTATAGATCTCAACTTTATTAAAGAAAATAAAATTTTTATAGAATTAAAATAAGATTTTTACTAGTTGATATTATTAGAAAAAAAGAAAGCTGGAATTGATAATTAAATATATAAAGAAATTAATATTATCAAAATGATTATGTTAGATAGGTATATCAAACAAATCAAAATGGGTTTAGTATTATTAAACAGATATATAATTATTTTTAAAACTTTATAGATTAAGAAATATAATCCAAATATCAATTGAGTAAAAGATACTTTAATATTTGATTATTATAATTATAATAACAAATAATTATATAGTCTAAAGGAATAGATTTTTAAAAAAAATCAAGTATTATATTATAACAATAATAGATTCTTTATTAATCGATAAAATTAATGAAAAAGAAATTCCAATATAATATAGAAGATTTGTCAAACTTTTCGAAGATTTATAGGATTTAAAAACCTTATCAAAATATAAATCTTGGAATTATAAAATCAATTTCAAAAAAGAATTTATATTCTTTATTGAAAAGTTGGGGTTATATAACTTTAATATTATATAGATATGAAAGGAATATAGAATTAAAATTGAGAAAAAAGAATAGATTAAGAAATCTAAGTCTCTTTGTATATTTAATATATTATTGATATTCAAAAAAGACAACTCAAATGATTAGTTTTATAGAGATTATTGTTGAGTTAATAATGAAATAATCAAAGATATATATTTAATATCAAAAATTTAGCAATTTAAAAATAAATTGAATAGAATTATAATTTATATAAAATTAAATCAAACAAATACTTTCAATTTAATATAAATAAAAAAGGATTATAAATAAAAAATAATCTTTATATTATTATTAGATTTATAAGAATATATAATTATATTATTTAGATTAATTAATATATTAGTTATATATCAATAGCAAAACAATAAAATATTTAAAGAGTTTAATTCATTTGTAATTTATTATCTAAATAATATTTTAATCTTTTTTCAAAGAAAGAAAGAATATAAAGGATATATATTGAAAGTATTCGAAATATTCAAAAAAATGGATTCAAAATTTAAATTATCGAAATACAAGTTTGAAATATAAAAGATAACATTTTTAAGATATATTATTCAATTAGAACAAATGAATATAAATTCTAAAAAAACAAAAAAAGTAAAGAATTAAAAACGATTCAAGAATATCAAGAATATATAATCCATATTAGAATTCATCAATTTCTATTGAATATTTATAAAAGATTTCTCAAAAATAATAGAATCCTTTATCGAAATAATCAAAAAAGGAATAACTTTTACTTGGAATAAAAAAATAAAACAAACTTTCCAAAAAATCAAAAACAGATTTATAAAAAAATCTATCTTTTACAATTATTATAATAATCAAGAAAATATTATCGAAATAAATATCTTTAATATTTATATAAAAAGAATCCATTTATAAAAAAATGATAACAGAAAATTACATTTTATCATTTATTATTTAAATAAGATAAATAAAACAAAACAGAATTATAATATTTATAAAAAGAAACTTATAATTATTATTAAAATATTAAAATATTAAAGAATTTATCTTTAAAAAGCTAAATTCCTAATAATCATTTATATTGATTATATAAATCTTTAAATCTTTATTATTATTAAGATTTTAGATAATTGTAGATTAGTTAGATAGATTAAAAAACTAACAAAGTTTGATTTGATAATCAAATATATTAAAAAAAAGGATAATATAAAAGCAAATACTTTAAATAGATTATTAGATTACAAAGATAATAAAACCTATTAGGAAATGATGATCTTGAAATCCTTATCAAATAAAGATCTTATCTTTAATTTAACAAAAATCATTATTATAAAAAATAAATCAATAAAGATTTAGAAAGATAAACTTATAAAAACATAATAAAATAAAAAAGGTATCAAATAATTAGAATTATCAATAACTATTAATAGATTATTTCGAATAAAAAACAAAATATAATTATTAAATAATATCATTTCTAAATATATTATAAAACAATATATATTATTAATTTATAAATATCAAAAAATACAAAGAATATATTTAAAGATCAAAAAATACAAAGAATATATTTAAAGATCAAAAAACAATATTGAAATCTAGGATTTCAAAATATAATTAATAAAATAATTATCAAATATAATATCTATATTAGAAATAAAGCTTTCCATTATACTTTCTATAAACAAATAAATATTATTGAAATATTATCTATATTATAGAAATCAATATTATAAGATTTTATAGATTTATTATCAAAATCCAAAGATTTAATAATAAGAATAATATACAATTACCTTTTTGTTATAATAAATAGATTAATGAAATATCTAATATTCATATTATATTAGATAATATTAATTATAGAAATATTAATCTTTATATTTTTGAAAAAGATTATTATAATATATAGATTATCAAAGGAAATACTTTCTAATAAAAATAAACTTTTTATATCAAAATTTTGGATTATTTTAATAGTATTATTAAAAGTAAAAAAGAAAATATTTATAATATTCTATTTATAAATCAATAAAAGAAACAAAAAAGTAAATTAAATTATCAAAATTTATTTTCGATATTATATAAATTATTAATAAAATAATTGAATAAAACTTTTATTCTTAATATAATTTGTATACAACAATTCTATATTAGAAATAATACAAATCATTTCGAATTATATCAATTATAAATCAAAAATTACAAAAATAGAAAATCAATCTACAATAATATAAACAAAAAAACTCAAAAAAGTTTATAAGAAAATAACAACAAAATTGAAATTTGTTATTAAAAGAAATATATATTATTATAATCAAAAATATAATTAAAAGTTAATATTAAAAGAAAGAGATAAAGTTTATTTATTTCGAAAAAATATCGAAATAAAAAGATTTAATATAAAATTGGATTATAAAAAACTTGGATTATTCAAAATTAAGAAAGTTAAAAGATCTTTGAATTATGAATTGATATTATCGAAAAATATAAATATATATTTAGTATTTTATATATCTTTATTCGAATTAGTATCTTCAAAAGTATCAAAAACTTTTGAAACAGAAATCATATTTATAGATTAAGATATCAAATACAAAATAAAGAAGATATTAGATTGCAAATATATTAAAAGCAAAATCAAGTATTTAATAAAATAGAAAGATTACTTTTATTTCAAAATATATAAAAATTTAAAAAAGATTAAATATTTAAAAAGTTCTAGAAGTTTTATTAATAAAATCCGGATTTATTTAAAAGGGAAAAAATTCATTGTTTTTGTAAAAAGAATTAAAAGAATCGAATTCGTTTATAAAAATTTTATTAAGATTAATAAAATTAATTAATAATTGATCAAATTGATTAAATTAATCAAATTGATCAAATTAATTAGAAAAGTCAGAATTAACAATAGATATTGAAAATGTAATAATTTTTTTTTTTTTTTCTTTTCTTTTAAAGTATTCAATTTATCAAGATATTTGAAACTTTGTTTAATCATCTTTTTATAACGATTTTATAAATAATCTTATTATTTTTGAAAATAAAGAATTTTAATTATAATCTTTTCTTTTTCTTTTTCTTTACAAAGTTTTTTTTTTATTTATCTAAGGATTTCTAATTATTTATCTAAGGATTTCTAATTATTTATTTTAATTATCTTCTAAATACTATTTTGTATTATAAAAGATACAAGATTGTATATATTCAAAATAACAAGTTTTTTATAAATTATTTAGAATTTTTATACAATAAAGATCTTCTATACAATAATGAATATATAAAATTATTTCGATATCAAAATTCTCGATTTCAATTATAAAATAAAATTTCTTTTTGTTCTTTCGACGAATTTTGTTGAATTATAAATCATTTATAATAAAAAAAAGAATCAAGATATAAAACAACGAAAATTAATAAATCATATATTAATTATAAACGATCAGGGATAATACTTAATTAAAAAAAGAATAATATTATAAAATCATTTTATAAAATATTATAAAGTAATAATTAATCTATCTTTATAAATTTGAATCTCTTTGAAAAGTAAAGCAATTTATATATAAATTTATATAACAATTGTTTTATATAATTTTTCTATCTTTAACAAACTCGAATATATAATCTGATTTTAATTATATAATAAAGCTTTTAGAAATATAAACTTTTATAGATTTCTTGAAGTTTTTAGAAGTATAAACTTCTGAAGACTTCTAAAATAGATTAGTATATAATCAGAATAGTTTTATAGTTTAGAAATTTTGTATTCAATTTAATTATCAATTAGTTTATTTATATTCTAATTGATTTAATAATATATTCATCTTCGAATAGATAATTAATGATTATTAGTCTTAATCTACAACTACTAATCATACAAAAACCTAAGACAGCCGCTGCCTCAACCAGATCGTTACAATTATATAAGTCTAATACTTTACTTTCCGGTCACTTTTTTATATCAAAAATAATAATTTTCATTTATTAATAATTCAACAACAAATAAATAAAATCAATTAAATTTTTAAATAAAGGCTTATTATATAATTATTAATAGATTTTGAAATTTTAAGATTTTTTTATGATTTTATTGATTAAGATATTGAAAATTGAAATTATGATTTTCAATTTGTATAAGATTTATATATAAATTTAAAAATCTTGAAAACCTTAAATAACTTTTCTAGAAATATTTAAAATTATAAATCTCAACAAAATAAATCTCAACAAAATAAATTTCAAAAATTTTCAAATTTTCCAAAAATTATTATTATTTATATAACAAATATATAATTCGAATTTTATTGAATTATATAAATTCGTTATTAAGTTATTAATAATTGAAAATAATTATTTTTAGTGTAAAAAAGTAGTTAAAATTAAAGATGATTAAAAAGTATAGTACTAGACTTAAAGCTAATATGATAGAGAAAATTGAAGAGAAGTATTGGTATAATTAGATTGTAAAGAAAGAATCGATAAATTGAACGAGATCTAAGATTAGTGCTTGCCGGCTGTAAATGCTTTATTATTCTCCATTTTGAGATCCATTGACCTCGTGGTTGTTTTCATTTTTTTCCATTTTTGGATGATTTTCTTTTCAATGATTAAGAAGCAAACAGGGGTTAGAAAATTGGGGCTTTCTAATTAATCAGCAATGATCACGTGCGTAATGTAGTATAATCTAGCTAAAGCGTTATATTATGCTTTATTTGTAAACTAGCTCTACTTTACGTAAAGGGCCCATCCTTAGTTTACGGTCATATGGAAAAGGAAAAAAACTCCAAATTCAAAGAAATGTACATACCACCCACTGGGCGTGGGCTGTCTCGCTATTATCTGCAGCGAGATCCCATCCAGTCGCGGGTTGTGTACAGCTGGAGGAAGAGTCGAACCCGCCGTCCATTGACTTCATCGTAGCTTTGTCCTCGATGCCTGCAAGTTCTCCCAAGATCCTTCAATCAACCCTCGGCCTCCATTACTCAGCTAAATATTTACGGGGGTGATCCATTTGTTCCACATTTCATCTTCCTTCAATCGCTCGACTGCGGACTTCTCAATCCAAACAATGATATCCACATTTCCATCCCGTTGCGCCGGCATTGGTAGCACCCTGGGAGTACAATCCAAAAAAGGATTGGCCATCCTCGCCGCATCTTGGAAACCTAAGTTGCCACCCCAGTCTTGCTCGAAACCCTCAATGTCTTTCAAGTTACTGATAACCAAAATTGGATTTAAGGTTTTGACATACGATACACGTTCCTCTGTGATATCACCTAAGCTATCCAAGAACCCAGTCATGTCTCTAATGTGCTTATCAGTGAACTCAGTTCGTGATTCTGAAATAGCAAGAGCGGCATCAAAGATAGACCGGGGATGGATATCGAGAGTGATGGGAAACCCCAGCGAAGCATTCCCCATGTATCTCTTGGGAAGCGGTGGGTCGAGAACCGTACGGCCCTCATACGCAACGGATAAATTTCCCCGTAGAGGCCCTTGAATCGATATTCTAGCACGGTTGACACAGCACCAAATTAATGCAGCCAGTGTATCGTTTACTGTCAGCCAGGATTTTGCTGAACCCTCCCTGGAAACAGCATCTCTGAGTACCTCCAATTTTGCGGTGGAAATACAGAAAAGGGCATTTGCCATCTCAGTAGTTGATTTGGGAGGAGAGTCAATCAGATGATTCCTGGGATCCTCGAGCGTCGAATTAGCAACCTGGAGCTTGTATTCTCGTATGTCCATCCGTTCAAGGTTGGTGGTTCCGTGCATGAGTGGAGATCGGTCAAGATAACTAGGCAGGACCTCAAAATCCTTCAACTTCTCGGAGGCTGCTTCTTCATCTTCGGCGGGCCAAGAAGCCTTCACGTTCTTTGACAAAACAAAGAGTACGTTATTCCAGGCAAGTACATCACACGCCGTGTGCAAGACGCTCAAATGTAGAATCAATCCTCCATCAATGAAGTTTGCCTGCGCAGCTATAACCGGAAGTTTTTCCAAACCCATGTACCCCTTGACGGGACTAAGACAATCGTCAAAGAACACATTACCAGGAAACCGTGCTTTCCTTAAACTTTTATAAGAATGTGGCCACGAATTTCCGCTCCCAGTACGGAGATCGTTGAATATTAATTGATTGCCTTCGAGATCGCTAGGTAGAGTTTCGATCTGAAACTTTCCAGGAGAGCCCGTGGAAACAACTGTGCCGCCAAGAAACGGAATCTCATTCAAAGTTCGTTTCAAGCCTAACTTCAGATGGTTGTAAATATCCTCAATTTTACTGCGGCGAGATATTGGCCAGCCACAGTTGAAACTGATCACATATGTGCGAGGCATTAAGTGATCGATTGGTGTCAACTCGGTGATTATGGCTTCGGTTGAGGAAGGCATTGCGTGATTGAATGAAGTTCCCTAAAGTTTTTTTTGTTGAAAGATAGGTAGCAATTTGTATGAAATTGGATTCTAAACCTTAATATTGTGCATGCAGTGTTGTGAAGTTCTAATACGAATATTTTTCCACCAAAATTGTGACGTGGAAGAGCTGGGAACCACTTGCCAAGGGTCGCCGGAATATCCACAACTTCGTTAGCTTTACGGCGACCGATTATCCATCCAGAGATCCATTTTATGGTTAATCATCATCTCCGACGTTGTTCCGTTTTGGTACTTTACGTGGTTGTATATCCCGATGCAAACCATTCAAAGCTATTGGTGTCTTTCTACATTCAACTGTGCTGCAAGTATAAGTCATTGAAAACTATGGAGAACCCAGTCTTGATTCAGAAAGCTGCTCGACGGTACAAATCTGCGATTCCATTATTCCTGTTTCATGATGGTGGTGGAACAGTTTTACCCTATTACTTCCTCGAAAGCTTGAATCGCAATGTATGGGGAATATCATATCCACATCTTAATGATGGTGGCATCTTTGAAGATGGTATCAAAGGGATGGGAGAGTTATATGCTGGGATGATCCGTGGGAAAGTCTCCAGAGGTAAAGTCCTGCTTGGCGGTTAGTCCCCCCTCTTTTATTTATAAGTCGTTACTGAGTTTTGATACAGGTTGGTCCGCGGGTGGATCTGTAGCAATCCAAGTCGCAAAGTGTTTGGAGAATATTCCGGAAATCTGTGTCGCTGGCACCATATTGCTTGATACGCCATTTCCCGATTTCCCTGACTGGCGACCAAAAGATGAGCCACCAGTCCAGTTTCATTTACCGGTAGCCCCAGATCAAACAGCTCAGAATAGATTAGCGCAACAACAAGCTGTCAATGATATTATCCATGCACTCTCAGTCTGGGAGCTGCCAATTTGGGAGGATGGAAGGTACAGTTCCCTTAATCTTACTATTTTGAATAGGAAAGATGTACTAACCAGAGATTTAAATTCAGACGACCGCCACCCGCAGTATTTATAAGGGCACTAGAAGCAGTCTCAACTGAGAATGTTGTAGAAGTCGATTGGTTTCGTGGAGAATATGCTTTAGGATGGCGTAAATATCCATATGAGTTCATAATTCAAGAGCTTCGTGTTCATGGGGATCATTTTAGCATTTTCACTCCTTTATATGTGAGTAGTTGCTTCGAGAACCTCCATGTATGTACTTGCTAATGTGAATATTCGTAGCTACCGGAATTAAGTACGAAGTTGAGGGAAGCTTGTGAGTTATTGGATTCCAAACAGGAGTATAGCATGTTACTGGACTCCAAGCATAGTAGTACTATATTGGTGAAGGCGTTGAAATCATTTTAAAAGAACGGATTTCGAACATAGCAGTAGTGTATTATTAACGGCGTTGAAACATCTTTAAGAGAATGGAAGGCTGGCACAATTGGAATACAAGGCAACCGTCAGGGTGTTGGAGGTGGCACATTTTAGGATTTATAAGGTTAAGTTCAGACCGTGTACATATAGATGTAAAATTAAAACATTGTATATAAAAATCAACTTCATTCTACTTTCAAATCTAACATGTGTTTGGACCTAATTTTTCTTCAAGGATATTTGTTTAAATTAAATATATGTTTTACAAATATACTCAAATTAAATATAATATTATAATCATATATAAATCAAATAAAATTTTTTTTGAATTATCTTTTAATATTTTAAGAAAATTAAAATTATAAATCAAATACATAAAGAATTTTAATTAATCAATTATATAATCTTTTATAATTAAATATAAAAAAAGAGTTTTTACTTTTTCTTTTTAAAATAATCAACTTTCTATATATATATTTTGAACTTATATAGTCTCAATCTCAAAATTATTGTAAACTTTATTTTCTTTATAAATAATATATTATAAAATAATCTAATCAACTTTTTTTTTCTATTTTTCTTTATAATATATTATCAAGATATATATAACGATCTGGTTGAGGCAGCGGCTGTCTCTGGTTTTGTATGATTGGTAGTTGTAGGTTAAGATTAATAATTATTGGTTATTTATTCACAGATGAATATATTATTAAATCAATTAAAATATAAATAAACTAATTGATAATTAAATTGAACATAAAGTTTTTAAATTATGAAATTATTCTGATTATATATTAATAAATATAAAAAAGCTTTATAGAGTTCTAGGAGTTTTCGAAGTTTTTAAAGCTTCTTATTATATAATTAGAATCAGATTAAATATCTAAACTTGTTAAAGATAAAAAGATCATATAAAACGATTATTATACAAATTTATATATAAATCACTTTGTTTTTCGATAAGATCTAAGCTTATATAGATAAATTGATTATTGTTTTTCAATATATTATAATCTTAATTATAAATTGTAATACTATCCTTTTCCTAGCTAAATATTATCCCAATCGTTTATAACCTTCCGGATTTCACCTGGTAATTAATATTTTTTCTTCTCTTATATTTTATTTATCTTTTTTCATTATAAACAATTCTGATTTTTTTAATAATTTAATTTAAAAAAAAAAAAAGGAATATATATATTTAACTATAATTATCAATTTTATTGATATTAAAATAATTCCTTATTTTTATTATTGATAAAAAAATCGTTGTTATATTAAGGATTTCTTTGATAAATATTATTTATATTATTCAGAATATATACAAAATTCTGTTTTATATAATGTTGAGTTTCGTTTGGAAGATGATTAAGATTATAAAATTCCTTGAGAATATAATTAAAAGAATCTTGATTAATAAATCGATAAATTGGATATTGAAATCATTAAATCTTTTATTAAAATTATTTATTTTGTTAAATAGAAGATACAATTCAAAAAACGATATAATAAAATATTATATTGTAGGTTCAAATACCTTGATAAATTTGATATCTTTAAAGAAAAAAAATGAAAAGAAAAGAATAAAGAAATTCTTGTAACTCTTTTATTGTTTTTTGATCAATTTGATCAATTTAATCAATTTAATTAATTAATCTTTAATCAATTTGATCAATTATTAATTAATTTTATCAATCTCAACAAAATTTTTATAAATAAATTTAATTTTTTCGATCTTTTTTTGTAGAAAACAATGAATTCATCTTCTTTTTAGATAAATCCAGATTTTATCAACAAAACTTTTAGAACTTCTTCAAATATTTAATTTTTTTCTTAAATTCCTATATATTTTTGAAATTGAGGTAATCTTTCTATTTTATTAAATATTTGATTTTGTTTTTAAAATATTTATAATTTAGTATTTTTTTTACTTTGTATTCGATATTTTAATTTATAAATATGATTTCTATTTTAGAAGCTTTTGATATTCTTAAAGATACTAATTCGAATAGAGATATATAAAACATTGAATGTATATTTATACTTTTCGATAATATCAATTTATAATTCAAAAATCCTTTAACTTTCTTAATTTTGAATGATTTGAATTTCTTATAATTCAATTTTGTATTAAGTTTTTTTGTTTCGATATTTTTTCAAAGTAAGTAAACTTTATTTTCCTTTTTTAATATTGATTTCTAATTACATTTCCGATTATAATAGTATATATTTCTTTTGGTAATAAATTTCAATTTTGTTATTATTTCTTTGTAGATTTCTTTAAATCTTTTTGTTTATATTATTATAGATTAGTTTTTTATTTCTATAATCTTTGATTTGTAATATACAATTAATTTGTATTTATAATTGATATAATTCGGAGTGATTTATATTGTTTTCGATGTAGAATTGTTGTATATGAATTATATTAAGGATAAAAGTTTTATTCAATTGTTTTATTAATAATTTATATAATATCAAAAATAAATTTCGACAATTTAATTTATTCTCTCATTTCCTTTATTGATTTGTAAATAAAATATTATAAATATTTTCCTTTTTATTTTTAACAATATTATTAAAACAATTCAAAATTTCGATGTAAAAAGTTTATTTTTATCAAAAGTATTTTTTAATAATTTATATACTATAACAATTTTTTTCAAAAATATAAAGATTAATATTTCTATAATGAATTTTATCTAATATAATATAAATATTAAATATTTTATTAATTTATCTATTATAACAAAAAAATAATTATATATCATTCTTATTATTAAATCTTTAAATTTTAATAATGAATTTATAAAATTCTATAATATTGATTTTTATAATATAAATAATATTTCAATAATATTCATCTATTCATAAAGAGTATAATAAGAAATCTTATTTCTAATACAAATATTATATTTAATAATTACTTTATTAATTATATTTCGAAATCCTGAATTTTAATATTATCTTTTGATTTTTAAATACATTCTTTGTATTCTTTGATATCTATAAACTAACAATATATATTATTCTATGATATATTCAAGGATAATACTATTTAATAATTATTAATAGTTTTGATTATTTAATACCTTCTTTATTCTATTATATTTTTATAAATTTATTTTTTCAAATCTTTATTGATTTATTCTTTATAATAACGATTTTTATTAAATTAGGAATAAAATCTTTATTTGATAAAGATTTCAAAATTGTTATTTTTTAATAAATTTTATTATCTTTGTAATTTAATAATCTACTCAAAATATTTATTCTTGTATTATCCTTTTTTTTTTGATATATTTGATTATCAAATTAAATTTTATTAATTCCTTAATTTATCTAATTAATCTACAATTATTTAAGATTTTAATAATAATAAAAATTCGAAGATTTATATAATTAATATAAATAATTACTAAGAATTTAATTTTTTAAAGATAAATCTTTTAATATTTTAACATTTTCATAATAATTATAAATTCTTTTTTATAAATATTATAATTTTGTTTTATTTTATTTATTTTATTTAAATAATAAATAACAAAATATAATTTCTCATTATCATTTTTTTATAAATAAACTTTTACTATATAAATATTAAAGGTATTTATTTTAATAATACTTTCTCGATCATTATAATAATTATAGAGAATAAATTTCTTTGTAAATCTATTTTTGATTTCCTAAAAAACTTGTTTTACCTTTTTATTTTATATAAAAATTATTCCTTTTTTAATTATTTCAATAAAAAATTCCATTATTTTCGAAAATTTTTTTATAAATATTTGATAGAAATTAATAAATTCTAATATAGATTATATATTCTTGATATTTCTAAATCGTTTTTAATTTTTTATTTTCTTTGTTTTTTTAGAATCTATATTTATTTGTTTTAATTGAATAATATATTCTAGAAATATTATCTTTCATATTCCAAACTCATATTTCGATAATTTGAATCTTGAATCTATTCTTCTAAATGTTTCAAATATTTTCAATATATATCTTTCATATTTCTTCTTTTTCTAAAAAAAGATTAAAATATTATTTAGATAATAAATTATAAATGAATTAAACTCTTTGAGTATCTTATTGTTCTATTATTAATAAATAATTGATATATTAATTAAACCGAATGATATAATTATATATTTTTATAAACCCAATAGTAATCGAATATTAAAATATTTTTTATTTAATTGATATTTAGATTATATTTCTTAATCCATAAAGTATTAAAAACAATTATATATCTATTTAATAATATTAAATTTATTTTGATTTATTTGATATATTTATTTAGTATAATCATTTTAATGATATTAATTTTTCTATATATTTAATCATCAATTTCAGTTTTCTTTTTTTTTAACAATATCAATTAATAAAGATCTTATTTTAATTCTATAAGAATTTTATTTTCTTTAATAAAGTTAGAATTTATAAATATATTTATAACTCCAAAATCAATCAAAGTATTAGTTTATTAATTCTTTAATTTGATTTTTATGATTAGTTATTTGATTCTTATTATATTATTGAATTCTAACAATAATATTTCGACGATTTATTTTCCAATAAAGAGATTTAATTATTCATATTGATATTTATTTATATTCAATAATCAATAGAATATAATAAATAATAATTCTATTGATTTTATTTGGAAATCTTAACAATAATTATAATTTGATATTTCTTTATTATTCCTATCGATCTTTTATTAAATATAATGAATCTCAATTTATAATAAAATCTTTTATACTTCTTCAATTTCTAGATTATATTTGTTATATTTCTATATTTTATTAAAAAATAAAGAATCTATATTTGTAATATATCTTCTGATATCATTTATTTTAATATTTTTCTTAAATATTATATAATAAATATTATTATATATTATTATATAAAATATTAATAAAATAAAATAATTATAGATTCTATATTTCTTAATAAAATCAAATTTCTTCTCTTGATAATAATATTATATTCATTTCTTATCTAAATAACTAATTAGATATTATAATTCATTCTTTCAAAATAAATAATAAAATTCAACTAATTATTGATTTTCTTCGAATTCTTCAATTAATTCTTTATCTTCTAATTCGAGGTTTTTTAAAGATTCTTTTTTATAATCGGTATTATTTTCAATATTAATTTTAAGATTTTGATTATTAATATTCAATTCCTTTAATTATTCAAGATTGAATTAAAATAGATCTTTTTTCAATAATCTTATTTCCTTCAAACTTCTTTTCAAAATCCTTGTTTCTCAAGAACTTTATATTTTATTCTCAAATTTCATTTGTTTTCTATTTTTTGTAATAAATAGTTTCTTTTTTTGAAAATAATTTCAGAATATATATTCACTTTTCTTATAAATATAATATAAATTATTCTTTCTATATTTATTCTTTTTATTAATATTTAAATTATTTAATTTTAAATGATATTATTCAATATTATTCAATTTTATTAAATTATTAATATTATAATACTTATTCTAATAATAAAGTTTTTGAAACTTTTTGTTTTTCTAAATGATTCCTTTTTTCTTTATTTGTTATTTATAAAATCAATTATCAATAAAAATAAAGATTTCGATTAATTTGGAAAGATTAAATAGTTTTGAAGTTTTTGTTAATTTATCCTTAATGATATCTTTCAATCCTTTATAAAATTATAATTTTAAATAATTATTATTTTGTATAATATATTCAATATATTATTAAAACTTGATAATATAGATTATAACTAATTTGATCTATATAAGTTATTATAATACTTTTTCAATTATATAATCGGAGTTTATTTTCTTAAATACTTTATTGAATCCTTATCTGAACAATTTATAACTAAAAAAAAGATAATGAATCTTAGATTTTATACTTTCGTTTAATTAATTATTAATAGTTTTAATTATTAAATTATTGAAAAATGATTCGATTTAATTGAATATAATTTTTTAAAAAAAAGAGATCAATTATAAGATCCTTTGTATAAAAATTAAGAAAAATTATTTATTAAAAGTATAATAAAGATCAATTTATATAATAAAAACTCGATATTTATTATAATTTTTATAAAATAAATCAAGGATAAATATCTAAATTGTTTATTTGTATTTTATAATAACAACAATCTAAACAAAGATCTTGATTAGATTGAATAAAAACAATTTGATAGATTATTGATTGAAAGTTATTATATTATATATAACTTAATTGTAACAATATTCAAAGTATAACAATCTGATTAAAATAACAATTGCTTCTGGTTTTGTATAGTTAATAATTGTAAATTAAAATTAATAATCATTGATTATTTATTCGAAAGTGAGTACATTATTAGATTAATTGAAATATAGATAAATTAATTAATAACTAAATTGAATACAAAGTTTTTAAATTATGAAATTATTTTGATTATATATTAATGAATATAAAGAAACTTTATAAAGTTCTAAAACTCCAAAAAGCTTTTAAAATTTTAAAAGTTTTCGAAGTTTCTAAAGCTCTTTATCATATAATTAAAATTAGATTAAATATTCAAGTTTACTAAAAATAAAGAGATTATATAAAGCGATTATTATATAAATTTATATATAAATCGCCCTGCTTTTCGATAAGGTCTAAGCTTATATAAACAAATTGATTGTTGCCTCTCAATATATTATAATCTTAATCATAAATCGTAACAATATATATATCTCGATTTATCATTTTTATAATATCAAAAATAAATTTTTTATTTATTTACCAGGGGCCTGCACCCCCCGGACCCCTGGCTTTTTGAGAAAGTCTAATAAAAATTCAAGTTTTAAAAAGTTTATAATAAATTTAAATATTGAATATATATATCAGGGTGCAGGTAGAATATCAGGTTGTTTTTAATAATTGCAAAAAAAAATTATTATTTAAAAATAATAATTATAATATAATTTAATATTTTATATTATTTATAATATTTATAATAATTATCGACTTGCCGACATTAAAACCTTATTATATATATATTGTATCACAATTTACCTGATATAGATTATAGAAAATGAAAAACTTGCTTAAGTGAGCCGCGATTCTAATAATCTGATTGGTTTAAAATACCCCGGTAAATACCCCGGTAAATACCCCGATAAATAATCGAACAAAAATCTTAATATAAGCTTTATAACCTTAGTTAAATCTGATTTAAAGTTTTTTTCAATTCAACTCAATATCATGATTCACGATTTAGATTATAATAGTATTATTAATATCGATGATTCATATACTAACTACAAAGAGAGTATAATTTAATTGTTACTTTCAGGAGACTTAGTCATCTACGAATAGGATCTTAGAATTCTTAAAATAAGTATTCTAAACAATTATATTAGAATAAGATAAATGTTTTAATTAATTGATTATAATAAGATAATCATTTTAAAGAATATTATATTCTAAAATTAAAATTTCTAAAGGAAAACTTCTAAGACAAATATTTTAGGAAAGGAAAGGCATCAGAATCAATCATATAATAAAAAGCTTTAGAAGCTTTAGAAGCTTGAAAAGCTCTTAAAACTCTAAAAGCTTTTAGAGTTTTGAATATTACAAAACTCCTTTTCATTTATTAATATATAATCAGAATAGTTTTATAATTTAGAAGTTTTATATTCAATTTAGTTATTAATTAATTTATCTATATTTTAATTGATTTAATAACAAATTCATTTCCAAATAAATAATCAATGATTAATAGCCTTAATTTATAATTATCAACTATACAAAACCTCAGGCAGCCGCTGCCTCGACCAGATCGTTACACTCAATTGAAATCATTCAACTTAATTCATTCAACTCATTCAACTTATAATAATAACAATAATATTATTAAATCATATTATAATTATTATTTTTAAATAAAATATCCCAATCTTCAATCATCAAAAACAAGTCGATATCCCGTCTCTACCCTGATATATACTCAATATTTAAATTTATTATAAATTTTTTAAAACTTGAATTTTCATTAGACTTTCTCGAAAAGCCAGAGGTCCGCGGGGCACAGGCCCCTAGTATTTTATATTATTATTATTATTATTATTACTATTATTAACTTGGATTTATGTGACAATATGATGAATCAATTACATCCCGTTGAGAATAAGTCTAAACTAATTAAACTTTGACCAGCCCTGTCAAAACGGGGATATCCGCAATGGGTTTAAGGGTCAAATCAAAAGTAAGATTATCTCCACTTTGACAACTCATCCAATCATATACTTCAATTAACCATGGCCAGCATTGCTTAAGCAAGAAGGCCTAGGCTCAACATAGTTTGGGCTTATTCTCATTTAAGGTAAGACGTTAGTCAAAGTATACAATAAGAATATTGAATTAGGCTTTTAAACTAAGCTTTGTTGTATCGAACGATATCCAACGCTGTGACTTGAATAGACACTTTTACTCCCTCCAGACATGCCAAGATTCCGCAAAATCGGGACCCGATTTATACTACATCTGGGGAACGGAGTCCGAGGACTTACCACACTCCTGCAAACATGGAGAAAGCTAAAATAGCTGTGTATAGGGACCACGTATCCCCGCAAGAATTCGAAGTACTTGGTTCTTTCGAAAGATCTGGACCAGGTAATACGATTTCTAAATCTCTTCGAATTTTGACGTCTTGTCACAAGCTGATGTCCTACAGATTCCATTTTCTACCAATACTTCTGTTCATTTGTGAGGGCTTTGTCATAAATTATTCTTACTAGCGTTGCAAATATGGCTTCCCCAGAGCCCGTTGCAATTATTGGCATAGGTAAGCTATATTGTCTGTGCATTTGATTTGGGATGAAATCACTAAAACATCGTTCAGGTTGTCGCTTGCCAGGCGACTCAGATACGCCAGACGAGTTCTGGCAAATGCTTGCTGAAGAACGCTCTGGATTTTCGAGGCCGCCTTTATCACGCTGGAACACTGATGGGTTTCATTCAAAAAAGACTCGACCTGGCTCTTTGACCCCAGAAGGCGGCTACTTTATCAATGAGGATGTTTGGAATTTCGACCCGTCGTTTTTTGGTATTGTACAAGAAGAGGCAAAGGTCATGGATCCTCAGCAGAGGAAGTTGCTGGAGTGTGTTTATGAGTCCTTTGAGTCCGGTGGCATTACCCTCAGCCAACTGTCAGGCTCAAACACAGGATGTTACGTTGGAAATTTCACCTCCGATTTCAACATACAAGCCCACCGAGACCACAACAATTTCAAACCTTATAGTATGTTAGGTACCGGTTCCACTATTATCAGCAATCGAGTTAGCTATCTGTTTGATCTTTGTGGTCCGAGGTAAGTTCCCCTTCAAGTAGTTCGAGCTGCATAACTGAAGTTTGGCGTACAGTCTTACAATTGACACGGCTTGCTCTTCCTCTCTTTACTCTTTGCATATTGCTTGCAGAGCGTTACAGACAAAAGAGATCAACGCAGCAGTAGTCGGAGGTACAAATTTGATGCTCGCGGTAGACACTCAGATGAGTACAGCATCAGTTGGTGTTTTATCAGCTACATCTACTTGCCATACTTTCGACGAATCAGCCGATGGATATGGCCGTGGTGAAGGTGTTGGTGCCATTTTCCTCAAGCGTTTGTCTGATGCCATTCGAGACAAGGATCCTATACGTGGCGTAATCAGAGGCACCGCTACAAATGCAAATGGAAAGACTAGTGGTATCACCCAACCAAGTGCGAAGGGCCATGAGGCTTTGATGCGCACTGTCTATGAATTCGCCGGCTTGGATCCCAAAGATACATCATATTTTGAGGCTCATGGCACCGGTACGCAAGTTGGCGATCCAATAGAGGTGAGGGCTATCGGAAATTTTTTTTTCGAGGGTGCGGAAAGGCAAGAACTTCTTATCGGATCGGTATGTCACGTCGCCTCCGTAAAATCGTTGTAATAGTTAACCTTTTCTAGGTAAAAACAAATGTTGGGCATAGTGAGGCGGCCAGCGCATTAGCAAGTATAATAAAAGTATGCTTAGCTATTGAAAAACGCACGATACCCGCGACAATTGGCATTAAAAAATTGAACCCCAAAGGTAAAACCGGCACTCAATCTGCAAAGATCATGCACTGACTACCTGTTAGTCGATTTCAAGGATGGAAGGATAAAAGTTGTCCAGAAAATGACGCCCTGGCCGAAAGGTTTCTCTAAGTGCCGTGCAAGTGTAAATTCTTTTGGTTACGGGGGAGCCAATGCCCATGCAATTATCGAGGCGGCCGATTCTGTCCTTCCCGGAAAGTTAACTCATATCCGACGGGGCCAACGCAATAGTTACGCTGGGGATGATGATGAGGAGTCGGATGAAATGGTGGGCACCAGCCTACGCTCACAAACGAGGGTAGTCCCCCGCTCAGAATTTTTGCTGCTTTTCTCCGCCCATGATATTTCTACGTTGAAAAGGAACATAGAAAGATTTCGTGACGTGGCAGAAGATTATAATATACTCGATCTTGCCTACACGCTTGGCTGCCGAAGATCCGACTTTTTCAACTGCGCATACGCGGTAGCACGAGAAGAAGATGTGGAAGAGGATCTTATGGAGCATGAGATTACTTTTGCAAAAAGGGGAAAGGGTGGGAAGATTGCCTTCATTTTCACCGGGCAAGGCGCACAGAATGCACAGATGGGTCGAGAACTCATGTTGACATTCCCATCATATATCGATACGATTAGAAGACTTGATCGAGCATTGCAGTGTCTAGGGGAGGATTCGCCAGATTGGACTATTGAGAACGTTTTAATGGAACCTGCAGCGACCAGTAGGATTAATGATGTTGAAATTTCTCAGCCAGTTTGTACAGCTGTTCAAATTGCCCTCGTCGAGCTCCTTCGAGCTTGGGACGTGATACCAGCTGCCTGTATCGGTCATTCTTCCGGCGAAATTGCATCTGCATATGCCGCAAATCTTTTAACAGCAGAAGAAGCTATTATCTCTGCATTCTACCGGGGATTGGGAGTTGCTACTCTTGAGGTGAAAGGTAGTATGCTGGCTGTTGGAGCCGGCCCTGAAGAAATTCAACCTTATCTTGTTGAGGGGCTGCGTATTGCGTGCTACAACTCACCTAACAGTGTTACGTTGAGTGGTGATATTGAGCCTGCCACCATAGTCAAGGAGAAGCTGCAAACTGACAGGCTCTTTGTCCGCGAATTGAAGACTGGTGGAAGAGCTTATCATTCACACCACATGTTGAATATCGGTAATGACTATCAAACTCGCTTGTCAGTCGCACTTTCCAATTTCGGCGCGTCCCAAAACACCAACCAGCCTGAAGGTCAAAATCCCATCTTTTTCTCCTCGGTCACTGCCGAGAGAGCGTCATCCAGTTTTAAGCCAGGACCTAGCTATTGGCGCAAAAATTTAGAATCTCCAGTACGTTTCACTGAAGCCGTTGAAGCTGCACTAGCGGCAGATCTTGGCATTTCACAATTTGTCGAAATTGGCCCACATTCCGCATTAGCCGGTCCATTGAGGCAGATAAGAGACAGCCTGGGCATAACGCCCAAAGATCTGGACTACGCTTCCACTCTTGTACGTGGCCAGAGCTCTGTGACTCGTCTCCTGGATCTTGCTGGAGTTCTTACTATGAGAGGATATTCAGTCAACATTGAGCGTGTGAACGCTATTGAGAAACGTGATGGCGACGCTATTATTACAAAAACTGGTTTGCCCATTGTTGACCTTCCCAGGTACTCATGGAACTATTCTGCGGGAGAGTTAAGAGATAAAAATAGACCTAATGAGGAGCATCGCTTACGGAAATTTAAATTCCATGACCTCCTCGGTGCTCTCCTCCCAGGTTCATCTATCGAACAACGACAATGGCGAAATATGCTTGATTCAAAGAACTTCCCATGGTTAGAGGAACATAAGTTGGGGCTCCAGCCTGTGCTGCCTGGAACTGGCTACTTGGCAATTGCCACTGAAGCTGCGCGTCAATTTTTCCATGACAACCTAAGAATCAAAGGCCCGTTCCGATATTTTTTCCCCAGCGTTAGCATCACATCTGCATTAAACGTACCCAACTCCGGATCACAGGTTGAGATTGTTACCACGATGAAATTCGCGACAATAAGTGCTTCAATCAGGTCAAAAACAATTGCGGAGTTCACGATATCGTCCGTTCAAAACGGAAATTGGACTAACCACTGCGTCGGAACTGTCACAAAGAAGGAAGCCACTGACATGGCCCCAGGACTTGATGAAAGCAAACTTCAAGAGCCAAAGGCTGCCAGAACGTGGTATCGCGGTTTCCAGAAGGTTTCTCTTAATTACGGACCAGCTTTCAACGGATTAAGTGATATTCGTACCAATCCTGCTCTCGAAGAAGCAGTTGCAGAGACCGAACTTCTTCCAGCTGGTGTCTCCGAGCATGATTCTGCATATATCGTGCATCCCACAGCTATGGACACCTGTATTCAGGCTGCAATGATTGCGGCACACAAGGGTTCGTTCAAGGGTTTAAAAAGATCGTTCGTTCCAACATCAATGGCTGATGTATCTTTATGGTCGTGGAGGGACGATGATAATATCGCGCAGTTGACTCCTGGCAAAGGTAAAATCCTTGCACACTCAGAATTCTTTAGTGTCCGAGCCTTGAGTGGATGGTGTCAACTTTTCTCTCCTGAAGGCAAGCCATTATTTGAGATCAAAGAACTGTTGTGTACTCAATATTCAGAAGCCTTAGATGACCTGGGAACAATTGATCGTCATCCGTACCTTCGAACTGTGTGGAAGCCCGATGTCGACAAGATTACATCTGACTTGACTGACGATTCTCTTCTGGATATCATTGTCCACAAACGTCCTGGATTTGATATCTGCGAGATCTGGAGTACAGAATCAACCATTTCCGAAAATCTTCACAAAATCCTTGAAAGTGGTTCTTCGCTTCGTCGATACAAGACTTATACCATTATGACTCCCAATGACGTCGATATTCAACCACTCAAGACCAAGTATGAAGCTTTCCCGGGCGTTATCATTCAGAAGTTAGACCTTGAAAATAATTCAGAGAAGTTGTTCAATTTGGTCATCCTGCCTCCATCCCATACGGATGAGGTTGATTTTTTCAAACTCAAAAGTCTGTTGACTTCTGATGGAAAAATACTGCTCTATAGGTCAGGGGATAGCAGCGAAAATATCATCGGACCGGACTTTGAATCTGGTGGATTCTTCACTCTTCTGCAAGATCAAAAGTCCTTGCTGATGAGTCCCCACCAGAAGGCCAGTCTTGGCCCGGCCACAGAAGATATTGTACTTGTAACAAGGACTTCTCCAACAACATTTGACTCTCAAGTCTATTCGGGATTGTTAAAGACTGGGAGGTCGGTTATCTCAAAGTCTCTGCAAGATTCTAGTTTCCACGCGAATCCAGAGGCAAGCTACGTTTTCATCGTGGAGTCTGAGTCTAGTCTGTTCCACGAATCTCTGACTAGCCAAGAGCTGGCAAAAATACAGTCAATTGCAAGTGAGGCACGAAATATATTATGGCTTACTCATGGTAACTTGCTGGATGGAGGTGACCCTGATGCTGGGATAGTCATCGGACTGGGTCGTTGCCTCCAGACAGAGCATCCGACTCTGACTTTCAAGACTCTTGACCTGGATCATCGAGATCCTGCACAGACCATTTCAAACATAACAACTATCCTGGACGCAGCTGTTGGCGGTGATGAAGACAAAGAATTCATGGTCAAGAACAATGCTTTTTATGTCAGCAGACTTTCTCAAGACCAGTCATTGGATGAACAGTTTGTTGCTAGACTTGAAAGTGAGCCAAGTATGATCCCATATGACTCAGAAAAATGTGTCCGCTTGGGCATCGAACGTGTTGGTATATTCGACACAATACATTTTCAGGACGATAAGTGGGAAGCGCCGCTCAATTCTGGAGAAGTCGAGATAGATGTAAAAGCAGTCGGATTGAACATGAAGGTAATTGACAATGAGATCTTTTTGGGTTCGTCAAGCTAAACTTTTACAGGACTACGCAACGCTTGTAGGTTCTTATAACTCGGATCTCCTTGGTTTCGAGGGTGCCGGTGTCATCAGAAAAATTGGTCCTGGAGTCAGAAACGTAGCAGTTGGTGACCGTGTCAGCTGGGCTGGTCCTGGGAAGTTCCGTAACATCGAAAGATATGACTCCAGATTCGTCCAAAAACTTCAGCCCAAAGAGACCTTTGAACAGATGTCAAGTATCATGGTTCCATTTGTGACTGCTATCTATGGACTAATCCATCTTGCCAAGCTTCAGCCTGGTGAGTCTGTACTAATTCACTCTGCCACTGGAGGTGTGGGACTTGCAGCAATCCAGATTGCCAAAATGGTTGGTGCAGAGATATTTGCTACTGTTGGAACACCGGAAAAGAAGGGATTCCTAATGCAAGAATATGGTCTTCACGACGATCATATCTTATCATCCAAAGATGCAAGTTTCGCATCTGATATCATGCGAATTACTAATGGCCGCGGGGTTGATGTATCCCTGAACTCACTTGTACATGAGCAGCTGAGAGCCACATGGAACTCTATAGGACATCATGGTCGTCATATCGAGGTCGGACAAACCGATATTCTAGACCAAGGAATGCTGGATATGGGTCCCTTCAAGAGAGGGGCTTCGTTTATTGCTATGGATTTGGTTCTTGCGTTCGAACAAAAGCCAGATGTGATGTCTCAGTAAGTTTACTCATGCAAATCATCGCATATTACCGCTGACATCTACAGGTTTCTGAGTGATGTCATTCAATACTATCGGGATGGCAAGATCCAACTTCTTCCAAATACATCTGTGTTCCCTGCTTCTGAAATTAGCCAGGCTTTCAAACAATTTGCCATGAAGAATAGAATTGGAAGAGTTGTCGTCAGCTTCGATACCGAGAAAATAAATGTAGGGTCTTTTGAACTTCATTTATAATAGTGATACTAACTGAATACCTCACAGTTTGTCGCCAAAAGAAAGTCAATGACGTTCAAACCAAACGGAGCATATCTACTTGTTGGCTGTCTTGGAGGACTTGGTCGATGTTTAGCTCGTCACATGGTTGAAAATGGCGCTCGCCATTTGATTTTCCTTGGGCGATCTGGCGAGGACCGTCGCGAAGCCGCATCCATGATCAAATATTTCAGGGATAATGGAATTGCAGTGGATATTGTAAAAGGGGATGTCACGAACTTATCCGATGTCGAAAAGGCGGTTGGTTTCGCAGCTGGTCCAATTTTGGGTGTTGTACAAGGTGTAATGGCCCTCGATGTGAGTTGATTGAAATCAAAAATTCATTAGAACTAATACTAATCAAATGACAGGATCGACTATTCACCAATCACGATCTAAAAAGTTGGGAATATGCTGTACGTCCCAAAGTTACGGGAACTTGGAATCTTCACAACGCCGTTGCAGCCCACTCCCTAGATTTCTTCGTCATGCTCGGTTCCACGGCTGCTTTATCCGGTTTCCCAACCCAGAGCAATTATTGCGCGGGAAATTCTTTCCTCGAATTCTTTGCAAGATACCGTCAAAGTAAGGGTCTACCAGCAACAACAATCTCGCTCACTGTCGTCACTGAAGTTGGATTCGTGAGTCAAAATGAAAGAATTGAAGATGGTCTAGCAAGAAATGGAGTCCACAACATCAACGAAGCTGGTGTTATCGATCTCATTGAAACAGCCATCATGAAAGCACCACCCTCATCTTGGAACTTCGATCCACTAGCCAATAACTTCATCGTCTCGGGTCTTGAACCCCTTCAACTAAGTGCTAACCTAGATATCGACGGCATCCCATTCTGGCGCCAACCACGTATCGGACCTGTCCTCAACGCCATTCTAGCCAAGAAATCTGGAGATGAAAGCGGTTCCGGTAAAGGTAAACGCAGACTCCTGTTACCAGATATTCTGGAGCTGGTAGTGGAGAAATTCTCCCAGACGTTTAATCTAGCTGTGGAAGACGTCGACACCGGTACGGCCGTGGTGAAATTCGGCATGGACAGTATGATCGGAACGAGCCTTCGTACGTGGTGTTATAAGACTTTGGGGGCGGATATTACGTCTTCGGAGTTTATGAGCTTAGATTTGACAGCTGAATCATTAGCTCAGAGGATTTATGATGTAAGGAAAGCTGCATGAAACACTTTGTATTTAGTTCTATATTCATAGACTTGTTTTTTTTTTGATATATTTATTCTACTCTTGTGACTTTATATTGTTATTCTTAAGATTATAAATAAACATTCAAGATGATTCTGTTCTAACTATTTATTAAAGTGACATGACAAAGTGACTAGGCTTCCTCCTCCTGGCAACGTCTATCAAGTTATATATAGTACGCTAGAGACAAGGGCACCATTAAGCCTTATCAATTTTTGAGCAGTTCGCATAATAATAAAGCCTGCGAACCTACTCGTCACCAGTGATCATTTTGAGAGGATTTAGAAAGTAAAATCAAATTCCTCTGATATACATAAATAATTATATAATAAAGATTTATTTCTTTATAATTCACATCGATATTCAAAGTTAAAATATAAATAAAAATTTATTTATATAATTTAAAACTTTATTATTTTATCAACAATTCATAACTTTAAGTTGTTATATAAATTGAAAATATTATTTCTTTAGATTTATACTTTTTATTATATATATTACATATGATGCTGTGTTTTTCTATACTTGAAAAATTTAATTATATAATAAGTTAATTTTAATATAAAATAAAACAATAACTTAGACTTCAAATAAAATAAAATAAATATATTATATATTTAACATTATTATTTTTATTTGAAATATATTATAAATTACTTTCAAGACCAATAAAGTATCTTGAAGTATATAAAGAGATGTATATAAATATTAATTCTCTCCTTTCATAATTATGATAAAAGATAGAGAATGAAGATACTATTATCATTCTTCTATTGTCCTCATATCAATCATACTGGTTTAAGCGAAGAGGAAAGGAGAGGAACCATCTGATCACGTGGTTTTCCAAAAGCGTAACCACTCTATACACAGTAGACCATGCCTTCTCATATTAAGAGTGTCATAAGATATGAACGAAAACCTTTACACTACTAAGCTACTTCAAACTAAAGGGGTTACTCCCAGGCATAATCTACATTGGTATTTATGATGATATGAACCAAGTACACTGTAAGGAATAGCCCAAAAATGAAAAACTCAGCAAGGAACCCTATAAATTTCCACTTAGCTATCACTAAATGACATGCAGCCATACGCTATAGCGAACAATTCCAAAACATATCTTTGTAATGGGTATTGTAAGATCACGCGTATAATCTGCCAACAACCATATACCGAGCACCATAAAACATGTAGTCCGCGATGCCAATCTCCAGATCCACCAAGTTCTACCATCTCGGAGACATCATAGATCTTAGCATCCACCGGTCTGGTTACCGATCATCAAAACTTTTTTTCGGTCTCCGATATGGGAACACGACGGGTAATCTTCGGGTTCCATACGCATTCCACCATGGGTGCTGACCCACATTTCAGAAGTAGAGACTGCATTGCGCAAAGCAAGCAAAGCCGGTCAATATGCAGATTGCAACATTCGATTTGAAGTTGCGTTCCGTCCATGACGGAGATCGTGAGGTTTAAGTTTGAGTTGAAAATTTTGGTAGAGGAGCGATAGAAGCGAACACGCAAGTATGTAACCAATAAATCCGTAGACCGTAGCATATATGTCCAAGAAGAAAATTATCATGATCAAGCACAAAATTGGCCCAAACATACTTATTCATCTTTAATCATGACCGGCAAACCCCAGATGAAAGTCGTGATAGTAGGCGGATCAATTGCAGGGCTAACACTTGCACACTGTTTATCACGCTATGGCATCGACTATGTTGTCCTTGAGCGACGCAATGATATTGCGCCGCAGGTGGGTGCATCTGTGAGTTTGATGCCAAACGGGTCGCGAATCTTGGATCAATTGGGCATGTTTGATACGGTTTCGGAAAATATCGAACCGTGTGTTTTTATGCAGACGTGGGATGAGGATGGGAGATTGCTTTCGGAGACTGATTCGCCAATTTTGACGGGGAAGAGGTATGTGATTTCTGTTCTGGACATTTGAAGAGGAAATTGAAGGGAATCCATAAGAATTAGGAAGCTGATTTGATGATAGATTGGGGTACACGATTACTTTCCTGGAGCGTGAGAAGCTGCTGGAGATTTTATATGGAAATCTTCCTGATAAATCGAAGGTTTTGACAGGGAAATTCGTTAGGTCAATCGAGCAGAATGACAAAGAGGCAGTAGTAATTTGTGAAGATGGAACGAAGTATTCTGGGGATGTGATCGCGGGTGCAGATGGAATCCATAGTATCATAAGATCAGAAATGCGACGACAGATTGCAAATGAAGGATCAGAAAAAGATCTCGAAGCCTTGAAAAGGGATGACATTGCTCTTTCGGCGGAATACAGTTGTTTGTTCGGTATTTCTAACCCAATTCCAGGATTGAAAATCGGAAATACGCATCGCAGCTCAGGAAAGCGTGCTTCAACTTTGTTGTTTGGTGGTGTTGATGGCCGAATTTATTGGTTTCTCTTCACGCAAAATGAACAAAGGAATTTTGGTGAAGATATTCCACGGTATAAAAAAGGAGATGAAACTAACCATGTTGCAAAACACATGGATCATCACGTATCTGGAAATATTCTCTTTTCCGAAGTCTGGAAACACCGCGTCGTTGCAAATTTTGTAGCGGTCGAGGAAATGGAGAATGAACATTGGTTTTGGAACCGTGTGGCTTGTCTTGGAGATTCCATACACAAGGTTTGTACAAAGTTCTAAGATGGGATAATCTCCCCTGTGCTAACAATAACTCGTTAGATGACACCGAATCTCGGTCAAGGAGCAAATTGTGCTATTGAAAGTGCAGCAGAAATGGCCAACAGTCTAGCCAAAGTCTTGAGAGACGACGGCGGAAAACCTACCATTGAGGAGATCAGAAGCGCTTTATTGCTGTATCATGAGAAGCGCAATATAAGAGCCAATTTGATCGTGAAGGCGGCGAACAAATTCACTCGTGTAGAAGCTCTTGCTACGACAGGTGATTGGGTCGCATCTATGTTCATACTTCCCCGCTTGGGTGATATTCTTGCCGATCGAGGAGCAAAGGTTCAGGTGGGAGCTACAAGATTGGACTGTCTCCCGATACCAAAAAGAGCATTGGAAGGGACCATGCCTTGGAGTATGAATTCTGGTATTGGGAAGAAAAAAAAAAAGAGAGCTCAACTAGCATTACCGTTCTTGATTGGTCTTTGGTACTTTTGGAATAGAATACCAAGCCCAACAACAGTGGCAGCAGGAGAATCCTTATCAGATGTGAAGTCTGAGACGTTGGAATCTATTTTCAAAGTCTTGCCATTGGTAACCATTTGGACAATTGAAAGTTACCGTCGTGGAAACGCTCTCACCATCGCGAATATCTTGTAAGAACCCCCTTCCTTGCCTACCATACTTTGACGCTGCTAAAATGAAATGCAAACAGCCCCACAATACTCCTTTTGCTGGCTCAAAAGTTCGGGATTGGACTCATTGCCCCAATCTATTTCTTTTTTCACTATGTCCAATCACCACAGGAGAACTTTCTCGCTCTCGACAACAGATTGACCAATTTGGCTTTCGCAAAAACTTTTCTTCCGGCCATACTCCTGATCTTCTTGGGTCCGTCCTACGCAACATGGGCGGCAACTGATTTTAAAGCTGTGCAGTGGATCCATGACAATGTCTGGTACTGGTATCCTATCTACCTCACCATCCTTTTGAGAGTTTTGAAATATGTCGTGAAAGACACAACTCGCCTCGACAGGTTACACAAGCCTACAGCAGATCTGACATTTTTACGGGTGATATACAGCATTTGCGTGATTATCTGTGGCTGCTTTTATTCATGTGCAGGCCTGAGCAACTTGACATCAGTAGCAGCTTCACTCATTCAAGGACTTCAATCTCCAATTCAGCTAGTACAAGCTGGTTTAGAAGCGAACCCAGGAGTATGGAAGGCGGAGAAGAGCTTTCTTTATGGTGCTGCATTTTATTGGACGTTGCTTCATTTCGCTGATCTAAAATTTGTGGGGAAGTTGGGTAAAAGTTGGCTGGTGATTCTGGTGGTATTGCTATTTTCTACCCTCTTTGCGGGACCTGGAGCGGCTTTGCTAGTGATGTGGGCATGGAGAGAGGAGTTAATGGCGAAAAAGCATATAGGCTCTGAGTAAATTTGATATTGTATGATTAGCACAATAAATGGGGGATATTTGTGTCGGCGATTGCTTTAGCTGTGCTTGAATGACTGTATACAGTGACCGTGCACTGCTACTAGCCATAGGCTCTTTTTACACCAAAACTCACTCTTTTCACTTATTAATATTGAAAGAACTCAATATTTTTTAAAGAAATCCTTTAATAAATTCAAAAAGATTCATTTAAAGATTCTATATTTTGATTTTTATAAATTTTAATAATTAATTGATAAATTTGTATAATTTTAAATTTTAGATTTTGAAATTTTCCTCATTTTACCGCAAAAATTGAATCAAAATTTCATATAATCATTTTCAAACTTAATTACATTATTTTGAAAATTTCAAAAAATAATCAATTTAATTTTTATTATATATTCAATTCGAAATAATCCAATTTTTCAATTTCAATTATACTTTTATAATAATTAAAATTGTTTTAATTTTGTAAAATGATTGAGGTTTAGTGTGAAAAGGTTATTCGGCTAGTAGCAGTGCGCTAGTACTGTACTTGCTTGATTGTAACAGGGTGATATATAGGAAATGGATATAGGATTCAAAGTAGTAATGTAATGTCCCCATCATCCCCATAGGAAGTCTATACTCTTCGATATCAACTTGTCCATAAACCAATTGTGGGTCATCGAATCAGAGTTCGAAGAAGTTTGATTTCCAATGCTCATTAAGGCTCAGGGGTCTTCGTTGCTGGAGATTCTAACAGCCCTAAAGTATTTCTCTAAATCGTATCCTCATCTGCTTTAGAGATCTATTACAGTGGTTGAAAAAATAAATATTATAAGATATTTTTTATCTATACATTAAGTCTAGTACTCTACTTTCCGGCCACCTCTAATTCCGGCCATCTTTTTACATCAAAAATCATCATTTTCAGCTATTAATAACTTCATAATTAATCATTAGAATTTAATAAAATTTTAATCACAACTATATTATATAATTATTAATTGTCGGCTTGTCAATATTATAATCTTGTTATATACAAGTTTACTCGATAGATAATAGAAAATAAGAAACTTATTTAAATAAGTCGCGATCCTGACAATCTGATTGGTCTAAAATACCCTAGTAAATAATCAAACAAAAAACTTAATATAAGCCTTACAACCTCAAGTAAATCTGACTTAAAGCTTTTTTCAATTCAAAATAGTAATAATAATGATTATTATTATTATTATTATTATTATTATTATTATTATTATTATTATTATTATTATTATTATTATTATTATTATTATTTTGAATTGAATAAATAAAGTTGAGTTGAATGATTTCAATTGAGTTGAGTTGAAAAAAGTTCTAAGTCAGATTTATTTGAGGCTATAAGGCTTATGCCAAGCTTTTTGTTAGATTATTTACCAGGGTATTTTAGACCAATTAGATTGTCAGGATCACGACTCACTTCTCAACTAATCATATTGCAACCTTAAACGAACCTCATTTTCTACAACCTACACCGGATAAACCTCGTGTACAACAAGGTTATAGTCTCGGCAAGCCGACATAAATAAATAACCCTAATATGATAGAGTAAATTGAAGTTATTTTGAGATTTATTGATCTCATTATTTTTCTCATCATTGCTTTCATTTTTGAATAATTTTATCTTTAATAATTATTAAACAAATAAGAGTTAAAGATTAAAGTTTTTCAATTAATCAGTACTGATAATAAATAGAATATAATATAATATAAATATATTTTATTTATTTTATTTTTTTATTTTTCAATTTTCGCTTTTTCACTTAATATACAACCTTCTTTTAAATCATACTGTAAATATAATCTATAATCTAGCTAAAGTATTAAATCATACTTTACTTGTAATCTAGCTGTGCTTTATGTAAAGGGCCAATCCCTACCTCCATCAATATGTATCAATGAAGTTCGACTCTCCATCAAACAGAGTTCCTCGTTTCTGAGTCGAGTCCGTAAAGATGAGTGAGAACCTGGATGAATTCATTCTTCGAGGTCAGACATCTGGTTCATCTCTTGCTCAAAAAGGACCAGAAAAGTTTCTCCGAACCAATTCTCGATTCAATCAAGCAGGATCTTACTCGGAACATTTCGAAAACCTTGATACGTTATGGGGCAAGGTAGAGTTCGCATTTGAGAAAAATATTGGAACTTTGCCAGAAGATGATGAAGGATGGAAGACCGTGTCGGTTTATAGCAAGGTGTTGCATGCAGTTGCATTGTTGTCCGGAAGAGTACTTGTCAGTGCCCCATTGTGTCGAGATGAAGAATGGATAAGGGCGACTATTACATACACGGTGATCCTGGGAGCAACTGTTGGGGTGCTCTGGAAACGTCCTTGGTGGTAAAGAAGAATTCTTGCGCCCTTATACTTCCGATCTTTGCATGGTGTGCACAGGAAGGCCGAAGAAATGTTGAAGCCATTCTTTGAACGCAAAGCTACGTTTGATCCCTCGGAATGGGAAAAAAAGACAGGAGAGCAAAATGACGGATAGCTTATCAGATGTCTATTGTCACATACCCCCCAAAAATCCGGAAAGATCGATGTGAAGCAATTGGCCCATGATCAGTTAACGGTGAGCTTAGCTGCTATCCACACAACAAGTATTACAATATCCCATCTCTTGTACGACCTGGCAACCTATCCCGAACACGTAGCTTCCCTTCGCGAAGAGCTTGAGTCGGTCACCGCGGAACACAACAGTTGGAGGAAATGGAAAATTGAGCAAGGTGGAATTGACCAAGTTGTGGAAAATGGATATTTTCATAAAGGAGTCGCAGAGATTGAATCCATCAATTCTTGCTAAGTAAGGATCGTATCCCAAGAGAATGGATGTTAAGACTAAATTGTGATTTTCCGAATAAAAGTTCAGATGCGTCGATACCTCACCTCTCCATTGACTTTACCGTCAGGTCACATCCTCCCAGCAGGAACCTACTGTCGTGTTGATGCTCAAATGACAAATCGCACCGTTCCATAATATGAGGCATCTCCAATGACGCACCAACAAGCACCATTCGATACCTTTGATGGATTCCGCTTTAGCAAGTTACAATCGGTGCCATGGAATGAAAACCGATATCAATTCGTTACGTCCAGCACAGAAAGTTTAAACTTTGGGCATGGTAGGCGGTTCATATCTTTATGTTTGTTCCATTTCATCTTGCTAATCAACAATGAATTAGGAACACACACGTGTCCTGGGCGCTTCTTTGCCAGTGATGAGATCAAGATTGCGCTTGCTGAGAAACTGCTAAGATGGGATGTGAGATTGAAACCGGGAAAAGGAAGACCAGCGAATCTTTCTACGGACACAAACGTGATGACAAACATGAAAGGAGAAATCCAGATGAGAAGAAGAGAGCTACTTTGAGAGTTAATGAGTAGAATAACATTTAAAAGGATTTCCTCTGTGCAGAGGTAATACATGTGTTTGCTATTAAATCATGTTCTATTGAGTTGTGCTAGTGCTGTTGGATCCGGTATTGGAATTTTTCAATGGAAGAAGTCATGAGCAGAGCAGAGCATCTAGGTCTAGGTTAAGGTTACACAGTGGGGCGAAGCCTAATTAGGCAAAACATCCGTAAATGTTCCATCGTTTAGAATATTTTTGATACAAAAATAGACTATTGAGGCCTGTATATATATATAAAGCTGTATTAAATGAAAAATTAACAGTAAATCTACCTAATGTGAGACACCAAAAATAAAGGATTATGTAATAAATGGTAATACTTTGCCTCTAAAGGTTTGATCGATCAATTGGCAGGTAAATTCTTCTCAACTCATACAATTTCTTTCCACGCTGTTCAAGCCCAGGAAATCAACACTAGCATAAGGTTACTTCATTCCATTTATAAATTTCTAGGAGCAGCAAGAACTATATTGTCCATTGTATCCACAAAAAAGCGAAGAAAATACTACACAAGTAGTGGCTCAAACACCTATTCATTAATCTTGAACTCCTCAGTGGCCAATTCGCATAAATCCTTTGCCGTAGCACCACCTAATATCTTCAAAACAGGCAAAGACACGCCCACCTCTTTCAAGAACCAACTTCGAATCTCGACCGCAATCAAGGAATCAATACCCAATTTCGTCAAAGGTGCATGCTCATCAATCGATCCCGGATCTGCCTGCAGAATGAGTTCCAATTGCTTCGCAAAGCATTTCTGCATGATGCTTAACACCTCATCCTTCGTTTGCGCTTTCGAAAGCTGTTCTTTGGTCGGCACCTCAACTTCACCTTGGGTGTCACTTTCCTCCTTGACGGCATCATTCATAACAAATGCGAACCGTGGGTTGGCGTGCCATCGAGGCTTATCCCGCTCTTCTCCTGTTGAAGGTGCGACCATACCAATGATAATTTCAGGGCAACGCTCGCTGGCAGGGTGTCCAGATTGCACGGCTTCGGACAATACTTGGAGAAACTCATGTTCAGGAATGGGGAGGTAATTGTAAGTGCGCAAGGCAGACTCAGTATATCGACCTGAGCGTTCGACATATCCGACTCCGAGAATCATGCCAATGTGAATGACTGAAGCAACACCTCCACGTTTACGACGTTGCTCTGCAAGTGAGGCCATATACTATAAACAAGTTAGCCAAATACCATAGTAGGGCTAGCGGGAAATTAAATGCGTACCATATTTGCGGCGGCATAATTCGATTGTCCAGGAATTCCGTTCACGGCAGCCAGACTGGAGAACAAGACGAAGAAGTCGAGCTCCAACCCAAATACAGCATCAATGTTGATAGTGCTGAGGACTTTGGGACGAATGACGCGCTCAAGTGTTTCGAAAGGCATGTCTGAGAATGGTTTGTCATCTAAGACCATACATCCGTTCAAGACTCCTGCGATTGGGGGCATCGTCTTGCTGGCTTCTTCACGCAGTTTGGTGACTGCTGATTTGTCGGTAAAATCAATGGTATATACGAGAACCGTGGCACCCATCCTCTCTAATTCTTGCTGCCAAGGAGTACCTGATTTAACGGATCTGTCTGGTATCAGTATTTTGTTGTGAACGCAGTATACTCTCAAGCGGTTTGTCATGAGGGATTCAAACTTACCGACTACCAACAATGATATATCTAGCCCCGGCTCGAACCATCCATCTACAGATCGATTGTCCCAAATCTCCAGTCAAACCTGCTAATAAGTAGCTCTTGTTGCCATCAAATATTTTTTTCTGGGCAAAGGGTTTTACATCGACAGCTAGAGTTTTATTTGTGGGCCAGTCTACCAGTGAAAGTGGAGAGAACGAAGAAACTGCACTATTCCTCACGCTCGCGGCATCCAGCAAAATATCTACTTCAATTTCCTTCGTGGCGACGGAATCTGCATAAGATTTAACATCAGCCAAGATGGTTGATGGCGTGCCAGAAGATGGAGACTTTATTGGCTCGAGACTTAAGAGATCGACATTTTCAACTATGCTGACGGATTTTGGTAGTGCTTCTCTGATGTATTTACCAGTGCCACTAATATCAACGAATGACTGAATCGAGGCTGGTAGCAAATCTCGGATGGCACGTTTAGACAAGGTCGGATGAAGTTTCACGCACTTCTGAGTTGGCGTAGTAGAAAATCTGGTGCTTGTGCTGCTTGAAACGGACTTGCCGTTTGCTCTTGCTATTGATTCAGCGGCTTGCCTCAAGGCAAAGCTTGGCTCGTGAAGCACAACTTCTGAGTCACATTTGTTCAAAATTTGTTTTGCCAAAAGGTAAGCCATGGCATTTTCGAGGTACTCGGCAGTAACACGATCTGCTGGAATAACGGAGTCCTTGGAAACATTGATGAGTGACTGGTTCGACGTGGAGAGAGCGAGGACTGGCGATCCGGACTTCGTCTTTCCTAGGCTAATGTAAAAGAAGCTACCGTCGATATTTGCGGCATACAAAGATGAGAAGGACACGGATACTTCCAACAACTCATTTTCGCTTCCCAGATGATCCACGACTGCCTCTTCGACGTCAAGGCTAAAGCAATTGCTACTAGAAGGAGCTGTGATTGCTACTCTCTTTGACACCAGAGGAACTTCTTCATTGATCACACGGCGTGCAGAGTTCAACACGTCATTGAGTTTCTTAATCGGCTTCACTCTTGGGAGGTACAAGGCCCCGCTTTCATATATCATCTCTGGCTCAATAGACCACAACAAGTTTTCTTTGCGTGAGTCTAACAGGCTGGTCGCAACCTCAAGTCTAACAAGTGTTTCCCCGATTATCCTGTCCGCATTTTCCTTCGAGTCAACATCCAAGAATTGCAAATTCAAATGAGGCATTTCAGAAATGATAGATCGTCCTAATCCGACTGCCATGTTGGCGTATGGCTCGTCAGCTCTACATCCTGTGGTCACCCAGAGAACTGATTCAGCCGAATTGATCACGGTCTGAATACCCTTTAGACGTTCTGCATTCATTGATTTGAAGACTGGTTCGTCAAGGTCTGCAATACTCAAAACTGTGACTCCAAACGGAATTGTGAGCTTTGATGCTTCTTCCCAGGTGGCAAGAACCGTAGTCTTGCGCGTTTTCCAGGAAGGAACTTCCTTTTCTAAAGTCGCAACAAGTGTCTTGGTGGCGACTGTGGCTCCTCCAATAACAATGAGGTCTTTCCCTGTAGATTCTGGAATATATTTGAGCGGTTCTCGGAGCTTTTGAACATCATCGCTGAGGGCTTGAGTAAGAATGACGGAGACTGTGTAACGCGATTTATCCTTGAAATCATTGACAATTGCGTCAACACCAGAAAATCCAGTCTTTTTCAAGACTGTATCCCATTCTGGTGGAGAAATAGTAGGACGGTATGGTCGCCCATCTGCACCTCCGAGCCACCAACCAGATAAACCAGCCATGAGGAATCCGGTACGTTCAAGATGACCAGTACATTCTAAAAGACAAAGGTAACCACCGGGTTTCAACAGTGTTCGCACGTTCTTCATGGTCTTCTCAAGGAATTGGGTAGCATGAAGAACATTTGATGCAACGATGACATCGAAGGAATGGGCTTCGTACCCCTGCTCCAAGGGATCTTTCTCGCAGTTGAGTAGACTAAACGTCATGCGGCTTGCATGCTCGCTGAAAACTTCTCTAGCCTTCATGAAAAAACCAGTTGAAATATCCGTGAATGTATAATGAGCAAATGCATCTCCAATTCCTGTAAATATACCTTTAGTAGCACCTCCAGTCCCTGCTCCAATTTCCAAGACACGCATTCTGGGGTAGCGATGCCCAATCTTTTTCATCGCTGCTGTGACGAATTTGTTTGAAGTGGCCATTCCGATACCTTCAGTGTAAAGTCTGTCCAGGAGTCCGTTTGGCAACATATGTTCCAGCATTGTCGTTGTTCCGCGTACAACATCAGGGAGATTATTACCCACAGCTTGCATCAATTCGAGATCAACACATCCTGGATACTCGGCAGCCAAGCTTATCAGTTCTTGAAGATCATCGTTGTCCCATTCTGGCTTTATGGAAGGGTGTGTTCCCTTGGAAACAAGGTCTGTGACGTGGTTGATCCAGTTGAATAAAGGACGGTGATGGTCTGGAACTTCTTCCGGCCTGATCTCGGATTTCAGATGACGCATATAGGCATAAGAGAGTCTTTCGCCCAAATCTATCAAGTAAAGTGCTTTTGGATCATCCTCTTCGATATCGGCTTCAGCAATAATGCATTTTGAGATATCGGCCATCCATTTCGTTTCCAGATATAATTGACGATCTTGAGAGGGCCTTGCGGCTGTGAATGATTGCATTTGCAATCCTTCGATTTGAATCTCAATTTCGTTAGACGCTGGGTCAAACACATCAACATCACCAACATAAGTAGCTGCGTCGTTTGCGGTGGTTGGTGTAACTTCGGTGATATATCCGTCCATTCCGGCTAAGAATGTCTCTTTCTGAAACGCTGCTTCGCAAAGGGCAATGTTGAAGCTCATCTTAGCAATTCGTCTTGGCAAATGTGGTGTCCAAAAGTGCTCATCACCAGGACTTGCAAATGCTGCTAATGTCGCATGCAAAGTCATATCCAAAAACGCCGGATGTACCAATAATCCAGTATCAGATAGGCATCTTCTACCTTCAAGCGAGGAAATATGCATCCTGCGTTGACCCTTCTCAATACCTCGGAAAATTCCCGTAAATTCAAGACCAACGTTAGCCAAACTATCGTAGAATCGATCGACATTCAATGGGCCGAGCACCGGCCTAATACTTGAGCGGATAGACATCGCATCGGGAGATGGTGTTCCGAGCGTCATTTCGATGCGTCCAGAGAATATCATAGACATCGGCTTTCCATGCGGTGCAGCGGTACACCAGAAATCTGCGAAGATCTTCTCATCGCCACCACTGGTACTTGAGGATGTAGGCTTAAGTGAGAACATAACTTCGACCGCGGCGTTGTTATCCTCAAGATTGATGGCCTTTTCAATATCAACTTCATGAAGCTCAACCAGACGGATTGGCTTTCCTTCGGCAAGCGTCTTTGAAGACTCCAATGCCATCGAGCAGTAAAATGCGGCAGGTACTAAAGTTTGACGCTGGAATTTATGACCCGACACCCACGGTAACTCGCCGAGTTTTAGTATGTTTCGCCAGCGATACTCCGCATTCGTATCGTCGGGGCACCTAACGCCTAAGAGTTCGTGAGGTGGCTCAACTCTATTGCGGTAGTTGCGGGAAATTCGTGACTCTGACCAGAAGGTGCGGCTGTGGTCCCATGAATAGGATGGTAAACCCTTCAAAACTCTGGGAGTTGTCACCTCGCCACCGGTGATGACATCAAGGTATTTCTTGAAACTTGCTTTTCTCTCATCGATGTGGTTCCACAGGAATCCTACTGCATTAGCAAATGCGGTGGAATCATTTTCTCCGCGAGATATTGCCCCAGCATATGGCACAACCGCATTGACAGCATGTTTGAATGTTTGTGCCACTGGTCCTTTCAGTGCTGGGTGCGGTCCTACTTCAAATCCAGCATCGAAGGGCCCAAAATCTTTTGCTGCTATGCTGACAGCTTCAAAGAATCTGACAGGTGAGACGAGATTGTCCAGCCAGTATTGTGCCTCGAGTTCAGAAGAGTCATTGAGCATGTTCTTCAAATGTACACTCGAAATCCACGTGCAATCTGGTGAGCTGGGCTTAGGAGATATCTTACAGGCACTCAGAGATGCCGTGTACGGTTCTGAGCATGGTAACATATGATCGGAATGATACGCAGTATCGACCTTGAGGATTCGAGCAAAGACTCCCCTGTCATCAAGCACGATTTTCGCCTTCTCAATCACATCTTTGTTACCACTAAGAGTGACTGTCTTGAGCGCATTGCTAGCAGCAATGGAAATCTTGCCTTGATAATCTTCACCAGTGCAGAACTCCTGAGCCTCGTCGAAGCTCAGTCCTGCTGCCATCATCGAACCATCCTCTCCATTCTTGCCCTTTGCGAGATGTGCATGACGGCCACGATAGTAAGCGATACGAATTGCGTCGCTGGCGGTAAGTCTGCCTGCTGCGTACGCAGCACCAATTTCTCCCGATGAATGTCCAACCACAGCATGGAATGTGACACCAATTAGCTTCAACAAATCTACAAGAGCAACTTGCAGTGCTGTGCAAAGAGGTTGCGAGAACTCTGCTTTCTCGATAGAAGATTTGCCGGCTGGTGCCATGATTTCCTCTTTCAACGACCATTTTGGAGCATCGGGAAGTCCACGGAGAGATTCCTCGAGGACGTCAATTGTCTGAGAGAATGAATTTATATTGGCGATTAATTGCTTTCCCATTTCAGGCCACTGTGCACCTTGACCCGTGAAAACACCAAGGATCTTCCTCGATGATTTTCTATTTACGTTCGAGGACCGAATACCCACAGCTAGGTTGGGATTTTCCTCTTTGGCGACTATTACTTTCTCTAGTTGATCTAACAGGTCATCGGTGTTTGAAGCTACGAATGTAGCTTTGGTGGGGAAGCTACTTCGACCTAGTAAGGAATATCCTAGGTCTATTAAATCGACTTCTTCATGATCTCCGATATAATCGCTGAAGTTTGTAATGTTTTGAATTAAGGAATCTTCGGAAATAGCAGATATGGTGAAAGGAATTACTGCTGTTGATTCCAAGCCTGGTGACGGAGGAGACGGTTCGTAACTTTCCAGAATAGCATGTGCGTTGGTACCGCCAAAACCAAATGAATTAACACTGGCGCGAAGAGGTCCCTCAACAACGGGCCATGGCAACGGAGCGGTAGGGACTTTTAAGCTTCCATAAAAAGGCTCAATATCTGGATTTAGGTTCTGGAAATGCAAGTTAGGCGGTATGGTTTTCTCCTTGATTGCCAATCCAGCTTTTACTATACCTGCCAGTCCTGCAGCACCTTCCAAGTGGCCAACTACCGTTTTAATAGAGCCAACATGAAGTACTTCCCCACTGGAATCTTTCGATTTTTGTGGGAAAAAGGCACTGTTAATAGCTTCGGCTTCAACTGGGTCACCTGCCGGCGTTCCAGTACCGTGAGCTTCCTGTGGGTATTATCAGCAAGATAACCAAACTGCTTTTCGAATATGACACTTACAAAATACTGGCACCGATCTGATCGCTTGGTACAATCGAGTCCAGCTCGAGCATACGTCTCACGAATCAAATCTGCTTGACTTGCAGCAAGTGGCATGGTGATACCTTTCGACCTACCATCCGAATTTACACCAGTCTAAACGACGGATTAGCCAGTTAGAAATGAAGGATGGATACAAAATTATAAACCTCACGAATTATATACTCAATATCGTCACCATCCTCCAAAGCATTCTTCAAAGTCTTCAGAATGATCGCCGCAGTTCCCTCTCCACGTGCGTACCCATCAGCTTTCGAATCCCACATTTGAGATTTTCCTGTTGGTGAAAGCATGTGAAGGTTCGACTCTCCAATATACATTTCTGGGCCAAAAATTAGATTCGCGCCTGCGGCTACGGCAGTTCGACTTTGTCCACTTCTAAGCGTTGCAATTGCATTATGGACTGCAACTAAACTTGACGAACACGCAGTGTCGATTGTCATTGAAGGTCCTTTCCAGTCAAAAAAATAGGAAATCCTATTTGACATTATACTGCGTGCTGTTCCTGTTGCTAAATATTGTGGAATGTCTTCAATATCTCGCATCAAAACATCAAAATAGTCTGCGCACATAAGTCCAACATATACTGCGGTAGAAGTGCCTTGCAGTTCTTCGATTGATAAGCCAGCAGCTTCAACAGCCTCATACACAGTCTCCAGAAGCAACCGTTGTTGTGGATCAAGTGCCTCTGCTTCTCGTGGATTAATACTGAAGAATGAAGCATCAAATGTGGTGGGGTCTTCATTAAGGAAATAGGATTTGCTTGCGTTAGTGGTTCCATGATGTTCACCATCTGGGTGATAAAAGGCTTTAATGTTGAACCGTGAGGATGGAACCTTTTGGGTGAGATCATATGGGTGATGGAGAAGGTTCCATAGTTTAGAGGGTGAGGAGGCACCTCCTGGGAAGCGACAGCCTGTGCCAATAACGGCTATAGGTTCGTTTGGTGATGTCATGATTCAATGATGGAAATATCGCTAAACGAGAAGGAAAGATATGACTATGAATGGATGAAAATGTTTGCTTTGGATGTAAGGTCTTACTTAATATGATTGCAGATGAAAGAGGTGATGCCTTGAAACTGCTGCCTTATGCTTCCGATGATATGCTCTATCAACAAGCTATACGTTACATAGCACGAGGGTCCGATGGAACGTCGCCATGTGTTTAGAGTTTGACCACTCCACTCACGGGTTCCGATAGTGCCACTATACGGCTCCCATCAGATTACTGCCGACTAGTAGTAGAAGCAGGGTCAAAAAGCTGATGCTGCACCAATTTTTGGTATTGCAAGAGAAAATCTAAGTTTATTGACGCCGTCGACATTCTTTTACTTCGTTCACCTCAGCAAAAATCCAGCAATTTCCCCATCTCACAATTTCAGACATGCAGGCAATAATTCAAAGTGGGCCTGGAATACTTCAGTTGGCTGAGAATATACCAAAGCCATCAATAGGCCCAGGATCAGGGAAAGTCTTGGTGAAAGTGCACGCCGTTGCTCTCAATCATAGTGACTGGAAAATGGTCGATTTCTCAGCCAAACCTGGAGCTGTCAGCGGATACGATATGGCTGGTATTGTGGAAGCTATCGACGAGTCCGTGGATACGGGCCTAGTTGTTGGAGATCGAGTTCTAGGTGTCACCAGTATTCACGGAGGAGCATTTGCGGAGCACGTCATTACGGATGGAAACCTCTTAATCAAAATCCCCGAAAATATGGACTTTCAAACAGCCGCAAGTTACGGGGTGGGAATAGTTACAACAGGCTTGGCATTGTACGGTCACGAGTGCTTGTCTTTGACATGGCCAAATCCTGATGGGGAGGTCAGTGCAGGTACTCAGAAAACTCGCGTCGGACCCCGAGGGTGGAGCGGTGGAGATGCGCTTACGGATGACGATAACGATACACCACGCATTCCGGTACTCGTCTATGGGGCTTCGACTTCCACTGGTACTTTAGCTATCCAATTATTGCATCTATCCGGCTATGAGCCGATTGCTGTGTGTTCGCCCCATAATTTCGGGCTCGTGCAATCGAGAGGAGCCTCGAAGTGCTTTGATTACCATTCACAGGGGTGTGGAGCTATGATCAAACAGTACACACACAACAGGTTGGAATACGCGCTTGATTGTATCACTACAGCATCTTCGATGCGTCTTTGCTACGAGGCGATAGGTGCTTCTGGTGGAAAATATGTATCGTTGGATCCGTTTAACGCGAGAGTCCAACGATCACGTGCTGATGTTAAATCCTTCTTTTGTTACGCACTTACGATATTTGGTATACCAATTGAATTAGACGGAGAATTTGCACGGGATGCAAAACCTGAGGATCGGAAGCTGGCGGAAAAGTTTGTGAAGATTGCTGAGAAATTTATTGAGAAGGGGAAGTTGAAGGCACATCCTACGACGTTGAAATCGGGCGGCTTGAATGGCATCGTTGGTGCGATAGATCTTTTGAGGAAGGGAAAGGTATCTGGGAGTAAATTGGTTTTTAATGTCATTGATGCTTAGGATACTTTGAATTCACGCTGTATTTTCATAAAAATTCTACCGTTGGTCAATCTCCTGCCACGAACCCACCATATGTTGTCTAGGTTCCGCTGACGTCTATTTCATCGATTCTGTCACATTACAGGAGTATTTCCTAATTTTCGCTTACCCTGCCATGTACCAGTACTTTGTCAGAGGTTACAGAAACGCAAATTCAGTCAATGACTGTATTTCGTAGACGGATTAAGAAGGATCATTTCAATTCAAAGTAGAAGTCATTCTAATAGACTGCTTTTGCATACTATTTACATCGCTCTCCGTCTGACCTGTATCTTCGCAGTAGGGTCAACGACCAGGCTCATATCACTCTTCAGATTCTTCGGCCTTTCTGTTCCAGGAAGCAGCTGAAAATCGTACTTCCGGAGAAATTCGATCAACATTGTCTTAATCTCATTGCTAGCGAAGAAACGGCCAGGACATGCATGTGTTCCTGTTGAATCAATGCGTCAGTACTTTTATTATTCAGAAGATCGGTTATCCCAGAAAGCTGGCAGTAACTATTAAAATAAAGAGGGCAGACATACCATGACCAAAGGCTAAACTATCCTTCCCAGTCGTTACCAACTGGTATTTATTTTCGGCACCTCCTTGCTGTCTGAGCTTCTCGAATCGAAAACCATCAAACTCTTCTGGATTCTCGAAAATTCTGCCGTCAAATGCGATAGAACCCGCGGCCATACCAACAAAAGATCCTTTGGGCAAGATTGTTCCGTCGGAAAGTTGTACTGTATCCATCATCTTTCTATTCATAGTGACTGATGTCCATCAGCCATCAGTAGGTGCATGAAGAAAAAAATTAGAGGCCGAGATTCATACCGAGGTTTAGCGGGTTGATTCTTTGACTTTCCTTCAAAAAGGAATCCATCTTTTGTAGCTTGGTGAGTATTTGCTTTGTGATTTGTGCACCTTCGGGGAGATTGGCGTCTAGCTCCTCCCGAAGAGCCTTGATATAGTGAGGCCGTGCAGCAAGATCGAGAATCACGTTACCTAGCTATTGGAGAATTTAGCTTGAACTCATCGCCTCCACATGGGTTTGCGATAGGTTTATACTTACCAGTCCTGATGTTGTGTGCAGAGCTGCGAATGCTGTTTTTTAACGATGAGTTTTATGTCACTAAATGGCGGGAGTTGAGATATGACTGACCTATCAGCTGAGGTGAGGTCAGCATGTAGTCTCTTTCATAGTTTGGTTACTTCTGACTTACGAGTTGGCATCGACCTTGGAAAGTTGCATCTTTAGCATTATCTCCTGAATTGTCGATCATCCATTGAATCATGTCTTGAGGTCTTTTGAAGCCATCTTGTTCCATTTCCTTAAATCGCTGATTGAAAATAGGGCGCAGAAAGTTTGCTGCATCTGTGTAATGCTGTCGGACCTTTTTCAATTCTGGGGAGTACAGAGCATATATTGGTCTAAATAATGGATTTTTTGCCCACATTGCTTGTCCTCCCATGAAGGTATCACGTGTATATGTGGTTGATATTTGAATCCATTTTTCATTCCTGCACAGGGGTTCGCCTACCATCACCCGCCCGCTGACTTTCGCCACCATGCGTAAAATAATGGGATAGAGTGTGACTGTCGTCCAGTCCTCGTTTCTCGGCATTTCGGTTGCGAAAGCAAGCTCAGTCTCAACTTGCATATTTTCTAATGCACGCGCAATACTCTGCGTGAGATCAACCTTAACACTAGCTGTGACTGCATCTCCTTCTACGTTGTTTGCAAATGCTGTGTAATGCCCATAGTATCTGTCTCTAAACTCCTCGAGAAACGAGATCTTGTTTGGAGGTAGAGATTTAATTTCATTGATGTATTTCATTGGTAAGATAATCGTCGGGTGAGCAGCAGTTGGTAGTAGAAAAGGCGTATCTGGACACTACATTTCGGTTAATTTTTGCAATGTACAAAATGAGGAAATCATACCTGCTTGTAACCCGTGGTCAGAGCAGATCGAAGATCACTCGCGTCGCCTATAGTTGGCGCATCGAAATTCAATTTCTTTGAATTGAAGAACCGAAATAGGTAATACAATGCGAAAACAGTACATCCCGCGATCACAGTATTCACGTTCGCGAGTGATATTGCACCCAGATCTGCAAAGTGGAGCATCTTGGGCAAACAATCCTGTGTATAATTATGTTGACAGAGACTCATAGGAACAGGAAAAATCGTCAGTCATCTCAAGTGCGAGTAGCCTACAAGTGTATGCATTTTGATTCCAGGCGACATCAAGTCGGAGGAACATAAAGAGCTGGGCCATGCTGTCTGTCGTTACTCACGGCGACATGTAGGTTACACCTGCCAACACATTACGGGGTCTTTCGGCGCCCGGATGGGGTTCGTTGTCGCCCCACATTTCCATAGTCCAATGATTTATATCCATCTATGTCCTCGGAGGCCGTTGTAAAAGATGCCAGGAATCCTGAACTCTTTTGTTTAAATCTTACTGCTTCATCAATGAGTCGACGTTAAGTTCAGAATTCTGGTAAATCAAACCAGATCATTCAACATGTTGGTGCTCGAATCGCTTGGGCGAGTCGGCTTGCCAGCCATCTATCTTTGGATCGGTTTTATTTTCGCTGTGGTAAGAAACCCAATCTTATCTTTTCGAAATCGAGATTAATAGTGCATTGTGTAGCTTTTCGCATATCCTACATACTTTGCAATCTACAACCTGTACTTTCACCCATTAAGAAAGTTTCCAGGACCATTACTAGCCAGATCCTCCTATATTTGGTACGCTAAAAATTGGTAAGCGACAACAGAACTTTAAAAAATGCAAATCGCGATGATTTCATCTAATTCTCAACTCCAGGGTTGGAGGAAAATGGCCTCATGCACTATCAGATCTTCATGAGAAGTATGGTGAGTGTCCATTTCCAGATTCATCACCAGAAGAGGTTTGACTCATGAATTTCTAGGCCAAGTTATTCGGATCGCTCCTGATGAACTTGCGTTCAGCTCAGCTCAATCATGGAGAGATATATATGGGCATTCAGTAAAAGGAAAGAAGTATTTCAGAAAAACCGACTGGTATGCTGGTGTTGGTGATCTACCAAGTTCCATTTCGACAGAGCCAGATCCACAGAAGCATAGTGCTATGCGTAGAGTATTGGCAAATGCTTTCAGTACCTCTGTTTTGAAAGGCCAAGCAGATGTCATTAATAAGTATTTGGACATGTTTGTTAGTCAGATCAAGAAGTATAACAACCCAGATGGTATTCGGGTGGAAGAATGGTTCAACTGGTTGACTTTCGATATTGTGAGCATACTTGTCTGATAATGTAAACCGTTCTTCGTCTTAATTCTAATGGACATGGTGCAATAGATCGGAGACTTAACCTTCCATGAATCTTTCGGTGCAGTAGAAAACGGCAAGTTCTCAGCGAATATTCCCTTTCATGGATCATCCACACTAATTACTTTTAGCCCGAACGCATTTTTGGATTCATTTGATAATTAACGGCAACTTCATTCGCAGTCTCTATCCAATTTTCCAGAAGATTCCTATCAGTAGACTGTTCATGAAATGGATTATCCCAAACATGGACGACATTCGCCAGCAACGACGAGAGCACATCGCCCATACCAATTCTAAAGCCATGAAACGAGTCAAGCGTACTGATATCGTCCAAAAAGATTTCTTCAGTTTTTTGCTTGAGAAAGAGGGAGCCGATACTTCGGAAATGTTTTTGACCGCACAAGCACACACTCTCATTATTGCTGGATCCGAGACCACAGCTGTTACCTTGACGGCCATGATTGCTTTCTTGCTCCGTTACCCCGATAAATTGAAGATTCTAATTGATGAAGTGCGTGGGGCTTTTACCGACAGTTCTCAAATTAATCATGAAAATACTTTACCTCTCGAATACCTCTTCGCCGTCATTGAAGAAACGCTACGCATTCTTCCTCCAGTGCCATTTGGCCTTCCTCGCACGTGTCCAGGAGCAGTTATCGATGGCCATGTCGTTCCTGAAGGAACCATCGTTTCCGTCTCTCCATATACCGCATGTCACGATGTAAGATATTGGCATGATCCGGAAGGTTGGCATCCCGAGCGATGGCTGTCCCCTGATCACCCTCTCCACAATCCTGTATTTGATCAAGATAACAAAGAGGCAAGTAGACCATTTAGCACCGGTCCTCGAGTTTGTCTCGGTGTCAACTTAGCATATATTGAGTTGAGAATGACGGTTGCGAGGTTGTTGTTTGAATTCGATATAGAGCCGGTTGGCAAACACATTGATTGGAACACTGAACTGGATTTCTTCCAATTTTGGAAAAAGGTCGAGACTAGAGTCAAGTTTACTAGTCTTCACTGAGACGCATTGGAGGCGAAAATTTGGCAAGCAGAATGATGGATATTGGAAAAACAAACTATTGCTGTGGGAACGCAGCTTTTTTGTACGACTTGTATGGTTTATGATTGGCTGTTCTGTTTTGTGAACATTATCATGAGTAGGCGTTAAATTACGAGGGCTTGAAGGCTGCAATGATGACCAGCTCAATCCTGCGTTACGCTGGATAAAATAAAAGGATACTTTTTAAATTTCGACTTCATGAAAAGCTTTGCTTGATCTATTCGATTTCAGGATTCTCATATAAAAGCCTAGTTCTCCTGCGCGAAAGTTTCTGTGATAACAACTCATATAATCCAATAGTGCATGCGCCTCCGAAATAGATGACACTATGAAACCGTATCTTACCACACAAATTCCAAGCACCGCTATTTGCATTTTCCCGATCATTTATGGACTTAAACGCTTCCCCGTTCGTTAACTATATCTTTGCACAGCATGGACTTGTAATGTTGCAATCTACACTTAAATTTGTACTGACGGTCCTGTTGTAAGTAGCACTGGTGGCCTCAACGCCTCGGGCAACTGAAATTGCATATTAGCCCGATTTTCTTGGCGGTGACAACTTTATGGCATTATAACTTCAAATTCTTTGAATGCCCCTTTTCTTGTGATTGCTTATTTCTTTTGTGCACCGGGACATGGGTATGAAAGATTACCACTCTTTAGACATTCCCTCACATTCCAAAATTGACCCTCTAGGCCTCGTCAAGGCTAGGAACGATGCCAGATAGGAAAAATCTTGTGTCAATATCTACCAGATGTACGTCGTGGAAAAAAGCACCCTTGAAAAAAAAAACGACAAAAATCATAGAAACAGAGCATAGTTTCAAGGCAGGATATTTAGTGCTTAGCTAGGTCTTACGAGCAGAAATTGTCTAATGTGTCGCATAGCACGAGGAAGTGGAGAGATAAACTCAAAGAATGGCATTTTGACAAGTACCTTAGTGAAGACGAGATGAAAATCATTGTCGACAAGCAAGAGAAGAGGAAAGCTGAGGGAGAAGAAACCTCATTCAGGCATGGTATCACCGAGACCCGCCGAGAGAACCGGGAGCCTCGAACGCTTGAAAGTGGTGAAGATGGAAAGCGTTGCTTTATCTTCTGCTGGTATGATTTTAGCCTGGATGTAAAGTCTTATAATGCTCCTCTTCATGTACAGGAGTAACACAACACCAGAATAAATAGTGTTAATGTGGATATGCAAAAGGCGACAGCTTCTATCTATCTCCGCTCTATTTATGAACGAATTGTGAGGCATGCGAGGAATAATTCTTCTTCAGATGAGTTGGACAAACAAAGCGATGCATCAAGCTACGAATATGGACTCCGTCAGTGAGATCACAGGAGTGAGCAATTCATGTTTTATGACTTCCTAGATGGGAATGGAGTCTTGGATGAACATGATACTAGTCGCCATTGTTCGACTTGCTACGACAGGTAACAATTAGGTCACGGGATTAGTAATAACACGTGATGCGAGGACTCGAAGAGCGAAAGGATCGAAGCTCGATCCCCTCGCTCCCTTCGAACCACGAAGCATGAAGGTCTATATAATCAAGATAGATTTCCTTTGTATAGAACTTCGTATTCAAGATCAATCATTTAGTATATTTTACTATTAGTTACAAATAACATATCATTATTGTCATTACTTAAGTCCCTGCTTGATGCCTAGTTATAAACCTAGCCTAGAGCACTTCCACGTGATCTAGACGGCTATCCTCGTAACACAACTACAGAGTTTATTCCATCAGATGATATAAGAGGCTTGTGGCAACGAGGAAGAGTCATTAGAATTGTAAGCCAAATCCTAAGGTTTTGGTTAGTTCAAGTTTCAATATGATTACAAAAAGAAACAAAATGAATTGTAATATTAACAATGTTATAATGAAATTAAGGATAGATAAAAGAAAACCTATTCAGATATCATGTTTCCAAAAGCATCTCTTCTTTCTTGGATATAGAATTCTATTCATTATTTTATGATGAAAAGGTAAACAATATTTATTCTTATCGATATTATCGTTTATATTGTTGAGGTTGTCTTTAGAAGGAATATAATTATCCTTGAATACTTTTCTCAATATTTGAAGGGATGGGCTTTTTAGAAGGCTATAGATATTGAACTTGTTATTATTGGGGTTGTATATAATAGAATTGAAAAGCAATTCCTTATGGAAAACTTCGATGTAATAAGACGCATCTATGTTGCCGGAGTATTGTTCTGCTGAAATGGTAATCCCTCGGAAACTCCACTCGCTTGAACTATTGAAAGATGCAGCGATGCCTGCGAGATCATCTACGGAGGTTTGGAAAGAGTTCGACATTCTCATTGAGGCAGCTAGGCAGCAACGTGAGTCTTCGAGACTCATTGACAGGATGATCGTCGGCTAGTGTTACGAGGGATGCGATCTAGATCACGTGGAAGTGGCCCGGATCCTCGAATGGTTTATAACTAGGCGTCAAGCAGAGGCTTAAGGTAATATCATTAGTTGCAATTCATAACTAATAGTAGAGTATACTAAATGATTGATCTTGAGTATGAAGCTTTACAAAAGGAATCCTTTCCTAGCTATATAGTTCTTCGTATTCTGTATCCCACTGGGAATCGAGATGAACAACTCGATTCATCAGCCGAGGACAACTACTAACTATTGTGACTTTGCGTTCAAGTATTAGTCTATTCAAGCTAGAGAACTGAAAATATGATAATGTCGCGGTCAAAGGATAGTTCTGATTGAACCGGGCTAGAACTGGTATCTTCATGCCTTCTAAATTGAAGGGTCCATATCATTGTGGATTTTGCAACATCGATGTCCTGATTTGATATTTCAGGAAAAGCCTGTCGATAAGGTTAAGGATATATCTAAATAGGCGGACTGATTTGAAGTAAATTCCACAGATCGATGGAGGGATTGTGCTCAAGATTGGATTTCGGAGGACTTTTCATAACCATGAGAATATATTGATGAAAATGCTAGCAGTAGCAGTGGAAACAAATATTGAATGATACGAGAAATCTTCTTCAAGGAACCTTCGTGTTGAAGTGACGTATAATGTCTCTCATGGATGAAGTTGCATATGTACTAGTTTTGAAACCGATGTGTTCACGAAGCAAGGGTGTACCGGAATTCGGTTAACGTTGTGACTAGGCTGCGCAACTGGGGCTCCGCAAGGCGGATTATTATTTATAATAGGTAATGTGAAGAAATGGGGTGCCGGGACCCGGCGCGGGTCCACTGGATTAGCCGGCGACTGCAGGTCACCTGCTAGCCCGAATAGGGCTAGCGGTAACCCTACGGGTTATATAAACAACCTGTAGGGTTGTATAATAAAAAACAGTGAAATCAATTCTTTTAAATCTTATATAATAACTCTGTGATTCTTCACAGGTAGTTTATAGATAATCTATAGATTATTTACAAATGTATTTATAGATATTTATAAATTTATAAATAAACAATTTATTTATGAATAATTTATTTATAGATTATCTATAAATAATATTCGTTTAAATTTTTGAAATTACTCTTATATTTTTTATATTAATTTTATATCAATCTTCACAGATTATATTTATTTTATACAAATTAATAGATTATTTATAAAAAATCTATAAAAAATCTATACAATATAGATTATTTTAAAATCCCAATAAATAACTCGCGAAAGGGATTGTAGGTTTATTGGGTAGTCTACGAAACAGATTATTTGCGGATATTCATAACCCGCGGGTTATTTTTGCGCAGCCTAATTGTGACTATCAAGTGTTACAAGGTAACAGTCAACCTGTCCACATGAGCTTGGGCCTTATCGAAAAGCAAGGCAATTTGTATACAAATTTGTATACAAATTGGCTCACGGTCTCCCCACCCTCAGCAAGCTTGGACATATGGTCTGATTCTAGTCACGTGATGGATCATAAGGATCTAGGGAGCTAGGAAATCGTATTCTAGGTCCATTAGATCTAAGGGATCTAATTGATACGAAGGTTTATATAGTTAGGAAAGGATTCCTTTTGTAAAGCTTTATACTCAAAATCAATCATTTAGTATACTCTACTATTAGTTATGAGTTGCAATTAATGATATTACCTTAAGCTTCTGTTTGATGTCTAATTATAAACCATTCGAGGATCCAGGCCACTTCCACGTGATCTAGATCGCATCCCTCGTAACACCAAGATGCTCTAGTACAAATATTATCTCGTGTTGGGCAGAAATACCGTTGTATTGGCCTGTTTAGATGGCTTTCTGTGTATCCCGTATTGTTCTACTGTGTGTAACTGATACATACGAGTTGTCCCATACGAGGTTGCATCACTAATGCGGGGTAATCTAGCACATAACCTTAACAGGGGCCGGGCGGAACCAAATGTATCCTCCGAGACGTTGAAAAGGTTCCATTTAATAGATGCGGAGAGGGCTTGTCTTATTATTGGAGCTATAATTGCTGATTTATAGATCCACCATTGTACCTGCCATATTGAGCTTAGCAGCATTCCTGTTAAAGATTTTGGTGTCTAATTAACCGATAAGGTTAACGTCTAAATCGTATTTGCAATAAGCTTATTAAGGCTACTTGATCATACCCTCATACGATAGTCACGTATTAAAGCGTGCAAATACGATTTTTCTCACACCTTACTCATCTACTCGTAATCAAGGAAAGAGTTGTCAGCACGATGTTCTTTTTACTTCATGCTGATCATGTACCCGTACTCAATCGTGCTGAGTAGAATTAGGTTAGTTCTGTCGGTCATGCGGTAAAAGAGAAAAAAGAAAATACGAGATCCTTCCTTCCTTGGCATCATCGGCCCACCACCGATCCACTGCACCTTCCCGATTATTTTTGCCTTCTGTTGGAGGTGTAAGATTATCATATAAAAGAAGTACTACTTCCTCGAGTATCTCTCAATCCAACATCTTCATCAACATCTTCAAATCCTCCCACATTCAAGATAACAACAATCGGCTCCTACAATAGCAAATTGCTTATTGTTAGTTTTGGCGTTAACGATCCATACATTCTCAAATATCCATCATAAATAATATTTCAAAGCAATCCATCAATCCATCCGTACGTTCCAACATAAAAAAACTCAGGATGCGTACCTCACTCATCGCCACAAGTCTTCTCGCAGCTGCAGCTACTCAAGTTGCGGCACAATACACAAATCAATCTGCTCCATTCAACCTTGTGCTTCTCTCCGCAAATGACACCTTGAACGGCACCACTCTCTTCCCTTGTCATGAAGGTGCTGCTATTGAAGGATTATGCCTTGGTCCTTCGATCACCAATACAAACACCACCTTTTACACCTACAACTTCAACACTTCCTCCTACGACACCAGCTTCAATGCTACTATCGGCGAAACCGGTGTTTTAACATGGCTTCTTCAAGGTGCAAATTTCAATCTTTCCTCGCCATTCGGACTTACATATAGCCCCACAAGCAATATTGCCATGCCATTGTTTACTCCTAGCGCGAGCACAACCAATGTAGCGTTTGACGAGGACGATTTGTTGAATATTCAAGGTTATCAGAATGACACAACGGTACCAATTACCTTTGGCACTCAAGCTTATTACAGGTGGTACATCTGTGAGACGTACTGGGGCTACCACTACACGACTTTGGCTTGGGTTGTTGGTGAGGCTGAACCACAAAATCCAACTTGCGTCAAGGTTGATGTGAAGAGGGTCTTTGTAGATGACAAGGTTGAGAGTTACCAGTAATTGGATGATAAGTTTATAACGAGTTTTCGGTATGGCTGTGTGCGCGTGTTTGTTTGCGTTGGTCTGTTATTTGGAAGATGAAGGAATGAGCACATGAGAAAATGAGAAACTAAATTGTTAATGAAGCTTTAATGACTAATGAGAGCATGGACGATACATCGAGTGTTATAGAAACAGAAAAGAAAACAGAATTATGACTTTATACTTGAAGAGTTTTCGTCAGTGTTATGATGCTTTGCTTACAAATTTGATATTGTATTGTTTCTCTCCTCTTTCTTCTTCTCTTGATATATATACCTAAAGTTAAGGTCTTCTTTCCCCATTATTTGTATAACCAATTTTTTGCTTTCCGTCGTCATCTTTTAGACTATTAGTGTGTGTATAAAGTCATGGATGAATCTCAAAGTTGAATGAACTAATTAATGTCCTTGCAATATTTGTTTGTTCATTCTACTGTTTGATCAAACCATTCAATAGAAGTCAGGCAATGAGATTGCCAAATATTTTCTTTTTTTATAAAAATAAATTGGTGCCAGTGTGAGATAACTGTTATCTCCAAATGTGGAATCCTTTCATCAATTCATACACCTACTAGTGGTCAAAGAACAACATTTGCAGTAACCACTAATTCTCGTTCTTAATTACTAGAGTAACCAATCAATGCTCAATAAAGCATTCTCGACGATGCCTCCATCTATTCACTAGCAGACAAAGGATATCTAGAAACAAAAAATTCGTGAAACTAGTCCTTTCAGTATCTTACAATCCAGACCCTTTGTTGCATAGACCGAAAAAGGAAAATCAAATACTAAGGATCGATCTACATCTCCAGCTTTTTTAGGCGTCGAACAAGAAATAATACCCAACCATGGCATCTTCAGAATACCTTAGAGGTTTGCAGCAAGGAGACGGCGAGCCCTATAGCATCACAGATTATGCACGGAGATTTGGACCTAAATCTCCTCAAAACGCTAATCTGAAAAGTTGGTTAACACCTCTAGATCCTTTCTTTCCGCTCAATTGGGAGCATGAGAGGCTGGATGATAGTTATAAAGTAGTTGGAGGGTATCAAAGAAATGAGTTATTCCTATTTACCACGAGGGAGCTGAAAGATCTAGATGCGGTTTGTGATAGACCGTTGAAGAAAAGTACTTTGACACCGGGGATTATACCGCTTTTGAGGAGGGATAGGTGGGAGGATAGACCGAGTACGGCGTGGTTAAGGACTGATAGTATACCAATTGTGGGTCTTTTTTCTTTTTTCTTTTCACGTTGTGCCCCGGAAGATTTGATGTAGATGAATGTTTATGATATGAGGCTTTTTGAATATCCTTTGCTGAATTAATCATGCTGTGCTTTAGAGGGGTGACCCCCTAGGCGGAAAATGGCAATCGAGTAACGATCGAGTTTGGAACGTCCTAAAACCAATAGTCACACTCGCATCGCGATTCATAATGTCCTCTAAAAATTTACCATGGGTATGATCTCAAAACCCCCCTTTAGCCCTAAATCAATCAAAGCTAATATGGAATCACACTCTCAAGTTCGACGCGCTACTCCTAGGACCCCGTCATCCCGTCATCCAAGATCGATATCCCCCCGGCGCAAAAATCCAAAAGGAGTTCCATACTTTTCATCCTCGCGAGGGCCCATGGACCGCTGAACGCGAGAGGGAAGTGGAGGCTGAACGAGATCGAGTTTTTCTGGGATTGATGAATGAGATGGATTTTATGTTTTCGTATTTTTACAGTCATCAGAATGCGAGGGATAATGATCCGCCTAATCATGATCCTAATTATCCTGTTAAGAAGTGGGGGGATCCTTTGGGTGTTACGACGGTTAATGCTTGGGAGATGGTGGTGAAGAAGGTACCGGGTGCTAAGGTATGTGGGTACTCAGCGTCATAATCGCCTGTTTGGAGTTCTTTCCGTACTATTATTTTCTTGGGTTGAGCTAAAATTTATTATTCCAGTGGCGAGTTCAAACTTTTATTAATGTGGAAGCTTTGGAAGCTCTCTTCTTTGATTATGACGATCTTTCGGGTTCCGAGGCTGCGGCTTTGAGATTTCGTTGTGCTACTACTGTGAGTTTATGTCGGGGTAGAAACATATTTACTTCTTTAAAAATTAATGCATTGGTAGATTGCGCATGAAGTCATGCATGCCATAGGCTATTACCAATCACTTCATCGTCTCGGCGTTCGTTTGTTCACCAATAATCGAGAAGGATATTATGCAGATGAACAGATGGCGGAGCTAGGCTGGAGTTGGCAATGGGCGGTAGGTTGATTCTTCATCTAACACTATGTTCTCCTATCCACTTAGAGCAATACCAGAATACTAACATGAATCCTTTCCACTCATAGATGCATGGAGGAATCGACAGCAAAAGACCCAGCAACCATCGGAGCCGCCGTATACTAACCCAATTCGCCGAACTACAATTCCCCTCTTTCACCAGCAAATCCCACGCCGCCTCGGGTCAGGCTGTTCTCATTGATCCCCCGATACACAACTGGAGCGATTTCCATCCCATCGGCGTTCAATTTCTAGAAGATGTGCATAACCAAGATTTTTGGGATTTGATGGTTCGCAGCTTTGGGGGCCGGATTCTGCAATACCATACCATTAAGGAAGGGACGAGGATCTTTTATCAACCGGGTTCTTATAAGCCTTTTACCATTATCAAGAGAGATAGGTTGGATCCTGTTTCACATGATCCGTATGAGAATGATGAGGCGCTCATGATGAGAACTATGCAGGATGTGAAAACGCGCATGACGCATACACCGGCAGAGAAGAAACTTATGGCATTTGTGACGGAAATAGCTGAAAGTGCGAAGACGGGGAAGGCATTTTGGGAAAGGATGGAAGCACAGGTTCGGACTGTGAGGGATATTATACAGGTTTTGGTTCAGAGTAAGATGAATAGTTCGAGTGGTGTTCATAGAGATTGGGGTTTCATGACGACAGCCGTGAGAGAGGTTGTGGAATTGTTAGTTGTGGCGGCGACGAATCATGAGAGAATGGTTGCATTTGCGTTGGAGAGGCAGCAAAAACATCATGGTGTAGATGATATTGCTGCTAAGGGGGCGTTGTTGGCCTGGAATAGAGGAACCCGAGGATTTAATCGAGACGTTCTAGAAAAGTTCGGAAAGAAGTTTAAGGAGGGAGAATTGGGGAGGAAGCTGAATGTTTCGTATAATATTCTGGAGAAATGTCAAGCTTTGCTTTTTGCTCCAAGTCAAAAGGGCGTTAAGTCAAATTATCCTAAGGAACAGAAGGAGTTTGATACGTTGATGAAGACGGCCGAGGCAATACACTTTAATCAAGATTTTGAGGGAGGGAGACAGATGTGTTTGAAATTGCTTTCAGATCGGTATATTGGGTCGTTTGTTAAAAGCGCGGCGAAATTGCTGATGGCCAATTGTGAAGCAGGGAATGCTGGGGGTGTGGAGAATTTGACATTGCCCCTGCGACACAAATGTTGGAAAGCAGCCGAGCAAGGCTTGAAAAGAATAGTTTGGTTGCACGAGGAAATTAGTCGGATCTCGGATGCGTGGCAGCAGTTGTTCGAGGAGTATATTAGGTGGGGAAAGTCGCTGGTGGCGAAGTTTACTATTGTGGCGGCAGCTGTTTTGCCTCAGGGGGTTGAACATATGGAAGATGTACAGTTAACGAATAGTGATGCGAGAAGAATTGGCAAAGTGGAAAGCAGAAAAAGGACCAGGAGGGAAATTGAAGATTTGGTTGATGATGCGATGGAAGATGTTGTTTATACAGATCTTGAGGAGTGGCAGTGGGCGGCGAGCCGCAGACAGTATAAGAAGATGAAGCTTGTGAGTGAGAATCCAGGTAATGTTCCTCATGAGTAAGAAATAAGTCAAGTTGTTTTAGATCAACTTTCGTTCCGTGCTTTTAGATCTTAGGAAGGGCCTTGAGATCAAGGTTTATTGTTCAAATGTCTATATGCTGCGTGGCAAGCCCGTATAGAATACTTTTGATACATCATGTATTATAGTTGCTCAATTATCTATATAGTAAATTTAAGACGATTTTAAAAAAGTGACGGGAACGTTTTGTTATGACCGAAAGAGGAATTAGGGTTTCGATTTCCAGTCTTGCAACTTGACGTCTTTTTCTGCCGTCGCACTTGCCTCAGTGAGAAAGAGCTGGATTCTTCTCCGATAAACCAATGATTTGAAAATGATGCCTAGACTCCGTCATTGTTGAAGTTGCTCTTTCCCTAAATATTCCACCACCATCGTGTAATTTCCAGAAGGGAAAGCATTTTTGAACAGAACATAGAATATCGCCGTTCCATTGCTCGGGAAAAACAATCAAGAATCATCCAACGCAGAACAGAATAATCGTCTTTTATTATTACTTTCGTTGATCCACTATTGCTTAACATCAATCATCATAATAAAAACATCAAAGCTGCTACAAACTTCAATCGGGACAAGTCCTGAGCACGTACATATCGGAACCATCTGCTTTTTAATTAGACTGCAGCAGCGAGCGGCTTCTTGATCCTTTCTCTCAGACTGCTAGAGAGAAAAATCAAGAATCTTCGCTACAATGGCACCCCTCATTGACACAAATTCTAGTGATTCAGAAGGTGACGATATGTCAGATACCATTGAACCCTCATGCCCAACGATGGCTACGACTCCCCCGTCGCCCCAGACACCTAAAACGAAATCTAAATCTAGCAAGCGCAGTATTGATATAACTCCAACCGCGTGCTCAATGTCCAGACTCAACGCGGAAACTGTGGAACACGCAAACCTCGAAGTTCGCTCCGTCGGTAAGGACACTGGAGCCGGCGATAGTCCATCCCCAACGAAAAAGAGACGAATTTCACGATTGAGCGTGCAGGAGAAAGACTCTGGGCCATTTACTTCGCTTTTCTGCAGAAACTCTCTTTTTAAAGTTGATGAGAATGAGGAAGTTTTACCCTTTGATGAAGGTAGCGAGAAGACCTGTGAGAGAGTAGAGCACGATTTGAGTCAAGAGAAAGAAAGGATGGTAGAAGTAGAAAAGCTCTTTTTGGATCATATTGCATTCTGCGGAGGTAACAAACAAAAGAAAATGGCTCCAAAAATTGGACGAAGCGGATCAGACACCGCGTACGCCGCTTCTTTGAACAACCTCGTAGATGGGGAGGTTTATGCAAAGGAAGAGACACATGGAAAGTTCAAACTTGCTATCAGAACCGAAAATTTGGAAAAGGGTATACGGAGTGTACAAGCAAGGGAAGAAAGAGCAGAAATGGATGTCACGCCCTTGGAATCGTTAGATGTGGACATGCCTGGCAGCTCTGAATTTGCTCTTGGTAACAAAAATTTGTCGAAGACGGTGCAGAGTGTGAGAGGGAGAAAAGGGAGGACTGAGATGGCTCTTAAGACCTTGGAGTTGTTGAACGGTATGGCAGAAACAGATTCTAGCAAGGGGTGGGGAGAAATGCGAAGCTTAGCTGACGGCTTCGAACGTGTTATCGTGCGCTTAGAGCTGGAAGAAAATTTGCAAATGGCACTAGAAAAAAAAGAGGGCGCCGAGATATATCCCAAGGAAATGGAAACTTTGAATGACGAAGTAGGAACACGAAAAAGAAAAACATTACCTAGAACCAAGATACTCAAAAGTTTTATCATTGGTAGGTTAGAAGAGGACTTGCAGATGTTGAAGGAAACGCTTGAAACTAGTTTTGAGCGCTTGGAGTGCTTGAATGACGAGACAGAAACTTCATTTAACAAGGCTAAAGAAGCACAATTAAGAATGGATATTACATCTGATGCTGCTTTACTACTCGAGAACGATCGTGAAGTTCGTATACCCCCGGCAAACGAAGATGAAGTTGTGACTATGGAGGACATAAGAGATAAGATTCCTGAAGCTTCTACATCAGCAGCAGAACTTCTCACCAATCAAGACTCCACAATTTCCCAGGCTGGATCACTCCCGGGCAGCACCAATCAAGGCTCCACACACATGCGAGGTGGATCGCTCTCGAGAAACACCGCAGAAATACCAACACCCCAGGACTTCAATGATGAAGATGCGATGTTTCAACAAGCATTGATTCGGTCCAACTATGACGAGTTTTTGAAGTCGAAGATTTGCGCTTGTAGCTTCCCCTGCTCCCACAGAAATCATATCAATAAAGACACAAAGCCCGCCACCGTTGAGGATGATGAGGAAATAAGCTCCATTTTCCTTGATATCTCCGGTGCTGAAGAGGAAGATGATGATGAGATCTCTGATTCGTGTTCGTCAGAATTTGATTATACCGCTGTGTACGTCAATGGCGAGGGAAAAGGCGGACTTGATAAGAAAAAGAGGGCCGAAAAACGAGAGAAAATTAGAGACGCGGATGAAGCGGCCATTTTGGTAAACCGCGTGAAAGAGGGTCTTCTAGCTGCCACTGCGGAACAATTGAAAAATGCTTTTATACAAATGTTTCCACAAGAGTGTAGTGTATTGACTGAGGATGAAGGTGCTAATGGTGTTAACGAGAAGTCGATTGAGGACACTGCGAAAATCATAAAAAGGGCATTCATACACTTTAATGTAGACGTGTTCAATAAAGCATTGACGGAGGCATCCGAAAAGGCACTGGCAGAGGCAGAGGCACAAGCAGGTGCTTCTAGCCCTATCGCTTCATCGAATCTCAAAGACCTCGTCGGACAAAACATTTTCATGAAGTGGGAAATGGCCTATGCACAAATCAATCTCATGCGTCCCGATGAACTCATGCGTGCTATTGGCGTCCTTATCTCCTTTACGAGGTCCACTCCCTATGCCAGCGCTATTCTCAAAGATACACCTGAATCTGAATACGATGCATTGGTGGTCTACATACACTACTATTTGCAAATGTGCGTTCAGGTAAAGTGCATGGATATTACTAAAGGAGGTAGGTGTCCTGAGGATGCGAAATGGAGGACGGATATGCCATGTTTTGTTCCTTGGTGGAAGCAGGTAAGTCATGAGACGAAGGACGAATTTAAAAGGGAGTGGAATAAGGGAGTTTTGAGTAAGGAAGTTCTCTATAGTGTGGAAGCGGATGGAGGGGCTGGAGCCGTAAGAATGGTTGACAAGTTTCCGAGCTTGTGTTCCTGTGCTTCGTATAGATGCTATTAGGGTTACCGGTAATTTGTTTGTGTTGTCAGCTTGTGGTAGAATTGGCCGGCGAGGTCAAGTTGAGTGTTACGATACCTTTATCAATTCAATGTTTTATATCTTTCTTTGACAGAGTAATACAAAGCGAACTGTGGTCCGCATCGCACATTTCTTGGTTCGCTTTGAGGTACTAGGTCCTTTGCGATAGTCAAGGTTTTAGCTTTTGCATCCCAGACAGACAGAAGAGTCGATGCTTTGGTTTCTGATCTGCTGTGAGCAGATGATGTTGCGCGGTGTTGTGAAAGAAGTTGAGGTAGGAAGTGGGGCATGGTTGGTGCGAAATTCTCCATGGTCATGTGACAATCACGTGCTTAAAAGAGCTCATCCAGCACTTTTACATTGTAAGCTTTATAGCAGAAGAAAGATAGAACGCATGATATGATCCCCGATATTAGAAATGAAAGTCTGCAAATAAACATATATTTATCAAATACCATCGGTTCCAATCTTCGGAAGTCATTCTCCCGATATCATAACTCAAAATACCACATCGATTCCCAGCTGCATAACCTCAACACATCAAAACACCCTCGCGCCCAAAATCAGTCATCTATACATAGAATATACATGAACAACCAACCGATGTACCCTTCAACGATAATCAACATCAATTTTCGCACCGGCAATGGCGTACATATCCCCATCTCCCTGTCTCCTACCCCGCAGTTCGCATTGGCAAGTCCCAAGACAGGTGTAGATTATGATGATCATCCAAGGAAAAAGCTCGAGAAGAGAAGAAAAAGTGTACAAGATTTACAAATGAGGGGTAGTGTAACGTCGTATGGTATCGTGGAGAAATAAGTGGATACTGGTTGTTCGTATGAATCAGTTGGGAAATGTTAAAGATGTTGGTTTACCCCAGGATTCTGGGAATTCGTATCTTTTCTGAGGAATTGAGCTGCTCGTTCTTTGCTTTCTTATATTTTGAAGTCAATCATGGGGTTTTTATCACAATGGCGGGCTTTGCTCGTGGGTTTGGCGATCTTGGTTGATAGAGGTGCTGGAAGTCAAATAGAAAGGGACTTTGATGTGTTCAAATATGTCAACCCATTGATTGGGACTGATAACGGAGGTAGGCTTGATTCTTGTAAACTGTTGAATGCAGATATATATTGATGTGACTGCAGGTCATGTGTTTCCTGGGGCCACTTTACCCTTTGGTAAGCTCTTTTGCCTCCGAAGACCTTCATGAATTGAGCTCATTAGTTCCAAAGGAATGGCAAAAGCAGTTGCAGATATAAACAATCCGGATGAAAAGCAAGGAGGTTTTGCTTCAGATAATTCTGACATCACGGGGTTTTCTCATATGCATGATTCTGGTACGGGAGGTGTGAGTAACAGCATTCATATGAAAATTTCTTGACTGATCTATCTCACAGTCACCATCACTTGGAAATTTCCCATTATTTCCACAAACTGGATGCCCTGGGGATATTGTGAATAATTGTTTCTTTACCAAAACTGATCGAGCATCGAGGCGAATCAATGGGACTGCCGAGGCTCACCCGGGATACTTTGCGGTATCTCTGAACACTTCTATTCATACAGAAGCAACAGTCACAAATCATACTGCGCTATATCGGTTCACATTCCCCTCAAACTCAACATATAGCTATTCAAATTCTACCCAGCAGACCTCCTTACCATACAGTCCTCTTATTCTAGTAGATTTAACCGACTTACCAGATTCTCGTTCAAATGGTTCGGTTCAAGTCGATCCGGATACAGGGCGACTCTCCGGAACCGGAACTTTTAATCCTTCGTTTGGGATTGGAAGTTATGACTTACATTTCTGTGCCGATTTCAAAGGTGCAGAAATTCGAGACACGGGAGTCTTCAAGAATAACCGTGCCGGGAGCCAACCCAAAAATTTAAGTGTCACTCCTGATGGTGTAAACTCACCTCCCCTCCCAGCCGGAGCTTGGGCACAATTTAAAGCACCTGCCAACAACCAAATCCTCGCACGAGTAGGCGTTTCATTCATCAGCATCTCAAAAGCATGCCAAAACGCCGAAACCGAGATCCCAGATTTCGACTTTGAGAAGGTTTTAATTGCTGCAGAAGATGCCTGGAGAGAAAAACTTTCTGTTATTAGTATTGATGCTACGGGTGTAAGTGATGAACTTCAGACGGTCTTTTGGTCTGGAGCTTATAGGGCTATGATTTCACCTCAAGATTATACTGGGGAGAACCCATTGTGGGATAGTGATGAACCTTATTATGATTCTTATTATTGTATCTGGGATTCGTTTAGGAGTATTCATCCGTTGTTGACTTTGCTGGATCCTTATAGTCAGACGCAGATGGTGAGGAGTTTGATTGATATTTATCGTCATGAAGGTATGCTTCAAAGTTCACTCCGGAGAAAGAATTGTCTCTAATATAACATCTTTCTAGGTAAGCTTCCGGATTGCCGAATGTCGCTATGTAAAGGATACACCCAAGGGGGTTCGAATGCAGATATTGTTCTAGCAGATTCTTATCTGAAGAATATCACACAAGATGTGGATTGGGCAACAGCTTATGAAGCAGTAGTATCTGACGCTGAAGGTACGTCAGGCCGATAAGAATTTCCATATCATATCATTAACAGCACATAGATGAACCAGCAGATTGGTCCATCGAAGGTCGAGGCGGTCTAACCTCCTGGAAAACTCTCGGTTACATTCCAACGGACGACTTTGACCCTTATGGAGTGGGACCTATGACACGATCCATCTCCAGAACCGTAGAATACGCCTACAACGATTTCTGTATCGCCTTGATGGCCCATGGACTTGGCAAAACTGGAGACGTAGAAAAGTACATCGGACGATCCGAAAATTGGAAAAATATGTACAAAGCCGATCAAACATCCTATGTCAACGGAACAATAGACGCTCCAAATTCCATTGTCGACAGCGGATTCACCGGCTTTTTACAGCCCCGCTACTTAAATGGTACATTCGGCTACCAGGACCCTTCTCTCTGTTCCCCCCTCTACAACTTCACATCCTGTTATCTCAGCCCCACTGGCCACGAAACATACGAAGGAAGTTCCTGGATGTACACTTTCTTCGTACCCCAAGACATGGCCACCCTGGTAACCACCCTCGGTGGCCCCTCAACCTTCGTATCTCGTCTCAGCTATCTCCACACATCCGGACTTCTCTACATCGGCGACGAACAAGCCTTCCTCCCCGTCTTCCAATTCCACTACGCCGGACGCCCTGGCCTCTCCGCACATTTCTCCCACTTCTACATCCCCTCCCAATTCAACGACACCGTAGCCGGATTAGCAGGGAATGACGATTCAGGCGCCATGGGTTCATTCACCACTCTTTCCATGCTAGGATTATGGCCCATCTCAGGCCAAAACGTCTATTTAATCACACCCCCCTATTTCCGTGAAATCAGCATCCGCAATGGACAGACTGGAAAGGTGGCAACAGTAAGAAATATAGGCTTTGATGCTACATATACAAATATTTATATACAGAGTGCGACATTGAATGGGGAGACTTGGACTAAGAATTGGGTGACACATGATTTTTGGCTGGAAGGCGGAGTCTTGGAGTTGGTTTTGGGGAGGAATGAAAGTTCTTGGGGGACGAGGGAGCAGGATTTACCGCCTAGTGCTTCAACAAGGGAGTGGTAGATGGTGCTTTTGATGATGATGAAGATGATGATGATTGATGATGATTGTTGATGATTGTTGAATATTGAGTAAAATGTTGAAAGAGGAATCTAGTGATCGCAAAACCATAAAAAAAAGAACTTGAATAATTCTCTTCTCATAATTTCTAAATTCATATCTAGAATTATTCATTTCATTTCTTCTAGTCATTGTCTGCAAATAAATACCTAGATACTTAAGATTCCTACTCATCAAGTAGGTTAATAACCAAGGATTTAAAAATAAGATTATCTCTATATATAAATACATCCATTCATCCTTTTTGTTTCCTGAGCTGAGACTTAAGCTTATAGTATAAGATTATATGGAAATTATAAATTATCAGGTAAGATCTTATATCTTAATTTTATATTCGTTCCCGGGTTCCGAGAAGGCTTTTTATTTACAAATCTATTTTTTACTCTTCCTCCCCTTCACGATAGTGGGCAGATTGTAATCTTAGATTAAGGAAATATTTTATTTCTTACAATCCTATAGTCTATGATCAAGATGTCGAGATATCGAGATATCGATAGTATTAGTTACGTTCGGATTTTCAAAGAACTATGGTAATTCATTTAGGCATTTGTATAAGTCATATGTACATAAGATAGATAATTCTGAGATCTTAAATCTTTTTCCGTTTAGCGCCTTGTTTGTGGGCTTTATTAGTACTTTTCCCCCCACCTTTAGCTTTTCCAGAGGTAGAGCGGGAGCAGGATGGCTTTGGTATAGTTATAGTAGCCTCTTCATCACCTTCATCGTCTGGTTCATTCTCTTCTGTTTCAATATCTGCATCTTCGTCTTGATCTGCGTCTGCATATTCATCCTCATCCCCAGTATCAACTCCATCCATCTCCTGCACACTCCTCTTCTTCCTCTTTCCCTTTCCCTTCCCATTTCCTTTTCCACTGGCACTCTCTGCTTTCTTCCTCTCCTGCGCCCCAACACTCAATTCATTCCTCTTCGCCCACTCTCTTGCATCGTCAGCAAAAGTCCCTCGATCCTTCAACGCATTTCCTTTTTTCTTCGCCTTCAATTTCCCCACCGCTTCTCTCATCCTCTTACTTCCACCCTTTTCCCTTTCTCCACCCGCACCACTACCACTACCAGCGCCCAAACCTCCCACCCCAACACTCCCCTCAAAAAACCTCGTAATATTACTTTGAGTCCCCTCCAACTCCCGCCTATTCATATCCCTAATAACCGGTACTAGTATCTCATCTACTCTCTCTTGACTCCAACCAACTGTACTCATTAGAAACTCTCTCAACTGTCCTAGATCTGGGACTCCCCATTGGAAAGCGTCAGTTGTGCTATCAACATCTGGTTTTAGATATGCTTCTGTAACTGCTGCGCTGGGGAAGCCTGGAGGTAGGAAGAGTTTGGTAGCTTGTGAGCGACGGAATTTTTTACGGAAGAGTGTTGGTTCGCTTGCGAGTGGAGGAGTAGTGAGAGGGTGTTGAACGGTGGACCACCACTCTTTGAATTCTTGGAGACCGGCTTGGGAGGGGAATTCGGAAAGAATTTCTACGGCGGTGACGGGGCCGATGCCTGGTATACCTTCTGTGTAATCTGAACCTAGCAAATGTGCAATTGAGATAAGTTGATTTCTAGAGAGAGAAAGTTCTTTTTCAAGATCGGATAAGAGATAGCATTCAACGAGTTTATTGCTATTGAATAAATTCTTATAAACGCGTGTACCGCCGAAAAGGAAGATATCCGAATCATCTGTAACTATACCGTCTACAAGACTAAGGTGTACCAGTTCGGCACATTGAGCTTCTGCTTCCATTGGTGCAGTAATGTAGGGAATACCAAATAAACGAAGTAGGGCTTGACATTCCGTGATCATGATATGCGATACTTCATCCGCATCTCTACGATCTTTCTTTTGTTGACTTCGTAAAGCTTTGAGTTCTTTTTCATACGAATCATGGTTTTCTTTCTCAGATTTATTGTTCAGGGTACTGGCGAATCTAGCATGCTCTTCTGCTTCAATCGCAAGTTGGGCCATAAGTTCTTCCTCTTCTGGGTCACTGAAATCGAATTCGTCTGGAATTGCTTCGGCTTCTTGACGATCGTATGCATCGTCAAGGGGTGGTCGGGGAGGTTCTGCTGGTCCAGACAGTATGATAGTTGTAGGATTCTCCATATCAACATCTTCAAATACTGGTGATGGGCTTTTTCTTGTAGAATTTGAGGGTTGAGGAGGTTCAGTTGCTTGAACATCCGGGAGATCGACGTCTTCGAAGACGGGAGATGGTGATCTTGATTTCAAAGAAGTCCCTTTTATGCTCACTGACGCAGCGTTACCTGCATCTAAAGCTTTTTTAGACTCAGGGACAAAATCCCCATAATCGCTTTCAGACCATTCAACCGGCTCATCAGAATCCCGTAGCAAATCAACTGTATTTTTGGCGCGAGGTTCGACCAGTAGCTGTCTATCCTGAGCAGTATCAGATTTTGGTAATTCGGCACTAACAACATCCGCTAAATCATCCACACTCTCTTTTGCCACTTCAAGCGTAGGAGCTTTATCCAATATTTCCACATCACTATCATTAGCCTCATCATCAGAATCCAGATGAATGACACCATGATCACGTTGAAAGATCCTCTCATCCTGCTCTGCCCTTTCGCGATCCTTAGCATTTAATTCTTGATCTTTCTTGCGTTGCTGTTGAACCTGTGATCTGATATCATCATTACCAACTAGCCAAGGAGGTAAAGGTTTTGCTTTTTCTTCCTCATCATCCTTTTCGAAACCGCCAGCAAGCACCTCTTCATCCTCTTCTTGAGGGTCTTCAGCCAACTTTTCTGATTGTTTTTTCTTGCCGAAAAGAGAAGATTTAAACTGAAGACTCTCAAACGGCAACGGGCCATCGAAAGGATTCTTCTTATTTACAGCAACTGGTGCTACTTGATGAAATTTTTCCGGCGCTTTCTGTGTTCTTGCCTTCCTCAATGCCGCCTGGAAATCCATATCGCTATCACTGTCACTATCCAGCTTCTCGCTATCTTCTTTCCGTCTCGGTACAGCAGCATTAGCTCTATTATTGACCATATGAGCAATCATTTTCCCGCTCGATTTGGTGAGAGGTCTAGTATCTGCTACTGCTCTTTGCTTATATTCTGGCATGGGAACATCCTCAAATGGATCATCTTCCTCTTCCTCTTGACCATGTCCTTTCTGCAGTGATAACTCGATAGCTCGATTCAGATGATCTTCCTCATCAAGCTCATCATCTTGGCCCTGGTCTTGCTGCAATGACATGGCGATTGCACGATTTATATCTTCATCTTCATCATCGTAAGTAGCTACCGTGTGACTAGGTCCCGGTTTTCCACCTGTATCATCCACAAAAAGAGAATCAGGATCTTCAGATGGCATTCTTACGCGCCGCGTATTTGATTCTCTTCTCGAATTTTCGTATTCCCTTCTCCTATTGGCAACCTCTCTTGCTTGAAATTCGCTATAAGTCAAGTTCCGCTCATTATCTCTGGCTTTCGGTAATCGGTTCAAGCCCTCAACAGGAACATCCTCAAAATCATCCTCCTCAGATTCCGATACCAAATTAACCTTATTTTTCCTCTGATCATAATCATCTACATCGATGGGTTTATTCCTATCACCCACCCCCTTCTCCAATGAAACCACGCCTAGTGCCCAACCACCTTCAACCCCATCATTCTTAACCAAAACATATTCCCTCCCTCTCTCCCCCGCAATTCTATTCGTTCCATTAACCCCAAACATATGCTCCTCAGAATTCATCCCATTCAAATTCATCAATCTCTGAGTCAACTCATTCCTCTCCCTAACCCTTTCAATCTGAAATCTCGAGAACGCCATTCGATCTGGAAACATCTCTTCCAATTGTTCCTTACTCAACCCCATCCTCAATCTACTTCTCAACCTCGCCGCATTCAAGATATTATACCGATCCACAGCCGGCAAACTCATAAAAAACTCCCCATTAAAATCTATCTTGCTGAAATCATACAAATTAACATCTTCCCCATTGTGAAATTGTCTCGCATATTCTTCCAATTCTTCCGCACTCATGATCCTCGGATCTTCCGGCCTTCCCATCCCTTCTATCCCATTTGTAAGTTCGGGTAAATGATATGCATCTTTTTTGTAGAATTTTCGACTCGTTTGTCGTTCTTGTGCCGACATTCCTATCTCATCCACATACGCCAATTGTTCTTCCGGCACAACTTCTTCTTTCTCGATCGTAGGTTTATTTCTCCCTTCTCTTTCCCTCTTCTTTCTTTCACTATCTTCCTCCTCCGCTCTCCTCTTCATCTGTACTCCCAACAATCTCCCCGCCGTCCTAACAGCATCTTCTCTCCTTCCTTCTCTCCTTCTTTTCCTACCCAGAACCGTTTGACGTTTTAATATCGGTGCGCCACCATCAAATACAAAAACTGGTTTAATTCCATGAAACAATAATTTGCATATCCTTCTGAAGAATCCTACGATGTGTGAATTCCGAAGAGCATTTCCTTCTTTATCACGCACGGCTTTGAGGAATTGATAGATCCAAATTGAGGCATCGACGGCGAGACGTTTGCGATTTAGAGCCGGGAGGGGAGTAGGACGAGCGCAAGGTTGGACGATGGTCCAAAGACCGGTGACACCCATGATGAAAGTGTTATGTTTTTATATTTTGTCGATAGATTGATTGGGTTGGGTAGTATGATTGAGATTCGCGGTTCAGTAAGTCCCTGCCGGTAGAACTAGACGATGGCGAGAAACAGGTAACAATCGTATCTGAAGTGAATGAAACTCTTAGTTCGTAGCTATTCCTGTACAGGATTGTGCTTGTCGGATCCTCATACCATCTCCGAAATTTTCATCAAAATTCCAATCAGTTCTCTCGTCTCTTCAATCCAGATATCAAAACAACAAACTTCACAAACTTCACATCCCCTGCCTTCTTCCCACTCCAAAACCGCGTAGTGACGCATACCGGCCACGAACCCACGTGATCCCTTATCTTATCACCGAACACCCCTCCTCATTCAATTTATTTCCCCATCCTCAATTCCCAATTCCCAATGCCCAATCTTCAATCCTCAATCTTCCCTCCACACAAACTCACGCACAATCATGACCTCACTGGGCCCCGCCTCTTCCTCCAGCTCCTCCTCCCAAATCCCAGAATCTCCAGCTCACCAGCAAGCACGCACCTACCTACACAGTCTCCTATCCAAAACCCTTCTCATCCATACAACCGACAATCGCATGTTTCGGGGGTCATTTAAGTGTACCGATTCTGTTTGTTAACCTATTCCATTTGTCCTTCTCAACTCGACTCCTATTCCTTTTTCCTGCTTGCCCATTTCCTATACTTCTTTGAGTGTGCGGGATAGTTTGTGCAGTATGGCATATCTATTATTCCTTTTATAGTATTCTCCCATCGTATTTTCCGAACCTCTCCTAATACAATCAACATAATAGGACCTCAACATAATCCTCTCGGAAACCTACGAATATCGCATTCCACCTTCTCCTTCAACCTTAATCTCACAACCTCCCTCATCGACCTCCGCCCAACCTGCCTCCTCCACATCTTCCGTAAACCCCTCCACATCAACCTCTCAAAACCCACCCTCCGCACCAATCCTAAACATAACACCCCGCTGGCTAGGACTCGTCGTTGTACCTGGAAAACACATCGTACGGATTGAGCTTGAAGAATTCGAGAGTCAAGTGCGAGGACGGAAAACTACAACCGCAACCACCACTTCAGATTCATTAGCTAAGGTTAATGCCCTAGCGCAAGACTTATTGATCAAAGGAAAAGAAAAGGAAATTTCGATTTGAGAAGAGGCATTTTAAGAGTAGCATCCATGAACGGATATATGAATCTATGAATCAATAAACAAGATCAAGCGCAAGGATGATTTCACCCCATCCCATCCAGTATCAATCAAGCCATACAAAACCATCAGATCATATAAACAAACACATCCAACCATCACGACTACAAACCACCTACAAATCAAGCACAACATAACCAGAATATTTGCCACCTGATCGCTATATGATTGATAAAAAAGCGACATTAGAATAAGGAAAAGCGGAGAGGAAGGAGACGGTAGTGGATATGAACAAGCATATGGAAGCGAGGCTAGGAAAGAATATGGGAAAGAAACTCTGAGTGAAGGTAGGATTAAAATACCTGCCCAAAGATCCTGGATACATTGAAGATCAATAAAAGAGGGATGAGTATTGTGCAGTCAGTTATCAAGAGGTGAAATGAAAACAATGCTCATAATCCTGAATTTTAAATCTCCATTATCCAAAGACTTGGGATTCAAGGAATGGCCCGCAGGAAGTGTTGAAAGGCTACTTTTAATTATCCAGGTGGAGATGATACGGAGTATTCCATATTTATTCATCCTTATGTTTAATGCATTTAAACAGATACCTCCAGAAAGACTATACAAAACACAGAGGACAAATCACACAAACATGAATCAAAAATAAAAATAAAAAAGAACATTCATTAAAAACTACAAATACAAAAACTAGGTAAGGACCCCAAAAAAGTGTTCCCCTTTCTCTTCCAACTTCCCCCTCAAACCTTCAAAACCCCTTTTACCATTGCCCCCCTCCCATTTCATATCCTCATGTATCATATATGATCAATTACCACCACATAACATTCCAACATTATCATAATTTAATAGGGTAAGAAGAAAAAAACTACAACATGGATCCATCCGAACAGCCATAAGCATACCTAGTTTTGCGATGCGAAGGAAAAAAAAGATCGTGGGAATATGCTCAGAAGCCCATCAGTCCAATTCAGTTCAACTGTTTCCTACATTGACGCTTGTTGGATCCCTACCATCCCTTCAAACCTTCACTAGCTGATTAATATTTTTTTCAATCTTTTCTGATATTAAAATTGGATTTCAACCATTATGCGAGTTCTTCTTGACGACCTCTTTGTTCGCCATTGGTGATGCTACCTTGATGAGAGTGAGCAACTTCTTCCTCCTCTTCCTCATCTTCGTATTCGTCTCCACCCTTGTGAGCGGCAGCTGGAACCCAGAGACCGGACTCGTTATCGTTCAAGGGTTGATCTTGACCAGTGAGGTCATGGCCTTGAGCGTTACGTTGAATGTTGTTGCGTCTGCGTTGAGACAAAGTGCGAGCTCGGGTGGAGAGATTGGCAGAGACCGCAGCATTAGAGTTAACCCAATTGGTGAGAGAATCTTCACAATCTTGAATGATGGCCTTGCTAGCCTCATACCCATCATATGCTTGACGAGTTTCACCTGGAGTGACAGGAGTGTCATCAACAAGTTCCAAAAGATGCTTTCCGTAACCAGCAATTATAGCGACCTTTTCGCAATGCTCACGCAGAGCATCAAATTGGTAGGTGTAGGCAGCCTTGAGCTTCTCACGAGTAATGTTGGAAAGTTGAGCTTCAGCAACCAAGGATTCGGCCTCAGCACGAACAAGTTCTTGCTCAAGCACGACGATCCTTGGAGATTCTGGCTCCTTGTATTTAAGTTGAGCAATTTGGTCAGTAATCTTTTGTTTGCGATCTCTGCTAGGTTGAACGGAAGCCTCAATGTTTCTGATGCTCTTGATGGTAACACGGTATTGGTCATAACGATCAACGTATTGGTCCTCTAGTTCACCAATCTCGTAGAGTAATACACCAAGCTTGTCAGTAACATCTGAAACATCTTCGTCGCATCCTTCTCCCCAGATGGAAAGTTGTTGCTATATGATGTTAGATTATAGATTTGTGTTATATTTGTTAAAGAATTTACTTACTGCTACCTCCATTCTCTCTCTTCCGACAAGTTCCATGCTGCGCATAACATTCTTCTCCATCTTTACGAGTTGACCAAGCTTTTTTGAAAGCTCTGGGCCTCTGGTGTTGAGCGCAGAATGTGTCTTAAGTCGCATAGCATGGCCTAAATAAATGATTGTTAGCAAATCATCCTCTTCAATCCTCCAAGAACAGGAGATAGTTTGTTTTGAGTCTTGCAGCAAGACATCATGCAACATTTCAGGCGAGCAATAGGTATCATGATACCAGACACCCAACACAAGCAACTATCTCGCATATAGCCAAAAGATTCGGTAGAACCAAAAAATATCCAGATTGAGCTTGTGGGAAAACTGGTGCCCCGCCTTCCCTTTGCGCATCCCCATCGCCCGTTCACATGAACTCGGGCTTACCCCACATCCATCATGTAAAAATTATAGTAAACGTCATAGAAATGTACTGACCGAGACCGCCTTTGAAGATCTTGTGAGAAGATTTCGTGCTCGAAGGTGGCGGAGGAGGATTCTGAAGTTGCGAGGCCTATGAAGGAGCAAAAAGAAGAGTCGTCAGTGAGATGCTCATTTTCATGCTGCGGCAAAATTCCGTCTGCCATCAAGCCTCGAGCTACAGTGGAAAACTTACAGTTGGAGCCCGCGATTGTCTCATAGAGTATGTGCGATGCATTGTGAAGATGGTTGGGCTTGAACGTTAGTTCAAGAGTCTTTGTTGCGATGAGATGAGAGTCAGCAAGTAAAGAGATCTCTGTTGAATGGAAATTGACTAGATGTAAAGTATGAGGAAAAAAGGATTGATTGATTTGCTGATGACGATTGATAGATTAATAGGATAGATAGTTTAACAAGTGATTATAATTGAATTGAGAAGGAAGCTTCGGGAGATGGGATGGTGGAGAGATGGCTTGATGGCTATTGCTTTTCTTGATGATGATCTGGAGAGTTAAGTGGGGACGAAGGCACTTTTAGATCGTGACGATCATTTGTAAATCCTGGTTCAGAGCAGTGGGAAGTTACTGAGAGTGCCCGCCCTTGTCAGTCCTTACTACCTAGTAAAAAAGATTGAAACAAGGAAATGACGTCAGTTCCTCCTCATTCGGTAAAACAGCGTGATTTCCAAACCCAGCGAAGAATGAGGAAAAGGAAAATATGACCAAAATGACAAAATAAACCAATCAAATCTCTTCAATTGGATAAACCCGAAAGCGTCAACAGATCACCTTGGACCCTTTTGATGTTTTACTGTGCGTGCATCTCTACCACGTTTTATCAATTCACAATGCCATCTTCTTGAAACCGTGGATCGTGACATTTCTTCTTATGGATTCAACTGCTTGATCTTCATCATGGATATATATTAGATCTTCAATGTGTACTGCAGGATCCCGAGATGCTTATATCAATAATGCTCCACCAGAGGACGACCTTGACATGACAATGGGTTCATTACCACAGCCATATAGGTACGTGGAAGTACAATACCATCACATAAATACCATCACATAAATACCATCACATAATCACAACATATCAATCACAACACATCACAACACATCACATCAAACAAGATTCAACACAAGCTCTACTTCGACCCTAAGATAGACAAATAAAACAAATCCAGAGCATCCGCCAACTTTCAACGCCACTTCCCCTCTACTTTACCAAATAATCAAACAATCAACACGGGAATGCCTCCAAGAACACCATCTACCAAATTCCTTACCACTTTTGTCCCTTCCAGCTCCCGGTCCCGCAGACTCTACGATGATTCTAGTCTAGTACACGGTAGCTATCGAACTTTAAAGCTATGAAGCAGTCCCTTAGCCAAGGAACCAACGTGGCTGTGAAACTATAAACTTGCCGATTAGACAGGTTTTCATTCGATTCGCCTTTGGGTCTCTGCCAACTTTAGGTTCGGATGTTGATTTGGAATTTACTTGTGTTGACTCGATTGACTCGATTGCCTGGTCTCGTGCGGCTTGTATTCCAAATCTCTCTGTTTCTTTGTCCTGTGCTTTCTGCGAGGATCCCCACCTTTGTCTTTCCAAAACAACTACTGTGTGTCGCTTCCATCGTATGAAGTTTTACCAATATCATAAATATTGTATTAGTGTGAAGAAAAGATGGTAGGACACTCAACGACCGTCTTCCAGAAGGGACCTGGTGATAGCAGTATGTGATACAGCCAAGGTCATTTTCATTGAAAAACTACAGTGATTGTCCGAGAAGTCTCAGGAACAATCACTCTCCATCAAACCAACAAACAGAAGTTAAGGTTACAAAGTCCTTGTTATACAACAAGCCCCGAGAAGAAAGAACTAGCAATCAGACTATCACTCACAACAAAGAAAACAAATATCTCAAGACTTATTATCCAAATCTCGAGTTACAGAACAACACATACAAAATCATCCATAAAAACTTCACCTCCTTCCCCAAATTCTTCCATTCCCCGAGTCTATCGCAACCGCAAAACTACTTTTTTTAAAACAAACATCTTTGAAAAAAAAAAAGTAGTGACCAAACAAGCAACCAACCAACCAACCAAAACCCATCAAGATGAAATCCACGATCCTCATCTCAACACTCATCGCACTCACCACCGCAATCCAACTCCCAAACCCCGTCCCCAAGCCCTCTAACCTCGCTCATCCATCTTACAGCAACCACACTCATCCATCTTACACCAACCATACGGTCCATACACTCCATACGGTCTATACCCAAACCTCAAGTCACAAATCTACATCTACAATGCTGATGCTAGGATGTGATAGGTCGTTTTTGTATTAGTGGTGGATTGTAGAGAGAGATAAATTGATGAATAGTGATGGAGAGTGCTGAGGAGAGAAATAAAAGCATAGGGGAAGGAGTAGAAAGAAGATTGTAGTTAGATACTAGATACTAGATGAAGTTTTTTGTTTAATTTTATATGATTTTTTTTTTTAATTTGATCTCTCTAGCTACCGCTATTATGCTGTTCCTGTTTGTGTCCTGTGTCCTGTGTCCTATGTTTTGTGTCTTATATCCTTGTATTCTATATCCTGAGTTTTATCCCTTGTGTTCTATATAAATGTATAAGTATATAAGTATTATAATTAATTATATATTAGATTAATTCCTAGTATACTACAATACGATTAAGTCTATATATATATATATATACTCTTATACTCTTATACATTTAACACATCTCTCAATATATCACTCGAGTAAGATCCTCCATTAATTAAGAATATCATTATACCGCTCCGGTATAGTAAGTGATCATTAATCTTAATACACCGTAGAAAAGTCTTCTTAGGTAAATAGTATTCCAAAGATCTAGAATGCTGACAGGATGGACCCTGCGATAATATACACTGACTGTATAGATAGGTACTGATAAATACCGTGGATAAGATAAAAAGATAGGACCTGATTGATGATCTGCGTTTTTCGAGATACGAAGTTTATTCATCAGTGAGTTTGTAATATTGTGTTGTGGGTGAGAATTATGATAAAGTTAAAGGTTAAAGGTTAAAGGTTAAACTGTTTTTCGGAATTTTGTAGTTTACTCTCTAAGGTTGGGCATAGAGTACATTTGTGAATTTTATATAAATAATTAATAACTTGTATCTATCTCATTTCAGGTACCAAAAAATTAATCCTTTTCATTCATTCTGCTGTTATTTATTATTCATCAAAGGTTCACCAAAAGCTTAAACTCCGCCAACCTGCAGATAAAACCACGCATCAACCTATCAACTTCTTCATCAGGTAACTCAATACTGTAACGGGAGTAAATTTGTCAGGTCACATGTACGCTAGTATAGTTTAGATCTAGTGCAGAACAGGGTATTTCTACCCTGTCTGTTCTATTCTTCAATCTACACCCCTACCGTCTAAACCGCATCGCTTTTGTAGCACCGGAGTTTCCGCGTAGCTTTCGTCTAGCTTATCCGCTTTGCAGGTAAGCCATATTGGATCTAATACCCAATTGGAAGGTGTTTAATCGATTGTATACCGTTGATCAAGCTTTTCATCATTCTTGGCTTATGCACCTGCCATATGTGTTGTAAAGCTCTAAAGCTACCCTTGACTAACGTTGACGATAGCTCGAGTGATTCTCTTTGCTGTGTCACATCGGCTGGATTTGATCTCCATTTGCGGGGAATGTCAAGATTTTGGTGAGAGATTATTCGCACACATGAGGTGCTCAGATGCAAATACCCGGTTTGTGCAGATGGAGGTAAGATCTTACATGATGGATTGTGCTCAGGTACAAGGGGAAATAGGTGCTAGGTGATCCGAGGTGATGATGGCAATATTTTAATATACACAGAGGTTGGGAAAAGTCGGGAAAGGTTGATAAAGAGATGGATTCCCTCATGATGTTTGTTGTGCTACCTCTTCCTCTAGTCATCTTTCCTCCTCCATTCTTTCCCTCATCCCTCTTCTACTCTTCATCATTGAAAGATTCAATTGTTTGACCGCCAATTGATCTCATCAACCCTTCTTCAATCATGATGTACCCCAAGACCGCCATTTGTGCGGGATTGCTTTCTCAAGCTCTCCCAGCATATGGTGCCGTTATGGAAAAGTTGGCCGCAGTTCCTAGCGGATGGACTGTTGCAGAAACAGATTCAAGTACAGCTATCACTCTGGCCGTTGGTCTTGCAATGCAAAATATCGATCAATTAGAAGCCAAACTTCTTGCTGTTTCAACCCCCGGAAATGCGGATTATGGAAATCATCTCGATGCTGATGAGGCTAATGCTTTGTTTGCTCCTTCTGCCGATGCAAGTAATGCTGTTACTTCATGGCTAACGAGTGCTGGTGCCTATAACGTTGTGAGCGATGGATCGACTGTTACTTTTGCGGCAACCATTGAGAAGGCCAACTCGATCCTCAATGCAACTTTCCAGACCTACACAAATAATGGTGTAACGAAAGTCAGAACTACTCAATACTCGGTTCCGAACCATCTTGCTGAACATATCGACCTCATCTCTCCAACAACCTATTTCGGAAAGACCGTGGCAAATGCTCCAACTAAGGTTACAAAAAAGAATACCTCAGCTACTAAAGTAACAGTTGATGCTTCTTGCTCAACATCCATCACTCCTAAATGTATCAAGGAATTGTACAATGTTGGAAACTATGCCCCTTCAGCTACTTCCGGTAGCAGAATCGGATTCGGTAGTTTCCTTAATCAATCAGCTCTCTATGCTGATCTTTTCCAATACGAGAGTTACTTTGGTATCCCATCACAAAACTTTTCAGTTACTCTCATCAATGGAGCTACCAATGATCAGAATCCAGCTACTGCTCAAAACGGAGAGGCTAACCTCGATGTTCAAAACATCATTGGTGTTGCTCATCCTTTACCTGTTCAGGAATTCATCACTGGTGGTTCACCACCATTCGTTCCTAATATTGATGAGCCAACTGCGGCGGATAACTCCAATGAGCCATATTTGCCATATTATGAGTACTTGTTGAGTCGACCAAACTCGGATTTACCACAAGTTATCTCAAACTCCTATGGTGATGATGAAGATGTATGTTACCTTGATTCTTTTCATTCTCCAGTTTCAACATGGTGTTCATTGCTAACCCAATATTCAGACAGTTCCATATGCCTATGCCGTTCGAGTCTGCAACTTAATCGGTATCATGGGTCTTCGAGGTATCTCCGTTCTCGAATCATCAGGGGATACCGGTGTAGGAGCAGGATGCGTTGCCAACGATGGAAAAGACACACCATACTTCCAACCTCAATTCCCTGGTACATGTCCATACATTACATCTGTTGGAGGTACCCAATCAGTTTCTCCCGAAGTCGCTTGGGTTGATGGTTCAGGAGGATTCTCAAACTACTTCCCAACCGCCTGGTACCAAACCGCTGCTGTAGCTGGATACTTGACCGAACATATCACTCCATCCACAAAGAAATACTATGAGAGCTATACCAATTTCTCCGGAAGAGGATTCCCAGATATTTCCGCTCACAGTTTAACTCCTGAGTAAGTCACCATCATTACCAATAATCCCTTCCCATCTTCTAACACAAACCCCATAGTTACCAAGTCGTCTACTCCGGCAAACTCTCTCCCTCAGGTGGTACATCCGCCGCCGCCCCTGTCGTAGCAGCCATCCTCGGTCTCCTCAACGACGCCCGCTTCAAAGCAGGTAAATCCGCCCTCGGTTTCGTCAACCCTCTCCTCTATCTCCTCGGCACAAGCGCTCTTAACGATATCACCGGCGGAGGAAGCATAGGCTGTAATGGTGTCAATGGACAAACGGGCGCTAAGATTCCAGGTGGTGCCGTTATTCCTTATGCGACGTGGAACGCGACCAAGGGATGGGATCCAGTTACTGGGTTGGGAACTCCGGATTTTGAGAAATTGAAGCAGTTGGTTTTGAGTTATTAGATGGATGGGGGGTGGATTGATGTTGAGGTTGAGGTTGAGAGCTGAAGGAAGGATGCTGCTTAGAGGATGTGGGCGGTGGGAAGAAAGGGATCTCTTTGAGGGATTATTTATATGAATGATGTGAATGACTGATGAAAGATGAAAAGATTACATAGCTTATGAAGATATATAAGCTTAGCTTTTAGATGATAAATGAATGATAATATATTTATACCTATCTTTATATATTTATTCAACATTGATTTATTGACTCTGAGACTTAGATTAATTAATTATTAATTAAGATTATATTAAGGTTACATTATAATCTTTTTAATCTAATGTATCTATAAATGAAAAGTAAACTATATACAAACTATAAATAATTCAATTATAAGAACGTTTAAATATATAAACATCCTCTCTTTATATTCTATATTCATTTATATTTATAAATCTTATAAATCTTATTTTAATCTAATTGAGATATAAAGAATATCTAAGATTATATATACCGACCGGTACGATAAATAACCCAACCCCAATCCCAACCCAACCCACTCACTCTATAACAACCACCAACGAATTCCCCATCTATCTATTTTTCTAAAATCTTCATATTCCAGTGACACTCACACTCAAACCTACTGATCCTTATTAAACGCCGCACCACCCGCACTCATAAATTCCAAGTCATCCGTCACACTCCCATATTCCGCAACCCAGTAATCAACTAGATAATTCTGTCGAAGTTTCCACATACCCCTATCACCCGTCATGGGTAAAACTGCCTTCCCCTTCTCCATGTACGTCGAACTCAGATTAAACAAGGGTCCTGATTGCATTTCCTCGCGAGGAAGTCTAGGTATTGCCGTGATGAGATTTCTCTCTCGCATGTGTTTCATGAGACGTACTAATACGCTCGCCGTATTATCCGCTCCTAATGTCCATGATGCGTTTACGTATCCGATGACCGTTACCGAGTTGGGCATATCTTGAAGCATTACGCCTCTCCACACGTATTTTTTGGGATAATCATATGGGACTCCATCAACGCTTACTTTGGCGCCACCGGCCATTTGCATTTTTAATCCTGTGGCTGTGATGATTATATCGGCGTCGAGAGTTTTTCCTGAGTTGAGCTCGATGCCAGATGAACTGACGGTTTTGATCGTGTCGGTTACGACATCGGCTTTTCCTGAATGAAGACATTTGAAGAAATCGCCATCGGGACATGCGCACAAACGTTGCTCCCAGGGATTGTACTTGGGGCTAAAATTAGGGTCGATTGGAATAGTGGATGGGATTTCCTTCTTGATTCCTCTGTGGAGGAGACTTCGAGCAAGGTCAGGAAAGAAGCGACAGAAATGGAAGAATAATAAAGGTAATACGAGGAATCTCCATCGCATCAACTGGTTAGCCACCGAGTCTGGAAGAAATTTCCGCAATACATCTCCGCTCGAAGAGGTTTTTTGGACTCCTACGATCCAAGAAGGACTTCGCTGTAACATGGTTACCTTGGCAGCTTTCTCTGCTAGAATTGGTAGTAAAGTAATTGCCGTAGCACCACTTCCAACGACGACTATTTTCTTGTCCGTGTAATCGAGGTCTTGGGGCCAAAATTGAGGATGTACTTTTAGACCTTTGAAGTTGTCCAAGCCAGGTATTTCGGCCTTCAATGGCTCATTGTAGTTGTAATATCCCGTGCCCCAAACAATCCATCGTCCTTTTATGGTGCTTTTGTTTCCACCAGCATCGACTGATACTGACCATCGTTGTTGCTCTGTTGACCAATCTGCGGCCTCAACATTATGATGGAACTTGATATTCTTATCAATTCCAAATTTCTCGGCCGCTTCTTGAAAATATGTGCGAATTGATTCACCGTCCGCGATTAACGTAGAGCTCTTCCACGGATACCACGATAATCCAAATGTATATAGATCGGAGTCGGACCTGATACCAGGATATCGAAATAAATCCCACGTTCCGCCAATTGCCCCGCGATTCTCAAGTATGGTATATGTTAGATCGGGAAATTCTGTTTGTAAGTGACTACAAAGGAGTTAGCTATCTATCTTTGAAGTAATTGAACCCAAGTATCTGGATTGCTGATATGAGCCAAGGATCACTGCTCAACTGGTCGTCTTACTATGCAGTATTAATTCCCGATAGGCCCGCGCCGATGATCACGACGTCGTAATCGGAATTCCCAGATCTTCCTACTGAACCCATTGTGGTGATTTTTGTTGTTGTGGTAATCTATGTAGTGAGAATATGTGTTGATGTTGATGCTACATGGATTGGACGTTTGACCATCGACACAAGATAAGGATGGATAAGCAAGAGGAGAGAAGCCGGATATAAGAAGTAGAATCACAAGATAATTCAAACTGATTTAAGTCAACGGATGGGGGGATGGATACCGGTATACCGAGGCATAGGATCAATACGTTGAGAGGGAAGATTAGAAATCTATGGTGAGTCTCCACCTCTTGGAAGAGCACCGAGGCCTAAGCATCTCCCTCTCGGATAGGGTAGTGAGTTATAATACTCCGCAGTGGTACGAGCGATCGACCAGCTCATACATATGGGGAGGGGAGGGAGGATTGGGTGTTGAGGTTGAGCAGAGATAAGCGAAAGAGAGGGAGCATGGATGAAGAGGTAGAAAGCTCAAACCAACATATCTGTGCGAGGTTGCGGCAAACACAATTCAAACATGCTGAGATCAAACTTTGAGATTTTATGAATCAAATTCAAGTATTCAGTAGGATGGATGAAATAAATCACAGATCAAGGTCATATCTATGGTTAGTCATCATGTTATTGACTGCTTCAAACACTACACAGTATGTCCCTAAGGAGTACTGCTATATCAAACCATCAATAGCCTCATTGTGGATGATTACCAATCTTACATCTACAGTAGAGAGAGTGAGGTTTCATAACTGGGGCATAAGGTAGAGAGAGGGGTTGATCCGAGACCCGGGGTAGATCCGGCCCGGATAACATCTAATTCCTACAACTTTATAATAAGCTTATAAATTCGGATGCGGAGACTTCAGATTCCGATTCTTTTTCCATTTCATATCAGATTATCTGCAATTCCAATATCAATAAATCTATAAGATGTTTGAAATCATAAATTATTCTTCAATTATAAAAAGTATTAGAAGGAAGAAATTCTGAATTCTAACCCGCTATTGAGTCTTTTCTTCAACGGTTTAGCTTACCGTGAAGTTGTTTGAGTTTATGCGATACTACTCTGCTTTACCTCTAAAGGTACTTCTGCGGATAAGTTTTGTAAAAGCCGAACGTCAAATCGGTTTTAAGAGAAGAAGGGCTTTGATAGATACTTCAAGAGTATACTACCCCGAAATCCTATACACGCATTAGGAGATAATAAACTTAAACCCGAATACTCTAACTACCGAGGTCTATATAGAGTACTTACCGAGTGTAAGTAACTAGATATCTAAGTAGTAGATTGAAAGAACAATTACTCTCTAGTGTCTGAAGTTTCATAAGATATTATTCTTTAATTAAAAAATAAAGATTTATAAAAATATAAAATTATGATTTATAATTCATATAATAAAAAACAGAATTTAAATCTACTTTTGTTATTTTAAAAAATTAATAATAGATATAAAAAATTATAATAAAAAATTTATTTTTTATTATACAAGTTTATATATTTGTCAATGATTTAATAAAGATATATAATACATATATATATATAATTTAAAATGTTATATTTATATTTACATTTTTATCTTTTAAACTTGAAATCTCTTTCTTTTAAACACAAGAGGAATATAAAAAAAGTATAGATTATTTATATTCCTTTAGAATATTAAAAATAGCTCATCGGAGATTGTATAAACTTTGAGTGCTTAAACGTCAAAGTCCTGCTTTCTATTCTTGGTATTGCACCACCTTAATATAGTATCCCAAAATCAGAGTCGGCGCAAGGCAGTCAGGATGACTGAAAGAGTTGAAGAGGATATAGATATATTCTCGAATGGAGATATCTTTACCCCAGACCCCCATGACATTTCTTATTGGACCTCAGTATGCTGAGGTATCCACCAGATCGATCTTGCGAACATGATTGACTAACAGGTTAATCATGCTTCATAACACTTCATCCCCACTATCTTTCACAAAAGCTTACCCAGACTCCCTTCATACTACCAAAATGCTCTGTAAATTGTGTGATAGCTTGAATGCTACCGACCTACTTAAGCTAGCCAAAGCCGATAGTGATGACAGATCTGGTCCCAGCTTCCACTTCTCTCTTGAGCACCACAAAAAGTACGATGATCTCGTTGCAGCAGCCTCATTTGGATGTGAGCTTTGCCTACTTCTTTAGCAACAGTGTGAAGAAGAACAAATCGGAACATTCGCGTGAGATGGTGCATTTACACGGGAACAAAAATTCCGAACTATGGAGGCGGAGGGTAGATATATGGATTTGAGAGTAGGAATTGCGGCTTCACATCTAAGTTCCCTAGAAAAGTTTGAAGATGGGAAGATGTTCAATTGGTTGATATCACACCTTGGGACGTCTGAGCGGACGGAGACTATACATGTGACGATCAAACTTTAATAATTTATTATTTGCAGACACCTAGAGGTGTTGCTGGTCTTCAATATGTAACGCTGTTGAACATGATTCATCGTACTGTGACTAACTATTGATATGCAATAGATCAGCTCAAATCTTTCGAGGGTGCTCAAATAGGTCAGTTTATTCTTGATGGAAATTTGGCGCCCGAGACGAATTTTGATATTGCTCGAGGTTGGATGAATACTTGTATTTCGGAACATTCTAAATCGAAATGTCCTTCTCTTGACGACAAACGCCTACCCTCTAAAGTCATTAGTGTTGGTGCGAAAGATACGGATCCATTTCTTATTCTAACAAATGGCGGTGAAGGGTAAATATATCACGCTGAGCCACTGTTGGGGAGGACAAATCGATACTATTTTGATAACATCGAACCTGCAATCCTTCCAGAGCAAGATCGAAATGTCAAGCTTACCGGCAAACTTCAGAGACGCCGTTCTGATCACACGAGCGCTTGGAATTGAGTTTTCTGTGGATTGGCTCATTATGTATCATTCAAGACTCCAAGTATGATTGGGAAGTCAAATCGAAAAAGATGGGAGATGTTTATCGAAATTGCGTCTTAACTATCGCAGCAGCAGCATCACATAAAGCGGCCGACGGAATTCTTCACAATACCACTCAGCGACGCCGGGGCACAAGGCCCAAACTCAAATTATCGAAAGACAGTGGACCAGACGACGTTGTGGAAATTGTCGGTGCTAACTGGGAGCAAGAAGATCTCCGTAGTCTGGTTTCCTCTGGACCTCTACAATCACGAGCTTGGACGTTGCAAGAAAAGATATTCTCGCCTCGAACATTGTGGTATGGCCATAGACAAATTTATTGGCAATGCTTACGTGGCTATCAATCTGCGGAGGGCAATCCATCATCCAATATTAGATTTACGGGCTCCGGGTTCGACTACTCTACTATGACGCAAAAAATCATTCACTCCAAGTCATACAGTTACGAGTCTCCCAATATCTCCAAAATTGAACTATCAGATATTAATTCCGAGTATCAAACCATGATACAAGACTACTGCAGTCGAAATCTAAGTTACCGTGGTGATAAGCTCCCAGCATTTTCTAGCATCGCTGCACTAATCCATCAAACAATTGGTGGGCATTACCTAGCCGGTGTCTGGAGTGAATTTTTCTGAGAAAACTTACTATGGTACAAAGAAGGTCGCAAAGCATCCCATACAAAACCATAAAGAGCACCATCATGGTCCTGGGCCGTCACCGATGATCGAGTAAGCCTAGGCACTTTGATTGAATGCACACCTACACCTTATGACTCCGTCCTCATATCACATCACGTCGAGCTTTCTGGCGAGAACCCTTATAGTTTTGTCAAATACGCCCATATGATTGTGGATGCGCTGACAGCAAAGCTATTTTCCACAGATCGAAATCAAACTTATGTCTATGGAACAAATCTTGGTCCCATACTATGGGATGAGGATGAAGATCCTTGTTCTTTGGTTTCACTATTACTTCCTGAGGAGGACGAAAACAGGATTCAAAACACGCCGTATATGTTACCTATAAAAGATGAACCTTACAATCCCGCTGCGCGAATCGACGTTTATGATTATAACTGGGATAAAACTGATTCGTCGTGTATCTCGCCTCTGAAATATAAGCTAATGTTTATTGGGATCAAGAACAAACAAACAAAGTATATGGTCCCTCTAGATGAGTGTTTAGTTTTGCAGGAGGATCCGGAGAATGCGAAAATCTGTAGCCGTGGGGGATACTTCAGCCTGGTCATGGATATGACTTTTCTACACGAGATATTTGGTTCCAAGGATGAGGATACATGGCTGACTTCAGATATGTGGACGAGAGATACTTTAAAGTTGATTTGATCTATATTCTGATGGAGTGACAGGAAATGAGCAGATGGACCAGAACGTGGTTAAACAGGTTATGAAAGCTGTTGCCCGGAAAGTTGCAGAAATTCAGGATATGTATGAAGCCATTGAACACGATATTGCACTAGCAACCGTAGGGTAGTTGTGACCAATTTGTACACCAATAGTTGAAGATCTGTTTGATTAAAGATATGATTCAAAAAAATTTCTCCAAAACTACCATCTTACAGAATATTCTATCCCAGATGATACCAGGAGATACTGCTACAGATACTACTGCACAACTCATGATCAGCATTCTCAAATTGAGAATCTCAATTAATGAATTAAAAAAGACATCTATCATATCTTTTCTCTTTTCACGTCCTGTGGAAAATTTCCAGACCTCCTTGGCGAATTAAGCGAGGGCGATCTTGAATTGAACCCCTTAAGGTTACTACGCTTCCTCGCCTTGGATGACTCACTATGACGCTCTTCAGGCTTGATTTTCCACGATTTCAATCACACCCCCTTATGATAAGATAGCTCCGAATTTCAATAAGTACACCATGCATATGGCTCCTATTCCCAGATAGCTTCCTCTTAACTCCCACATCTACCGCAAAACTCGAAAGAACTATCACAAGTACTTGACTTGGTTGACAAATGGTGTTGAGTTTGATTGCGATTATGAATGTTTATTCATGTAAGATCTTATGACACTATATTTCGACTCTGGCGCATCTTGTAGCAAACCATCGATTCCTAGCATGCTCACCTCCTATTAGAAACAAAAAAGAGTCGGATATTAAATAACTGGAATATATCATTATAGATAATACAACTGTCAGAAAGTAGGTAATTCCTCCAACAGCAACGGATGGACGCAATTTCTTTTGAGCAGGCAGCGAATGAAAAACTTGGTGAGATTTACAATTATAATGACTCCGCGTGTGCAACTAGCACTGGGACGAGGATTTCTATGCGTAAAAATGCCGGCTGAGGAGCGTATGCAGGAGTTCTTGCAATTCGGAGATCGGTGGTGGGAATTGATGCTGCAGATGAAGAGGGCTTTTCAACGCGCATGGTATCTTCTGACTTTTTGAAGATACTATCATATTTGAAAGATAACATAAAAAGCCTGTACATGAACACAGAAGTACTGGCTAGATCAACAATAATCGTGCTTCATTCAGTCCATTTTAAACCTTGAATCTACGCCGAATATCAGATCAGAATTAAATATTCATAACTTTTCAAATATTGAAACATTTCAAATCAAGTCTAGTCTGGATTACTAAACCATGTTTTTAATGGCAACGAGATAATTTAAACAGATAAAGGATAAAACAAACAATCAAGTCTCTAGAGTACCGAGAACTTCTCTCATTAGGTTTGAAGAAATGATCTTCAGCTATTTACAATTATCCTACTAACAGCTTGTGTCCAATTTCGGGAATCCTGAATCTCCGGAGAAATTAACTAAATGTACAGGCTTTTGATGCTCAGAATAGCTTGATACTTCTAGCCAGCAGTCCATCGGGTTCTAAAACTTAGGCGTGATCGATTGGGGATGGACCAGCGTCAATAGGGTATGAGAAAATGTTATTGGGGCCCTCAGCCATCAATCCATTTCCACCAGGTCTCATTTGAGAAGCTGGGAGCCACAACTTTTTGTCGGATGTAACCCACATAAGATCAGTCCAGAGCAGAGCATCGTCTTGAAAAAGAATAGATGCATATCCCTCAGGAGTGACTTTCCAGATGGCAAGCAAGTTGGTATCGGAAACGTAGACGTTTCCATCGCCGTCGATGGTGGTTCCACCGGTACTGGGTGTTAAAGCAAAGGCAGTGGCGTAGTCGGCGAGAGATGCAGCGAGCGTGCTATTGGTCAATGCAGCATCGACGTAGGCGGTCTCGATGCGGTAAAGTCCCCCATTGCATGGTTGGTAGTAGAGGTAGACTCCATCGGGGGAAACCTCAATTTGATCCAAACCAACAGCGAGTGTGCTACCTGCGGCACCGTAGCCAGGAACAAGTGTATGGTTGTACATCATAGGGAACCATGCAACAGCAGATGGGTCGTCAACAAGAACACGAACTCCATCTCCGGTTGTCATGTTCAAGACGACGAGAGCTCCGGCAGTGTCGCTTAGGTAGGCAACTTCCCCACTGGCACTGAAGCGCACGTCGTCGATACCGCTGTTGGAAGCAATGATGCTATCGAGATAGTAGATTTTGTCTGCTTCATTGGTGGTAAGGTTGCATCCTACCAGCTTAGTAGATCCGTTGACACCGCTTGAACCACCATCAACCAACCAGTAACGACCATCAGGTCCGATTCTGGCACCGTCGATACTGACAAATTGAAGGCTTGGGTCAGAGCTCGAGTCGCTTGCGTTGTAGGAGTTCCAATAAGCATCAGGATACAATACTGTGGTGTTGTCGGCTAGGAGCTCTACAGTAATCGGTGGTAAAGTGGTAGAATAGCGCTGGGAAAGAAACTTGCGTCCATCAGCGGAGATGAAGATACCTTGTGTAGGTAATTCAACCGAGTACTCAAGTGTGAGGCCTGGTGCAAGGGCTGCGGCCAATGGGACCGAGAGGAGGGAGAGAACGGTGGCAGCAAACATGGTGAAAGTATTGTCTGCTAGACTGATGTTTAACTGATGAGTCGTTGATGGTATTGGAGCAGTCGATATATATACTTGCTTTCACGACGGTCAATTCCTGCTGTGGTAGCTTTCACGGCGATTGATGGAAAACGTCATGATGGCATGCACCGGGACCAATTCTGCTCTCTACATGCAGGCGAATGCCTAGATTGCTCGGAAGAATCTTCAGCCTAGAGGAGTTTAATAATCTTGGTACTAGGAATTACAAGACTCCAATACGCTAGCACTTGCCATATGATGGTAGCCCTGGTTTCTAGCTGTCAAAATTTCGGAGTTGTGTACTTCTTGGCGGCGCAAGTACGCGTTCTTTGTTGCATTGAACTATTCTGAAAATATTCAATGCTGATCAACCTCTTCTCTCCTCCTTGATGAGGAAGATCGTATTACTGAGCATGCCATCAGAGTGTGGTGGCATTACAGTTGACAATTGACAGGTGACATGAGATCACTTTGAAGTTGTGAACGGTTTCCGCTAATTAACTCCTTTACAAGCCTAAGATTTACCAGTAACACGTGCTAACAATAAACAACTCGGCATAGAATGTCCCCTCAATCTGATAAACCTGGCCACTACCTCTCTGCATACCAGTGTGAATGCGGGGCACCATGAACCTGGCACGACCATGTCCAAGCACGGGTACGTAATCCCAATATAACGTGGTTCTTCAATAATGTGGTGTCCATCTCGACATTAGGCCTTATCCCGGAAGAATCCTTAGTATCAAGCGGAGCTATGACTGTTGTTTGATATGTTTTGTAAGCCCTAACTTGATTGATCATTCACCATTAATATGAAGTACCGGTTCATTGCATGTTTAGCTGTTTTAAGCTCACCTGCGTCCGGGGCTAAGGGGAGCATAAGTGAAGCTTACTTAGCAAGACCTTGTCCATCCTATGGCCGTTGACAGAGATTATGATCTGCGTGACTGGCAAATACGACTACTTAGTATGCATAGGTTCAAAACTGGAGTAAATACTATTCGTTAGGTACATCGTACGTAAATAAGTTGCAGCCAAGACGCTATTCGGTCCCGAGTCGGTCCCGAAAGTTGTAAAAGTTGATGATTTGAACGCAGCACATGCAGAAAGCCGAATCAGGCTGCGCTCTATTGATGCTTGCTTGCCGCTCAAGAGTCGAGGCTATATGTTCCACGGGTGATATCCGTAACAAAAAATTGTTGAAGAACGCGTAAACATATGGGGAAATCCGATTATACTGGGTCATAATTATCAGATCATCAGATAAGTGGAAAAACTCAAACTGGATAAATATAAATGGGCTGCGCATCACAAATTTTTGAAGCTTACTCCTTTTCACTCGTTTTCAATCCTACCAACAAATCCATATCATTCCCTCAATACCTTGACGCCTCTCTTCTAGTTGACGTGGACCATTAGATGGCTCTATGAATCGATGCTTCCCTGACCGACCTCAACTTCGCAATAACATTACTGCGTCTCTCAATGGGTTCAGTTTCTTCGTCAGAAAAGATAATCAGGCTTGTCAAAACGGTGATCCTTTTGAAGAAAATGAAAATGAATCAAATCACGTAGATTTGTACATTTCAGTCTCATCGCACTTACCACTCTTAATCTCCGGATCGTAGGATACCATCGCGGAGCACTTGCTGAATATTGTTACAATGAGTATCCCATGCTAGGGGCCTTCAAAGGCTCCTGCTTCGTGCATCTTTCGTTCAGAAACAGTCAGATAAGAAAGGTGGTTGTGACAGAAGCGATTCTCAAGCATTTCCATCCAGACTTCTAAGGGTTAGAGCCTCGAGCATATGAGTGTACGTAGTATGTGAAGACATTTCATCATGAATCAAATGTTTTGAAGAACTTTTTTGACGAAGCAATTTCCATGCCAGAATCATTTTTCTATCCCGAAGTTAAGCCAGCGAATTATGATATCCTGCAGGATGTTGCAGCCGAGTGGCGAACCAATGAATAGAAGGAAAGTCTTCCGAGGTGGAGTGCTCCACGACTACACCGATGTGCAGATCTGGTGGATCTGTTGATTTTGTGTGTTTTCTCAAAGCACAATTCGGTCTCGGGGTCCTCCAACATGTCACCCACTTTGAAGCTTGAAGCGTAACTACATGTGTCAGTAAAAGAACTACTCTTCCATCTCTCATCCATTCTCATGAAGACACCATGGATGTAAGGATGCCCAAAAATATTCCGCCCAATCGGCAAAGTTCCCAAAATCTACTTCTCCATATCCGTCTTTTACTAAAGCGGGCTTTTTATGGAAAGTTCCTGACTAGCTCTTATGCGACCGGATAAGGTAGGTTAAGCTTATCCAACTCGGAACTTATCCTGAGTATTTACCCACAATTGTACCTTATCGTTTGAAAAAAAGTCAAGGTGGCAGGTTCTGCGCATGCGCATCATCAGTCCAATGCGTCGACGTCAGATATTCTGTGGAAACCATGTTTGGTGGTGTGGCAGTTTGATATCGATATAACTATATCTTTATATTTACTTCTACTTGTACTTTTCCTGTGTTTTCCGTTGTTATCTTTTTCTCTCAAGCTCGCTGGAAGTATCCTCCTGTATCTCGCTCTATCATTTCTTTACCACCTCCTAGTTTATCTGATCTGGAAGAAATGAATGTTCCCTCGTGCCACCCGTGGCTCTCCAAATGCCTAATAATACCCCCAAAATACATACAAGCATCAGTCATTATCTCGATTGGTGGTATACTATTTGGTCTTGACACAGGCACCATCGGTCCTTTGACAGTGATGCCTCAATTCTATGAAACTTTTGGTACACTCTCATCAACCGTCGTACGTATATTCTTCCCCCTTCATTTCCTCGCTTATCCCATTCAACTAAATCTAACACGATTCTTCCTCCCAGCACGGTCTCGTTGTTTCCACAATCCTTATACCTGCAGCATTCTCCTCGATTTTTACCGGCCACTTAGCCAATGCCCTCGGTCGCTTAGCAGCTACTGCAATTGGCTCCTTCATCTTTGGTATTGGTGCAGCCATTGAATGTTCATCTTTTCACCTCCCTCAACTTTTTGTTGGTCGTGCCATCAAAGGACTTGGCGAGGGATTTTTCCTAAGCACATTAACTGTTTATATCACCGAGATATCACCTCCTTCCCGAAGAGGTACTTTAGCTAGTCTTCCGCAGCTTGCTACCACTTTAGGATGCCTTGTAGGCTATTTTATGTGTTATGGGTCTGTGGATATAGGATCAAGCTTGAGTTGGAGATTACCGTTTGCGGTACAAGCAGTTATCGCATTCTTGTTCACAGCTAGCACTCTGTTATTCCTACCGCAAAGTCCAAGATGGTTAGCAGCAAGGGGAAAGTTTGAGGAAGCGGAGCGAGTATGGTTGCATCTCGCGGTGCCTGAAAAGGAGAGAGAAGGGGTGAAACAGGAGGTAGATGATAATGAGAAAGCGGATCAGGAAGTTAAAACGAAAGATCTATTTGCAATTTTCGCACCCGATGCGTGGAAGAGGACAGTTTTGGGTTTATTCTTAATGGCAATGCAGCAGGCGGCTGGAATTGATGGTGTTTTATATGTACGTGTCTTCAATATTTCCCATCCCTTCCACATTTCATAAAAGCGAAAGGATGAAAATTAACAAAACCAGTACGCACCTCTGCTCTTCCAAGCTGCTGGTTTAACGTCATCAGCTGCCTCATTTCTCGCCTCGGGAATTTCCGCCCTCCTAATCTTCCTCACTACCATTCCAACCTTTATCCTCGCCGATAAATGGGGTCGCAGAACTAGCACCATAGTTGGTGGCGTCGGACAAGTCATCGTAATGTTCATCATCGCCTCCCTCTACGCTTCGGATTCCGTTCATTCCTCTTACGGCGCTGGTCGCTGGGTCGTTATCATCTGCATCTATCTTTTTGCGATTATATTTGCTGCAACATGGGCTGTGACATTCAAAGTATACGTTTCTGAGATTCAAAGCGCTAAAACGAGGGCTGGAGCAACAAGCCTAAGCTTGAGTGCTAATTGGGTGGTTAACTGGATAATAGCGTTCACGACGCCTATATTCCTGGCGAAGAGTGCGAGTGGATGTTATTGGTTGTGGGGAAGCGCGGCCTTAGTGACAGTTATTGTGGCAATGATCTTTATGCCGGAAACGAAGGGAAAGAGTTTGGAGGAGATTGATGCTAGTTTTAGGAGAGGGGATATTAAGGCCACTGTTAGTGAAGGTGGGGTTGTGGAGTTAGGGTCAGTGGATGGGTTGGGAGATCAGGATGAGGGTCCTTCTGAAAGGGACGACAAACACAATATGAAAGTTACTTCGAGGGTTGTGGTCGCCACCGCTGCTTCGAGTTCTTTTGTGTAACTGTCGTAATTCGGATGAGGTGACATTCAATGGATTTTGAGCAGAGGGTTTTATGAAAGGCCCTTCCCGTACATATATGAGATTGAGCATAACGTTCATGATTAATAACCACATAGAATGGCGAGTAAAAGTTAGACCTAATATTGTAAGGGTAGAGCTAGTGTAAATTGCAAGCTGCAAATTAAAAGTACAGTCATACTTGAAGCTAAGCTTATTGTAAGGTTCTAAGTGGCAAAGGATCAATTAATTGGTTCGAAAACAGTAGCAAAACTTTTAAAAGGCGTTTCCTTACTGTTATGCTGCATCTTTTGAAATATCAAGAGAGCCTTACGGTGTTGAAACAGTATCAATGCATCATACATCTGGATGCTCAAAGCTCGATACACGATATCACGGGCCAACTAAACACACTGATCAATCAGCTGTAGACGTAAACTTAATTGGTTTATTAATCAATATAATTTCAATATTAAAGTTTATTATATTGAATACGAACTTTTGAATTCTAAATGCATCAAGATGATAATTTAACCAGGTTAGAGTGTTCAGTTGATTGTATTCAATTGGCCTTTCACTTCTTCTAATTTGTTGGGTCTCGATTTATTGTCCGAAGGTCAAAATCTCCCAAAATAAGTTTTCTTCAGCTGCACGTAAAAGCGTAACAGCACTTATGCTTACCTAGTATGGACTAGTTTCTATAGATCTATGGTAAATTTTAATTGTGATTACGCTTTTCAGCTCGGCAGCTCGGAAGGCTGATATCATTGATGTCCCTACCGCAGATGCAAAAAATATCATGGTAGAGCGGGCGTTGCATTGACGAGGATACGCCTAGATGAGTATCACTAATCACAATTCAAATCACAATCATGTTACTTCCGCAAACTTTGGATAAGTTGATTGATTCAATTCGTACTTTCTTTTATATCAGTCTTTCTGCTGCTGCCCGTTCCTCATCCTGTTCGGCCCCTTCATTCTTTCCAACTGACCAAAGCCAACTTTCACATTCATTAGTCTGTTTCCTTCTTTCCTTCCTTTTCACTCCTTTACACTCTTACGCTCCCTTACACTCCCTTGCAATATTTTTTCGCTTTCGAAATGAACTTTCGTTGAATTCAAGAACATCTTCAACCACAGCAAAAACGCGTTAAAAACATGGGCGTTTATAACTTCTTTCTTTTCCTATCTTTGAACCTCAGTTTTCTGAGTGTGACTTCAACTTATATCCCTACCACTACCATTCACCTCGCGTCACCTCAAAGACCGTCGGCAACAATCACACCCTTTAAAATATTTCCTAATATCACCACCACAACAAACACTTCTGCCTCATCGTATTGGCTCGAAGAAATCTCTCATCAGGGAATAGCGCCGTTTCATTCTAATGATACCTCATATCAGGTGTTCCGAAATGTGAAGGACTTTGGAGCCAAAGGTTGATATCATCATACTTTTCTCCTCATTCATGAGAGGCTGCTAACATGATGAAGGGGATGGTATCACCGATGATACTGCTGCTATCAACAAAGCTATCAGTTCAGGTGGAAGATGCGAGCCTAGCGTGTGTTCATCTACGACTACATCACCTGCAGTGGTTTACTTCCCAGCTGGGACATATCTTATCTCATCCTCAATCATTGATTACTACCTCACTCAGATTATAGGTAATCCCAATGACCTCCCTGTGTTGAAGGCTACCGCCGGATTCCAAGGATTCGGATTGATCGATGGAGATATCTACGGAGCCAACGGACTAGGTTTCGGAGCAACAAATGTCTTCTATCGCCAAATTCGTAACCTGGTGTTGGATATGACGAGAATTTCCCCTAATTCTACAGCCTATGGAATCCACTGGCCTACAGCCCAAGCTACCAGCCTACAGAACATTGTGTTCAAAATGAGCGATGCAAATGGAACTCAACATCAAGGATTGTTTATTGAATCAGGTACGTAGAGAACCTGGCGAAAGCTCTTTCTCTCGTTCGCAATTTTTTTTTCCCAATTTCACCCATGACATGGGTCTCATATATTATGAAAATATACCAGACCACACTTTATTTTGACCTATGTATTTCGGCTTACACAAAATAGGCTCGGGCGGCTTCATGAACGACTTGATTTTTCATGGTGGGAATATAGGAGCTGCATTCGGTAATCAGCAATACACCGTTCGAAATTTGACCTTCAACAACGCTGTAACAGCAATTTCCCAGCTTTGGGACTGGGGATGGACGTATATGAATATTAACATCAATAATTGTACTACCGGATTAAACATATCGGCAGGTGGATCATCTGCTCAAAGTGTAGTGTCGGCCACCTTGATTGACAGTAGCTTCACAAATACCGAGGTCGCCATTATTACCGCTTACAATGGTTCGTCTTTGCCAGAAGCTGCTGGGAACCTCATCCTTGATAACATCCGTTTGACGAATGTTCCGATTGCTATACAGGAATCTGAAAATACAGTTTTGGCTGGGCAAAGGAACGGATCAATGGTAATCAGTGGATGGGGCGAAGGAAATGAATATGATCCAAATGGCCCCACCAAATTTATGGGACCAATTGTGCCTTTCCCTCGTTCAGAATCTTTATCTCCTGGTGGCAGGTTCTATGCTCGCTCAAAGCCTCAATATGAAAACTATCCGCCTTCTAAATTCGTTTCGGTTCGTTCAGCAGGTGCAGCTGGAGATGGAGTTACGGACGACACGATTGCATTGAACGCAGTATTTGAGTATGCGGCCCTCGCCAACAAGATTGTCTATATCGATAGTGGCATTTATAGAGTAACTTCGACCATCCATATTCCGTCGTGTTCAAAGATTCTTGGTGAATCATATCCAGTCATCATGGGATCAGGATCATTTTTCACAGATATTGTTCATCCCCAACCTGTCGTTGAAGTTGGCTCTCCTCTCGAATCCGGAAATGTTGAATGGTCAGATACGATTGTTTCGACTCAAGGATATATGGGTGGAGCTATATTGATTGAATGGAATCTAGCCAGTCCAGCGAATTCTCCTTCCGGGCTATGGGATGTCCATACACGGATCGGTGGATTTGACGGTTCTGATCTGCAGTTAGATCGCTGTCCTGCAACTCCTAATAATACGAGCATCGTTCTTGAATGTAGAGCAGCTTTCATGTCGATTCACATCACAGAGTATGCTTCTGGTCTCTACCTAGAAAATAACTGGTTTTGGGTTGCTGACCACGACATTGATGACCCTAACTTATCTCAAATCTCAATCTATGCCGCTCGTGGACTTTATTGCGAATCTAAAATCGGTGCTATATGGCTTGTTGGAACGGCAGTCGAGCATCATACTTTATATCAATACCAATTTGATAACACGAGAGATATTTTCGCCGGGCAAATTCAGACAGAAACAGCATATTATCAACCGAATCCCAACGCACTATACCCCTTCCCAGCATTGGCTGAATGGAACGATCCGGATTTCGCAGCCACGTGCGGAAATGCAACGGGGGGAAACTGCGCGGAAGGATGGGGTCTTCGAATCATAGACAGCGAGAGTGTTTATGTATATGGTGCTGGATTGTACAGTTTCTTTGACAATTATAATACCTGTAAGTTGGTTGGATCTATTTCAATTAATGATCATCTCACTAACATATTCAGCGTGCTCGGATCAAGGGAATGGTGAAGCTTGTCAAGCTAGAATCTTCAGTCTCGAGGGGAATAATACAGATATTGGTATTTATAATCTGAATACAGTAGGTACCACGAATATGATCACTATTGATGGAAGAGATTTTGGGAATTATTCGGATAATCTTGCTGGGTTTGTGGATCATATTGCTTTATTTAGAAGTGAGTGGTGATATTGAGTGGTGATATTGAGCGGTGATGTTGAGATGTCGGTATGTTTTTGAGGATATAAAGGGACCCTTTCTTTGCAAGATATTAATTACATCAAGCTTGTTTTATAGAAGTAGAAAGAACCATAGATACACCAGCTCTACTGATTCAATATACATTTCCCTCGAGGTAATCCCAAGCACCTACCCATCTCATCACAGGTACCATTTTCAAAGGACAATTCTCAAGTGGTATGGTATTCACCATGTTCAACAAATGAGATTCTTGCAAAGAAAGCTACTTCTCCCAACTCTGACTTGGCATTTCAACCCAAACAAAGAAAATACACAAGGAAATTATCCAAAATCGGTTTTGTTGCATGTCTCACTAACGTATCATCGCTCGATCGAATGTTATTGATATAAAGCACCAATTGATAGCTTCTGATTTCAATCCAGGTGCATTGGGACAAAGTATTCCTTCCAGCCAACCAGGGAAGGAAAGAAAGAAAGAGAGGAAGTAATCTTACGACATCTATATAGCCTACTTTTTCTTTTCATAAATCAATAAACCACAAGTTTCTATCTCGATCCCCTGTTTTTTAACGATGTAGATGTCGTGGAAGAGTAGGCTAGACTTGGCTATCTTCCTTGTCTGGATTATAGTACTAGGTAAATCGAATCCAAATCAGACTATCAACAAAGAATGGGGACCTTCTCCTCAAATCTAAATTCATGTCTAATCCCTTTGCAGCCTCAGTCTCAGTCCAAACCTAAACCTAAATCTAAACCTCTCCATGTGGATAGATGGCTCGAGTATACCAACACAAAATAACAATGAAGTCCAGAGGGAGATCTTTATCCCAGTTATTTTCATTCATTCATTCATTCATCCATCCATCCACTTCACCCACTCACTCATTCATTTCATCCCTATTCTCCATTTTCCCTAGCATCTCCTTCATCCTCACCCTCATCTTTCATCCCCCCTAGTGCAAACAACCCGTCTATCGGAACTCTAGCCCTCCAATCTCTATTTCCTTCTTCATTTCCATCTCCATCTCTCCATCTCTCCATCTCTCCATCTCTCCATCTCTCCATCTCTCCATCTCTCCATCTCTCCATCTCTCCATCTCTCCATCTCTCCATCTCTCCATCTCCATCTCTCCATCCCTTCACCCCCCATTTCCCAAATACTAGACCCCAGATCCTAAGTAACCAAAACCTCGCTACGAAAAATCCGATTGCACAACAAAGAGTCAACAAGGAAAAATGCTGAAAAATGATGAAAATGTACACCGGTAATCGTCCCCGGTGTTCCGGATGGCTTTTGAGATATGCAACAAAATAAGTGAGTAAATGAGTAAATAAATGAATGAGTGAAATGTAATACAGTAAACAAAGTGATTATTACTGTAATGGTACGTAGGTAGGTTGTTTTTGTGGTATTTATGGAATGTAGTCTAGTAAATAGGTCGGTATGGTATGGTATGTCTGGTATGTATGTATATACTCTGTATGAAATGAGTATATTTAGCGATGAGAGCAACCTACAAGATCGAGACAAAGTACAGCAGAAAACAGACCAATTAGCAAAGAGGAGCAAAGAATGGGATATTTTAAAATAATTTGATATATTTGATATATTTATTTATTTTGATAGGTATAGAAAGAAAAAAAGTATGAGTATGAGAAAGAATGAGAACAGGAAGAAAATTTAAAACTTCCACCCCTCCCCCCTCTTTCCTCGCCCCGCGCCTGAACCCCCACTGTATTTAAAATCAATAAACTACCTATGTGCACTTAATCCAACGCCAGTCCGGTAGATAGATATATGCGCGCATTTTGTCCTCCGCTGATGTACTTTGCTTTGCTGCTCCAATATACACACTCCGCATCTTCCGCTTCCGCATCTATACCTGCCTACTTATACATCCCATCCTACATACACATATGTATGCATCCATCCATCCATCCATACATACATACAAGCTATTCCTCCCTAAACAACGAATGTACCAACCCCATCCCGAACCCCACACCCTCATTCCTCTCTCACCCATAAATACCATACTCAACAAAGAAAAAATACAACCCCTCAAGGCGTCTGAACATATTCATGAGTTTCCGTCCTCAAAGCCACGAGACCATTTTCCTTCCCGCTACTACCCGCCACAATCCCCATCGAATCCGTCGGCTCAATCTCACCGCCCCAACTCGAAAATCGTACGTGCTTTCCCCGCCATACTCTCTTGGCTTTCGTACCTTCTCTCCCCTTTCCCTTGGCATCTGCATCTGCACCTTCTAGCGTTTCTTTTTCCGTTCCCGGAACAACTAACGAATCGTTCATTCTCAACGGCATGCTCATTCCACCCTCTACACCTTGCACTCCCAAACCCCCTAATCTAACCCCCTCTCCAATTCCCTCTCCGTCCTCCTCTTCTTCCCGAATCGGATCATAACTCCATGCTCTCGCTCTCCCACCCCTTCCATTTCCTGCCCCTCGACTACTCCGCGCACTCTTCATTCGTCTCCCAAACCCATCTTTTGCACCCACATACGTCGGATCTCCTTGCAGTAATTTCCTCTTCCTGTATTCTTTCCTCAATATCCACACTAACATTCCTAATATCGATGCTGTGATTACAAGTACGAAGGCGTTGACGCCAATGGCTACTTTCCACGATGTGGGAATGTGAGGACCGGATGGAGAATCATGGGCATCGTATTTAGCATGGTGGAAGGAGTGCGTGTGGTATTCGCTATATTCGCGGAGTTCGAGGACTTGGGAGGAAGAGGTTGACGGCGGGTTGCAGTTTGATGTGCAGGTTGAAGAGGATATGGAGTTGGTTTGTTTGATTCTGCGAATTGTATGGTTAGTATTGTGAAAGGGGCGTAGAGTAACATCATCGATCGATCAATGAATGGGTAGGTACATACTCATTAGATTCGGGACTTCTATCAGGAGAACGAGGAGTTGAGATTACGGATGCCCAGCTCACGGCTGGCAACAAAAGAAAGGAGAGACGGAGACGGTATTCCATAATTATATTTGCTTGCACTTTTCGTGCGCACCCAAACGTTTTCCACGGAAACAGAACAAGACAAAACAAATGCTCACTCTCTAGACATGCAAAAGTGCCAAAAGCAAGAACCCAAAGAAGAAGAAGAGGAGGAAGAAGGAAAATACTATACTGTTAAGAAAACGATTGGTAGTAATGAGAGTCGCACACCGAAGATTCAATGCTGGAAAATGAGTGACAGGGACAAGTAGGTGATGATGGCGGTGAATTGCTAATCAATCAAGATAGATCAGGTAGAGAAGTAGACCGTCGTAGACATCTACGCTACCGTGTATTCAAAGAAACAAAAATTTAATCAAAATAGAAGAAGGTTATTGGTACCAAGAATACATGACGGGCATTGACAATAAGACATAAGACATTGATATATTCAAACCTTGAAAGTATCGTTTCCTAACGGTTAACCTGCAGACTGTGTACGGGGCGACCAGGTCCTGCTTTTGGCTCGCTTTAGATTGAGAGAAAGATGCTACGGAGTAGGTTAGATACTCGGGTATGGGGAATAAGCATTGGAAATTGAGGTGGATCGAGTAGATAGTGCAGTAACTACAGTTGTATCAATAATAAATTGAGGTTAAATTGAGGGCCTCAGTTCTAATGCAGCGAGCGGCAACTGTTCTATTTGCACGGAGTGAAATGCTACACATTATAATGAAGGTCTATTGGTTTACTAGCCGCAAATGAGATAAGAAGTGTGGCTATGGGCCAAGAGTTGAAGAGTCGAAGCAAAACAGATTTGATGAGATTCGTCCGGTTCATCGGTAGATGATTCGGTCGGTGGGTCTAAACCGTGTCCAATGGGTCTAGAGAAGGCTTGGTGCTGGGAGAAAAAGGGGTTGTACCTAATCTATGGAGTAATTGTGCAGATACGCAGCTTAGATCGATCCATGCTTGGGTTTGTAAACGTTGTGCTTTGCCGTTTGTGACGGATGTGTGATGCAACCAACCCTTCAAAGATCCTCTGTGTCGATTCCTTTAAAATAGATAGATACTGCCTGGTAAAAGATTCGACTGCGAAAATCCCTTTCTCTTTCAAATTCAATCGATATTCAATTTATTATTCTCGGAATCACGGACCAAGCAGCGGTGTTGATCGATTGGCCCACTCGTTGATCCACGGTGGAACATTGATTGGGAGAAATGGAAATTGGATGACCGAATAAATCGTACTTCAGGGGCCGATATATTGAATTCTCCCGGGAGTTCCAGACAGATACTGCATCTAAATACGAGGAATTTCTTTCTGGAAAACATATGTTTTCTCTGCGGCATAAATTCTAGAATCAAGTTGGTTGTGGAGCAGAAAAGCATAAGTATTTGTCTCAGGTATTGTCCATCACATGCATACATAATATAATTCGTATAGTACAAAAAAATCTTCTCATATATCATCCTCAGTAATGGGTTTCTTCGGCTTGACAAATCGTCCGCCCTTTGTTCTTTTCTCAGGCTTGAAGATTCGCTTGGAATCTCTGCTTTCCTCGAGACCTTCCATACCATCGCGGCCCATGATAATATCGAACTTGTTCTTCTTCTTCTTGGCCGCCGACTTGCTGAGCACCTTTCCGGGTTTGGATCCCTTACTATTTACAGCACCCACTCCCCCCCTTCCTAGTCTAGGCTCTCTGAGGACCCGTGTTTTGGCACCAAGTGCCCAAAGATCTCCCCATTTCGATTTCCTAGCATCACGGTACGCTACCTTACTAAAACTCTTAGGAATAGTCCATCGTTCCAGCTTGCCTGATGGTGTGCAAACATCCAAGGTGACATGTCCACGGCGTTTGAGAGGTGGGAGCATAGATCGTGGAAGCGACAATGGATGGAACGGTACATTCCCTTCTGCGGGTATATCCGGGCCATCCGGTAAATCGTGTTCCTCGTAGCCCGCAAAAGATAGGTCAGTTGCAGCATCTCCTTGAAGAATAGCTTCTTCTTTCCTACCATCAATACCTCTTTGCACTGCGAGGTAACTATATCTAACGTCCTCGTGATTGCGAGAAGAAGCCCCCAAAATCTTTTGTAGATAAGGTGGACGGAGGTATCGCTGTTCAAAATGGCAAAAATCCTTTCTACCAGGGGTAAGACCAGGAACTGGATACATCGGGCATTTTGTATGATTAGTACATGGTGCAATGATCATACCCTCCTCTTTCTCCATGAACCGTGCTTCAGTATCAGAAAGGGACTGGAGTTCCTTTTCGACAATTTCGTTGCCAGGCGAAGAGATATGTGAATCAAGTAAAAGAGAGCGAGCCCCGGCTATAGCCTCGAACCCACGGGGTAAACCTTTTTCTATCAAAATAAGTACGCCTCCTTTGGGATCAAGCATTGACCAGAGGTTCTGAACCATGTGCTTTCGGCGATAATCTTCCTTCAATGGAAATAAAGTGTGCGGGGCAATAATTAAGTCATATACTTTCCTAGGTTGTGCAGGTCCGCCATCAAGTTGGTCCTCGCCACTAGATGAATGAACATAATCAGGAAGTCTGGGAAGAAAGGTGGTATTGTCGAGGAGTCGTGAAACACGATGTCTCAATGAATCCGCTCCGGTGAGAACAGTGTGCTTACCAGAAGGTGGTTCGTCACCCTCAACAATACCATCATCCTTTAACACATCCCATTCAGCTCGCAAAATCTCTTTCCATGCTATTATACCAGCTCCGCCAGCTCCCGCGTCAAGAATTCGTGGACCTTGGCCGCCCTCCCTGAATAACATTTCACGGATCCATTCAGGTCCTAGTCGTTTCCGTACTTCGACCAATGTACTCATGACAGAGGTATAAGTACCCGACATTACCCCTGCCAAATAAGCATCTGCTTCAATTTCGCTCATCCTATGCTGGGAAGCATCAAGTCCAACATGTTTTTGTGGCAAAAGCTTAAGCTTTCCTACGCTCGGGGTGGAAGAAGAATATGGTAACCACTTTCCACCAAATGCCTTTTGCGCCGCTTCTGTGACGTGTTTGATGCTTGTTCTCTCTAGAAGCTCAGTAATTGGTTTAACGAATTGTTCTTTCGGCAGCGATATAGTACTTGGGGATGTGCCAAATCTAGAGGTTCTAGTATGTGGATGTGTACGAATTTCATCCGAGCTCGTATACGAATCGTAATCTTCGTCAAAAATCTCTTCGTCTTCGAACAATTCTTCCTCAGACTCCTCTGACGACTCTTCCTCCTCATAGTCCTCGTCAAAAACAGTATCTTCTTGCTCTGCTGCTCGTGCCATCGCCTCGTCCATATCGCGTTGTAGCCGTGCAATAGCATCTATCTCTCTCTGATTTTGACCTTGAAATGTTAAATTAGTAGTATCCGCTCCTGTGGGGGCCACTGTGTCGATGAATTCCTCAGCCTCCAATTCCATATCTGGCTCGCTCTCCTCCTCCAATTCTAATTCTTCGCCCTCGCTAGCAGAAGCAAATCCATCACTGCCATCTTCCACAACTTTAAATCCTAGTTCTGGATCGAATTCAACTTCTTCGAATTCGCCATCAGCGTTCTCCCTCAAAAGTATATTCCTAGGTGGCCCATCCTCTCCAATATCGTCCTCCTCAACTTGCAGATATTCTAAATCTTCTGGTCTGGTCTCTCGTAGTGGTGGACCATACAATCTCTCGTATATCTGATACTCCTCGACAGATAGATAATCCTTTGGCAAGGTCTCACCAAATGTTTGCCTAGCTTGTCTCACCACCGACTCAATTTCCGCTGCTGCTGCCGCCGCCGCTTCTATCTCGAACTCTGTCGGAGTTTTGCTAGTGGGAGATTCGTCTGATCGAGTCAAGGTCGTGGAGAATAATCGTAACGCATTAGGACGAGGCTGAATTGATCGATGGCGGAGGTCGCGATATCGTGAATGTGAAGAAGCGGTTGAAGCAGTAGGCCTTGTGAATCCATGTTCGAAAAGAGAAAGGAGTTGGGATCTACATGACTGGCATGCTCTAGGAACTTTCCGTGCTGTGAGCATAATGAAATGTTGCTTGAATATTCAAATCTTCGACGCACTCTTCAAGAAGGTTGCTGCTCATCCTGGGTTAAATATTTATTTAACCCTCCAGACTTTTACCGGATAGAGTTTACTGTTGAAGCACTAGATTCACACCACGGCTCAAGGTGGGGAAGGTTTATAGTCAATCGATTACCAAGCATATGATAAATCAACGCAGCAAATTTATGTGAACACTCTCGTCAAAGCACCATTTTACCATCGCAGAGATCTTAAATGGAGTCAACGAGCATTTTACAAGGGGAGAACGGTCTGTACTTGTTAATCGAGAGTGTGAAGCACATTGCACTTGGCGTTTGCAGTATATCTCAAGTGAGTCACTGAATAGATAAGGAGACACATCCCCCGAAACAGATATTGAACATCTGTGTGAGCGCAGGCAGTCCTTTGACTAAGTCTATTAATTGATGCTTCGTTATGCTTCTATCCTGTCAAATCCGTTCTATCAACCCAATCAATCCTCGAATTATTGAAAGCGCTATCATGCAAACTTGCCCGTACGCTCAGCACGATGCAAGGGCCGGAGCCTGCTCTTCCATCTTCCCTATCAGGATCTTCAATATCCGAATCTTTGGCAGCATTTCCTGTCTTCCATTGTTGCATAAGGGGTGGCACAATGATCAGGCCATTAAGATCTCTTCTATGAAGAGCTTCGAAGAAATCTACATCGATAGGAGCAGTCTGCTGGTGCAAGCCTAGCTGGTATAGAATTCGTTTCGCGCCTTCCAATGTTACCATGTAACTTGTAGTTGCATAGGTCGCTAGGAAAGGGAGGTTCATGTTAGTGCATGGATTATTGACCGGAAATTTCGAGTTTGGCTTACTATATGCTCGGTGAACGATTCTTTGATGATCCCGTGCCTGGTATGCTGCTAAGTCTCTAGCAACCCAGTCCGCCTCTATCTTATCATATCCTGACGCGGCTAAAGTTCCAACGGTGTTATCATGGTAACGGATCACAGGTCCCAGGTTTTCGTCCTCAGGAAGATGCAGAGCTGGACCTGTATAGAGCATATCCCATTCCAAGCCTGCATTCCAGAGACAAATATTAACTAATGTCAGGCTGTCTACCCGCATGAAGCTTACCATAAGGCCTGGTCTTGCTTGCACCAGGCATATGTTTACCAAGTTCTTCCAGTTGATACTTTATTCTAATATCCCAATCTACATCAGCTTCTAATATTAGAGCTGTTTCGAGTCGATGGTCCACAACATAGCGCATCATATTCATATGCGCCCTCCAACATCCAATTTGACCTTTCGACAATTGGGCTCCTCCTGGTGGCCTTGTCTTTTCCAAAACGGATGTTACTCCATCAATGATGGTCAGGTCAATATCTGAGTAAGATGAGAGAAGAGATGCGGTGTCTATTTGATCGGTTCGACTTTAGCGTGACCAAAATTAGTATTCGTCTAAACATTAAAGTATTCAATCATAGCAACTTACTCTGCTAATATTGCCATCAAAATCGCACCAAACCCCATTGTTCTATTCTGGACAGCAGACGCGATGGACTTCCCTCTCATTCTTTCAGCATATGTAAATCTCGTAGGAACGGATGCGATGTACTCGCGATTGCGATTGACCGCGACAAGCAAGATCCAAAGCAAACATAATCCCCCAACAACCAACGGCCACCGAGTTTGGGGCAACCTAATATGTGAAGACATGACAATGGACGATGAATGGAAAGTGATTGAATTATTCCACCAGATAGTTTCTTCTTACGGCAATGAATCTTTGAGCGGCGCACTATCAGCTATGAGAATACATCCAGAGAAGTATGGTTGGCTCGGAATGATTTCAAAATGAGCGCAAGTACATATATGTAGCGCGAAGTTGTATAATTAGTATACGGTGGTATTGCGATGATGCGTATTACACTCTCGTAAAGACAGGCATTCGTCAAATTCGAGGATATCTCCTTCTAGAGATATACTATATACTGAGATACTGGAATCATGTTTGGAATGTACATTCCAGATGCAGTCTAATTCTATTCCGGAACCCGTTCTAGCTCGAAGAAGCTTCGGAATGGAGATTCCAATATTCCCATATATCGATATCATTGAAACATTGGAATACTTTCAGTGATACGAAATAGTACACTAATTATCTACAGAAATACTTTTGAGATTCGATCGTATCGCCAAAGCGAGGTGTGTTTCATACACCGGAAAATACTAATTACAACTTTAACATTGTATAATCTAGAAGTCTATTTATTCTAAATATATCCAAGCATAACTACCCGGTTGCAGATGAGTGCTGATACATAAGATGATGAACGCGGATAGAGATATAAATGCATTTGGAAGTATTCCATTTCCGTAAGAAGCCACAGCGATTGATTCCTAAATATTTGCTTATGATAATGTGGAATGTCACTTGTATATGTACACGAAAACACCAATCAAAAAAATGAACGGACGTCGTATTAATCGGCTGAAAATGTATAGATTTTGATATATATATATCTATTGTAACAATCCGAATACTCTTAAATTCTATACTCTGTACTCCTTATCATCTCTATAAAGAGATATATTTAGATAATAAATAATAATAATAATCGGCTCCCCCCAACTCAGTTGTGTATATTGTGCTCGAAGAAGGAGTTAAAATGGTCCACCAGTGGTCATACCAAGCTCTGTAGCTCGTTTGAAGGGCGTTCTGGGTATTCGGTTCTGAGAAACATGATATCATCACTGAATACCCTGTACGAAAGAGCGAACCGGCGGAAGGGAAACATGTGACTGAATGCGTCTCAATGATTCTTGCGAAGGCCAAAGCCATTATCAACTTGTCTTCAGGGTTAGAAAGAGAGCTCCAGATACAGAACAAGCTATATACTTAGAATGTAACTCACATTCTTCACTGTATGTATTTGCTATCTTTCAGTCACTTTTCCGTCGGCCACATACAGCTTATCACGATGGGATAAAATTCCTTGACCGTCAGGTACACCAAATAGCTTCCTTATCTGTTCATTCCCTTCGCTGTCCTTCTGGTAAACTCGTGACATTGCATCCCTTCCAGTATACCATCATGCCCTTGCCTGAAATCATTATAAAGCGGTTCCCAGGGACCTTATCCCAATTTATTGTACTGTCGAGAGTTTGCTCTTGGAAAGCCTAAAAAAGATATCAGAGATAAGTCATAACTATGCCCAAGCGACCGACCATGAAGACGTCCTTCAGTTTTGCAGTGAGGATTGATAACTCAGCCAACCCAGCCTTCTCTGGTGCGCGATGTGCGAGCGGATCTTTCGCAACAGGGAAGACTCCAAGCTCGCCAGCCAAATCTTCTGTTGGCAGGATCCGCAGTGGATGGACTTTGGATCTTCAGGTCCGTCGAGGCTCCTAGGAATAGGAGAATGAGGTCGGCCAAAAGTCGAAGGTGAATCCGAATCTTCTGCCCCTTTTCCAAATAGACTAGGACGTATGGAAGGGGCTAGGGACGATCAACGGCGTAGAAAAGAAATGAATCCGATGCAAGTTTTGCGATGAGGGGAATGCTGACAGCGCGGCGAAACGTGTTGTTGGGTAGGATGAAGTTTATTAGCGAAGATAGGACAGAGCGACTAGCACTCTATTTTATATTTGCTAACTATAAATCCGTATTATGATTTTGTTTTCTGATACTCAGTTTAACAACCAATTCTACTCTACGAACGGAAGAGTATAAGGCGACCGTGACACTTATTGTTGTTGTTCGGTCAATATTGCCTATATAATCCGGAAAAGCCCCTAAGCCCTGTAAATGGAGAAGATGCACTCCCGCTAACACGAATTTGGAAGGAATCCCCATCTTGAGCTAAATTAGAGCTGTACAGAGTACTAGCGCCCCAGAAGCTGTGCCTGGAAGCTAATACCCCGATTTGCTGTTTGTTTATTTACCTTACATCAACCTCCACCATCCTGCCAAAAATCCACTTTCCATTCGATTCCAAGGTGAAGTCTATATCTCGATATCTACAAATAAGGACTCATGATCAATAATTTAGCTATAACCTGAGCCTCCCGCCGAGATACCATGGCTACGAGGTGAACAATCGCTGTCCAAAAACACTCCGAAGCCAAGCTCCGATCGAGTTATTCGCTGGATACTTACTGGGGATCATATATTTGGGACAGACTTTGTCCCCAGCGATATAACTTATATTACTGTTAAGACAGAAACAGCAGGTGATGCAATACTCGAAAAGGCTACCAGTTGTTCTCCTCCGCAGAGCAGGCGAACGTCCACCAACAGATCTGAGGCCGCGTCGACAGATAGCCAGCCTGAAAAGCTACTCACAGGTCATGATAATGACCCTATCAGACCGACTACTGAACATATCAACCGTACATTCTTGAAAGGGGAGAAAATATGGCGTGCTCTTCTTGCGCAAGCTGCTTCACCGCCTGCGGGCTGGATACGTGAGGGGTGTTTGGCTCCGTACACCTTGCTTCAAAATATACCACCACTCTCTCGAGATTTACCGAAACGACGATGGATCATGCGCCAGGCTCGGTGGCAAATACCACATCCAGAACCCCCAAGTCTTCACAGCAAGAAACGAATGACGCTTGGAATCCGGAGGACGTATACAATTCACCGAAAAAATCCCCCCTAGAAGCTAGGAAGGCACTAGTATGTCAATTGCGCTCTGCAAGATTGGCCATAGATGAAAAACCGGACAGTATAGCTATCCTTACACTTTGTGGGGCATACATGTTCAATGTACGGTTTCTTGAAATGTAGAAGAGACCTACACGATACTCACTTACAAGATTGACGCCTGTACTTTCCAGTAGGTTTAAGCCACAATCCGGAGATGTCGTTATCTACCTTCGACGTTCGTCGAGACAACTGATTAGATGGCTTTGTGCACTTCTAGCGCCAGGGCCCTGGATGGACCGTAAAAGGCTCTTTACCACCTTGGACAGCCTACTATGATGAAACAGCTCGATTTGTCATCGTTACTGATATGCCTTTCAACTTCATGGATGATAAGCGACCTCCTGCCGCGAGCAAAGCCACAGACCTTTTGATTGAATTTTTTCGATTATATGGCATTGGTTCCCAAAATGCATGTACAGGGAGAGCTTATCGGAACCATTGCCGCAGCCAACAACAGGTTTTCTCGCAGCACTTGCGCTACCATTCTACAATGTGCTGAACCTGCAGCCGCGGCTCCCTATACCAAGACTCGTCTCGACTGCTCACACATATCCCGTGCCCTTGGTCTATATTCGAAAGTACATGAAGGATCTTCGATACTTTATGACTCTCAGCTTATCTCCAGAGTCTGTAGGATCTGTCATTTGGAGTATTTCTGGCAGCCAGGTATCTCGTCAGTGCCGCAACAGGAGAAGACCCTGGAGTGAGCAGATATTACAGTAACTGTACCGATCAGTTTTGGGCTAGTCGGACAAAACTCTCCTCTCGAAATGATTTTGCAACTGCTGTTACAGAAAACGAAGCGCAGACGAAGAGAAACCAAGTTGGGTTGAATGCGAAATTCGAAAAAGCTCAAATGCATGTGGACAGTTCGCAGTACGCATTGTGTGAATCACTTTGCGAACAATTGCTCTACGATAATTTGGGTGCTACTGTGGACCTACGGATAGGGGGCGATGTGTTTGGTTTTGTATCAAAATGTATATACCTGAAGAAAAAAGAAAGACTTCGAAATGCAAAGGAAGCAAGAAGAGCATACCAATGGTTGTTGTCGACCGTTGAAATGTCAGCTGAAGAGGGGCAATCGGTACTAGAAAAACTTGATGAAATATGGATCAGCATAGATGACTTTGCGTAGCGATGAATATCCAAAAGTAGTCATCTATAGCTTTAGGAATAGATTTGTGGATATTCAACAAGAGGTAAAATGAGTAGCGAGGAGTTAATGGAATGGACAAATGTTCATCTAAAATGTGGGAATACTCTGAAGTATCCTTTGAAGCTTCGGAAAAGTTGGAGGAGATAATGAAGCTTGAGGGTAAGGAAGAAATGAAGGGGCAGATGCGATGATGAAAAGGTTGATCGATAATTTCTAGTATAGAGTATCATGAGTTTAGAGTCAAAATAATCCTATTGTCAACTTCCTAAGTTGCTGTAGATATCATCATTACCGAACGTGAAAAGTAGACCTGTCTGGTGACAATCCATTAAAAGTGGATATATAACTACACAATTTACTTGATCGTCCCATGAAAATGTATTTGAGGAGCAATTCCCCTATTCCGTACGTAAAGACTCGACAGCAAATAGAAGGGAGATCTCTGGCCAACCCTAAACTTAGTATTTTGCATGATTGTAATGAAAAAAGGTCAGCAAAAGCTTTTAAACGCCTATAGATCGGCTTTTAAAAACCATCCGCTCCAACACCCTACTTGCAAACTACGCAAAAAGACGACACTTGCCGTGCAACTTCCATGGCTGCTTGGTTGAAGTCTTCATCATACCATCCATCCATTCTACAATAGCTGTACCTGCCGTCATTCTTGCCATCGTCCCCCGTGGAATTATATCCTGCAAGCAGAAATCCAGAAGACTCGATTCCAAAGAAAGATCAGCTAATGGCTGTTGTTAACTAACAGATAATATGGGTTATTAGAAAATAGGCACAAAAGAGCAAAGTTGATTTTATTTCTGTACTCTGAAGATTGGAGTGGAGTCGCTAAATCATTTGTCAGCATGTCTACTTTGACAACCTCGGTGCGTAGAGGACCTAGAACCCATATTAAAACAAAACAATATATTATAAAATGATGATTCTCAATAACCACTTCCAAATTGGCATCAAAATGATGTAGAACACATTTACATAATGTTTCCGGCATATTAGTCTGTTGGAAGCTGCCCCGAACGATATATGAGTCGTGATGGCGTCGATATCTTATCAACCTCAGAAGATTGATTACCCCTCACTCCGTCAGGCACAATAAATACACACTCTACACAAAATGTATGTATCAAGAATGTCATAAATGCAGAAGCAAGTACCATATGAACGGTGTCGATAGTGTTATCTATCGCGATACAAATTGCTACTATTTCATTGGTGGGCGGATGTACTCATACGATTGAGTCATAGGACTGCTTGCTAGCTACCATGCAATCCATCTATTGATATCGGTCGTAAGATACAACTCTAACATTGCGAATTTTAAATCCAGCAGATCTTATATCACTTAATTCATCACTCTTCCCAGCAGTCCCAATCATGGGTCTCCTCGAGAATCTCTCGAGTCAATTAACTACAGATCCCTTCATAGTCCTCCTCACAACCATAACCCTATTCCTGCTCCTCCGCTCCACCTACCGCTGCACCCTGCATCCCCTCTCCCACATTCCCGGGCCTCTCATCCCAAAACTCACTTCCCTTTGGCTACACTACCACGCCTACATCGGCGACGAAGCAAGCACAATCCACAAACTCCACGCCCAATACGGCACAATAATCCGCGTCTCCCCCACGGAAATCGACATCGCAGACGCAGACGCCATAACACCAATCTACATAACCAAAGGAGGATTTCCCAAAGCTCCTTGCTATGCCAATTTCGACGTAGATGGACATAAAACGATTTTCTCGACTACAGATGTCGAGTTTAGGGCTCCGAGGGCGAAAGCGGTCATGCCCTTATTCTCGACTAAATGTATTAGGGATAGTGAGATTGCGTTGTATGGATGTGTGAATAATTTGGTGAGGAGAATGAGGGATGAAGCTAAAGGGGGGGAACCGGTCAATTGTCTGAATCTTGCGCGGAGTTTGGCTCTAGATGCTATTTCTACGCATTTGTTCTTGGAGAATTATAATGGGACTTTGGAAAAAGGAGAAAAGCTTTCGGCTTCTGCGTTTGTGGATGCTTTTGTTGCTGTGGGAAGATTTTTTTACTTGCCTAATACGGCTTTTGTTTGGTTATCATGGCTCGTGGAGAAGCTCGTGATGGATTCACATACTGAGAATTCTATCAAGTTGGTGGATCAATTTGTTGATAATCTTGTGGAATCTACTCCAAAGCAGAGTCAGAATTATCCCGGTCGATTGCTCAATATGGGATTCAGCAAGTCGGAAGTCAAGGCTCATTGTAAGGATCTCATGTTTGCAGGAACAGATTCTACGGGTATGAATCTCGCGACCATATTTCGACAATTAGTCCTAAATCCCGAGAAGTAAGTTATCCCTTTCCTATTAATAATCCGAGGTAATCATTTACAAAAACCACAGGTATGAAATCCTCCGTGCTGAAATCATGGAAAATGTAAATTCGAGACATAAACAAGAAATTCAAGCTCTACCCTATCTCTCCGCAGTAGTAAAGGAAGGTCTACGCATCAGCATGGCAAATCCAACTCGTCTACCTCACATTGTTCCTACAGGGGGATGGACATTCAAATCCGTCTATTTCCCCGCTGGAAGCATTGTAGGATGTTCAGGCTACGAGCTCCATTTCAACGCAGAAGTATTTCCCAATCCTCATGAATTTCAGCCCGAAAGATGGCTAGAGGGAAATATTACAGCTGAAGCAAATAAATATTGGTTTGCCTTTGGTGCGGGTAGTAGAGCATGCATTGCGAGGAATCTTGCTACGGTGGAACTTCTTATGGCGGTGGAGAAGGTGGTCGAGAATGATGTTTTGAGGGGTGCGAGGGTTTGTCAGGAGAGAGTGGAGATATTTGAGTGGTTTAATTCGAGTGTCAAGGGTGAGAAAATGGAGTTGATTTGGAGCTGAGAGGTTTTTGATCGGTGTTGGTTACCCAAGATAACTAATGTATGTAAATACTTTAATGTTTGGAATCTTCCTCATGGTTGAAGCTGCTATCGTTAAATTTCAAGGTTATTAGTGGTGAGTCCTAGTACCAACCAACCTCATGTGTCTTTTCTCACCACTCCCCCTTTTTAATATCCTTGCCCATTCCATCGCCATTGCTCAATACTTCCCTGTCCCTCCATTAACCACTCCAATCGGTCTTCGATTGTCACCCATCCCTTCTTCCCGTTCACCACCGCCCTTCCAATAACGTTTTTCCATCTAAGAAACACTTAGTTAGCATATGCCACTCTGTCCTATCTCATCCCGTCGCATTCCATCCTATCCTAGCAAAGAAAATGTGCATGCATATCTCACCCACACACAGGCTCAAAACCCAAAATCCAAAACAAACCGAAAACAGAAACCAGAAAAACTCACTCGTCAAACCACTCCTCCTCCCCCATGACCACACATTTCCTCCCCTCCACCCCCCTCTCCACATCCGCAAAAGGCCACACACTCCCCAGCACCTCGTAGTTCTTGGATCCCATAAAAACTTTCGTCACACTGCTAAAAAATGCATTAACTCGATCCGGAGCACGTATCACCACTTTTGAATGCGTGACGGGAAATCGTATGCTCGTGTGTCCTGGATATCCCGTTTGCGCTATCAGTGCTAGTATAAGTCCTTGCACGTGCGTGGTTGAGAAATTGGGAATGTGGCGCGTGAGGATGAATCTTTTTGGGTGAGTGGGTATATATGTTAGTACGCATTTAGATAGATATCAGAGCAGGAAACTGAAATAATCATAAATTTGAAGATAGAAAAAAAGGAAAAGAGGGGGAGTACTCTTTCACCGCGGCCCCATCCTCACAAAACATCCTCACCCATTCCTCCAATCCCCCAAAATCCGGTTCCATCCCTTCCCTCACTCCGCCCCTCCACCCTTGCTCCCCAGAAGAAATAATCTTCATATAATTCATCTTTCGCTCTCCACTCCCAATAAATAACGCCATAAGATTAATCCTAATATCGAAATCTGTCGTCGGAGACCCTGCTCTCTGACCTACGATTCGAAGAATAGGTTTAGGAGGAATGGTACATAGGGAATGGAGGAGAGGGAGTAGAGTTTTGGGATTGGAGAGGTGTGCGGAGTTGGAGGTGATTTTTGTTTTGTCTGCTGAGAGGGTGAATGATGGGGGGAGATAGAGGGAATAGTTTAGATTTGGGAGGTTTGGGGAGGAGGGGATTTGGCGGTTGGAGCGGGGTGGAAGGGATGTGGGATGGTGGGCGGCGGAGTAGGCGGGTGGGGTGGATGTGTCATTGTTGTTGGGGAAATCTGGGTCGGAGGAGATATCGAGGGGATGTAGGTGGCGAGCAGATGAAGCGTCGGCTTCTGTGGTAGAGTTGTTGGGTTCGAAGGATCCGGGGGCGTGGTAGGAAGCAGATGCGGCTGACTTTTCATGAGACATTCCGGGCTAAGATTATGATGTATTTTATGATGCTTAGCAGCTCAAACCTAGATGCAAACGCACTTTTGATACAATTGCACTTGTGATGTTTTCATCAGTAGCCAAATGTTGTTAATGTCAAAGAAGATGTTTCCAATGGTATGTGGATTTACGGACGGTTTTGAGGATATATTGGACAGCAGCTGAGTGGTTGTGGCTGTGCAATTATGGTTGCCTATTGAGGTTATCCACCAACAACATCGAATGAGTTTTCCCTCTTTTCACTCTATGAAAACAAAGCACGTATATTCATCCTGTAAAGATGACGGGTATTGTTCATTTTATTCCTATTTTTGGATTCCTTAACAAATTAATCTATCATCATAGTATCATCACCATCAACTACTTGCCCCTCGGCCTCAATAACTACACCACGACCACGTCCTGCAAGCAATTCCCTCCTAACTTCAGGACCAATTTGTGAATGACCTTTCCCATTGATCAAATCTAATAGCGACTCTCTCTGATCTTCTGTAATATCATTTCTATATCTTTGGGCAAATGACAGAAGACATTGATGCCAGATGACTGGTAATTTCGTATCTTTCGAGTTGTGCATGTTCAAGCCGTCCATTACGGATCCAACATCTTCAGGTCGAACATTAGCTGAGTCAACACTTCGGAATCTTAGGAAGTGGAAAACCAATGCATCGATAACTTGGTATGGAAGAGCGTATTTTTTGTCAAGTAAAGCCTTGATGAAGATGTTTGTGGCACCACCACCTTCAGTCCCGGCTGATGATTCTTGAGCTGCAATGTCACAAAGTCCTTTGATCGCAGCGGCAGAATGTAGAACTGGAATAGAAACTCGTACAAGAACACCGGAAATGATTCTTGCTTCGCGTAGTGTACATGTGCCACTTCCGATCAAGGGAAAAAGGAATCCCTTGAAAAATGCCGCTGGCTTATAAAGCGCCTTTTTCAAGGCCTTAAAAAGATGGACATTCAAGTGATTGGTTTCATGAATATCCTCCCTGACCTTTTCTAGTAGGACCATTTCCACGAATCTTTGTGCGATAATTGGAGTCCTTGAGACGAATATTCTTGTTGCTTCGTAGCAAGCATTTGGTGTCCATTTGTCTGGTCTGGTAATTTCGAGGATCTGCTCCCAATTTGGTACTGTAGGTAGAATCTTGAAAGGTTTCGGTAATTTTCCTGATTTGTACCGCGATAATATCAAACCAATTCTATTTTCTTGTTAGTACTTTTGCGAAAAGGAAGATAGAAGCAATTCTTACTTTGTATAAACTTCTAAAACCTTAGGATGAACGAAAAATCCATCGTCCTGAGGACCAGCGGGACCTGCTCCAGGTTGTCCAGATTGTTTCGCCTCAAATTGAGCAATCCTTTCCAAAATCAATGCGGTCAGATCTGTGCCTTGTCCATCTTCATTTTCATCCTCACTGTCGTGGTCCGCCCCTCCAAAACTAATGTTATTTAATGATTGTGGAGGAGCAACCTTTTCCGGAAAGAACTTCCCAAACGTATCGCGATCTTCTGGTGCCAATTCGACTAATTCTGGGACCTCATCATCATCTCCCCATTCATCTCCATCCTCACCTCCGAATTCTGGCTCATCCTCCTCGTCCTCATCCTCGAATCTTGAATCAAAATTGAAGGCTGCATTTGGCTTTGCTGCTTGGTTTTCGGCTTCGTCCTCATCGGCAAGTTCTTGACCTATCTTTAAAATCCTCCGCGATGATTTTGAATCCACAAACTTTTCTCCCTCATCCTCATTTCTAGACTTTCTTTTTCCGGATTTAGTTTTCAGTGGTCCACTTGCTACTAAATCAGCTTCAAGAGGATTGTGTCTTCTTCCTGATCTTGCGAGTTCGTTTGGAGTCATTGCTTTGGGCATTTTTGTTGTTGGTGAGACTTTTTGAAATTTGTGTGATGGGAATTCCGACAGTAAAATCCAATCGATAAAATTCAAAAGTTCGAAAATATTATCGGAGGTTGCCGGCACTAAGATAAGGATACTAAGATAAGGATTTTCCCCGCCAAAACTTTTGAACATAAATGCCTTAAAATTGCGGTGTTAGACAAATGAATTACTTAATCAGCATCAGTCCATCTTATCTATTTCTTAAGGGCAAGCAAAACCCCTTCATTCCATCATCCAAATTCAATACAAAAATCAACATCGTGAACCTTTTATGAGTATCACACGTTATCCATCAATAGGCAGTATGGTATTATTATTGCTGATGAACAGCACCGCTCACCGCTACGGTTGATGAGTTAGTTCTCCATAAATTACATATATCACACCATGACAATGACGTCCCAGACCTCAGTCGATGCTTCTTATCTCATAGTGGGTTCAGGAGTTTTCGGTATATCAACCGCTTATCATCTCTCACTTGCACATCCCCATTCAACCATAACCGTTTTGGATCGCTCATTACCTTTTCCATGTTCTCTTGCTGCTTCTCATGATTACAACAAAATCATTCGTGCCGATTATGAAGATATCTTCTATTGCGAGTTAGCGCTCAAAGCCCGCGAATTGTGGAAAAATCATCCTTTGTATAAGTCATATTATCATGAATCTGGGTTTGTTATTGTGGATGATACCGGTCTTGGACGAAGAATCCTTGACACTTATGAGAAATTGGGGGTTCCCGATCATCAGGCAAGAATTGTTGGGCTGGATGAGATGAAAACTATGTATGGTGGATTATTTGAGGGAGCGGATTGGAGAGGTGTAAAGGAAGTCTTCATCAATGAAGGAAGTGGATGGGCGGAAGCCACGAAAGCTGTTCAGAAGGTGGCCGATATGGCAGAAGCAAATGGTGTGAACTTTGTCGAGGGAGATGTGGAAAATCTTGTCTTGACATTGAATGGTGATTGCCTTGGCGTACTGACGGGGGATGGCAGGACTTTCCGCGCTGATAAGATCATATTATCAACTGGTGCGGGGACAGCAAAGTTGCTTGCAGATTCCGCACCAAAAATGCACCAAATTTTAGCCAGGGATAGAATTACTGCAGCTGCAGTTGTATCTGGTCACGTCAAGTTGAACAAGGCCGAGTATGAAAGTATCAAGCATATTCCGGCGTTTGATCATGCATTTGGAGAAGTGTTAGGTAAGTTTGTTGTTTAAAAAGAGATTAATTGACGGTATTGAATTTCGTACAGGCGCCGTACTTCCTCCTACTGCTGATGGCATACTCAAATTCTACGTGGATGTCACCCTGAAGAATACAAGACTCCACGAGAGCTCCGGGTATATGATATCTGCTCCACCTGATGAATCCGTTCAAGCGCAAAATAATGTTCCCAAAAGTTTGCAGGAGGAGTGCTACCGAGTAATGAAAGGTATCTTTGGCGAAATTGCTGAAGATTTTAAATTCGATTCTTTCCGCATATGCTGGTAGGTCCAAAACAGTCTTCACTATCTCCAAGCCTAATGTTGTCTCTAGGGATGGAATTACCCCCAACCAAGATTTCATCATCTCTGCACATCCACGCTGTGAGAATTTGTACATTGCTACGGGAGGTTCTTTTCATGGTTGGAAGTTTCTACCAATTATTGGGGAATATGTTGTAAAGATGCTTGACAGTAAATTGGATGCTCATCTTGTTAAACGATGGGCATGGGATCGTGATCAAAGGGGGAGTGCACAGAAGAAGTTTATCCCTAAGCGGGAACTCGACGATATGACATGACTTGAAAGTAGGCTTGTATTAATGACTAGGTAAAACGAGGAGGTCTAAAAATTTATGGTAGAGCTGATGCAGGTCATGTGCCTGAGGACATTTTCCTTCGTGCGAACAAGGGAAAATAAATCAGCGGGGTGAATTGTCTTGAACAGCTGGATAACACAACTCTGAGTTTTGGATTTTCATGATTAGAGAAGGATTTGGGCTTCTCCTGGCTGAATTGTACCATTTCCGATAGCATAACCATGAGCACGGGCAACCAAGGAATATGGGACCAAGTATCTATAAACCTGTTAGTGTCATCGTTGAGCTGATCATTTGGGAACTTACTTGTCAAGGTATGGAAGAACTTCTGCGCTACCAGGGGTGTTTCTCCTATTCCACAGTCAGCAGCCATTTTTACATCTGAAAACAGGTGACTTACCAGTCTCTCATCAAATCCATAGTCATGCCAAACAATCCCATGAGATGAACACCAGCTTGCTCCATGCGTCGGTTGGCATCCGAAGCTAATTTATCACTGAAAGTACCACTTGCTTCGGTGTTGGCCCAGACATCATAGCCTGCCTCAACAAGCGAGAGTGCGAGGAAAGCAGTACCTATTGATTTGCATCAGTACCAAGATTCGGAATGTAGTTCCGTAGGGAGGCCCAAACTCACAGACTTCAGTAACAATACCACCAATGATCAACTGTTTCTTGCCAGTCGCTTCAACAGCGGCACGGAAATCAGCATTATCCCATGCGTTGACTTCTCCTTGACGTTTGATGTAAGGAGCAGTTGGATGCATCTATTATCGTAAGCATTATTCCTCATTCCTCAAGATTTGGTACTCACGGCAATTATTTCCTCAGGAAGATTACTGTTTGGACCTTGCTCAGCTGAAGTGGTCAAGACGGTTGGAAGATCGAAAAGATTTCCAAGAGCTGCATGCCCAAGGAGTGATTGTCTGAAGACGGTTGGATCATAATCTCTCACAAGTTGAGAGAGTCCAATTTGGTGATCGATCACAAGAAGAGCAGCGTCGCTCTTGTTGAGACGATCGAAGGTAAATCCTGTCATTCGATTAGCATCCACGCGGATTTGCTTGAATAGAAGTTGGTATACCTTCAACGGCGATGGCGGAAGCCAAGATCATAGAGCTTGAGAACTTCATGGTGCTTGTTGATAGAGATTGGATTTAAGTATTGGACTGAGGAGATAATGATGAGTGATGATGGTGATGATTAGGAATATTAGGAGATTCTCTTGCTCTTTATATACATCTTCTTGGCCACCAAAAGTCCTCGACACGACAATCTTCCCTCAACATCTCACCGATTCAGATCCACCTACCTACCTCATCACTTACAAGGAAGTAATCAGACTACTGGATAATTCAACCTCCATCACAAATTCATAAACTCTCTCCACGATATCCTTACCCAACGGACAGTTCGAGAACCGACGGCGAGCGCAGTGCAACATTTGTACTAGGTCACTGGCACTAGATGGTAAGTAGCACAACACTCCGACGACCACGAAAACCTACAATTAACACCAAAGTTATCACACCCTATCACACGTCAAACGAGTTATTTCCTCTCCGGGCACCTGGAACATGGGACAAATGATGTGGGGAACCTCATCTATGCACACTCTTTACTCAGCAACAAACAATCAAGCAACAACTATCTATAATCAAAATGTGGAGTAAAATCCCATCGAAAAACTCTTTCCCATTATTGAATAAATGCTACATCTTTTCCATCTCGGTTGCACCTGCACATCATGAATGTTTTCTTCACGTACCTGCATACTATTGGTTGATACTGCGACTTACGGCTCCACAATGTTGATGAGTAACAAGGTAGACAAGCTTGTCAGCAATGAACAATCTCATTATCATCTCCATCTAATTCTTATTAACCTACATCGCATGGATAACAGTAGTTTTGTACTCGACTATTCCAAGCGGTAATGCTCTAGTACCTTGGCACGGAATTTGAAATTCTTTGGTAAGAAAGCTTGTATTTAAATAATGGACTAACCTAAGCGGTTAGTAATCGCCTTGCAGCATGCTAATCTACCCTACCTTCATAATGAAATGGGGTGTCCATAGTGTTGGAGAGCTGTGTAGGTAAGGATTAGTATATAATTTGTAAGCGGGACTTACCATATAGTCGGGTATTGGTTTTTGGTTAATCAAATTTTTGAATCTAGTCTTGGTGGGAAAAATCGCGATCTGAATGTCTAGATTGTGATGATGTCTGAGTATGTATGTATGTAGTGCAAATGGAGTTCTTAGTTCTTCCGGTGTGTGATTAAGTCACGTGGTTGGGAGATGTTAGCTATTCTGTCTTCTTGAGATAATTCATAATGGGGGTCGGATAAGTATGATGTCCACGGAGAATTATATCGATATCGACGAGCTTTCGAGGAGCTTTCTAGAATTGAGATAGGTATGGCTTACTTACTGTATTCTAAACCTCAATCAATATTCATTTCCCTCATAATTCAGATACAAGGCCCAAAGACTAGGTGTCCTAGTCTAGCAGTCACAGCAACACCCTCCCCTTCTCAACTCCTGAACCACACATCAAAGATTTGTCCTCGCATCACCTCAAGGCATCATCAATAAAAGGAAGTTCCTACAGCCATACATAGTAAAGTTAAACTAAAACATCAATCTTCATGTTTGTATTTAGGATTTAACACCGCTATGTATGTAACCTAACCTATCTGAAGTGCAGCATCTCTGAAACACCATAACAAAACATATCCAAAAACAATCACTATTCAGCCATAACATCATAATCTTCATCGGTGAGATCGATAATGACCGCTGTCGCAGGAATTGGCTGTCTTCCTCGCGATGAAAGAGTGGGACCGGTTACAGTTCTTCGACCAAGACCAGGAATTCCAACCAACTTACTTGGCACATGAGTATACAACACATCATTCGCTCCAGGTATGGGGATCATTGCAGGTGTACTACCTGCTCTTAATAAACCCACATGAGGAGTGCCATTGATATCAGGCCCGTGAGAAAGATTAGGATTGATTGCGAGATTACTTCCACCGGCCACAGGCCCCAGATTGATCCTACTTTCGACGTTCATATTGGCTACACCAGCATTGTTAGGCACGGCCTGGACAAAGGGCGTGGCACCGATATTTTGTATTCGGATGACCTCGCCAGAAAGATTTTCCGCCGGCTTGAGATTAGGTGCATCTCTGTCGAGAGCCAAAGTAAAGCATTTTTCAAGCCATTTGAAATTTCCAAGCGGCTCAGCCTCTTGAATAATGGGCCTGTCACCAGTACGAGCTCTCTTTATGATGTCGTTCTCCTTCTTAAGATGAGTGTTATACTCTCCCTGCAAAGTACTGATCTGTTGTTCCTTTACCAGAATTTCGTTTTTGAGAGCCTCAACATCTTTGCGAAGTTTTTCCTGAATCCTTATATTATCCTCCTTTAAAGTATGGATAGAATCAATTTTCCGTGCCACATCCAAACTACCCTGTGAATCTCTAATTAACTCCGAAAAATATTTGAGTTTCTCTCTCCAGAGCTTGAGCTTTGGGACCAAAGAATCGTCGCGAAACACTTTTGCGATATCGAGGGCGTCTATGATCATATCCTGAATGTTGGCAATTGAAATGTCTGGAAGCCTATGTACTGCAAGATGGCGAATATTTTGCACGCGACGGAAGATAGCATTGAGTGGGCGGCTTGGTTGAGGACCGATGGCTTCAATGGGTATATGACATTCGTCGATTGCTTTCCACCATAAATTCAACTCAATATTCTCAGGACAGTCCCATTCATTTGCTACCAATATTCTGGGCAGCCATTTTTGGACGAATCGATAGCACATAGATTCCAATGCGCTTTGTAGAGATCGAAGAATCGTTATTTGAAGTACGAATGGTAGACAGGGAAGATCAGGACGTCTCAGGTATGTAGTATCGGAACGGTGGCGAACCACTACATGGAAAGCTCAAATTAGCTGGTACATTGGAATGTGCATCGGAGTCAAATGAATACCTACCCTTCGCATGTAAACTCTTGTAAGTGTATGGATCTTCTCTCATTCGGCGTAGGCCATATTGAGGAATTTGTCCTGGACCTGATCGAACTTCTCTAGATTGGGGAATTGAAACATGAGGTTGATGAACAGATCGAGCTGCTCTATCTGGAGGGTTGGAAGCAGAAGCAGGAGGTCGCATTTGTCCATTCTCTTCAACAGACATAAGTGGACGACGTCCAACAACTCTTTGGGCAATACTTTCATTGTTGTTTACCGACTTCCGACCTTTTGGTTTTCTGATTCTACCTCTTTGAACTCTTGTTTGGTCATGCTCTCGACGATGCTCATTCAAAATTCCTTCAACCAATGATGTATAGTTTGGAGCGACAGCTTGCTGTGATAACTATCATTAACAAATAATCTCTGCTACTGCTCAGAATCAGGCCGAAATAATACACACCTTCATATTATTAATGCATGATGGAGCCGGCTGGAAAGAATTGAGGTCATCACTGTCTGCAGATTCGTCATCTGATGAAATATCTAGAACTTCTTTAAAAGAGACAAGAGTATATGAAGGTTTTTCGACATCCAAAACACTTTTGAAGCGTTGAGTACCATCTCTATCATTCATGATTGTATCTCTATCTGTCATGATCGCATTTGTTGTAGCAAGTCGAGGTCAAATCCTAATAAGATGGTTGAAAATAAATGAATAAGTAGGCGATGCTGGTAAAGAATTTGTGGTATGAAAGGAAAAGTAGCAGAACCGAAATGGATTTGAGATTTACTGCGTTGCAATATTTCTCTTTCCTGTCCGGTCATAACGAGACTGAAGCAAAAGAGGAAAGTTCGAATGACGCTACAGTTAAAGTCAAGTAAAAGCGACTACCTGAGAATCAACTCTATGGATAAGGCTGAGGAATGTGCAGGACTATAATACACTTCACTATATACAGACCTCACTTTTAGATGATGGATTTGTTATCACGACTCTCATCAGTAAGAGAAACTTACTCATTCTTGCAGACACCGAAAACCCTACAAGTCTAGACACCTCACTCATCGCAAACTTCCAGAAAACGAATATTGTCCCATCCACTCCTGGTTACATAGATCTGCCAACGTATCCAAACCTCGTTGAATCTTTGATACCCAATACTTGGTTGAAAAAAAGAATGAAGAGGTACAGCAGCGATACATCCATTAAATGAAACTGGGAACAGAAGAGAGTATCTTCGATATTGCACGACACAGAAGATGCTACATGTAGAGAACGGGTTGCAACAGCACGAACAAATTTTGTGAATGCGAGCACTCAATGCAATGATGAGAGCATATAAATTTTCGATTGCCTGGGAAATTATTTTAGATGATGAACACTGGGAATGTCAAATCACCAATCGGAACCCAATACATCAAATGGGTTCGTAGGCTTTTTATTCGCTGTACGAGACGAAGTCAATTGGTCCCTTTTCCTTTTCTTCTTTTGTTTAGACTTTTCCGCAGAAATGCTAGCCGATAATTGTTTTTCTTGATACGAATCTTCAAGGATCGATTCCTTCATGGTTGTCAACATGGATTCCAGTTTCTCGAATCCATTATGGGCATTGAGGCTTGGGAGGTCTTGAAGCAAATCATTTAGTTCCAATAGTGGCCCAGAAACTGATCCACGACCCCCAATCAAGATCAAAAAGGTTGTCAGCTGCTTCAAAATCCTGAATGAGTAATAAGAGCCTTGGATTTGAGCCATAAAATGTATTTTATCCCAATCCAAGTCGCTCTTTTTGGGAGAAGTGTCATTGGGATTTGAGGCCCTGAGTCCTGCCAAAACCTTCTTGCCCAAGCTCACCTTATCTATTGATTCTGACCACTCGGCGTCTTGTATAAAAGCAATAGAGCTCCAACTATCGGCAATGCACTGCCCTTCGAGTTTGGTACGGCTTTCACGAAGAAATGTCAAAACTTCCATGCAAGCTCTTGGAATATCTGATGCAGCTGGTATCTCCCACTCCCTCCCGCGCGACGTGTTGGCTTGTCTTTTGTGTTCGAAAATCGAGTTCCTCCTCTCTCCGACTGGTAATATCATATTCATGCAACCATATGCCAACTGACGTATGGATGCAGACATCTCCCAGGCATTGGTCCGAGATGGACAGTCAATAAGGAATGGGAGAAAGATATTGATGTTCGCACCATCTTGAGACGCACTCGACGACTGCGACAGGCCGAGACATCTCATCAAGTAAGGAAATTGAAGAACATACTCACAAACACGAGGATCAAGGGCTTGAAGAGCAGTCTTCACCGAAGAACGTTTTACCAGCGTTGGATCGAAGATAGCTAAATCAAAGTCAACAGGCAAGTATTCCTTGACAAAATCCACGTACATCCCTTTGTGCTGCTTGATAGCGCTCAGTGTAGTTGCTTGTTTTAGAAGTTTGGAAAAGGTACCATGGGAATCCATGACAATCTCAAAAGCAAGAGCACAAATACCATGAGAAGATGGAAGTCGTAATCGCTTCACAATGGACCCAACATGAAATACTTGGGACTGTAACATCCACGGATCGGCCTCGGATGAGACCTCAACATCTTGGAAGAAGCTCACAGAACTGTCGGTCCCAATTTCATGAACCAAGAGGTCAGAATCGCCAGTGAGAATGATTCCACCATGTTGACTGACATAGCTCGCACAATATGTATCTGCTTCTCCCGGCACAATCTCGACAATATCTCTATACTTGTTGGTGTTTTGTAACGCTTCAATTATTGAAGGCACGAGAAAGGATGATGCCGGAAGCTTTACAAAGCTGGAACGCTGGGGAGCAAATGCGAAAGGAAATGATGCAGATGTAATCCAACTTGTCGATGAAAATCGATATCCCAACCCAGATGCATAATCTTTATGATATTTTTCCAATTGCTGTGTATTGCGACTAAGCCTCTGGTAACGGACATCTAGTTTGGCTGGGGGTAGGAATCCGTCAAAGTATATCTGTTTCCTACTAATAGTTAACACAATGAAGGGGACCTTTTGATCGTGTGGAACTCACACAACAGCACCACTTCTCTCCAAGCCATCCAGCCATGCTAATACCGTCTCTCCAAGCTCTTTGTAGGATGGATTTGCTTCAAAATAATTCCCCGCAGACTTCCTCGCACTTAAACATATATGATATATATGATATGCTAACCCTGGACCATCGATCACAATATGTTTGCCCTTCAATGAACTCAAAGTCGCATAAGGTCGCAAGAATGTAATTAGATGGGGTATCCCCATTGCTTTATAGATGACCAGAATGTCTGTACCGTTGTGACATTCTCAATCATATCAATTGAATGAATGAGAACTTGTCTTGGTTTGCCGTTGCGGAGATGTTTGTGATGAGTGAAGTGAAGTGAAGCTTGCTGAAAAGAAATTATAATTAGTGAAGGGATGAATGATAAGATCTTACTATGAATTTCCCCAATTTCAGCCCAACTCGTTAGCGCAATCAACCCCACCACAACCACATAATATCACGGACCTTTCGCCAAAACATTTTCTTTTCCTTGACATCAAAAAATTATCTTCAACAAAAATATCCATAAAAATGCGTAACACACTTATCTTCGCTGGCAGCTCATGCCCGAAGCTCACAGATCAAATATGCACGAACTTGGGAATGGCTTCAGCTCCTGTCGAACTTACTCAGTTCGCAAATGTACTCCTTATGACCTCTCAAAGAAGTTATTTTAGCTAATACAACTTAGGGAGAGACCAGCGTTAAGATCATGACTAGCATTCGAGAGAAGGATGTGTTCGTCGTTCAATCGGGTAGTTCTAAGATCAATGACAGTATCATGGAGCTTCTAATTATGATCTCTGCTTGCAAGGGAGGATCAGCAAACAAAATCACAGGTTAGTGCATTGAATTTTGTTTATTTTTACTTGTTAACACAAGACCCATCTGCTAACCCGTATAGCTGTTCTACCATACTTCCCATATAGCAGACAGTCAAAAAAGAAATCGCACCGAGGTGCTATCACTGCTCGTATGCTCGCAAATCTTTTACATGTTGCTGGGGTCAGTCATGTTATAACTGTCGACCTCCACGCCTCACAAATGCAAGGCTTTTTCAAATGCCCAGTCGATAATCTTCACGCGGAGCCATTAATAGCACGTTGGATCCGACGCAATGTGCCAGAGTGGAACGAGGCTGTATGCGTTTCAAAGAATGCTGGTGGCACGAAGAGAGTAACATCTCTAGCAGATGCTCTGAAGCTCAATTTTGGAATGGTTACAACCGACAAGAGAAGAACCCCTGCGAATATGTCAATGAGCATGATTATAAACAGACTTGAGGATTCCACCTGCGCAGATTTGGATTCAGAAGTCAATAAGCTACACATTGGCGCATTTCCAGCAGTAGAAGAGGAGACTATAAAGGAACCCAAACAAAACGGAAGAGAAACAGAATCTACATCTACACTGTTATCAAATGGTGACTCGCCTCCACGACAAACAAGAGCACGTCAAGACAGCCACCCCTCTCCACAACGCATGCCTAACCTGTCCGCCATTAGAACCGGACATAAAAATTCTGTTGGGGCACCTTCGCCTTTGACCAGGGCACACACTACCCCGCCACCACGATCTGCACCTGTTGATGAAGCGGTAGAAGCACAATATACTGATGAACGCGCTCGAGAGGTCACCCATGGCCGATTAGTTCAAGGTCACATTGTTTCAGATGATTATCCTTCACCTACACAATCCGCCATGTCATCCTCATTAATTCTCGAACGCCCTGAAGATGACCCAATATCGATTTCTATGGCATCTTCAATCTTCATGCCTGAGCCACATGCACTTGGTGGAACTGCTGATGCTGCTGGTGATGCATCAGATGAAGAAGAGGAAGGTTTCAAAGACCCAGCCCTTGAACAAATGATCACGTTGGTTGGAGACGTCCGGAACCGTACCGTCTTCATCATCGATGACATGATTGATAAAGCTGGGAGCTGGATTGCCGCGGCCGAAACCGTGGTCAAACGTGGTGGTGCCAAGAAGGTCTATTGTATTGCTACACACGGCCTTTTTGGAGGAAATGCCCTCGAGGAACTTCAAAATTGCGATTGTATCGACATGATAGTTGTCACCAACTCATTTCCTATTCCACCAGAAAAAGCAAAAGATGCAAAGAAGCTGCAAATCTTAGATTTATCAAAGTTACTCTCCGAGGCCATCAGAAGGAATCATTATGGAGAATCTATTTCTGCTCTTTTCACACATTCTAGCGATTAGATGTTTGGTCTAACATTATCTGATTAATATCAAAATCGATCTGCAATTTGCTATTTTTGGAGATTTATACCCATAGCGTGGCGTACGGTGGCGGAAAGACGGATGGGATTATGAATGAATGAATTGCTAGGTAACAATGGAATTGAAATATATTTGCTTAGAAAGGAAACTAACTAAGGGCGCAAATTCATAGGACCAGGTGTTCTCCATTGTCTCGTCCCGAGTCTATAAGGTGCAGTGAGATATTTGATATCCTTTTTCTAAGTATTTCTCTTTCATTCGTCCTATTTTTCTCTCTCATTCGGAGTTGTGGATGGTCAGCAATGAGTTTTTAAATGATCAAACCACAGAGTGTCTCCACCTGTTTCTTTCGTACATCTCCTAGCACTTTATCGAACAATGGAAAAATACCCAGCGATGCGATCTATAGTGATTGCAGGGACATACTTTCCTCTAGAAAGATGTCCTTAACGGAGCGTTGGCAGATTAAACAAAATCTCAATATATCTATAGTTACTTTGTGACTGATATGGCGAGACGAAACTCAAAAGTACTTTATATAGATCTGATGGATAAAGGACTGAGAACTACTCGGACATATATTTTTGGAGGTTGAATTGCCGTCAACTTGGGTTCTGAGAATTCAGAGGAATTACGAACTTATGTACAAAACAAATAGAATATCATATACAAAACAAATACATCCAAAGTGATATCGATATCGAATAATGAATATAAATATCTACATATACATCTATAAACTATAGCATCATCTCTATCCGTTCATTTACAACATCATGCAACATCATGTAATCACCTCCCCACGCGTTCCCGAACCCCTTAATCAACTCTTCGCTTCTAGATTCTCATACGACGATAAATCACATAATATATACCCTCCCCCACCAACATTTAAAGCCTGGGACTAATAGATCTAAGCCCCAGGACGTGTATAATCTAATGCCTCAACGCGTTTCCATACCTCGCGCACCACGCGCTCTTGTTGCTGTCGTCCTGTTTCTGTGGCTGTGGCGCCTGCTGGTCTGAGGAGTGGCGGGTTTTGTTAGTTTTGGTGGGTGGATGATGGATTATGGATTGTGGAGGAGTGATGTGATTTGGATGTATTCTGTTGGGTGGTTTGTGATGTTTGTAGGTAGATTTCGAGGAGGGAATTTATGGTGAGGAAGATGAAGATGAGGGAGAAGGAATGAAGAAAGTGAAAAGAGGACACAGGAAAGAGGAAGGAAGAAATCATACCTAATAGCTAAATATAAGCGACTACCCAATTTCACTTCTTCGATAGGATCGGTTTCGGGATTGGCAGGTGGATTTGCAGTGGTTATTAAACCGCCGGCTTCGCGGAGAATGCAGATTCCTGCTGCTACGTCCCTGCATGGTTTGATTAGTGTGTGTTCAACGGAATAGTACGGGGAGGAAAAGGATGAATCAGAAAAACTGAACGTACCATTCCCAACAACCTCCTTCCCACCAAATGTCAAAGGCTCCTGTTGCTGTGTAGGCTAGATCCATTGTCGCGCTGTATTTGACAGTAATTTTAGCATTGTATCTTTCCTTCTATCCTTTTATCACAACTGGAAAAGGGCATAAAAGAATAACCACTCACCTCCCTAAACTCCTAACCCCATGAACCATCCCCCCTTTACCACCCCTCCCACCAATTTCACTCGCCAAATTAACAAAACTATCAATCTTCTTCCTCAAATTCCCCCCCTCAGTATACCTTCTATCCTTCCCCCACTCACAACTAAACGTACACCCCTTCGGCGCCTCTTTACCTAATGGTTTTCCCTTCACATACGGTAATTGTCTTTTCCTCTTCAGCTTCCCCGAACCAGAGCTATCACCCCCAGAAGCAACACTATTGCCAATTCCTACGTGATCATTTTCCCATGCGCCATGACCGGCGAGAGCAGAATAGGATACATCGAGGACAGGGGCATAGATGACTCCGATGATAGGAATTCCATTGAGACAGAAGGCAATGGAGATGCAGAACATAGGGAATAAATGCGTGTAGTTTACTGTTCCGTCGAGGGGATCTACAATCCAGGTAGGCGAAGAATCAACGAGATACTGTTTGGAGGAGCCGGAGGAATAAGTTTCTTCTCCGATGAATCTGGGGTTTTGTTAGCTGAAGATCCTGTTTGGGGAATAGAAGAGGAGACGGAATTAGTATATACTTATGTGATGGAAATCTACTCAATATCTCATGCTTAACAAATGCCTCGACATCTATCCAATACACGTGATTAGCTATATGTCCTTTCTATCCATCTCTCGGCATCTATGGAATATATCGATGCACTCCTATCCAGCACAAAAATCCAAAACATACCCAAATCAGTCTGCGTAACTATATCCACCGCATTCATCTTTTCCTCTTCTTTCCCCCCATTATCCCCCTCAAATCTCTTCTCCACCCCCTCCATCAATATCGTTCCCGCTCTCCTCCCCAAATCCAACGCAAAGGCGTAGATTTCCTGAAGCTCTTCATCTGGTAAGGTTACCGTGGCAGCCATGATATGATGTTTGGCTCAACTAGAATATTGTTGGGTATCAATCAATTGGTCTTTGTGATGCTCCGGAGCAAACTTGCGGTTGATATTGCTTGTGGTGAAGAGGCTGAAGCTGAGTAGACGGTCGCGTTGATGAGTAAGAGTTGATAGTGGAGTTGTATCAAGACAGACGGACTGGCCGATGATAGGCGTGTCGAAGCGTGGCGGGGTTGTTTCGTAGGGGTTATTCATTTATGCGGATTATTCATGTTTGAAGATTTGTCGATCAGTGATCATATTGATTGTGTTGTCTGAAGATTTACAAATATATACCCGGCATCAAAAGGGATTTTCAGTTCATAATTTATTACAGTCACAATTTTGATGGTTGGCCAGGAATTCTCATTGTTTGCAATCCAAATGTTGAGTGCTCTAGATTCTATATATACAGCCCCTAAAACCAGTTCTAATTTAACCCTGGATTCACACCGTACTTTTAGCTACGTGACATTGTCGTATTTAATTATAATTTGCCTCAATCTCTAATTCTTCACCTAAAATTAACCTTAACCCTGAGCTATAACCTCCCATGCTTCGCCCTATCACTCGCTAATTTCTCCAAAACAACACCCCTCACCTCCTTTACCGGTAAATCCTCAAGCTCAACACCCAACCATACCTTATCTTGCTCTAGTCCTTGATTAATCATTGCCTCTACACCACCCACTACCTGCCATCCTGCTTCCGCAGCCAATGCCGCTATTTGTGTATCCGGGCTAGGATGATAACACATTTCCAAAATCGCACCCTTTCCACCCTCTTTATCCAAAAATTCCGTAATGATTCCTCGCGCTCTATGTTCATCCTCGGATACTGGCGTGAAATCTGGAATCGCGGAAACGATGACCGTGGGTGCTGCTAATGATTTCGCTTGTGCTATTGACTCGATATATAATAATCCATCTCCGAATCCATTGCTACTGCATTCTGCAATCACGGCATCGCATTCGGATTTATCCCGATTGACCATATATATGGTTTCGCAACCGAGGAATTTCTTCAATGCATAGACAGCTGCACGACAGGTTCCCCCACCTCCGATAATCATGCCTGCTGAACCTTTTATACTTGATATTGTTGAAGGTGTTGCGTTTTGAAGGAGAGCTTCGCGGATTCCGATACAATCGGTGTTCGTTCCGCATAGGATCTTTTCACCTGATGGGGATATACGGTGGTAAATAGTATTTATGGCGCCAATGGCAGCACCTTCGGGAGAAAGCTGGTCGAGGTATGGGATGATGGCTACTTTGAAGGGCATGGTTACGGAAGCGCCGAGAAATTTAGGGTTTTTCGTGAGCTCGAGGCAATCTGTGAGGGTTCGAGTTTCATATAAATGTTGGAGGTAATTGAGTGATAGAGACTGGAATATTGTGCCGTGAACTGGCGTGAAGATGCGGTTAGCCAAAGCTTTTAGAGAAGAGGTCATTATTGAAGCTGTGTGTGGATGAAGGCTAGCAGAGGCTGTAATTGATGAATGCATTCTCCTCGAGCGCAGCAAGGTATCGGGGCCTGGGGATCTGTCCTCATAGAAGGTATGTTGGATGATGAACACATATGAAAGTTATGATGTAATGGAAAGACTCAAAATGCAAAACTCACAAAGAGGAGAAAGGGAGTGAGCAATGGGGTACCCAAACAGATACGCAACCCGATCCAAGTTTGAGATATCCGGAGGAGGGGTCTCCATCGTTGTGGACGGAATGGTGGCGTCTGAGGTGCTCATGATTGTTTGTGACATAGCTACAGATAGATCCCAATGTTCAGTTGATTATTGCAACTCGAATCGTATGTCCCAAAAGAAGTGAGTTGTGATATGGTTAAGGCTACAGAGATTATACTTTTGGAGAGCTTAGAATGAGAATCGGGAAAGATATTTCGAGGAGTAACCGAGGAAGATGAAGCTTTTGATATCGCGAAGAAGTCTAACTATGAAAGAAGGAGGAAAGATCAAACAAAAAAGTCAGTGGGAAAAGAATGATCTTCTCTGGAAGCCAAGTCTCGGGGTCTAATGTTATTAGTCCCTGAGGAGTTTAGTAAAACTTCATACTTACTCCAGCTAATGGGGTCGTTTCCAATTTGGTACGTCTGGACTTGTCAGATGCTCTCTTTGCTCAGCTTCCCCAGTGCGGAAAATCCATACGTGCCGTTGCGTCACAAGTCGGAAAAATATAAAGCAGATCCCAAGCAAAATTTATACTTCGTACATACAGTGCACAATTTCATGCTTCCCGTAGCTGAGATCTAGTTTGAGCACTAAGAGCCCTATTTTTCATTTAAACCCACGGATAAAGAAACTTGCGAAAGATCTCACAGACGTGGGGTTTAAGGCTAGACTCGCTTGAACCAATCATTTACTAGAAACCCCTTGTCCTGGCTTGTTAAGCGACAGACTGCGTACATTTCGTTGAGATGTTACTTATTTGAGATTAGTGTACCCGAAGTAGTTCTAAGGCCCCGTCCACGAGTATCTCAGGGTTTTATCAAAAAGCTACTTCGGTATGGCGAAGAGAGAAGAGGCTGGCGTCGATCTTTTGGAATAGGCAGTGTTAGCTTCAGGAGAGCGAACCCGTGACAAGAAATCGGAAAGCATGGCAAAAAGATAGTTCCTGAACTTCGGATAAATGTTTTTGGAGTCGAAATCATGGTGGAATCTGAATAGATATGGACTAACGAGAATGAATAACAAAAATTGGCTCTCAGAGGTGCAAGTTGCAACACATAGTCGTCATTGCTCAACCATATTGATTGATGTTTATGTTGGATTACTAACCTTCGGTATACTTTCTTCATTTTAGTACGGAGTTTGAGTTCCTCCGCCGATTCCCCATATGGAGAACTGTACCGGTAAGCGTGGTCCTTTCCATTTGCGTACTAGAACAGCGACCAATTCCAACAAAACGGATGGAAAAGGGTTTTCCCCTCCTTTTCTACACTCTCCGGGTCGTCTCTACACTCTAACACACACATTTATTTCCTTCACATTTACTTCCTTCATCTAGGACAATAATCCATACTAAAATCAGTCTAGTAAGGTTTTAATAAGCCAACCAAATTCCTCTCATTAGTGCATGATGAAAGGCCTTCAAATTCCCACGTTGGCGCCAATTCTTTTTCCCCTTTCTAACCATGGCCATCTAGATACGGAGTACAAGCTAATAAGCCCTTGTCCCTCCCTTGTGCCACCTATGCTACCCCGCTAACACTAAAAACTAAGTCACTTCGTACTTTGACATCAGCGTTGGCAAGCATAATGTTCGCCCGCGCACGGAATATCACAGACACACACCAAAATGACATGAATCTTTTACCCCAGATTACATACTAGAGTACCTTACCCGCGCCGGAAAACGGACCCGTAAGCGTGCCCTTTCAAGTGAAGGCTGTGGATTCCCATCAAAAATTGTGAGATCCACCGTATCAATGGCATTTTCCACTTATAAAATGGTGCTCCGTTACGAATTGTCCTTTTCATCTCATCATCTTCCTCCTCTTCTATCTCATTTAATATACATCTTTCCAAAGCCACTTGTGTCCAGTGGGCTTTGACGACAGTATCTGAAGTTACTATATTTTTTTCATTACATAGTTTGTGCGGGTCCAAGGGTTGAAGCTTATTGCTAGTGACTCACATTATTTTGGAGAATTTTTCTTCACGCCGCCAAGGAAATCTAGAAGAGGTCAACAACTCCAAATAGCGGAAATATTGAATTAGACATTCCTTCAAGATGGGCCTGTTGACTTTGGTAGAAGGTATGATAACTTGATCTTATTGAGGTTATTTCAAAAGAAAAGACATTGACATTCTTCAGATCGGCCTACACCGCCATGTGTCTACAACGCCCGCGTATATTTTTGCGCAACTGTGTAAGATATCGTGTCTAATATACATAAAGTCACCACGCTAATCATCCCTCAGAGCCGCATTCTGTGCAGTAATGATTGGATATGACTCTGCATTCATTGGAGGAACAATCGCTCTCACCTCTTTCAAAGACGAATTCCATTGGTCAAAATATTCAAGTGATGAAGCCCTACTTATCTCCGAAAACATCGTTTCATTGTACCAGGCTGGTGCATTCTTTGGAGCTCTTGGTGCTTATGCAGCTGGCCACTATCTGGGTAGAAAAGTAGGCCTTCAACTCTTCTCTGGAATTTTCGTTCTTGGCGCTGGATTGATGTTAGGTGCGAATGGAGATAGAGGACTCGGGTTGATTTATGGTGGCAGAGTATTGGCTGGTATCGGTGTTGGTGGTGCTTCAAATTTGACTCCTATCTATATTTCCGAACTTGCACCTCCGGCTATTCGAGGACGCCTGGTTGGACTGTATGAGATGGGATGGCAAGTTGGTGGTGTTGTTGGCTTTTGGATTAACGTAAGTCCTACGCACTTACGAGTTTCAACATCTTAGTTTATTAACAAATCGACAGTACGGAGTCTCTACCACTATGCCCGCAAACCACGAGCAATGGATTATTCCATTTGCTATTCAACTTATCCCCGCTGGTCTCATGTTCGCTGGACTGTTTTTCATTAAAGAATCTCCTAGATGGCTCATGAGCCGCGGTGATCGAGCAACAGCACTAAAAAACCTCTGCTGGATCAGAAAACTTCCTCAAGACGATATTTACATGCTCGAAGAAGTATCCAGCATTGATGCTGCCCTCGAACAACAACAGGCGACCGTCGGACTTGGCTTTTGGCAACCGTTCAAAGCCCTCGGTAACGACCGCAAAGTCATGTATCGTTTCGCCCTCGGCTGTTCGCTTTTCTTCTGGCAAAACACATCTGGAATCAATGCCATCAACTACTACTCCCCTACTGTCTTTAAGGAAATCGGAGTCGTCGGCACAAACAGTTCTCTTCTCACCACTGGTATCTTCGGTGTAATCAAGGCACTCGTCACCATAGTATGGCTCTTTTTCCTCATCGATAATTTCGGTCGTAGAAATCTCCTCATGTATGGTGCTTTCGCTGGAGCCATCTGTCTGTACTATGTTGGATCCTACATCGCCATTGCAGACCCCTCTTCAAACCCCACTACCTCCCTCACCGCGGGCGGCAAATCCGCAATTGCATTCTTTTACCTATGGACCGCTTCCTACACTCCTTCATGGAACGGTACACCCTGGGTCATCAACTCGGAAATGTTTCCCCAAAATGTCCGCACGCTCGGCCAAGCATTCGCCGCAGCTAGTAACTGGTTTTTCAACTTCCTCGTTGCGCGCTTCACGGCGCAAATGTTTAAGGCAATGGGATATGGAGTCTTTATTTTCTTTGCATCCTTGATGATGTGCAGTATTGTTTTTGTATTTTTCTTAGTTCCGGAGACGAAGAGTATCCCGCTGGAGAGTATGGATCGACTTTTTAGCTCCGAGTTGAAGGCGAGACATGCGCATGGTATTGTATTGAGAGAGTTGAAGGATGATGAAGAGGCGTTTAGGAGGAATGTGGAGGGAAGTGGGATTGGATTGGATAAAGAAGGGAATGAGAAGAGTGCGCATGTTGAGGTTGTTTAGCTTTAAGGGAGTTAAAATGCGAGCTGTTATAGAGGAAAATTGCGGGAAAACTGGATGTTTGGAGAATCTTTTTTGATTCAAGCGTGCTCATTTGGAGGCGCGCTTGGCTTTTGGGGATAAATAGATGCATACTTTCATCTATGGTTATTGTTCAGCGCTTCGGCATGTAAGGTTATACATGATATATAGATATATCATGACTCATGACTCATGAAACGAATTTACGAGTATGAGGATATCAAGAAGAAAATTTCTTATTTTCATTTAAAGTTAATTGATACAAGAATAGGAATCCAATATAAGATTATGAAGTCATAGTAAAATAGATAAATAAATCAAATATCTATTCAGTTATCCAATAATCTATTTGTATCAGCAAACTGATTATAAAACCTTACTCTGATGATAAAATAAACAGCTGTGAAAGAAACCCAATATCCCAAATCAAAACCGAGTATTCTAAATAATTTGATTCTCTTTTTATTATTATTAAAAAGACAGAACAATTAAGGATTATATGTTGAATTTTGTTATTCTTTGTTATTCTTTTCTTCTCTTTTATTTTCTTTTAAGCCTGCTTTACTTTTACTCGTCAGAAACAGCTCTGCTTTGTACATTTCATCTTCGTTGAGTTTGAGTTTACTATCTTATCCTATCCTATCATATCCTTTCCTACCTATCCACCTCCGTCCTTGATCGCAGTTCTCATCGGATTTTATTACTTCATAATTTTCCTACATTCCTTCCCTCTTTCCTTCACAAACTCCTACTTTCTAATATATGAATAAATAACATAACATAACCTAGTAGAACACCACGCCAAAACTGCACAATCTCACATCATAATTCTGACCAGTACTCACCTGATTAATGGCCATCTTGACCTATTCCTGCCGGCAGAAAAGGTAAAGCTTCGAAAGATAAGAAACGGTGGTCTCTTCTGATTCCAATGTATGGCCTATCATTAGAGATTTCGTGTTCGAGATTTTTCGGTCGCACGGGTCGAATGCTGAATGCCATGTCCAGCCATCAACCACAGTCTAGGCGAACACCGGAGAGCAATCACCATCTGCCTGTACACCAGACTCCCCTTCTCCATATTTATGATAATTTGAATAAACCTCCATTCTCATACGTCGCTTGGGCGCTTTAACACCAGTCATTAACTCGAATTGGGCAATGGCTTGCTCCGGGAGGACTTCGAGACCATCAACTATTACCCAGGCGATTTTGGTTTGGGATCGGAAATGTCGGATTTGCGCAAGGAGAGGAGTGGTGAGTGGAGGTTTGTAGGAGAGCTGTTGGAGGAGAAATTATTAGTTATTCCTCAAAATAGAATGAATTGAATAAATAGAAAGAGCGACGCGAAGCATGAATATTTTTGTGCAATTTTTTCACACAAGAAATGCATCGCGCTATAAAACATTAAATTCATCTGAGGGACTCATCGAGACTGACTTGATTAAGCAGTAAGCTGAGCACAAATGTTGCATTCCGCTGGGACAAATTCCTTGACACAAAGACGAAAATCACTTGAACAATGTGCCCAGTACGGACAATGAAAAGTGGAAGAAAAGAACTGGGAACAAACCTCTACAACAACTCCACCAGTAGCACTACCCAACCATTGAAGAGGCATCGTGAAATTTGCTGGCGGTTGGTCGCCCACACTTCGTGCTGGTACGCATGAAACAATCATAGTGGGTGGGCTAAAGCCCTGTGGCCATTCCTCCCGCAGTGATTGTAACACATATACGATTTTTCCATGATTACTCAAACACGTAGCCCACGAATTGAAATGGTCGGCTACTCTTTGTGCATTCTCTATCGTACGGTTGTATATGAAGATCTTGCGACATCCTAGTTGGATCATGGCATACACGGCTGCTCGTGCCATACCCCCTGCGCCAATGACTAGTCCTGTTGTTTTGGATGGCTGAACGACATTTCGTGGTGATATGTTACGGCGGAGGCATGTCATTATACCAATGAAATCAGTGTTGTCACCGTAATAAGCAATAACAGGTCCAGTCTTGCTTCGGCGATTTGCTTGTTGAAGCAATGACTGCGTATTACCAGAAAGAGGACTGCCATCTGGTGATGCTCGAAGTGGTAGAAGAGTATTTACTGCCCCGATTGCTCTTGCATGGTAGCTCTGTGGGCCAATTCGGGACATGATTTGGACTTTGAAGGGTTGTGTGATCGCAGCACCACCAAAATCGGGTCGCTGACAAATGGCATGAATGTCATCAACCGAATTAACTTGCAGTGATTGGAAATCATTGATCATACCACAAACTTTGTAAGCTGTGTTGTGCATGACTGGAGATAAACTATAGGATACACTAGCTCCAAGATGTACGAAATGGAGCGGGTCGAGGACAGACTTTCGAAATAGTTCTTGTCGGGCCTCAGCGGCTGTTGGTAGAAACTGTCTGATTTGACTCTTGCTGACTGTGGAATTCATGATAGGATGCGTCACTGGTGTGAAAATCCGATTTTCAATTAAAGAACTCCTTCCATGATCCCCGAGGTTGTAGGCAATGACTGGAAGATGTCCTGGAATAGATTCTATTTTTCTCAAAAACTCTCGAACAGCTGCATTGTCACTTTCCCTAGAGGTTGCTCGAGCAAACCGGACCATATCACAACCCAACGATTCGGCTCTTCGATATTCTATCATCATAGACTCATCATCCCATCCCCGAGAAGTTTCGGCGCGATGAAGGTAGTGCCCGATAATTTTCGTGCGCCCGGAAGACTGAACAAGGTGCATGACACGATCGGATGGATATCTAAGATCGACGACGATGTACTCAACTCCCAGACGTAACCCATGCTCTAGTAATGCAAAATAAATATCTTCTTTTTCTGACATAGACAAAGAGAGACCTTCAAACGCATACTCTTCAGCATGGAGAATGACGGGTACTCCAAGCTCCCTTCTTACCGTTGAAACTTGTTTCGCTAATCCTCTTTGGATATCGGGAGTCTTTAGAACATCAACCTTGATTTGAACCGCATCCGCTCCAGATTCTAATTCTTGAAGATCTAGATCGGGGATTGTTGACATGCGGATAGACAATGCATACGTGTACAGTCTGCACTCAGGTGGTAGCGCGGCAATGGAGAATGGACTTTCCAAACTATTACGAATGACTCCTTGCCCCGTGATGAAGTCAAGAAATGCGGAAAAGTCTTCCTTTGCATGTTTCAATTTTGATGAAACATTGGGAAGTCCTTGATCCTTAGGACTAGCCATTCCATCACAACTCCTGTCATGCAAATTATAATATTCATAATTTGAACAAAACCTATGGGCAGCATCGGCATTCTCGTAACGTGCTGCTTCGAAATCTCCTATGTTCAGCATGTCTCGAATTCTTTGGCTGTTTCGTAAGATATAAATCACGGGGTTCGTTTTTGTATATTCTCGACTACATGGCCGATACCGTTAGTGAAGCTTCCCAAGGGAATACTTGAAGAAACTTCAAACACGAAAATCCAAATAGATCAAATGATACAAGTGGGTTCAGCCATTCAAATATACGGAAAGTTTATGCTTACAGAGTCTTTTGTACTTCAGTTGCGAGACTTGCCATTCCACATTCAATAATGCATCCTGTTCGATTTGCATATAGCATTTGCCTCGCAACATCGACATTTCTCTTGTGAAATTCTTGAATTCCATTCTGCTGAACATAAGCAGCTCGAGAAAGGCTGGTGACCTCTTGGAAAAAGTGATCTTCTGTTATTAATCGTCGGCCCAGATGAGTTGCTCCAATGAAACCTAGACTCCGTTTTCCCGACCCTCGAGAGCCTATGAGAATGATTGATGCATCTGAAGGGAATATTCGACCTGTTTTCTGCACTCCTGACTTCAACTGTAACGCCCTTTCCATGGTTCCATTGTTTGAGATGGTGGTTTGAGTTGTTAAAGACATCCTTCCCCTCGCATTCTTGATTGCTTTTCTTCGCAGTGCACGTGATTGTAAAGGCAAGGATGAATAGGATGAATGGGCTCCGTGCCGGAATAACCTTACTACAACTTCCTCAGCCTTTTTGGAGGACAAATAATAAGTACAACCAAAATCCAAACAGAATCAGGAGAAATTGTAAGAAACCACTTCTCAATCCACGGAGTGCGTATACGGAGTACCTGCGTACGGATTATACTTTCTTCACCCTATTTTTGGAAAGGGCGTGTGAAGACAAACAAGTTCCAAGTTAAATGCCGATCATTGAACCCTTCGATCACTCACACCACGAGACGACCAATGAACATGTGAGAAGCCGGGATTACTAAGCGTAGATGGATAAGACTTTTTCCGTGGCCATGGCTGTCTGTGGGGTATGGGGAAAAGTTGTCGATGATGAATTTGGAAATTCGGATTTACGTCAAATTTTGTATGGGGAATGAACGACGACTTCAAGACATTCAGTTGCACTAAACGCATAGCGTGGCTGCAAATCAACTTCACTGCCGCATTCGAGTCAACTATTGATAGCTTTTGCAGGAGAGGAATACCCACCGAACTGGTCAACAACCTCGACGCGCGAACGACGATCTATTTGATTTGCTCACGAAGCTAACAATTCTCCCCTTAGTCGAAATAGGAACGTCTAAGTCAACGACAGACATGTACTTTGCTTGCGAAGGTATCCTAGGCTGAAGCGGGCATCGTCCCTTGTTGTCTGTTATCCATTGTAATAATGGAGCATGAAGTTTTTACCGGGAGCTCGAAGTCCGGAGAAGCATCATCGAACAACAAGAAGGACGCCGTGGCTGTACCAGGGGGCTCGAAGGATCAGTTACAGGGCAAACGAAAACGAGTTTCGCAGGCTTGCGATAAGTGCCGGAGTCGCAAAGACAAATGCGACGGGAAACGGCCATCGTGCTCAACTTGTTTGACCCACGGCCGGACTTGCTCATACGACGCGAATGTGAAGAAACGCGGATTACCGGAAGGTGCGTATTTTTGGTTCTCTTTTGGACACTGGTCTTGCATGAATGTTCGATTCTGTCTGAGTGTCAAACTATTTGCATGTTCGAATGCGTATCAATGTCCGGATGTGTTCGAATGTCTGAATTGGTCTGAATAGTTGAATGTATTTGAATCATTGGAGTATCGGAGTGTTGACTATGTTTCGCTGTTTCAGCCTCTGTGTCCCTTTGATAACCAATTACTGATTATGGTCTGCAGGATATGTCCGTGGGATAGAGAAATTATGGGGCCTAACAATAAGGGAAGTTGAAGGGGTTGAGGAAGAAATCCTCTCGGTATTTAATGTGAGCATAATCAGTCCTTTTATTCTAGGCTCGAGATATCCATTCTGTATTATACGCTCTGGATGTGAGCGAATCGAAATCTTTCGGGAATTATAGTAACAGAAGTGTCCCTTTCCCTCGGGACTTTGTAACGCCATGGGATATTCGCCACTTACTGACTTCCCAATGTTTAAGGGGGACGAGACAAACGAGGCACTTATTAGTATTTGGAGAAATGAGGATGGCCAATCGGACAGTCTGGCCGAAGTATGGCGGAAATCTCAATTGTCGAGAGAGCTTGAGAGATTGCTACCAATATTAGAACCAGGACCTGGTAGTGCTGATATCACTAAGAGAAAACGGCTCGATTCAGATGTCCAAATAGGGAAGCGACCTGTGCTAGCAGTTGGCCAGTCAGATTCTCCCATATCTGTTCCGGACAATGAATCTCAAACAAGGACATCGATAAGTGGCTGGCCTGATCAGAAATCCGATTTCCAGATACAAGAGGAAGCACTGTCGCCGATGGCCGCCGGGAGCTCTATGGAAAACTTCTCTAACGCACATTATGGCTCAATACTCAGTCCTGCTTATCCAACAATCTCAAGTGGTATCAAGACGAACCTGCCAGAGCTTCCATCGGAGACCTGGCATCTACTTGATGTATATTTTTCTTATACGCATTGCTGGCTACCCGTTATAGAAAAGCACGATTTGTTAAGAATCTCATATCAATATTCTCAAATTAGGACCAGTGGAGCGAAGGCTATCAGTGGCGATCACGCACTTTTATGGGCTGCAATAGCTTATGCCAAGTTTCAACATAGAGCGATAAACAATATACCTCACGCTCAAGGCTTGGTATCGCAAGATGTATGGACGGCCGAAAGAATGTATACGCACGCAAGAGCTCTTATTCCGAATGAAGAAGGAAGTTTTGATCTTGGCCATGTGCAGGCTCTATTAATCTTAACCCTCACGAATCTTGGGCTTGGGCATTTTAGCAGGGCATGGATCCTTATTGGACAAGCTGTCAGGATTGCAATTGATCTTGGTCTTGAGAAACCATTGTCTGAGGACCCAAAACCCTCAAAGCATAGTTCGAGATCTAAGCATGTATTTCTTGGATGTTTTGCGCTAGATACATTGGTTGCAGCACGCTTGCGAAGACGACCGCATTTGAGATCAGACGACATGGACCATATTGGTATGTTGGTTGAAGATGGCCTCGAGGAATGGGATCCCTGGACGGACTGTCTCACTGTCCGAAGAAATACCGTTGGAAATTCTAGAGTTCCCGCATCTATTCTGAGTACCTTCAACCGCTTAGTCCAAGTTCTCCAAATACTAAATGATGCAAGTTGTGTATCTGATAGTTCAAAAACTGTCAAATTCAGCACCGGTTTGTTGGAAAGGTTACATGTCTGGAGTCAGTCCCAACCTCAGTCTTTGTATTCTGATTCTACCGCAATGAATAACGAGCAAACTTCCGCGTTGCTGCCGCATCATTATCATCTCCATGTTGCATATTTTACGACGCTTGCTGAATGCCAACTTCTTTCCCATGGTCAACCAAAGGGAAGCCTTGATTTAGAACCTTGTACGAGATCGGCACGTCAAATTGTCCACCTTTTAAAGCGGCATTCACATACATTTGGACTTATTATTGTCCCGCCCACATTTGAATATTACACTAAGAAAGCATATGACGTTGTCCATGCAGTCCGACGAAGTATAGAAAACACGCATATTGGTGAGCTGAAGATTTTTTCTTAACCTTCCCGATTTTCATTTTTCATTAAAATGTACAAGTGTTCCCTGATGTATAAACGTCTTTGATTGTTCCGATTTATATTATCGCATGACTGACTCATTGACATCTAGTTCTTGACGATTGGAAATATAACTTAGATATGTGCGTTTCTGCAATGGAACCAGCTTGGCCAATATTTGAATCTTTTAAAGATGTTTCTGAAAATGTCCTCTTAAAACATCGACGTGAAAGCCAAGCCGCGTTTGATCTCATGGTTCCAGCCGCCGCGGAAACAACTCAATCAATCAAGAAGCCAAATAGCACAGCCAGCTACGAAATAAGCCAGCCTTACAGTCCTCAAGTCTTCCGATCCCACTCAATGAATAGTATGGGCGTAGCACGGCCTAACAGAAGTAATATGCAGTATGCGAAAAATCTCATGCCTCCAACATCACATGTAAGTTTCATTGATTTCTTGAAATCGTACTCTCAATATCCAATTCCATGTTTTACTTGTGCATCTTTTCCGGCTTTTTGATTCTGCTAGCTAGGGCTGCATTGCAACAGCGGATTCGTCAGGGTAGTCAGAATTGCTCGAACATTGAAGTCTTGAGGACTGAACCGCAACCAAGACCATTGGAAACCTTGATCCTCTACTTCCACACAGCCCTTTATTCCTCATATTCCTCAAGTCTTCCCCACTACGCACTCACTGACTCTTCGATAATGCAGTCCAACCACTCTTTCACTGGCTCTGTGGCAGAGAATTTTCCTAGAATTCCAGAGAGTCCTCATGGGAACACCACGAATCTGAACGCCTGGAGTGCTCACCAACAAAACAAGAACCAAAACCGGACCATCAATCAAATGCCCTTTGGATTGCTACAGCAATCACCAAACTTTCACCGAGCAACGGCACAAAATAGCTTGGATACTGATGGTGATGCGATATTTAACGATTTTGCTGTCATGGATGCAATGGAATGGTATGTTACTCACCATCCGTAATCGTGCCTAGTAAATTAAGTTCCATACTGACAAACAGCTAGGACGAATAGTATGGATCAGAGTCTAGTGAATCTCGGATTTGAGGATCCAGATAACCGAAACCAGGACTTTTATACCTTTTGTCGGGAACCTGACCCGCTCTATTCAAACAACAGTACATTGCAGCAATTATTAGCGAGCTCTGCGGCAAATCAGTCAGGAATCAGTGCTCAAGTGTTTGGAAACACAGGAATGAGTATGCCCGATGATGCGGGGTTTGGAAGAGGCATAGATTTTGCACATGGGGATGAAGGAATTGAGGCTGGACAGATACTCCAAGCATTAAGTGCTGCCGAGGAGCAAAGAGGGAATTCTGGTGGGAACGGTTGATGCGTCTTCGATCTGGAAAAGAAAGCTTTGGAGGGATTGTATGATTGTGTACAAATAAATGCATATGTGCAATAGTAATAGTGGAAGAATTCCTCGTGGTATATCCAATACATACATATAAAAGATCGTATAACCGCAAAATATATGCTTATGCGCCAGGATGTAAAAATATCCTCAGCCCAACAAACGCCACGTAGATGCATGTATCTCATCATCCTAATGCCATATCCAGAACATCCAAAACTTACAATCGAGCCATAACCTCACTCCCTATCTCGCCCCTCCTCTCCTTTTCCGCCTTCTTCTCATAGAAATTAGCACACAAATTCTCCCACCCCATCTCCCCACAAACATATTCCCAGCTCCTTACTGCCCTCTCAGCATGTTCCATCGGCACATAATCACCCCTCTCCACCAAGCTCCGGTTAAATAACTCGAAACTGACCCATCCCCTATATCCCAACCCATCACAAATAGCCCTCACTATATCCATCACCGGCAAATAACCTCCTCTCTCCTGCTCACCCAAAAATAACCTACAATTCCTACTCCACGACATCCGTGCTTTCATCCCCTCGGAATAAAATTCATGGCCTTGTACCAGTGGTGTAGCTAAGCGCTCTGCATCGACAACTTGGATGTAGAATACTTTCTTCGGATCAATCGTTCGTACCATCTTCTCCATACTCTGTTTAAATGCAACATGTGCATTCGGTACTGTACCACTAGGTGAAGCAGGATCTGCAAATTCCCGTCCCGCGATGTTGAATGTATCGAGACATAATCCGAAGTTCTCCCTATCTACGCCTTTTACAATTTCCCACGCCCCGCTCCACGTATCAATATACGACCCGAAACATAAATTTTCAAAAGCGAATCTGAAAGGGGGTTTTTGGGCAGCGCCTAGATCGGCTATTTCGCGGAGATCGCTGATCATTTTCGAAAGTGAGGGTGTGGTGGTGGTGGAGGAGGAGCTGGAAAATGTAGAGGGGATTTGGATAATGTCTGTGCCTAGGATACGACAAACTTGGAACCAGAGGCGCAGGTCTTGAAGTTTGGATTTCCGTGCTGAGGGGGAAAGAAGTCCTTCTTCTACGAAGAAGGGTCCGCAGGCTATGATGGGGAGAGCATAGTATGAGGAGAGGGAGCGAATGTATTGCGCGGCGTGGATGTGAGAGGATGGGGATGGGTGAGAGGGGAGTGTAGAGGCTAGGTCGGCTAGATCTTCATAGACTATTTATGGGTTTAGTTTTGATGATTGTGAAGAGGGTAGGTGCTAGGTAGTGTTCTTACACATTTCGATACCAGAGAGGCCAGCATCTCTAGCGGCTTTGAATTTTGTTTCCAGGCTATGACCTGCGAAACAGCGTCCGAGGGACATACTTGCAATTGCTGGTTTATAAGACATGATGAATGATGAATGCTTTTTCGCTTGCTCGCGTAGAAGAAGAGTTTTGTATCGAGGAGGAACATATGAAATAAAATTGATGTGGCGATATAATATCAATATCAATATAATTTACTGAGTATGAAACGCATATGACACAGCTGCCAGCTCAAAAAATTAATGCAGCGCAACACAACCTTAATGAAAAAGAAAAATCTCAAGTCTGATCAACTAAGAGAACATTGGTCTTGGGTAGATAGATGAGGATATATATAATATAGGATAGATACCAGTAAAATAATATAGGTAACCAAACAGACAAATCCCAAATTTCACATCCAACAATTAAGAAATTGAGACCGGCAAGTACATGGCCAGTGCTGCGCTGCGTATCCCATGGCCAGATCCACATCATATCTTGGATTTGCTCCTTTCCTCTTCAGATAGCACTACTTCCTGAGGAGGGGGATAAATGCTTAAGAAATGTATGATGTTACAAGAATGTACGGATGTATCGTATCACGCTGAATATCATTACTCGTCGGCAACGTTGGTTGAAGCTTGCTAATTCGAGTTCATAAGCTGGGGATTGTGTCGGCTATTCACTTAGCCGGTTTGTTGTGCACGTCGGAGTTTCGTAGATGCGCGGGGGGTTGGTTGGTGGTGCGATGATAGCCGGAGGATGATGATTCGTTGGATAGATTGGGCCTTAGTCAGCTTGGAGGTACTGGTAAAACTTCGGGGATTTGGTATTCGCTTTTGTTTGGGTGCGTGGAGAAACGACATGGCTCTTTAGCATAAAAAGGGCTTTGGGATAGGTTTTGTATTGTCAGGATAAGCCGTATGTCTACTATTCTACCTCCATAGCGCTATTCCATCACTCGCAAACGATGCCCCCAGCATCACACAACCACCAGTCCTCCGTTGTCATTATAGGCTCCGCCTTGCAACTTCCGGTGGACCATTCACCATTCCTCGCCTTTCTCTTTTCTCATCCTCTCTGCTACCAACCGCAGTTCTTGCCTGACTCCAAACGATTCCCATGTTCCCATATCTATCCCCTGCATCGAAACTGGCATAAAATTTATTCCTGTTGACGAGCCCATCACGACATCTACACAAGTGAGTGCTAGATTGTTCTCGATTGCAAAGGAACATAATGCCACCATATTAGTCACTTCGCTTGAGTCCTTATCCCATATTTGCGGAATCCGAGCTGGATTCCGGGTTCCCCAATTGAGTAATTGGTGTACAAGGTAAGATCTTATATAGGCATTAAAGAACCTTCAGCATATTCGACGGCACAGGAGAGTGGCGAAGAAATATTTAGAGCGATAGTATAGTAGCTCATTAATCTGCATTTTGTGCAGCAGTAAAAGTAGTATATATTGAGGGGTTATGGAATTGGAAAGAGGAACAGCAAGCAGATCACGTTCCCTTCTCAACATCTTGGTATCACTGAGATGCAGAAGTAAAACTACTCGTTGTGGTATTTTGTGTATTCTATTTTGTAGACTTTGGTTAGGTATGCAAAGCAAATCTACGAAGCAATTCCTTTCCCCGAAACGTATATCGTTCGGAACTAGTGCCCGAAAGAGACGCCCGTCTTATTTCTTCATCTCTACTCATTACATTTCTTATCTATGCATCGTTGCTTGTATACACCATTGGTAAAGCAGTATGGATACTGATGTCGAGTATAATGAATGTTCTTTCGCCGCAAAGTCATTCCGGATTTTTTCCTTTCGCCATACATGTTAGCTTTCTCTTTAGCACTGTGTCATCGATAATATGGACTTTGATATTTTCAATGTCCTAATACATCTCGCATAATATGTTGCCGAAAGATAGGGATTAGATTTGGTTCGTATGTACGTGAATATTGACAATAGATGGTACATAGATCAATGTTTGGAAGCACATTTAGAACAGTTTTGGCACAATTCCGCAACTTGAAAGCATTTCATGAAGTGAGATGATATGAACTTGGAACAACCGAGAGTGTTTGTGGGGAAAATGCTCTAATTAATAAAAATTGGATTCTCCCTTGCTCATTACCAGGGTTATAGCATTGCATGTAAATCACGTCTGCCGGTACCCTTATTATATCTTTTCGGGATTCTAGGTGCGTGGAAATAAAATGGAACGTGTAATCCTATTCTCACGTGAATATCATATGTTTGTTTGGGATGATACAGCAGCACATTGCGGCGGGTTGAGAAGACAGGACTCATGGAATAGACTTAAGTTTATGAAAGTACAATAGAGGATTGAGTCTGAGATAGCTAGATGTGATCCGGGTAAACGTTTATCAAACTAAAGCGTCACTGTTAAAGAGACTCTAAAACTGTCCGTTGGCAAACCACAAAGGGTGTTGGAAATTAACGGTGAAAAAGATAACAGTCTGAGGGTACGCATGATGTCCTTTTCTCTCAATTAAATATGACTTCATAGTGCTCATCATGATTAATACACAGCTCGGTTAATTTTGATAGCAAACAGCCATGCGTTCTCTCTTGTTGAATGATATCTTCTACCCTTGGACCATCGCTAACCAAAGCTTTGATTCTCGAGAAAACCTCCTCGGAAGCGTTTCATACTACAAGGTAGCAGGTCGCTGCTTTGAAAGACAGCTCGCATACAGAAAACATACATCTAAAAGCTTAATGTGATGAGAGAGTAGTTGTACGACTCTCGAGTCAATACTCAATAGTGGTGCAACATTGTCGCACGGCGGATTCTCTTTGCAATTAAACTTCCGCGGAAGGGATGCCGACTTATCAGCGATGTTATACTATGCAGCCTGCCACCAATCAAGGGCAGCATTTCATAACTACTGATATGGTTCTACATTGCAAAAGCATGATTAGTCAGAATTATCCACTGTTTATTTCTTTTTCGACTGGCTATCGATAAGCTTTTAATATTTAAGCCTCACCACATTATAATCTCGCTTCAACATTTACAAGAGTGTATAACATATTTCTTGCTATTATCAACAATAAAGTGATTAAAAGTACAGCGAGGTGCATCAATACTCAGTACTATTATCAATTGTAACAAAATGTCCTTAGAAAATTGCCGGAGACATCCTATTATCATTTCGCCGCCAAAAGCTACCACAAACCCTGATAAAGCTGCCACGCTTATCTTTCTCCACGGCTATGGTTGGTCTGCCGACCAGTTCAACCAGCATCCTCCAAACAGATTATCTGTAGCTCATCACATCCACAAGTCACCTTCACTTCAACATCTGAAGATCATTGTTCCGGAAGGGTTACCAAATAAATGGCCAAACCCAGGAAAACATACATGGTACAACATTGACCAACCCGTTCCCTCTGCTGGCGACCCTTCAAAGATTCACGAGTTCGGACAGCATAATTCTGACGTGCGTGATATTGAAGTCTCACTGGACTACTTTGAGTCTCTCATTGATGCGGAGGTTGCAACGGGTACACCTCCAAACCGAATTATTTTCATGGGCGATAGTCAGGGCGCGTCGATTTTGTACTTATTCCTACTTACGAGACAAAGGGCTGCGGATCTGGGAGCTGTGATTACATGGGCAGGATTTTCTGCAACGCCATTAGAAACTATAGCTCAAATGCAGGAAAAGAATGGATTGTCTGCAAGTTGGGCGAAAAATACCGTATTGTACATGTTACACGGCAAGGAAGATGTTTTTGTTCCTCTGACAAGGGCTCAAGCACTTATGACTACGCTCGAGAGTTATCGTGCTCTTGGTCAGGGTTTCACGACTCTTGAATGGATTGTCGTGGATAAACTGCGTCATTCCTTGGTTGAACCTGTTTGGCCTTATATTCGACGGATCTTGGAAGGCTTCGTAACGGAGACGGAAGGGGCTTCAAAGTTGTGAAGCTCGTGGACATCTTTTTGCCATGTAAATTAAGAGCATGTTTCAGAAATTTATACTTGCTGGAGATTTTCTTGCTAAGAGAATGATTATGAACATTGCCAAACACAATGGACTCCGCTTTATGAAAGCAAGCTGTACGGACTAATGGTGCAAAATCTGAAAACGAATCAAGAAGCAAAAGAATAATGAAAGTAAGAGTAGTTATTTGAGTTGCGATGTAATGTCTGAATAAGGGCATGAAAATTAGTGTTGAGATTGGGGCGAGGATTTTGAAGAATGCTATAGATTTCTCTTTAGACAAAGCTGTGTGAGAATAAAAAGTAAAAAAAATCAGAAACCCTACTGGGTGTAGAGACTCAGGGACAAACATCTTAAAGCAAACTCCGATCTCCAATATGAAGATCCGAAGGGTACAAGAAGCACAGGAAAATGTTCTACCAGAGAATTGAATTTGAGTTGTAAATCAGAAAGGGATCTATAAGATATTTGATGGAAAGAGTTGCATCTTCTCAATGAGCCAACATGCAGTCTTTTATCCCATGAATCACACTATGTCTCACCTGCTGCACAAACTAGCTCATACACCGCGCCGATTAGCACCCGCCATTTGCTAGAAAAAACTGATAAAAAGAGCAAAATAACAGTGGAAACGTAGCAGAAAACAAACAATGAAGAGTTGATAAACACTAAACATTTAAAGAGTGGTGCTGAGACTGGATACCAATATTCCGATACAACTTTGTGATATATATGTGAGGTGTTAAAGAAACAAACAATCATTCAACCTCTGAAGGAGTTGGAGATCTTTTATGCCACTGATTTGCAAATGACCTGAAGACTTGCGATAGGTAGATAGTGCTTGGTTTCGTATTGGCGTGGGAGCAATCACTCTCCTTTGGTGTATTTATGTACTAAGCTAGTGTACCGACTATTTACATTGCTGCCCGCAGCAATGGTGCATCATATTCATATTGAGTGAATAGTTTTTTAACCCAGCTATGTCAGAATTCCGAAAGAATCGGCAGCTCCACATGGTGGGAGGGATACATCCGTTTTGTTGTCGCAATTGTAAGATTACCAATAAATATGCTATTTGCAAAAACGACATCTGCACCGAAAACTATTTCGCATGCTAGTCTGCCAAAGGCCCCTAAAACTAGATTCGGACCATAGCTACCCCGGTTTATATTTACACCTAATAATGGAACAGTATATACTTATGAATATCCTCCAATCGCAGGATATATATTCCTAAGGTTACCTCTTCCCTACGAACATGTATCCACGTAACAGAGCCTCAGCACACTATATACACAGAAAACGCAACGCAGCATCTGCGATCTTTGTAAGATCTTATCTAGATATATCCAATCTCCGCAATAAATATTTCTACGGTCGAATTCCCATCAACGATTCAATCTTACAACTAACATCGAAGACTCCCTGAACAAGAAGGAGACCTTATGCATAAATCCATCAGATTATCATCAAATCCACTAATAGTTTATCCAGCACCACATCTGATTCTGTCTCCGAGTCTCATCTCAGCTTTAACTCCAAACCCATCCGCCAGCACAAAAGAAAAAAGAAACACAATTTCGTAATTCTATTATCCCTCTATCCCTCTACACCCATGCATTCAAGTATCTTCATAACCACACCCACCACCATAGCCGTACACCAAACTCCTGAAAAAGAAAAAAGAATATAGGTCAGGGTGCGGAGCAGCTGCATAAGCGAGGTAAGAACTTAGAAAGGGAGAGGCATAAGAGCACTTTTTTGGATTTTGGGCACTATAGTGAATTTTTGGGATCTTCTGTTGTGGTTGTTGAAATGAGAAGCTGGTGAAAGAAAGGAGCGCGATATTGGGAGGGGGATACTATTTCTGTAGCTGGTTTTTCTTTTTCTTTTTCTTTCATGATTGCTGTGACTGTATGACTCCATTCCTCGCAGTGGTAGTTTCTCGTTGGCGCAAAATTATTGACCTGATCTGGACTGTTTTCTGCCTCGACTCTTGCAAATTCGAAGATATCAAGCAGATGATTCAAGATATGCGGATTACAAAAGCCAGAATAAAATGGTTGAAAAAATTTTTTATAATTTATAACAAATGTCTAACTTGGTAATCAGATGCAATTGTCATCTATACCTTCCCTCCACCAATGATATATCCCAAACGCCATTCTCATCTTATCATACGTTGAAGTATTAATTATAAGACCAAGATATTATTATACAATTGCTTTAGCCATGCCAGTAGCTTCATCAGACAATATAGTTACACCCTTTCTCTTCTTAAGAACATTCTCTATGAATGCCTCACCAGCTTTGTATGAACTTCTCACTAGAGGTCCACTGGCACAATATAAGAATCCAAGGTCTAATGCGCGTTGACGCCAGATCTCGAATACCTCAGGGGTAACGTATTCTTCTACTTTCATATGACGCTTGGTAGGACGCATATATTGACCGAAAGTAACAACGTCAACATCGACTTCTCGGAGATCTAAGAATGATTGTTAGTGACTGAAAGGAATAAAAGACGGAAGATCATATCATACCTCTCAATGCTTGCCATAATGCTTCCTCCGTTTCCCCCAATCCAAGCATAATACTTGTCTTTGTAATTAGTGAAGGTTTAGCTTTCTTCGCCGCTTCCAAAACCTTCAAACTTTGCCGGTACTTCGCTCTTCTATCCCGAACAAATGGTGTAAGTTCTTCAGTAGTCTCCATGTTATGCGCATAAACATCTAAACCACTTTCCGCAACCAATTTCACCATTTCCAAATCTCCTCCATAATCACCCGTCAATGCCTCCACCAATATTGAAGATTTCTTCTGCTTAATCTTCATAATTGTCTCTGCAAAATGTCTTGCCCCTCCATCTGCAAGATCATCTCTGTCCACAGATGTCAAAACAACATATCCCAACCCCCATCTAGACAATGCTTCAGCTGTATTTTCCGGTTCGTGAGGATCCAACGGAGGAGGTGCTTTTGATGTCTTGACACTACAGAATCGACATCCTCTTGTGCAAGTATCTCCCATCAACATAATTGTCGCAGTAGCAGCACTTTTATCACTACCGCCCCAGCAATCCGAGATATTCGGACATCGAGCTTCTTCGCATACAGTATGTAAGTTTAAACCTCGCAGATCCTTCTTAATTTTTTTGTAATTCGAATTGTCCGGAATTGGCGTCTTTAACCACTCGGGTAATCTTGTAATTTGCCTCTTCTTTCCAGGAGGCCCAACCATCGCGGTACGCAATTCGAGTGCATCTTCAGGTGTTAGGGCTTTCTCTGGCAGGCCGACAAACTCTGAAAACGAGGGTACGGCATTAATCTGGTCTTTGAAGTATGTAGGACGTCGTTTTGCGATGGGTGTCGGCTTGGACGCATCTGTTTCAGTGGCGAATGATCGTGAAGTTGCAGTAGGAATTGCGAGGATCTTTCTTGATGTCTGTCGCAATGGCGGCGCATTGAGACATCTAAATCTTGGTACTATTGATGCCATCTTGAATACCTTGGCTTGATGTGCTGATAATTGAGATGTTACTGTCTGTTGAGATTGTTGAGATTATTTTCTGATAAGGATGCTTGCAAAAATGGCTTACGTAAAACCTATACCGTTGATATGTGGTTTATGAGTTGTTGAAATTTGGAAGTTCAAGCAAGTAAGTCATTGAACAGAGAAGAGATATTTTTACGTCTTAAAATATAATTATTTCAAATCATTGTACACATTTAATGGATCACTCCCGTGCTCAAAAGAAAGTTGCAGCTCCACACGTAAGTAGTTGCCGGTACCTAAGTGGCCTACAACTCCCGGTGACCCTTCATTCACCCCGCCAAAACTTCACATGGGAGTAAATATCCCTGTCCCAGCAACCATCGCGTTTTCTAGCACAAATATCAACAACCTCAATTTACAGCAGCATATCACTCCCAACCTGTCCTTTAGCTACTCTAGCACTGCACTACTCACCTTCAACCATCAAATCATAGCATCTACGAAAATGAATACACAAAGTCCCTCCGCACTTCTTTCCTCCTCCGTAGCTTCTCTCCGATCCTCTCTCACTACCTTGGACAACAGCATCTCAATACTTGATTCCGGAATATCAGATTTCCCACGTTTAAAGTCTGTTCTTAGTACTACTAGAGTATGCCTCCTTTCGTCTTTCCCATAAAGATCACGCCGAATCCCCGTCTCCTCCATCTACATCTAAATCTACAAACCACCGCAATCTCAAATTCCCCCCAAAATAAACATAAACTAACCGAACCCCCAGCATTTCGAACTAACCCCCTCCACTACCCTCCACGCGGCCCAGCGTTCCCTAGCCGAAGAACTCGAACCCGCAATCGAAACACTCCTCTCGCGCTCCGAATCCCTAATCTCCCGTCTCCAACGAAAAGAAGAACAATTAATCGCCCGCTCCCAACTACTATCCGGGCGTCTCGAATCCTCCACTTCTTCTAGTACAAACCCTACATCTAAAGCTTCGAAACTAAGTCGAAAGAAAAGCTGGGAATTGGGTTTGAATAAAAGTGGAAGTGCAAGTGGAGGGGGAAATGAGGAAAAGGCTATGAGGTTGAAGGTGTTGAGGCAGAAGAAGGAGAGATTGGGATATGCGGTTGAGAGGTTGGGACTGCAGAGTCAGCAGAGACAGAGACAGTTGAGGATGAGTGTTGCGCCGCCGGCTTTTGATGAGTGATTTTTGGGAATCTGGCCAAGCATTTGCGGCAAGGGATATTGAGGACGAGTTCCCTTGAGTATCAAGCATTCCGGATCGCTATTATGTAACCCCTCCTCCCAATCGGACAAATTTTGTTCTAAGGAGGGGCATGCCATTTCGGAAATCGATCCATCCTATCGCCCACCTTATACCAATACCCAAATCCCGCAAAGTCAACCCCGATCCAGCTTCATCGCTACAATTCGGTTCGAGCTTTGTTATATGCCAGAGGTCGCATTCGAACATGGACAAAAGTGAATGGTAAGGAATTCGTTGCACTGGAAAGGAATAGCAGAAGATGCAAGCGGGCTATGATGATATGAAGTTTGCTACGTATATTGTGAATTATGCGATGAGGATATCCCTTGGTGCTGTGCTTAGCAATGCATGTAGCATATTCTTCCTGAGAGTTCTTGATCTTGTTTTAAGTGGGGATTGAACTGTGTATGAAATCCTTCTCAGGGGAACATAGGGAAAGTTAAATGCACGACAATGATAGCCTCTCTGGCTCAGCTTCATTAAAGGAAACGTGGAAGTTTAATTTACTGGATATAGACATAAATAAACTCAAATCCGCTTTCTAAACTATAGTATCATATCTTTCCCGTCCCCATAAAATCTAAACCTTTAATTCCCTCCCAAAACTATCCCCCCTCACCACATCCGGCCTCAACCCCTCATCACCACAAATGCCCAAACCCATGTCTGCCAACCCCAAATCATCCAAACCCTTAAACCCCTCCTCAACAACCCATTTCCTCCCCTCTTTTCTAGAATTTTGATTGAACAAAACCTCGCACGCAGCACCAAGTACTAAGAGTCCAGGTGGTCTACTACCCACTTCTTCGATAGCATCTACGACCCATTCTAAAGATGTTCTTACCACCCTTTGATCCGGACATGATGCTCGTTCTATGACTGCACATAGAGTGCTTAGCGGCCATAATTTCCTGCGTTGATCGACTTCCCCGTTCTCATCGACTACCTTTGCATCTTCGGAATCGTGAGTGGTGAGATCAGCTACCAACCCCTTAATCCTGTGAAGTGCCATTAGGAACACCACAGTTTGAGTAGCCACATATTGAGGCGGCACAGTAGGTTTTCCCTTTCTTCCAGTTCCAGTACATATAAGTACTTGATCACTAACCGCTCTCTGTGTCGCCGGTATCCCCGCAAACAGCGGCGCACTCAATGCACTCGTGATACCTGGAAGTACAACAACTCGATCTCCATAGCCTTCTTTTCGGAAGAACTCAAACTCTTCTCCTCCTCGTCCGTATATATATGGATCGCCCTGTTTTAAACGCAAAACAGTTTTGCCGGCTTGGAGACCAGCTAGTCCGAGGGATAGTAATTCTTGTTGCGCGAGTTCGGCGTTGCCGGGGAATTTGCGCGCGATGTGGATTGGAGTTCGACGGGGAATTAGGTCAAGAACGCCGGAGGGGACGAGTTTGTCGGCGAGAATTATGTCGGCGGAAAGGATGGCTTTGTGGGTTGCGCGAGTGAGAAGATCGGGGTGTCCTGGTCCTGAACCGGCCAAGATTATTTGTGGGAGTTTAGACACGCGGGAATCTAGGATTGATGTGTCGAGTGGTGTCGAAGTTGATGGATTGGTGGCATATGATTTTAACACGCTCTCGACGTCTGAATCCGTGATTGAGGCCAGTCGACGAAGAGGCCAATATTCACAGATTTGGGAAAGCCATCTCATGCGTCTATTTTTCGCAGCATCGAGATCTGCTTCCGTAATGAGTTTATTGAAAGTAGCACTTTGATCTATTTCTTCTTCATTATCCAAGTCCCCAGCTGCAGTGAGATGTGTCAAATGATCTTCTTCTTGTATACGTCTTCGAATCGTACCGAGTCGTAGACATGACTCCCCTAAGTTTGTAGGAAGCGAGGAGGCGATTTCGCGGCGGATTCTAGAGGAGAGTTTGCAACCCTTGCCATTGGTTGTTACGCCGATTTGAAGTGGTCCGTCGGTATATGTTGAAAGGAGGGAGAATGTACAAAGATTCGATGCATCTGCTACATTTACTGGTATGCGATTTCGTTTGCAAAATTGTGAGATATGCGCGCCTGAACATGTTAGCTTTGCAACCTCTCATACAAAGAAGCTATGCATACTCAAAGGATCCCGCGGCCCCGAAGTAACAAATACTGCATCGACTACTCTTCCAATTTCTTCTCTTCCCAAGGTCATAACATCTTCATCTTCAAATGATTTCTTCAACCATTCTACTTCGCCATTTTCAATTCGTTTTTGTAATGTGTAATGTAGTTGGGAGGACTCAGGCGCAATGAGAATTGGTTTCGCTCCTACTTCGATTGATTTTGTACATCTTGCTCCTGCTAATGGATTGGACCCAACTATAAGATGAATATGAGAAGTTGAATCAATAGCTGTGAGGAGAGATATTGGGGTCATAATGAATACGGCCAATTCCTTTCTGGTATTTTCCAGGGTGTGTGATGAGATGGATAGTAACAGGAGACCCCAGGGAATGATCTTATCAGATAGATGTGATCAAAGGAATGAAGTATGAAATGTGAAATATGAAGAGATGAATATTTATGAAGCCAGAAGCCAAAGATATAATATTCAATTGTAAATGAATGAAACTAAAATAAAAGAACGAAATATCTCCTTACCAACTCCGTCCCAATTGACTTCTATAAGATCTTATTTTCGGTGTTTGAATGTATGATGAGTATTTTTTGCTGAGCAGCTGTTATCGTGAAATAACGCCATCGATAAGAAATTTCATATTGCCCCTCCATGCGGGTTGATTGGGATGACTAAGCTTTAGGTCTGGCTCTAACATTCATGCAATTCACCAGGTATAACATCTAGTCGCTAGTAAAATCGAAGCGAGCCAGCCCCTTCATCAAGCGGTAGGGCAGTGATGTTCTTCTCAATTGTAAGATTACCCTTTCAATCCATTCAACCTCAACGGTACCCCATTCACACACGAGTACATAAGCTTGCCATCTTCCTGTCTTCCATATAATAAAGCAGCAGCCTCCGACGTCGCGCCCCTTTCATACCCTGGCGACCCACTCACCCCACCTATCGGATCCAATCATTGTTCCTCAATTATATATCTCTGACTACCCCGCGGATTTCCGGAAATGTGTAAACCACCTCAATCTTGACTACGAATACCTACCTGGTAGATACCATTGAGATATCGATGTAGAAAGTTCTACTTGTTAAGAAGTGATCTGCTATCTGTAAGATGATTAGAACTATGAATTTCTGACGTCTAAGTTTAGGCACGAAAGAAATCGGTCAGTAATGGTCGGTAATCTGGCAGATGTATATATCCCTTACATCGTTGGCAGGTACATTCCACCGTCATGTGAAATCTTTTCCATGGCCTTTCCAGCGGTTGATAGTCTATTCAAGAATGGCCTTTTGGTGGATGAGATAGATATCTCGTTCATCTGGCACTCAACAAGCTCCAGGTCGGCACCTCTGATATCTCTATAGGAGCTCATGCCATTCTATCAAGCAGTACCAGTAGCAGAACTATTCCACGATCGCCTGGATTTTGACAGTGATGATTATGATCTGCACAAATGCCATTCCTTCAAAGCCGTGCTGTATTCCGTTCAACCGCAAAAATTATTTCATCCGCATTCCATATATAATCGCGTCAACGCCCAGCATTCCATGATCATGGAACTTTGTAAAACCTCTGATATCTGCCGTTTCCTCTTTATTTATTTTTTCGCAAAAAGTAATCCTCACCATTGATCGATACTGAGCAATATACAAGATGGCGTGCTGTCCTGTAAATGCTTGTTATCTTGCCGTAGCGACCATAGCAGCAGCGCAGTGTCCGTTACTCAGGACTGTGGGCTCCCCTTTGCTCAACGGACTTGCCAGTGGTGTTTGTGCTGTGCTTGGAGGTTCTGGTGCTGTCGCAAATGCTTGCGACTGTCTTATCGGCACTAATGCCCCAGGTGGATGTGGTTCTGGATGTAGCGGTACAGCCGGTCTCGGCATAGGATATGCTCTCTACTCACCTCTTTCCGGTCTCTTGGGTGGAGTAGCAAAACTTGCAGGAGAATCTGTATGCCCAGGGACTACTGGATACTATTGTCCGTCTGGCCAAACTTGCATAACAGGAACAGTATCTGCGCCTTATTGTTGCAATGGTAGTATGTTCTTTCCGACTGAATTTCTATTTCTTGAATCTAACATGATCAAGGCACCGATTGCTTTAATCAGCTTAATGCATGCGCAGATAGATCATGGGACCAATATCGCGTCACGATCGGTGGCTTCAACAGCGATTTCTGCTGTGGTAATGGAACAATTGGTGTATACCGGAGCTCTAATGCCGATAGAGTTGGTATCTGTGCGACGGCTCTTCCTGCAATGTATACCACTGCCAGTACTGTAACATCGGGAGGTTGTTACTCCAGTACTGCTACCTCTATTATTGTTACACGAAGCACGAGTTCAAGCTCAAGTATCTCTACATCTCACTCATCACTCATCGGTCGTTCTTTAACAACAACTACATCAGTATCTACCTCGACTTCGACACGTGTATCTTCTAATTCTAATTCGGTATCTCACACGCTATCTTCAACTGTCTCAGAAAGTACTTCATCGACGAGCACATCATCTTCTAGCTCTGCTTCAACCAGTTTGTCTTCCGGGTCGTCCTCGTCCAGTAGTTCGATATTTTCATCAATTTCTTCATCGACTATAACTGCGAGTTCTTCAACCATTGTGAACCAAAGCCCATCCACCTCCAGCACGTCGACGGTATCTTTCTCGTCTTTCACCTCTTTGGCGGGGGTGTCGCCATCACTATCACTATCACAATCTTCATCATCTAGTTCCAGTTCCTCATCCCCCTTGAAATTATCCACGAGCACCGACCTTTCGACCTCTCTATCGAACCAACAGGGATCGAGCTCAGTTTCCACAAAATCCTTGGATACTACCACATCCTCCTCTTTCATTCCTTCATATGTACCTTCCGGCTCGAATCCAGTTCAAACTTTCGACAGTACCTCGCTATCATCCTCCCAATCTCTCCTATTCTCTAGCCCTTCCTTCCTCTCCGAACTCCTCCCCACCCTCATTATCTCAGCAACAACCAGCATCCTCCCCTCCCGCCTCTCCGAAGAATCCTCATCTTCAATCGCCGTAGCCGTCTCCTCAATCGTCATACCAGCAACTAGTATCTACTCAATCTCAAAATCTACATCTTCAAAATTTTCAGCCGTAATGAGTAGTTTGCTTTTATCATCAACTTTTATAGGACCTGTTACCGCTCAATCTTCAACGATTGGTGAAGCGGAATCGACTAATAGTACGACTACGGCGCTGCCCCTGGAGACTCTTTCTGAACCTTGTGAGGCTAGTATGTGTTTGTTTAGTCGTGTTGTTCCTACTTCTCGTGAACTTTGATTTTCTTTATCTCGGGGAATGTTGAGCTTTTGTCAGGAAGAAGCGGAGTAGGGTTGATAGGGCTGGAGCTGAAAACTGTGTGCTGTATTGGGCTTCGTGTGTGTTTCTCCAATCTATATTCTTGCTCTCTGAAATAATTTCTTTCCTTTTGTCTTCTTGGAGTTTTTATTAGATATATAAATTCAAACGTTTATTTGCATTATGTCTGTGCTCGTGAAGGTCGAAATCGTCTACTTGTAGTTGAGGCTCCAAACGGTTTTCTAAAACTTCCGGGGGTGCTGTGTTATATTTATCGAGCTTTTATTCTTGATGCCTGCCTCTGGTTGAATTAATTACGGACTGTGAATAATCATAATAACTCCCAAGTGTGCCTTTAAGTGTGAGGTAAATGTACACTGATGCAATGGCTGAGAATATGAATTATTCGTGGACGTGTAGTGGGAAGATTAAGGAGACTTGCGCTGGATAGCTGAATGAAATATCTCTCTGCTTATCTAGATTTCCATTTGAGAGAACCCCACACAGTAAATAAATAGGAGATTGTCGTGGTGTTTTGAGGGTTAATCTATCACTGGCAACTCCCGCCAACTTTATGACTTTGTCAAAGGTAAGAATCGAGTTCGAAAAATCCTTAATTGATGCATGGAGTTGGAGTTTGCTGGAATAACACTATTACTGAATTAGTTATCTTGAGAAGGATTGGATGGTATTAAGGTTATCGGATATCGTGGATCAAATTGCCCTTTTTCAATGTCCTAATCCACCTGTTTGAGATTGCCCGGAAGGGTAGTATAATATTGCTCTGTTCTATATAATGAAATTTTATAAAGTATCTTTATATAAAATCTTATTAAATATTATTCAATATTGAAGAAGAAATTATAATTAATTGAATTAAATGATTTATTAAATTTTCTAATTCATTTTTAAACTTTAATAATTTTATAGTCTTTAAATTATATAATAATTAAAATATCAACTTTCAATTGATAATTTTATTTTTCTTAATTTTTAATTTTTTATAAAGTGATTAAAAATTCAAATTCAAAAAATATCAATATTATTATTTTTGAAAAGTAAATTTGTTTATTTACAAAGGTTTAAATCATACAAATTTAAGATTTTGATTATTTTTTTAATTTCAATCTTTAATAATTTTATTAAAAATTAATTAATCAAAAGTTGATATTTTAATTATTTTATAATTTAAATTTCAATAAATAAAATTTAAAGATTATAAAGTTGTTAAAATTTAAAAATAAATTAAAAAAAACAAAATATTTCAATTCAATTTATCAATTTTGATACACTAGTTTTTCTTTATTATTTAATAAAATTGAATAAAGTTTCTATAAATTATAAATCATATATAAATAAATAACTATATGAATTTTTTGAAAATTCTATCAAAGATTCAAGAAGTTATTAGTGTTTTTGATTTTGTTTATATCAAATCATGTTTTGTAATATATTACAAATGTGAGTTTTGTTGGCTGTGAGGTAGGGTGCGGGGAATCATTTTTCTGACACCGATGGCCACACTCAAAGCTCGATATCACGAATATCACGAATAGATATCTGATGGTGAGTGACATTTCTTTACTATATACACACTAACTAGATTCAAATTTGATGTACACATTCATTCAGACAATGAGTTTTCAGCGGGCGAGGACGAAGAAACAATTCAGGGGAAAGGAAAGGAAAGGATGAGCAATCTGCTCAAAATTGGAAGGAATTAAGCACTACATGCAAATATGGGTCTAAAAGGGTAAACTCCCAAGAACTTAATAAAATTCACGTTTATCTAGGTACGTAATTAGACACTTGGTCACCTCATTTGCAAGCATTGTGTTCAAGAACGAGCCCTGATGACTGGATATCTGCAAAGGAAAATAACCAATAATATGTACTTATACTCTGTTTGTCCTGCTTGTGCTATTTTTTTAACACTACACATCTTTGCTCGAAAAACCTCCCACATCGGTTTTTGGGCCGCAAAGAAGATCAGTCTGGTGGAACGTTGCAGCTTGGTGCCCACCCCTTCTCAACATCTATATGTCGAGAGATAAAAGCGCCCCCGCTAGCCCTTCCTGGACCCAAAATTTGCTGGACTCATTTACGGACTTTGCAACGCTGTAATCCTAATCGACATGGGTTTTGGAGATCTAAGAGCCCTGCTCGGTTCAAGGTGTCTGGAAGCCTTTACATCGGACGGGACTTTGTACGCTCCAGGATGCCAACTTGTTGCAGAAATTCCTTTATCCCGATAAACCTGACAACTCTAAAAAATCCCGATGATAACCTTTTCTTGTAATTTTCTAATTAATTATGCCGAAGAAACGGAAGTCCAAAACACGTATTTGAACTATCTGTTTCCCTCGTTTTTACATCTACATTCTTTCTTTTATTCATTGTAACAACAGTTTGGCTGGCTTTTGTTATTCAGGGAATGGAGAGTTTCGGTATCCCATTAACCATTTTTACAAATTACACTTCAAAATGACTTCCTTTGGGCCCACGCATCATACCTATAAGCCAACTGCTCCGCTTTATTCTTCCTATCGAGGAGCCGCGTATTGAGTCAAGTAGATTTCCCTTTGATCTTCTCAGAGAACAAATGTTTATGGCGATTCAAGCCATAGCTCAGAAATTTGAGGTACGTCAACTTCACTGTTGAGGGGTGATATGCCCCCCTTCTAATGATGATAGCTAATCATTTTGTATATAGATCAACACTACTCGTTAGCAAAAATGCGCGGCGATGGTCTCAATTTTGGTCTTACTACATAACATAGAATATTACAAGCGAATCAAGAGAGGCCTCGAGCCCGGGAGAAAAAGTCAGTGACGATAAGATGAGTTAAAGTTGTTAATCCTTAATGTATCTTAATTATACCCGGGAGACTTGAAAGAAGGACTACTCGAAAAGCAGGGCACTCAAGGTATGCATTCCAGCTCTTGATAATGATGATAAAACATTTTTCTGCCCTCACCTCTATAGGTAACCTTCTAATGCTGAGTGGGGAACAAAATCCGTCTGCCCTGGGATTGTCTTCCTTTAATTCCGAGAAGGATGTCCGAAATTAGCTTTAATTCTCTAAATTTTCAGATACAGGTTCTCCTGGTAACAGTAAAAGCAGACAATAAACACCCGAGCTATCAACATATCAACATATCATCAATTAGAACTAGAATCCTCCTGGTGGGTAAGTAATGGGTGGTGTTGGCTACAGACCAGGAATGCTATCCAAAGCATCAGCTAGAGGCTCAGTGGCCAGCGCAAAATGTTCTGGCAGCCAAATCTAAGCCCTGTGTAGTCCTTGGCATTTTGCTGCCATTTCAAGCGATCTCACAATCGTCCAACTCCCGAACCTGGACCCGAACTAGAACCTCTTGAATCAACTAGTGGCCCGAATGGCCACTTAATGCCCCAAAAAACCATTTGAAAAATTGAGATTCATTGAAAGCAGAATTAGGGCACAGATAAAGTAAAGAATAATCATTCACACGATGCCTAATATGAAATTTAGAGGCTCAAATTTTGCTTCCTGAATGTGGATCATATACTAAATGGCTGGAAAGTGACTACACTAAAGATGTTGATTCACGATCATTTGATGAAGACAACTGATTTATCATGGACCTACTGAGAACCCAGTTCAAAAGCCTATCAACATCCCCCCGCGGGCAAGGCAAGCGGCAATGGCACACTAGTCATGGACTTGATAGTGAAAGACGTCCGGCGTACTGTGGAATTTGTTTATGGGTGTCCTGTAAAGATCAAGGCACATAAGCACCCTTCACATACTCATTTCAATCCCACAAAACGTCTTTGCATAGTTGTTATTTCTATAAACAGGGTTAATGATTATAAAGAGGTTTCACTGCATAAAGATAATGGTTGATTCGTATTAAGTCTATAGGTCGAGTAAATCTTTGGACAAAATTATACAACTCATATGGTTTGAGCACTTTACAGTCATTGGAAAATGGGTGTAATTTCCCGAATCTATTATTACTATAAGAAAAAACCATGCAAAATAATATCCAATCACATCCCATCATATCCCATGCTTCCCCCAGCCCTTAACAAAACCTTATACTACCACTATCCCAACCCAAAAAAGTCTCTATATCCTTCAGAACTACGTTGACGGGAGTCCCATATGTCATATCGGTCCATCCTCCATGCTGCTTCTCCCCACGCCAGACCACAGCAATAGGCACAAGAGTCGTCGCACCATCATCGTTGTTAGCTGCGATATTAATATCACAGATCAAAGCTCCCGAATCACCTGGGGCGGAAACGGCGGAGTTGAGACCGACGAAGACTTGTTCTCGTGAGGGTTCTCGACCGGGTATCTTTTGGGTGGCGCAGATCGTATTTAATATACAGGCCTTCCAGTCAGTTGTACGACTGGCTAGCTTGAAATATGGTATTAGGCTGGGGCATTGATGAGTATTGTCCGCTCTGGAGGTAAAGGGACAGTGGCATCCTTAATGCATTGTATTTTTCCCTCCAGTCTTGGAGTTGGGCGGCAGAAAAATCGTCTTGGGTGAAGTCTCCGATCGTTATCAAGAATTTTGGGAAGAATTTATTGAACTGTGATGAGTATTAGTCTCGTTTTCTAAGGAGATAGGAATCATGGGTGTTAAATACTGTCTTGTCGGTGTCAGTTGAAGGAAGATCATCAATACAAAAAAGTGCCCAATCAAGAAATCCATCATACATTGACGTTATGCGCCATTTTTCCGGAGCAGCATAGACATGTCCGATATTTGGGTCATGCTGTGTTACAGCGTGGAAAGATGAAACCGAGGTCTTTTCAAGATATTTGTATTCTTGGATTTTGTCGTGAATGATACCGGGATCGGACGATTTCGATAAAAATTCTTGGAGACTTTTGGTCCTGTTTTGGAAGGCCTTAATATTGTTTCGTAATTCTGTTTTGTAACTTCATGATCCACAAGTGCAGGAATACAGACCTCCAATCTCTCATTTTCATTGTATTTGTATGATGACGAGTCTGGAAAATCTGATTCTGGAAAGAGTACATGTCGACAAGTAAGACCATAGATTTTGTTTTCGTAGGAAATAAATCCAGTAAATGATCCTGCTGAGATGGATTCTTTATTGCCGATCGAGGAGCGAGGGTGTGGGGGATTACAATATAGTGGTCCGAATCTACTGGAAGGGTCTTCACCAGCGTTTCCGTTCGAATATCTGAGTGGGGGTTCTATGATTTGACAAACATCTATACAAATCCTAGAAAGAAGTTAATATGATGATTTGGTATATTAGCGCAAAATAGATTAATATGGAAAGTGGAAAGAATACATACTTATCATGGGTTCCCTGTTAGATCACCCGCTCCATGCCATTTAGGATCTCGACAGCAGCAACCTCGTTACCGTTGAAGAAGCCTGGTGTTTCAATCAAAAGATGAATAACAATGGGGATGGGGTTTGATGATGGGATATCCTTGAAGCCAAGTCGGACAACATTCATGGTCCATTGATACTCATCAGGGATTGAGGAGAGGAGAAAAGCCACAAGTGGTCGTTGAAATTTTTTGTTGTAAAGCTTAGAGAATTGTTGATCTTGAACTGGAAAGATACCTTTTTTGGTTGAAAATGTTGAGACGGAATTAATGCTTAAGACGACATCTCTTGACTGATTTGTGGCAATAATTTCCTGTGATCGCAGACCATAAAGGCCACGGTCAACTTCCTCGACAATTCGAGACATTTCTTTCTTTTGAGGGTTATATGAAAGGGAGGAACCAAGAGAATCTGTAATGAGTTTGAGTTTTTTTTTTGATCTAGGACTGAGATAGGAGATGATAAATAGTTTTAGGAGATGTTCTTTTACCCTCCTCTACTGTTTGTAATATACCCATGGTGGCCATTTTCGTTAAAATGATCAGAAGATTTGTCTTGTAGGACAAAGGCCTTTTTGAAAAGATCTAGAATGTAGTGTTAGAGATCAGAAATTGTACGCTCGTCTATTAGTGTATATAAGTTAAGTATCTGCTTGGAAAGATGCTCGGTATGTACAAACGAGATAATGCACAATACTGTAAGTGATGGTACGGTAGATCACGGTAGAATAGACAATAGTACGGCATTTGACAAACCCTCAGCAAGTTCTTGACCCATATATCATAGATTTGACATAATATACGGTCAACATAGATAGCCATATATTGAATGTTTTGGATGAAAAAAGACTTTGATTGCCAATCATTGAGAAGATTATTCTTATAAATGTAAAGTGGGTTGAGTATTATTATTGTAGGACCGAAATCATATATATTCTCATTTTAATTACAATTACACCTGCTATATCATATTCTTATACGATCTCCTTTCCTCCTAGCAATTTCGATCGACCTATGAGCAGAACTGATTGTAATGGACAAGATGGAAGCACGTTGCTCCGGTCGAGTAGCTATCTCTAGTAAAATTACTCTGCATATTGCCAGCATTAATTAGGTATCTTGATGTGCAACATACATATCCCATATACAAGGTCTTATAGGGCCATTTCCTTATGCAAATCAATACCCTAAGAAGACCTAAATAGTATCAGATAAGAATATAGGTTGAAGTTATTGGAATGAAAGTAAACATCAAAACCTTGCTGTACGCGTACGTACTGTAATTACCCTTTGTAGATTAAAGAAAAAGGAGAAACTCGCTTAAGTGAGTCGCAATCTGAGCAATCTGATTGGTCTAAAAAATCTAACTAAATGCTTGGTGCAAGCCTTAAAACCTCAGGTACATCTGATTCGGAGCTTTTTTCAACTCAATTCATGCAACTCACCTCTAATAATAATAACATTTCTTCGCCGTGATAATAACACCAATGTCCATCTCAGCAGCGCTAAAATAGTGTGTCGGATGAAGTCTCATTTGCACTTTTCGTTATTCTTCTATAGTGGATAGCAAAAAGTGATATAAAATTAAAGCAAAACCGACCGACGAAACGCCTTGCACCGCACACACCCACAATTAATCCTCGTAATAATAGACAAAGACGAGTTTAACCCTCAAAAAGTGGTATAAAATAAGAGGAAACCAAGATATTCGGCGGCAAGGAAGAACTATTTAATTCCCAACAGTCCCTTTCTTCGCTCAGATACGCTCAATTCCTCTCTCTTTCTCCTCATATCTCCTCTTCACAATCTTCCCTCAAATTCCTCCAACATCTCCCTCCTCACCGTCACCGAATCTAGCATAAAGATGTCTAAAAATCTTTCCGGATCCTTCAAAAACTGTTCAAACATTTTGGCTACACCACAGTCATATCCGTTATTTGACGTGTCAAAAGTCGATGCTGTCATCGAATAAATGATTGGGGTATATCGATATTGGATTTTACTTTTGTGCTACTAATGATCCATCTTTGTAATAGAGCCACGGCTTTTCTGTGGTCCGTTTTTTTATAGAGAGTGTTGATTGTAAGGATAGTTGGATAAGGTTGATGAGTTTGACGAGAAGTGGTTGTTGGGGTATTCGAGGCAAAATCTTTTGAATATTCCAGATTGATAACAATAGCAAGATACCAATGAACATTATTGAGATTTATAAGAATAATCGTATAATATCTTATAAAAGCCTCGTTAAGTTTGTCCCATTTTAAAGAATCTTTCCCACTTTGGAAAGCTGGTAGGAGTAGAGATGATTGTAAAAAAAACCCTAGATGAACCTTTGTATTTGTCTTTTAATATTGATATTGAAAGATTAACACTATCATCATCCAACCATGCTTTCACTCGAAGTTTTGACAAAAGATGTTCCCCAATCGTTATATTGTTGACACTGAGCTTATCATTTTTGGGCCAAGTAAGGAGGGCCGTCGTCGGGGTGGTGAAAATAAGGTTGGCTTCTCCTTCTTTCTCATGAAAATCTCTCTCTCCCAGCATAGCCGGTGTAAAAGTCGGCGGTGGCGGTGTTGACTTAGCTCTCATAAAATTCTTTTCCTTTGCTGCTGTTTCCCCTGTTGCCAGACTACGAACGGGAATCTCCGCCTGCGGCGGCACAGAAGAGCCAGACCCGCAAGTTCGACTCTAGTTTCTCGTTCAGCTGAAGGATTATCATCATGACAGAGTGAACCATCTTCGCTCATCGATTCACTTCCTGTTCCACCACCTCCTCCGCCCCCAGCCCACCACTCATCGTATGAACCATAAACTACTTTGTCTTGAAAGGAAAAAATATGCTTCTTCCCATTGTGATCAAGAATTTCATATGCCACGTTTCTACCCATATTAAAATGTTCTCCTCTCTTTACAACTTGTGGTCGAGGAGATACTGTTGCCTTAATCGTTGCCGTTACGGCTGTGGTTAAGGTTGCTGCGAATGGATGTCAAGGTGATGATGAAGGCATATGAAGTGATGGATTAGGATAACCTCTTCGAGCTAAGTCTGGGGTTGAAGGACTTTGATTCTGAAGTGGTGGATGAAGTTAATGGTGCCGAGCTTCCATAATGTTCCTTCCAGGGAGCTTGTAACCCTCCAAAAACATGTTTGATCCTTCATTTCCACCACCCTCTCCATCTTCGTGAGGTTCTTGTTCCTCTTCTTCATGTCCCGCTCCCACTTCCATTTGTCCCCTACCTACTCAGCTTTCTCTCCACGACCTTCTTCGACATTGTCCTCGTCGGCGTCAATTCAATTGAGGCGGAAGGCAATGCCATTGTTATCCCACCTATTCCTCTCATAATCCCCGTTCACTTTCTTTTATGTAACATTTCCTCTTTCCTTCTCTTCTAGAGATCTTTCTTTGCACGTTCTGTGTCCTCCTTTGTGAACCAAGTCAAATCGTTTCTTGACCCTCGTTTCTGGTTGCCCTTTCGGACCTCCCTTGTTTTTCTCAGTGCCTCAATACAACGGAAAAATTGTAGACCGTTTCTGCTTGAACTAGTTTTATATCCCTTAACGGATCCCGAGACTTGTAGCGTTCTTCTACCCAGCTAAAAGTAAAATTCCCATACATTCTTCAGTGAGAAAATTGTCGCAGACTTTCTGCTAATATTTCCTTGTCCTTATGTAGTTTGTCCAGTTATGGTAGTGAAAAATCCCCATAGTTTTGAAGATGATCTTGTTCTCTACATCGTGACGATATAGAAGTTCATTGTCGCCATCGCTCTCGACGTCGACGCAGACATTCTTGTCGCCATAGTTTTGCACTCAATCTTTATTTGCATAACATCGATAAAGGTCTTCCCAGCTGTCAATGAGCTCGTCTCTCGCACCAGCAGCAATTTCTGAAGTTGATTGAAAGATGGTTGGGTACCGTTCTAATTCGATTCGACATCCATTGTGTTGTCGAATCCTCAATCTCGCATTGGCAGTTCGTCTTCTTCGTCCTCCTAATTATCGTCGTCGCCGTCGTTGTTGCGATTCAATAGGGTGATAGTGACTGCAATGGTTATTGATTCTCAAATATAAAGGAATGGATGAAAGGGGAGAAGGAGCGGCAAAGATAAGGGATCCGATGGAGGAGCAAAGGAAGAGTAAAGACATAATCCCCACACTTAAATCATAGCCACCTGCGGCGTCGTGGCTTCGTGGCTTTCCTGTGGCTTACGTCGGAGTGCGCGATCCTTGGGCATCCTCGGGTCAGGAAGTACGGAAAGCTACGAAGAAATGCCCTGACGCTTTTCCATACGATCAAAATATCCGTTTGTTGGTTTAAATTTCCATCTCTTAATGTCGACCTCCGGATTTGTATATTTCAAGAGCGCCTTAGCCATATCATCGATCCATCCCTCGAAATCTGTTCACCCCTTTTATTCGCAGCTATCATTTTCGCGTAAAGGGCCTCCTCCATTTACCAAAAACTGGTTGCACTGCCCATACATCTGCGGTAATGGCAGACTGGGGCAATATTAGAAGCCAGGCCACGGAGGCATTTCACAGACACGGAAGGGACAACGAATATAAGAGTTTGAGGTAATGGGAGCTTTGCTTATGATGTTGGTATCTATATTGAGAAGTTTGAATGGATGCTTGGCAACAATTGATCAGCTTTAATGGATAGTAGTTGTAATGAAAAGGATCATGGGGACTTAGTAGCTCCACCATCCTATGGATACAGGGATAAATGCAGTAATAACGGAGCTATCGAGAACTTCAAGAGCTTCTCGCAATACTATCCTCTGTTTATTGTAGTGACTCTCTTCTTGATTTAAGATGCCCCAGAACGATTTCAGGTTGCTTGAGGGTAGATGTTTTGCTACTCTTGGTTTTGACTAGCTTAAGTCGAAGCCATTAATCCCACGAGATGAAGAACATCAGGCATTATGCGAAGTATAGCGAGCTACGCAGCATCCATGACATACAGCGAATATGGACGACCAAGTAATAGATGACTCCAAAGACTATGTAAGACTTGGCTCCTGCAATGACAGTTTCACGATGTTGGAAATGGTGTAGGTAATATATTGGTATTCTACGTAGATAGAAAGAGGCGTGGGAGAGCACCATCCACTACATAGAAGAGGGTGGGTACTCTGGAACATCAATACTAGCTGGGAACGATTAATGTACCTGTGGCCGTGTCGCCTTTAAATCCCATTCATTGCTAACCAGCCATTAAAATAAAGTAAGAAAATATCCATCCAACCAAGTGTGGCGTTTCTATCATTTCGACCAGCGGGAGGCTATTGTCGATGATGGCGGTGCCTCTTTAACTATCGCCGGTAGCAGTAAAGCCGCAGCTGGGTGCGCTAATATTCAGCTTGGAGGCCAGGTTCCCCTGAGTAGAGACGGTGGTATCCAACCATTTCCTATCAGGTCTCTCGCCAGCTGCCAGCTTGGTGCATAGTGTCCCAGTTTTACTCGATAGATCGTGGTGTCCATTCTGTCATGGTTGTCAAGCATCCCGTCAAGGATACACTTTTAAACAGGCTCCTCTTCATCCCCGCCTCTCTCAAGCAACCTTCCCTCTGGTAGACTGGACTCGGACTCGTTGACTGCTGCTTGTTCCGGAGGGCAACTTCCTGACTTGCGTACCGCGGCTAGCAAGCAGCAGTGAAAAACTGAGGAAATGCACGCAATTCCTTGGAGTTGAATAATTTAAGAGCGTGTATAAGTCTTCACAATTTCACATGGTCCAGTCCATCTCTCATCCAGCTTCTTCACTGTGTGCGAAGTCTTCATGTTCGCCGCATTCGCACATATCTTCTAGCCGATAATCTAGCGTGGTGGATCCGACCGATGGCAGTTTGCGTATTCTCCGTAGGCTGCCACTGCCTGTTTGGCTTAGGCTTGTAGTTACTCTAAAATACGCTTCATGTGATCAGTGGTTTTGTTAACTTTGAAGAACTCGCGTTTCTGAGCTTACGACTATTTCCGGTGGATAGGACTTGCTAGTCCCGGCGCTATTTGGGGGTTGGAACGGTAGTTTTTAAATAATGTGGCACAACCGGTGGTCTCTGGGATCAAGTTGTTGCACGCGCCAATCCATCCATCCAATCATCTTGATGAAATTTTACAGATGAGCAAAAGTACTGTTCCAGGATGGATTTGGTTTTTCCGTCTGTCCATCCGTCTAGGAGTGAAAAGCGGAGGATTATCTCAAAATGATGCCAACTTCGTGCGAGCGCGCAGTTCTTATGCCGGGATGTAAGCATCGATTTCCTGGTGAAGTGGTGGCCACCGGCAACTGCAAGAGACATGGTCTATTGTCTCAGTCAGGCCTAACCGTCCGCCAGAACCCAATGGGTGGGTAGGATAAATGATGTACGTCGAGCTCTTCATCTGGGTTGACGAATAGATTCCCGCTCCATGTCTACCGAGAAATATAGACCGCCAAGCTTGTTGAGGAACTCGTCGTTTGTGGCAGAGTCCGGCGTTTCTCCTGCGATTCCTTCAATTTATTTCCATCATTCCTGTCTTGCAGTGCCATCAGCAAATATGCCACGTGCAGGAGCCTTTTCTTTTCCTTTTTCTTTCCTGTTTCCTTTTTTTGCTCGGTACTGAAAAATGCCGCGCCGCTGGCGCAGCAGTTCTAAATTCTAAACTTCCAGGCCCCGTATTCACCCTAACGCGCTGTGATACCCGCCTTTGAAGGTGTAGGTTTGGTAACAAGGAGTGAGTAAGGTGGAAAACAAAGTGAGCAATACGAGGGCGAGGGCAAGGATAAGTGTGAAGGTGTAGTAAGAGCAGGATCGTTGATGAAAGAGTCAAAATCAACAAGGAAATGTGGGGTAATCTCGCGGCCAAAACCAAAGTTTACCAAAAACTTTCCATCTATTAAAGGCAGGCGACACTTTCGTGAAAAGAAGAGAATAGGCTGCTGCTGCTGTAGGAGCAAAGTCTTTTGAAGAATAGAATAATACCATCACAGTGCTGGCAATAATGGTATAGGTTAACACGTTGGTATCCTAGGTGTTATTATTAGAAAGTCATTGCAGCATTTTCGCGATGAATGATTGATGGAGAGGGTGTAGAAAAAGAAGTCACCCCTAGCAATTCGAGCTCGCTCAACGACCCATATCCAAATTCGTCTCAGGCAGGGATTTTAAATTCCCCCACCCTGATCTAGACGGTGTTATTTGTATGAATACGGGAAGATTGAGACGCTACGGAGGGGATGTGAGAAGACTTCAGGATCTGGTGAGCATAACATGTTCCAACCAGCCCCGCCACAGGGAAGTCGTTATGCAAGCCTGGGACTCGCTTCGTTCTTCCTCCTTCAGATCATCGAGTTTATTCTTAAGTTCGCTGACTTGAGATGCACCGACAATTTAGAAGCCAGTCCCAGAAGCTACAGCTTTTTTGAACGCCTTTTCCTCCACAGTGGTTGGGTATATAGCCGTACCATTTTCCGAGTTGAACTTATCTCAGTCGAGTATGTACTGAAATCTCGCCATGACTTGACTCCACGGTTTCGAATGTGTACATCCGTTGCGCACATCGGTTGTTCTCGTCATGCTTATGCAAGCTGCAAGTCAACAAGTGCCATGGACATCTTCTCTCGAGACCAGAATCCAGGCGACTTAGGTCTTCGAGAATTTCTGGTATTTCCAGAAGAGACTCGTACTCGGCCTTTGTCGTCGAATTGTGCTCGAACCGCGGATTGTTCCACTCGTGGAGCAACCACATAGAGACAAATTTTCGAAGTCCATAAAATGGGACCCCTTCATTAATGTCTTGGCTATATATGGACATTATCTGTTCTTTGGAGAATCCAACATAAAGATAATGATGGCATGGCTTAAGACAATCCATGATGTGGTTCGCTAGATTGAAAAGTTGGAACTTTGCAACCAGATAGTATAACTTATCAGGTTGATAACCAAAGTATTCAACTTCTCCATCCCCCTTTTCAAACTTGGCAGCCAAGGCTGGTAGTCTATGGGTATGGAGCCAGTTCAAAAGTATGCCGAAGCTTTCGGGGTCACCATTTGGGTATATGGCCTTCCTTCCTATGACCCTTGGGCCGAAACGCTTGAACATTGTCCTGAAAAAGGGAACTTTGTCCAGCAGAAAAGCTTTGTTGATTTCGAATCGACTTTGACACTTCCCGATGTATACGTTGACAGTTTCTCCGTCGACAGTTTCTCCCTCCGCGGACCTATGTAAAACCCTCGTTAGTAACGTGTTAAGATTACCGATATCAAAGAATTTTGAATATTAGACATTCTGTAGGGTTATATAACACTTTGCCATAAAGTCCAACTGAAATCTTGCAAGGCTATGCCTCTCCAATATTACAAAATGTTGAAGTGACCTAGCCAAAATGAACGGCTTTGATGCGCCAAATATTGAGAAACTTAATTAGTACGATGAAATCAATCAAAACAAAAACAAAGTAGAATCTTTCCACAATATTACAAACTCAATGAGCAAAACTTTGGGATAAGTCGTGACAAAACAAGAAATTCAGGTATCCCTAGCTTCATTAAGTTTATGTGCCAGAGTTAATGATAACAATGCTTCCGATGTTTAGTGTTTTGCAAAGAAATGATAACCCACCATAAAATTGGTCCAGCTGCATCTACGTTCGCCATAATGGTTTGCGAAAAATCGTTCGTTTAAGTGATACTACTAAAACGAATACCAATGGGTCGCGGACAGCAACTATGTGATACGCGAGTCGGCAAGTGATGATGTCACGTTGCAACGTCTAATCTAGTTTATGATAATGAGATAGATGAACGTATCGCCTAGGTGAGGTCACCTACACGGCGAATATTGTACCCAAGTGCAATAAACCTTATTATCGTAGTGTCCTAGGAGATGTAAATATTTTGAAGTGATTCGAGAGAGATGACGATGCAACGCCATGTCGGTATAGGGAAATTAAGCCAACGGTGGTATCGTCGAACCCTATTCCAACCGAAGGTTATATGCCAATATGACTGACCTTATACCGTTGTTCTCCTCCGATATGTATTTCTTCTTGGAATAATTTGAGAGGGGGGAGGAGCGGGGAAGGTTAATGGTACTATGTCTTCTAAAACAGCTCGTTAGATAGATGATGGTGGCTGCTAGGTGACACCGCTGTTCAAAGACAAAATATTATGATGGGAAGAATAAAGTACCTTGCTGTCTTCCGAGTTATTGGAGGTATATGACCTCGAATTCGATAATTTTGGACTAGATTGAAGGTATATCGACTGCGGGTCTAGGCAAACTAAGTTAAATTGGATAAGTTAGACTTAATTGGGATAATGATGAATTAAATGGTCGAAAATTAAGGATACTCAAATGATTGATTGTAATCTTGATAAATTGAGGTCTTTTAGAAGTGAATGATTGAGTGAGGATGTACGACGTGAAGGATGAGGATGAGGATGCGTTGAAGAATAAATATTTATGGGCGAGCTTAAAACTTTCGCTAATTGTAGCTCTAGCTTTAATCTTGCCGCACTGACGTTTACCTAATTAGCTCTACTCAAATATTATTTTCAAGGACACCGAGAATCGAGAGGAATTTATAGAAATACTAAGTATTTCTGTGATTTAGAACAAGAAAAGAAATGCTAAATACTGGAACAGTTTTCCTTGTAGGTGGAAAGAAGATTATCTTATTATTGGAGCTTAGATTACGATTCCTGGCTACATAGATCCGCGATCGTACTTGCCACATTGGCATAGCAACATAGATCCAAAAGATGGTAGTTATCTCTATCCCATATCTTAGAAATCTCGTCATTAACGTAATAAAATCATCTCTGTGTCATTGAGTATCATAACTTATAGCTTGGCTTTTGAATGATCTGCCGGAATTGTGATGATCTTTCGTATTGCATCTTCCAATATTGGTATCTGGCTTTGTCTGGTGGTTCTAGATTCTCCTACGTGCCACAATAGATTTATTTTTTTCACGGGATAAATACATTTATTCATAGATTTCGTCTCGAGACGGTCTTGAATTACAATGGCTAAGTCTAGATCCCCTTTCATCGTTTCCTGAGCGTACCCTTTTGAAGGCCTTGCAAATTCATTCACAGGTTGGTATGAGACAAGGTACGTTCTGGTGGAATTGTGATCTGTCTTACTTTGTGAATAATTTATCCAATGTAGCGACGCGATTCTAAATTGAGGTATTAGCCTATATGATTAAGCAGAAATCTCAATATCATTGGTGTCCTAGGGCAATGTTGGCGTAAAATACGGCGGTGTATATAGCCTCGCGCCGTACATTCCCCTTCATCTTCAGCACCAACTAAGCGAGAGATTGTTGGAGCTCCACAGAAACACTTGTAGTGGATTTTATCCCGAGAAATGAGATTTCACGGACATGCGAAATTATAAAATTGGGGGATCAAAAGCGACTAGATGATTGTTGACAGGAAGGGATTGTGTTACATAACATTGAAATAACACTCACATCCTCTACAGGATTAGGAAGTTATGTTGTCAGTCTCCATTATCAAGGATAGGTGAAAGAATTGGCTGTGATTTCGAGATCCGAAAAGGACCACAACGAACTTCCTGCTTGAATGAAAATCTAGATTTAAACACCTTTGTGTCGTACCTGACACTTAACACTTGATTCCGCGAAAAATGCTAATTCACATGGCGATTTTGGTCAGTGCAACTTGATATGTATGCCCTTGGTTATGTGGACGTTTCCCGAAAAAGAAAAAGTTATCATGTCCAGTGAATACGATAAATCAAGGCTCAAAGCATTCAGATGGAAGCTAACTCTCACCGTGAAGCCACTCTAAATTTCCTTGGAAACTGTCCTGGAAAGATGAAGAGATTAAGACTGATGCAGATAGATTGTTTGCTGGCGGGGTAACAGTAAAATTAGCTTATTTGAGATTGCAACATTGTTTGAGGTTTTGTTTACTTTATCCAAGTGAATGTTAGAGATTTAGCGGCCAAAACGTTGAATTTCTAAGCTAGAATTCGATTTGAATATAACCATAAAATCTCCTGCATTAATTAAATGGAGCAGAACGATTAGATAATAGTGAATAAGAAAAGGCAGGCAGAATTGCTGTAAGAATTTCTCGAAAACATAAAGATAGATCATTCCCTTTCGAGCTTCATATTGGGTGTCAATATAAAGTATGATCGTTATAGGTAAATCCAGTTTGATACTATATTCTACTGCCTGACTGAAGCTACTAGGTATCTACGGTGGACTTTTTCGCACGTATCTATGGTTCATACAACAGTTCATATCCTCTATTAATCCCATGTTCCACAACTATTCCCAAATCTCCCTTTGAATTCGAAAGAATCATATTTAATCAGGTTTGTTTACAAATTAGCTTTCCCAGAGGTCTTGGCCCTAAGCTGTTCAAGATCGTAGCCCGAGTACGAATCCTAAATGAGCTACAGGGAAAATTACATCCATCTTTACACTGAATCTGCTTCTAGCCTCTATTTTTGATGGACTGGCGAACAATTGGTGCTTTGTGAGTGCGTACTTATAAGCTGGGTCTACAGGATTTCTTGATATGAAGAATTCGAATTACTCTAGCACGCAAGTTTATAGACAAATTCTTCCCTCAGGTCTGTCGTCATGGTGAATATGGTGATAGTTATTAGCCTGTTTCGCTACAGTTCTTCAACAACGCGGACAATACACACATTCTCAAAAGGTTAGTCACAAGTCTTTTCGTGCTCAGTCTTGGGTTGCTTTCCCTTCATGCTAATCCGTGCCAATAGAAATCGATTAGCTCTTACTGTCCCATCCTGCCGTCAAAATATATCATGGGGTAATAAATCTTTGCATGAAGTATCTCCTTATGCAAAAAGAAATCCGATATACAAAAATTGCCTCTTTCTCTGATCTACTTGCATTTGACCCATTAATTAACCCTATACACAGACGCTCACATTAAACATTTGACAGTTCTTCCTCTGAATGACTGATACCGACATCAGCTGTTGAGAACGATATATCAATTCTTGAATAATGGTTGAAGGGTTCCATGAATGTCAGTGTAGTCGATGGGTGGTTTGGGTATATAGGTTGGGTATAGTTAACCACAGTTATAGATAGGCTGAATTCGAAATTTCGTTTGTCTATCAATCATAATTGATTACAGATTTTGGACTTAACAAATTATTGTCGGCTTGCCAACACCAAAACCTTGCTGCATGCGAGGTTTACCTGGTGTAGATAGTAGAAAATGAGAAACTCGCTTAAGTGAGTCGCGATGCTGATAATCTGATTGGTCTAAAATACCCCGGTAAATAATCTAACAAAAAGCTTGGCATAAGCCTTACAACCTCAGGCAAATCTGACTTGAAACTTTTTTCAACTCTATTCATTCAATTCAACTCATTCAACTTATAATAATAATAATAATAATTTCAGAATCTATTAATAATTATATAATAAATTTATAATTAAAGTTTCAATTGATTTTATTTATTCGTTATTGAAATATTAATAATTGAAAATGATGATTTTTGATGTAAAAGAGTGGCCGAGATTAAAAGTGACTGAAAAGTAGAGTATTAGACTAAGATAAAAAAAGTTTAAAATTTCATATTTATATTATAGATTTTGTTTTATTAAAAATAAAATCATTTCAAATAAAGAACAAAAATACTTAAATATTATTTTATTTAATTTTTCTATAGAAAATATATATATAATTTATATTTTTTGTTTAATATTAAGATTCTTCTCAAATTTTATAATATGAAGTTATTTCTAGAATTTTCATGATTAATTGTAAATAATTTATAAATTTTGATAACCATTTTTTTTTGGATATATCAATGAGTAATTATTAAATTACAATTTCATCAGTTTATTATTTACGGTTTAGATTGGGTTTTCAAAAAATGGTATGGTTAATCACCTATTGAGTACACTAATGAATGTGATACTTTGATACATCCATACCTTAACTTGAGGGATACCTAACTTATGTGATTCCAACTTCGTGTTGATCAAGTCAGTAGCTAGAAGCACAGCAATGGTTACGAGGTAGATATTCCCCCATTGCTACGTTTCTAAACCATCATTATCTGTATATAAATATCTCGAATCCTGATCCCGCACCATCTTGAAAAGATATTCACCAGGGAATCGACTGATACAAGAGTTGCGTATCTCAAACTGTTAGATTCAAATTGCTCAGCCAAAATTGGAAGCCACCGAAGATCGAAAAGCTCTATTTTTCACTTGCTTTAGCTTTATGAATTCAAATTAGATGTCAACAAAAAGATTTGGGGACCAGATAGGACTTGAGATGGGTGGACAAGGTGGGAAAAAGTCACGCAATGAGAAATCAAATATTTAGTTTTGCGGAGCAAATCTATTTGGTAGAATTCATGTTCATTTTCTTGATCAAAGAGACAAGGAGTCGTATTGTGATATTACATATTTTTTCTATTACACAGTCAATGAGCTTCTGCAATTCCCGCGATGCATTCTGTGCTCAGAGCTAAGTGATATCATTATCAAAAACGCTGAGACTTCCTTGCTGAGATTATTTTGTGCGAAAGGTCTGTGTAGGCCAGCGTCTAATGGTTTCAAACGACTAGAAATAAATAATTTTCCGTAATTTTAATACCCGAGACTACAGTCTAGCTTTCAGTGTTTCCATGGTCAACAAGCTGTCAATGGTGTAATATGACTGAATGGCTCGAACGAACTTCACAATCCGGATGAATTGAATGTTCGGAATAAACCCCTTTAATATATGATACTACCTCAAGAACAGGACTTCCAATGACTGACTCGGACTAGCGGAATAGATGTAAGGTTTCGAAGGTCGAGGCCAGTTCACTATTTAAAAATGGATCGGTGGTTAAAACCATTCGAATATTTCTATGAATTCAACAACTCGAGGACCCTGATTGTCGGGTTGCAGTCGAATAATCAGAATTCTGGTCGAGAGCTAAGATCAATTCCTTGTTGGGCTGCATTTTTCGTTGCGAGCCTGGAGGAAGTCTTGGCTTTTTCGGCGATGGCTTTGTCTTTTCCAAACCATTTTCATATTCACGAATTGTTATCTTTCCATCGTCCATATACTTCGGCACCGGGCATTCTTCATGCTCCCGATGCACATGGAATTGGCAACCAGGACCTTCGCGCGGATCTTCGAGGTTCCCAGTGCGGGTTATGTCTAAATAATCATGAGCGAAATCTGTGTGCTCCTCCATGACATACAATAAGTGGGTAGTTGAGAGACTGGATGACTTGTCGAAGTTGCGAACTGCATACGCAGCGTTTTGTGTAACATACTGCCTAATGTTCGACCCCAAGAAAGTGCGCATATATATTAACTTAAGCGTCTTGTGGTTATAATAGACATCTTCTGACCTGTCCAATTTCCGCACAACTTCCATAACTCGATCCATAAGCCCTGTAAGAAGCAATCGTTCTGCAAGAATACACAGCTCTACAGGATTCCACGATATGGAGGAACTCTTATGGTCAGAATCACTGGCTTTCACTATCTCAATGCCCCGTAAGCAATCTGTGTAGACCCATTCGACAAGGACGTCAAACGTGGACGGTGAAATATCAGGCAATTCGACAAAGGGATCATGATTGCCCTCAAAGAGCTGATTGAAATGAGGTATCTTGTCGCAGAGCTTCTTCTTATACACATGGAAAATCTTCATTCGATTTCCTTGGTCTACATTAATCTGTGCTAAATCCGTTCCGAAAGAGCTAGGTAATTTGTGAGTTTTAATTTCATCCTCCTTAAACATATGAACTTACTCCATATATGGGGTGCTCTCATTCTTGGGTTTATTAGTTACAACTTCAGCATTATATTCAGGCATCGCAGACATAGAAAATGACCTAGAGCGACTCCGTTTTAGAGCCATGGCTTCAAACGCTTGGTCAATGGCCGTAGTTTAATCGAACAATGGTAGGCTGACTCAATGTTCGTTCTTTGGAGGAAGAAGGGCTCGTACGATTTCGTCCAAATTTGTGGCAGAGCGCATTGAGTGCGATAACTTTTCGATTCAAGTATTAGTCTATTGATGGAGACTCGTAAGCTCGGATTGGAAGGGCTGAGTTTGGCGTCGAAGTTCAAGTTGGAATGAACGGATTGTAGATGTTTGGTGCGGATCAATCCAGCTGAGGAAGTATCCACAAAGGGCTTAAATATTCTACAATTCAATCCAAAATTAAACTGTGTGGTTCAATCACTACATTCTTCGAGAAAATAAAACAAGCTGTTCAAGGGTTCGTTACGACCACATATAGCTTCAACGGCATTTCCCCTAGGCGTTTGTAGTTCCTTCTAAATCTGTAAAGTGAATGGATTATGGGAAAGAGCAGATCTCACAAATCACAATCTTCAACAATCAACAATCAAACTTCAAAATCATCATCTTAAACTTTCTTCCCTTTCCTCATATTCATGCTACTCATACAGAATGCAGAAATGCAATAATAAGCCCCCCACTAAAACCAGCCATTTCCGCCGATCCAGCCATTCATTCCCTAACCCAAAAAATAAAAAGTAGAAAAGAAATATAAAGAAATATAAAAATCCCATCCGCTGATCCTCCCAGGGGGTGCGGATATCATTCATATCATATTTAATACCCTATTTCATTAGCTCAAATGATGCAGAAAATTCAATTAAGCATGGACGAATCGAGCAAGACGACCATTAACAGCGCGTTTGTAGTAGCCCTTAACTCCAATACAGACGGCTTCCCCGATGGTCAATTTACACTCGCTTCCTAGAGCTGGGTTCCAGGTAAGAAGATTGGCAGAGCTGACACCATAGAAGTTCTCGATGTTTTGACATGAGCAGCCGGTATCTTCGATGATTACCCATTTGTCACAGGTGGGGATTGTACCGGTGGCAATTGGGGCTGGGGCGATGGTGCCGGTGGCGGATTTAGTGGGTATGACTGTTGAAGATGCTTTTGTTGAGGTGGAGCTTGCTACTACTGTGCTGGAGACCTTGGTCGTTGAAGCTGCCGTGGAAGAAGAAGCTTTGCTTGTCTCAAGGCCAAGCGCAGAAGAGGTAGGATATCCGTAGACTGGGCCACCAACTGTTGTGGTCGCCTTAGTTGAAGAGGAGGAGGATTTACTGGTCTCATTTCCTAGAACAGATGAGGTGCCGGATGAAGCGACGGCGGTCTTGACTGAGCTAACTCCGGAAGCAGAGATATAGAGAGAGCTGCTGCTCACAACAATGCTAGGAGACTTAGCAAGCGAAGTCGTAAAACCACCATATCCTTCGGTTACGTGAGTTGAAGTGCTGGCACCTTTGACATATGAAAGCGTGGTATCAGGGTGGGTACCGTATGAAACAGATGAGACACCTGTACCAATGACCTTGCTAGATGAAGAAACTCCAGTTCCTGAAATTTTGGTAGTCGAAGAATAGACAGGAGCGCTCCCGTATTCATAAACGGATGAAGTGACTCCAGTCCCAGAGAGCTTGCCAGTAGATGAGAAAGCGGGAGCAGTTGCATATCCATGGATGGATGAAGAGATTCCAGTCCCGGAGAGTTTGCCAGTAGATGATAAGGCGGGAGCAGTTGCATATCCATGGATGGATGAAGAGATTCCAGTCCCAGAGAGCTTGCCAGTAGATGAGAAAGCGGGAGCAGTTGCATATCCATGGATGGATGAAGAGATTCCAGTCCCGGAGAGTTTGCCAGTAGATGATAAGGCGGGAGCAGTTGCATATCCATGGATGGATGAAGAGATTCCAGTCCCAGAGAGCTTGCCAGTAGATGAGAAAGCGGGAGCAGTTGCATATCCATGGATGGATGAAGAGATTCCAGTCCCGGAGAGTTTGCCAGTAGATGATAAGGCGGGAGCAGTTGCATATCCATAGATGGATGAAGAGATTCCGGTCCCGGAGAGCTTGCTACTAGAGGAAGAAGCATGAGAAGTTGCATATCCATGAATGGATGATGAAACACCAGTACCAACAATTTTGCTTGATGCGACACCAGTTCCGGATACCTTGATGGATGAAGATACGCCAGTTCCAGAGGCTTTAATAGTAGTGCCTGATGCTGATCCTGAAGTCCTACCAGTGGAACTGACAGCAGTAGTCGAAGCATTGGATGAAGAGGCAGAGCTAGTTGGCTTGGCAGAAGTAGTAGCTGCCTGTGTGGTACTGGCTGCTTTAGTAGAGGAAGAGACTGGAACGGTACCAACAGTCTTGATAGATACACCTTTGATAGTAGCTGGAAGAGTTGGGCCAAGTGGGAAACATTTATCGATAGGAGTGATCAAGTTGCTGTTTGAATAGATGGTGGTGTTTGCCTTCCAGGTCTTGTCTCCACCAGATTCGGTGTACACACCAAGTCCAAGATCAACACCAACTGTTGCACCCAATTTAACACCAAAGACATCGGCTGAACCAGAGCATACACCTTGAGTGTTGAATTCGGCTCCGAGATCAATTTTGACATCTGGGATTGTGAGGAAAAGTCCACCTCCAAAACCATACTTGCCGAGAACGGTAAGTCCAACATCAAGACCAATTGAGGTGAACAATTCCAAGTTTCCATCAACCTCCACGTCGACCTTGGGAGTTTGAGGAGTAATAGTTGGGATCCAGCCGTTGAAGCTAGAATCAATACCACTGATACCGAGAACAGCAGAAGAGGAATCAGGGATGGCAACGTTGATACCAGCGCTGATATCGGCATTTCCTTCAATACCGCTGAGAGTGAAACCGGCATCAACACTGAATTGTGGACCCAAATCGATGATCTTTGGAATGGACCATCCTGGAAGGCCAACAGTGATCAGGTTCCAGTCTTTTGACCATCCGCTACCTAATGTACCGGATACCGTAAATCCAAGAGCCAAATTGGCACCTACACCTTGTGGAGTAGCATTGATAGACACAGACTTTACACTAGTAGGAATACCAATGAAGTTGGTGTTCATAACAATCTTTCCTTGAACATTGATGGAACCAGTGGTAGCACAACCTGGGCAGGTAATGGAGAAATCGAGTCCATTATTGGTAGTCTTGCTGAAGAAAGTCTGGGGAAGATCGTGGGCTAAACTGAGAGATAAGGACTTGCTAATAGTGTCATCTCTTTTGGTTGAAGTAGACGGCATAGATCCAAATTCAATAACAGCATCAGACATAACATCATCCCAGTCTGCAAGGGTAGCATTGAAGTTGACGATGAAGTTTTGTTCATCGTAAACATCGACTCCGTGAACAATCCATGGCTGTCTACCAGATTCTGAGGCAGCGGCGCAAGAACCCCAGTTGTTAATTAAAAAGAATGTGCGATTCTCGTGGAAATTAACCCAAGACCAATCGGCAATGGCATCTTGGAAGGTGGCGTTATCTTTGAAAGTAAGAGCCAGGTCACCTGTGCATTGTACGTCCGTAAGACTGCTGGCAAAGTGTTCAGTAGAGATGACAAGTTCGGTCTCGCCTGTGTTAAGGGTTACATTGACGAAAGTTGAACCTTTTCTTGATTAGCTATGGTAAGCGCCAGGAAGGAAAACTGACATACCATTTGATGATCCCCAGATAAGACTGACTTCATCTTGAAGAGTTATGGTAGGTGGTGCATCTCTTCTCACAAGTCCGAGATCTGCTGGATGATATGGGATTAGTGTCTCTTTGGTACCTTGGGCAGTGCAACCCTGCCATAAAGACAGAGCCGCAAGGACAAAGACTGATTGACGCATGATATTGATATTATGATGATATTCTAAAGGAAAATGAAAGAGATATGAATATCAATTATTCGTATTAACAACACACTCAAAGAATGAATGAAACGGATCAATTGACCCTAGAGAAGAAAAAATGAATGACTAGAGTGGTGTTGTCAAATGAATGTGGAATGAGATGGGAAGAGGAAGTCAGGAGTCCGTGAAACTCCTCTGTCTTATATACCGAGCATTCCCTTTCCAGAGTCTTACATATTTGAAGCCATAAGCTCAATCATCACACATTTTGCATTATTATAGAAGGATTCTTGTGGAGGTAGTGGTAGGAGGAGCCAAGAACTGCCTTGAATTCGTGTGCATGCTTGTAACTCAGCCAAGCGAGTCATAAAGGGTACATTTTTAGAAGACTTCCTCTGCGATGATCATAATGAAAAGTACACAAAATAGTTCATTCAAGATTAGGATGCTGATTATGGGCAAATTTCGGCTATTCCTTCAACAGCATTACCTAGGAAAACATCGTGGTAGCCACGTGAGAAGCTTAATTCTCAAGATGATCAAACTCATCGCATATAATAGCACATCAGCCTCAACTTCTCCAACGGTTTCGAAGGAATAGCATGGTTATCAGACAGTTCCCAAAACCGGTAGGATAAGGACAATAATAGATCTTCTTCATATGAAAATGTAAGCCTCAACTAGACATGAGGTTGCAGAAGGATGTTGAAGGAAGAATTTGAATGGCAGGGGGGTATAAGGTATTAATCTTAACTGAGGCCGTACGTAAAAGGGCCAATAAGAAGATCTAGTACATATGCCATAGAGTCATGTCCACAGCGAGCCGATAATGCTTACAGGTGCGAAGGGAACACAGGGGTAACGATGACTGGCACACAACAATACGCTAGTGCTTATGATTATGTCCGCTTGTGGGTTTGAGGATTCCCCCGCGTACATGGTTTCTGTACAAGCACTGGCAGCAGCGCACAGTCAATTGGAAGATCTTAATTTACAAACGGTCACCCTAATGGCTGATACTTTACGATCAAGAAATAGTGGAGGCCTGATCTTGTGTCCAAATCGTGGAATGTGGATTCTGAAATACAAGAAGTCATCAGATGTTCCCACACTGTCCCGCTTTTAATATATGTCGACTTGTGAAACTTACGGCAGGATTTTAAGGATTGATTACATGATCATATGCTTGCTAAACCCAGCCGAGTAACCATTCAAGTAAGTGACTCGAGAGATCATATCAGGAGTGTCAATCACTGTCAGTTCCAGCAGATGATTAATCCTATTTTTCTTAGCAGACTGTTCAGGAAAAGAAGTAGAAGTAGAAAGATAGAAATTGCTCGTGTTGGGGGCTGTTGGTTTTCAAGGCTGGTAAGCTGACTTAAATTGCTGCGCCTGTAGGATCCAGCCACATTAATTAAAAGAGCTTATGTTGTTGAGAAAATTTGTTACAGTGCAATGAAAAAACATAATTGGCTACCGCTTCACTGGAAACAAATCATATCTTTTCCTTCACTGCTGTAGCTTGTAGGAACCCAGCTGTGTACGGCAGTACGGCACAGCCTTAATTGCTTATTCCAACTGTTGTATTACTCTGCCCCGGTAATTGCGTCTGATAATTTCAGTATTTATAGATCACTATCAGACAAGCCTTTATAATTCATTATCTATTGTCCTATTAAGTGAAGAAAGCTTTAAAAGGTCGTTAAGAATTCTTACAATTTCCACCTTCCAAGACTTTTTTTTTCAATTGATATTCACCTTTTTACTCTCCTTCAAGTAGTTGAATAATATCATTCGCCTTTTATCATTTCATTAACGTTAACAAATTTAAGGCACTTGCATCTTGATCAAATCAACTGCTGCGCCTGCTTCAGCTATTTAATTGTTTTTAAGATAGACAACTTTTAGAATCTCACAAACTCAAATCAAAAATCAACCTTGCAACGACACAATATCAAAACACGCAACCTCCAATCACCAATCAACTCAACTTTAAAACCTCCAAACAATTTCAACACTACAAGTATCAACCATCAAGATGAGTTGCACTGCTCCCACTGACACTGTCTTTGTTTCTATCCTCGGTACCAATCCTAGCTACATAAATGCTTGTACTGCAGGAAACATCACCTCCAACTCCGATGCTGTAAATGCCATGACACACTGTTGTGGTAGTGCTCCCGTCACCGTCCTGATGGATGGTTGCTATAGTTACTGCAATGTCACTAGCAGTACTGATCAACAAAATTGGGAGAAATGCTTCGGTGCCAGCACCGGTACTAACGGTGTTGATTTCGGCTGTACATTAGACGATCTTTCAGGATTCGCTGTCCCTGGCAGTGGTACTATCTACCCAAGTAGCACTGAGTCATCAGCCGCCGCTGCTTCTTCCACTGTTGCTGCTGTCACCACCACGGCAAGCTCTGGTACTTTCACCACTACGGCTACTGGATCTGCCGCGAGCCATTCCTTAGCCTCCCCATCTGCCGCAAGCCATTCCTCAACCTCCGCGTCTGGCACAGCAAAAGCCTCGACCTCCGACAAGGCTTCAGCTTCCGCAACATCTTCCGGTGCTACTGCTTCCGCCAGTGCCAATGCTGGTCAACCAACAGTCAAGCAATTGTCCAAGGGTGCCGTTGCCATTCTCGCACTTGCTTTCGTCGGTCTTTTGGCATAAACGTGAAGGATCATGAAGGAAATTGCGGACTAGAATGGATAATCGATTCTTGTGGTGGGGTAAATTAATATGTTGTGGATTTGGGGACAAATTGACTACGTGGATTACTGGATGGACTGCATTTTCGAAATACAAAGGGCGCGATTTGAGGAGTATAAAGGTGCATAGCGTATTTAACTATAGGTTCATGACTATTCATTCTAGAATCGAATTTTCTTCATCGATTCCAATCGTATGTCTCTTACCTTGATTTGACGTGATGAATATTGTAAGCTTTGTCGTAGTAATAGGAATTGTGCGGCGAGAATGCGAGATCCATAAAAACAAGGATACAGCAAGACAAAAGCAAATTGAAGTAATCTGGAAATGTAAGCAACATGACGATGTAACTATACATAGATCAAATGTAACGCTCCCGCAGGCTAATAGAATTTGGGACTAGAGCCTGATTCTAAATTTGTATCAACCAAATTGCCAGGCAATACTCACAGCCACTTGGTTGTAAGCACCAGCCATAACAACTCATCATTCTACATTGCGATACTACTTCATCGAATGTAGTTTATTGAGTGAAGGCACGAAAAAGGGATGAGATGAGAATGAAAGATGAGATGAAGATAAGAAAGGGAGGCTCAGTAGTAACCTTAATACGGGATATTTTAGATGCCATAAACGCAGAAGCATGATTAGCATGTGCACATGAGTGGTTTCAGGATATTCCTTCAAATTACAACGACATATAACAATTGATTGGTTGATTTATTATCCAATGTGATTTGAAGGAAGTTAGGGCTTGGAACAACTCATTCTTTACGTGCACTTTCCTCAATAAGCAATGCTGATTGATCATTGCCGTCATGCCAGAGGTGGGGGATTCGGAGAATAGTCATAAAACTGTGACGAGAAATTATCATGAAAGGACTTCTCTTGCATTACTTCTTTTGAGTTATTCTCCTAAATTCTTCTCCTTCAACGCGTGAACCTACCAAATCGCAAATCAATATGGCTGATGCTCCAACCTGGGGCCCATTGCTTTACCAACCTCTGGCTGCCGATGAGGTTCGTGTCCTGTGTCTCGAGCCAACTTCTCATTCACATCCTGATGATTCTGCCATGATATCATGTCAAATGCGCCCGATTAGGCTCAAGGAGCTGGGTGTATCTCCCGCATTTGTCGAGAATGAAACTGCAACTGAAAGGGAGTGGAAGGCCCTTCAGCAAACTCCATACGATTACACGACACTATTCAAACCTAGAAGAGGACTTTTTGATCGCGCTCTGAAAGGATATATCCAGTCTTTGAAGGGGAGTCGAGGCAGTTTTCATGAGACTGCTGCACCTGCTGAGAACTCATCCCACCTCTCGGATAGATATGTTGCACTTTCATATGTCTGGGGAAGTCCAGCGGACAAAAAGACAATATTGGTCAATGGGATTGAGATGCAGGTCACTCAGAATCTACATACTGCTTTAGTTCAATTGCGAAGGTCAAATTGGGTTAGACGTCGTGTCAACTTATGGATTGATGCATTATGTATCAACCAAGATGATCTTGATGAGCGTGAGCAGCAAGTAAAGCTCATGCGAGATATCTATGCCATGGCATGGCAAGTGGTGGTCTCTCTTGGTTCGGCAACTTCAAATACTGCCATGGCATATACAGCTTTACAATGGTTGGCCCACGAAATTAGGTCGGATGACAGGTTGAGGCAATTTGCTGTTGATTTCGGGACTTTGCATCATAATACGGCCAGTTCAGTTGAGGCAGCTCCTTACACTCTGCCATGGCATGACAATGCTTTTGAATCGCTCCGTTTATTCTTTTTCTGTCAATATTGGCATCGTCTTTGGATTCTGCAAGAGTTAGCCATGGCTAGAATGGATGCACCTGTTATCTGGGGAGGTCATTCTATGTGTCTAGGCGATATATGGAAAGCTTGTGAGATTATAGAGAAGCAAGAAGATACTGTTTTGCAGTACATCACAACTCATACCACTGACGCTGATCGGTATAAAACCGTAGCTACCATAGATCGTCGACTAGAAGACCGCGACGGGACTCCTGGGCAGCAGTGGAAACATCTTCTTCGTATTAAGAACATGCGTCAAGAGGATCACAGGGGTATAGATACTGCTTTACCAGCCCTCGAATTGGCTAGACAAGCGCAAGCTACTGATGCACGAGATAAGGTTTATGGAATTCTTGCCATTCCTTGCGTGAAAGGACTCACAAACGTATCACCAAATTACCGAATCGAGCTTCCCGAGATATTCACCAATTTTACACGTGAAATGATCTCAAATAACGAACATGGTTTGGATATTCTCAGACTAGTTCATTCTCCAGTTGATAAGGTTATGCTATCTTCAGCGCCTTCAACTAATCCTCATTGGATGCGGAAAATTATAGGAGGTCGTTTTATAGAGGTTGTAAAACCTTGTATACATAGTCTGGCTTCATGGGTGGTGTGTTGGTCGTGTACAGCTGCTCCTGTCATATTTCTTCCCGGTATGTACAAAGCAGATCATGGCTTCACACATCCTACGCCACCAGTCTTCTCTCTTGATAATATCATTTCACTACATGCCGTCTTCGTCGACTCGATAGCTAGCCTCTCAGCATTCAACGCCCACGAGGCCGATGAAACGTACCCGAAGAATTGCACCAATGCATCCTCTATCCGCAATGTATATGGTACCATCGACGGCCTCAAAGAGGCTTTTTGGAGGACTATTTTAGCTGATACCACGCCTAACGGAGAAAAGCCTCCTCCATCATGGGCCGTTCTTCGCTTACCACGTCTATGGTCGGTATTTGGCACATCAGAAGGTGGAGGTTCAGGTCTAGAATTCAGTCTTCACGGTTTCGCGGAACGTAACAAGGAACTCATTATTTGTGGCACGCGTTTAGGAGATCTTACAGCTGATGCTAAAACGATAAAAGAAAGAAAGGTTTATCGGAATGAAGAAAGAGGCACAAGTAGTGATGACATGCGAGATTCTTCATCGTGGGCCGCTAACATCCTTGCGTGGAGGAGATTGATTGGAACCAAAAATGGTAGGATCGGTCTTACGGTTGCAGCTGCTAGGGTAGGGGATTCAATTGTGGTATTGCCGGGATGTAGTGTTCCTGTTGTTTTGAGAAGAGATGGGACGGGCTGGAGACTTGTAGGTGAGTGTTTTGTTTACGGGTTGATGAATGGAGAAGCTGCAGATTTGGTAGGAGGTGGAAGAATACCAATTGAAGAGATACAACTTCATTGACAGAATAATTATCAGAGTCGGATGGAGGTAGGGTACCCCTGGACTTTTCCGTGGTATTCCCCAAAGAAGGGAAATAATTTAAAGACGGGGGCATCATCCTGACCACTTATCAGGGTCACATCTCTCACAAAAGCTATCATTGGATTAATTCTTTAAGAGACCGGAGGCCAAATTGCGTAGTGTTCGGCCTAGAATTTATAGTAAAACAACGCCGGGTTTTTTCTCTGCTCTGATTTTATCATATTGTACTTGTTAGAGGTTAAGTAGGGTGAGGAAGAAGACAAGAGTATTGGAGTGCATGTTCGTCGATGCAGATATCAGGCTTTTGCCTTGCACACACACGATGCTCCTCAAAAGTGTCTGGCACGTGACGAGCCATAATGCCTGGTCTGACCGCTTTCGTTTCCCAACATGCAAGACTTTTCTGCACATCCATAACCAGGTAACCTATCGTTTTCAATTTGATGCACAACTAAAAGATGTTTACGTTTCATCCCATTTGCCAAGATAAACTTATCGTCTTCGGTGATGAATAAGTCCAAATTCTAAGTTATTTATGGCCATCGGACTCAGGATAATATCGGAACATCAGAGCTACTTTCTCCTGTGGGAAATGAGAAGATGCACCTGTCATGTTGATGGAAGTACCTAGGTAGCAACTTGTCCATTCAGCCTTATCAACCCATGAGCAATAGTTCCATCTCCTGGCTCAAGCGGCTAAAGGCCTTCAAGTGATGGCCAGACTTGTCAGACTTCCCCTCCATGCGGTAGGTGTAGCTCTCGCGTCTACCACATTTGGAAAGCTTTTATTAATTAGGTACCATCTTCGACGAACCCTTGCAATTATCTGGTTGTTGATTTGCGTTGTATGTCTGTGGCGCAAGCTCTAAACGGTTTCTACCAATCACATTGCGTATAAAAACAAAATATCTGCAGCATATATTGATTCTTGCGTAACTGCGCCTCAAAAGCCGAAAGAATGAAGTTTGCTATTTCGAAAATTGATGTGGAAGAATCGAGAATGGCATACAAGTACAAGTGAAGCATCTTAATGTAGTTTATCGTTATTCCTTCATTCCTGATTATCAAACATGCAATTTCTTTTCAGTCCTTCATTAGCATAAATTGGATGTTATTATTTAATCGCAGATATGGGGTACCAAATTAGACCCTTACATATATCAAGTGAGGCGCCAGAAGTCGTCTATGAGGAACAATCCCCATACTTAACTTCACCGGATAAATATTTCGTTCGTTCTTACTCCGGGAGAAGGGCATCAAATCATCTAATATCGCCATTAAATAAACCATACGATAATATTCCACTTCAGGAATTTCCACCTCCAAGAAGAGCATATGATCTTGCACCTTATAGACCTCCGCCAAAGCAAAAGAATAAATTCGGGCTGGTACCATTTGTTTTGATAGCTGTGGTTTCCTTCTTCATAGGAGGAGGAATTGGCGGGGGTATTGGAGGTTTGATTGGGAAGCATAATAGTTCGAGGTAACTTTTCAATGCCTGCCGAACATTTGGGTGTAACTGATCACAAGTGTTTCCAGCAAGACCTCTAAACCCGAATCTACGGGTACATCTTCAGGATGCGCACCGAAAGTAACGCAAATTGTGGATTCGGCCGGTTGTCCCAACGTTAACAATACCACTTATACAACACCTGCACCGAGTATAGAATTTCGTATAGCTTGTGCTATCGACTTGACCTCTTCGCCAGGGGAATACATCGAATTAGCCAACGTTACTACCTCAACTCTATACAGTTGTCTGGAATCATGCGCACGATATAATAATGGACAATGTTTGGCAGCTACTTGGATACAATTTTCTCCGGTGCATCCGGAGATGAACTCGAAATGTTTCTTTAAAGCAAATTCTGGGGTTCGCATGCCTTTGAACTCTAGCGGAACAGTAGCGACGAGTGGGTTTCGAATATCTTGATTTGGAGTCCAATGATAAGCTTCTGGTTCCCGCATTTTTTTCAGTACAGGGCTTGATACCAAGAAGTATATGGCGTCAGTCATGGTTTCTCTTCTGATGTCTATAATCTTTTTATGGGCATGGCGTTCATAAGACAGGGTATTTATTTTACACAATCTTCAAAGCTATATTACAGCGGGGTAACTTGGGAGGAGGGTACGAAAGTGTCCATTTGCTCACGAGATACGAAGACATGATGTTGAAGTTTCGCATTGTTTGCGGGCAGTTTAATTGTTAATATGTATATTTTAATGTTCTGAATGAGGTTGTTGGTGTTTTGAGACAACATTCATGATCAAAGGGAGAAATAGCATGCATTGTTAATTAGATCAAGATGATTCCATCAATTCAAGACATGCGGTTTGTTTTACCTACGTCAATTGATCTTTCTTGGTCTCCTAAGAAGGCTTTCTCGCATTATGTATTAGTTCAGTTCTTGGGTTGGGTCTATGTGCAAGATCTGCGCAGTTTGAACGATTGATTCACATTTATCTCTACTCATGTTTGGAATCACAGCCCGTGTGTAAGTTTCTTAAGCTTGTGTCAGAGTTGATTGAAAAATGACGTTGTTCAAGCTCATAGCACGATAGAAAATGCATTCGAAAGTCACTTAAAGGGCAAAGATACCTATCTGGGATCCAGAGTACTTGGTAGCAGACACAATTATATGCAGCTTCAATATCCTCTCTGATAAGACGCTGACTAAATACGAAAAATAGACAATTCTCTAATTTCCTGGTCCGCATGACACACGGTTCTCCGACTATGAGAACATATCCTTGCCTTGCTCGAGGAAGCCTAATGAAAAGCCACTTCTCCATTCACACACCCAGCTTTTTCATTCTCCTAAATACAATACTCCTTTGAAGAACCTAGGGACGCGAGGCGCGTACTTAGATCTTGGAGACAGGGTTTGAAAAACTTTCAGTGTCTGGATAGTTCTCGATGTGCATCTGAAAAGAAAGGAAGACTGTTTGGCAGACCTCAGATAGCAGTTGGGCATTGCAAAACATCAGCCAGGGCCCAGGAAGCTATGTTTTCGGAGAAAAATAAAGTTTACTGCAAGGACCCTCTTGATTCTGTATGGAATGCCGACGGAGATGCTGCGATTGGATCTGCAGAATATTTGGACTGCGTCAGAGCGGTTTTTTTTGGAGTTTCTTTCTAGCGAAAATATGGAGCTTTTTTACAGCTTGTTGAAAGCGAATGAAGATGCTGTATTTTGGTGTGCCTTTATATGGATGGTGCAAGGTTCAGAAGAAATGATCCGGGTATTTAAGGATTTTCAAAGTCAAAGAAAACCAGTACTTGAAGGAACAGGATTGCGGCACAGGGAAAGATGACTCAATATTGTAAACTACGACATGTCCACCACCAAGTGTTTTAGCACATACTGTACAGTCTTGATGAATCCGGAAGCAACATAAATGGTGTGCAAGGAGGAGGTACCAGCAACTGCCGACGGACAAACAAGAAGAGAGGCCATACAATTCTGTGGGAACGAGTCATGATACTTGGTCCAAGACCTTCCCTGGTTGCCGATACTAATCCACGCCAATCAAATGGAAGTGGTAGTTCTTTCCATCCTTGAGCTTCGATTAGATTATTGCTCACATTTTCATGAGTTGGTTGGTTTTCTTGGGATAAAGAGATGACCCGGAGACCATCTTTGAATTTATCTTCCCTTCATCATGTCGCGTCTCGCCCACATTTCATATCTTTAACACTCCGGGAAGTGCGCGAGCAGCTCATAGGTTCTCACACCCATATATTCCAATCTCAGACGCTGTAGCATTCTGATCGCACTTTGGGCTTTTGCGTCAACGTCTAAGCCTTGATGCTTTCAGTCCACGGAAACAGCAACAACGTTAACGCCGATTTTGGGTGCTTGACAATCAATATTCTTCAGTGAAATATTCGAACAGAATCTACTGATCGCATGTTTATTCTTGCTCATCTAGTCTATTCAACGCCATTTTTATTGATACTGAGCTCTATCTTCTCATTTACTTTGGTCTTTACCTTATGGTACTCCGCATACTGCTGACAGCGTTTAATTTGTACAACAGTTCATATAAGAATATCTTCCTGCCAACATGATCTGCGATGCCATTGCCTTGGCGGGTTAGCCAACTCCATGCCCCATATTATGAACTACGGCAAGGTCTCTCTGTCTGCAATCCACAATTGAGTTAGCGATAGCTTTAGGTATGGGATTTGTTGATGTAAGGGTACAACCTGTTTGAGCGTTGTAGCCATAGTTGGCAGATATTCTTAGCATTAAAAATTTCTTTCCACGCTTTCATGTAAAATCTTTCCGAAGGAGGTGGAGTTTTCTCTAGATTATTGAGTTGCAACCTTTCTTACTTCGTCTAAGATTGATCTCGAATCCCTGACCACTACAAGCCTTGAATCCAACGATTTTTTCTAATTTATTGTCAATACTACTCTTCAGATTCTATAAAATTCTGCTAGTGCATCTATACTTAGTGATTTGTTCAATGATGAAGAGACTCATATCGGTTCATTGCACAGCATTTCGCTGAGGCCGACTTTAGGCATTTCAGCTCGTTTTCAGCCTTCGGATCTCTTCCGGAGCTGTTTCCAGGTAATCAATGAACACGATTTGTCCATTCGTACCACCCGTCGTTAGGTAAAGTAAGCACTTACCGATTTAGTATATCGTTCCGATTTGTTTGTGAGCCTCTTCATGCGGCTCATTATTTCTCTAAAGTGTGTCGCCCAAGCAGTAAGATATTAGTATTTGATATCAGCCTCAGTTGCGAACCCTTTACGTCTGCCTGGCTGACGCTGAATTGATATCCTTTAAGATTATTTTCCCAGGTTCAAAATCGCAACAACCCTACACCAGGGATACCATCTCTTCTTCTATTCGTCTACCCAGACTTAAGTCTCAGAATGAATTCCACTTTTGAACTTTTTCGCCGAATTTATATTACTTATTCTTCTACCAGCAGTATCTTGGTATTCGAGAACCTCAACAGACTGAGCTTGCGGTTGATGCCATGATTTTAATCCCGTCAATCGTAAGATTACATCACCACATTCAATTAGCCTCATTCTACGCTCAAGATTTGCGATTTATTTGCTTTCCCAGGTCCGACTTACATGACCCTTAATGCTGATTGGATTCTCTTGTTTTCTTACTTAAACAGAGATTGATCTTGGAAATCCAAGGTCCCAGTACGTTGGTTCCAATCCTGCTTCATGCATTCTTTGCGCTTACTGACACCTTCCATCTTCCATTTTCTATCTACATTTTCCATATTCCTTCTATTCTTCTAGAATAGTTCCTACTAATAATCGTAAGATTACAATGAAATCATCTAGAGTTTCACTAATATTTCTAATCTCTCTAATGCTTCTCAAAGCTTCGCATATACTGATTGTATGAATATTAAATATCAGCAGATACTTTAGATTGGATAATAATCAAAGAATTCCCATCACTCCCATCATTCCATCATTCCATCATTCCCAACTCGAATTAGGTACCTAATTCCATGTATATTTACTTTGCGGTATCATTGGGATTAATACCATTCCCCAATTCTGTTCCTTTAACCCTGCGTCAATTACTAAATGTTACACCATAATATTACACAATCTAGAAGCTTCCCGCCCTAATCTAGAATACGCAATATACGACAGAAAGATTGTTTCATCGCATCTAAAATCCTTCACCAACATCCAATCAAATGAAATGAAATTATCCCTTTTAGTCATATCATATGTAAGATCTTAGTATGTCTACGTTACAGGATGCACTCCAGCTTGCCAAGAATGTTTCTAACCGCATTATCATATGATTGGAGTTCCTGAATTCTTAATTCTGGTTACACAGCCAGTCATAGGTGGGTAGGAATAGATAAAAAAAAAGTGCCTTGTTTGAAATGTTTAAACATTTATACTTGAATCCTATCATAACTTTATCTGTTTTCTTAATTGTAAGGTTAATCCTCTTGGCTTACCTTACTGGAATAATCCTTTGACCCATTGCCAAGACTGCTAAGGATGATGCCTTTAATGGCGGTTAAATACAGTTATTTGCTTCAAATGATTAATGATTTGCGCGCGTTTAGTAACCTTAACCTTAACCTGTGTGATTGAATTTTTTCATGGGTTAAGCAAGGTTACCTATCTACATTTGAATTCAATCATTCAATCAATCAATCAATCAATCAATCAAATCAGCCCACCCCTCCCCTTTGTCCTTCCCCCTCCCCCGCATTCGAAAATTACTAAATTAAGGAGATTAGCATGACCCACTGCGATGTTACTTTATTAAATCCAACGTTATACCTAGATATTGGTATATTAGAAACACTTCCCTTTAGTTTTATACTACTTTATCTTCCAAGGTTCGTGATAATAAAGTTTTCACTCACTTCACTCTCTTTTAGTCGCTCTCTACTTATCATATTCAACTTTTTCACTCCTTCAATACTTCGTTACTTCAATCATTCAATTCTGAAATATTATCTTTTCTAGAGTCTGGATACTCTTATTGTACATACCATACATTCATTCATTCACTCATTCATACACTCATTCCCACAATCCCTTCCACCTTCCTCCTTCCCTCCCTCCTCCCCTCCACCATAAACCACCCACCCACAACCATGGTCCTCACAACCTCCATCCTCCTCCCCCTCTACCTCTATCCCACCCCCGGGGCCTGGACCTGGGTCACCAACGCCATCACATCCTACCCCTCCCTCCCATTCACCATAATCATCAACCCAAGTTCCGGTCCTGGAGCTATCCATCAATATCCAGAAAATGGTTATATATCCGGTATCGCAAATTTGACACAGTTTGATAATGTGAAATTGTTGGGGTATGTGGATACGAAATATATGGGGAAGAGTGTGGAGGATGTTGATAAGGAGGTTGAGACGTGTGAGTATCCTATATTTAGAGTAATCTATGATTTTCTTGCAAGTTTGCAAGTTTGCAACTGAGTAAGTAAGTGATGAAGTTATTGATACTAACAACGAAATGCCAGATAAATACTGGTCCACCTACACCTCAAACAACATCTCCCTCAACATCGACGGAATATTCTTCGACGACGCAATAAGCACTTGGACAACCCAATCCTCAAACTACATGAGCACCATCGCCTCAAACGCACACGCAATGAACCTAACCGTAACATTCAACCCCGGCACACCAGCCTCGGCCGAATTCTTCAACATAGCAGATACTATAATCATGATCGAAGATTCCTATTCCATGTATACATCTTCTTCTTCATCATCTTTATCTTCTTCTAGTAAAGGAAAAGGAAAGGATTCCATAAAAACAATTACTTCCACGAAACAGCAGGAAAAGAGCTCGGTGATATTATATGATTTTGACGGATCAGCTGAGAAGCAGAGTGAGATTGTAAAGGAGATTGTGGGAGCGGGGATCAAGGAGGTTTATGTTACTACGGGGCAGTATGAGGTGGTTAGTGGATTGTGGATGGAGTTTGTGGAGGCGGTTAGTAGGGCTGTGGGGTATTAGGATTTGGATTTGGATTTGGATTTGATGGGTGAGATGGTGAGTTTGGGGTAGAAGGAGGTTGGTTTGAGGATTTAGCTGGACTAAATAGATGGATGGATTTGGGATCCGGAGATGCATGGGCTCTGGGAACTTTTCTTCTTCTTCTCCTTCTTGTTTTTAGTTTTTTTTTCTTGCGAGCCTGTGGCTTTTTTAGATAGATATGGATTGATTGATTGATTGATTGATTCATTAGTTTTGTATACGTGTAGTTGATCTACACACACACTCACACATATACATACAATACCTAGATAACTTCAAGTTGGAAAGAATACAACTTTTTTCCCACAAGGAAGTGCATTGCTATTACCCATTCGATATAATTACCATTTAGGTTCAATTCCTAACGCCGGTTTCCTAGTAGAGTGATAATAATATCGTTTTTTATTTCGTAGAGTTTCCTTATGATTATAGTTTATTAAACATACCCCCTTCCCTCCTCCTCCCAGTTAAAAAAAGAAACTACATATATAAACTTCTCCAGCTTCTCTTTTTTATATCTATTATCAACTCATCTACCTACCTACCTATCTATCTATCTATTTAAATTCTAGAAATAATCTCAAAATAAACAAGTAAGATAAAAAAGAAAGAAAGAAAGAAAGAAAGAAAGAAAGATATTAATATATCGATGTACCGATCTAACCTTCGGTATTTGATTTGTGGATAAGTATATTGTGCTCATTTTTAAACAACGAATATGATTCTTCCTTTCTCCGACTTGTTCAACTTTTCAACTATTTAGTATACAAAGAATAAGAGTAGAGTCAGAGTGAGAGTGTGTGTATTGTGAAAGGAAGAGAGAGACGGGGAGATGAGAAGAATTGGGTGGTTGGAGGGTTGGAAGGTTGAATGGTTGAATGGTTGAATGGTTGAATGGTTGAGAGACTTCCTTTTAATACCTTTACTTCTTTCTACATTTACATCTACATTAACACTCCATCTCCATCTCCATCTCCATCTCCATCTCCATCTCCATCTCTATCTCCATCTCCATCTCCATCTCTACATCTATATCTATATCTATCAGCATCTAACCCTAACCTCCAACCTCCAACCTCCAACCTCCAACCTCCAACCTCCAACCTCCAACCCTCAACCTTCATCTCTACATCAACATTCCATCTCCATATATATTACCCTGTCCCTTTAACCTCTCACCTCCAACCTTCATCACCATATCCACATCCACATCCCATTAATTACCACCTTGCTACTAAACTCAAATCAGAGTATCTTACAAAAAAACAAAAAATAGAAACTAAAAGGAAAAAGAAGAGTATCCACAACTACAGCTGATATCCATCACATTTCAAGAAGATATAATTACTTTGGGGCGATGTAGTGTTTTTATTGAGTATTATTGAACTATGGAGAATTACATGAGAAGTCTCGAGTACATCATTCCATTGTAGATACAAAGCAGTCAATAAGCTCTTGCATACTTCATACCATCCACATCCCACAAACCTTGCACCGATTCTAGGCCATTCTTCCACCATATAATATAGTCAATGACCTGAGGTTTTGACAAAAATAGTGATCAGTGAAATCATGAACAAAAGCTGATAATTCCAAGGACTCATAGCTATTTCGTGAAGATCTTTGCATCGTTAAGAGACATAAAAGGTTTTCTACCTCCTCTTCAAAACCATCCTTTAGACATTCAACCCACCAAATACCCCACATCCAAGGGCTTGAAACTTTTGGATGAGAATGAGAGTAGCATCTTTGTAGTTCAAGGTCAAAGCCTGCTTGTAAAGGATCTAAGATGATCAAATGTAAGCTCCTATGTAAGCTCCCGTCGAAGACAACAGATGAAAAGAATGAGGTAGTAGAATGCCCTCAAATATCTTCTATCCATTTCTCCAATAAGTGGCTGATGTGATAAGTTCGAGGTCAGTGAATATAAAAAGCTTGTAACAACAGACCTCTTTCCACTAAGTAATGAGCTTTGAAACTAATAACACAAGCTTTGAGTCTGGCCCTGGGTCCTGGAATATCATGTCGCCTATGGCTCCTTGATATTTCCTACGGCACCTCCCTCGCAGCTCGTAACATTCATCATTCAAACACCACCACTCTTCAACTCGGAATACTTCTCCAAGGTTTTCTTTTGAAGAGCACGTTGCTCATTAATAACCTTCCATAATTCCGAATTCTCCTTTCGTAACTTTTCTTCCTCGCTAGAGGATGAAGATGAGGATGTAGTTGTAACCTGAGGTTCAGCAAGACCTAGTAATGCCTTCTCAAGCATACCCTGGGGAAATCCTTGATACTCCAAAGCTTGATCAAAGATTGAAGATCCCTTATTACCAATCAATTGAGCTGTGAATGTATAATTACCCTCGGCCAATTTAGGCTTAACCACATTTGTTGATTTGATTTTTGATGTCTTTGGAAAGGGAGATTGCATAACAAGGTTTGTTACGGGAGCATTCAAGTCCGAGAGTTCTACCAAGAAAGCACGTCTACCTGTATCCCAGTGTGAGATCTTTCCAGAAGAATGACCCGAAAATAAACTTGTTCCATCATAACTCAGCCCTAAACAATGTACAGCGCCAATATCCGATGGCGGGGACCAAATCGATGAAGTAACCTGAACTGGGGTATTCTGCAGTCGAGTATCAAATAATGAACTTATGGATGAATTTGGTTGAATGAGTTCGATCATTTGTAATGAACCATCCTCGAAACCCGTATAGACGGCTCTGTCGCATGGGTCCAGCGCCATGCATAATGGTGTAGATGAAAGTAAGAATGTTCTTAGAAGATCACCCGTGTGATAATTCCAAACAATAATTGAATTATCCTTACTGGCTGATATGCAAATATTTGAAGTACTGGAACTATGACCCATGATGACGGAAGTGATTGCGGCTCGATGATTTGACAAGGATCGAGCTGGTTCATGTGGTTCATTCGTATTTGAATGTAATGATAAAAGCTGTGAGATTGACCAAACGTGGAGATTTGAATCTTCGGAACCTGTCACCAAATGATTTGAAGTGGCCGCGATACATGAGATTGGTTGTAAATGTGCAGCTGATGTTGAAACTTGTCTACCGGTAAAGATCTAGACCGGGAAAGAGTTAGCAGACCGTCCATCAACTCCATCAACGCCCTGAGTTCGCAATCATGTCGCCATACAACGGCACAACACGACGTAAGCTGCAGATATTGCGAAAGGATGGAATAAAAAGAGACTTGCCTCCCATAGTATGACCCGTCCCTCGCTTGTACCCAATACTACCAAACCATCGCCGACCAAAGTTAAGGTGTGTAACCTCTCGGGAAATGAAATTAAAGCTTCTTGATTTCCATGTTGTCTTGAATAAACATGAATAACCGCCTTATCAGCCTGTGCCGCGAAAATATGAGTTGAGTTTGCCGCGAGGGAGTTGACAGAGGTAGAAGATTTCTTGAAATTTGATTCAATTTTCGGAGCAGGATGTAAAGTATGAAGGTAAATGCCGATATCTTTTGCAATGGCAGTATTCGCCGTCCTAGGTTGAGCTCGGATGGATGAAATGAATTGTTCGGAGAGCATTTTCCGTTCAATTGAATTGAATTGAATTGAATTGAATTGAATTGAATTGAATTGAATTGATTTGATTTGATTTGATTTGATTGATTGATTTGATTGAGTATTGACGACTGAGTAGGTTGATGACTGAGTATTGGACTGATTATTGAGGTTGATGTGATGACGGAGTATTATTGATTATTGAGGTTGTGACTAATTGATGTGGGATTGATTTTCTTTTTTCTTTTTTCTTTTTTCTTTCTTTTTTTCTTCTTTTCGTCATTTGATTTTATCGGGGACACCGGCCGGGAATTGTGGGTATTTGAAATGTTACCCCTCTTAGATTCTGTGCGGTACGTACCTGTACTTGTTTTAAGGTGTACCAGATATTCCGATATATTATTGCTTGACCTGTCGGATTCTTCTCTTTTTCTTCTTCTCCTCCTTCTCCTTCTTCCTTCTTCGATCACACCTTTGGTACTCGGTATAATCCGAATAATCCGATAAAGTTCCTGGAGTCGATGTAAAAAATGTGTAAACAATGTGTAAACAATGTGTCTTTCTCGTGTTTGCTTGTAAATCGCTCAATCAAATTGACAAGGGATTGAACGGTTTGATCGACGTCTGTGCAGTTGTTATAGTTTGTGTTACGGTGTTTAGTGTTTTGAAATATAAGATGAAAAATGTATAAATGTAAGTGGTGTGTAATAATTATATAAATATATGTATATATAAATGTGTAAAGTAATAAATATTAAAAGTATATAAGCATTTGTATAAAAAAGATGTCTGATTTGAAATTGCTAGATTAAAACAACTTCAACCAATCAAAACTTAAGAAAATCCAACAAGGCTACGGAAAAGCAAAGGCAAAAGAGGCTGAAGGGGTTACAAACCGAATTACAGTACCTCCCTCGACCGGCCTGACCATCTCGAGATAGAAATGGAAATAGAAATAGAAATAGAAATAGAAATAGAAATAGAAATAGCAATAGCAATTCAAATTGATGCCCAGATTACTGTTCGTACCAAGAACAAGGGGAAGGACGACTTTACTTTTTCCTTTTGATGTTGCCGTTCGTATCAAGGACCAGGGGAAGATTTCTTATTTTTCTTATTTCTCTTGTTCTTTGGATTATTCTTATTCTCCCAATATCATATCATCGGGTTTAATTGAAATGCGAAAAGCCTATTTTCTATTGTCATGTCATGCCATGCCATGCCATGCCAAATACATTTCAATTGCCAAGATGCTTATTGAATCCTGATGCTTAATTGATAGTATATACGTAGGCATTGCAGATTATGAATCAATTGTATGCAGTATACGGATACGGAGTTAGGATGAGTTGGGCGGGCGGTTGGAGGAGAACGGAGGAAGAAGGAAGGAAATGCGATAGATTGATGAAGAGGAAATGCGATAGATTGATGAAGAGGAAATGCGATAGATTGATGAAGAGGAAATGCGATAGATTGATGAAGAGGAAATGCGATAGATTGATTGATGAAGAAGAAATACAGTAGGTTCATCAAGGTTAACAGAAAACAAACAAACAAACAAACAATCAGATGAAAATCTATCTTATTTCTTTGATTATGATATGAAGGATAAAGATATTCATCGTCGCTATTCTTGCCATGTTCATCATCTTTATCATTTTCGCGTATCGTGACTTGATCTGGAGTATCAATCTTAATGAGCCATTATTACTTGTTGACTGAATCATTATAATCTCATGAACCAGTACTCGGTACCTATTAACCCAGTGCTATTAACCCGGTACCTTTGAACCAGTACCTTTAAACCAGGACCTTGACCCATCCAGTTACACTACCTTAACCCACTCACTACCTTAACCCAGTGACCACAATCTCAACTAAATCATCACACTGACCACGAGACTGACTACCATTAAACGGTAGCTAGTAGTTACCCAGTTACCAAGCTCCCAAGCAACCCGACTTATCAATCACACAGACAATCAGATATCCAGACATCAGACATCAGACATCAGACATCCGACATCCATCCAACACCCGACATCCATCAAACACCAACCTCAACCATCAAATCCAGACTTCCCATCCTACCTACCCCTCCCTTCCACCATACTCAAAACTCTAAAGCCATACATCAACCAAATCCTAGGGAAAAGATCATCCATCACATGAAACATTCTCCCAAAAGCAAGCATATCTACCTAAATGTAACTCTGTACTCTCCTCTCTGACCCTGTATTCCCCATTAAGCATTAAGGTATTTCCGAATAACTGGATAAGACATTCAATCCTACCCTCCCATACTCCATAGTACGTACATCAGTGCTGAGGAGTGTTACTTACCATTCACCTAGCCACTTCCATCCCTTGTTATTGACAGGATGGTAGCTAGGTAGGTACCCAGGTACCTAGGTACCTAGCTACATAGCTACCTACTACCTACGCAGCCAAATCTCCATTCATTCGTAAGCTCCATCAATTAGTCTATCTATCTGGTCATGTATGCTTGCTGTCAAACACGAAAGACTACGCTGAAAGTTCTCTATGATCTGATGATGACACACTAACCTTGTGAACTAGGTAGGTATAGGGACTTACTAGGTAGGGACTTACTAGGTAGGTATAGGGACTTACTATGCAGAGAATACTAGGTAGATATACATACATACCTAGTGAGAGCTTACACTGCACACTGTATATACTAATGATCCATATGCACAACCACAATCCTCCACCTCTGCATTAAAACACAACCCAAAGCTCAGATCAAATAAATACCCGATCAAGACATTTCTCGTTTCTCGTTTCTCGTTTCTCCCTTTCCTCCTCACAATAGTGCAATGCTCACATCGATTCTATCTAGGTACCTAGTTATCCACGCCAATTTTCTCCCAATTAGGTCATTTTCAGGTAGGTACAGGTACATAGGTACTAGAATTAGCTTGCGGGCGGGTCATTTGGTCGTTGGTCTGTTGGTCCGTTCACTCATTCATCCATTCATCCATTCATCCATTCATTCATTTGATATGTACATATGCACATATGTATATACATGTACATGGTAAAAAAAAACATCTCATCATTCTATTGGTCATTTATTCGAGTAGAGAGAAGTAGCAGAGAAGAGAGAATAGAGAAAAAGAAAAGAGAAAAAAGAAAAAAGAAAAAAGAAAAAAGGATAAGAATTCTTTCCTTGATTGTCATTGATTGGTCCTTTGATTTCCCTTTTTACTTCTTCAGTTGTGATCTTCTCGTTTTCATTTAATTAGTAGCTACCTACCTACCTCCCTCCCTACCTACCTATTTAGCTTAGTAACTACAGTACATCAATACCCTCCCTACCTTGTCAATATTATTGATCACTCACTCACTCACTCACTCACTTACTCTCGCTGACTTGCCTAGAAATCAAATTTCATCTTCTCCATACCTGTTTACCTTTCGCCCTTTCGCTTCTTCGCTTCTTCGCTTTCGTAGAAATAAACAGCCCGGTCTAGTTCAATGGTATTTCTGGTACAGTATACAGCAGGATGCAGGGCAGTACAGTACAGTACAGTACAGTACAGAGAAGCAAGCGAATGGAATGGAATGGAATTTACCTTTGCAAAGACTCTAGATTAGGCAGGTATGGATGGATGTACCCAAGTCCTAGGTAGTTAAGTATTTATGAAAGGTATAAAGTATAAAAGGGATACGTACCCGTAACCGTAATACTAACTAACACTAACCATACCGAGTATTGATGCGTACATACTGGTGCTCATTCGCATTCGCATAATTTACTCTGTATCCTGCCTGCCTGTATGTATTTCAAATAATCGACTTCAAATCGGACATTTTATTTACCCTTTGGAACTAACCTTCGGGCTTTGCCTTGTGGTACTGGGGTTGGGCTTGTGGTTGGACCGGGCTATTTTATCCTACAGGGAAAAATAAATAAATACTTAATTAAATAACAACAGAGCTTGTGTTGATCTATGCAGTGGATGTATCGTAGCGTATGCATCGTAGTGTATGCATCGTGGTATATGCATCGTGGTATATGTCGCATCTATAAGTGGAGAATCGCTGAATGAACTGGTGAGGCTGAGATGTTGCGTTAGTTGGCCGAGTCACCCACCCTGCGGAGTTGTAAGGGAAATCATCTCATCCCATAGTCCAGTCCATAATGGTCCAAGTGGCTGCATATTCGTTACACACCTAAAAGCTGGAAGAGGAAGATCAAAATGACAAATGTCAAATGTCAAATGTCCACTTTATTTTCTTCGAAATAGATCTTCCAAGATTCTTTAATGTTACCCGATCTCATCATGGAACCAGTCACATCACATCACAGCACATCACAGCACAGCACAGCACAGCTTATACATTCTTTGAAGATGTATTTGATCCATGTCAAAGTAACATCAGGAGCATCGCCAGCATCGCCAGCATCGCCAGCATCGCCAGCTTGTTCACTCTCGTAGAGTCTCACTCATATTGATACTTGCAAGGGTCCCATCAAAATACCTGCTATCCATCCATACGCGTGCATACATACATACACACATCGTACAACCACTATGGGATACGTTCTGTTTGCTGCTTTCCACCCCTTCAATTTCCTCATCCTCTGACCATTCACCCAATCGCATTCATGTACTACCCAAACATTGGCCTTATATTCAGGTACATTTCATACATTTCATACATTCCATGCACTTCATGCCCGCGGGCACTTATGCAAGAAATATAAATGAATGATCTGCAGTCCTTAAGCAAGCCAAAAGCTAAAGGGAAAGCTTAAAGCTCGAAGCCTAAAGCCCAAAACCAAGTATATAATTTTTTAAACTACACCTGCCTAATTCATTGTTAGCTATTCGAGGTTTTGTGTCTTGGTGTCGTGATTACCTAGTCTTTCTCTCAACTTTCTAAGATTATCATTATCAACAGCATCACAAGCATCAAATACTCAGAAGACTCAAAATACTCAAAGCACTCCCCTCCTCTTATCTTTACCCTGCTATACATCGCTCCTGCCACACATCTCCCATACATATCTCCCCTACACATCTCCCATACACATCTCCCATACATACATCCCCCCCTACACATCTCTCCTCCCTCCCTTGTTGAACAAAATGACGCCTAGAAACTCATCGCCGGGTCGTCTATCCACTTTTACCCCAATGGATCGTATTACAACAAACACAGACCTTAATCTGATATTTTCTGATTCTCGTGGCTACCCAGCCAGCATACATGGGTATTTATCATCTTCTTTACTTTTCCCATGCTTTACCTTATTCTCGGGCTCCAACTGGTTACACCAAAGCACGGCATGTCAAAATCATCTGCAGGGGAAAAAAGAAGATCCATCTTTTTTCATCCCTTGTACAAATCATCCAAGGGAGTCACAAGGTCCCAAAAATATTGTCTTGCTTTCTTTTGCTCCATTGCATTGCCGTGGGAAAAGGTTCATTCATATAAAACACTTCGTCATCGCATCGAACTAGCAAGTGCTATACTATAATATGATATCGTTTTCATCATCATCATCATCATCATCACCATCATCACTTTTTTTTAAAAATCGATATTTCATATGCAGTTCTTAAATAATTCAATTGGTTAAGTGACACAAATACCAATCAATCAATCAATCAATCGAATTCCTTCAAGACCATCCATCCATCACATCAACATGGATTCATCAACCACACATAACCACTCTGCTTTCAATTCTCCGAACATACATACTCCCTCTAACCCACACTTTGTTTACCATGACATTGAAAATCCCGCATCGCCATCGGTTTCTACCAGAGCTTCTCTACCCACTTTACAATCCACCATGTATGCACAAGAATCTTTCAACCTTGGCCCTATGAGACCTGCATCTTCAAATACATCAAGAAGATCAGTCTCGGGCATGAAACAACTTTTACCACTTAAACTTGCCTCTTCACCAGTATCAGATATCGATTCATCATCAACATCAAGACCAGCATTAACCAAGAGAACAACCTTTGGTCAATCAGGACGTGTAGGAGGTTTATCAAATTCCGGAAGGATAGCAGAACGGAGATTAGCTGGCATATCACGATTAGCTATACGACCAACTAGTTTTCGCGACACTCCAGTTATCTCGAAGCCTACGGTACCTTTCCTTGGAAGCCCTCTCTTTCAAGATAGCTGTACTAAATGTTCGGATGAGGTTGCATGTACTACATCATGTATCATAGATGAGTATGAAGGTTTTAGTGATTCGAGTTCAAGTGGAGGAGATGGTTCGGATTATTCGAATCATCATACACAAAGTGCAGCTTCATCAGCTATTTCTTCCAGAAGACATTATCGACCAGACTCAGATTTCTCCTTCAAATGTTTAGGTGAACCTAATCCAAATTCTGGATCATCATGGCTTGGTAGTCCACTTAAACCACGAGCTGTTCCTAGATTGTCAACTTTGGATATCGAAGAATGGTTAGGAGATAGTGAAAGCATGTGTGGAAGTTCAGATGATGAAGACTCTGGTGACTTTTTTGTATGTTATGTACCCATTCCATTCATCAAAGCAATCACTAATAATTTTAGGCTTGCGCAACAGCTCTTTCACCAGCCAAAGCACAAGTGGTTCAAGTAAATCACAAACAATCTCCAAGATTATCCATTACTATTCCACCAAGATCAACATCAATTGCGAAGTTTAAACAATCTGATTCTTCCGCTCTTCGAAAGTTAACTTCACGTTCACCTATCAAAACATCTTTAGTGGATGATTTAGCCATGTCAAGTCCTCCGACTTCACCAGAACCAACATACCAAAAAGTTACTATGAATCAAGGAAATGTCCTTCATTCACCAATAGATCTTTCACCAACTGAATTTTCACCAACACCAGCATCTCCAGATACGATACTTGATATCGTAGCCGCAATTGAAGAAAGCACTTCAAATTTTCCTTCCAAGATGTTATTAGTTGATACTCCATGTATATCATCCATTCGTTCACATCTCAAAGCTACATCGGTTACAAATGTCAAGTCAACACCACCACCACCACCACCTTCAACTACAACATTTAATCAATTCCGTCCTAAAGGTCTCAATCGTCGGAATCGTCCACAAACAATTTGTCTCTCACCAACTTCAAAATCTAAATCTTCCAATTCTCAAATTCCAACAACTCCACCATCAACTCCACCATTCAGTCCTGATTTTTCCATTTCTTCATTCCCTTCTAAAAATAAATCCAACGCCACCAAATCAACAAATAAATCTTCCACCCTTCCAACATTCTCTTATCAACTTGCCGCAGCAAACCTTCAACCACTTCATGCTATATTTCCCATCTCCTCGGATTTTCTCCGCTCAGCTCTCTACGCCCATATCCTCGCTTACATTTTCCTCCAATCTCTTCCCTCCACAGATCCTACATCATCCTCATCTCAACTCCACCAAACAACCTCAACCTCAAACTTAACCTCAACCTCAAAACCCCATCCTCCCTATCTCAAAAAACAACCCTCATACAACCCCTCCTTCTCCTACCACAACACATCCATTGTCGGTATCCCCGCCAAAGCAGCCTCTACACTCGGTCTTTCCATCTCCACATCCAATTCTTCACGCCGCAATGGAAATGGAAATGGACATGGAAATGGTAGTGGAAGTGGTAATTTTGATCTAAGAGGAAACGCAGCAAAAGCAGCACAGAATAAAAGAATTGAACATAATCTTCGTACGTGTATTGCGAAGCTGTTAAAAGGGATGCAGGGGAGAGTAGATGTGGATCCTAGGGATGTGAGTGGGAATGAAGTTGAGGGGTGGGTTTTGAGGAGTTTGATTGAGGTTGTTAGGGGATGTGAGGGGATTTGATGGGTGGGGAGGTTTTGGGGAAGTTTTTTGGTTTATTTCTTTTGTCAGTTTGCGTATGTGTGAGAGAGAGGGAGAGGGAGAGAGGGGAAGTCACAGCTACATTTTTGTTTTTCTTTTGTCCTGGTCTGGGTCTGGGTTTGAGTCTGAAATTCGAGTCTAAGTTTAGCTTTGGTTTTGATTTTCACAATCATATTGGTTGGTATGTGGATATATGGAGGGAAGGAAGGGAGAAAAGTATGGAAACAAGTCACTTTCATTTTCATTTTGTTTTGTTTTGTTTTTGTTTTGTTTTGATGTTGGTTTTTGGTTTTCCTTTCGGTCTCAATCAAGCTGCATGAATAGGTACACACACAATGGAGGATCTCTTTTCTTTTCTTTATATATCTCATCTCTTCTCTTATATCATTATTAGCCTGGTGTTTTGGTGTTTTGTTTGGTGTTTTGTTTGGGATAGAGATTTGGGCTGTAATGGATATTTATTTATATGTTATATATTCTTTATATATATATATGTATGGATGGATATCTGTATGAGTATGAATTGTAATGGATTGGTTGAACTGGATTGGATGGGTTGGATAGGGCTGGATGGGATGGATAGGATGGATAGGATGGGATAGGGCTGGATAGGATAGGAATACTCACTCATATCTCCTTTGTTATTCATGTATTTATCTTTTTCTTTTAGAGGACCGTGGCTGGGGAGGGGGGCTAAAAACGGGGAGTATAGCTTGGGATGGAATGGAATAGGGATAGGATTAACAAGGGGATCGGCTTGATACCAGGGGTTAGTTGGTTAGTTATAATCCTTACTTTATGATTAAGGGTTTCGGAGTATCGGCTTCGGGCTTGGGGTTATCGGCTTCGAGATCGGGATCGATATGATGGGGTTATTGAGAGATTGAGAGATTGTATTATCTTTATCTTGTTTAAATAGATAAATAAATAAATGATAAAAAAAAGAGAAAAAAAAATATATATATAAAAGATATAAATATATATATTTGATTCAAGATTGTAAATTATATTATTATTGTTGTTGTTTTTATAAAATAAAGTAAAATAAAATAAAATAAAACAAAATTAAATAAAATAAAATAAGAAATGAAATAATAAAAAACTAAAGTCTTAATATAATAATCAAAATCTTATTATACCTAAAACCATCACACCTCCTCTATACAAAAGAAATCTACATCCACATCTACATCTACATCTACATCTACATCCACATCCACATCCACATCCACATCCAACCTCACCTCAAACCCAGACCCAAACCCAAACCCAAACCCAAACCCAAACCCAAACACCTCAACAAGAAAAACTTCTCAAACTAACATCAATATTAACAGTAACCTTATATACACATCCAAATACACATCTAAATACACATACATATACACATACATATATACATACATATATACATACATATATCTCAAAATCAAATCAAAATCAAATCAAAATCAAATCAAATCCAAAACCATACAATTAAATCCTATATCCTATATCCTATATCCTCACAACTTTACTAATAACTATCAACTATCAACTATCAACTATCAACTATCAACTATCAACTATCAACAAAACAATACATATTCCATACATTCCACACATTCGACACATTCGACACACTCCAACCCGCCCCCCCCTTCCAAATAAACAAATAAATAAACGAATCAATAAACAAATAAATCAATAAATTTAATCCCAAACTTATCATCCACATCAGACAGATAGATAGACAGACAGATAGACAGACAAAGAGACAGGAAATATAATATAATATAATATGTAATATATAATACCCGAAGTATGTATTTAATTAAGGGAAAGAATTATCACAGACTCAGACCCAGACTGTAGTGAACGGAGTGATATATTTATGTATCCGCCCGTCCACCCACTTGTGGTTATTGTCAACTTATAGCTGTGATTGTAACTATAATTATATAATCTATACCAAAAATCCAGAAACTGAGTTCCATACCTGGGTATTCCGAGTAAGATCAATCATCATCATCAGTACGAATTTCAATGTATAATATCATTGATTAAAAAAGTCTAATAATCCCTTCCTTACTTACTTACTTAGACACCCAAAAAAGTCTATTCCTATTCCCATGAACACCAACAAAACCCAAGATAACTAACTACCCTACCTAACTCATGATTCCATCTCTGTTCTGTTAAAATCACATGACCCATATTACCCTTTCGCCCGGTATATCTCATCTTGAGCTTGTAAAATTCCAGACAGATATCCAAGTTATATAAACTGATCAGAGCATCCATCATCCTGAATGCTCATCCATCCCGAATAAATGATTAATTATCCCACCACGAACAGCTCCTCCTTTAACCATTTTCGCCTAATCCCCAATACCATCAAATTTCCCCGTCTAATGACCATCCAGCTAAATACCTATAGGTACTCAAGACACCCTCATTCAATAAACCAGGCTGCTGGATTGGTAAACGTCCGGGTGGTCTTACATGCGCACCACTTGCTATTATAATGCCTGCGTTACCATCATAAAGTTCTGGATGTCTTTCAAAAAATCCAGGATCTAACTTATATTGTGCCACTCCTTGATCCATTCCCAACGCTACGAATGTTGAAAGTGCTAATTGCTTTGAGCCGAATAGAGCAGCGACACTGGATGCTGGTAAGGTTGCAAGAGGTTCCATGGTAATACCGTGAAGAATTTTGCCTTCGCGCATTCGCTTGCTAAGTTCGAGAATAGATCGAAAGAGCTCATCCCATGGTATGTTATTTTCGTTTGAAAAAGCTGATGATGCATTTGCTGTATTTTCTGCTTCTGGTGAGATAGATCGAACTAGATCTAAAACACCTATATATCCTTTTGCAGAACTAACCCCCATGACAAGTTTGGATACATCGGTTTCCACTACATAACTATCTCCAACTTCGCAAATAATTTCATCAAGACAAGGATTGGCCGAGTGACAAAGTATAAGTTTATCTCGTATCGATGGGAATGGTACCCAATCTATTATCGGTGGATGAGGAATAGACATTTGTAACTTCGTCGGTAGCCAAGCACCATTTGCACCAAGTTCGGCGTATGTAGCAGCTGTAGGATTGACATGATATGTAATGACCTTACTTAGAGGTATGTGAGCTTTAGTAGCACAATACCAAGCTGCCATAGAAGGCCATGATGCAGAAATGAGGGTAGATAGCATGAGATATGCTGAGTCCAGAAGTCTATTAATGATAAGCTCAGGTCGTTAGAGATTGGGATCTTCCATAAAACAATATATGAGTGAGAAAAGCGCACCTTTCATTTCCTCGCACCAAAGCTGGAAGTTTACTCAACTTTTGCCTTAAAGCATTCTCAAATCCATTAATATGATCTGAAATTGGTGAGTTCGTATGGTTGATCTGTAAAGGTTGATCTTGTTGAACCATGGAATTATTCACAAGGTAACTATTATATTGCGACGGTCCCATCATATGTTGATATGAGCTTGAAATCGTCAAGTTGATTGGATTGAACGTTTCACGTGTAGAAAAATGAGTAATGTCATTTGAGGGTAATCGGGTGACAATGGATGGGGCGATAGTCTCGTTTTCGACATGACTTTGATCATGAATGTTCAGTTGTGATGATTGATGTTTCGGAGAAAGAACGAGAGGTTGTGTGTGTAGAGAAGTATTTGTGGAAGGTATATCGGAAAAATCATAAAAGGTAGAGTTCAATGATGTTTGGTTCCCAGGAGTCCATTCACTTTGCACATTACTTTGCGTGGGTGGTACCTCGGGCTCGGCATCATCACTATCATCATGACCATGTAATGTAGGCTCAAGTTCTGAAGTAGGTTTCTGCTGAAAGTTTAAATGTTAATTAGTCCCGCGATTTTAATCTAGGTTCTTGAATCGAATGTGGTGTTTAGGTTGGGAAGCATAGTCGACCCTCCGAGATGAACCTACCTCGATTCCTAAAGCATATGCGACAGAGTCTGCGAGGGCTTTTAGTGTCACTTGAAAACTCTCCAGCTTCTTATGACAATCGAGTAATTGGCTACGCAGCGTCTTGTTTGTTTCTTCCAGCTTGGCATTCTGATCTGATTCGGGCTTTGAAGCCCATTCAAGCTTTTTCTCAAGATCTTTGATGTATAATGATTGTCGAGCTCGAAATGCTTTTTGTGAGAGACGATTTCGTAATTTTCTGTTCCAGGTTAATCATTAGTCACTTAACCATCAGTCATGATAGCAATGTACATGATAGTAAGAAGGGTTGAAAGTTTGGATGTTGGGTGGAGGTTGATGTTGAAGGGGTGAAGGGATGAAGGGGCTTTTCGAAATCAGTGGATTTTCTTACCTATTCTCCGATGCGGCATTTTTTACAGGTTCTATCCGGACCTTCTTCGTTGGAACCTCAAAGTGTTCAACCATGATATTGGGTTTGGGCTTTGGATCCCATAAATTAAAGGTATGGATCAAGTCCCGTACAGGTATGTCGAACAACAGTATGAAAGGAGGTCGCTTGTATTTAAGACTGGAAGCCTAATTTATCATGAAATCATACATGAAGGAATTTGGGGAAACATTGCTTCATTATTTTTGGAACCCTAGCAAGGATCTTTGACATTTTCCGGTTTAGTGTACATGATTCAGACAGGCTTACTTTCACGTGAATTCCTTTCCCGGTTATTACCAAGCAAGCTTCAGGGGTTTGCACTACAGTAGTTTCGGCAGTGGAAAAGTATATTTACTCCGTACGACTATAATACTTTTTGTAATTGCATATCCCATCCTGAGGACAACATCCTGCTGATTTATAATACAAAATTTCCCGATAAAATCCAAATGGGTATCCGCTTGAAGTAAAAATTAAAGCTAACGTCCGGCTGTAGAATGCATGTGCAACGACATGATCATATCAGATATATGCCAAGTTCGATATACTTGACCTGGAAGTGAGCTAGCTATTGGCCCAACTCGATATTTCCAGTGCCAAAAGATGTCTCGAGACTTGTACGCATCCCTCTCATGATCTTCTATCTTAATTGTGGTATATTATTAGTAAAGGCCATTTGCCAAACTCATATTGTCGATATTCAACTACAAGATTTTATGTCTGTATTCTTCTTCTGATACTCAGTATCACTGGAATCCCTCGAATCCGTTGAAACAACCTCCTCCTGAAGTGCACATTCAGTCGTTACATGAATAGCACGAACATTATCAGTTTCAGCAACAATATGTTCCTGGCTCGAGGAACTCGTCGCGTGTTCCTTAACCTTTGCATCGACACTGTTTTTCTTCCCCTTCAAGGGCCAATTTTCAGTATGCCCAAGTTCAATGTACTGGCGACCACCAACTCCTTTTTGCACATCCTTAGATCCAACTATAGCAGTGATATTTCCCCCATTTGATTTATGAGTAGAAGAATGTACGCGATTGTTCGCCTCTGTTATATCCTCTGAAGGGTTATTGACCCAGTTTGATCGGTTGAATAGTGGTTTAATTCCGGGGGCTGTGGCGGCAATGACTGATATAAAAGACTCGCGAAATGCCCAATCGATAACAGTTGATAGGGTTCCAGTATTACTGAGAGAAGAGTATACTCGTAGGATAACTATAACTGTGACGAGGATGCCAGAACAGAAAAGACATCCAAGGATCAACTTTCGGTAGAGAGGCATTCGTGCCGCGAATAAAAGTGGAAGAGGAATAGCCATGACTCCTAAATATGACCTAGAATTGTAGTCTTAGTAGTTACATTCACCTATGTCATCTGTACTACTTACAAGATATTAAGAATTCCAACGAGTGCTTGATTAGGCCTACGAAGAATGCAATTGTCTAAATGGTTGTCAGTTAAGCTTCCGTGCAGAAACTTAAAAAGGAGATTTACCACCAGGATACGGATCAACTTGCCAATTCCTTTCAATCGGGACACATATTGCGAAATGGGCAATAATGCAAGTGGCCCATGAGAATATACAAAATCCGGCGACGAATTTTATCATCTTATGTTGCTGTAAACCAAGCCTGTATGCCATTGAGTTAGAACTTGGAAGGCTTCTACTATTCTAGAAGTATACTCACGTGAGCCGGTGATAAAGTGAAAGAAGGATTGCTTTCAATGTCCAAGTGAGGGTGATAAATGATATCCAAGCACCAAATAAGCATATAGCTCCAATCCTGAAATCATGTTTCTCCTGTGCAGAAACAAACGGTGAAGTGGTTTTGGTAAATCCGGCAACAGTACCAAATCTTTCTAGAGTTGAAATTAGTTCTTGATATGCATAGATGGTGGGACTTTTCAGATCTTTACCAGAAAAATAACATAGACCAGCCTCGAGCGTGAAGAACACCTGCAACTGATTAGTCCGTGACGTCTGACGTATTCATGTGGATCCAATGGCCTTACTATGGCTATAGAACAGAAGACGTCGTCAAGAGCAAACTTATTAAATCCAACATGCTTCCATCTTGCAAAAAATCTAAGCATAAATGCTGCCATTCCTATAGCGAATTCTATCCATATCTCTAAAGCGTCTCCGCTGGCCATGCTATTGTGAAGAACGTTCCGGGGAGTGAAAAAAAGTAGATATACTATTTCTAGTAGCTTTTTGTTGACAACAAAAGAAAGAACAGTTATTCAAAAGTATTAATGAATGACAGATGTACATTAACATTAGATCAACAAGATCTCATGCCCTGGTATCAAATTTGATCTCATTGCCGATACGAAGAAATGCCTAATCGTCGGGTGGCAACATGGCTCATATAGGCTTCTTTCATATATTTACCCGACGATGAATTCTCGGTCACATCCCATTTCTCGGTCCATATATGCAGGAAATCAATCAAAAATGCTTCAGGTTCGGGCCATTGATCTCCAAAATATGGGGCACAGTTATGTGTTTCCACGGTACAAAGTCAACTTGGCTATCTTGGCCTGGAGTTTGTAGAAGCTTATGTGCATCCTTGGTATTAAAGACTATAATTGGAGGATTTTCGAGATGTCTTTGGAGACTTCATGCAATCGAAAAATACCATCAAGGACGCATAGAGTACGAGTCCCTTTTGTAAGCTTTCTTTCTAGTATCCACCTGCTATTAGGATGACAGTTGACTGATGTATCGTAGACAGAAAGGTTTAAGACATTCTCGCGTAAGGATGCTTCCGGAATTGCAATTGGAAGGTTTTACAGGGGAACAATAGTGTAGCTCCAATTTAGGATCTAGGGAGAACCATGAAGATGGAGAACTTAAAGTTTTCTTCTCCATATTAATAACAAGAACAGAGCCGTCACAAACGGCTTTAGGGTTATAATCTAAATCTGTCATACAAAAGGGCTTTAAGTAGCTCATGATTCGTTCAATCGTCCCATGTCCACGGTATTGAATACCTAAAGAGAACTATCAGAACGCGAGTCCTAGTTAATCCACCCCATAAAAATCTCCATACTCAATTAAAGTTTGATCTGCAGGGCCGGTTTGGGACCAATAATTCATATGTGGAAAAAATACGGCCAAGCCTAGGAGATGTGGAATGCATAGACCATGCCTGCAGGAAATACATGTCAACGACCTCCGTCTAAAGATTTGGAAAGTCACCTTATTATAACATTCAACAGAACTTATCATCGCTACCACAATATCATCACGGAATCTTTTGGAGTACATCCAAATGGGAGAATTAGCAAATTTCATACAAATCCATCAACACTCTAGCCCGGACGAACAACCAAAGCCGGAGCAGTGTGTTCTATAGTCCAACAATATATTGAAAGATAGGAGGCTTTTTCATCGACCAATGCTTCAATCCGATTACAGTCGCAAATATTGAACACACACGGAACCCAACCAACATTTCCAGCCATAACCTCACCGATGAGACGAGTTGGACGGATTAGACGGAATAGAACTCGAATCATACATACTTTTCCGCTGTGGTCTCAACTCCGGATTATTAGCCATCTCGTAACTGTAAAACTCAGCCTCCTGCATCAACCCTAAATTTACCAGCAGAATAACCAATCCAAACTCCTCCACATCCTCTCCTATATGTTCCTGTAAAAAGTCGTGGAAGATTGCTTTTTCCTCATCACTTGCACTGGCCGTCTGGCGCGCAACATCGACTAAACGACAACAGATATTCAGCCAGCGTTCTATTCTTTTGGGTACTGTGGTAGCTTCATGTTGTCGAAATTCGATGGTTTGTTTGAAAGGGTCCGGGTAAGGCTCATCGAGAAATTGGATATTGTATCCAAGTCGAATATCTTCATCTGATTTGAACATTTTGACAATTTCGGCTCTTGATTTGGCATTGAATATCGCAGCTAAAGAATCTCGCGCCGAGCGGCCAGGAGCTGGTATCGTGGGTAGTTTTCTTCGTCTTCTTTCGAGACATCTATTGTATTTCCAATTTTTATCACTGCAGCTGAAATTCTTCCCTGGTTCGTAATTCTCATTAATATTTGCATGATCGCGAAGCGGATATGAATATTTGTTCTTCATTCGATGTGAAGGATGGCATTGTTCAAGTTGTCGTTCGAATGTGAATATAATGGCCATCAGATTCTTCAAGACATCAAGACTGAATTCCTTTTTCCCGAGCCCAACATGAATATGCAAACCACAAGATTGATTGCAACTCAGCCGGTATCTGCTTCTTAAAACGCCGAGAACATCCCAGATATGACGGACATTCCATGGGCTAAACATAAGTCCAGGTGTACATATCTCGACCTTGTACCATTTATATGTCTTGACTTGGGCGGTTGGGAATTGAATCGTATCATCGCGCTTGACAATCCATAATATATCACTCGGGTCCGGTTCTTTGTCCAAATTGCCATTCTTCCAAGCTTTACGATATCGTTCCAGCTGAATTTGAGATGCAGCACTAAATCCATTGGTCTTCAATGTATTCACGATATGCAATTGAACATTGAGTTCACGATCGATATCCGAGAGAGTGCTGGTAACCGTTTCAGGGTAATCAAGAGGAGCGTCAATGGAGTATATCCCACGACCATCTTCCGGTTCCGGGTCTTCAGTTCCTAATGGGAGAGTTGCGAGGGCGAATTCAAATTCGATTCCGAATCCAAGACGTTCATCCCATTGAACTTCCTTGAGCTCAAAGTTCAACATGAGCTAAGCAGTGTTTCTTCTTCCGAGGAAGAGGAGTATTAGGTTTTCTTCCTGGAGATTTTTTTTAAAATTCGATTTTGAATAGAGATAAATACGTCTCCTTTGTTTGTAGAAGCTTCCATAGGATCATTGGTCAGTCAATTTAGAAACATGATGTTGAAAGAAATTTCTTGTGTTAAACCTGACAGACAAAGAACAGTTACATCGTTTCGAATTCATCAATGAAATGGATATGCTATGGATGGAGGTCTCCACGTAAAACCATCCATCTACGGTATCAGAGTTGGAGACTGATCAGTCTTTCATATGGATAAGTACCAGCTGGGTTTCGAGAGCAGTATCAATGCTTTCGGGGATATAAGATAGACACGTAAATTAACATCAAGACAAACTAGTCAAGTGATAATTTCAATCCACATCATTACCATGTTCTACCTCCTGTACTAGGAGGTGGTGGTCTCCGAGCCTCCACTTCTCCAATTCTCCTTTCAGGTAGCACATCCTTTGCCCTCTTTATCCTATCGCTCACTACACTCTCTTCTGCCTCCCATCGTCCAGTTGTCTCTACCTTTCCTCCGAATCCCAACCATCCACTCTTAGCATTCTCTCCGTTGGCTTTCTTCAGTCTCTCGTCTTCCGCTAGACTTCTAACCATCTTCTGCCAATTGCTCAATGCGACTTCTAGGCATGACTTACAGACCTTCCTCGAATCCTTATCTAAACCCCTTCTCTTCCTTAATTCTACTTCCGATATATCAACCGCCTCTCTTGTCCAAGCCAGGCCATCTTCTTTGCTCTTTATACCGGCGTTAGAGGTATAAAGAATCTCTCCGATGTATGTCATAAGGATCCCTTCCTCGCAAAGTTCTTTAGGAGTGCGCAAAGGCGAAGATGTGCCATCAGATGGAGGAGGTGGATAAGCGGGTGGTGAGAGGGTTTCTTTGAGGAACTTCCACACAGTCTTCCACATTGGTAGTTCTTCGTCATTCGTGATGAGTGTATCAATCATGGATTCCTTTGGAGCTGGGAGATTCTTCCTTGCTCTGAGAATTGAAAGAAAGATGGGCAGAGATTTCGAGATATTAGAATTTGTTGCGTGGTGAATTGCAAGTGCTGTGCTTGTATTCAACAAGTTTTCAGATGGTAGGCCTGCGTTAACATTTAATGTATGGGTATTAGGATCAATCAATGGAGATGACGAGTCCGAAGAAGTCGAAATATCGATGGCCCATTTATACATTTCCATAGCTGCTTCTGGGGCTTTCTTAAAATCCAACCAAGCAGCATATGCCAAAGCTGCATCTACCTTTTGCTTTTCGTTAAACCCTTTCGTGGTAAGTATACGCATGTAGAATTTCTCCGGCGGATCGTAAGCCTTGACGCAATTTTCCTCCTTCGGCGGAGGTGGTGAACCAACTTTGATTGGTTTTGGTTTTGGATTCGATGGACCACGCATTTGGTTTTTGGGAAACCATATATCTCTCGTCGTATCATTAACCCAATCATCCAAATGTTCTGCTGTATTCGCCGCTCCCATCAAAACCCCATAATATCCTCTTCTCCATTCCTCTGACTTCTTTGTGATATCATAACCAGCCTTGCCTACTCCAGTAACCAAGATTCCTCCCTCATCCTGTTCTTCTATGCTTTTTCCATCCAGTTTCGGATCCTCTAGCCTTTCCAAAAGCTCCCGATATCCTATGCCCAGATTCTGCCAGTTGACAGGAATCAATCTCTCCAATCCTTCTTCTCCTTCCTCATTATCCATAGTCATTCTATAGATGACCCTCGTTCTCCACCTCCATTCCCCCGGGCTAGGGAATTTGTGATTGAGCCATTCTTGATGGATTCCCCATGCCACAAATAAGAACAAATTAACACCAACATAGATGAATATTATATATTTACCCGCTTTGATGAATTCAGATCTTAGCCATTTTTTGGTTTCAGTGGAAATGTATCGAACGACGGGAGGTTTGCGATGGGTAGAAGAGAGGTAAGGTAATTGAGGACGAGGGGTAGGACGGCGAAAGGTTGTACGAGTGAGAGATTGGGAAAAACCCGGGTTGAGACTTTGTGTGAAGAAGCGTGGTGACGTTGTATTGGGTGGCCGAAAAGGTCGAAGAAAAGGTATTCTGCGTATTGAAAGTCGTGGACGCATTGTGAAATTGTGAAATGGAAGATAATTATTTATTGATTTGGTGAAGCTGATTTGATGAATATTTGGCAAATGTTGGAGTTAACTTTTAGGCTTCGGTCGCAAGTTTTTCCAGCCGGTCTGAAGCCTGTACACAGAGCAGAAGCAGCAGAAGCACCAGGAATTGGAACATTTTACGATCAAGATAAACAAATGGAACCTCGTAATTAATTTCTAGCTAGATACTGAAGTTGTTACTACTTCTTAAGTACTACTGATTTATCAATCATTTTCTACTCATACTCATAACCGAATGTATCAATGGTTCATCGCATCTGAACCAACACATTGAATTCTATAGCTGTCTCAAACGTGGAAGAGTAGACGAGAGAATATTTCTTTATGCCAAAGAAAAATCACGCAGCTGCTCAGAGGCTGGCGAAGATATCATGTAGTTGGTCATGGAGGACGAGATTTCCAACGGCATGCCATTTCCTTTAAAAGTCTAGTCGGGAAAGGATCAATGGAATTTTCTTTCTCAAGCTGCACCTCTGGGTATCACTACTCCTCAACTTCCTTCCTATCACTATCTTCCCCTTTCTCGATTTTCAGCTCAACTCCATCCTGTCTCTCTTCATCACCAAATCCCTCATCCCCAAATCCCATATCTTCGTAGTCTTCTTCACCATCATCTATCCTCACAAAGGTTGGATTTACGTACTCTCCACCTTGACTATCCCAATCCGCAACCTCGTGAAAGAAGTCAATCACAGTGCGGTAACCTTTCGGCAAGAGGCATTCTGCATAATAAGATTCACCCAAACTGAAGACTGGACTTCCAAATGCCGTGACATGTCGAGTACCATGAGGACCTGAGAGGTAGGTGCCTTCGGGCTCGGGGGAGTTCAAGTAGACACGACCACGGGCTTCTAACCATTCGAGGAAAAGAGGATTTTTATAATCAATGGAATGCGACCATGTGGCTAACGCTGCAAAGGCCTGCATACGAGATCCCCATTTATTCCAATTTTCCAAGTCGTCCAAGAAACGAGAGACGCCCATGGCACCTTCAGAAACCCCAATGACATCAATTTTGGCAACCTTTGGCATAAGTTCTTCAATGACATGGTTGAATATATAATCAATATGTTCATCCGTTGTACGGTTTCCAGGTACTGTGTTCTTGATAGCATCAAGGCGAATGGGCTTTTCGACGCAACTAGATTGAGGTAAAGCGGACCAGGTCATCAAAGTCACGGGTTTTTGACCTCGACGGTACCAATAAATTTGACCCATGTTGGCGAGGATAATGGCTGGCGGCTCCGATTCTCCAGGACATGCACCCTTCTCTTGGATATATTTGACCATATTGACAGCAGAACCAGTATTGATCCCACCTGCACCACCTAAGATACGATGAGCAAAAACTCCGATATCATCCTTAGGTTCATAGAACAGGATGATGACTCGAGAAGCGGTGGAAAGGTTGGATGAAGTTAGGATGTGGATGTGAGGGGAAGTTTCAGTAACATTGAGAGGAAGGAGAACTTTTTGGAGGCCAAGGTTGAGAAGGCGTTCTAGTACTATATCACGGATTGCATCTAAGTTTTATGTTAGTTTCATTGATATACTGTAGGTAAGAGGTGGAAACAAACGATTCATAGCTTCGCGTTGTAGTTGATTGTAACGATCATTTTTGGTAAGGAAGAACTTAAAGTAAGCCTTTGGATTTTCGATTGAACGAATTTCATCTTTTTCATTGATGAAGTATCTGAGGGAGTATAAGTTAGAAATCTCAGCAAGCTTGAATACATGGATTTAGAAATGATGAATGAAATACACACCCAAGTCCTTCCAAAGTAGGTTCGAATTTAGGATCTTTTGGAAGACCTAATGGAAGTCGACGAAACATGGTGATATTATGCTGAAGTATATTTTTGAGTTGAAAGTCTTTACAAACAGTTCAAATTGACTTTGATTGAATGGGGTTGAATTGAGTCGAAGAGAAAGCCTTGAGAAGAGGTTGAGAAGTTGAGAAGTTGAGAAGTTAAAAATCACGAGAAAGAGGGGTCATTGGAGGAGAGTCAATCTCATGAGTGAATGAACTAAAATTCAGTTCTGAAGTAAAAAAGATCAAGAAGTGAATCTGTATATCACCAACCAACTTTGAAGTCGGATCTTAATTCCTATACCATATTTATGGTGGTGGTTGTGTGATGGTTTTGTTTGTGTTTGCAGGAAAACGAAAGTTTGCTGCAAGGCTAACCTTATATCAAAATACTCCTAAATCGGGTAACTGCAGTTGCAAGAAGACAAACGAAAAATCTTAGTACTGTGAAAAGCATACGCCAATGATGTCCACAATGATAACTTTACTTATTGATGGCCACCTACTTGAATCACTAATTTTCAGCCTTTGCATATATATGAACATGTTTTATATCTTGCTAACACTGAGGATTGAGATTCGAGTTATCTACAACCTGGTCCAGAAATGATGTTGTATATGACTTCAAATATTTGGCAAACAAAAATCTATTCAGAGACGCGTAGAAATCTGAGTATGTATGACTTCCAGGTGCAATAAATAAAGTGCTTTTGTTTTTCATTCATTTCCTCCCACCCAACCTACCATCTTTGAATTCGCATCTGTCTGTGGTACAAGTGCACGCTTCATCCCCACGCCTGTATATGTTACACGTCAAACGTCTTGAGTTTCCTTACAATCGTACATTCCCAATCGGGCTCGTAGCATTCGATTTCTTCGGTGCTTGCTCGCAGGTTCATATATCTCATGTTTCCTCACCCGTCATTCCTTCAGCCAGAATATCCACGCTTTACCAACTAGCCTTCTTGACACCTGGTAAATCTCCCGAGAGCGCGTTCATTCTGAAATTGAACTGTAGTCGTAGGTAAATAGTCAGCAGAGCCCTCATATCTTGCTTCCATTCTTTCATCCCGTTACATCCTGAAGCCATAATAAAAGAGCACATACCCTCGACATCTTGAAATCTCTCAAGACACCTCTTCCCTTGCCTCCAAGAATACATCTATTCCTGATTTGAGTTGGTCTTGTATAACAATGCATTTGTGTCAATTCCAGTTGTGCTTGAAAACGAACACGAGGCAATAGTGAGAGATTGCGGATTATGTAGCGAAGGGCTTGTCTGTTTTTGAGAAGAGTTGTATGTCAGCCATTGGTACTTTAGTATAGACAGAGATGCACAGGAACAAGTATACGCATAACCTGGTAAAGTGGACAATAGACTGAAGGCGCGGGAGGGCTCAAATATTAAGAAAGGTAGAATTAGAAAGAGAAGAACCTACCTTTCAGTCTCATACTCAGCGAACACTTTCCGCTTGGTATGGTCACGAATGACTTTGATATTTATGAAGCATCCTAAATCGAGCTTCTTAGCTCGAAACATAGACATATTGAGGACTGTGTGAGTTGAACTCGAAGTGACTGTTGAAATGAATGTCAAAGCATCATGAATTGGGCGAATTGAGAAAATATTGATGCCTTATAGTCAAGGTCTAAGATTACAAATCAACGAACGATGAAGCAGCAAAATGTTCCCCTCCTTGAGCTTCACAAAACAACATCACACGAGTGAGACTTGGTTTTTATTTTTAAATATTCACATCTATAATCGAATGCCCTCGATGAACAACCACGGTGAACTGAATGTCAGGCCTCACACAGCTAGTACTTTATTTGTAGCTATGAAGTAACAAGTACGTAAGGTAACACAGTAGACATCAAATCAGGTCCACGGATGGCTCTGATATGGTCCATGAGGGAGCGCTAATGATAGCAGTCTCTTCCCTTCCTTCACTACTTTAACTACTAGACAGTCCTTTGCTTGTGAGTTACGTGTTTTGCTTTTGAATGAAAAGAAAGCACCTTGCAATTTGAATGCTTTCATTGTCGAAAGTATCATGTCCAGCTAGTTGCTGGAACAGTGTGCTATTGCTCGTTCGCTGCTACTTTTAAATTTCCAGCGCCAGAATTGAGCAGTAGCATCGAGGTAATTACCTCTCAAAGTTGTTATTGCATAAATTTCGACAAATCAAAAGCATATTCAGACTTTCCCATCCTTTTCTTCTGAGTGAGTTAAGAGGAATGCGATTTCCCGTTCTACTGAATCGGATTTCAATATCCACGATGCAACACTTCAACCTCTACTCAATTCAAATTTAACTTCTATCATTATATTCTACTTTCATCAACGCAACATTATTGTTCGAAACCCGGTAGGGTAGATTATCTCACAATGTCTGTATATACATTCATTCCAATTCAGCCGGAAGTAATCCAACATGAAGCTCCTATTCCAACCTCGGCCACATGCGCCCAGTGCTCACAAATTTCTGTCCATAAACGAGCTTGAAGTAGCTGCAATGCCTCCAGAGCCTGAGTGATATGTTTCTCCCACTTCCAATCTCAGACCCTAACATTTCTCGGAGAGCTAGAGATGAAAATCGTCGTAAATAACTGTAGGGAAGGCCGGGGTAGTGTATGAAATGTTTTTTGACAATTTATATAAAGCCTCTCCGTGCTTTTGGAATATTTAAGACAATCAATCCGAGGAGGACAAGAACCTCAGTTTAACTTTGTGTTTAGTGTTTGGAGAACTCGACGCTTAAGGTATTAATGTATAGATGGATTTAAATATCAGCCAAATTTACCAAGGCTTGCCGTTCAATATACAAGAGCATAGATTTTGGAGCGTCTGTATTGCTATTGGAGTAGGCGAAGCATATGTTTATATTTTAAATATATATCCAGGTATATATCTATATCAAAGATTGATTAAAGAATAAACAAAAATAAATAATTTATAATAATATTATTTAAAATAATATCAATAAAACTAAATATTTAAAGCACTTTTATTAAGAAGAAAAATCTAAACAATTGATAATAAGTATATAAATAATAGATTAGAATTTCATTCTTGATACAGAGTATTAAATACTTTAAATGTCTAACTCCTTCAACCCCACTCACTCAGCCTTTAATATAGACCTCTTCCCCACCCCTCCCTGATAACTACGACTAAATCCAATCCAAGGGGCTGTAACTCAGTGGTAGAGTGCCTCGTTTGCATCCTCCTCATATCTCATCTCAGTATGAAGTATGGGAATATAAATGCTCGATGAAGTCCAGGGTTCGACTCCCTGCCGCTCCAATTGTATTTTTCTTCTTGGTTTTTTTTGAGTTGAGTTCCGATGGGGTGCTGTTAACATGTTACTATTGTTTTTGGGTGAAGGTAGTTAGTTAGTGAAGTGGGTTCAATATTCGAGTAACGTTAAAAAAGTTAAGCTTATCCGAAAATTTGGTTTAATGATGGGGAACTAGAAACTAAGAACACGACATCATGGAATTTTTAAAGATTCGAAAGGAAATGCCATGATGGATGTATGTATATATATATGATGTCTCAAATTATAGATACTGATATTCTGTATCTTTTCTTTTCTTTTCTTTTCTTTTCTTTTATAATTTCATAACAGCCAAAAACAAAACAAAACGAAAAGAATAAGACTCAAAAAAGCAAACCACCCCACCGGTACCCGCCTCGAACGAAAATAACACCTTAACCGTACCCCGCCAAATAAACCACCAACTCCCCTTCTTCTAACCCTTAGGAGCCGTCTTACTCATATAAGTATCATGCTTAGCAGTCCTATGAGTCAATTGACCACACCTCTCACAAACATGAGCCAATTGACAACGAGTCCTCTTCCTAATACACGTTCCCCGCTGCCACATTTGACAGGACGTAAATGGGAATTCGAGAGGATTTGGTCCCCGTGTTGAAGTTTCTTCATTTGGATTTATTGATCTTTGTCGATGAGATGGTGAATGGGGATTTTCGGGCCAGGTATTGGCTAGAGGATTGCTGATGTGGGGGGTGTTTGGGTGGGATTGGTTTTGGTGTTGATGTTGGTTTTGGCGATGATCGAGTCGGCCTTCTTGGTGGAAATGATGGGATTCTTTTGCTGTGCGATCGCGATCACGGACTGTTTTTTCACTCTTAGGGAATACATCCTCGTGTTCGTGATAGATACTTCGATGTCCACCGTTACATATCGAGCAGATATGTCGCAAAGTACAATTGGTTACTCGGACGGCACATCTACCTGCATTCCAATTTGGACATGTCTCGATGGAAGGATCTTTATTCACGGCTCGAAAATCAGGTTGGTATTGATGATGATGGAGAGATGAATGTTGAAGATCGCATTTTAGACATAAGTGTTGAAGTCCACATGCTTTATTGCATCGTCCTTTATAATTATAGATGAGGCAATACCCAGGTCGTAAAGGTGCTACTCCAGGTAGATCCCGTGAATTAGAAGTACCTAGATGACTGAATGAGGGTTGGGATTGAAGAAGTACTGATGAAGAGGTGGCTTTCGATGATGTATGAGAATGAATCCCAGAATCAATGAATGGTTGCTCTGGTTCATTTTCTTCAGATTCGCTACCGCTATTGCTAGATTCAGAATCTTGATGTATTTCAGCTTGAGATGTAGATGCCTGATCTTCCCAAGAGCTCGAATCTTCATCAGATGACCAATCTTCAATTATCTTCTCATCTTCATCTTCGGCTTCATCTTCATCGCTCGAACTAACCTCGGTACTAAGCTCCGAACTATCGTCTTCCGAAGACTCAGTATCAGAATCTTGGACTACGGATGGCTGTTTTCCGCTGGCTTTATGCGACTCAGAAACTATGGTAGTAACCTTAGTCCCTAGATGCGCTGTCTTCGACTTCTTGGTAACGGCAGAGTGAGAATCCCGATTAGTTTCATCTTCACCGGCAATTGATTTTCTTTTCTTCGTACCCGTCTTAATCTTCTGATTTTTTTCTTTCTCACAGACGGAGCTCTCTTGAACATCCGGGATAATGCGATTAACTTGAGGTCGTTTAATATCTACAACCTTAATGGCTGTGACGACTGTACCAGGTACAATCCTAGTCTTTTGTAGAGGCAATGATGATAATGGTACTCCCCACGCACTTGCAAGTTGCTCGCCGTATCTTTCCGTGGGTTTTTTGGTTTGTCTCTTAGAGCTTTCTGAATCTTCACGATCCATATCGACGTCAGAAGTTCCATAAATATCTCCAGCTGGAGCTTCATTTTCTAAATTTGCTGAAGTACCTTTATGCGAACGATCCATCTTTTTGCTTTCTGGTGGAATGAATCTCGTTGGGTTTCTGATAGATGCCAATGGAACCGCTGCAGATGCCTTTGTACTTTGTTCTACTTCTCTCACTTTGGACGCCGTTGCTGTGGTAGGGTTCCCTGTCTCTTGATCGTCATTCATTACTCCATTTGGTTGATCCACACTTGGAAGAATATTTTCATGCTCAGCGACCAAAAAAGTAGTATCATGTCCAACATTGGATCGTATATTAGAATCTTCCACTTGACGAGTATCTGCTTCCGCTTCTGAAGATTCTGGAGGTGTACTCGGTCGAGCACTAGAACGAATGTCCTGATCTGAAGGGGTATCCATAATTTGTGATCGTTCCAATAACACAGTATCCTCAACCCCATCAAAACTCTTTGAGATATGTTCTGGAACTTCCGCCGGTTCGGTAATTCCTGTACGATGACAAGTTTCTCCCGGCGCATGACAATGAAAAGCGCAAACTGGCAATCCAGAATCATGAACATCCCGCCAATCCGTATCAAAACCTCGGATATGATCTCTATGGAAGAGATCCACCAGATGAAAATCAGCAAATATATCTGGATTTCCTCTACCAGCAGAAATAAATTTCTTCCGATTATCCCTCTGTGATGCAGTTGCAGGACCAGTTTCTCGACCCCAAGACCAGGCTGCTGATGCTGCAGAATACCATCTCAATAAACTTCCTTTTGAGGTATTTCGATAAATCTCTTCCGCGTAGAAATGAATCTCCTGTTTGTGTTTAAATTCATAGACACGAAGTGCATCAATTACCTTATTCATCAAATCGTGAAGTGCAAATTCCTCAGCCACATAATAAATCCATCTCAAACGTTGGGTATACACTGGATCAATATCCTTTGGTGCTGTTGGTACTTTTCCATGATATGCATAAAGAGCAATACATGTAAAAGCATCATACTTGTTTTGAGCACACGTAAGAGTGAATCGACCATCAGCTTGTTTCTTTCTCCGACAAAACTGAGCAAATTTAGGAGAAAGTCGAGTCAATGGTCTGGTATGAAAAGTGATTTCTTGCTCTTTGGATACATCGTTGCAAATTGTTGCAGTTTCAATTCCTAAAATGCTAGAATTTATTAGCCTTGAGCTGATCTTCTAGAGATTGAGGTCTTACTCAGGAGTAATGGGCCATTCATTCCCTTCGTCTGCCTCACTGGAAGTCATTGTGGAGGAATAAATAGAGATTTTGTATGAAAGATATAAGTCGGGATAAGGTATTGTAAAACTTAGAGATGATATTCAGGGAAGAGGAAAGAAATCGAGGTATCAACTGAATTAGCGCAAGGCTGAAGAGTAAAGGGTGAATTCGAATTGAGGGGGTGGATGGGATGGCTGATCGAGGAAGACGCGACTTTGCACGGACCAATGTCTCGAAAGCATGTGATATGATAGTACGACTTATCTAGTACATATTTCCTTCTTTTCTCCTCTCCTCTCACTATCGAATATTGGATGCCGAGTTCTATAAGCCACATCACGTCTGTCTCACTCAACAATGTTTTAAATCTAGCTCACATTTATCCCTGAGACATTTGGATTCAAGATATTTCTATTGTTTAGATACTTTAATGATATATAGCAGAATGACCCCATCTACAAATATGACATGCATGCAATCTCTTGCATTCACTATTATCGCACCCCCGGTAAAATCTGTTGAAGTCACTACAAGTTTCTTGTGAAAGATTGGAATCCTGGAGAGAAGTGGGATTGGGATTGTTAGGTACGAAAGAACTAACCCTGGATGTATCAGTACCACGACCATAATTTGACATTATGGACCCTGATGTAGTATGATTTGTTTCGTTCCTCATAGGAGTAATTTGACCGTTGGAGTGATTGAAAAGTATCGGCGTTCTTTGCTTGATATTGGCTGAAAGGTCTTCGTTGTGATGTCTGCGAATCCCTAGTCCGGCATGAAGTTGTTGCTGTTGTTGTTGTTGCTGTATCCCTCGAGTAGGACCTGTAGGTTCAGATCTTCTATCTTGTGAAGTACTTCCTTCAATTATAACAAATGGTCGCTTCCTACTCAAATCTTCCCCATCATTTGACTCAAGAGGTCGCTTCCCTGTGATTAAAACATCATCCTGAGTGCTTCCTAGTATTGGACTCGGACTCCTCAGCCTCTTCCCGAAAACAATTTTGCTCGCAGATTGATGGGTATCATTTTGCTCTTCACCATCTTCTTCTTTAATCTTCTTCGTGTGGGTCATTTTGGTCATTTGCCGAGTCTTCTCTTGTCTCAAAATGAGAAGGTCATCCTCGTAATCCCCGGCTTCATCCCTCTCCTCCATCACTTCTGAACTTCCACTGACACTGATACTTCCTCGCATGGATTCTTTCATGCCATTGCCTATTGAAACATTCCGGCTCTGCTTGATGTTGATTCCATGAATTTGCTGATGATGTTTATAATCATGCGAGGATTTAGTTGATGCAAGTAAAGCTAGACGCTGACACATTTCACCCGGCGGATGTGTATGAAAAGCACAAGGGCCAAGTCCACTTTCATCAGAAGGAATTCGATAATCACTGGTCGCATTCGATATGCTGGATTCGAATCGCAATTGGATCTTCAAAATATCGTAAAGAATATCCGCTTTATCTTTGAAGCCCTCAAGACGGTTTAATTTCTGACTATTGGAAGAATTTGGGCGGCCAAAATACCAAGCTGCGCTCAGAGCACAGTAAAATCGTAAAGAACTCTTTCTCGTGGTATTCTTATAAACCTCCGGCATGTGCTTGTGGATATCTCGATTAAATCGACAATCATGAACCTGAATCGCATCCATGGTTTTGTCCATTAAATCAATGATTTCAAATCGTTCGGCCAAGTAGTATAATTCTCGCATTTGTCGACCATAAGAACTAGATTCTGGACCATCTTCAATGGGGCAAGATGGAACATATCCTTTATACAAGTATGTGACTAGAATAGAAAATGCGTTTTCGAATCGTGGTTCACAGTGAAATTGGTATTTTCCTTTCTCCTTGAGTACTTTCATGTGATGCTCGAAGGCTGTGGAACGACTTGAGAGGAGTTTCTTATGAAAGGCCACTTCTTTCTTTTGCTTTCCAACTTGAACCGTGACAAACTCTGTTCCTAAAGCTCTGAGGAAGGAAGATAGGAAATTAGGATTTTCTCTCAATTCTCCATGAGAGTAAGAACTTACTTTTCGTCCAGAGGCCAATCGTCTTTTGGATATTGATATGCCATTGTGGGGGTTAATTATATTGGTGATGGAGTATGTTTCGGGAGATAATTCTGAGAACCTTGGAACGTTGAGAACTTTAAGATCAAGAAGTAAATAAGGTAAATCGTAAAGAAGATAAAATAAATTTGGATAAAAAGTGCACTCGATTATTGCCTTCTCCTCCCTTTACTACTAGGTAAATTCCTCTCACGCGTGAACTGGAGGAGGGAGACGCGCAACGCACAGACCATCTGATTGTCCTCGAGTTATTGAAGTGAATGCATATGAATGCTTCAATCTCTATCATATTTTGGCTTAGAGAACAATAATAGTTCGGTGAGGAGGTGCTCCTAAAGTAGACTGGTGGTTCTGTTGCTAGAATAGCTGCTTTATTTGATAGCGGGCAATACATCTGGAGCCAATATGAGATATGAGGACGGGTTTCCTTCTATCTGCCATCACAACCCCAAGAACATGACATAACATCGCCAGATAATCTTGTGTTCGAGAGAGGGGTACAAGTCAGATGCAGAGAGAGATAAAGGAAGAGGGAAAGAGAAATGTCCATGAGTAATTATAAGGTCCTGCACTCAAAAGGACGAGTACCGTCGCGACTGTCGACCACATGTACTTGGCAGATTTAGGAATTAAGGGACGGAATATTTTCATGTCTCCGATGCTAATCCTCTCGAAATATCATGAGGACGTGAATACGAACGTGAGTGCGAATGTGATATTGGCTTTGTTGTGATTGACCAAGATCAGAAGTGGAAACGTGAACTCATCCCTTACTTTCGTGTCTACGGTGACCAGTTCAGAACGCATAAGGCACGAGGCTACCATCGACTAATCCACACACAACAATGCTTCCGCAACTCTCATCAATGTCCTGCTTCAACTGTGACAATCAAGCATTCTTTGAGATATACACTCTTAGCATTTTAACAATGGTTTGATCATGAGATGCTTTAACCATGAGAGAATATCATCATCTTGGAGTCATCGCACCCCCAAATCCCATCATCCCACCTCATCATCCTACTCACAACATCGCCAACCAATTAATAATCATCATACTCTTCACTAAATTCCCCTTCAAATCCAAATGTACTCCATCATATTTCCTCGCTTGAATACTCATATTCCAAGTCCCTAAATGCTCCAATCCTCTCTTTCTCGCTTCAATTCCAACTGCCTCTTCATATAGCATCAATGCTTTATTGCCCTGGCTTACAATCCATTCGTCCGTCTTTTCTTTTCCTGCTGCATTCGGGGTGACGAAGAGTCCTTTCCATTTACCTCGACCAATTGTAGAGTCTATAAGCAAAACCAAAGTGTCAAGCCATTGAATCGTTTTGGGAAGGTCAAGATCAGACCATAGACCATGGCCGAAAATTATGCCTATCGGCTTGGAAGTAGGACGGAAGAGAAGGTCGGCTCGAAGGCGAGATATCTCATCATCAGGTATGTTATAATATACCATCTCTTCCACTGTTTTGAGTATTAGTGGTGGGGATTCCTCCGAGGTATCGGCGTACTCACTCATAACATTGATGGAATTGGAACAAGATATACTTCCTGGATCATGAACCTCTACATCCGAGGTCTTGTATATACCTTGTACCGAGCAAGCTTTTACATCGAACTGCTCATTACAAAAACATTCTTTTCTAAACTTCAATCAGTATCTTGGTCTTCAATTCTCTGAGTGGTATGATAGAAGAGGTGCCACTGGCAAGGCGAGCAGGAAGGGAGAGGAGCAGCTCAAAATATCTTCGAGAAGATCCAGAACATCCAACCGACGGGAAGATTAGTTCGCGCGGGAGCCTGATCGGTATACAAAAGCCTACCTCTCTTGTGTATTAAAATTCCAATCCGTCACAGCACCATACCCGATATCCTTTCTCAAAAAGATATTGAAACAACCTAGAACATGTCTCAACATACTATCCCCAATAACCATCACCTTTTCAAATCTTCCAAATATATCGCATATCTCCTCGGACGTGAACCAACGAAAGTCACAATCCCTAGGCATATATGGTGCATCAAAGCCAATACGACCACCGGATGCCATAGCCGTTAGCATAGATTGTCTATCGGAGCATAAAGGACTGAAAGGAGCATGAAGATGTAGGGAGGAAACGTTGCAAGTGTTTCGAAATTTATATGTTGAAAACGCGTCGGTGATATCTGGCGCTCGGTAGGTATTTAATTCTAAAGGTTGAAAGGGGACATTGGGGATAGTTCTATTGTTCAGATCGACAATGGACTTTAAAGGGGCCTATATTGTATTAGTATCGCACGTACATTGATGGTGGCATGAGCAAAAACCTCTGCAACTGCAGCCTTAGGGAACAATCCATGAACTAAGAACAGAAAACCACAAACAATCAAGGCAATTCCTATCCTCGTAGGGGTGACTCGAAATCCAGAGAAGCGTGAATGACGGTTTGCCCGAGCCCATCGATAGGGAAGATTAGGTGAAGTGATGGGAGTTGTGAATGGATCTTCCTTTTGCCACATTTTGATGGTCGGAAAAGAGGTTAGGCAGTGAACGAAAGATGAAGTGATGGTTTGGATTTTGATGATAGGACTCTGGATATTCGCATACTGGTGAAGCGGTATGGTTCAGGCTCGAGGGCGGCAGAGATAATTTATGACGATGGAAATAAGAGTAAAAAACCAAAACCTGTATGAATTGAAGTACATAACCATTTTTGGAAGTCGTGACCAAGGGAGAGGAAAGGGCAGCCAAGCTGGGTTCCTTCCTCCGTATGTTTCGAGTACTGCTCAATCAAAAGAAGGCAGCTATGAATATTCGAATGAAGAAATTATGCTGCATTAGGAACATGTGGACATCCAAAGTTGCCCAGAATCAACTCGATTTGTTGCCTTTATGTAAAATTGTATTGAATGTGGAAAGTATATATAAATACATCGCTCCTTTCACTCGACCTAATTCTTGAATTATACTTAATGCATCCCGTCTAACACACTTCTCAATGTCTTAGTGAAACCTATGCACTTGAATGACATACGGACCTTTAACTCAAACACAAAATCAAATCCAATATAGCCCATCTTGACCTCTCGTTACATATGGTGAATTCCCCGATATGTATTCATCTGCCCAAAGCGGAGCGTATGGGATACATCAATGCCTTTCCAATATCCATCACCCATCCTCTCCAACCTCTCATCGTCTCAACTGTATTAAGTAACCTCACAAACCTTGCGCCAAAGGCCTCAAGTTCAATGCAATCATCCGCATAAGCTTCCCATACAGCCTTTTCATTTCCATCTTTTGATGTTTCCGGCAACAAGTTGAATTCCCCTTCCACTCGAACCTTTGGACCAATAACCAAAGCTCTACCAACGATCCTTGCGTCTGCCATCAGTCTTGTGCCAGCATCTACAACATCTTCCGGTTTGCCCATCGCTCCCCCCGCCAATATTAATCTAGCTTCTGTAGGTATCAAAGGTGTATCGATGAAATAGGGACATAACATGTTGACTCGAATACCACTAAAAAAAGCCGTAGATCTCAATGAGCGAAATAATCCTAGGACACCATGTTTTGCCGCTGCATATTGAACTTGTCCAGGAAAAGGAACGATAGATGCTACTGATCCAATCAAAAGTAAATGTCTATCGGGTGTATTTGGACCAGGTGTTATGGATGGATCGGCTTTTTGTGACCTAGGATTTCGAGGAAGATACCACATGGCCAAATGTGCAGTATACATAACTCCAAGTAAATCAACTTCAAAAGCTTTAAAGTTCGGCTTGGGCGGTTCCGCTGCATCTAAATTCAAAGGATGTTGAAAGCTCATGGCCTCCTCTGTGATTCCTGCATTGGCTACCACAGCATCAATACCTTTAGAAGGACTTAGCTCGGCAGCTGTACGAAAGAAGTCGACTTGTGATTGCCAATTTGTAACGTCACAATGTAAATAATGATGATTCTGATTGGCAGTCCCCTTGCGTACCTCCTCGACCAATGCTTTCCCTCTTGTACCGTTGACGTCCCCAATTATGACATTTGCTCCATTCTCGGCCCATTTCCTAAAGAATCCTTCACCAAATCCCGACGCTCCACCTGTTATAATGATTGTTTTCCCTGCTACCCATCCAGCATCGTATGGACTTGTGGTATCTACTGGGGTTGATTGTTTAATGATATCAACGACATTGTTTCGAGCTGAGTTGGATGTAGTCATGTTGGGGGACATACTGTGTTGACTTTGGTGAAGACTGAAGACAGCGAAGAAGGAGAAAACAGAGTAAAGAGAGGTCGTACCTCGTGGGGATTCTCGATGATCAAAAGATGATCTGCGAATCAGAAGACTGTGGATACTAGAGACGGAAACCTAATAATCCATGTAGGGTGGCACAGATAAGAAAGAGGGGAAGCTGAAATGAGGAGCACATAAGAGAAATAACCTTACGGGATGAAGAACTCATGACTCGTGACCAAACATTTGAAGGGGAAGAGTGAAAAGTTGATATTCACCGTCGTTGTTCGTTAGTTGAGAGCGCTCCCGCTAAGGAGGCGGTGTGGGGGAAAGCACAGGCTTTTGAATTCAGTTGACAAGCTTAGGTAACCATAAGCGGGGTTTAGAAAAGGTGGGGGTAAGCCAAGGTTAACACCGACAACAACCACTGTACCACTCCACACTCTATCACCACTTACCACTTACCCGACTGAAGCTCAAACTCATATTCCTATGCCCTTCTCATTCTTTTGGAAAGACGAGAGACATACGTGGTAAGAGTACACCAGTGTCCACGACGTTGACCAATTCTGTCAAATCACACACTCGTCGTCCAACGCAATGCCCGAGTATAACACAAAGTTCATATGCCGTACGCCAATATCTCGATTTCTATCCATTCAACCGAAAACTCTTCATATCCAGTCTCCCAGTGGTTGACGATATCTACTCCATGGGGATTGGTAGATAGTGCCCTGTCCTAGACGAGCTGGCGTAAATCTTTGCTAATGAATGTCCCTATATTCATCAGAGAAGCTCCTTCATTCAAACGTGATAGAATGATGCGGTACAGAAGATGGCGGAGAATATACACTTGGGTTGAGGAATGATCCTTGCCAAGCACACATTTTGAATCTGAATTGCCCAAATAAGTTCAGAAATCCAAAGATTGTCATTGTTGAAATGCAGTAGGGACTATCGGGTATCCTGTTCGTGGGTCTCAGTCCCAGGAGGCATTTTTCTCTCTTGGGCATGTAGAACTTATCCATAAGCCCCTAAGGTATCATCTCCTTCCCATCAAGCAAGTTAAACGTTGCTGCCTTATAAGTCTTCCACTCCACCACGCCATCGAAACGATGCTCATCCTTCTTCTTCTGACAATAGCCCATGGCCGCATCCCGAACTGTGATCCACTCCACAATAGACGTGCCTAAAACCTTCCCATCGTTGCGTAGCTCCAATAATGCCGCCCTCACCCATCCCACACAATTCTAACCTTCTCCCCTCTTATAGGAATCCCTCGCAGGATCCGCAACACACCATCATTATCTTCGATTTTCGCAATCATCACTCGAACCAGAAGCATTTGCGTGGCTATGAGACGAATAGGCGCCTCTTCGTACTTCCACTCTTGTTTCCCAGATGAAGAGACCATACTCTCTTTGGCGTGGAAACGCGTTCCTTGTGACTCTTTACCCTCCCTTTTAGGCCCGACGATTAAAGCCCAGTGATATCTTCCCGGTCAAAGTTTGTCAGCTGGAACTACTTTTACTCGCGACCGCTAAACGCGAGAATAGGAGGAATCTTACGTGTCTTCTTTTTCTGGCATAATGGCTTTGCCACCACGTGCATAAAGTGCGATGTACGTTTACTAATCCGAATGTCGAAGTGAAATTAACACTAGTTTAAAGATCGAGTAGTCCTTTCCATGATCAAGCTTCCAAGCGTAAGGAGTAGCACAGCAACTTCTTCTTATATATAGAAGATTTATCACAAGGAATCACGCCGCCAGGATTGCTCCTGTAATTTCATGTTTCATGAAGATAGACTAGTCAATCTGATGATATGTAGTTTACTTGCGGCTGTACGACCGATTAACCAGTGTAGCCGCAGCCGCATATTAGTTTGCTAATCGATTGGCCATTAGCTCATGGAATCACACCTAGATATAAGGCGCCTAACGCAATATCGCATATCGCATATCACATATCATATGACGATATTCCCAAATCCCTGAAATTGCCGACCCAGCCTACTCTCCAACTTGTTTAGGACTCTTCTCTGCTCTTTACTACTCCGAGACCTCCACCTCTTCAAAGCTCTTCGTTCCCGTTTAAAGTTCCAACCAGAGCTCTAGCCTTACAATGGAAAACCATACATATGTCAAGAGTTGACCCCAAAGCATTAGACTGTCAAATTCAATTAATTAAAAGCTATATAACAGCCATGTCGGACTAATTCTCCATCTTCCCTCAAAGAGAAGCCATCAATAAAACACTCAAAACTCCTTGCTAATAATCAAGAAAACCCCTCCAAATAGAAATTATCTCAAAGAGATTTATGACCTTGCAATTACCAACCTAGCCGCCATCTTCGCTGACGTAAAGATATCCTGAAATAAGATGATGCGATGAGGTCTTAAAATGAATCATAACATGAGCCAAACATCGAAAATGAGCTTTTGCAGAGTGTTGATGTTTTCAACTCAATAATCTCCCCAGTATTTTTGCCGAACCTCCTCCATAGCTTGCGCAGTAGGTAGTGGATCCAAAAACTTATCAATCTCCTTTTTCCAAAACTCATTGTATGGATTAACGTACATTGCTGTTGTGTACTCCCAATAGAATGGGTACCAACCAGCAGTTTCCCAATCAATGATACCAACCACTCTGTCACCGTCTGCGAGAATGTTGAGACTACTTAAATCACCATGTGTAAAGACAGGTGGAGCGAGCCAAGAGGCATCGTGCCATTCTATAAGCTCATTGACGCCCTCCGGATTCTGTGGATGGGCTGGAAAATCTGACCGCAGGTACCGGTGAAACTCATTAGTATTTTCGAAAGGCCCAAATCGTTCCGGACCATCGATTCTCCCATCATATAATATTCCACCGTCAACATTACCAATTCTTGACGATTTCGGAGTCAACTTGCGCATCTCTGCGGCCATCTCTCGAATCTGAGAAAGTATCTTCGCCTTTGACTCGGGCGTCCGATGTACCCATCCATGGACCAAGGGACTTCCGCGTATCCTTTCCATGACAATATACGTCGTCCCCTTGTGCACAAAAGAACAGTAAATCTTAGGCACCGGAATAGATGTGTTTTCTCTAATAAATTTCATGGCTGAAGCTTCTGCTAAAGTCCTGAATTCGCCGTATTTAACGCAAATTCCTCTAGATATGCTAAGAATGCCATGATGATGGCAGTAAGGGATTCTTCTAGCAAGTTTAATCGAAGCAAGCACTAAGAAGCGGCGAAAACGTGTATTATTAATTGGTTTTGATGCTGGTATTTCAATGGCAGATTTGACTTTCTTTTCATCGGAGGTCTTGCTTTTATTGGACATTATTTCCTCTAAAGGTTTGGATCTTGAACAAATAATTGAGTCAGCTGTTTCTCTGAAGATTTGGTAGGAGAGTATTCATTGCTGCTAATAGGGATGATGGGAAGAAGTATAATGCGAGAGAAGTAAAATGCCGTTCAATATCTTGTGTTTTGGTTTTGAGATGACAATGATGAGGCTGAAGTAATGGGTAAGCAGTGTTAAAAATAGGCATGCAAGGCTACAAATATTATCCCGAGGCTGACAAGGTGAATCTTCCCGCGTACATCTCAACATAAGTTATTAGAGTCACGGAATCAAAACCAGAACAAGTAGTTGCAATTGATTCTCTTTGCAAGGAGCCTTCTGGGGATGATTGTATTGCTGAGTACATAACTAATAGGTAAAGATGCTTTTAAAAGCAATGCTTCATACAGTAAGTCCTGTCCTCCGCAAGACTTTCCACACCCCAATCTCCGCTTGATCATAAGCTTGTCAGACTCGATACAAATTACAATGCGTGGGTGTTCGATAATTCATCGATAGTGGATATCCGTCCCTATCTGCATGTCTAATAATCCGGCAATGACATGGAGAACGGTGAGAAGCCATAGATGTGGGTAGTAAGGTACCGGTAATGTTAATCCCTAGATATTAGAAAGTAGCAATAGTAACTGAACTCCATTTCGGGCTAAGGTTGGCACATGAAATATTTTTAAACCGGTGATCTTATTGAATTCCATTTGAGCTTAGATGGTGGAACCGATTAGTTTAGCTAGGTAGGAATCTCAACATAAGTTCATGGCAATTAAGATGCCACCCTGAGACGATATCCCCTCCTTTGTCCGAACATTTGGCTAGAACCAAAAATCTTACCTAATTAGCCATCACCTAAAGTGGTCCAATATCATAAATGTTCCTTGGACTCCTCTCCAAAATCCAATCCAAATCGTCCTCATCCAAGAACGGTGCGTTCAACATAGCTTCAACATTAGCCTCATGATTACGTCCGAATGGCCAATCCTGCCCTACATGTTAGCAAGTTTTCAATTCTTCTGAAGCAGTACCTACGGTTCCGAACGTAAGTTGAGTCTTAGGCACATCATACGCCAGCAATCCTAGGACTTGATGTGGAAATGTCGGTCCAGCACTAATAGAAATCAATTAGACTCCTTCGTCGAATTCTTCCTGGTTGAGGTAAGAACTTACGTATCCCACCAAAATCTCGTTTGTAACGTGTGATAAATATCACTAGCATTCACAGCACTAGTCGACAAGAAACGGTCGATGATCGAGGGAAATGAATCACCGACATGAGAAACTTGATAGCGTATATTGGTAAAATTTTGTACGGTTCCAGATAGAAAGAGATCCATCACAGTTCTAGCAGTATCGAAATAAAATTCTACTTGCCCTGGGGGGTAGATTGCTATGAGAGTTCAGCTAACAAAGTCCATGAATTCAACGAGGATCGTGAAGACATACTAGGGTTCGCCTCAATCAAAACACCATTATAGCGTAGATAGGGAGTATGGGGGTGTATGAATATAGTATGACTTTCATTCATGAACCTGTTCAAAGCTTGGTAGAATGGTTGAAAGATTGGGTTTCCCAGATAAAATCCTTCGTGATTAGAGAGCAAGATGATGCCAACTGCGTTAAGCTTTGAAATACTATAAGTTGCTTCCACAATACTATATATTCTTGTCAATGAAAATTCTGACATCAGATCATGAAGACTTACGATTCTTCGGTATATGGCAAAGGAATTGTAGCAACGAAAGAAAATTGTTTTGGATACGTTCGAACAAGCTGGGCAATGTCTTGTCAATCCCTAAAATTTCTGGAAGGGCATGTGGTACTAACAGCTGCCTGCCATTCATTGAGAAGTCGTGCTAATGCGACAGACGCCTCCCGATTCCCAGGGTAAACTATCGAACCAGGTGTTGTTATAGATAATACCCTATGCGTGATGTCTAACATAAAGATTAGATTGGGTGATTGTGCTTGGGATGATGATTCACTTAAGCTTTTCATGAAATCGAATTCAGTCTCAATACTCCAGAACGGAGTTGGTTGACCAGCAATCGTTGGTACAATTTGACGATACCAATCCGGAACCACATGTGCTAATTGGAAATCTGTCAGTCAGATGTCCCTTGTTAGCTATAGCCATCGTCACTTGCCATGAGTATCGATTCGGACGTCCAAGTGAGAAGTGTTATTTGAGACCGTGGGAATGCTCTGGTTAGCAGAAAGAATATCATCAATAGACTTCAATGCTGATGTTGTGAAGTTAAATGCCAGTAAATCAATTCCATCTAAATGGATTAGCATTTGCAAGCTGTATCTCTCACATAAGTACATCGTACCTCGTTGCGCAGCTTTAATAATCTCTTTCGAGGACTCCGAGAATGCAAAGACTGCACTGATGGGTAGTGTTAAACATAGAAGATATGGAAGTAGTTTTGAAAACATAATTGCTAATCACTCATGAATTGCTCTTACGATTCACAATGATGAATGTGAACAGGAATCAGGCTTAAGGATAAATAGCCAACGAGCTGGCTGAACTTCCATATGTGGAAATGATGATGTATTGCTTATGCACAATTATATAGCAACAAGGCAATCGATCTTTGGCTGCCGCGTCTCAATTTGTTATCTTACATACGCCCATGCTTACAAACGCAGCACATATATTGTTCTGTACTCAAATTGGAGAACTGCGGCGGTGCCCCATTGGCCAGAAATGGGATTAGGTCAATAGTGTCCAAAAGAGATGGCAAAGAATTCTGGATTACTGATCTGGTTTATTGACTATCTTAGCTTGATGATTTGGGAGATTGCCTGGAATTCATGGACGTAAGGTTTACCACAGTGTAGAAGTGAAATGTTTCATCGCAAGGCGCTGCACATAATAGAGAAGTTTATTGATGGTATGCATTTAACTTACTGTAAGCAAGCTGATTGGGACATATGCATGGAAATGAGGCAATTCAATCGTGATCCATACCATAAAAAGCACTTGGCACAGGTGAATATCACTGAACGGACCTCGTAAACGGCACACTATGCCCCGCACCTTTGTACTTTTGTTATTTTGTGAGAAAGACCTTAAACAAGGGCTCATCATAGTAAGTCGAAAATTCATGATTTGAGATAATCGACGGCTTATGCCGCGTGGCTAACGGGATAAGGGATGTTGCTTTGCGTGAGCCTACTGAAATCTTGAATCCAGAGACCAGGGAGTCCCAAAACAGAAGAGGACGCATAGGATTGGAAGACTGTAGTACAATTGGCGCAAAGAGTTTCGATTTAAAAGCACTCTTAGCCTCAAGAGTCTACACGACAGTCCCCCTATTGAACAATATGTATGCTGCATCCATCTCCGAGGAAGTGAATGGTTCCATTTCTCCAAGGCATCGTGTATCCCATTCTTGGATCCAGTATAGCAATGACGGCAGATGGCACAAATTGTCGAGTACGATGTATGACTCTAGGAAAAAAGTGCAAATGCTAAAGGCGACGAAGTTGAAGAGAAGGGTAAGAGATTGGGTAGATTGATGGTTAGAGTTCCCTCAAGTCTTAAGAATGGAATGAGGCTAAAAAGGCCGGAAGAACGGAAAAACAATGCCCCAGCCCCGGTATGAATGCCCGTTCTCTCTGTAAATGTTACAAGCCGACAACACCAACCAAAACTATTCTGTTTACACCAAACAATCACAACTTTCAAAAGATATCTTACTTTATTTATGTCTTTTTTCCCAAAACGATTCACATCTTCGACGCCACGATCAAAAAATGGAATCATATACATCCACATTCATCATACCGTCTTACTGTGGCTTCATTCAAACAATCGACAGGTGATTAACTACACCAACAAAGGCTGAAGAGAAGCGTTCCAAGAATGACAAGTTCGATTTAAGTTCTCGTTACCGCTATCTTTGAAACCTAACAAATATGTAATTTTTCTTACTGTCATTTATCGTCGTTTTTATTTGCTCAATGATTCATAATTGCAAGGCGCAGATATGATGAGGCTGTGCTGTAAGGTTATCTGCAGCTAAAAGATGGATGGCTGACTGCTCATTGAAGTGGGTATGCCCTGACACAAAAACACAACCGGTTCGAAGATCATCAACTTTGCATCATTCTCATAATTCTTCGGACCTTCCACGCATTGAAAGGCTTCGATTTCCTTCCAGATCCTTTCTTTTGTGTTGAAGACGCATAAAAGAACGCGGTATCGCTGCTACAAAAATGGCAACTCAACATATCATAGCTTCAGCTGCTCAAAACACACATCTCCTCTCCATACTTTCACAAACAGATCATGCACCCTCCGATTATGCCCAAATAACCCAATATCAATTATCTGTTGAGAGAATTGTCCTGGAACAAGAGAAACGGGTCAAAACTTTGGTGGCAGCAAGTGCAAAAGAACATCAGGACCATGAAGAATATAAAGACTCCACTGTCAAACGTTTAGCCTATAAATTAAGTGGCAGAAAACAAAAGTTTATTGAAAAGGAAGAGAAAGAACATCGAGAATGGTTAAACGCAATTCAAAATGAATTGGAAGCCAAACGTCACTTGAGTCATTTAAAAGACACGCTACAGGAAGCTAAATCGAAAGCTTCGTCGTTGAAGCCCCTGGTTGAAAAACATAACGCTGCACAAGCTGAGCTCGATACTCTTTATAATTCCATATTTTCAGGGCCGTCACCCGATTTTCCAACTGAAGATACGATGGAGCATCTTCTTTCTCTCGCCAAAGATTCATTCGATGAGGGACAGCTACAACTTAGTATTGAGTCCAATGTCTTATCAATCTTGCAAAATGCTTCAACGATCATGCGTCAATGTGTTGCCGCTCTGGATAATGCTCTTCAGTCCTCGAATATGGATGCATGGGGTGTAGGTGGAGGATTTGCTGACATGACGGAACGATCTTCACTTGCACAAGCTCAATCTTTCTCTTCTCAAGTAGAGATGTTAATTTCCCAAGCGCGACAAATCCAACCAGCAGTACAACCTTTGGGCCCGATGAACATTGCACAAGGGAGCCTAATGTCTGATGTTATCTTTGATAATATCCTCTCTGATCTCAAATTCGATGAAAAGATTGAGGAGTTAAAACGGCAGTTGGTAGCAGCACGATCTCGATTGATTCAAGAAACGAAACATAGTAACGAGCGTTTGATGAGTTTTCGTGTGGAAGTTGGGGAGAGGAAGAAAGTTTTAGAGACGAAACGAAAAGAAATGCAAGATGAAAGAGCAGCGGTGTTTGAGAGAGTGGTTGCTCATGACGGCATTGCGTATAATTCTCAGGAACCGCGGAGTACTGTTCAAGTAGAACACGATCAATCAGGTTGGCAGTCCCCAGCACCGCAATGGGATAGTCAGCAACATATACATTATTCGTTGTTTGGAGGAGGCTATAAGGAACAGTCTAATCAATTTGAACCATACCATATCCCACCGGCAGGAACTTATGACTCTCTGCCTGTCGATTCAAATTATTCTCAGCAGGATCTATCGATGCCCGCTCCTTCATGGTACACATCATGATAGATGTGGGCATTGTTTGACACCAGAAATACTTTCGTAGTTGGTGATTACTAGTTTAGGCGTTTGGAATTTTGTGGGCATATACCAGGATTTACCGGACATGCATATGGTTAGGCGCGGCGAAACAAAGAATAATATTTCTAAAGCCTTTTATTAATTTCTCTTACTTATTATCCATTATTAAAACCTGTCTGCCTCGCTCACGTATTTCTTGATGGCCATTTCCAAATGTGGTCAAAGCCAATTCACAGTTTAAGCTGGGACAAATGATCTAAAGCATCTCATGCCATTAGTATCTATTCCCATCCTGCTCCATATACAATTTGATAGTTTCCATCCCATTCTACCATCAATGCATCGTACATAAATGACAGCTTTGAGTATCTGAGTCTTCGCGTAAGAGGACCAGAACCAGCTAATGGAGACTTGGGAACCGTCAAGGATTCGTGTCAATTGATTGTACTTTTCGAGAGCTTTACAAATTCGATACGACATAACGCATAATAGAATTTAAATCATTTTTGACCAGGAGCTTTTGCGTTTCAGAGATCAAAGTTCATTCTTTCCATTGATTGCTCCGTCTAATGCCGTTGAGCTAACTGAAAGAAAGTAGGGGATGCCCAAAGTTGCGGACAAGTTCCTCGCTCTTCATTTGGCTTAAGCTTTGGAGACCTTGCCAAAGCAACTTGTTATTCTTGAAAACACGAAAAGAAACTCAGGAATTCATACCATTCTGAATCCCGCTGTGGTCTCACGTTAATCACAATTCTTGATGTGTTGGTGTCACCGTTTGATTACCGATACTTTTTTGAATTCTTTAGCCTGCCAGGTCTATTCACTAGCATGACAGGGGCATGAGCAGTCCTTGGAAATAAAGCCTTCAAATTTTGTCTCTGTTAGGCAGAAGCTGGCCGCCTCAATAATACCAGATTGTCAATTCCCTTGTCTCGTTTGCCAATACTCACATACAAGGCGCCATGCAAAAACAAAATGTATTAAAGCTATCCCCTTCTTCTATTTCTTCTCTTTCATGTGAATGAGGAAAGTACATCCCATTATTTACTACTACATAAACCGTTGAATTCAGAAAAGGGACTCCACTCATTTCAATCTCCAGCATACAACTACAAATACAAAAGTGCCCACACCTTCTAGTCCCAATTCTTATGAGCGAACATACCACTGTTATGGCTATTACCATTTGGAATTCCATTTTTGTTGATTTTGACATTTTCCATGCCGTTGGTCATAGTACCTGTCTCATTTTGCTTGATCAATGCCTCAGTTGAAGTTTGAATACGCTTTCCAAGATCTGCATTGACCTTGCCGAACATTTCTACATGTATGTTAGTACATGGAGTTGAGCCTTGATTAGATTACATACCATAAACTGCTTGTCTAACCTGAAGTCCCTTATCTCCAGTAACAGCGCTTAAATGACCCGCAACGTTACTAATGAAGTTATCTTGTTGACCTGGCTCGCTAGCCAGTGTTTTCTCCCAAAAGATTCTTGGCTGCAGGTAGTCTGCATCAACGACTTGACTCTCAAAGTTGACAACAGTCCCTTGAAATTGTTCCTCATCAGGTTGTGCATATTGTGCCGCTACTCCAACGTTATAGAAAGATGATGGAAAGTAATTTTCAGTACCACCGAGGTTACCATTGATAACAGCAGCTCCATCCCGTATGACAGGATTGAATGGTTTATTGTGGGGAGCATTAACAGGTAATTGAATGAAGTTAGCTCCAAGGCGATATCTTTGCGTATCTGCGTAGGCAAGAGCACGCGTTTGAATGACTGTAAATTTGTTAATATCATAACGAACATAACAAGATAGTTCTTGTTGACTGTAAAAGAATAACTTACTTGGGTCAGGAGTCAGAGCCCATCCAGGGACGAGATTTGTTGGACTGAAAGCACTTTGCTCTTGTTCGGCGAAGAAATTGTCTACGTTTCTGTTTAGTGTAATTTTGCCGAATTTGCGAAGAGGGAATTCTGAAAATGGAAATGTTTTAGTAGCGTCGAAGATATTGATGTGATAATTCTCAGCCTTAACTGGGTCAATGATCTGAGCATAAACATCCCACGATGGAAACTTTATATTTTCGATATCTTCATAAAGACGACGAGTTTGGAAGTCTGGATCTACACCAGCCTTTTGATTCGCCTCATCCTGCGTGAAGTTTTTCACTCCTTGGTTAGTTTTGAGGTGAATTTTAACATATGTGAAAGAACCATCTGATTTGGTGAACTTGTACGTGTTAATACTGAAAATGTCGGCATGCTGGAAATCAACCGGTGTAGCACGATCACTGAATAGAAACATGAGGAAGTGAATTCCCTCTTGGTTATGAGTGAAGTAACTATACAAGTCAGAAGTCTGTCAAAAGCACAACAAAGATCGAAAACATACTCCCAAAATGCCTTGTGGTCAGGTAGACCACTTCGTGGGTTCTTTTTAGTTGCATGGGTGAAGGATGGGAATTTGGCTCCATCTCGAATTGGAAAGACAGGCTATGACATGAGCTTTTCGAATTTTTTCAAATAGACAGACGGGATTGACTTACAGTGCTAAGGAATAACCAATCTAAATTACCCTCCTCAGTAAACATCTTGAAGGCAAATCCACGAGTATCCCGAACAGTTTCGGCTGATTCTGCTCGACCAGCTACAGTAGAGAATCGACAGAATAGTTCGGTCTTCTTCCCAACCTTGTTGAGAAAAGCCGCGGAAGTGACATCTGAGATATCATCTGTGACCTCAAAGTATCCATGAGCGCTAGTGCCTCTGGCGTGGACGACACTAGATATGATTGATTAGCCAAGATTATTACGTTGGAATATGAGTTAGCTTACCGTTCTGGGATTCTCTCATGAGTGATGTGTTGAATTAATTCCAAGAGATTGATATCTTGAAGTAAAAGAGTGGCTCTAAGTTGATTACCAATTCTCTGAGTAGATGCTGGCTTCAAAATGGGAGCACCATTCATCGTGGTGATGGCCGGTTCCTGCATAACGCCGTTGCTCTAAGAAGGTTGTCAGTTGATTATCCTCAAGAGTAGAACTATCTTGTTTTATACTTGAGCCATGTTGTTTGGTTTCTTTTGAGTAAAGTTGTGTTTGGTGTATAATTATATTATTATTGAGGACAGAAATGGTTGAATGTGAGGTTTATGTAGTAATTGAGACTTCTTGTGGGAATGAAGTTGACTTTATACACAATCCTACACTAGAAGCCAAATTTCCACTCTCGTCGTCACCACTCAGCAGTCATATTATCTTTTCACCACACCGAGACATAAGAGGCTTGCGTAAAAGCTGAAAGGAATAAGTTCTAACAGGGACCTCGCACTTCCCAACCGTGGAGGCAGAATACACACCGCCACTGAAAACTCGCCAGGTAGGATAGTATTCATTCCTATAAGCTTACAGGCGAGCTGACTCGTGATTTCGTATCTTTTCCAATATTACGGTAAAAGCTTAGCAGCCTTACCGATATTATTTTCGTTTGAAACGGTAAGCTTGCATTCATTGGGCGTGGGGAACGGCACAGATTAGCGAGAATAAGCCTCTGCAAGGGACCATCTTCTATAGGTTAGCTCTTTCGGAAGTCTTTCACATCTATCCTAAGTTGATTATGTTGAAGATCAAGTGTTTAGTTACTGTAAACTAGGTGCGCAGTTGCCTAAAATCTCACGATAATTGGCATTGAATAGTTAACCATTTCGCGTATAACTACGGCCTCAATCACAATTACGATATCACGATACGACCTACCCATGACGTTTGGAGAATTTGCTGATAAATGCGAGATTATTAAGTGGGATGACCAAAGCTGGTATATGACGGCACAGTCAGCCTTAATTAATAGATGTACGAAGATACCTCGTGCAAACGTCATTTATATTCATTCTTTCACTCGCTTCGACCTTATGATATCTTATTGGTTGTAATACCGATTTTCTCTCTTCGCTTCAGGGCTGCCTAGAATGCATTTGAAAGGGGCTGTGGAAAACGACGGAAAATACATTCCCAAATTGTTTACTACTGAAAGCTTACCGACCCGAGTGAGATCTAAATTACCTAGATAATGACTCACTTGGTTAGAAATCAATCATGAATTAGTTCCTGATAGAATATTTATTATTGGAAAACAAGGGTCATATCAAGTATACGTAGCTCATTGTGCGGTTCAGTGAAACATTCTTACCTATTGACATGTTTCTCACTATCACTTGACTTGAAGAAGTTTACAAATCCATCATCATACTTTAAGATTCCTTCATTATCGTGGCATGGCTAAAATTTGTTGTCATTTGGTTCATCTTGTGACTCTAATATGGGATATCCTTCCGCTGTGGACATATTCATCCCATCACTTCAACCACAGTCCATATCTATGGCCATATAATACAGCTCTTTACACTCTTCACGCAATCTATTTTGGAGATATTTGACCGAGCATCATCGACTGCATATGGAAATAGTTGGGGATTTCTCTTATTGCGATTTCTGGCAAGACTACTACCTGATACTTTTCAAGAACAGATCCCGGTCAAACTACCAGATTGTCTACGTTTCTGACGAACTGGGTCTAAAGATTGTTATTCATACCGTAGCTATGCGTCGGGCTTTTTGAAGTAGTTTGAAGTGATGTCGTCAGCTCAGTTTGTCACTCAAAGGATGGGACATCACTACTCGTACGTCAAAAAGTATGCAACTTTGAAGCTTCATGCGCGTACCAGAATGTGGTAAACTTCAATCGGGATACCCTGGTTTCGCCGCTGTTTGATGTTCATACTTTCTGGAGGCACGAGTAGGAAAAGCGATAAAAAGACATTAGCTAGTGGGGCGGTCAACCGGTAGTCAACGTTCGATTGGCTCTTCACCAAGTGTCAATTTATTGTGGATTCATAGCGTCGCCTCTGGACGATAACACTGGTACTGAATGTTGTTGAAAGAGGTTAGTAGGACAATCCTAGGCTACTGGGGAGAAATTTATGTCAAAATTTTAACTTTTAAACCACACCTTGATATTATCAACCTCAATGTAACTGGTCAATAACCTCCCATCTTCTATTAAATGTCTATTTTACGATACCACAAATTCTCTGCCTTCAAGTGAAAAGTAGTTGATTAAGTACAACCTTTACCTTTTGCTTGCCTGTAGAAGTGGGGTTGGATTAAGCAAGAGAGCGAGAAATTAGCTTTTTCTCTTTGTCTTTTAGAAGGAAAATTGGTCATAGAATAACCCTTCAAAAGCTTGGTATTCGTGAAATCGAACGAGTGTCAACTAGACGAGTTTTCTACTTGAGAGTTTAGACTTTTCAACCAACCATGATGTGAGAGGTTGTCACTGGCCTCCAAAACAAGACTTTTACCATGATCCCTGTTTACTTCGGACTCAAGGAATGTCCGCTTGTTTTGATCTTAGTGCCATCTGATAAGATATGATAAAAACTTATTTGTGTTGCCGTTTTATCTGATTGAAGATCTAATTAGTTTGTGTTCCATACTTTAAGTCTTTAGAATTCTCAGCGAAGTATATTAAAATATGGCTGATGAGTGAGGAACTACTAATCTTAGTTGCAAGTACTGAATCTAGAATGGATACTTCCAGGATATTTCCTTGCATTGTACATCTATAGTTGTACTTTGAGCGTAAATGATGAACATCTCCGAAGTCTTATGGATATTTTTTCTTCTATAACTGAATATGCTTGCCATCTTAATTTCTTCCTTGTCTTCTGTTCCATTTCTACTTTTGTTATACCTTCATCCAAATCAATCATGAGCGAAAATGAACCAAAGGACAGTCCTGCGGCAAAAGCTGCCAAAGCCGCCGCGAAGATTCTAAGGAGGAAGAGGAATCGTAACGCCGTTAAGTACTTCGCTGCTGCTATGGCAGCAATTATGGCTCTTTTTATTCTATCCAAATGGATTCGTTTTCTTTATATTCGATATACACCGAGGAACAAACCTAAGGCCATTAAAGTGCTAGTTACTATTACAAGGTCTGTTTTACCAATTGATGAATATCAGAGACCATTTCCTAATATATATCTGGTCGACAGGTCATTGAGGAAAGTTTTTATACAAAAGATTTGGGGTTTTACATCGATTGGACACTCCATCATCTTCCTCGTATATACTGCAACAATACTTGCCGTTACCTTTAAAGATGTAGGGGGCTGGCCAAAGTACAATAATTTTGCAAAGCGACTAGGTTGGTAAGTACATCATCACATAGTGCCCTAGTCCTGGGTATACGTATTAGCTAATTCTCATAAAGGGTTGCTGCAGCTCATATTACCTTCATTACCTTCCTAGCACTTAAGAATACACCCCTCGCATTTTTAACGAATTACTCTTACGAAAGTCTCAGAGTCTTCCACAAGCTCGCAGGATATGGTACCATTCTTTGGTCTACTCTTCACGCCATTTTCTATATTATCTATGAAGCACAGTCCAATTCTTACGATACATTACTTGAAAAGCACCAAATTTTCGGTATAGTTGCTGGAATTGCTATGCTAATAATCCTCTTTACTTCTCTTTTCATTTACAGGATGCAATATGAAATCTGGTATATCGTTCATATTGTGATGTACTTACTCATACTTATTACGGTTGCTATGCATAGACCAAAAATTTCTGACCACACTGTATACATGATATTTGTTGCATCGGCCATATGGTTTTTTGATCGTTTGCTGCGACTCAGTTACCTTTGTTACTATTTCTTTGGAAATTTTGTCACTCTTACACCGTTACCAAATGGGGGTACTCGAGTTTTGATGCATAGATCATCCAAGTTCATCGAATCGGGAACCCACGCTTTCTTGTGGATTCCGGCTATTCGTGCAATCGAGACTCATCCTTTTACTATTGCTTCTGTTGATGGTGCTAAGGGGATTGGTTTCGTTGTAGCTGCTTGTGATGGGTTTACAAATGACCTTCATAATTTGGCAATAAAAAATCCCGGTGTAAAACTTCGTGCCTCGATTGATGGTCCTTATGGATCAGTGGTGGAATTTTCACGCTATGATAAGGTCATTTTCATCGCTGGTGGCTCAGGCGGTGCTTTTACTTTTGGCACTGCTATCGAAACCATGCATAGACTTGCAAAGAATACGGCCGTGTCTAACACTGTCCTTGAATTCATATGGGTCGTTCGTGAAGAAGGTATGCTTGATCTTGTCATTCACGCCGAATTATCACTTAATGATCTTAATTAGGCACCGTCAGTTGGTTCAGTAATGAATTGCAAGAGCTGAATTCATCACCAAATGTCATCGTGCGGCTTTTCTGCACAGGAAATGTTGCAAATAAGGCTTTCAGTGGATCAGATAGGACTTTAAGCAACAGTCTTTCTGGGAAAGATAATCTATCAGTCAAAGTTTCTCCAGTAACTGTCCATGGTAATAATGAGCATAAGCCACAAGAACTTGAAGACTTGGAAAAGATTACCACCACAAAAGAAACTAATTCCATAAACAGGGTTGAAGAAAATTCATTGATGATAGCCAGTGGCCGACCTGATGTATTGAATATTATTCAGAATGTTGCACAAGGTTGCGATGATAGTCAAAGGGTAGCAGTTGTTGCTTGCGGTCCTGGATCTTTGATGAAAAGTACAAGGTCGGCGGTTGCTAAGTGTATCACAATAAATGGGCCGGGTTTGGAATTACATAGTGAAGAGTTTTCATGGTGATGGGAAGAACTTCTCTACTGTGAAGGTTTGCTCATTCAGGACATGGAAATGCTTGTTGAACTCATTACTTTGGTATAAGCCTGGAACTATTTTGTAGCTGGATAGATGAGATGTAAGCCTCTTGTGTTTAAGCTGCTCCAACATTCGTTAACATGTCATTTTACCTAACGATTTGATTGGGGGTTGTTGGTTCAATTGAAAGTTTGAATATTAATTCATAATCTTATATATATATATATATTTGTCTTTTCTACTGCGATTTTAAACCAGGAAACGAATGAATGCGTCAGACGGGCCTCTATATAATTCAGGGTTCAAAAGTGATGAAGATGATCAATGGTTGAAACTAGTGAATACTCACAGCAGGCGTACTTCTCAATCTACGATTGTACTTATGATATGACCGATGAGACTTTTGATTTCCTGAATTGATTAATGGTGTCGTCGGACGTGAAGGCGTCGCAATTTAGTGATGCTAAGCCTATAGAATAGGAACCGCAACTCATTAAATCGTACACGACAACCTATAGTATATTGATGTGTCATTGAGTTACGCTATTGTGACATTGGAGCCACACTCATACTGTATGGTGCTAGGGACATTGCGGATACATAATAGGAACAAAATCATTCTCTACAACTGCATTTACCTCTCCTAGGTTGTGCAACGGGCCTTCGCGGGGTGGGTAATTGGAGAATCTGAATGGGTAACCTGAGGAATATTATTTACGGATTATTCAAAATCCCAATGGGGCTCTGTAGGTTGTGTTGGAGGCCTAATAGGTAACCTGCGGGGCGGATAACCTATAGATATCCGCAACCCATAGATTATTCAAGTGCAATTTAACCCCTCCAAATGAGCTCGGCTTGATAAGGATTCTTGTTGAACATTAGACTATTTCCAAAAAGTATTAGATTTCATTTGGTTTGCAATCTTATATATAAGCTCGTTTTTCTCGTTTTCTTTTCATTTATTCCCTCTACAAACATTACATTTTAAAGAATCTTCATCCTTTCACATCACATATTCATCGTACCTCGATTACCTCGATGAACACAACTCATATCAAAATCTGTATTCAAAACACTTTCGACGCACTTCTACTTGTCATCATCTTCATGCAGCTATTCTAAGTTTGCTTGCCATCGTTTAAGTCTATTTGTCAATATATATGCAGATCTTCAAAACGCATCAGCATCTTTAACCATCTGACAGATCTATCTGTCAATGCATGTGCTGTGTTTCTCCAAATGTACTCGCATTTGTATTCATTTAAAGTTTACCTACCATCAATCAAATCTGTCTACCAGTACAAAATATACTTGCATATATATCCATCCGAAGTTTGCTTGTTACTAGTACTTTATCAGAAGAAATTTCACATTTACTTTATTGTTTAATAGAAGACTAGAATTGCAGCGGATGGTTGAGTAACACCGGTGTATGTGCTGATGGTTCCGAGTGGGAGAAGTTTATTGTAGAGATTTGCACGAACTTCAGGGTTGTTCATGAATTCGATGTGCTTGTAGGAGGTAGCAACATCGACGGCGGCCGCAAAAAGAAGATTTCGTCCTTCGTCGATGCTCAAAGACTTCAAAAATTCTTGAAGATCCTCAGTGTCAAGGTAAGTTCCCTCTTGAATGTTTGAATGTTAGAGTAAATGGAAATTGACCATTCTGGTACGACGATTGCTTTGAGCCCATGAATCCAAGCTGGAACCTGGAACAGGTGTTTTCCATTGCTGATTTACTAAACTAACCATGCTATTGAGATTTTCGAGGATGCTTAAAGACCTCTCCCCCCCTTCTCACACTAAATCCATCTCTTTTACAAAACTCCCTTATCTATCAAATCATCCTATCATTTTCAACATGGACGTTATCGGAGAGATCGCCGGTAACTTCGTAAATGGAAACCCGATTTAAATTAATGACGCGTTAGAAGAGGGATAAACGTATAGTAATAGGTAATTTAGTGAATGAAAAGGGAATGTTGAGGAGGGGTATGTCTATTGAATCTCGAGAATCATGATTGTCTTCACATACGTCAACAAATGAGGTTGTTATTGATGTTAGTATGTTCTGTATTGGGTAATTGATGAATTAGATTAGGGCTAATCAACTTTACCAAGTGGATTTTATAACTACCTTCCAAAGGAGAAAAGAAGAAAAAAAATCTTCATCGCCACTCCACCAATGCCCAAACCTAGATATCTCATTCCATTCCTAAGATTCACCTAAAAGATCAGAGATAAACTTTCTTGCTTCCTTGACCAAGTCTTTCTCTCCGACACCACCAAACTCTCCTTCCGCGATAAGCTTCGCAATGAACTTCTTTGCTATGTCATTTCTTAGTCTCTCATCGAAGCTACCTTCGAGGAAAAGGATGAGAATTTCCTGCGCCTTCTTCTGATCAAGTCTGTGTAAACGTCCAAACACCTGAAGCAATATATCGAGTGAGTTGGGATATTCGCTAACGATCATCTTGCAACATGCGTGATGAAAGTTTAAGCCGTAACTTCCAATACGGAAACCAACCAACATCACGTCGACAACATGATCCGGGTTATTGAATCGTTCGATGGCCTTACGGCGTTCTTCAGTCGTGTGATTAGCTATGATGGACATGACTTTAAATCCTAGCAGAACCAGAACACCTTCAGCTGCCCTATTATTCAATAAGTATAATGTCATTAATAACTGGATGTTAAACTTACCATTGGGACATTGGCCAATTGAAGAAAGCCAAGCATCTTTCTCCCTTTGCCTTGGAGACAAACCAGTAGAAGTTGTCGCCATGTGTAATCGGTTGGTGGGAGGTGTAATGTAATATGCCTCCTTTGGACGTGTTCGATGATATTTATAAGTAATACCATGATCATCATCACGGTCATACCAACTCCTAACTTCCTTAGCCGTACCGGCAGGTACATCCTTAACCTTTCTCTTGACCAATTGCGTCAACTGTCCATCAAAACTAGACAGTTGAAGGCCACGATATGCCTCCATGTTGATTGTTCCCTCGGAGATTGAATTTGGGTTTTTGACGCTGGTAATAGGAACACCAACCTCATTTGAGACAAACAAATTCTTCTCCCATTCCGAAGTCGTGTTGTGATAATAGATATTATGATTAGGTCTCATCCTAAGCTTGAGGGTCTTCACGGTATAATGAGGTATATCTTTACCCGGTGTCTCCATGATTCCATTCGTGGTTTCGAATGAGTTGCTCATCAATCTACGTCTTTGGATAAGCTTTAATATCGGTCGCAAAACCAACCTTGCAACGCTAGGTTCCCATTCCGACTTTGTACCGACCGTCAGGAAAGCTTTCGGGCAAAGCATATGCAAAGGACAACCTGCTTTTATTGCCTTGTATAATCTCACCACTTCCGGTTGTTCATCTGTTTTTGGGACGATGAGTCTTGCCGGAACTCCATCTTCCTCTAGAGGTAAATCCACTAAAGGATTAAACCCCTCTCTGTACATTGAGACTAGACCTTGGACAGTAATAGGTAGGTTAAGGGGTAATTCCTTTACCTTAACCAACTGAATTAAAAGACCCCGAGCGTCATTGATTCTGTTGATCATTGGCGTGGCCGTTACTAAAGTTGTTCTCTCAATTTGGAGCTTGTGAATAGCATCCGCTGCCAACGTGCAAGGGTTCTTGATTAAATGCGCTTCATCCGCAACAACTCTCCCAAGCTTTCCATTGTTCTTCAAGGTGAGTTCATATTTTCGTAAAACTCTTTCGTCCTGACCGGCCAATGGATCCATCTTGTCGACCCCCTCTTCGTCACTCATGTAATTAACTTCTTTCGACTTGGGTTTGCCTTTGCCTTTCATATTAGTCTCGGTGACTCTCATTGCTCTACGAGCAAAGGTGGTGTATGAGGTTAGGAAGAAGGTTTTGGAAGTCTATAAACGTGTTAATCGAGTCATTGTTTGCGTGTGTGGGTAAACTTACATCTGAATTAATAGGATCTAGATCTTCTAATTCCTTATCAAGATCCTCAATGTGTGTTCCTACGAAACACTTCTCTCGATCCGAATCCATATTGCCCGGTCCACCGTAAAAGATGCGGCAAATCAAAGCATCACTAAAGAACTTGATGAAATCCTGATACCAGACATCAACAACTGCAGATGGAACTATGATCAACGTCGCAAAATGTTCCTTGCATCCATTGGCCTTCAACTTTTTGTGGACCATGAGTATCAACAAGAAGATTATGACGGTTTTGCCGGAACCGCACTCTCCTGCCAATATACCACCTCCAAAGAAGCCTTTCTCCATTCTAGCTAACCATGCCATATCTGTAAAGAGTTAGTATACAGTTGTCAAAATAATAATAACTTACCGATGACTTGGTGAGGGAATGGAGTTAGATTCGTTCCCTCGATTTTGATGTTGTGCGGATCTGAGAAATCAATACCGTGATCTTGACAAGATTCTACGAACGACATTGGTTCCGCGGTAGCTGTCGACATCTTTTCCAGAATGGCAAAGAAATTTTGCTTTCCGTTTTCAAGCTCAGTCTTTTCTGCGTTGCTGAGTTCACCAACCGAATCCATGACATCCGTGAAATCTATCGTCTTCTTCAGGAAATTGTGTCACTCGCGATATCCTTGGTGGGACCCTCCACAGCCTTTGTTTCAGCCATCCATTTCTTCATGTTCTCTCGCATATTGGAAATGTACACTCTCAATTGCTCTTCCGTCACTGGCTTTCGTTCTTGTCGGTTGGCTCTCTGCGCTCTATCCTTAGCCTCCTTTGAGATATCCCCAGTTCTGTTAAGTTGTATGTGTAAATTCTCGACTTCTTGAACGTTGAAATTCTCTGTATGTTCTCCATGATCGTCTCCACACACACTTCCGTCGTTTTCTAGGTTGAATATGTCATCGAATTCCTTCTCCTTGTAATTCGCGTAATCGGCATTTTCATCTACATCAGCACTGCCATTTCCTTTCACATGGTCCAAATCGATCCATAATGGTTTGACTGCTACTCTGACAACCAGACTCTTCTTGCGTGGAGCTCTTGCCTCTCTGTGCGTGGACCAGTATACTCTCAAGGTCATGAGGGCCCGATACCAATTCTCCCGACTGTGGATTTCTCTGGGATTTGTCGGAGTATCATCAGGGAAATGCTCAGAGTAAGTGGAAATTACCCGATGCATGGCATTGAGGTACGATATGAAGCCAGGATCGTCTTGTGTGTTTTTCACATCCAACATGACATGTGTGACAGGGAATTTGTCACCAATGACACAGGCGGTTTGCTTTGGCGTCAAATTCATGATAAACTTGAAAAGCTTTTCTGCACCAAACTCTTTGTCAGATGGCTTGATTCCATCCCGAACCGGACAACCAAAAGCCGACTGTTTATGGTATCTCCAGTTCTCCAAGATACTTGGAAGTTTATCCTCATCCTCAAACCACTTGACCGTTACAGCCGAATCCTTGAAATTCAAATATCCCGCAACATGTGCCATGTTATCGATACTAAAGCCAGCAATCAATACACCTTCTGGATTTTTTTCCCTAGCCTCCTTGATCTCCTCGGCTATTGTGGCCGCAGTCAGGTTTTGAACTCCGACAGCCTTGTAAAATCCAAAATTGATTTCCTTTGCGGATCCCGGTTTCTGTCGCATGTCTTCATTGTCCCATCGAAAACGGCAGTCGGTGTATGAGGAGTCGTAAACCATGTCCAATGGGGGGGAGCCTGCCATATTGTCTGGATCTTGATCGGAAAACAAATAATTAGCACTCTTGTTTACGTCTGTGAGTTTGGGACTTTCGAATATAGCATTGCCAATGCTAGCATGTTGGAAACTTCCAAGTTTGGCAGTTTTTCATATTGGGGGAGGAAAGTTCTCGAGAGAGGTCTTTGCCAACGTACGGGAATTTAATATTGAATAACTACTTGTTAAACAAATGTATAGTATCTCTTCAAGTCTGCTCAGAAACAGACTGACGGAGATTCTGCCGTTCTTCCATACAAATTTGCCCACAAAGTCGCGGAACTTCCGCTTGGAAATTGTTTGAAAACGAGGATTTTGAATCTTTCAGACGCTAGAATTGGCGGTAGGATAGTGCAAGAATGATAACCTACCTCACTGGATCTGCAAATGAGAAGCAAAGGCTTTTGGAAGCAAGTTTTCGCAAATCTTATGCTTGGGAGAGAAGTTAAAGGGTAGTTCGAAGTCAGATCTGGATCTTTTTGGTTTTGCTAAAGGAAGTTTGATAGCAGCAATTTAATATGGCAAAGAACTGGAGAAAAGTAAAGCCATAGAGATGTGAAACTTGGTGATATTATTAATTGAAGTTTGTATTGTTGTTGTCTATAAAGCTGAAAGTTGAGATAGACAACGAGGTGAAGTCACACTTGCAGACCTACAGAAACACGCTAGTGAGTCCGAAACCGCTCAACTTGCGGGGTACAAAACTGTTTTGATGGGAAAAGAAGTGAATGGAGAGTAAGTATATTTCCTAATTGGGAAGTCTTGATGCCATTTAAACGCGTCATCAACTGCGCTAGACCTCGTCGTCGCAATAACAAATACTTATATATACTCCTCTTGAACCCGCCCAATCTACTTTACTTCTTCTCCATTACAACTTATTTTCTTTCCTTCTTTTCTATTCTTTATACTTCAAAATCACAGACGTGAACAAATAGCTTCCTTTTATAGTTCTTACTCTAGCACAATACCGACAATCGGTCGATCTATCGTCTTTCCTCGCGGACGTCAACAAAGATTCTACTCACTGTCTTTTATCTCTTAAATGAGTACTAGATTTGGAAACTCAGTTAGCTGCAGCTAGTTTTATATCTCACCAGTAAGTTAACAAAACATCCTATTCTTCCCGAAGGTAACATACCAAAACCTCTTTCCTCCCCCGTACTAACATTTGACATTAAGATTTTACAAGACACAACATCTACTTTAAAGTCTCTCTGCAAACGGTACGTCCTGCGATCTTCATGCTTTGAATTTACATTTCTTACTCCCGTACGTCAACAAATGCACGTCACTAACTAGACTTTGAAAAATAGGATGGCCCCCCTCCAAAGATTCGGTTACGGTGTGGTACGCAGGGGGGGACAAGGTGCCGAGCAACGCAGTGTTGTTTTCTGGTCATAATCCTGGCGATCCACATCATTATATGAGCAACTTTTATATGGAGCAGTTTCAGGATGATGACGGGATTACTTACACTTGTGCAGAGGCGTGAGTAGCCCTATGTACCTTTTTTCATTCTCTACTAATATCATTAATAGATACTTTCAGGCGGGAAAAGCATGGCTTGTCAAGGACAGCTCAAGGTTTATGCAGATTGCTCATGCTAGAAGCGGTCTCGAAGCTAAGAAGTTGAGTAACGCCATCAAGGAACTGCCTGTTTCCAGATGGAATGAGATTTCTAGGCACATCATGGCCGACACACTATTTTTCAAATTTAGTCATAATGCGGATATCAGAAAGGAGCTCATCTCGACTGGCAATAAAGTTTTAATAGAGGCTAGGGATGATCGTATTTGGGCATCGGGCATGAAGACTGCCAAAGCTACCGCCAAGACACCGATTTCCGAATGGCGAGGTTAGAACAAGTTGGGCGAAGAATTAATGAGGATGAGACTCTTTTTCAAGAGATTGGATCAAGCCAAGGTGGATGAAGATAGTAAGTCTTTCATTTTGTACTTTGGCAATGAAAATTAGATGCTAACTGAGTTCAATAAAGCAGAACACTTCCAATGCGACTGCTGAGGGTGAAAATAACATTCAAGAATCGGATTCTTCTTCTCAAATTCAAAGTTCGTCATCATCCAATGAACAAGAAGATGTCGCCCTATCAAACTGGCCAGTACACGATGAATTAAAGTATCATTATCCACCTCCAAGCCCCACTATCACCGGATGAATTCGGACATGTTACTCCACCTTCGACTTCATCTCTCACTGATGAAGTGAGATGTGCCACACCAATTACAAGTGCACAGGGGGTGAATGAACTTGATGAGGTTGGCGGAGCTGGGGATGTTGAAATGACAGGACCCATTCAGTTGGAGAAAGATGATGGACAAGATACATCGTCAACATCTAATGACTTGGGATCATCGGACTGCATGTAAAGATGTCGTCATGGAAGGTTCCAGTGACACTCCAAACGATCCTTCGTCAGACACAACCCCACCAAAGTCCAAAGCTTCCGAGAAAATCGGATCAACCCCGAAAAACGAGAAGAAGAGAAAGTCCGATGAAAAACCGGACAAGTCGAGAAAGAAGGTCAAGGGTACCGCGACAGCGAACAAAAACGAAAAGAAATCGGCGAAACCTTCTAGACCACGCCGTCAAGCTGCCCAGGAAAGTGCAGCAAAAACACAACAGTTATATGAGAACTAATCCCATGCATTCTCACTGATGGGATTTCTTTTGTTTTAATATTTTTATCTTTAAAGGCAGGCACTTACTCATGGCACAATTTTTTTTTTTATTATGGTCATTAGGTTATTTATTTTTCATTTCTACTTTGATAGGGAAAAAATTATTGCTAGCACATTATGAAGGATGACAGAAAGCAAAAAGCTAGAGAGGGAGAAGCAATAGACATACGGGGAACGCAAATGGAGTTAAGGGGTCAAACATATCACCTTAACCTCTTTTAGATAGTATGTCTATGTTTGGAGTTGACATCTAGGAGTAGACGGAATTGAGTGTGTTTTGCTTTATATTGGGTGGAATCAGTGGATATCTTTGCTGGATGGGTATAATGGTTGTTGATCAGGAACGGAAAATTCATGAAAATCATACAAACATTGAATTTCAATTGAGTCAACATTCCATTCCAGAGTTTTTATTCATTTTTATTGCTTTCCATTCATAATTACGATGATTCAGATTTACATCAAACAGACAGTAAGCTAGTCGGCTCGGACAATTTCATTCCTTCTTGATTTGAACTGAATGAGAAATTTCTATCATGGTCATTGGAACTTCAACCTTGGTTCTTATTTATCCCTGCCTCATCCATTCCCATCAACTCACATCAATCAAGTCACATCAACTTCCATATTCGATTTCAATAATGGGCACAGAAGTTCATAAGTTCCCAAACCCTTTTCCACCGCGACCGAAACCTCATGATGAAAATCCTCACATTGATTAATTGAGGGACAAGGACTCCCAAGTCACTGTGGAAAAATGTTATGGGCATTAGAGAAAGTGTATTATCACTTGGCACTAACTATTCAATGTATTGATTCTTTGGGTGTCGAGTTTGTTAGACGTGTGGATTCTGAGGCATGACGATTTTATAAATAACAAATCAAGCAATGAATGAACTTAAAGTAAGTTGTACGAGTTCAATTGGATTTAAAGAAGTGATTTGCGGTACATGAATGAAATGTGGGACGTGGTAAGAATGTACAAAGTCAAAGTTACAATAGCAGGCGAACCCTTCTTTCGGAACATGGTGGGTGATAAATGTCCCACCAAGAAACCCTCCAAACTGCGATGCTAATTACAATCATTCATTATTCTTCATCATCCCGCTCCAAGTCACTTGACGATGGTTATCTGGATTGCTCTGGCCAATTTATGACTTCGGGAGAGAATCACAGATCATTCGGTGGATCCCCTGTAGACACCTTTCCTTCTTTCCTTCCTTCTTCTCCTAGATTATTTCTGGTGTCAAAGCTCTTTCTGTTGGGTCCCGACGTGTCTTCCTTTTGAGGCTACAGAGGAGACGAAATTGACCAATTCTTTGATTAACCTTTGGTGTTTGAGTTAGAGTTGTTGCTTGAGACGATATGGTTGTTTGAGACGACGTGGCAGTTTGAGATAACTTGATTGATATGTGCCTTCGGGTGACTTCCAAGAGGAATAAACAGCGAATCTATCATCAGAACCAATTGGTTTATTCTGTTTTGTTTTATTACGAGGAGTCGGGAAATCTTGTATAGCTTCTTCGAATGTAGGAGGAGATGAATAGAGCTTGGATGAGGGAGAATGAATAAAAGACTTAGAAGATTTGGTTCGGACGGATGAGGATTGGCAGCGGATGGATTGATTCATTTCCTCCTTGAGCTTTTTTACTTCTTCTCTGAGTGATCGATTCTCTTCCTTCACACTGGACAGTTTATCATCATATGATATCTCCACTGTATTTATTAGAATTATTCTGTACATTGAAACAAAGAGATAACTTACACGTATCCAAAGTCTCCCGAGATCATGCACAATGATTGACTGGGAGTGGTAGTGTAGATTACATGAGTTAAATGTCCCAGGAATGATCTGGAAAAAAAAAGAGAGATGTAATGAAGAAGAAGGAGAAGTAGAATGGGCGAAGGGAAGAAGTATCTAGAGTTTCAGGAAGGCGCTAGTGAGTTCAATTATACTCACTTTGTCCTTCCCAACTTGTTCTTCCCCACTCTGTTGTCACTTAAGGTTGTGTATATTTTACTACCGTCTTTTTTGATAAGCAAAGATGAGATTATTATCACTTCAATTATTAAGGAGTGTAGTGGTTGCAAGAAACTATGGTTGATTGTTTGGGGGGATGGTAGATGAATAAACGAAGGGAATAACGAATTGGTGTATGCACTGACGTATCATTATTGTAAGATTTTATAAGTGAAACTATGGATGGTTGCACCAGAATCGCACCTGCTGTGTCATTATGCCTAACACCATGCTCTCAAATCTTCATGGATATTGTTTACTACAAGACAGAGGTGAACCCTATGCTTCAAGTGTTGGTGCTAAATTAGTGCTTCTAAAGGGGAATCTGGCAGCACCCACCTGCTGACAAACCAGTAAGTTTAAAGTTACGCAAATGATCAACAGGTGGATGTCACGACTGCTTAGGTAATAATTAGTTCCATGACCACAACTTCAGGCCGCGACCCTAAATTGTAACTGTACTGCCTTTGACCTAGACGTTAGCCCCTTGTTTTCATATTTGAATGATTCGCCAAGCATTCACCTTACTATCCGGGGATCGACTTCCGTTGCCAAGCACGTCCACAAGAAAGTAAGATACCTTCAGGCCTTGGAGCGCAATATTTTGAATTGAGGAATAGCAACATATCGATAATAGTATCGAATATATCCCAACAACTCCTCAAATTTTTTATTTCGCACCCTCAAGATGTCTCCGTCCTGTTGTAAGGGCAAATCAGGTAAATCGGCAGAGTCGTGTGCGGTAACAGGGTCGCAGGTCGTTGAACTCTCTCCTACAAGGTCGAAGCCGGAGATTGACGACGACACTTGCTGCAATGTTAATGAGATTGAACCTCTAAAGCAAGCCCAAGCTTCGAAACATGTGGTGCATTCAAAGACAGTCAGTCCTTGCGTTGTATGCAAAGACTCTTCTAGCCTCGGGCAGTCTTGCTGTAATGGTGAGTTTCTCCACGTCAACGTTAACTGCGACATCAATACTAATTGTCAAAGAACTCTGTATCATTCGCATTGCAGATCGCGAATGCAATGAATCATGTGGCTCTCGTGGTGAATCCACGAGCACTTCGACTGCTGAACATGGTAAGCCTCAAATCCCCGCTCATAACTGGATTGTTAGCTAACAAAGCATAGATAAGGGAGATGATTGTTGTGGAAAATCTAATAAAACTACAAAAAACAAGAAAGGACCATGCCAGAAGCACATGCAGTCAGCGAAGACCCGCTTTCAGCCTACTCTCGATGCTCTCGAATGTATCTGTCGTGCGCTTTTTGCCTTGAACCTCGAATCATGCTGTTTGAAGGGAGAGAATACGTCATGCAAGTCTCTTAGATCTAATAACAGCACTATTAGTCGTCGTCAATCATCTGAAGCACCTTCAATATGTGGCAATGGTGGTGGTTACTGTTGCGTAGTCCCTCCTGATCTACACAAAAAGCAACCGGAACAAGAATGCAACAAAGGTCGTCTTTCCACCGGTACGAATTATAGTTTTGAAGAATTGATGATATCAAGATTTTCTACTTCATGTGACAAAAAATGCTGCAGCGAAACATCGGCTATAGCTGATTTAACATCTAACAATTGCTGCCCTGACGATTCAGACTCGAAAGAGAGTAGAATTTTACAGGCACCAGTTCCTGACGTCCACCTGGATTTGGAGAAAGGTTCCTTGATTAGGGAGCATGTAGCTCTAAGCATCCAGGGAATGACCTGCACTGGTTGCGAGACCAAGCTTGAACGGACGCTCGCTAACATTCCTGGTGTCTCTAAGATCAAAACCAGCCTTGTTTTATCACGAGCAGAGTTTTATTTCAGCTCGGCTCAGATTTCTGTTAATGAAGCAGTGTTACGGCTCCAAAAAGCTACAGGCTTTGAATGCCGAAAACTTACCCAGGAGGGTCATGAGCTAGAGATTTTGTCACCAGGACTTTCGGAGAATTTGATTGGCAAGTTGCCACCTGGCGTGTTGAGCATTAATCCTACTACTGATGGGACACTCACCATTACTTACGATCCTCGAATAATTGGAGCTCGAGACATCGTTGAAAAGGCTTTTGATAAGGAACTCAAATTAGCACCAAATCGTCCAGATTCATCAATCTCAGCAGGTAACAAGCATTTTTGGCAAGCGGGTCTGGCAACACTCATATCGGCATGCCTCACTGTGCCTGTTTTGGTTCTAGCTTGGGCTCCTCTTCCAGAACAAAAAATAATTTACAGCTCCGTGTCATTGGTATTAGCAACAATTATCCAAGTGTTTATCGCAGGACCCTTCTATGTTGCAGCCTTGAAAAGTTTGATATTTGCACGAGTAATTGAGATGGATCTTCTTATTGTTCTTAGTACCAGCACAGCTTACATTTTCTCGGTTATTGCTTTTGCTCTACTGGTTGCAGGCAAGCCTTTGGCCACAGATGAGTTCTTCGAGACCAGCACTTTACTAGTGACTCTGATCATGCTAGGTAGATTCATCACGGCTTCGGTACGACAAAAGGCTATGCAGTCCATTTCCATTCGCTCATTACAGCCATCTAAAGCCATTTTAGTTGGGAGTGATGGTACGGTTACCAAAGAGATTGATGTACGCCTTCTTCAGTATGGTGATATCTTTCGGGTTATGCCTGAAATGAAAGTCATCACTGATGGCACAGTCATTTCAGGTGAATCTGAAATTGATGAGTCAATGATTACAGGAGAGTCAAGTTTGATGACGAAGAGTAAGGGTTCGTCTGCTATTGCTGGCTCCATCAATGGTTCTGGTATCTTGCACATTCGATTAAGTCGAATTTGTGGTGAAAACACTATTAGCACCATTGCTAATATGGTTGATGAAGCCAAGCTGTCAAAGCCAAAGATGCAGGATATCGCTGACCGTATTGCTGGATACTTCGTACCAGTTATTATATTCATCAGTATTCTTACGTTTGTTATTTGGATCGCTGTGGGTATCGCCACTCAGAAGAAGAGCAGCTCAGATGCTATTATCCAGGCAGTTACATATGCTACCGCTGTTATGATTATTTCATGTCCATGCGCAATCGGAATTGCTGTGCCTATGGTTATTGTTATTGCTGGAGGTGTTGGTGCAAACAACGGAGTTATCTTTAGGTCAGCAGATTCTATAGAGACAGCCAGAAATGTCACTCATGTCGTGTTTGATAAGACAGGCACGCTAACTATAGGAATCCTGAGCGTAAAAGGAAGTAGTTATGTTGACAATCAAACAGAAGACATTAAGCCAGTTTTGCTTGGGCTGGTGTCTGGGATCAAGCATCCTGTTTCTCAAGCGATTACTGAGCACCTAAAATCTCTTGGTGTATCTCCAATCTCTGTTCTCGATATAAAGTCTGTCCCAGGAAAGGGCGTTTCGGGTAAATGGAATGGCAACGAAATTCGTGCTGGGAATGTACAATGGACGCAAGCTACTTCCTCACCGGAATTACAACATTTCCTTTCTTCCGGATCAACGGTCATGTGCTTCACTGTCAACAACATTCTTCGAGCCGTTTATGCACTTAGTGATAATCTGCGCCCAGAAGCTGCTCAAGTAGTGCTGAAACTTCATTCTAAAGGAATTTCTACAAGTATCATCAGTGGTGATGAAGTCGGTGCTGTTCATAAAACTGCAGAAAGCCTTGGAATTCCATTGTCTAATGTTCTATCAGGTTGCTCGCCAGAAGGAAAGCAAGCTTACATTCAGACACTAAAGGCCTCCGCAAACTTCGTTATACTTTTCATTGGTGATGGTACTAATGATGCAATTGCTCTTGCCTGTGCTAATATCGGTGTTCACATGAGTGAAGGCACAGATGTTGCACGCAATGCCGCCGATGTTGTCTTAACACGTCCAGATCTCCGCGGTATACTTGTCCTCATAGAACTCTCACGAAAATCATTCCGCCGCATCATGTTCAACTTTGTTTGGTCTTTTGCGTATAATCTTTTCGCCATTCTATTGGCTGCTGGAGCATCCATCGACTTCCGAGTCCCACCAGCTTTTGCAGGAGTTGGTGAAATCGTTAGTGTATTGCCAGTAATTGCCATTGCAGTCAGCTTGAGATGGTCAAAGTTTTCGATTTGATTAAGTTATGGATCTATGGGATGAGCAATCTATCGTGTGCTATTTTAAAGTCATCGTCGCGGTTGTTATACCTACAGAGTATTCAGCATCTGGTTATGTTCCAAGTGGGAGGCTGGCATAGGGTATTTAAGCTATATAGATAAATGTGGTAATGGCATACTTCTTTATACAGCTATCAATCTTGCTCTGCCGTCGCGAGTCAAAAGTTCTACAGGTCTTGAGTATTTTGTTAGATCCTATAGATATCGAAAACCAGAGAACTTACAATGAAGCATTTAGTATAGACGACAACCTCGAGACCGTTGATGACCTCATCATGGCTGGCTAGTAAGCTCAATGACATAAGCTGTGACACGGGAAGACCGTGACACATCTTTAATTCTGTGAATCGTGACTATGTGATGAATCATCCATGAATAAACAAAACCTTTCAAGTCCCAGTTTAGTTATTTGGTGCATTAGAATAACATTCAAATTTGTTTTCTCTCTCTTACAGTTCTTGCTACTTTTAGACTTCAAATCAGCATTATTATTACAGGTTGCGTACCGCTACAACTCATTATTTATCTACACTGCCTTTTGCCCCGCACCGATGTCTGAAGGAAGTGGATTGTTGACTGTTTGAATTTGTCTACGAAACCACGCGAATGCTGCTAGTACACCATACTTCTAGTTTTCATATCCTCTAAGTTCCAGGGATGTTCCACAGATTTCATGGCGTTTATGAATTACGATGGCGCGAGCTGGAACACCCTTCAGACTCAGAATTCGTCTTCCATTGCGACAATCTTATTCGCGACGCAACGTGCGAGGAGAAATGGTAGCAACCGTGGAAAAAATCAAGGAAGGAATCGCGTTGAACCAGTCTTGAGATTATGCCAGATTTCGAAACGTCCGCTGCAGCTTTGGTAGAGAATATTATGGCTAGAAGGAGCGAATGGCGACAATTGGCCGGTATCTATCCTAGATCTTAAATATCGCCAACATCAATGGCCGGACTAAAAATCAATACCTTCATGTCAAATTGCGATACAACATCTAAGATATATTGTGATGCACTCGATCATTAATGAAAGAGTGAGATAGGAAGGCTACGGTTGACTGGCCTTTTGAGGTTTGCGACAGGTTCTCGATATTGAGCAAAAGTTATGTCAACTTGCGTTTCGTGGTGTTCAGCGCGTTTGTTTCTTGATATTTAGAGAGTGCTAATGTGCATGCTCAGATCAAATAATAAGCAGATTTGGGAGAATAAGGATTGAGAGTCTGGATATGAACGGGGTGAGGGGTTATCATGGCAGAGTTCCCACATTATCTATGGCCGAGTTCCCGCTCAATCCCCACCTACGACGCAAAAAGGTTTGCGCCGTCTGATCTCCTATTGTCCGTGATGAGTACAAATTTATATTATAAGGAGGAGGAGTGTCAAGCAGCGAATTGAGAGAGTCGAGTGATGTCGCGGAATACAAAAAGCGAAGGTTCTTCATAATCTCGACGCTCCATCACCTTGCGGGTCCCTACGAACACAACTAACAGCCTTCACGCCCTCTCTTGACTGCGGTTGTGAAAGTTCTCCGGTCGATTAACGGTTCAATCATATTGATACATCCAGTCATGAGTTTTCACGCAGCAAAGAAAATGTCCAATCCCCGAACCAAAACGCCATCCCCCGCTGCCCTCCACTATAGTAATACGGCTTCGCAATCATCATCTTTCAATAACAAACTCTGCATAATCTTCAATCACTTTCACTACACTGACTACACATGGAATAAGTTTACGATTTTCGCCTGAGGAGCGCATGCCAGTTCCTAGACCCTCCACCACTTTCGCCATACATGACGAACACTCCGCCTACCCAAATATCTTGCATTGCGAAACCTTTCCATCAGAAGTCCCTTGCACCAATAAATATTTTCCCTAACCTTAGCCACATATCAAAAGAGTCGAGAGTCTTCAGAAAGGATAAAGCATTGATATACACATCGAGGACGAGGGTTTTCCGGTATACTAGGACTTCCCTAGGAATATGCCTCACGGCAGTTGGAACTTTTTGGACTGCGAGACGACCTGACACCAGCGATGGGTTTGTATCGTTGACCCTACTTGCATTGCTATACTTGGGGTAGTGGGCTGGAAAGGGTTCAAATTGGCACACTGCGCTTAACTCATGTGGGATGAGAACATTGAGGTCGGAGATGCGAAGATTGGGGAATTCATGGAGGGAAAGTACATTCAAACGAATATGACACCGCACTTGACTACGGAGATAAGGTGTTGGTCTTTCGACTGAAACGTCTATCAAATTGATTTTTTCTTCTCTGAATTGTGTCCTGGTGTTTCGCGCCCTCAAGTCGAAGATTAGTTTCTCTCCCATGACCACGTTTGCAAAGCTAGGACTGAGATATAAGGGCGCTACGTTATTTTGGTGAGCACGATTGGGATTTTTCGTATTTGGTTGGCAGATAATGTCACCTCCTCCTCTGTAAACCCGGATACAAGAGTTGATTCTACAGCGAGGTACAAAAATAGGAAGTCTCGGCTAATTTCCCAACATTGGTGAATAAGAATGGAGGCTTGCATAAGGAATAACACATGAATTACCTGGTCTGGGTGGCAGACTTGTAGATCTCATGTATCTAAAGCAAAGATTGGTTGAGTTACAGGATGAGGTCATTTTATATAAAATGGATTCGGCACACTCGACTATCCTCCTTAGAAAACCTTCCGACGGGTACTCGACATGTTTGTACCGTCAATGGTTACGTTCCAATGTATTAACACAACACAAAATGACAGATAGATCCTCTCTTATTCTAGGAATATTGATACTTTACGCATTGGTTCTGCCGTCTTGGAAGTCGCGAGGTTTGGAAACATAAAAGTTGAAGGGATCTAGAGGTCTGGAAATGGGACCTGGGAAAGTGGGAACAAAAGCACAAGCGATGATTACTTCCCTCTTAATTACCCGATGGTCTTACGGTAAAAAATGTTCCTAGGGCAGAAATCCATGGTGCAGCGCAGTTTGGTATATTCTGATGTTGAGGGGATTTGAAACAAAGTGGTTATTTACGTCGACCACCTTTAAACATATTAATACACTCCATACCGACACAAGTATTTCATCGAGAAGCATGGTTGGCACTTGGGTTCAGAGGATCGTCGGGGGTGCAGGACAATGTGGTTGCCTACCTTGAGAAAATGCGGCGCATCAAATGAAACAGAACCGGACGGATGAACCAGAACAATTGATGCATGTATTTGGTATAAGTCTGGGCGGGATGATAACGGTGCTGCTGATGGATAAATTTCGTTGGGTTTGTGAGTACCAGAAGCAATGCTAGTTATGGTGTTGAGTGATGGCATTAATATACTCAGGTAGGTACGATTCTAGTGAAAGTGAAGGTCCCAGGTCACAGAACTGCCAGTAGGAATTTGCTAATTAAAAGTTGAGATTCAACAGTTCTTGAACGGATGGAGGATCTGCCAAGCAGGCTATTATTAACAGGTGCGTCGAATAATTACGACCGCTCCCAGAGCAAGACGATCGATAGGAGTATTAACGGAAGAGGACTCCACGAAACATGTCAACGGACACGCCCGGACGACAAGGGATTTAGAGCTCGTCAATAAGGAAAACAAACCTTTAGCGGAAATGGTGGCGAGAATTTAGAAGATTACAGACGGAGCTCATGCCAAGGATTTCGGCCGTCTGTTGTTTTGATAGAGAGCCTTTGATCCGTTGTGTTGATTGAGAAAGTTCTATTCAATGATCCAGATGTTTTCTTTACAGTTTTACTATGGTTATGATTCTTGCTACTGGATGAGTAGTCTTTGGAATATTCCTTTAAAGCCTGCTAACGCTAGTATAACATTTGGCAGATAAAAAACCTCGAGGTTTATTGGCACACTCGACACTAGTTTCACCGCTTCCGCTTTGAAGCTTCGGTAATGGATCTCAAAGTAAGAAATGCCACAAGGAGTATAGCGCACGCTTGAGGACCAGGAGGGAATGTATGGTGACCTTTGGCAGACTACACTGAGGATGGCAGATACCGAATCAACTATTATGCTGGCATATTTAAGGAGTGAATTGGCAAACGAGGGTCTGAATTTCCTATACTTTCAAATGGTACTAATTCGCAAGATGAATAGCTGTGGGCCGGGCTAACTAAAGCTTGATGAGCTCCGCAATCTCCACCGGAACTCGCACAATCATATTCTACGTCGGTAGTGTGCCAGATGCAATTTGTGGAAAGGATTCCCCGTGCTAATGTACGACGAGGAGAAACTAGTGTAGAAAGAACAGGGAGCGATGGCAAATTGAGATCCTAATAGCTGCTGACATACATGGTTATATAGTTCCCCTAGCATGCTCAATAATACGAAGTCTACTTTACAGCCAGAAGAACAATGTTAAGACCAGGAAGAGGGAAAATTCCTGGTAAAGGTGTTGGGATTTATGGAAGGCTTCATTGACTGAGTCCACTCAGGGAGACCGGTAAATTTCCGTCAACATATATTGAAGAAGAGTAAATAGTTCGCTGGCTTTGATACATCATGAGTGAGAAGTCTTTAAGATACTATAGCTAGTCCATCGTCTCCCGCTCAACATAATTTTATATCTAGTTCTATTCTCTGCTGAATGAGTTTCAGGAGCGATTTGGAATGATGTATATGTGGGAACGTCTAGATCTCAATAAGATGGGCATATCGAGATCTACTGGCAGCTTCACTGTTACTTTTCCGATAGTAACCATGGTATATCTGAATATACTCTTTCTTTACTACTATACTGAACAGCATCTCTTGTGAAACTTTGATGACCTCAGCTGATGTTTAAGCTATGATTTACTTTCTGCTTCGTTATAATCTTTCGTTCATAACAATCGAGCATTTGAGGTTTGGTCCCATACTTTCCAGTGGAATATATCTCGATGCCATTCTTCCTGCCGCCATTCTTTCAACTCCAATCACGTACCTTTACCTCATTCATCTCTGCCTCTGCACTCATAGCTTTTGCCTGTCCTCTGTACCTACATGCCCAGTATTGTCTCGTTCACATGTAACCGAATGCATTGTATCTCAGGCGACATATTTTTTCGGTGCTGCTCCAATCGGACACCATTTATTGTGATCTCGCTTTTCTTTCGTTTCCACAACGTTCCTCAT